AAAAAACAGTGGAGAAAGGAACAAAGTTTTATATGCTAAAGAATATCCTTCTTGGACTTTTCGACGTACTAGAGTCGGACAAAATACCTGTCTCTAAGCAAGTACGATCTATACAAGGTCTGAATGATAACATGAGCTCGACTAGCAGCAATGCATCTAGACATTTGAGCTACGCCGGAAATAGCATGGGACAATCTACTCCAACATCGAGCCGCCAAGATAACCCTCCTAGTTTTCTGCCGTTAACCCCATTACCTACCAAGGAATCAACGCTGATGTCTTTAAGCCGATCTCAATCCATATCAATGCCGTCATCGAATCCAAATGGTAACGACCGGTACAAAATCAAATCCATTTACTCAAATGTATCACCTACCTCCACCAATGTTCGAAACGAAGTCACCACAGAGTTGGTTGATTTAGTTCTAAAGTGCTTGCGAAAAATCGGCGAAGACGAATCGTTCCTTCCTCTATTCAAAGGCGTTTTCACAGCTTTGAGTGAAGTGGATGAAAACAGATTTACGCGGAAGTTGGATGGTCGAGGTCGAGATATTCTTTTCACTGGGTTGATTGTTCGCATGATTCGATACCTTACCGAATATGTCTCCATCATGATCATTTGTGACGACGTGCAGTGGGCTGATTCAGCTTCCATTCGAGTGCTTGAAACCATTCACGACGCTTGCCCACGGGCATTGATGATGCTAGCGACTCGTCCCATCAAAGATTACAACGTTACTTTCATCAAGGAGCTGGCTTCTTTTGGTTCGTGCGCACAAATCACACTGAATGGATTGAACGGCGAAGAAATAGGAGAGATCATCATCAACACCTTTCAAAGTGGAATCAAGCGTGTTAGCCCGGAAATCATTCGTGTCATCCAGGTATGTACTTTTTATGACTAGACAAGTTTCCTTCCCCCATTTGCGAGCAATCACCTAACGTGTTATTTTCAAAGAACCGAACGGGCGGTAATCCACTTTATGTCAAGTAAGTCCACTAAAAACACTGCTACTGTCTTGGGCGTCAGTCTAATCCTGGGTTTGCTTATAGAAATATGGCTATCGTTCTTAAGGATTTCAATCACGTCACGCTAGTGGAAGGAGAGTTGGTTCCCAGCAGCAACAAATTTGATTTGGAAGATTTGCTTGGTAATTTCGATTACAAGCGTATTATCAAAATGCAGTTTGATCGCCTTCATGTTGATTACCAGGAATTTCTTACTGTAAGTCATCCATATATTAATGAACTGGTGTGGCATATCCTGCATATTAATGGTCTTGTTAAAAGATTGCGAGTTGTTTGGATCAAAGCTTTGGTCTCAGCGAAATTCAAGCCGTCATCAAGCCCAAGAACTCAATTTTTCATAGCACTGATAACGAGGTCATTCGACACACTATCAAAAAGTACGATGTATATAATTTCTTGCTGGAAATCAGTGGGACAAATATCATGGACAAGTACCAAGACGCGTTCTCTTTTGCACATGTCACTATACCACAAAGCATCTATGACATGGCACCTTACGAGAAGAGAATTAGTCTTCACAAAGCCTTAGCTCGCTACTATGAATCCAAGCTCACTCGTGACAACTACCCACAACTTTTGGCGAAAGTCACTCGACATTATTTGGAAACTGATTGGCACGGCAAACAATTGTATTATCTGGAAGCGCTTGCCGACTTGAATATGCGATCGTATTTCCTTGCTGAAGCGACTAGTAATTTGGAGCGTATGGTCAAGATTTTGGATGAAAACGAACAATTGGCGGAAGAGTTTGGTCGCATGCATCGAAGTGATATCTATCGTATGCTTGGTATTTGTCTCACCATGCGAACCAAACTCGCAGAAGGCGAACATTACCTCTTCTTGGCGTTACAATGCCTCGATTCTCCATGGCCTAGAAGCGATCTTGAATTTGGTATCAAGTTTTGGAGAAACCGATTTGTTCAATATCGACATCGAAAATACGTTCGAATGACTATGATTGTGAAGCCACTTAAGGAGCGTAAGGCGCAATCAGCTCAACGAATAGTGGAGATCATGGCTCAACTATCCAACATTTATTTTTACACTGGCAAAGGTCGAGATTTCATTTACTCGTGCTTGATCGGACTCAATGCTTGTGAACGACTTCGCGATACTGGACCTAATTATTCATTGTTCTTGGCCCGATTCGCGTTGGTTTGCTGGCTCAATGACCAGAAAGAAAACAGTATATTCTACATCACAAAAGCCCTTCAGCAGATGGAAGAGAAGGCGGACGCTGGAACGTTCACCATTTGTGCTTTCTTATGCTTTGCGGCAGGAAAATTCGAGAATGCTCATAATTTACTCTACCAATCTATTCAAGTGGTCAAGGTATTTGGGGTTGTCACTGACTGTCAAGCGTTCTATCGATCAGTTGGTTTGGCTGTCACCATGCGTATCTTTGAAGGCACTTTGGACCAATCCCCTGCGGAACTTGCTTTACTAAAACAGATGGCTGATACCGCTCATATGAATGGCGACTATGAAGCAGAGATATGGCTCAGCGTATATCATATTTGCAACGGTATTGTCGTCGACCGCATAAGAGATTGCGAGCCATTTGTGGTGCTTGTTGAGGCGCACATTAAACAAGCCGCTGATTATAACAAGATCGCTATGCATGGTGCTTTGATCGCCTATTATGCTCGAGCTGGTCGACATGACCTTGCTAAGCGAAATATTCGCTACCTTAACAATATTTTACCTACGCTTACTGTAACTGGTATGTTGGTTTACTACAAAAGGATGTATGTACATGTCAATCATGCACCCCAATATATTAACTTGCTTTGCTTTTATTTTGCAGCCAACATCTTCCCTATTTTCGGTTTGATCCTAGCAACCATGGGATTCTATGAAATGATCGAAGACAATCAAGCATCGCTTCTGGGAGGTTCTGATCAACAAAGCTTCGAAAAGTTCATCAATGGCATTGCCAGTTTGAACAGAGCTTTCCAGCAGGTCAAGTTTTGGGAATTCACTCAGCCATGTCTTTTCTTGGCTCGTGCGTTACCGTACATCAGCACAGGACGAACAGTAGAAGGCTTTTTGGTAAGTACCATACTAAACGTTGTGTATATATACGTATGTAGACATGTCTCCCTTGCTCATATCGGCTTGACTCAAAATCTGTAGGTCTTACGGCATGGAATTATGGATATGCATTTCATTGATGAGGTCCGATTCTTGAAGGCTTACTTCTGGTCCAAGCTTGGCAAATATGCCTTTACGCCAGAAGATCGCACGGAATGGACACGAAGAGCCGAAGAAGAATTCAAAGAAATCGAAATCCCGCCCGATGCCTATTGCAATCCTAACCCTGGCGAAGACTTGATGCTTGACTTTTTGAGACGACATAGCTCCGCTACCACTGGCAGAAGGTAAGAAAATACACATGTGATCATTTGTAAAGAAAAACTCGCATCATACTCACTCTCTTTCCTACGTAACAGCCATAGGCCATCCAATGGAGACGAGCGACCAGGATACGACTCGTTCGAAAGCAATACTGCGGTGGTTACCCGTGAAGCTAGTGATTGTGGAACGCATACCCTTAATAACGATACTATTGGCCTGACCATCACCGACTGGGATGAAGGATCTAATATTCCGGATGGGAACAGTAGTGACATGGGAGAAGGGTCCCAGAAAAGTGCCAGCGTTACTCATGATGAGGGTCGATGTGAGTGTAAGTCTCCGTCTGAGATGGAGCGAAACGGCAAAGTCGTAGGTGTAAATGTCACTTGAACAGCTGTATAGAAGCAATGTTTTTATATTTTTAATTTTACGATATGTAACAATTTGATGTGTATTTCCTTGGTGATTCCCTGCCATCCCCTACAGTATTTTGTAATTCAGATAGTTCTTGTTCTTTTTATTCTAGTGAGATATATAGCGAACGATGAGTTGAAAATCATACTTTACTAAATCGTTCCTTTCATATTTCCGTACCAAGGCAACAAACACCAACATTGTCACTGCAGCTTATACTTTCTTCTTTTCTCAAATCAATATACAATCGTAATCATCACACTGTTTTGAAAACAAAAGTTCATATATTTAAAACGGAAGAACCCTTGTACACACGATCATCTAATAAAATCCAAATGTTGCTCATAAAATAATCTATTCCTCAGCGGCAGAGTGGTTGACGTTAGGGTTGAAGAAGAGAGATTCCTTGCCCCAGAAGAATTCCTGTGGATAATGAATGATCAGCATTTTTTTTTACTCAATTTCAGGTAGATCAAAAGGTTATAGAGATATTTTACCTTGTTACGGGTGTTCATGTAGTCATAACCAACCCATTCGTGGGGGTGCTCCTTCTGGTGCTCGACGTGGTGAGCGTACAAGTTGTAAGCGTTGATGCCAGAGGCAAGGAGACTAAACGATAAATGTCAGAACCATGAAATTGATTCGGTTTGTTGTTTTCTCTGGTTGCGAAGAAAATAACTTACGCAGGAATGCAGACGAAGATGGAGATCTTCTTCCAGGTGTTGGCAGCAGCTGGACGGGAAAATTTTGTAAGTTATCAGAACAAAGAAGTGCACTTGAATCCAATGATACAGCGACACAGGCGATAAGTCGTTGTTCAACATGGGATGCATCTCGACGAGAGAAAAGCTTTTTGCATTTATGCAACAGCGTCTTTATCGAATGGGACATGAACTGTTATACATACATTCGGCGTGGTGCTTGACAGCATCGCGCTCAGCGGCGAAACCAGCGGTGGACTGGAAACGGACGCCGGAACGCTTGACTGCAGCAAGGATAGGTGAGGAGAAAAGGCGAGCAGACATGGTATTGATTCGATGTAAGTAAGAAAAAAGTGCCACAACCAGTGTGTTTGCAATATCTACCAAGCTCGAGAAATGCGACGTCATCACTGGCGGTGGGACAAGCCTGAAGGGAAACTTGTGACGTCACCAGTTTTTTCTTTCTGAAAGGTGGTGGGGACGCTTTCAGCAAACAGCACTTTGCTAAAAAGTGTAAGCCTTCCACAACCAAAAAATAATCATGTCAGACGCACCAGGTACGATCTGCTTCCAATCTCTGACATGCTAGTACCGTCAACTCTAGAAACTTCTTCCGACGGTTTCTCGCTTGTCATTTTCGCAATCCTATAGTTTGAAACGTCGTATAGCTGACATTATCTGCACACCACCAGAGATGAAGGCTACCCAGAAGCAAATGGCAGACGCTCGCATCCCTCTCGAGTACCGCGATTACTGCGCACATCTTCTCATTCCTCTCAACAAGTGCAGAGGAGAAACGTTTTATCTCCCCTGGAAGTGCGAAAACGAGCGTCACAGCTACGAAAAATGTCAATACGAAGAGTATGTAACTGAATTCGTGCATTGTTTTCTGAGGTGATGGGCCCCGGTTCCATGGATTCCATCCAGGTTTCGATACCGCAGCCATGAACCGCGTCTTTCCCTCAAACCTATGTTTGATTTGTCGAACTAACGAGTCTTCTTTGTACAATTTCAGTTATAAACGACGCATGCGCGTACTCGACAAGGCTCGCCTTGCAGAAGAAGATGCATAGATTTATTATGTTGCTTTTGATATCTCTACGCCACCCTTTGCAATATTCATACAGCTAGAACTACAAAATTAAAAAAATTAAAAAGTACGTCTACAAGATTGGATGGTGTGGACCAAAATAGTATTAAGTTATAGAGTTGGCTGACTAGCTTGCCGGAAAGGCCATTAGCTTGTCAATGAATGTATCAAGATACATCTCGGCAAACGACTCTACGTAGTACTACAGGTGGGGGGGGGGGGTTAGATGAGCAAGTTCAATTTCAAAAATTCGACATTTCATATCTTGTGAAATACGTACCTCATGTTGCGCGTTGTGACGAGCTTCGAAACAGTGCGCTAGTTCGTGACACATGGTCATGTACCAAAACTTCAAGGCATCTCGGCGTTTTGTCCTTCGAATTTGAGTGTCTGGGGCCGCGGACGGTGCGTCGTGCAAATTGAGATAAAATCTCAAATTGAAAAACAAACTTCCATTTCGATAAAACGCAATGGTGTTCCCAGTCGTATCATAAAATATATGAATAGCAAGAGCATCAATGTTGAAGACGCCAACAAGAACGCCAATCACACTGCTGAAATGCCCTAGCTGAGCATCATATTGCTGCAGGACAACGGGTCCATTGACATCGTTGTGTACATAGAATTCGTATCCCTTGGTTTTTGCTACGTACTTCAAATTCTGTCCTGAAGTCGCATCACAGTACTCTTGCACGTTATGCGTCGTAGGTGGAGAGAAGACGCTTTGCGCCGAATTCGACTGACATGCACTAATAGCTTGTTCGAGTTGCCTCTTCATGACTTGCTGATGGTTCTTAATATCACCCATGACTGGGTTTTGGCTATTGGGTTTGGCTCCATTTGTGGTAGTTGGAGGAGGTCCTGCATTTCCACCACTAGGCGGCGGTCCAGTTTCTTGATGCTCTGTCGGTTTTCGTGAACCACCATCTTCTTGTTCAGTTTTAGTACGTGATCTGGTAAACTTGTTGAAAAAGTTGGTACCAATGCTCTCGAGCTTGCGAACTGGAGGTTTGGTATGAGCTTCTGGTTTTTGGACTTGGCCATCAGGTTTTTGAAACTCTGGTGGTGCTGGTGGTGCAGGATTGGTATTCTTGGGGTATTGTGTAGACAAAAGCTTGTTGACGACGTTTGCAACATGATCTTGCTTCTCTTTCTGCAACTCGGACCGTATGAAGTTGGGATCACAGTCAGGGAAAACGTCTTGGACCTTCTTCGTGTATTCATCCAATTGTTTGGACGACTTTTGATCTTCTACCTCAACCTCCCCTAGAGACTGGCTAAAATTGTCGACGGCTGGCTTGGTGACCTTTGGTGTGTTGAGGATACGATCAACGGGAACTCCTCTGCTCCTCAAATTGTCCAAACTGGCCACAAGGTATCGTTCAAAGATAATAGCGTCATTAAATCCGATACGTCGGAAAAGGATATGACAAAGACTAGCCGCTACATCATAGTAGTCTATCTCCTTATTACCACCAATGTAAAGCTTGCATTCGTTAACATCTCCACATGATGAAGTCCATTGAACATTTTTCTGACCGGTGGGCAAAAAGGTTCTAGTAATGTTGATTTTGGTCGCCTCAACCACCTAAATTAGTTCTTTGGTTAGTCCTGATGCTTTCTCATGCTAAACTAATAATATATATACAAACCTGAAGCTTCCTGATTATTTTATCCTGGCTCATGCGAAGCTCAGATTTACGCTGTGGGGCATCCACAAATACTTGGTAGAGAATGATTGGAATTCTTTCAACTACTTGGCTTTGAATATCGGCTGATCTTGGAGTGGTTTGGACCGGTCCCACATAGCTGGAAGCTTCTCTTATTTGCCTGCAACGCGATAACGTCAGTCTACAACACTGGAGAATTCATATTTGTTCAAGATGACCTTACGTAGATAGCTTTACACAGCCGAGTTCCTTATACAACTCCTCTATGACTGGATCCATCGGCGCACAGATAGGAGAGAATAGATGATACCCGTTGGCATCATCGTTAATATACACTGAGTTGGCACTCACAAGACAATACTCGAAAGTAGCTGTCTTGTCACTCGTCTTGCTACCATCAGGCTCTAGTTGTCGATAACCAACCAATATTTTTGCCGTGCGCATCTTGTCGATTAAGGATCTATTTCGTTTTATCTGGTAAAACTGGTTGGCAATCTGCCGCAACACATTGAGGTAATTTTCTCCACCGCCGGATAGTTTCCAATACAGTTGTGGATTTCGAACCATCATTTGTGCAAGTTCCAACGTTGTTGGTTCGTTCTTCACACCACAACAACGCAAGAATGTGTTTGCAACGTCACCGAAATCAATAAACACAAAGAGTTCCTTGTGAAAGTCGTTTTGAGCATCCTTTGACAAGAAGTAGCACTCGGTCGGTCGCATTAGCGTGATGGTGTTCGTCTCTTTTGCGGTCGTTCTACTATCTTTGACAGGAATGAATTCAACATCTTGCAATTGGTTCCAAGTACTTTGTCCCAGCGAGATTCGACTGGCCATATAATTGAAGACATTCTTAGCATTTTCAGGGTCAGTTTGGATGTTGCCCAGGAAAGCTTTCAACAGTTGAGGAGAGTCGGGATCTTCCCGAACGCCGAGCTTGTCACGCACTGCACTTAGCTCTGTATGGATCACCTTGAACCCTAGCACAGCGGCTTCAGCATTGCCAAAGCACTCAGAAGGTTTGGAGTATCCTCCATCGCGACAAGGAATAAAGGGTTCGATAGCTGTCAATGGATTGTAAAATTCTCGATAGTACTTGTCGAAATTGTCAATGAAGTACTTTAGGGATTGATTTCGATCTGCTTGACCTTTCTTTGGATCAGCGGCCTGGTTGAGCAATATGGCCAGAGTGGGATAGTTGCGCAGCCCCAAAACCTCCAAGAATTTGGTTTCCTCACTGGCAGGCTTCCACTTGGAATCCCATTTAATGGTTGGGAGCTTGAGATTCTTTAGTTCCACAAGAGGAGCATATAATTCCTTGGCTTTGTAACGTTGTGGAACGCTTTTCGGTGGTGGTGCTTCGGTAGCAGCTTCTTTGGTAGCTTTTCCATTCGCTGTAGTCTCTTCTTTCGCTACTTCTTCAACCTTGGGGAAAATAGCGGTTTCTTGAAGTCGATGGAGCTCTTTAGTGGAGAGCATATTTTGAACGGAAGCTAGATACTTGACGAGTTCAATGTGCGACCAATTGCCTTGAGAGACTAGCCGGTCGAAGATAAGCTGAAGTTCTACATGCTACACATTATTAAACCAGTATGAGTAAATACATATGCCTTCAACCATTCTTTCGTCTAGCACTGCCTACCTTGCGAACACCTAACGAAAGTAGCATGGTCTCTGATATTGCACGAGGGTGCTCAAGGATCATGATCGGTAAATCTTCAAACAATTTCACTGTAGGGAAATAAGCTTCGGTAGGATACTTCATGCCTCGCTTGGTGGGTATACATCGCTTCTCCTTAAGCAAATTGATAATGATGTCCTGATTGGGTTTGGCTTGAGTGGTAAGGCTTTTAGATACAACGCTCAGCACTTTCTCGGCGAATTTAGGTGATGTCTCGAGCTCAGGGTTGGAGAAAACATGGCGTACCCAATCAAGCACTTGAAGTTCTGACCAGCTACAAGGAAATATGTCAGTTCTCAAAGATTATTCAAAGTTCAATAGAGGTTAAAAACTTACCCGAAGTGAATCTTCAAAGCAGCGTGCTGAAACTGACATGATATCTCAAATGGCAATACATTTTGTGGGAGCGGCATGTCTACAGGAATCAACTTTGGGTTGATGAAAGATGACACAGCAGAGAGCTGCATTGGCGTGCCGTCTTTGTAAGTGAAAATGGCCGTCCGTAAAAAGTTTTGTCTGGTCTGTGGTAAACTCAATAGTTCCTTAGTCTCAGCATTAGTGTAGCCTACATTGGCGTTTTCGTGAAGATTGATCCACCATTTCATGCATATGATCATTTCATCAATAGTCAGTGAGCGAGACTCTAGTTCTTGAAACACGTCTCTGATGCCAAATGGCTTCAGCTTCTTTTCTGCTTTGAGTTTTTGCAGCGGAGCATCAGCGGTAGCATATGGGGAAATGGACACTAATGGAATGGACTTGATGAACTTATTGATAAGATCTGACGCTGCCAAGCCAGGGTCCTCTGATGAAAGACTTCGGGTCTTGAGAAGCGGCTGTATACCGTGGGAGGTCATCACATGCATGTCGCTTCTAGCCATTTCGTAAAAGTAGAAACCCTGATCTTGACTCACAATACTACTGGGGGTGGAAGGCTTGAAGGTGAAGGACTGTAGCGCATGGAAAGCACGGCGTCTTAACCATGTTCGAGGAGTTATCTCGGTACCACTCGCTTTGTCCTCCTCCAGCAATTTTTCATTGTCAACAAGCTCCTCGTTGCCAACTAGCTCTTTGTACAGTTTGCGGATTTGTTCCATCTCGTCGTTGTAGACAACTCGGCATAATAGGCCTCCCATGACTAGTAGTTCTCGGTTCCATTTTCCTATGTATCGATCAGCAAAATCGATGCTTTCTCGCTCGACAGTTGGTATGAATCTGGCGGCCATATGTGAGCAGCATCCAGTGGTCTGGTGCGTGGGAAACCCAATATAAATTCGTCCTTGTTCAGGGTATGGGACAAGATCCTGGAACACGATATTGGTGTTCTCAGATACATCCAGTTCTTCACGACCAGTGAAGACCAGCTGGAAATTGGTCTGCTTCGGAGGCTTTTTCTTTGTCGATCGTTCCATTTCTCGCTCTAATTCTTTCGAGACACTGACTTTGAGTACACCCGTAACAACTCTCAAGAACGTGCTGGCCTTTTCAAAAGTCAACGGCGTACCGTTCGTGTCTGAAGATGCGCCAAGGAGGACCTTTGGCATGAACGCTGACATCAGCGAACTCGTGAAGGTGGGCGGCACGAAACGTTCGACTTCCAATTGAACCTTCTGAATGCTAACAGATCCAAGTGTAAATATGCCGTCCGGTACTGACGAAGTAAACAGTTGTTTGTGATCGATGGCCATAGGCCGAGGTTCGTCTGTTCTTTTGAGGATGTGAAATACTCGATGATCATCCACGAAAACTGATATTTCTCTCAAATTAGCGGTAAAGCCCTAAAATGGATAATTTGTTTGAGCAACGTGTCTAATTTTCCTTCCAATGACCGGTGGCAAAGGAAATACTCACTAAGCTGCAAGTCAAAAACTTGGCAAATCCTGTCATCTCGGGTATCGTTATTGGTTGTCGCATGTCCATTAAAATTGAAGTCCAGGGTGTCACATCTTCATCCTGAAGTTGGCCTCTTCTAGTGTATAGCTGGTCTCCTTTGAAGAAAAATCCCATACAATGTTGACCTGAGGAAACGCTGATCGCCATTTTCATCAGATCTCATTTTCACGACTACCGACGCATATCAGTTTACGACAACTTACAATGGATTCTCACAAATGGAAAACAGGGAATAAAATCCTACACCAAAAGCTCCTATTTTCTGTTCATCTGTTGCAAAGACTTGATTACAAAACGAAGACGTAAGCAGCGCAGCCCTGACGTAAGCTAGACCTACCTGGATTGCCTTCCGCAATACTCTTCAAGCGTGCCCAATCCTCTGGTCGAAAAGGAATACCGTTGTTCTTAATAATTAATCTGGTACACTTTCCTTTGAGGTTGGGTTCTTCGGTCTTGACTGGTGAGTCTGTAGTAAATAGAATTTGGACCCCTTGAGCAGAAGCATCATCTAGATACGGTGGTACGAAGACGTCAGGACAGTACTTTTCAGTTTTGCATAATTTATACTTTTATCAACCTGCATTTTGCATGAGTTCTCGATATACTACATGCTCTGCTGAATATCTTGCTAGAATCTTATCAATCAGATGTCTCTGGTTGACTGAAGGCGGGCTTTCATGTTAGCATCTTGGCGGGTCTGCATTGTCGTCAGCTGGCGGATTACATACCCTCCACTTTTTCCTCCAGTCCGTCCGCAGACATGACATGGTCTCTGAGCTGATCTAGCTTTCTACCCTGTTCCATCTGAACCATGGTGAACCTGCTTAAAGCTGTGTTGAGTCAGCACCGTAGCTTTTGAACTTGGCTAGCCGTGACTTCCTTTTCCCCATTCCCAAATATGGAAAACCACTCAGGAACACGTTTGGCCCATGATTGCCACGCAAGGATTGTTGAAAACGTCGTTTATGACAGACAATATTGAGCTGCCAAATGTCTTTCTGTTATAATAACAAAAATTCATCTATTCACATCGTTCAATGCCGATAAAGTAATGTACTAAGGTGCCATTATCTGTTGCCACCATGGCCAGGATATGGAGGAGCCTAGGGTAAGAGGAGGACGGGCAATCTACTCACCATATATAGAGGGAAGAGAATCTGTAAAGCCTTTCATTGATTCTGGTAAATTGAACGACTTTACATCAATGAGATGAACAAAGGGAGTTGCATTCTTTGAGATGCACGCGATATTGTAGTGGAGAGATATCCCGCTTTGTCAGACTGCCACACATTAATACATTGATATCTTTGACGTTCTGAGTAGGCTTGTGCTCATTAATAAATCTGATTTTCGGCAGCTGAGCAAGCGCATGCTTGATGGCATCACCCTAAGCCTATCAGCTATCTAGAATCTTTGTCTCAATGCGAAAGGACAGTATGGGAACAGCAGCATCTCCTATCTTGCATACGGCAATAAGATTGTTTTAAAAGCAGTACAAAGTACAAAAACCACAAAGATTTATTGATCAAAGAAGTTGCATTACAAAGCTCTGTTCTTGACAAGAGCCATCTCAACAGCTGCCGAACCCCAGTCCTCACCGTGGTTGTGGCCATTGGGAACCAAACCTGCTCTGTTATGGGCTTGCTCATCGTTCAAGCAAGTAAGAACACCAAAAATGACAGGGATATTGGAGTCCAATCCGACGCGCATAATGCCTTGAGACACGGCTTCGCAAATGTACTCAAAGTGCATAGTGCTACCCTTGATGAGAACACCAACGCAAATAACAGCATCGAACGCGCCTTTCTTAGCCTTCTTGGCTCCTGGATTGGGAGAATCGGGCTTCTTGTCAGCAGAAGTAGTCAGTTCACCAAGGAGATCAGTGGCACTGGCAAGTAAATCGCCGCTGGCACTTGAACCTTGAGCTTGAGCAGATTGAATCAAAGCCTTGGCAGCAAAAGGCAATTCGTATGCACCTGGGACAGATTCCTGTTGTATGGGTGAATAAGACGTTTCCATTACGGCGGCAACATGATCGATAAGGTACTTACAATGACAATGTTCTCTGCGAGGACATTATGCTTAGAGATCATGGTCTCCTTGGCACCCTTGACCAAGGCTTCAACGATGGGAAGGTTCCATCGGGTATGTACAATAAGGACGCGAAGGTTTGATCCGTTCAGTTCCTTGTCAGAAGGGGTGACGCCCTTTTCGAAATGCTCCATATTGTTTTGTTGCGAAAGGTAGCTCTGTCAAGAAACTTAAAAATAACGTGAAGTTCAGTCGGAAGTAAATTTGGAGATGTAATTTTGCGGAGAGCTACTCTTCACTCGAAGCCTGGCCCGATTTCAATAGAGCTTGCAGCTTCAATTTTTCACCGATAAATTGAATAAATTTCTTTATTGACGTTTTTGCATACATTAATACTGGCACTTTGATATAAATTAAGGTGTACTTCGTACAGATTTAAAAATACGGCCACTTCCTCTGAGCGTATTTGCAGTTGTGTTACGTTGTCTATTGTTAAGCATAGAATACCATTGAGTGCAGTTTGTGACCAACAACAAGGTAAATTACGCAGTGATTGAAGTTATTTAGTTATTATATTTCCAAAAACTTTAGCTGTGTATCTCTCTACAGCCATGATGGTTCATGTCTCAGTAACAGCGTCGCTGTATGAGAACATACATGGAATGTTTAAGAGGGGGCCAGTGGCTTGGATTCAAGACAAAATTTACCAACAGCACGATCGAACTCAACAGTTTAACAAAGGTCATAGCAACAATCTCGGTGTCAAACATGGAAGGCGGAGAGTTCAAGGCATCCCAACTGGGAACAAAGCAATAGTAAGGCATTTACTGGAGTACTCTTACGTTACATTCTGTTATTTACTCTGATTTCCTCCCGAAGCTGGGATTCCATGTATGTTCGCGAAAATGTCAACTTTGAAGAAATTGGCGACATTGGCGAAGTTTGGTAAGCTACTGTAGATATCGCTATTGCCACCAACTCTGTATTTATAAACTGACATGAATTGTTATTCTAGGTTTGGCGAAGACAGCGTGGAAAAGATGGTAGACTGGGTGACAGACAACATTGAACCAAATACCAAATCAATCATTGATCTAGGATGCGGCAATGGGCACCTTCTTTTGGCCTTGGCAGAAAACGGCTTCCAAAATCTTTATGGTATTGATTACTCGCCTTCCGCAGTTCAATTGGCTAAATCAGTGGCAAAGCAGAGAGATATGGAGTACATTCAGTACCAGACAGTGGACTTTCTTAATGAAGATGACTGGAGACAGTCAGCTGTCTACGATATAGTATTGGATAAGGGTACATATGATGCTATTTGCTTAGATCCTGCTCAGGAAGAAGCCAAGCAGAAAGGAGAAGAAGGACCAAAAGAGCGTTATGTTGAAAAGGTGCGACAAATGATGGGAACTGAAGGCAGTTTTCTGATCACTAGCTGCAATTGGACTCGAGAAGAATTGATTCGAGATTTCGGAAAGTGTAAGTAGTCTCTATCATGAATAATTTTTATGTTGAGATATTGACCTTTATACTCGTTAACTAGATTTTGAGTACTCCTCACATGTCAAATACCCAACATTTTCATTTGGCGGCCAGACTGGTTCCAAGATATGTACAGTAGCGTTCACCCCTAAATAATAATAATAAATCAAACAAGATATAGATTAGTACAACAGTTTTTAAATAAGTCAGTTCCAGTCATTTCTACAGCATAGAGAGGTGACAACAGTTGTTTGCTAATCACTCCCACACGCGACTAGGGCATAAAAATTTTAAGAGTCTACCGGACAATCAATGTTAGGGCCACTTCTGTGCTGAGCAAACCTGAACATATTAGTCGAACTAACGTCAATGTCCTTCATCTCACCTATTTGCCGCGCACGAATGGCCACGGCTGCCAGATCAGTGAAGTCGACGGCAAGGTTGCTCCACCAAGACTCACACAATGCATTGCGTCGTTTCACACCGCTCCAAACCCTGGCACCTTCATTCAGCATGAATGGAAGCAACATCATACCTATGACAGAGCCTTCGCAATTCTACACCAATCTCAAGGTATGCAAATTATTAACGCGATACATAAATTATTGGTGATACTGACTACAGAAATGAATCCTTTTAAACTTTCCAGGATCATATTTTGTCGGCGAAGGAGCGAATTTTTATCGCGGCGCTCTACATTGGAAGCTCGGAACAAGAGTTGGTATGTTCAGCCGATTCACGATAGAAGTGATAAAGCCAATTACCTTTTATCACAAACGTTATTGAAAGTATATTTCATTCTAGGTCGATACCATTCATACAGCACTTTCAAAATCCAATTCTCTTAAAGTACACATCTTGATTGATTGTCTGAGAGGCACTCGAGCATCGAAGCAACAATCTTCAGCGACCTTACTTTTACCTCTGGTAGAAAAGTACCCAGATCAAGTGCAGATTTCACTCTACCACACACCCGATTTGACTGGCCTCTTGAAGAAAGCACTTCCTCAGCGATTTAATGAAAGCATTGGCCTGATGCATTTGAAAGTATATGGCTTCGATGACAATGTGATGCTTAGCGGGTACGTGGCGTTTCCTCTGCTATATAGGTCACTTTTACCAATACATCGTACTCATATTACCTCTCTAGCGCGAACCTGAGCACCGACTACTTCACTAATCGACAGGATCGATATATAAAGTTTGGCGACACGAAAGACCTGTCAAATTATTACTGCGATCTCCTGGAAACGGTTGGTTCCTTTTCATACAAGCTACGACCACCAGTTAAAATGGGCGGACCAGCGGCCCCGTATAGCCTTCTTTTGGAAAATACAGCCGACCCAGTTAACAAGACGTTAGAATTTAAAAGTCAAGCTTACAAACGGATGCAGAACTTTTTGAAGAAGTACAAAAACAATGAGAACAAGGTACCAAGTAGTGACCGTGAACATGATACCGTCGTATACCCTGTCATTCAAATGGCACCATTGGGGATCCGACAAGACGAAAACACAACTCTGCGAATACTAGACATCATTCACGAACATGGCAAATCCGTAGAGAACAGTGGCTACTGGAATGTCCATCTTACTTCTGGATACTTCAACTTCACCAATCGCTATAAAGAATACATCCTTAGAACCGCCGCCAAGTTTGAATTCCTTACAGCTTCTCCCAAGGTATGTTACAGAGCCAAAGCAAACGCTAAAGGCGACTTCCTGGATCTTTTCATAACTGACATATCGGCTCTGCTGTTCAGGCCAACGGATTCTTCAATTCCAGAGGCGTTTCAAAATACCTTCCACCAGCATATACCTTAATCGAGCGCCAGTTTCACAGAGAAGTGAAGCGTCGCAAGAGAGAGTCATCCATCACAATCAAAGAATTTGAAAGACCAGATTGGACATACCATGCAAAAGGTATGTTGAGTGCGATATGTAAAGCATGATTTGCATATATGTGTCATATAAATACGATGTGATAAAATTACAGGACTTTGGCTCTATTTACAAGGGGAAAAATATCCAGCTATGACCATGATTGGTTCACCCAACTTTGGCTATAGATCGAATGAGCGCGATCTGGAAGCGCAGGCTGTTGTCATCACGGAAAATGCTGGTTTACGCAAGGCCATTCATCAGGAACTGGAACTTTTAAGAAAATATTGTGAACCGGTCACTGACGAAACTTTCCAAAGAAAGGAACGCTATGTGCCATATGGAGTGCGCATCGCTACGTCGTTTGTTCGGTCTATGCTTTAAACCTATTAGACATTTAGAGACTGTGCGAGGACTTCGACTATATAATATTTGTTTGCCATTAGATCTTTTGTAACTTCAACCTTAAAATTAAACCATGCCCCATACTTACACCATGAAACGCCGCTGCTTTTCGCCATCACCTCTAAACTTGTCGTGAGAAATCTCATTGCCTGAGAGTACTCTTCGTCGATCATATTGAGACCCTTTTCAAATGATTTCAAATATTCCTTTTCTACCGCTGCTTCATCACCGAAAGCATCGCTGCCATTGGAGGTTGTGTCGCCTTCCTCGTCTGAATCCAGTCGCGGGGGTATCGTCAATAACAAACTAGCATTATCAAAGTTGCGCGATGCTGGGTCTTGAACAAATTTCTTGAACAACCTAGAGAGCAGTATGGTCATATCCAAGACGTGTATGACAGCAGATCGGATTGACTGTGTCTGTAAGATGTATAGTATGAATCAATATAGCTTGTCACATTGGCCAGTCTATTCAGCAGATGCTACATATGATACGTATACATATTCACTTACCTTTTCATTCAACAGACATCGATCTACTATTTTTCTAACATAGTCGTCGTGTTGTAATACAATGTCGTCTACATTCACTAGCGTCGATAATTTTCGCTGGAATTGAACGGTTTCCGAGTGAAGGATCTGTTGGCAGCTTGTTAGTAAATACAGTCAGTGCAATTCTTCAGAGTCGCAAACTTACTGTAGTGAGAATATAGCTGTGGATATTGTTGACAAACCAGATAAGACGTAACCTGACAGAGTAAAATTTGGCCATGCTCTCACTGATGCCCTCTCTGGCGTTTTGAAATCTGCCTTTGAATACAGAGAGGTTTTCCATCAGTCGTTTGGCTCGTTTGATTTGAAGTACGAAGGTACTGATTTTTCGGTACTCCTGTAGGGTCGATCTTCGCAAAAAGTTATTCACCGGACTAGGGAGCTGCATTCGCCAAGTTAAACGTTTTGTCAGTAGCAAGATAAAAGAGTATATGCAAGCCCACCTCAAAATCCACTTACCTGGTAATGTATAATGATGGACTCTATAATAGTCAAAGAGTTCAATGGTAATGTCTGTGATGCGGTAGCTAGCGTGGATAGTCGCACGCCTATCCGGTTCAAATTGACTTCGATGTGTACATTTTCTGCCAAAATATGCTTGTCATCTCGACACGCTTCCAAGAACAAGGCGTTAATGGTACGGTCATCATACCAAGGCTTCCCTTCGTCCATCTGGATGAAGACAGATTCCGCAAATCGGTTCATTACATCTCCTTCAATCATCAGAAAAACGTTTGCAAGAGATTGAAGGTGTCTTCTCAAGTGAGCTTCTTTGTTCAGCGATTGCATCAACAATGTCGCCAAACGCTGGTACTGAGGCTCAACATATTCTTCCAAGGTGACGGCAAAGGAATGTCGAAACAAGTCTTGCATCTGTACATCCTTTGACACGTTTGCCGAATCCTTGGCAGCAGCACTGTATGAATTTTGCTTTAAGCGGCTAGTGGCTGTAGACGGTATATGCGATTCCAGCAATTTGTCACTCGGTGACATTTTAAGTCTTGCTGCCCTTTCCTCTTTTTTGCTCTCGTTCTTCTGTTCTGCTTTGCGCAGTTGTGTGCTGAATCCGTCAATATGAGAATCAACAGCAAATTCAGTCTCTGAAATATCCATTCTGATCATAAAGTTGACCGCTTTGCCGGCAAATATCAGCCTCGGAACGAAGGCATGCAAGCAGTCTGGGTATGGAGATGCGTTTTCCGTAATACGTATTTGGAATCCATGTCTCCAGTATCTAGATGAATTGGCATTGATTTGAGTATTTCGCTGGACGAAGAACTCGGATGCGACATCCCCTGCCAATGAGCCTTCAAATATCCAATCGTCCATCAGGATACCGTATGGTACTATGGTAGAAAGAAACACTACTTTGAGCTTGTTGAAGGAGGGGTGATTTGACGACTGTGCGATATCGAGATGATGAAACAGACTGTTGAGCAACGACACTGTAATGGTGATAGACTCGATCGCTGGAAGTTCGTCTTGCTGGTTTGGATGATAGTAAAGTGCGTCGCCTAAGCCAGGTATTCCGCTCTGTATGGCGTTGAGGCTGTGGTAAAATTCCAAGTCGTCTTCCATTGTCTGATACAGCTTTAGAAGCGATGGTCCTTCCTCACTCGTATCTCGATTGGAATACTCTATCTGCAGGTCGGATAATTTATGTTGCAGATCGGTCAGTAGACGATCTAAATGTGAAGCGAACGCTTGACAGGTTTGACCGAAACGAGTAGGAGGCGAAAGGCAGACACTTTTGTAAATGTGTTAGGGTATGTGGTTTTGATTTCCGCAACCTGATCATAGCACTTACGTTGTGTTAAGGTAACGGAGTCTGTTGATGGAATTGCCGTATTCACAGAATCTTGTTAACAGGTTATTGAGAGTTAGTATACTCATGTGCGGAATAGCAACTTCAGTTTTGACCTATCAATTCCAAATAAGAGTGAGAAAATACATTTGATAAAAGGGTAATAAAGCGAAACTATTACCTTAAACGTCAAGCTATCTTTTGTCTGCAAGGTTGGCGCATCGTCTTCCTCAAGACTTGCGCTATGTGGTTCAACCATTTGAAACAAAACTCCAGGATAGCCTTGTATCATAAACAAGACCTCTCGTATGGCATCCCGCTCATCAATGTACCCTTCCGGATCAGCTGTAACTGACCGTATGTCATCACTTCGAAGTCGCAGCTCATTAAGTGATGGTGCTATAAATATACTGTCAGCATTATACACTACCTTGAACCTCATCGGATCTCCATACTTACCAAGGGTGCACGGGTCTGAAAAAGCTTGCATTCCAACTCCTTCAACAACTAACATTTTCATAAAATCATAAGTATAAATGGTGAGGGATACAACTTTAAAAGAAAACATGTATTCTTACTTTTTGCGGCCCTCTTTGATTCCTCGAGTTTCTTCGGCATCCAATATTGTTGAGATTGGAGAATAGAAACCGTTTCAACATCAGTCGGCTTATCGTATTCGATGTGACTCAAGTAGTATTTATTGGCTCTTCGCTGATCTTCAATCCTTGTGTTCGATGGGCTACGATCTCGTCTTTTCTGTGGTATATCGGATCAGTAATTACTCAAATTGAAAAAGATAAAACACAACAACGCAGTACAAACCTTCTGTACATCAGATACGTCCAAATGCTCTACTTCAGCTTGTTCATCCATCTCGTCGTCGTCATCGTCATTGTCTTCTTCGTCTGTCGATAGACTTTCCCACTGCTCCCAATGCTGACCACTTAAAGGCTCCTCTGCAACGATCCTATCCCAAGTCATTTCTGATTCGCTCTCTTTTTCTTCATTACTGCGTGGTTGAAACTCGGAGCTGACAGGATCTCCAGCGGCGTTGATCAACAACGACAAAATGTCAAACATCGAATGCGTCTGCGTATAGATAATATTTCAAGGTTAATTGAGGTTGAGGTGTATTTTGTGAAGCTTAATGTATCCATACGTTCTTTGATCCATCGTTTTCTTTCGAATTGACTAATTTATCCACGCATGCTTCAAGATAGGTTGCCTTCTCTGGTTGATTTTTGATGTACAACTTTTCGATTAACCTGTTGATATGAAGAATATCAATACCGCAAACCATTTATAATACATTTTCTTTTATATGCTCACCCAGAATATCTCTCTGCAGTATGTATGTTGTCTGTGCCGGGAAACCGATAGTTTTGCAATTGGCGTTCAATGGCTTTTCCGGATCGAACGGAGCTCGGTCGATCACGGTCCTATGCCAACAGTTAGAGACGAATGCGGAAACATTAGTAAAACCTTGCTATTCATTTCGCTTACTTTGACAACCTCTCGAGCAAGTTGTTCGAGTAGACTGGACAATGTCATGCCTCAAGCTACGGAGAGTACAACGACGCGTGGAGAAATGAAACAGCGCGGGAGTCGCCAGCCAAAATAATTTTTTGGCACGCGAAGAGCAATAGCCTTGTGAAGTCACAGTAAACCTGCAGTTTTATTTTGTCAAGTTCATTGCAGGTCATGTTTCGCTATACGTTTCAGTATGCGACGAAAACAAGAATAGTTAGAGGCTTATGCTTCAGACGTGGACTACACAATCCTGCCAGTGGCTGGAATGCTGTCATTGGACTCGAAATTCATGCTCAAATCGATTCGCAAACGAAGTTATTCTCTGGTATGAAAAATCGTATTCTACTATATCCTTTCAATTTATAGTTACTGGACTCAGTCCATCCCCTTTCATAGATTCTCTTACGTCGTTCAATGCGCCAGTGAACTCGAATATCTCCGTCGTTGATGCTGCCTTTCCTGGTGTTCAACCCGTAAGTCGAACTCATACGGCTGAGGCTTAAAATTTTATGGCATGAGACCGAGTCTACTGGGGTCTTACCATTGATTGCTATGTTTTTCTTTGACATACGTCTAGACCCTCAATGAAAAATGCGTGGAACTTGCTGTCAGAACGGCAATAGCGTTAGGCAGTACAATCAACAAACGGTCGACCTTTGACAGAAAGCATTACTTTTACCCTGATTTACCGCAAGGCTATCAAATCACTCAACATCACAGTATGTATCATAAGAAGAAAGTGACCTATGATCTGCAGGTTTCCTTAGAAGAAAATAGCAAGACTGAAACAGATAAAAGGGAATATCACGCAATCTATACTGATATGATTTTCATTTGTTGAATGTAGAACCGGTTTCTCAGGGCGGAGAGCTCGTATTAGCCACGCACGACGGTGTACCTGAGCCAATGCAAGTTCGAATTGAGCAGATACAACTGGAACAGGATACCGGCAAGAGCATACACGACATGCGTCCGGATATGACACTTCTTGACTTGAACAGAGCCGGGTCTGGGTTGATGGAAATTGTCACTAAGCCAGACATGAGGCATGTACCTATGGTAACAACGATTCCACAAGCGCCATATGGGCGACGCTAATTCTTTATTTAGATCTGCTCTGCAAGCCGGCCAATTTGTCAAGAAATTACAAGCTTTGCTTAGATGTGTTGGGTCATCCAACGCTAACATGGAAGAGGTAAAAGCCAGCACCCACAGCCTCCGTAGACTTGTTCGTGACCATCAACTTAAAGCATATCTTTCCTTCAAGGGATCACTTCGGTGCGACGTGAACGTTTCTGTACATAAAGAGGGTGACTCATGGGGTACACGCTGCGAACTGAAGAACCTTAATAGCGTACGATTTTTGTCAGCAGCCATAGGTACGTCGCTTACTGGTGGTGGCGCCATCGGTCTGATATTTTTATCTAATTGTTACTTGCATGACTTGGCAGAGGCTGAAGTTCAACGGCAGATAAAAGTACTGGAGAATGGTGGTATCATCGAACAAGAAACGCGTGGCTATGATGTTGAACAAGGCAAAACGTTTCGTTTACGCGGTAAAGAGACTGCGCGTGACTATCGTTACATGCCAGAAACCGACTTGCCGTCACTCATTTTGACACAAGTAAGTTGTTGTTGTTTGTTATTCGTACCACAGGACTTGGCTCTAAATTGGATTTGATTGATTGCATTTAGGAGTACATCGACGCCTTGCGTAACAGTATGCCAGAACTCCCCGATGCCAAACGGGAGCGATTAATGCAGCAATATAACTTATCAGATCATGACGCAGCGGTTCTGTTATCTGAATCGAACGCTGCTGAATATTTCGAAACGGTAAAGGACGCATCTTTTAGCTTGAAATGCTATAGCGTGACCTCATGACACTAAATACGGGAAATTGGGGAATAATTAGGTTTGTCAAGGAAGACCTCCCAAGCTTGTTGTAAATTGGTATGGAGGACCCACTGTGTTCTATCAATTGTGAAGGACCTGCATAATAACCCTTCTCCATTTTTCGTTCAATGCCATAGGACAACACATGAATTATTTGGACAATTGGCTAGTAAAAACATTCCTTTCACTGTCAATCCTGTATCTACAGACCAACTCGGATCTGTACTAGACCTTATCCAATCAGGCTCAATAACAGGTAAGTCGAATGTTTGACAAGATATTGGGGGACATTATGCTACGGATTTATCACATGACTGAGTGGCTTTCTTCGACGTGATACATAGGCATGACGGCCAAAAACGTGCTCAAAATCATGATAGACGAGGCCGGAAGTCGGCTAGCATCCGACATAGTGGAAGAGAGAGGTTGGAAAAAAGTTGGTGATGAATTGACTTTAAGGGAAATGTGCCAACATTTGATGGATAAGAATCCCGACAAGGTAAGAACTACCTCATACGATGGTTTGCTTTTCGCCTGACGGGATGACTCACTAAGTTACCCTATCTTACAGGTTGCAAGTATCAGAAGCGGTAACACCAAGTTGGCAACGTGGCTTATAGGTCAGATAATGCGAGATACACGAGGGCTAGCTGATCCAGTGACGCTGAACAAGGTGCTGGAAGAAGCTCTTGGCGTGAAATTAGATGATTTAAATAATGTTAGCCACAGTAAAGGCAAGAAATCCAAGAAGAAAGGACAATAAAAAGCATGCAGCCTGACGATATGCTTCAGCAGCAAAGAGGGAACAGAAAAAAAAAAAAAAAAAAGCAGAGCAGCGTAATTTGTGCCAATGTAACACCAAGCCTTTAAGCAACGTGGCGGTTGTAAAAGCTTACGGACCGCTGACGATGTTCCATATTGGGCAAACTAATGTGGAGTGAATCCCAGTCTGCGCTTGATAGAACATGTTCGGCGGGGAGAGAAGAAGCATAGGGCCACGCCGACAGATGCCAGGTTAGGGATTTCTGACAGCTTGCATTAGCAAAGAAGTCTGTAAAAAATTAGGAGATATGTCAAGCCAATCATGTCATGCATCAAAACATCGGAAATCCATTGGTGTACTTATTTACTGTCACATCGTCGTACACCTTTGCCATCACAGAAATGTTACTAATACTTGCCTCTTTCGTTGCAATGCATGCAGCTTATTGGCGTCGCGGGATAATATTACTTTTTATCCTTTCATGAACACCTCAGCTTTTCTAGTTTGGATATCTGACAGTCCCAATTGTAGCAGTCAACTTTTAAGCGGATTTGCTTGCTTGCTTAGAGAATTTCTTTGAAATTTCCCTACTGGTAACCATCCCGGTAAAACAATATTGGGTGGCTGACGGGCCGAATTTAAAAGACAGATAAAACTTTTTTTTTTATATATCCAATGCAATACGCTCTATTGAAGGAAAACAATCTAGGTCTTTACTTGTATTATATCCCTAGTCATGCAAAATTGAAACCAAGAGAAGTAATATATTCTATAATTTTGGGTGGTATAAAGGAAAAAAACCATTAAAGGAGTTGGGGCGGGCTCTATCGGCGACCGGCGGATGGATGAAGGGACTGGTTTGGGGGGTATACGAATGCTACGCAAGTGGATGCTTCCCAAGGACATCTTTATGTGCGAGGAGAGACGGGACAATTCTATACATACACGGTAAGGATTAGACAACAATTTCATTCCAGGTGGCAACGATCGGGCAAGACGACAACAACTTACTCTAGTTTGATGATTACGAGAACCGCAAATTAGGCATGTTTTGCTGACACCGTTAGCAACAGGAGATGCAGTAGTAGACTTGGTGTTTACTGGAGATGGAGACATTCCTAACGCTGACGGATCCTGCCGAGAAAGAGAAGTGGTGTAGAGTGAACAAGGAAAAAGGAAAGTCAGGTTGGAGTTTTTATAGGTGCCAATGCAATGTGTTACAAAGAATTGCAATCCAGTGTGACATATTATCGAAAGCAAAAGTGACCCTGCCTCAAGCGTTTCCGCTTTAACTTGACGTTTGACAGAGATAACGAATGTCGTATTATCCATTCTTTCTCAAAGTTTCCTTTTTCCTTTTTGTCAAGCTGAGAATCATTGTCTAGCTGCTCATGTATTTTCCATGTGGAAGACACACACTGACGTATTAAGCCACTGCCTGGTGGTGTTGTCAGAATCATTACGCATGTCATTCCAAGTTTTGACAGCGACTCCGATTACTTGTAGAACAGAGCATGATTAATATGAATTTTTTTGGGGGGGTGGGGTTCTTTTATTCAATATCGTCTACTTGCTGTACGAGAGATACATGACATTTAATTACTATTTTTTTTTTCCTTCATTTCTTAGTTGGTATGCCACTCCTAGCTTCTATGAGATTTTACAGGTGGCGCTCAGAGTGCTGATCAAAGGGGGAAATGGTTTTGCAGATGAATGAAAGAGCAAAAATGAAAAGAAAGGCAAACGCCTCAAAGAATTTGTAGTGTTTCTTCATTAACCAACGTGGATCCATTAACCAAAGTGGAAAGTGTAGCCGCCACTGGTGCTGTAGCCTGGTGGTCCTCGTCTTTGTTGCTGCTGATAGCCGCCGCCGCCAGGGAAGCCACCACCGCCGAAGCCTCCACCTCCACCACCGCCGAACATTTGAGCGAACACATCGTTGATATCTACATTGGCTCCATCGAATCCACCACCACCCATACCACCATCGAGGTCAACACCAGAATCAAATCGTTGCTTCTTTTGAGGGTCAGATAGAATGGCATAGGCTTCACCGATTTCCTTGAAGCGAGCCTCAGCCTTTTCATCGCCGGCATTCTTATCAGGGTGGTACTGCAAAGCCAATTTGCGGTATGCTTTCTTGATTTCTGAGTCAGATGCATCCTTGCCAAGTCCCAGTATCTTGTAATAATCTTTTCTTTGTGACTTCTTGAGTTCTAATTCCGCCTTTCGTAATAAATTGTGGTATTCTATGTGCAGGGCCCAGTGTCAATTTTTTTTGGTTTCCAATCCATCATCCACGTGGAGGGTAAATAAACATCGATGTACTCACCTCTATTTCCGGGTTCTGCATCAGATAATTGTTTATAATCTCGTACGGCATCTTCGTACTCTTCAAGCTCCATATAGCATGCTGCTCGACGACTGTATACTTTTGTAAACGTGGAATCCAGTTCCAAAGCCTTGTTACAGTCTGCCAGTGCATCTTGATATTTTTTTTGCTGAGAATTGGACAGTATGAGTCAATCCAGAAACAGAAATCAAATTGGGCATTGGTAAACGCTTCTATTTACCTTTTGTAATACAGCAGCGCGGTTAGAATATAATTTGGCATTTGTTCCTTCGTTTTCCGGATCGATCTCCAATGCCGAGGAATACAAGTCATAGGCTTCCTGAAGTCTGCCTGCTTTAAATGCAGTGTTACCGGCTTCCTTTTGTGCCTCCATGGCCTTCGCTTTCTTCAGCAAAACACGAGCTTTGGCATAATCAGGATCGCAGCGCAAAGATTCCTGGCAATGTGCTACAGACTTAGCATTATCGCCTTGCATGTAAAGTACCTTGGCACGCAAGAAGAGTGCATCGGGGTTCTGCGAATCCATTCGAACCAATTCACTATGGAAAGTGGATATCAATGATTTTGCCCAAATTACTAAACCTGACATTCTTTTTAACACTTACTTTGCTAATCTATTGGCTTCTGAGTAGTTCTTTTGGCCAAGGTTGCATTCAGCCCTCCACAATCTCCAGGTGAAGGGCACAGCGTCACTGTCGACAAAGGAAAGGGCTCTATCCAATGAATTGACAGCCAAACCCCACTGCTTGTTTTTCATGAACATCTCGGCTTGGCCGACATAATTACCAAGCTGCTGAAGATTGTATACGTCTCTCTTAGCTTGAGCATTGCCAGCATCTTTTGACAGCGCAATTTGATATTGTCGGCTGGCTTCATCCAAGTTACCAAGATTCATGTGACATTTGCCAGCTCGAAGGTAGGCCTTCACATTGTCTGGGTCGAGGTTAGTGGCCATTCTGCAATCATCAGCAGCCTCCTTATACTTCTTGATCATGGTCAATGCAGCAGCTCGGTTGGAATAATACGTTGCTGTGCTTGGGGATGCAGCTACATGAGACGCATAACAAAAGCGTTTTAACATCAAGGTCTCAGGTACCAGGTACGTTGCAGCAATGCTTGCTTACCAATAGCTTGGGTATACAGCCTAATAGCATCGGCGTAGTGACCTGCTTTGTATTCCTGGTTGGCTTGATTCTTTATCTCTTCTGCCGATCTATAACGGATTAGAATAGATTAGCAAGGGAGCTTGAAGCAATTTAAGTATGCCTGCCCTGCCAGCCGAATCACTGAAAGATCTCTGACTACTTGATCGCCGATCACTGACAAGATTGACTGGCGAATCACAGGATGCTAGCAAATCGCAATGCATCTAATAATGGAGATCGGCATGAGGATAATGCACTTTTTTGGGCCATTTTACTTACACATTGTTAGTGTCTATGTCCATTGGTTCAGAGCTCATTTTGAGTTAGGGACTGCTGTAGTTGTTAGGACTATCGGTGAGGTTATTATGTAAAGAAGCTTTAAGTGGCGGGTATGGCCCAACTTGCAAGAAAAAAGGGGAAAGACCGTAAGGATATTATTCACTGATGGCTCTAAAAAAAAATTGTGTATGAAATTGAAGATCCACTCGTCTCGGTGCAAAGAAAGTGCTGGAAGCTTTGAATTTTTAGAAGTCCGCATAGTCATTTTTGCCCTGCGTACTGTGTGTCTTAAGATCTCGATACTGGAGGTCCTCATACAACCCGATAGTGTATAGCAGAAATTTTGGGAGATAAATAGTAGAAAAGGATCTGAATTTATAGCATTTTTGGGCTCAATATTTGTATACTTTCTTTGATTGTAGCATGGATATATATATTGTCGTTTTCTACTTTTCGATGCTTGGTCGATTTCAGTGTTAGTTAGGACACCTGGCCGATTTTGCCTGGGAGAGGGAATAGGAATGTATGATAATTTACTATTGCAGCACTCTATTAGCTCTCATGATGTTCACATCAGTGTGAAGTCAATGTTTTGTTCCATATGGATAATGAGAATTTTCTGGTTTGGTATGGCAATCTACTATGCCAAAAAAGTACGACTGCCAGTAAACATGTCTACACTGGCTCTAAGCTTCGAAGAAATGAAAGCGGATGGACATATACGTCAGTGTACCTCATCTGACTTAGGGTCCGTAAAGATGAATATAGTACATAATAACCCTGCTGGTTAATGCGAAAAAATGCATGATAAAATAAGAATTTAGAAACTTCTGAGAGCGTAGTCGGAAAGGCTACCAACATAAGTAGTAAGGGTAGCCAGCCAGATAAAGCAAAGGCTCTCTGATTTATTAAGGGAAATTACGACATCTCGTAGTTGAAAAGCTGCATCGAAGCAGACAGCGTGGAAGTTGATGTTCAATCAATCGCCGTCTAATGTGAATTAGCCCTCTCGTATAGAGAAGATTTTCCCATAAAATTACAGTTACAGTAAAGCGAAATTAACGTTTGATTAACTCCGCGACTAAGTATCCACCAGAATACATGAAAATCTTCTTGGCGCTATGAATTTATAAGAGAGAAAAGAAAGAACGAAGAGACAGGCACAATATGGTTAACGCAGCCGTAGACCTGTGTGATTGACGAATTTTGTGGCGTGATAAAGTAACCCCCATTGTCAGTCAAAAACCGGTACGCACTTCTTTTCGTGGCACCTGACTTGATGCGAGTCAATTGTCTGAGAATATAAGTTCGTTCCTGTGGGGAACGCTAGTGTATGAATGTGCAATGGTCCTTTGTTGAGAATGAATTTTCCGCATATCCTGGGTACATGTATTCGCACGCCTTCTGCCGCCAGGAACTCAAATAAACATTCAGATGAAATGTGTCCTGAGGAAGCAACTGCATCCACTACTCGTGGCACGTATCGTCATCATCGAAAATGGTAAAGTCGCTTAGAAGCCCCAGAACGCAAGATCAAGGTTTTTTTCTATGAATCAAGAGAATCACGTATTGATCATTTTATCCCGGTTGGGGAAAGGACATTATTTCTGAATGTAAAATAATAAAAAAACACCCCGGTTATGTACCTTATAGCTGAATAAGTATAAATATAAGATAAACTGATTGATCTGCCTTAAGTCGCTTTTTCTTCTATTCTCATCCAATATGAGCGAGGTGGAAAAAGGATCTGTTAAAAACATTGAAGACACCAATCGCACTTCAGAGGCACGGTCTTCACATTCGTCCATATCCTCTGATGTTGAGAGGCAGTCAACGGATCAGCCTCACACTCTCAAGCGAAGCTTGAAATCTCGCCATTTGGCCATGATTTCATTAGGTGGTGTCATCGGCCAAGGTCTTTTCTTAAGTGCTGGAGGCAACCTAGCGGCTGCTGGACCAGCTGGTGCATTAATTGCCTACGCCATCATCGGGTTCATCGTATTTTGGGTTACTTTCGCATTGGGTACGTTCTGTATCTGTTTTGTTACCTGTCATCTTGATATCACGCTGAACTTGTGCAATTACCTTGTAGGTGAAATGGCGACGATGTATCCGGTATGCTATTCAATGCATGAACAGCTCTTGGCTGTACAGTATCTCCTTACTCAGCAAACTAAACTATAAGCGCTGTCTTTTTAGGTTTCCGGATCTTTCACAATTTTCTGTCAGCGATTTGTAGACACTTCCTTTGGAGGAACTATTGGATATAACTACTGGGCATGTTGGAGTGTGATAGTAAGCGCCGAGTTGACTGCTATTCCCATTGTTATGCAGTATTGGACGGACAAGGTTCCATCGTAAGTACTTTAAGGACTGTAATAAAAGGTGGGTGATAGGAAAGTCTTGATCCTGAACTAACTGTTACCCTATGTTTTTTTTAAATGATGAAAAAAGATGGGCATGTAAGTAACAGATAAACAATATGTTTTTTAACTGGTGTGCTTGACTCTAATCTTTTACTTCTGCGTTAGGGTCTGGAATTTGGCTAATTGTCATCTTTTGCCTCAACCTATACGGCGCAAGGTCATACGCTGAAGCAGAATATTGGTTTGCAGTGGTGAGTTAGCAACTTTCTTTCGGTCCATGCACCAGATGTACATACTAAATGATTCGGCAAACCACACCCAGATTAAAATTATTGCTGTTTTGATTTTTATCATTGTTGGTTGCTTCACTTCAGGTGGTGTGATTGGTGGCACCGTTTACGGATTTAAATATTGGGTAGATCCCGGTGCATTCTCCCATGGCGTTCTAGGTGTCCTAAATGCATTTGTGTTGGCTTCCTTCAGTATGCAAGGCACAGAAATTGTTGGTATCACTGCTGGTGAATCTGAACACCCAACAAAAGATATACCTCGTGCAATTAGAAATGTATTCTGGCGATTGCTCATTTTTTATCTTGGTTCAGGTAAGCATATAATTATGTGGAAAGTATCTATCAACGTAAAAGCGAGACAATTTGCTGATGTGCATTGTATATTCCCAGTTTTTGTTATGGGCATGGTTCTTCCCTGGAATATGCCTGACCTGTTGTCAAAGAGCTCTAACGTTACAGTGTCTCCTTTCACCTTGGTCTTCACTGCTGCTGGCCTTGGCGGAGTATCGCACGTCATGAATGCAGTCATCCTTATTACCGTCATGAGCTGCGGTAACAGCGGTATGTACGTTGCAACAAGAACCTTGTGTGCCTTATCCAAGGAAGGCTATGCACATCGAAAACTTGGACAAGTTAATAAGCGAGGTGTCCCTATATACGCATTAATATGCACTACTTTGGTCAGTCTTGTCACATTTGCAACTTCTTTCATTCCTGGAAAAGCACTTTTTTTGGTCTTGACTGATCTGAGCGGTGTAGCTGGTAAATGCGTTTTTTAATTTTTGTCAATGAGTCAATACTTTCGTATAACATACTAAACAAAACATTGAAATTTTCGTCAAGGATTTGTCACTTGGTTTGGAATCGCATTCTCGAGATGGAGGTTTAGACGAGCATGGAAGCTACAAGGAAAAGACACTTCCGAACTATTATATCATGCGCCTGGGCATCCTTGGGGAGATTTGTTTGCAATGATTGCTTGCCCCGTTGTCGCTCTGATTGCCGGTTATTCTTACTTTAGTCCTGCAGATCCCGTTGGTCTCATTGGTAATTATGCTGGCCTTGTATGTGTAGCCATTGGCTATTGTATTACCAAATTATGGACCAAAAGTAAGATGATCCCGCTTCGCGAGATAGACCTTGACGCTGGCCGCGACTTGGACATGGAACAGCGTTGGAGGGAAGAATTAGACGAAAAGGAAAAGGACGATACTCGTGGAATTAAGAAGTATTATAGGCAAGCCATTGCCATCTTTACATAATCGAATTTATATATAATTGGTACCTTTCATTAAATATCACTTTTTTTACAACGAATAAACTGTAGGGACGTTTTGTTCGATCCACTTGCAACGCGAAAGATGGTATATCACTCTCCTTTACATTTCATAATTGTGTATGATCTCTTTTATAGTATGGTGGGTGACCTAGAACTAGAACTAGGTACAAGTCGGCAGCCAGGCTGACATTCTAGCAGAGGGCTGAAATCTCACTGCGAAAATTTCCCACAATGGAAACACATGCATCACTCACAAACGGGTTATAAAATAAGACTTCAGGCGTTGTACTTCTCTACTATAAACAATGCAACGACACAATCTTTTCATAATAACCGGTGGAAATCGCGGTTACGGGCTTGCCATCGCAAATGCACTAAAGGCTAATGTGGAGTCACGGCATTTGACCACCCTTATCCTGGTTGGACGCGATTCAACGTCTCTGGAACAAGCCGCTAGGTCCCTTACAGAACCGCAGCTAAAGTGCTTTTGTATCGGTAACGCAGAGCTCGACAACCTAGATACCGTTGATAACGTTGTTCTCAGTGGCATTCGAAAATTAGTCGAGGTTTGTATAAGATATAGTCTTTTATTGCACTCATCAGAGACTAATATTGCCTGCCTCCTTCCAGCAAATTCAGACCTCATCCCCCATTACCAATGCGTATCTTATCAACAATGCTGGTACCACTGGGGATCTCTCCAAGAAGGCTTCAGCTTACAATTCGGCCGAGATTAAGCAGTACTACGATGTCAATATCGTTTCTTATGTGTCGCTGGTATCTGGGTTCATCAAACTATTCCGTCAACCTCCTTCTTCCGATGAGAGCGCTTTTCCACCTGATCTTACGATTGTCAATATTTCGTCACTTTTGGCAGTTCAAGCATTCCCTAATTGGGGACTTTACGCTAGTGGCAAGGCTGCCAGAGACATGTTCCTTAAAGTCGTTGCTACAGAGGAGAAAGACAATCACATCAAAACATTGTCTTATGCCCCCGGACCTCTTGATAATGAGATGCAAACTCAAGTCCGTGCAACACTAGGAGACGCAGAACAAAAGAAAATTTATGATTCCATGGCTGATGAGGTACAGAATTATTTATCATTTGATTTTTAACAGAACATTGGTACTAAAACATCAATTCGCAACAGGGAAAACTCGTGAAGATGGAGGACTCTGCCAAGAAGCTCCTCAAGCTTGTATTCTCCAACGAGTTTGAGAGTGGAGTTCACATAGACTTTTATGATATTTGAAAAATAAAAAACCTAAAAATCTTACCACCAGCATTTCGCTTAATTAAAAGTCACACTTTCCTTGTCAAGCACTTGTTGTGAAAAGGCCATGGCAGACACAACAACGACCACAGGGCCAACCCTAACAACCAGCAACACAACTCAACATGGGACATCCACAGAAGGCATAGCGGCTGGATCTGTGATGACCCGTGCTGGTATCGAAGCTCGCCCGCGATTAGCTTTAATGACCATCATAGGTGGATTTTGGGGATTCACCATTGGATCGTATCTCGGTGGTAAGCAAACAGCATACCAGTATTTGGCGGAAAATGCCCACAAGTTGCCTACCACTGTACGAGGTTGGTACTTTTACCACAAAACCAAGAACTACAAGGTGATGTTGGGCGGCATCAAGCGCGGCGTTCGAATGGGTATCCCCACGGCCGCCATTTGTCTTGCCTATGGCGGTATGGAAGCTGCCTTGGACGACACTAGAAAGGAAGCCGATATATTCAATTCCATTACAGCCGGTATGGGAACAGGCGTTCTGTTCTCTGCTATGAGTAAGTTCTTCGTCTGATTTTGTTTCGTAAAGAAGTTTTGCGGATACTCCAAATTACTTACATAGGCAACAGCCAAATTGTCTAGAAACAGCTTAAAACGAACGATACTGGTAGGATTGTACTGCGGTATTGTAACTGGTGGATTGAATGATCTACACCGCGTCGTATCAGGCGATAACCCATCGTATGTCAACTGGCTAAAGGGAGCGACGAGTGGAAGCCGAAGCTCACCTTCCACTGCATAACTTCTGCCCACTATACTCCTGTATTCATACTTTCACCTACATCACACCACATAGAATAATTGAAAATAAATACAAAAAATACTTTCATTTTGTTTTTGCAAACTTTATTATTGCATGCTATCCATGATGGTGGTGCTGTTTGGTTTGATGATGTTGTTATTTACTATCTGCAGGGTTTCGTTAATTTACAATGCCAAGGTTGGTGTTGAAGTAACATGAGTGGGGAGGGGAGATTTCTACATGCCCAATCGCTAATTAGTTTGTAATAGTTTTACCAAAGCTGTTTTCGACTTTTTCCTTGAGCTGGTCGGCATTCATGCCGCTGTTTTCAACTCGCAGCAGAGGATCGTCCGGGACATTAGACCACAATCCTTCAAGGTCATATTGTTCGCGAGCCTGAGGGGTAAATAGATGAATGATAAATGGCCCAGCATCAACAAGGAGCCAGTCAGAGCCTTCATTCTTTCCTTCAACGCTTGGTTTGGGCAGTGCGTTCATGGTTGGGTCTGCCTTCTGGGCCTTACCCAACTATACAAATGACCAAAACACGTTAATGAATGAACGAGTTATCGGGTGACTCATACATCAATATCAAAAAAACGTACCACACTGACGACCTCATCGGCAATGCTGCTGAGGAATCGTTCCCCGCGAGAGCTTTCGGCTACAATCATAAAGTCTGTCCAGTCGCACTTTGAGCGCATGTCAATGACGCCAATGTTTTCGGCCTTGCTTTCCTCCAACAACGCAAGTACTGACGGGAGATTGACTTTCTTTCCTTTGATCATCTCCTCTGCAGCTGAAGAAAGGCTTGAATCACCTGCAGCTCGACGCTGCCAGAGAGGTACAAAATCACTCTGTTGGTATTCTGGATGATCTTGCTCGTAAACCTTGTCCACAAACCAATCTGGATCAACTTCCTCGTCATTGACTTCCATGTTTTTTAAATCAGCTTCAATGGCTGCCAAAGCTTCGGGGTCTAGTGTTTCCTCGTCGACCTCTTGCTTTATGGGTGAGGCGGCAGTTTCTTTCACGTCACTAGTCAACCAGCGTCGTGTTACAGAAGGAAGCATCATACTGGGAGCCGGTCTGAGTGATAATAAAGAAGGCTTGGCCATTTGTATGGGGTGAACATTCCTTGCGGAATGCAAAGCCTGCAATGCAGATCGTCGCAATAAAAACATGGTGGGCGGCATTGTAGATCGTGGAATATTTTTTCGAACTGACAGCCAAAAGAAAATTGCAAGTCAAATGACGGACCCAAAATCGAAGCAGTCTCAGCTTTAAACTGTGAAAACTGGTATGCATGGACCATTTACAACCATTAGTCCCTTTGGTGCGTTTGACTCCAATAGCCTGGAGTTCTCTACTCTATGAATGCGCTACTGCTACTGCAGATCAGGTAAACAAATGGCAACATTTAAAGCACTTTACCTGCCATCAATGTCATTAAACCTTCATCGATCCCGACACAGGAGGGCTTTCTGATAGGGTCTCGCGTCAAGCGGACTACTAGCACTGTCAACGATAGCTCGGACGAAACTGTAGAGCATTGTGAGGATTTTACCAGTGAGTAGAACTACAAAATAAGCTTGAGTAAGATCTAAAAACACCAGGCTAAATCGTGCTACTCGTAGTTGTAAGAGGGTATCAACTGTTATCTCGAGCCCATGATCGACCCTATAATGCGTTGGGCCAGTTCGATGAGGACCTGTTATTTCCACAAATCGAAAACTTGGATCGTAGTCATATAGTGGGTTACTTTCGATTTCGGAGGCAGACATTGCAGATCCCATCACAGCGCGAAAGAGCTATGATGTTGAGCTTAGTGAAATTGCTGCCAGCCTGTACACTGTTTACACTATTTACCTCGTCTCTCGTGAGCGAGAGCGGCGAAACGCACTGCTACTCTTGCTCAATGTGGCAAGTCACTGACATGGATCCTCATTGCAATATGACCAAAGTTTCAACTGAAATCGTGAATATGATGGAAAATACCCTGCGGTACAAAGAATTTATATCTAACAGCGGGTCAACTGTCGAACCAAGGTACAGTTTTGTTCATAATTGAAGGGCTGGCATATATATTCGCGCTCGCTAATATCACCTCTGCTTAGTCCTTTAGAGATGAAAATGGCGAAGACGATAGATACCAAACTAATTGTCAAGCAGTATGACGACGTGTACAAAGAGGCGGTAAATCAACTGCAGGTGTGTATATCACTTAGTGACCAGAGATGTAAACACAAGCTGACGCCTCACTGTAGGAAGCGACAAAGAAACTGTTGGAAAGTGAAAAGCGGCTGGCTAGTTTGCGAAGAGCAGTGGAGCTTGCGAACGAAGAAGATGACACAGATGACGAAGCCAGCGATCTCATGGATTCTGTCGTCTATACACCCACTTTACAATCCCCACACGTCTCTGATGGCCATCAAAGTGGCGATATGATTGATTTGTTAAGCTGATAACTTTCGCTTCGAAATTCCCCCACTTCAGGCAACATGTAATATCCATCAAATGTTAATTATAATTTTACTTTTTCTTTTTTTTTCGAAGTGGAAAGGAAGCATGGGTTGTGAGCACGGTTTGAAGACCTTGATTCTATGGCAATTGTACATATTGAAAGAGAAAAAGGAATAAAAAGAAGAAAATTGAAAACATTCCACTGTTGATTATAAACAGCATATCCACGTTTGCTAGAAAATATTCCTTTTCCCAGTGGATAGTCAGTTGAAAAAAATGGGATGCTGTTGATTTAGTCCTCATCCCAGTTGGCCTGCTGCTTGGGAGGTTTTGGTCCGCCAGCAGGCTTAGACATGATGATTTGATCTACTCGCAAAACCGTTAAGGCAGTGTCAGTAGCCAACTTCAAGGCCCAGTACTTGGCATAGAAAGCGTCGAAAATCTCATGCTTGACGGCGTCAAGAGTACCATCGTTATCATTCTATGACAATACACAGGTTAGAATTTATAGTCAAAGGAAGAGTCAGTGCATTCATTGTGGAGGAAACCATACCTCAACATCAACACCGATAGTGGCACCGGCACCACCCTCTTGGAAATGTGCAGCATACAACCGAGACAAAACCTCAGTAGCATCCATACCGGCATTCTCACAAAGGGTACGGGGAATGACCTCCAAAGCTTCAGCGTACTTTCTAATAGCATGCTGGTTCAAACCAGGAGTTTTGTCAGCAACTGCTTGAAGACGCTTATTAAGCTCCATCTCAGCAGCACCAGCACCAGCCAATAAACGATTGTCCTTGGTAATAGCCTTAATGACATTAACACCATCATCAATGGCACGTTCCAAATCGTCCAAGTGGTTTTGTGTAGCGCCTCTCAAAACGAGGGTGGAGGTACGTGACTTATCGTTATCTTCTTGTCGGAAGACGGTGACACGATCACCACCAATTTCAACAGTTTCAACAATGTCGCAGTAACCCATTTCTTCAGCCATAGGGACACCAACACGAGCCAAGGCAGTAGCGCCAATGACACGGCAGAGACGACGAAGATCGAATTTGGACAACACCTTGACGACGAGAATGTTGAATCGGTTCAAGTAGTGAAGGGCAAGTTCACCAACACCGTTACCGGTCACGACAACCTTCACACCAGCATCAGCCAACTCTTGGAAAATCTTTTCGACTTGAGATTCCTCATCCTTGGTGAAGTTCAACATTTCTTGGGCATTGTGAATAAGGACGGTGCCCTTGGTTTCAGTTTGTGAAATGTCCAAGGGGCAAGTGAAAACAGCAACCTTAGCCTTGGTAACATTCTGGACGTTGCCTATAAGAAAAATGGGGAAATGGTTGATATTGGTTTTGAAAGCACACAAGGTTGTACACAAATTAATCCCCATTACAACTGCATACCTTCGGGTTCTCTACCAAAGACCATACCGCGAACAACCTTGGACTCGTGGACGCTGGATCCCATAATCTTAACAACACGAATGTTGTCAACGTTGAAATCCTTGGGATTCTTGGGCATAATGTTCATAGCAGACTCGATGACAAATTCGGAAAGAAGATCTTCATAACCATATTGCTTTGAGGAAATGGCAGAACGAACGGCCTTCTTAATCTCGTTGGCATCGGTGAGAGAGTTGACCTTGTCGATAGAGAGTTCTAAAGTTCGATGACGAAAGTGAATAACGGGACGAAGGGAACCGCAAGGGGGTTCATGCAAATGACGAGTACGTACCTTCAAGGATAGCCAAAGCCTTATCGCGAGCGAGTTCATAACCTTGGACGACTTCAGATGGGTGCAAGCCCATGCGGAGCAAGTAAGCAGCCTTCTCAAGGAGCTCACCGGCAAAGACAAGAACCAAGTTGGTAGCATCGCCAACTTCGGATTCTTGCTGTTGAGAAGCCATAACAAGCAACTTAGCAGCAGGGTGAACAACTTCAAGTTCACGGATAATGGTGGCGGCATCATTGGTGACAAATAACTTTTCCAAGTGATTGACGATCATCTTGTTACGACCTATATAAACATCAGGGGTAAAGTGATCAGCAAATCAGAGCAATGCATGGCATCTAGCAAAGGAATTGTCTGCCATCCAAGTCGGATTGCGCCACTAGATCGGGATTCATCTGAAGTTCATCTGCTGACAGCCTGAAACGTTGCTTACCGTTAGGGCCGAGTGAAGTTCTGGTCACCTCGGAGAGCTCATGTGTAGCTTCAATGTTTCTGATAACAGCTTCCTCCACACCTTGTTGGAACTGCAAATTAGACCACAAATATTAGTCAGATCGTTCCTGGATAGTGTAATCTGGTTTGATCTGATGCTGACAGGACCGGACGGTTTTGATCCAGATGTCTATCCAGCACAGGGCAGATCGAGGCCGGTGTTTTCAAATTACCTTGTAGCCATCCTTAAAGAGTTGAGGCAAGGTATTCTTTGGTATACGTAAAGCCATCGTCTTCAAATGTCAGAATCGAGCAAAGGATGTATGTCCGAAAAATTTCAAGAACGCGTTTGACAATGGGCAGTAGAAAATGTGACGTAGCACATACGGAGTTTAGATGGCTACCTTATTACATGTCCCTACCCGCGCGAAAATATAAACTGCTTGTGCAGAGTCAAGCAGGCATAGAAATCGGCAGAGTTATCATTAACATGCTTATCTCATGGGAAAAAAGAAATTCATGTTGTGAATCAGATTACAATACACGCGATTGCCATGCTATATTTATTAAGTTAAACGTAGGAGGTGAGAGACGTTGAATGCACGTTGATCTATGTTTCGAGGGTCTGGACTTGTCACGTTAAGCATGTATTGTCACGCATTCTACGGTTTTTTTTTCTTTTCAATTGGAGTGATAAGCAAGAAAGTTGTGATCTACGGTAAAGCGCGTTTTTGTGTCGGTAGTCATAACGCCAAGTAGCCGTATGAGAGGTCCCATGCCTCACAACAGTCTCTTGCTCAATGGAATTGCATAGAACTTTTATGGTGATCCAGTTCGATGGTTCTTATTTTTATCTGTCAAGGGTAAGTACCATGGATACAGTGCTAGTTTCCTGTGGTATCGCTGAAGCAAGGCATGATTATGTGATAGAATTAAACTATTCGCCAGATTGGCTGACTTGGGCCGTGTTCCCATACAATCTGGCCATCGCCGAGCTAAAATTTTGCACCAGTAGAAACCCTCCAAAGAAGATGTACAGCGCCTACAAGCGAAAAACCATACAAAGCTTTCAACAAAACAAACAGACCTCTTTATAAAACATTGTAATACTTGCCACTGCCTGAATCATCAACCAAGTCCCATAGAAAAAAGGCAAGAGCGCGGGGCAAAGCCATGTGATCGTAAAAGCAGATTAGCTACTTTGGTGGCTCGGAGACGATCACTGAAAAAAAAAAAAAAGACAAGGGAACTCGAGTTGGCACTAAACGAGTTTCGTCCTTTTTTTCCCTTCTTTCCTTTGATTTGGTTCAAAGTTCCCTCGTTCTTTTCCTAAACCTCTTTTAAAGAAGCCTTTTGTTACAAGGTGGAACCCCCTGCTTGCATTTCATTGCCTCTCCTTTTCAATTGAAGTCTGCACACTATGGTTGCCAAGGTTGGTTTATTTACTGATAACTTGGACCAAGCGCACACGCGACATACACTAATACAATGCAGTTCGAACTCGAGCAATGGCTTCGAGCATGCGAAGCATACGATCGAGAAGATTACGACCAAGCATTGAAGCTGTTTATTGTAAGTATCGTATGGACGATCAGGGAAATGGATGGCGACTAATTACCGAGAGTAAATAGGGACTAGCAGATACTGCTAAAATGCACTTCAATATCGGGTTGGTGTTAGCAACAATAGACGACTATCCACGAGCGGTAAGTTCAAAGGAGCTTTTCTTTACCTAGTTTAGAGCGGAGCACGAGTTCCCCCGACTAAAATGTGGATCTGTGTTTAAACTGTACAATGACACTTATCCTTTATTTGTGCACAGCTAGCTGCCTATAGCAAGGCTATCGAACTCGACCAATATTTTGCTGTGGCCTACTTCCAGCGCGGAGTCTCAGCATTTATTATCGGTGACATGGACCTAGCATGCGCAGCTTTTGATGAAGCGTATACGGTATGTCTGAAAAAATAATTAGAGTAGGAGCCAAAATTAAAAAAAAAAAAAAAAAAAACATTGGCCGTCCGACCAGTACAGCAGCTGATTCTCTTCCAACCAAATGATAGGTTATGCGAGGAAACAACATCATCAACTATGGCCAATTAGGCCTTGCCTTCCACTTGTATGCCTGCGAAGTTCTCTTCAACCGAGGTATTTGCAAATTGTACAACAACCAAGTCGAAAGTGGACTCAAAGATTTAGAAATGGCCAACGCCATGAAGTTGAATAACGAACACGATATCATTGAAAAGGCATTGAAAGACGAAGGCAAAGGTTACTCGATCTTCTCCATTCCTTCCAAAGTCCTCTATCGCCCGCCCAAAAGTCGATTGGAACACATGGAAATGTTTGCCGTAGCTGCCGAGGTTCACTCGGAAAAGAGCAATGGCACGAGGCAGAACTCCGTCATTATGGATCGGCCACGCAAACAACATCGTCTGAATTTCAAGTCATTGATGACTAGACCGTCTTATAAGATGGTGGCCAAACTTCTGCCCTCTCGTTCAGCAGGCACTGAACTATCGCCGGATAAAGCCTACAAAGAGTTCATGCCGCCACCGCCACCTCCTTTCATAACCAACGATTCTCAACCCAGACCTTCATTATCGGCTCCGAACCTTTCCCAGCAGCAGCGAGAGTCCACTGTCTTTGCCGTAAGTCGCAAGAAAATCAAAGACGATGATTATAAGCAGTTGCAGCAAGAGAGTATATGGAAAACCCTTCCCACTAGTCCAGTGACTGCACCTTCCAGCCCTGATGAAGAAAAGACCTTGGCCATGATCAGCTTAGAGTTCCCCATACCTGACGCCAACAGCACTTTGACGCTGGATCCAAGGAATGCGCAATTAAGAAAAGACAGCGGTTTTCATTCAGAGGACAGTTCTGGCGGTAAGACGCCTATATCTGACACCACCATGGATGATAGTCGATCGCATAGCCACCATGATGATGAAGATGTCATGGGATATTACGAGACGAACCACCACGAAGGAGACGTATTTTCCACATATGAAGCGTTACGAGATTTACAAGACGACATCAATATGAATGTGAGATTGAAGATCAAGCTTCACTTTGATGATATGCGAATCTTAGTGGTACCTGCTACTGTTTCCTTTTCTGAGCTGGCCGAAAAGGTAAAAGACAAATTTGATGGCAAAAAAGACATCAAGTTGTTGTTCAAAGACGAAGACGATGAATTCATCACCATGCAAGACGAAACCGATATCATGCAAGCACGCATTGCCTGGAAAAAGAGACAAGAGCAAGCTGGTTCTGTTCCTGCTGAGCATTCCAATCCGGAGAAACTTGATCTATGGTGCCATGCTTGTTGAATATAGCCCTTCCGACATCCCCCTCCCTTTATGTAACTACCTATGCTACCCTTCCGTGATAATGTACCATTTAATTGCAGTCTGGCCCCATGCGCCTCTTGAGTTCCCTCCTTTATTACACACCACTGCGTCTCAACAGAATGCTATAAAAACTCCATTTTTAGAAAGAGAAATACTAAGGGCTGTCAGTTATTGCCCCACACTCGATGTGCTTGCTATGCTATTGTTTGCCCTCTTTCTTTTCTTTTTTTAAGAAAAAAAAAACCAGATTGCTTTCTTTTGATTTGTTGGATTAAGAGGACCGTGCTCCCTTCATAACCTTCTGGTTCCGAAAGGCATCGATTTCAAGTAAAACGTATTTCCTTTATGACATTGTTGCTATGAACAAACATTATACAAAAGAGAACCAGAAAAAAAGTGAAACAATTATATCTAATTATACATCCTTATAGGCTTTCTCACAGGTGTTTTTACCATTCGTCATCATCTTCTTCAGCGGTATTTTGCTGTCTACGTGCCTTTATCTAATATAACAAAAAGCATCAGTATCTACATGACAGCCAATGACTTGGCCATGTAAATCATTCAACTTACCGCGTCAGCAAGGTTGGCTGCTTGATGAGGTGGTCGGGGAGGAGATGCAATGGATCCTGGACGAGGAGGAGCTCGGGGACCGGGAGCAGGAGCAGCACCAGGGCGACTAGGAATGACAGGCTTACCAATGCTGGCGGATTTGGGTGGAATGGCTGGTTTAGGCGCGGTGGCTGGTGGAGTTCTTCGGGCAGCAGGTACAGGGTTACTGGACATGGAAGTAGGTCTAGGAGCAGGTGTGGGAGTCGAAGATCCACCACCGGCGGCAGCTTGAGCTTTTCGCGCTTCCAATTGAGCTTTCCAAGCAGGTACACCGTTGGAATTGATAGCATTGCCATTCATACCAGGGATAGGGATGGCTTGAGCATTAGCAGCAAATCCGGCATTCACGCTGTTACGAGGACTGGCGACAGGGCTAGCCGTTTGTCCTGATGCGGCAGACGGAATGGACGGAGGAGGGCGTCGAGCAGGTGGTGCAGGAGGTGGCGGAGGTGCAGTGGGCTTGGGAGCAACATACTCTTCAAGGTAATTGCTAGGGACCCAACCTTCAATGCCATCCTTACGTGCCAACCACCAACCATTCTCATCATCGTTCTTGAGTACTTCAATGATATCGTCTTTCTCAAACGCAATTTCTCCAGACTCGCCAGAGCTAAATGGATACAGACACTTGTACTGAGGGATGGCGGGTTCAGCAGGGGGTGACGGTGCTGGAGGAGGTGGAGCGGGTTTCTTGGCTGCAGGATTGCTTGCAATGGAGGTGCGTACAGGTGCAGCAGCTGGGGCGGGTCGGGCTCTATTGGCGGCGGGAGTGGATCGCTTGGCGACAGGCTTAGCACGCGGGGTACTCGCTTGTCTGGGCTTTCTTGCACATGGTGGGTACGAAACACTGTTGGCAGGTTCGCCAGTTGGAACGTTCACAACGTGACTCTTGTAAACATCGTCTCGCTTCACTCTGTCATCGCGCACAAACTTCATAGTCACTGATTTTCCGCCCTTCTTGGAATACTGGATGCTCTCGCTCACATTAGCCTGAATGCGACCGCCTGTTTGTTGCAACAAATGGGCAACCAATTCAGTCTTGAAAACACACGAGATAACAGCATCACCTTCGGGACTATCGGCATGGATGATAAGCCAATCATCACGTAAGGTAGACATGCTGACGGATTTGATGATGTTGAGGTTCAAGGTTCGCTCGGTGACCAATGCCAGCACCTTGCCATTCTTAGTAGTCATGACAATATATAGATTTTGGTTGGTCTGTTGGTAGACAACTAGTAAGATTGCTTGTTCTTAATGTGTCATATAAATGTAGATAATACTCACTAAGACGAATGTTCTTGGGCTAGGCACGCTGGATCGCATAGCTCTAGGAACCAACATTTGACCTCGACAGCTGAAAATAACATCCTCCCCACCTAAAGATAAAATAGAATTCTTAGCACCCATCATCTCGCGTACACCATGAAATCTCCATATGCCTACCTTTAAGACTGATAGCATCACGAGTCATTCTAGCAAGTCCACTGCCATGCTTGATATCCATATAATCGCCAGTGAACATGCGCATGCTAAGCAGCGACATACGTCTTCTTTCCTTGCGGCCACCCAAAATTTGGTGTCCGTAATCGCGAAGTTGGAGATAACCGATGTTGTGCTTGTTTTGACGCCAGAATCGTTGGATCTTGCGTGCACATTCATGCTTGTAGCGCACATATGCTCTCCATGCGCGTTGAATACGGATGGCCATGTTGTGCCAGTACTTGTCACGCAAGCCTTCCAGAGCAAAGATGGTTTCTGGGTGGCGAATAAATACCTTTGATGTTCCCATTTGCCATTCTTCAGCGGGGATATTGTTATGCTTCAAAATTTCACGGGCTCCACCCTTGGAATCGCCATTCCAGATGTATTCACCAGCATAGCCAGTAGTTGGGCAAATAAGATAGAAACGCTCCACAAACTTTTCAAATGTCTGCGAGTCAACCAAGCATTAGTATATAGTACGATTTTCAAACATCAAATGCAATCCTGCGAAAACATACCGTTCTGTAAGCAAAACCAGCTCTTCTGACACGAATGTTTTCGCACAAACCAAGGTATTTGACTTGATGCAAAACACGGCTAACATCATATTCGGACGAACTTTTGTTGTCATTCGGCTTAATGGTTCGAATATAACTAGGGTGACATTGCATAAGTTTGGAAACCAAAGCATTACAAGAGGTCTTGATCTTGTCGCCAGCAGTGGGAGGGCGTCTCTTGGAGTTAGGATCAACACGGTCAGGGAACAAGGTTTGGGACACGAAAGGATTGGTGGAAGAAGCAACCAAGTCCAAAAGATCCTTCAAAAGAGAATCCTTGTTCTTGTCAGTCATACCCTCAATGTTGTAGTACACATCACCAGCATAGTGACGAATAAGGAACTTGGATCCACGGGACTCAAAGTGAGGATTGGAAGCCAAGAATCCAAGTCTCTGGACAAAAGAGTTGTCGGCCGCTCCAGAATCAGCATGAGCCGTAGCACAAGCATCGTTCAAGGCAGCAAACACACCAGGAGGTCGCTTTTCTTCAATCAAATCACACACAATCTTGTTGTTGAAGAAATCAATAGGAGTCCACTTAATTTGTTCACGAACGTATTCTTCCTGTTCAGCCTTCAAAGTCAATTCGATAAAGATTTGTTGAAGTTTCTCGTTGACGTAGTTGATACAAAGTTGTTCGAAGCTGTTCTCTTCGAAAATTTCGAATCCATAGATATCCAATACACCAAGCACATGTTGCGAAGCGCTTCGATTCTTTAACGACACGTTAACACGAGCAACGATCCATTCGAATAAAGTTTCGTAGATGGCCTTGCACAACGCATCACGCACAGAATTTGCTTGAGTCACATTAAGAGGGACATCATAAACACTGCCTATAAACGTATGACTTGTTAAATGAATGGATTCTCGCATTATTGTTTGGTTTAGATTGCTTTACACACCTCTGCGACCTCCTCTTTGAGTTTCCATGACGCGAGTGGTCAAGACTTTGTTTAGAAGATCGGGGTTGACTTCGAGAAGGTATGCAACAAAGTTGGTGACTATAATAAAAGAAAAAAAAAATGGTATAAGTGTGTGTAATCGGCAAAGCGATATGCTAGCAGACACTTACCATCAGTGTCTGCAATAGCCGAATTTCCATCATCTCCTTCTGCAAATTGTACGTTTCCGAGCCAGAGGATGATAGCCAGCATTTTAAATATTTCATCTTGTTCCTCCTTAGACAATCCAACTACATTCATTGCGGTCTAGATAGCGTATATTAGAACATCTTGAATCATATAGAATCGACGGCATGATAGATCACTTACAATTGTATCGTTATAATCTTGAACATCATCGATACCATCAACATCTAAACAGCCGCTTTTGCTAGTGTACAAATAGCTTTCAGGACCCTGGAGACCAAATTGTTCTGTAACGGATGTCACCCGGTCAGAAAAGACAGAAACCAAACATCGTGAAAAGCAAAGATTCGATTTGAAAAACCAACCTTGATATGCTGGTGAGGCACCTTTTGTAAGCTGATAAAAGATGTGGAAATTTCTTTCATTTTCAATTTGTCCGACGACACGGTTCTATAATAGGGAATGAGTAAGTCATGGCTCATGCCGAAATTCCAATAAGTTTGTTGCACTCACCTTCTCTAGAAGATAATTTGTAATGACAGCACCAACAGGTTCTCCTTGACTGTTGAAATTGAGCTCAAGGTATTTTCCCTAAAGTGGCGAAAAGTGACCAAAACATAATAGGAAGAGCCACATGAGTATACCACCAGACAGTACGTCGACACCAGATGAAATACAATCTACTTACATGTCTACTAGAGTTGTTGTTTCTCAAAGTCTTTGCACATCCAAAACTTTCAAGCAAAGGATTGGTGGCCAAGACCATTTCCTTGATCTCTTTGATAGAAGAACTGCCGTCACCAGAAACTGTAGCGATGTACTGCATGATTCTCTTTGCAGCCTCCGTTTTACCTGCGCCAGATTCACCACTAACATAATATCAGACCGTTTAGTGTCACTTTCACGGCTGATGAACGACGTTCAAGCCATTCAATCTTCTTACCTAATAATGATACACTGGTTCTCCTTGTAACTTTTCATATGATGATAAGACGACTCAGCAATAGCGAAAACGTGTGGTGGCATCTATCACGGAGCAAATTAGCATTCAGTAGCTCACCCTTATCCAGATCAAAAGGTGACTTTACCTCCAACAAATTCTTTCCGGGGTAGCCTCTAAGAACGTCCTCGGTATAAATGCCAAGATCCTTGAAAGGATTGACGGAAATCAAGACGTGTCCAATATAGGTCTATGAACAAAACGATGAGTCCTCAAAACTTTGTATATGGTTCAATATAGCATCAGCGACGTAGATCATAGTGTGTCGCATTAATAACCTTCCTTCCCACTATGAACCAAAAAGTCGCTAAACTAACTGCATACCAGCGATGAAACTTACGTAGATCTCGGCATTCTTCCATCTCTTTTCCAAATTCTCGTTGATAGCTTCGTTTGTAATTTTGGATAGAAGGGTCATATCAGATACGCCAACCTGCTTCTTCTTCATCCCCTCCTTCCAATCAGCTCTAGCAGGCCTGTTGGCCTTGATGGCGGCTTTTTTGTCTTTAGTGGGTTTTGATAGCAATTTCTGGAGACATGGGGTCAATGTAAGTTTAAAAAGGAGGGAAACATATACCAGTGTTGATCAAGTTTCTACTAACCTTTGCCATGATTCCTAAGGAAGCTTTTTAGCAGAGATGTTTCCGTTCAAAGAGTAATATTGCCAGCTGGTGCGGCTGTCCAAATTTTAAGAAACGAAAATGGGAGCCAGAACTTACATCATTTTGGTTTTGCAGTGTTGTACCTTTTTTTTTTTTTTCAGTCTTTGAAGCTTACTTCCCTTCGTTACACTTCATAACGAAACAATGCCGTAATGGTCCCAACTAGGATGCTTCACCATAATATGCCCCTCAAAATATAGAGAACATTGTGTACAAGAATTGTATCTTTCAAATGGTAGAAAATAAAATACCCAGTTTCAATTGGCCATAAAGCGATCGCTGCTCACCCAGAGATTTATCCGCACGGCAAGCACGCATTACTTATCGGACCTTGTCGAAGCAACGGCAGAGAAGTTGAAGTAACGCAAAAACATTTTACCCATTCATAAGGATTCCAGCCTTTTGGCAAGTCAACTTTTTTATTTTTTGGGCTTTTGAATTTTCCTAATTTTTTTTCTCCTCTTTCTCTAAGCTTTGGCTACCACCATCATCAGCTTCAATCTCTCTGACAATTAACCATCTTCCAGCACGCAGGGCCTGCATTTATTATTATTCCTCTCTCCTCCGGTACCTGCTTTTCTAATAGCCCTGCAGCTAAATTGTATAAAAGATGAATGCAACTACCCCAGCCGACACATCTTTCCAGCAACACCAGCAGACGACTCGATTCGTCCCATTTATGTCCGATAGTGCGTCCGCTCTTGTCGCTCCTTTACTGGTATACTGGGTATACTCCCTTTTCTTCCATTTCCTGTCCAAGGCGGAAATTCCTTGGGTTGAGCGGTACCGTATACACGACCCAGAGGAAATGACCAAGAATAAGGTTTCGGTCAAGGATGTCATTCAAGGTGTGGTCTTTCAGCAAGTTCTTCAGACCATTCTTGGTTTCCTTGTTCTTGATAATGAAGAAACCTCAGCCAGTGCATCGCTTTTAACGCTTGACCGTATTGGATGGGCTGTTTCCAAAGCACTGGGCTCTGTTCATATCAAACAATTAATAATCGCTCAGTTTGGTATGCCCGCCTATATGGACGCATTGTTGACTATATCCTCCATAATGCAGTCTTATGTCATTCCTGCCTTCCAGTTTTTCATTGCCATGTAAGTGCCGTTGTTTTTTTTTTCTCTTTACTCCCAAATTTTTTGTGTCGCTCTAAGCGGCGCTTGGCGCATACCGGGGTTTTGATTGAGTATTGAACGAATGTTTCTTGGATTGTAGGTTCATTTTGGATGGATATCAATACTTTTTCCATCGTCTCTTCCATCAAAACAAGTACCTTTACAAACATGTTCAGTAAGTAGCATGACCAAAATATGCATGAAGTGGCCAAGTAAAACCACCTACTGATCTTTATGTTTCACAGCTCCTACCATCACCGCTTGTACGTGCCGTATGCTTTTGGCGCTTTGTACAATCACCCTGTCGAAGGTTTCGTAATGGACTCTGTGGGTGCTACTCTTGCTTTTGCTCTGTCTGGTTTGCCTACCAAAGGCGCTATTCTTTTCTTCTCTTTCTCTACGTTGAAAACAGGTATGCATATATGGAAAATGTCACATGTTCACCGAGGCACTTTGTACTCATATTTGGGCTGAATTAGTTGACGATCATTGTGGCTACGCTTTCCCTTGGGATCCTCTGCAATTTATGTTCGGCAACAACGTAGCATAGTAAGTGCTTTAGCAGGAGAATGAAGCAAAGTAGAGTAAGCTCATTAACGTCTTTGTTTCCTCCAGCCATGACATTCATCATCAACCGTTTGGCATAAAAAAGAACTATTCTCAGCCTTTCTTTACCTGGTGGGATCGTCTTCTCAACAGTAGGTGGAGTCCTTCATATCTTAGTTTGGACTGACGCTGAATACTCACTCATTTTATTCCAGCCTATGTGTCTACCGATCGTGTCTATAACAGTGTATCAGAAAAGGCTCAATTGAAGCATAAACTCAAGGGTAGCACCGAAGCTATCTCATCTCAAGACAAGACACAAATGTTATAGATACCCCCGTCCACTATACTGGCTAATTCACACGTCGCATCTTTCAACTTTTAATCATCCAACGTACGAATACCTACACACCTTACTCTCCCAACTTTTCTTAATCTCTCGCGTGCCTTCACACTTGCGTATTTCCTCCAAAAATGAAATTACGTTGGGACAGCATTCGGCACTGCCGACTCAACACATCTAATATCCTACGATTCTGGCTCATGGGAGTTTTCCAATTTCTCTTACACTGACTTTTTTCCCCAACACTATTTACCTATAACTGCTTTCCTCATCATCAATCAGTAATGATAAATATTTGTTTTTTCTAATTTTTGTGAACACTCCTACTCCCCCACTTTGTTTCCTTCATGATGTTCACCTTTTTATTTCATATATATTCTTAGACCTGCTGAAGCATATTCTACTTCAAGAAGTAGATGTGCTTCTGTGCTATTATTGTATCATCATGACAGAGAAAAAAGTTGAACTTATATGTGATGCCTTGACCTACACGTGGCTGTGTTGTTCGTTATCCGATTCAAACTTGCGGGAGGAGATCGTGCTGTGTAACACTTTTAAAAAAAACCATGGGTATATTACATTTGTATTAGAGAGGAAAATATACATGAGAAACACTGCAGTATACAAATAAAAGCAAAGGTTGTAGAATGCATTAGAAGAATGTCTGCAAAACGAACGTTGGAAAGGGGTTCTTGCACTAGGCTCGTTCAACGCTTTTTGGTGTTTCGTTGAGACCTTGAGCGACGGACCGCTTCAAAGTTGCGGGCTTCTTGCGTTTGTTGCTGAACATAGTCTGCCAGCCATTTATTGACGTCTGCGCCATATTTGCCGCAAAATTCTCGCATGGTCATATCTCGAATGAGCGATATCATTTGATTGATTTGAAGTGTTCCATGTCCTGCAATGGAGAGACAAGCCAAATCGATCCGTTTCTGCAACTGCTCAATTCGGGCATCACCTAGCAAGTCATGCACAATGAGTCGCCCGCTGATGAAACTATATATCTTAAACAATGCTTACCTTCTTCATCCAGTACCTTGAGTGCCTGTTCAATCTGCTCTCGCCGCGCGCTATCAACAGATTGGCCAGCCATGTCGTCGTCCGATTGTCCCTCAGGGAAAGGTTTTGCCTGGGAAAATTTAGTAGTCACGTTTTCTCTTTCAACGCTCCCACCTCTGTCCATTACCTCAAAACCCCCATTGCTCTGTCTGTTTCTTTTCCAGACCTTCAATGACTATCAATGCCCACAAAATCTCTGGTCGAAATTTGCCAAGGCATAATCGGTAAACATCTGGATGGTAAGGAATAATCTACGATTGCCGTCGCTCAACGCCTATTGGTTCGCTGGTTCCCATAGTGCTACTGTCGTTGCATATGTACTTATCGACCGCAACGTTGCTAAAAAAAAAAATTCTTTGCCAAAATGAACTAGCACTGTACGAGTTGGGTGATACTCCTTTCAGGCTAATGGAGGCTCCATTGAAACGAGCCACAGCACAACAACTCTATCGCATCGAAAAGTGTAATCCGGTAGGAATCAATTTCGATAGATCAAAGTTGTGATATATGTCATAAAAATACTAATATCCTATCTTGTAGCATATCACGGAAGAAACTCAAGGTATCTAGTTTTTTATGTATTTATTTTTCTGGCTTGCAGACGTTCTGTCGTCGAATTGCCAAAAACAGTAGACATTTTCCGCAACATTTTGCCTGACTGATCACCTGTCATAGATCTTTGGATACCACACTGCCTAAGCTTTCGAGATATTCGAATAGCTTACGAAGCTGGCAATGTATCACATGATACAAATTGGCGAGAAATGTACTTAGATCGCCATGAAGAAAATCAACGCAAACGCCAGTTGATTGGAGCTAAAATTAAAAGCCATTATAACCAAATTCAGAACGAAAAGGAAGCTCGTTCGACAAAGTTCATTAATAAGGCGATCCTTCCAAGCAAACGCCGAATAGAGCATAGTTCTAATTATAATTCCAGTGAGTTTTGTGCATCATGATCAAAGGATATCGTCCATGTTGGCTAATTTCTTGACTATCAGAACGAACGAGAGGAAACAGCCTGTTTGCAAAAACGATGCATGCAGCTAGGCAAGAGTAAGTATCGACTATGCACCTACTCGATAGCAACAAACTATTGAATGTTATTTTCTCTATCTATAGGGCAGCAATATACCACTCCCATGATAGTCGACGGTCTACTCTCAATCCACCGCGCCATACCAATACAACACCAACCGTCATTCGTATAGACAAAGTACCCAGTGCTCTCCAAAAGTCGTACTCAGTACTCTCTCACAAAGAGCCTATAAAACTGAAGCCTCCATCTATACTGAAACCACCACCACCAATGAACATCTCACAACGAAATGTATTACCAGCGGGTTTATCGAAGAAGGCGATGAAAGATCCTTCGGTAAGTGACTGGAAGTTCAATGATTCGCAGTTATCACAATAATTAACATTATGCCAGCAGGCCAAATCCTATGTCCCATCGCATTCAGCTTCGAAAGTAGAGTCTTTGAAAGGTTGGCCAATGGATAAGCCTTTAGAGAAAGATGGTATGGAAGAAGTCAATGCGAAGCAAAAGAACGCTAAAGCTGCGAAAGACTCGGCCATTGTCAACTTTGGAATTTTCAAAGAGCTTAGCGGCCATTAAATTGCACAATAGACCCTCCAAAATAAAAAAAACACTTTGGTTTTCTTGCCAGTATGCGCCTACACTATTTCGCAGTTGCGCGTCGACAGCTGCTCACAAGCAGTACCTTACGACTTGCCAGCCAAGCAGGCTTTAAGGCTGCTCCTCGGCGATTCAACTCCAGTACAACAGAACCATTGAAGGAATCTCTGTCGCCGCTTGCAAAGCATTTACACGATTCCATGAAGGTAATGCACACTTCCAGTTAGCGCCTGCTAAGCTAAATAGTATACTCATTCAAAGAACATGGTAGATCACAGGTCCAATCACCATGGCACACTATATGCGACAGGTGCTGGTCAACCCGCTCAGTGGTTATTATATGAAAGGAGACGTTTTTGGAACAGAAGGAGATTTCGTCACATCGCCCGAGATAAGTCAAATGTTTGGTGAGGTAAGTGCATGGTAGGGATGAAAAGATTGTCAATTTTTTCGTCCTAGAGCTGACGGTACGCTATAGTTGGCAGGAATCTGGTACCTGACAGAATGGCATCGATTGGGCAAACCCTCCAAGACACAATTAGTAGAGTTTGGACCCGGACGCGGAACGCTTATGGATGACATGCTGAGGGTAAATGAGACTTTTGTGGAATGTAGGTAGGAGATATCAGAAAAGAGAGGCTAATGTGATGATAGGCTATGGCCAGATTCCCAGAGATGTATAAAACAATTCAAGGGGTGCAGCTTGTCGAGGCTAGTCCTGGTCTACGCAAAGTTCAAAGAGCAAAGCTGATTCCTGGGTCGCAAGAAAGCGATGTCAAGCTCATAGAAGACTCTCAAAGTGGTCACGTTCAGCAGTGCATTCGAAGTGACGGTATTGCTATCAATTGGTATGATGGTATAGAAGACCTCCCGGAGGTTTGGTCTATGATAATGGCACATGAATTCTTTGACGCTTTGGCCATCCACACCTTTGAGGTAAGATATACATCGGTGGAAACTTCCTATATTTGAATCAAGATATCATTGGTATTAACAGGAACCTATGTTATTGCAATCCTACCAGAAAACCGACGAAGGCTGGCGTGAAATGCTAGTGGATTTCGACGATACAAACGAAACGTTGGTATACCTTTTCTACAAAAGAAAGTGTACTGATAAGTGTCCGTTATTAACACCACAGCTTATTTAGAGAATACAACTTTAGATTGGTTCGATGTCCTCAGGAGACCAATGCCAGCAAGACTTTAACGCAAAACGACATGTTCAAAGACTATAAGACAGGCGATCGGATAGAAATTTCTCCCGACAGTTGGGAAGTGATGCGAAAAATGGCAGAGTTAGTGGATCGCAACGGAGGAGTTGGATTGGCCATCGATTACGGCCAGGACTATGCTCAAGGTCACACCTTGCGAGCCATTCGACAGCACAAGATTGTTCATCCAATGAGCGACCCTGGATCGGCTGATCTTAGCGCAGATGTAGACTTTTTAGCTTTGAAAAATGCTGCGAAACCTGTGTCCAGTAAGTTTTGTTTGCTTGCTTTGAACGAGGTATAAAGACACATGGCTTAACCTTTATATCCTTAGGTGTCTCGACTTACGGCCCAGTTACGCAAGGACAATTCCTTCACAGCTTAGGTATTGAAACCAGACTAAAAGTGCTTCTGAAAGGCGCTAAAACCCGCGAGCGAGCACTTGACATGATCAAAAGCTACGAAAGATTGGTGAATCCAGAAGAGATGGGTCAAATTTATAAGGTGCTTGCGTTCGCTAATAACGAGGACAACAGCAACGTTCCAGTTGCATTTGAGACCTCACCCAGCAAGCAGTAGTAGAGTCACAATCTTGTTATTATACACTCCTGCCATACTGTTTAATAGATCATTTTACATAACCATGAACTCTTTCCTCTACTCTCACCTTCATTGGTGGTGGAATCCTTTAACCTGATGTTCAGACGATGGGATGGCAGGGTTTGAACAATTTTAATTTGTTTTGTGGTATAAAAGATAATATAGAGTAATTTATATATCGTCGTCTACAAAGCCGCCAGCAATATTTACGCCTTCAGTAAGCTCGCAAACATGGTGTAAGCAGCGCATGGGGTATGCAAAATCAATGTAAAAGCTAATATTGGTCAAAATGCAGTCTTCTTCAGTCATTTCTTGTCGCATGTAATACATCTCGAGGACGACATATGTGCATATCACACTAGAGATGAACATTGGAATAAGAATCTCCGATGTTGAGTTCAATGAAAACAAGGTGACGAACAAGGGAGCTGCGAAGAAGATGGTCGCGTAAATGCAAACTCTACGAAATAGGAAAACATCAGTAACACGCCATACCCTCATTTTCCATCACACACACACACACACTTACATGGGAGCGACTCCACTAAACAACCACTTGCTTTGTAAGGTATATAAGGCTCCGCCAAGTAGGCCGGTCACAGTAAGTAAATTGGATAAATACCCAATATCATAATAAAATTTGGATACTAGACGTGGGTTAGCACATAAGCTCATGGCATCAGATGTCGGCAGAAATACTTACATAGTGCAGAAACAATTACAGTAAATAGTAGCGAAAAGAACACCAATGTCCATGTACGGAATCGTGTTGACAACCGTCGATAGTTTAACCATAGCTGCCATCCTGTGAAGATTGTTATCAAAGCAAGGGGTACCAGTGGCATCCACCAAACCCATTTACTATATAAACAATGATGTGTCAGTTGAGTCTACAAACTGTTGGATGGCTTCATAACCAGCACATATACCTCTTTTGTATCCAATCAAAGGCATCTCCAACATATAAAGCGGCGGTTGTGGCAGCTGCTATGAGGAAACACTGAAGTGCGGTAATAAGGCAGACGGTTCGGTAGTACACTAGACGGAGGCAAAAAAGGTTGTATTGGCTTTTTATGTTCCTGGAAATGTCAATAACGATAATAGCAATGCAAGCTTACCCATTTGTCTGGAAACAGGTAATCGCACAATGGCGATACCAAAAATATTTTCATCTTCTCCCGAGAAGAAGCGTCTAAGCTGATCTGACTCCAGATCCTGATGGCCATAATCCAAGCGGCCGTTGTAATAAGTAGAAGACACTGGAAGGCTGAGTGTCTTGTACTGAGTTGTCATTCTTGGGAGTTACGATCACACAAAGCAAAGGCGATCCTTGCTATCGATCGACTAGCTATAAGCTGTGTAATGTTCTCTTGTGGAATGAGGAAACACTTGAACTGAAGATGTCTAACCCAATTTTTTTTTTTTTTTTTGATCAGTTATCTTTCAATACTTGAAACTCAGCGCAGTAAGGAAGTGCTACGGTTTTGTAGAAAAGTCAAACATTAAATTATGGAAAGCAATTCATCCATGATACTAGATGCAATATAATTGGGTTATCTCTGGAAAGAGTCATTTTTGTGGTAGAATATAAAGAAAGAGTTTCCATTAAAGCATTCAAACAAGAGCAAGGAAACGTTTTCACAGTAAAAATATGACCCTTCTGTTCCTTTTTCGTAACCGACAGGAAGCCCTCAAAGTGCCTCCTATTTCTTTAACATCCCGTATTTAAAAGGACATCATTAATATGGAGACACCCGTCGTTATTTTTTCTCTTTGGCTGGCTTACCTCCTCTTTTTCATTACTTGGATTTTTTCGTCTTCTCTAACCCATTCTTTCATTTCTATTTATTCTACTTCACATTGGCTTTATTATGAAATTCCTTCCTTCAATTCGGAAAAGTACAGAGTCTACACAAAACCTTCGATCCGATGAGTTGACCTCTACAGACTTGGAGACAAACATGGCATCCCACATTCCAACTTTGCAGCAGATTTTGGACAGGAAGAGTTTACCTCCTGTTTGCTTGTACAACCTTTATATAGTAATGCGAGATCGTTTACGAAACGAAGAGATACTAGATTTTTATCTAGATCTAAAACACCATGAAGTACTATGGCGAAAGTACATACGATCTCTTGTGAAAGGTGGGATTCTAGACGAAAGCGATGTGAAAGATGGTGTCAATTCAGTTTCACTTGCGACCAAAGTGCAAATGTTTGAAAAGAAAATCACCACCCACGCAACGACCAGCCCACAATCCAGTGTCAGAGCCAGTGTTAGAGTAACATCATCGTTCATCCGAACGCCCGACATTTTAAAAGATCACCAAGAGCAAATCATTCATTTACATAAGGTGCAGGAAGCAGCAGAACGTATCACCCATCGCTATGTCGTTCAGAGCGCTCACAAGGAGTTAGTCGAGCTACCATTGAAGCTACGAGTTGACATTGTGGGTAATTTACAAGACCAAGGCCGCTACGACCCACTTATTTTTGCAGATGCAAAAGCTTGGGCTTTCAATGCAATGCAACATTTCACTTACAACAAGTTCATTGATATCAAAGCCAATGGCAATTTAACACAATGGCATCAGATCTTCCGGCTGTGTTTTGGCCTATCCGTTCTTTTCATCGCCTTCACAGTGGAGTTGACCATGTTATTTCTAGGATGGCAAGTTTGGGGATCAAGAACATGGGTGAGTAAAATAACGGAACGAATGACGAATATTTAAAGGACAGGTCAAAGAATGCTCTTCTCATTTACTAAATTCGTTAATTAAACCTCTGCCGATTTATGTTAGGGATTGCTTCCTTTCTGGATCGCAGCTTGGAGTCTTATAAGCGGCCTAACAGCACTTGATCCAGTGCTGGTCATAGTACTTAATCTCAGGCACGTAACTTTATTTCGTAATATACCCTCCCACATGATGCACTCATATCTTATGTTAAAATTGTCTCTTACAGTGAGACAACGACGTTCCACTATAACAGAATACAGCAGCCGTATATTAGACGAAAACTACATAGAAGAGCATGGATGCTATTCCTGGGAATTAATTTATTAGCATTCGCATTGTTATGCTTATTCTGTAGTATCCCTGGTCATCGGCTATAAAATAATAAATCCTAATCAGCAGTGGTTACGCAGCAACCGTAACTGCCAATGGTCCAATCATGCATTTCATTTGATGCCAAAGTCTCTTTTTTTGTATGTCGCCAGCTGTCCGGAGAAAAAAATTGTTGGCTCTTTGTAAAAATGGAGGTTTTACTTTCCAGTTTGACTATGCCTTGACGGGAAAAACGGGTTGGATATGTGCTTTACATACGGAATTTGTTGCCTTCTTGACTTTTCCATTAGAATTTTCATTAAAGGCAGCTTTCAACTTTTTGCCGTTTGGGCATGTAAAGCGTTCCGAGGGCTCCAATGCCAATAAATTACCCCTAGGAGAGCTCAATGGAAGTTTGAACTTGCCAATATCTTTCTCAGAGTTGGAGGTACGAGGTACAGGTGAATCTGCTTGCCATGGCTTGGTCAACTTGTTGGAAGCAGGCACTGTCGGTTCGGGATAAGACCACTGAGCATCTATCCGGGATGTTCCACGAAGAGAACGGTACTCACGATTTTCTTTCTCCATCGAAACGACAGGGCAACGGTTTCTCTCCAGTGTTCGCACGCTCAATGATTTAGTCAACCTCTCTGTCTGAAGTGTCGTTGATTCGGCATGCGGGCATTGAGGGTCGATCAAGGATGTCCCGCGTATAGAGCGGCATTCGGATTTTTTTGTTCGCAAGGGAACGGCCGGGCAACGCTTTGTCGCCAATGCTTCGAGGTTGAATGATTTGAGCGCTTTTTTCGGGTTGCTGTTATTCACTACAGAGCATGTTTTGGGAACCATAGCAGTGATTTGGTGATGACATGTTGGGTGTGCTTGGCGCTCCAATGAATGCAACTTGTTGCAAGTGGCTGCCTGCGTGTTGGATGCAGCGGAGGCGATGACTGCCAGCACAAAGAAATGAACTTTCATGATATAATGGTGTAAAGATGTAGAGAAGGAATATAATCCAAAAATTTAAACAATAGTTCCGTTGCAACAAGAAACTAGCCACGGTATTTAAAAACAATCCGGTGGTTTGTTTTTGTCCTTAACAAGCGTACACGCAAAGAATGTTCGGATTTTTTAAGGTACAATATTATCATCGACATTACTTTAGAGTACTAGGTCTGCTTGTTGCTTTTGTTCCGTAATGTTTATTGCCCAAGCTTATATCTTGATTAACATAGGTCCTGGTATGATAGTACCATCGATTGAACGCCGCTGTGAGGCATATCCGATTTTCCGATTCAAAGCAATATCATTGTTCATCATTTCGAATAAAATAATTCATTGTAGAAGCCTTTGTAAAGCCTCCCATAATTCATTGCTACCGCCACAGTTGACAGCGGGTCAGTAACGAGCAGAGCTCAAATTGCGCGAGTGAGCACTGGGACTGCTCATTTTGTGAAAGGTTTTGGGAAAAGGGTCACAAAAGTGGACGAAAAATTATCGCGACTCGATCATGGAGGTCCTCAGGTCAACATTTCTAGAGAAGCTCCCAGAAGTAAAGAGTGCAATTGACAATGCTGCTTACATTGCCATTGATACCGAGCTAACAGGTAAGATTGTGCTGCAAGAATGGTCAGATCCCGGGTGCATTCACTCACGGCTCGGACTTTTATTCGTAGGCTTGTGTCGACCGATCAATAGCTACCGCACTACCGACGACGTTGCCGCCCGATACGAAAAAGTGAGCCAAAGCTCTCGAGAGTTTTCCATCATTCAATTTGGATTAGCATGTTTCAACTGGGACGCCGAAAGCCAAGCATATGTTGCCAGACCTTTCAATTTCTACATTTTCCCAAATGGAGAACCCCGTGAAGCTGGCGAACGATTCTTCACATGCAGCTCGTCTAGTTTGACATTTCTGATGGAGTGTAATTTTGATTTCAACAAAATGATCAAAGAGGGCATTTCTTATCTCACTGACGATGAGGCTGAATCACACTTGGAGCGAATCAACGTTGCGCGAGTTAAGGAAGGTAATGAAATGTACATGGTTGAAACAATAATGTGGTCCATTCATGCGCTGAAGACGTTTGGTAATTGCAGATATTGTCATAACCGATCAAAATCGATCATTTTTCGAAGCGACGAGGTTGGTTTACTACGTCCCCATCACCATTTTAGGCTCGCCGACATGCTAACTCCTTTTTTTTTTTTTTTAGAGCTGCCATCGATGAATGGTTGCAAACTCAAGCCAGTAAGACTATAAACATTGAGACGCCAAACAGCTACCTGAAGAGATTAGTGTATCAAATCATAAGTGAAGAGTAAGTAACGTGATTTAGCGAACTCATGGTTGAAAGCGATCATCTTGTTCTAATTCTCGTGACGGCAGAAAATACAATGGGTTTCTCGCTGCCAAGTCCTTAGATAAGCGTCAAATGCAAATTCGCAAACTCACAGAGGAAAGCCGAAAATCTCGCTCAAACCTGGATCAAAAGGTTGGTTGTGTAAAAAAGCATGTACTCTGTGTTTTGGAAAATTGGCTCACAATTTTTTTTTTTTTGGTGGCGGTACAGGCATTACTGGAGATCAACTTTTGTACAGTCATAGAATACATCAAAAATGCAAGCTGTCCTCTTATTGGACATAACTGCCTTCTTGATATTTGCCAGATCATATCCCAATTCTGCCAGCGGCTGCCTGACGATGTCCAAGAGTGGAAATCACTTGTGCAAAAAAGCTTTAAACGGTAAGTTTCATTTCATTTGTGTTGAGGAGAGGACTCTATTTGCACAATCATATTCAACATCATATGCATATAGGGTCATCGATACCAAACATCTTTCCAACCATCCGAAAATTAAGGTAATAAGCAGAATGAGATATGACAGTGGGTGGATGGGATGAAAGCTTACACTGCCTATAGGAATTTTTGCCCTCAACAGCTCTCGGGCCGCTGTACGAAAACATGGCCAGAGATCCATTCAAAAGCCATGGTCCCAAAATAAGTATGTGTAATATTGTCATGTTTCCTAAACATATGACCGGATTGTATTGATCCCCGACCCCATTTTACTCTAGTTCTCCACAAGGACTTTAATAGATACAGTCTGGATGACAATAGCGATGACATTGCTCACGAGGCAGGCTTCGATGCGCTAATGACCGGTGTTGTCTATCTGCGTATGGCGTATTACATTTTGCGTAATGAAGGTATGCTATGAGCCGGCAATCCCATTACCATAACGATATCTAACCTGTACAATTTACGCCATCAAGTGAAGGAACATAAGGAAAGGATATCAGGTGTGCCAGCATTTAATGCAGTATCTGCAGGCCCAACTGCATTGGAACCATTTGCGATACGCGAATCAGAAGCGTTGGATACCATGGAAGGTGATACAGATATCTCGGCGACGGTCAGGCTTGTTGATACTGGAGTTCTACCGACATCACCGTCATTATCGTCTTTATCGGAGGAGGGAGAATATGATGATGACCAGGCGGCGGCTTTAGAGGGTATCGGTGCAGATGGCGACCCGAGCCAACTACTCAACACATGTACAACTATTACTGACTTTTACGACAAGCTGCATTTAATGAGATGCGAACTCTACTTTATCGACCTTAAAGGAGAAAGTGAAGGTAAGATGACCGCTCGTTTTAAATGTATGGTGTGTGTGTGTGGCTGACATAACGACCCTCCAAATATAGTACCTAAAGTGCGAAAAAATGTATTCTATCTGCGTAATATTCCAACTGGCATGACTACGTATGGTCTCGAGTTACTTTACGGAGATCTTTGTCCTGTTTCAATCCACTGGAAGACAAATGCAACTGCCTTGCTTACTGTCAAACATGAAAACCGAGTGGAACTTGCCAAGCCTGGTTTGCTAGGACTGGAGGTTCTGAAACCGTTCATGGAGGACGACACTAAGTTTTCTATCGCCAGTAATAATGGGATCACACTGGAAGCGGCAAACATTGAAATGCTGACTTCCCAAGAATATCATGATTTGCATCGGGCACACGGTACAGTCAGCCATCGAAATGGCAACATCACACCAGTCCACCAAACGGTTACAACCCCTGAGATTTCGTCGCCTGTTGCAACGGGTGGGACGAGCTATGACGGTAAGGGCAGGGGAGAGGGTTGGTTTAGCCGGTTGTCAAATTTTTTATTTATTTCAAACCAACTTGATACAGATCTTGATTTCGAAATACCAGCTTCGCTACAACAAAGCCATACGCAGGTGGCAGCTGAGGTCAAGGTTTCGGCTAAACGAGGTTACGTTGATTTGGATACCCCAGTATCATCTGATGCACATGTAGCCAAAAAGCAGCATAGATAGAGGGTCAAGGCAAATAAAATTTGGTTTTAAAAAAAAAAAAAAAGCCGCTGTTTCCTTCAAGGGCATGACCGGTGACTGTTTCCCTATGCTTATAAAAACCAAGACGATCATTTGACCTTTGAGAAAACTTCCATAGCTACTACCTACTACTTCTTTTTTCACATAATGTCTGCTACTGAAGCTACCAACACTGCTGGTAAGGAACATGGTTGAAGAGGTTGACGCAAAACACGTTTGATCTAATGGTATTGAACTTTGGTGGGTGACACGCAGAACTTACACCTCAGGACCAAGCTGTCGAGGAACCTACCGCTCAGGTCACGGCTGATACCGGAGCTGCTCCAGCAACCACTAAGACAGACAAGAAGAATGAGTTTTTCGACAAGATCAAGCATAGCTTTGACAAATTGGTCCGTCCTAACAAGAACAAGACCAAGGCTGCTGCTACTGAAGCTCCGGTTACCGAAGCTACCTCTGAACCCGTCAGCGCCGCCACTGAATAAATTTCGCAACCTTCAAAGTCGGTTTTCCATCCACTTGTGTAGCTTAAATTTTGCCCCCACTATAACTAGTTTTACTGTTCTGCTCAGTTCCATCTCATACTTTTTTTCCACACTTTTTAATAATAATGGCGATGTAGCGCCCTCTTTATGCGAATAATGTACTGAAGTAAGCCTTGAAATTGATGTAGCGCCCTCTTTATGCGAATAATGTACTGAAGTAAGCCTTGAAATTATTTTTTCTTGGCTAAATTGTCAAATCAACCTTAGTCTACGGTGATAATAAACTCAAAGTATTTTAATGTTATTCCTTGTTTATATGCGCCCTATCCAATCACACAAGGGGGATATGACGAGTGGGAGGGTCGGATGGTTGGGAGGGTCTTGCCCCAAGACATTAAGTACCCCAGTAGGTCTTATCGCCACAGGAGATAGACAGGGAGGGACTGAAAGAGTTTCTCACTGTATCGCATGAATCTCAGGACGCGCCATTTTGCCTGCCCCAGCCACTTTTCGGGTTAGGGGAACGCGATGGCGTGTACAGACCTGTTCTGGAACATGGCTGCCTGATTAGGGTACTCCATCGTATCGTCGTCTGGAATTTAGAGCCCGCATGGTCCCCCGTTGGTCACTCCCACAAATTTGTTAAAAATTAATCGTACCATTCTTGCAGTATCGTCATCAAACTTTCTTTCCATTCGATTCGATGGCATGCCTTTATTGGAAAGTCTTTACAAGTGATGATATTATTTCCACCATACCCAGTAAGGTGGTTCGTGTAAGAAAAAAAAAAAAAAGGAAAAGCAATATTATGAAATACAGGCTTCTGATAGAAGCGAGTGAGTTTTGTGTGTAAAAAAAAAAAGAATGTAGAGTAAGTGCGAGCAAAAGTCAAAGAAAAGCAAAAACAGCAGAGGAAAAAAATTTGTACAGAAGTAGAAGGAACAAAAGTAATTAAAATGGGGAAGATCGTTATAATTTGCCTTCAGCTGTGGCTTTGGCAACGGCAGCAGCAGCGGAAGCAACTCCACCAGCAAGCAAAGGTTGGACAATATCAGCTTGGGATGTGCCATCTTCCACTCTCCACATCCACCATGGACCGCCGTATTCTTCATCACCCCATCGGCCACATAGACCCATGGGTAGGATAAAGCGACCAGAGTATTCCCAAGTCTCAGAGGAATCAATGTAGGTCTTCTCCCAGGTCATCTGGCCACCTTCAGAATCATCGACCAATCCAGTGATGGTAAATGCTCCTAAATTGTCAGAGCCGTGACCTTCAAATCGTGTCAATGGGCTCGATCGAAGGTGCTGAGAAGGAAATGGATGTGCCACGTTGTAAGTGGCGTGATCGTCTGAAGGGCTAGTCTGCTCATCATCCAATGGAACTCTCCGTAACGTTAAGCGCATGGGGCCATCAAACCAATCTTCTCTTCGTCCATTAGACCGGTCAGAGGCAAGACTATCATCGGGATCCAAGAAGGAGTAGTAACCCATCCATTCGCCTTCCACCAGATAGGCATCACTAATGTAATGCTCCTTGGAGGCAAATCCAGTTGATTCATATCGATTGACTACGGTGGGCGGACAAACGTCGCCACTTTGTAATGAGTGGCGTTGTTCCCATCCGCTACGGCTTTCATCTAGACTGGCCTGGAACAGTTCCCGTTCATAACGCCGCAAAAATTCAACGTCAAACATGTGAGACGACACTTGAAAAAGAGGGATCGGCGTGCATCCAGGAATGGCATCATAAATATCTGGATGTTGAGCAAAGATAGTGACGAAAAATAAATGCAAAGCACTGGTTAGACCATCTTGAGCGGGGTGGAAAGCCAAAGTTTTCGAGTCAGCCATCGGGTTGAAAACATTCGAGTCAGCGTCAAAATTATAGGCAAATTGACTGAGTTCAGGGGAAACAAGTTGCGTAGGTTGTTCGGAAGTGAGGAATCGAGTCAAAGTAAAGTCTAAACGAACAGGTAAATATAACTGAAACCATCATGCAATGCGCTGTGAACGGAACAAGCTGCTTACCATAGTTCACTAGCACAGAAAGAATCGGTAAACAGATTGGGTAAGTTGCACGGTCTTGGAATCGACCCAAGCGGAATGCGGCAATAGCGGCCATGTGGACTTGGTGTTCAAGAATGTGAGCCATGTTCTTTTCATCTGCAGAATGAATGACTGGCGTGAGTGGAATGGGTGGGGGATAAAAAAAAAGGGGGAGGCCTAGGACGCATACCGTGCTCAGTAATCATATCCCAAAGGCATTCCCAATCGACCGTGTCTAACCAGGCGACTCTACCGGTTGTCGTACATGCTTGGACACCTGATGCACAATGTCGCAGCGCTCGACAACGACGTTTTAACGTGGCTTTACAATTGTAATCGATATGTAATCGTCTTCGGTAAATAGCGGCTGTATCAAACAACGCCGAGAAAGCATGTTGCCATATTGAATTTCGCTTGTCGTGGTGAATGATATAATTCAAATGTTGACAAGAAGCAGCCAAATTCAGCAAGTCGGTTGGAAATATCGTGGAGGAGGATGTGGCGACGCTGAGGATGATTTCGAGTAAGACTTCGTAAGGTAATGAGAGTAATGGTGAAGCGTTGTGTATAAGCAGCGGCGGCTGCGTATATGAGGGTTGCAGCATTGGGTGAAGAGGGAATGGCAAGAGAGAGAGAAGTCTAAGGGAAGAGAGAGGAATCCTCCTATTAAAAGAAAAACGACAGAAGCCAAAAAAAAAAAAAAGGAAAAAGGGTAGGGGAAAGGTCTAGATCGCACTCTCCGTTTTGGGAAAGGTTCAATGCCTTGTACAAATGGTGTGTTTTGTGAACGGGTCTAAAGAAGTACGCCCCGGGATTCCATTTAGCCTAGCTAAAAAGTAGAGTAGATTGACTTTGATGGCAGTGCCTAAGGCTACAAAGCAACAATGAAGAGATGGACACCATTGCCTTTTCCTCCACACAACACCTTCTTCAAACAATGGAACGCCGCTGTGGAGCCAATCAGCACTCATCTTGTCAGATTAAGCAATGGCGCTCGATCCTTTTCCCCATTGCACGTTTTTAAATCAGGTCAGGTGATACAACTTTTTGGAAACCAGTTGTGTACCATGGGCCTGCCTAGCGCTCTCATCTACCCATCCCCCCCATGCCTCGATTAGAAGAAGTCGAACAAGGTCTGTTGGAATCTCACCATACCATTACGAAACACGCCACCTCCATATGGACCGACTTTAAAGTCAGTCTATTTTTTTTTTGCTTCTTTTCTATTCGTTCTGTCAAGTAGCTTATTGTCAGTTGCACGCCTTCTCCCAAAATAGGATTTCTTGAACAGAGGAGTGAGTGGCGATTGTTTCTCATGCTGCTGGCTGTCTTACTTTTTGACGCTAACATCCCTTGTCAAAGAATGTCGTTTCATTGGCTATTGGTATCATCATGGGGGCCCAATTCAATAACATCATCTCATCGTTGACCGACGATATCATCATGCCACCTGTGGGTCTAGTCACAGGCATGTATTTTTCATGCTAGCGAGATGCTAAGTTACCTCCTCAGGCTAAATTAGACTTTTTTTTTTTTTCCCTCGGTTTTATCTTTGCAGGAAACAATTTTAAGAATCTTTTTGTCATTATTCGTGCTGGCTCCACCTTGAATGCCACGTATGAAACCGTGGATCAAGCCAGAGACGATGGTGCAGTGACCTTCAACTACGGCCGATTCATTCAAACCATCATCAATTTTTTCTTCATTGCTTTTGCTTTGTTTTGGATTGTAAAAGGTAAATTGGGGTGGGTGGACAAGCCTAATTTTGACCCCTTTGTACGCTAACCCCGTTTCCTCCTTAGTCACCCAACGCTTTCAGCGAAAGTCGCTAAAGGCTACCTCTGCTAAATGCCCCTATTGCCTTTCTAACGTTGCTAAAGGCGCTAAAAAGTGCCCTGCTTGCACTTCTTGGATCGATGGCAGGGATGGTGAGACCGCTGCTCCCCTATCACCCGATGAGAGTGAAGACAATGATGACAATTGAAAGGGATAGTTAACTAAGGATATAGAATGCTCATTTTCTAATCTGACTTTATCTACCATAAAAAATTAAAAACAATTCATGTTTATGGAATGTGTGCATTTATCGACCACTTCAAGCAGTGGGTTTGAAAAGAAATTTTTTGAAATCGGGAAGTTGCGCTGAAAAAGCCGATACTTAGGCTTGGAGTCGAAAAGTTTGAATTCCAGCTGCTAGACGCTAGCTAGTTTCTTTTTTTTCTTTTCTTTCGGGGGTGACCCGTTATACCTCGCACCACACATAACGCAGGGTTCGAATCTGGGTTGGTCAGTGCTGTCCGTCACCTCGTTCGAGTATTCCTTTAAATTACATAAAAACTGCTGAACGTGAATCCTCTCAATCAAGGAATTGTAATACATTGGCGTATATTACACGAATAAGAGTCCGCCTTTTCATAACTCTTTGCTTGGGCTGATGTAATACTCTACAGCATCACATAGCTGTAAAGTGCTGTGACTCGATTTGTCTGAATTTGCTTGACTCGTATCGTAGTTGGGGTACTTGAGGATATAATCATCAATGCCAGGTAAGTCGGCTTCAAACGATTTGACGATGGATACTTGCAGCATACCAATGTCTGAACGTCAAATAATGATATGGTTAATATGAAAATTGACTGGGGACGGTCATACAAGGATTGTTCCCATAAATGACATATGATTGACGATGAAAGGGCTCATGCATACCTGTCCAGAGACTAACATCGATTTCAATGTCAGTAGCCAAGAAGTAGCAATAAGGTATAGTTGGCTTAAAACAATGATGGGAAGGCCAAAACAGATGGGATGACTTGTCTGGTAACATGATCTGACGCAAAAAATGAAAAAACGGATATTAGTTTTAACGAATTATAGCATGAAGTCAATTCAGGGTCATGACGATGTCACTAACCATCACAGCGATTGTATTGATATAGTCCACAAACTCAAAGTTGGCTTCAATATGAATTTTAAGCGGAAGGTTGGCGGAGAAGCTGATAGGTTTGTCGATATTAGGTGCAGGGACCAGAATCTTAGCTGTTGTTCTTTTCAAAGGGTTTTTAAGATCCAGACCAAGAGGCGTAAATGACTAAACCCATACTTAGTTTAGCTTTGGAAATTTTTGCAACATACACATTTTGAAAGCTCATAGTCACTTGCCCTCACATATGCGTAGAGCGCCGCTAGCTTGGTGCTAGACGGATGACTACGCGCTTGGAACAGGTTGTTTCGTAAATGGCTCAACTCTGCCAACTTGAAGTTGTCTTGGTCGAATCGTCTATAAGGGACGAAACATCAACCAAATCGGCTCTGATCTCTACACAAACCCGGACCCCACTATACCTTTGTATTACATCAATCCGCTCAATAATGGACATGAGCATATTGGTGATATTAGCAGGATTGTCCCTATAGCGTGTGATTAATAAACAATACATGAGACGGTCAGATACTATACTGCAAATGTCAATTTCGGCTTACGTGGATATCTGCTTCATAATGCCAAAGAACCACAGCATATTGGCAAGGACTCGGAAATATATGCCCGCATTCCTTGACGGTCCAGACAATCCTAAGAACGTGTGTTCCATTCGATAGGACATGTGTAAAATGTCAGAAGCACACTGCAGAGATGATGTACTTTCCAACGCCAAGTTATTTTCAACCTTGTACTGGATGATGTAAACACATGAGAATCATGAACACTCTGATTATCACAGGTCCCTTACCGCCTTACCTTTAGAAACCGTTCACAACATGAAACATAAATGTCTGCAAAGTTGGCCTTGCCTGCCACTAGCGGACTAAGCCCAGCGGCATATTTTAGGTTTCTACCAAGTAATAGATCGTTTAGATCGAAATCTTTTTCGTCAAGCGATCATTTGCCCCAACCTCCAACCAGTTACCTTGAGATGATATTCGCCGTTTGCTGAACGCCGTTGGCGTTGGAGTCGCCGAGCTGTTTAGTCATCGACGCTATCATGTCCAGCGTCCCGTCCATATATTGATTTACATCCTCTGCTGTCGTCAAGTCTTTGACTAGTAGAGAAAGAGTGGTTAGATGAGGTGAATCACCCTTCAAAGATTACCTTGCAGTACCTTCGCTTTCCTCTCCCCAGATATCCTGGGATTGTTTGATTATATCAGGTGGAGCTTTTCCAAATATCTCCTGAAAATTATGAGAGTGAGTTTCAGAATGAATTTTGACATCGCATACACGTCCTCAATATTCACCTTCAAATTGGGGAAGCAGTCTGGGAAACGACTGCGCAGATATAAAAAGTGCGAGAAGCAGTATTTCGGAAGTAAGCTGACAATACTCAAATCCATGTAGCATGCATTTACGATGAAGATGATATAAGCAATGTCTGAGCAGTTCAAGTTAGCATAAGTGTTGTGAACAAACAGCAATGCCCTTCGCTACTCACAGTTTTTGTCATCAGCGTTTGCTTCTCTTGGTAAGTATTTCTTGTCATACTTTAGCAGATCCGGTACCATTTGTTCTATGGGTAGCCATGAAAGGATGAACATCAATTTTGATGCATTTATGCAGAGCTTATCCCCCTGAGATACTTACTAATAAAGTCAGCATGAGACCGCCCAACATCATGTAAGCATCGATAAATGGAGAGCTGGTCCTCAGAATACCTCTCCATATTAGCAATCAAGCTATCCAGAAGCATACTTAATGAATTTTGTGTAGATAATCGAACCACACTGTAAAGCAAAAGACATTCAAGGCCGATAAGCTACATTGTAGATCTCTTGCAGAAGAAGTCGACAGTATACATACCGCAAAAGGTCATGTGTGCTTTCCCTTGCCGTCTTATCCGCATCCTCCAGCGCTCCGATAACAATCTCTAGTTGATCAGCATCCAGAACTAGCTTTGTTCTCTTTCCAATTTTCCGCAACGAATGAATGGCGTTGAGTCGAACATGATCAATTTCATCATTAAACATGTCTGTGAAGGTTCGAACATTAAATTTTGATTGAAAGCAAAGAGAAGAGGATCGGTACAACATACCAACAAGAAAATCAACCGCTTTCGTTGTGAACTGGTCGTTATACATGCAAAGTTCGCAGATAGAGTCTAAAAGTAAATGGAATAACGTGCTACCGTGTTAGCATTCATGCAACCGGGGGACACCAAAATCACCTTCAAATGTCCATGACTTACCAATGGAGGCATTGCGTACTTCTTTGTATTCGTCTTCAAGACCATGAACAAAAGCGCCACATGCTCCAGAGTCCAAAATGCGAAATTCTTCAGATTCCACATCAAAATCACCTTCTGCCACAGGTATCATCTTACCGCTCTGACGCTATTCAAGTTTGACAAATCAGTACACATTATATCAATGGTGCCATGCTTCACGTACTTACGTTTACAACTTTGTTCGCAGCTCCTTTTTTCCCTCTTGCCTTTCTGGTGTTATGTGACATGATCTGCTTGCTGAATGTTTGCGAAAGGACGTTTGGGTCAACGTGCTGGTATGAGGCCATGATAGTACAAGCCTTTGTTCGAACATTGACATCCACATCATTGACCATGTCACATATCTTTACAAATGCATCGTCAAGCAGTCTCACTTCTTCGTCGATTCCTTCGTGTGCTAGCCGCATTCGATACTCTGGATACAGACAGCCAAGTGCCCTGGTCATACCTATCAATATGATGCAATGGTAGCCAGAGTAATAAAATTGATTACATACCAGATCAAATTCAAGCCTCCCATTCGAACATCTTCAAAATCATCTTTCAAAGCTCGGACACCGTGTTTGTATAATGAAATGTCCAGAGGACAGCCGCAGAGCTTCATATTGACTAGCGCTTCTAGAGCGCTCTAGATGAAGAGCATGCAGAGTATTAGATCCGTAGAAAAGCCGATGAAACAGGTAATTTTTGGATCGCTTCAACGATTATGACTATTGTGAAAACTTGAAGATGCACTAAATACCTTTCTGACTCTCTGATCGCTGTCGACTACATAATTGCTGATTATTCTTTGTATTTCGATTCTATCCAAGAATTGAGTCGCTGTAGGCTGGGCATCGCTGGTGTAGGATTGTGAAGGAGATGCCATTTCATGTGTTCTTTTGTACTGGGAAATTTGGTGAAGTATCGAGGATAAAACGGACAACAGTTGAATCGACGTAGCTCGTATAAGATGATGAGTATCGGCCAATTCGGCGACTGCAAAGTTGGACAAATCGATAAGCAGGTTCGCTACATGGACTGAGCGGCGCCAGTCGATTTCTCGTACCAACAGCACTTTAGTGATGCCTCTATAGAGTTGATGTCTGACCTTTGTCGATTTGGAATGTCGTAACTTGTAATAGCCGATGTGTTTTTAGCCACCTTATTTTATCGCTCATATCATGTCTGTATCATTTACCTGTTTGTAAAGCTCTTCTAAGATCAGATCGACTTTGAGTGTTGGTATGTTGGATAGTCTAGTGATTAGTATGATAACCATACACTTAATGTCGTGGTCAGTTTCGTCAATAAGCCTATCGATCAGCGTCTTTATCATATCCGTTTTCTCTTTGATCTCCATGGCTTGCAAATTTCTCGATATCCATAACAACGCCTTTTAAGTATTATACATTAATTATTACATTATTCCTGCTTTTCTGATATGACTCGTCACTTACGTGTATTTTAACTTTGACTTGATCTGACTGGAGGTCTTGCACATTGCGAATCAACTGATTGACAGTCACAAACATATTAGTGTGGATTAACAATGAGTGCGTAAGGCATTGAAGCCGGCCGCAAAGCGCGGGTAGCATAGCAGTAATCATTTAATAGCCCGTCTACCTTCTATAGACTACCAATAACGGCTGCGCTTGCCTCTTCCATAACCAGTGACATCTGGTATATAAATTCCGGGATACATACCGTAAGCTGAGGGACACCGTGCTCTACAGTTGAGCCAATGAGGTTTTGCAATATAGGTGATCCATCATAAGATAAACTGAACACAACAAGGGACAATATTTAGTATTTACTGAGCACGCTGTCTTCGGTTACATTCGTGCAGGAACAGCTAGTTCAAACAGTGCCAGACTTCCAGCGAACATGTCTGAAATTACACACCTCTTCATCGACAGATGCTTCTCCTCATCCTCAACAGTCTCCTCGGTATCTTTTTCTGAAAATGAACGTTTCATTTCATAAGGAAAGCAGTAGGTAAAGTCGAACTAAAAAAAGTCGCGCTGGGACTGACGTTGATGCCCCGCCTATGCCAGGCAACAGCTGGCATCGTTAACTGCAATCCACGTGACTCTCTGGGTGGCTTACGCAGGGACTCCGCTCGCGCACGTCGTGACCACGTAGGGCAAAGGCAAACTCCCAATCGACTTGTATACGCATTCCACCCAGCCCTTCAACAACACAACGGCATGGCGGCCAACCGTGTGTATCCTGGACCGAATGCAGTAAACTATGGACAGCAACAGCTGCCCCGGGGTCAAATTCCCAACGGCATGCGGTATACATATCCTCCTCCTGGCAACAGTCCTTCAGTATATTCAACACCCGCGACACCTCAAGTGTACAATACTAATCAAACACGACCGGCATCTTACTATCCTCAATACATACCACCCACCAATCGTATGCCGTCAGCAGGCCTCCAAGGGACATTTTCAACTTATCCTGCGCGACTACGTCAATCGGATAACAACGCGCTTTTACTACCAGTCAGCTACACTGGCATTCGAAAGGCTAAATTTAACGGTCAATCCGACGATGAATTTGAAGAATTCGACGATGACGAGAACGGTACACCTTTCTCTGGTACAAGAACTCGATCGCAAGCTCAGCAACAACAAGCTGGAAGCCAAGCGATGGCCCCAAGTGGAAGTGGAGGCACTCCAACCACCACCGAGCTACGGAAAATACCACGTAAAAGAAACTATCTTCATATCAATGAAGAAGATCTCGCCAATGGTTCGGATATCGATGAAGTCCTGGTGCCTATTCGACTTGATCTTGATCTGGATGACATCAAGCTGCGCGATGTCTTTTTGTGGAATATGAATGGTAAGCCCGTCGTGACCATGCATATAGTTGAGTAAGGTCTTCGCGATATTCAATGAACCATTCTTGCAGAGCAATTTTTGACTCCAGAGAAATTTGGAGAAATTCTGTGTGAAGATTTGGAACTTCCTTCCTTCAAATTTATACCTTTGATCGCTGAATCTATACGAGCCCAAGTGATGGATTTTGAATCGATTCATGAAGTGGAAATTCCCGATGACGGCATGCGAGTGGTTATAAATGTAAGTAGCGGTGTGCCCTTCGCACATTTGCCCCTCCCAGTCAGAGAGAATGAAATATGCGATCAACGAACTGACACGTTTTCATTTGCAGCTGGACTTGCAGATCGGAAAGGTTAATTTACGAGATAGGTTTGAGTGGGATTTAGCAAATGATTCATCTGCTGCACCAGAAGTTTTCAGTCGGCAGCTGGCATCCGAGCTTGGTATTGGTGGTGAATTCGTTGCCATTATTGCCCACGCGATACGAGAGCAGCTATATCGACATAAGAAGCAACTGGTTGACGAGGTAAGGAATTATTTCGACTATAGGCAGCCCTTCGTCTTTACGGTATAACTCACATATGATTGTTACGATAGTATGGCTTTGAAGGGGAGATAATGGATTCTCTGCCCACTGGGTTCAGAAATATGGATGATGCAGAAGCTTGGGCGCCTCAAATGGATGAATTATCTAACGAAGAGTTGGAGAAGATTCTGATTGCTCAAGAAAGAAGCATTCGGTAAGGGCGATAAATGTATGGGAGATGGCCGCTTGCGATCATGATATTAATTCATTTCGTTCACTTCAGACGTATGCGGCGTGAAACACGATTTAAGCGTTCTAGACGGCGAATGTCGCCAACCCCGCAAAGAATGTCAAGATATAACTCCATGACTGGCACACCGATCTAGACAAGTTGATTTACATGGTAACCTAATGAAACAACCCTCTTGCTTCTTTTTGTAAATAAATAAATCCAGAATTTATATGCTTCTAACCCGGCCATTGTGGAGTGGAGTGCTAAATTATGCATGACAGTTTGTGGGGGTTTTTTCCACTAATACTTCGGAAAAGTATGCGATTCGAATAATAGCCTATGCCTTTATCATAACAATCCGGGAATATGAACGATTGTTGGGTCGACTGGCGTTGACTGCTGATGTTTTATGGAAGGTACATGCTTGAACATTCGGCCAAACGATACATAAAGTACTAGTTCAACGATGACTTGATATCAATTTATAAACCATTGGTACTAAAGTAAAGTCGCTTGAATTGAATTAGAAACAAAGGTACCTTCAACACAGCACTTCTACTTATTGCAGATCGTTTTCAGACTATAACAATTAAAATGCCACGTATATATCCTTGGCAACGAGAGTCGAACAGCAATCACATGTCTGCCAAGAACATAAATTATGTCTTGGAATATACGACCACAGACACGGCGACCGACTGCAGCAAGTTGGTCTTGAAGAAACGGCATCCAAGGTTGCGAAAGAGTGCGTCAAGCAAAATTCGAGTCAACTCGTCCTTCGGATTATCCTCATCAAGGTTTGAAAACTTCAGATCTGGCATCGACAGAGAGTATCAATTCAAACTTTGAATTACACTCCTTTGTGAACCAGTATTATCGTCTCAGTACAGCAAGTAAAAATGTTGTCCTTGTCACGCACGACCTTAACAGAAGAGCAAAATTTGCAATAGTAAAAAGGTAATACAGATGGCGATTTTTGACATGTGACTGGAATTTTGGCCCTCCACGTTTCAGAACCAAAAAATATATATTAGCCTGGCTTGGCACAGTGCTCGGTGTTTTTGTATATGCTCTACTTTCTGAATCTAACTCCTCGAACATTACTACTGATCGCCGTTCTCATTGCATTCCTTTGGGCTGCTCGTGGCTATCCCAAGTGGCGCAAGAATCGCTTGGCGGTCAAAGTGACGCCGGAAAAGCCAGCTGACGCCAGTGAAAATAGCGATACGACGAACAACCTTTCGAGTCTATTGAACCTCAAGTCCATACCAGTCCTTCCGTTAGCTGCTGTATACATTATTCTTCGAGCAGCATGGGATCTATTTTGCTTGACAGTGTATTATTCGCTACTTGCCTGCGAAAAGCTAGGCGTCCGCTTGGACTCCGCACTGTTCCACTTTGTCACTGTTCGGCTGCCTGTGATGATAGAAAACATAGGGCACTGGTGGACTACAACTGGCATACATATCTGTCGAAAAGCATGGCAGTATACTACAACAAACATTATACCACGGACGATCAAAGGCATCGATCAACTGGCTTGGCGACTGTCAGTAACGTGGACGGCGCTTGGTGAATGGATCTCAGCTATATCCATTCATCTACAGCAGGCTTTCATAACAACCAAACAAATAGCTGTGGCCACGTTCCATGCTATAGAAGCGCCAATTGTGTGGATTGCCTGGAGAATATCAAGACTAGCTTCTTTGATCTCTAATGGAGCGATAAGAATATCCAAAGCATTATGGCAAGATATTCGCGCCGTCAGCCAGGTGGTCTCCAAAATCTTGTTATCGTTTTGGAATTCCATCGGATACCCTGTAACCGTCTTTATTGTAGACAAGGCAGAGATCATGTACAGAGCACTTTCGACGGTTGGCATCAAGATGTGGAATATCGTAGCGACGAGGCTTGTCCTGCCGCTCTATAGACTTATTCGCCCACCAGTAGCTTGGATTTATGTCAAGATATTCAACTTTCTATTGTCGGAAGAGGTACAAAAAGCCCTTAAGACATACTGGAAGAAAACGGTGTCTATGGTATCCTACGCAGCGAGAGATGTTGGTGTGTTGATTCAGTCTATATTCAAGGCTATCAACTGGCTGATTATGAATATGGTCATTCCATTCTATCGAACGCTTCGATATCAGCTCTTACCCAACCTTTCTGCGCTATATATTCGACTCCAAACCGCTTTCTGGAATATCCTCAGCCCTATATTATCTCTCCTGTCACCTCTATTGGCTCCTGTCATTCGGGCATGCTCAATGCTATACGACAAGTTTTTGTATCCTGCTATTTGCCAAGCATATAGTGGCATGATCAACCTAGGCATCAAAATCATCAACCGAATTAGGTTCCAGCACAATTTGTACCGTCTTTGTCAAGCACTGTATTCCCATGCGTCTACTGCGGCGATGTTTCTCTATGAGCATTGCGCAGCAGCGTATCAAGTATGCTCAGAATTTTTCTGGCAGCATGCACCTGCCATATCGAATGTCTTGGCTAAATTAAGTGATCAAATAATCAAAGCGGCAGTAGTGGCGTGGGCAGAGGCCCAAACGATTGGCTCGCAGATCTCAAGCAGTGTCAGTGTCCAAGCTGAGGCGGTGGCACAGTCATTAGAACGCGTTGTGGGCACATGGATTGACGCTCAAACCGACGAGTCAATAGGAGCCAGTAAACTGAAAACCCAATAGCACCAACGTGCATCCATCCATGTTGTAAATCTAAAAACATCAAGACCCAGTCATCGAAATGTCATCATTGTACATAAGTAATTCCTATAATATATTGTTTATAAACAAAAGAGAAAAAGGAGTATTGCGTCCACAATAAGTACAACATTCTTTCTGCGGACAAAAAGAACGTAATTCGAAAAATAAAATAAAAATACAATTCAGAAAACTGAATGAAAAAAGAAGGTCCCATCCTAAGTAAATTTGCTCGTCGTATTTCAATGGTCCCCAGCTGTACAATGCTCAAAACGGTATGGAAAGTGTGATATCCAAACACTATAATCTAATGTATATGATAATAAGTCATGCCACGTGTGACCTGCGCGAGTGACCAAAAGTTGAGTGCGGCTATGCCCATATTTCGGCTTGCGGGCAAAAGTCACGAATGCTTGCTAGAAAGCGGGGTTCAATCGCATGGCAGCCAGACATGGACATCATTTCTAGATGATAAGAGCTTCGCCACTCTAGATTGCGACCAGTCACTCCTCGACATTCGTCCAGGTGTAACTGTTTCAGATTATCGCCGTGAGTTGCTATGCTCATTAAGACAGCATCAGAAATTCCAGTATTACCAGCCAAATCAAGAATTTGCAATTCTTGACAACGTTGTAATATTTTATACAGTCCGTGTTCCAAGTTGCTACGAGTAGGAGGAGACCCTGGAAATTTGGTCCCTGAATTCATGGTATTGGAACGCTTGATAAACCTAGACTGTTTTTCTTGAAGGACGGGTAGATGCAGTTCGCGCAGTTCAGGACAGGTGGATGCCACGGTGACCAATATAGGGTAGGAGGAAAGTAATTGTGAGCAGTTCTCAAGCCTAAGTGACTGCAGTGTAGGTGGGAACCACAAATTGGGTTCAAGATCATCCTCATTGTTCCAAAGCGTGATATCCCTGAGAATCATAGTCTTGATAGGTGCAGCTGACTTGGCCATGGCTTGTTGGAATCCTGGTGTAAAGAAATTGGATGGAACCTTGCTAGCGGTAAATGCTTCAAGTTCTCCAAGTGAGGCTATCCATTCAGCCATAGAGTCGTGAGGAAGATATAGCTTTGGTAAATCAACAATGGTCAGGTCCTTGATGGTGGAGGCTCCAATCTCATTTCGTAACATGGTTCGAAATAGGTAGTCGGAGTTCAAAGACATACGAAAGCGTTCCTTTCCAAAGTCTAAAGTAAGCTTTCGCAAGTAGGGACATTGATTGATGATAGAGAGAATGTAGATGGCAATATAAATATTTAAAGATGACACTGTAGACTTGTTTGGTGTTGCTGGAACGCCTGCTAGGTCTTCGTTGGATGCTGAGCTATTCCGTCGAAGTGATCGAAGCATCTGTACCAGTCCTTTGGGAGAGGTAGGTCGAAAACTCATTGAGCGAACGGACGATATGGAAGCTGCAGATGATTCCAAGACGGGTTGTGGAGCTTCTTCTTCGTCTTGAAGAATCTTCATCTTTATGACTAGTTCGGCTACATAGCTGCCAATTCGTGCTGTGGCAAAGAAATTCTCCAATGAACGAAGGTAGCACCTTCTCTTTTCGAAAAGGTGTGGAGGCACAGATATGACAAACCGATCGTAGATCTTACGAAGGGCCGCTTGTCTCCATGACTGCTGGACCATGGAAAAGGCAAGGATGTCTTTCTTCTCGTCAATGTTCTGCACAATAAGGTCGAGTAAATGGTCAGGAAGTGACCAATGTTGCTGAAGGGAGGTCATTTATGTTGGGTTGAAGTAAGTGGGGGAACCACCGAGAATGAAGAAAAGGTCCCGCCAATTTATAAGAAGAAGATAAAATGTCCAATAAGGGAAGAACCCAAAGTTTCTTGGCTTCACTTTCTGGAAAGCTGATCAGTGCAGACGCAAATATTTGTGCTACTTCTCGTTTTGGTGCTCAGCCGTATGCACTTATTGCCATCAGGTCCATCATTTTTTTTCCTCCTCCTCTTCGGCATTCTAGTAAAACGTTTTGTAAGTAAATATTGTGCAATAATAAAGACAACAATGATCTCTGTTGCATACCTTGAAACGAACAAAGACCTTATTTTTTCTTCTTCCATTTCGTCGGGTGTCATGCTGGCTGGCTGGGACTGGGACTTTTTGAACACGAGCTCAGCAGCGCAGCCGATACCCAAGAAGCCAGGCGTTAATGACATTGAAAAGTCATGTCTTGACTGATTGGTTAATCTAAATTATGACAAGTTTTGCTTCATTGCTCAGCATTTTGACCTGCCAATCAACATTTTTTATTATGACCTCATTATAAAATATTAAGTGCTCTCTCCTTTACTCGCACAGACTGTACGACCCACTTGGTTTTTTTTTTTATGCCGCGCGTGGAGTCAAAATGGGATATACTAGGTGGTGGTGGTACTTGCAAGTTTCGAGTTGCCAAAGTACTTTGGAGCAGCCATTGGTAACCAAGCGCCTTGAACAGTCGAAACTCCTCGTACATATTGCTTAGTCGTAAATACCTGCATAGCAAAATGAAATATGTTTTTTCATGCATCAATATAGCTGAACTAAATTAAAAGGTACCCGCTAGTGGTGACCCTTCGCCAATGACCCATCTCCACAAGACTGTGTCGTTTCCAACTTTCCCACAAGGATAAAACTGTCGTCTGACTTACCAATTCATTATACATGATCGCCTCAACCCGCTTGCCAAACATGGATGACCCGGGATGTATGCTTATGGTTTGCCCTCCAACCACACTTTTATATGTACCATCAGGCTGGAGTAAAGCAGTATTTTGAAAGAAGCCCGAGAGGAAAGACTTGAGGATGTTGTCCGTTTCGTTTCCTGCGGAAGTGCTGGAAACGATGCCCATTCGAGTGCAAAATTGGATCAGCTGATTCCTCACGTCCTTTTTAGAATGATCAGAGCTTTAGCGAGGGTTTGGAGGAAATAAAAAAAAGACATCGGGTGACACCTTACCAGTACAATTTTTATATTTCTCATATTTATAAAGTTTTCTCGGCACCACTCCTTATCGCCCTTCACTTCCCAGTAGCTCTTGAGCACATTGAGCAAGGTAAGGTGATCACCATCGGGATGAACAAACCGTTTCTTGGCTTCGGCGACGTTATCTCGTTTATCGGGGGGTGTAAAAAACACTGAGTCGACCGAAAGAAGGGATATAATCGATATGACTTCAGATGTACATTCATATTGCTGCGACTGAATCAAAACTTTTGAAAATACTGGATCGAGTGGGAACTCGGCCATCTGATTTCCTTCTTGGGTAAGTGTGCCCTTGTCATCAATCGCACTTAATGAATACAGCTGCTCCAGAGCCCGAGACACTGACAAGTAAATTCAACGTCAGCTCCATTGTCATATAATAAAACATAAATAAAATATTAGATTATTATTTTTTTCCCAATGCTTACATGACGTCCTAGATGGCCGGTCCATATAATCAAAGTGGAGAACATCATTCACGCCAGCTGCTTTTAGGTTCAATACGGCAGCTGCCAAATTGCATCGCTTGATTTCAGGGATCGTGTTTTCCTCCAGGCTACCAAAGGAAGGTTCTGTGTATAGTCTATAGCAAAATCCAGCAGCCTATATAGATCAGGATCGATAAGGCTCCAGTTAATGTTTTGGATTTTTTCTCGTCGCCCCTTGGATACTGTCGTGTTCGGGGGGTAAGGTCTATAAACAACATTCCAAACCGAGTACATACCTCACGACCAGCACGACCCATCCTCTGTCTTGCAGAACTCTTTGATATGGGATGTACCAGCAAGCTCTCCACGCCAATCTTGGCATTGAATCCTCGAACTTTCGCCACTCCGCAGTCGATCACATACCTAATACCGGAAATGGTAATGGAAGTTTCCGCAATGTTGGTTGCCAGCACGACTTTGCGGGTGTTGTGTGGTGCGGGTTCAAACACTTTTTGTTGCTGTGCTGGAGGCAGTGCTGCAAACAAGGGGCACGGAAGTAATGCTTGTACATTTGAAGGTAGTTGTCCGGCATATTCAGTCAATAGAGCAGTTAAAGTCTCAATTTCTTCTTGACCTGTTCAGGAGGAAAGTAACCCAATCAAGAAGGTTTAGTTACAGTACTATTATCATGTAAACAACCCAATCCATACCTGTTAAAAAAACCAAGATGTCTCCTTTCGGCCGTCGCATATGGATTTGAAAGATTGTGACCAATGCTGCATCCAAGTAATCCGATTGTGGTTCTATAGTATTGTACACTTTGACTGGGAAGAGTCGACCTGATACATACATGATGCGAGCTCTATAACGAAGGAATTAGTTACTGGGATTGATGACATGCCTTATAGCTGAAGTGCCTGTTTACCCGTTAAAGTACTCGCTGAACTTCTCAGCATCTAGAGTAGCACTCATGACGACGATCTTGAGTTCGCAAACGTTTTTTTCTCCACGTTGAACCATTTCTTTCCGAGTCTGTTGTATTTCCTTGACCATTCCAAACAACATATCCGTTCGTAAAGTCCGTTCGTGCGCTTCATCCAACATAACAACACTATACCGCAGCAATAGTTTATCTGAAAGAAGTTCACGCAACAGCATACCGTCTGTCAGATATTTGATCATTGTGTGCTGAGAGGAGGTGTCGTCAAAACGCACTGTATAACCGACCTGTCAAAAATTAAGGATGATGAATATGAAACTCGATCGCATGCATGCTATCTGACAGGCCGAAACATACTCTGTAACCCAAGGTGGTTCCAACTTCTTCAGCCACACGCTTTGCTAAACTGGTTGCCGCTACTCTTCTTGGTTGTGTTACCGCTATTGCGCCTCGCCCTGGAGACCCTATACCGCACTCTAACAAAAATTGCGGGATTTCTGCAAAGCAATGGTATTCAGTCTTGCGCGAGTTATACTAGTCAATTTCATAACACACTTCTCGGTTTTCCGTTCAATACTTACGAGTTGTTTTACCACTTCCCGTTTCACCAACAATGACAACAGTTTCGTTTTCTTGTACACCTTTGATGATTTGATCCCGAGCTGAAGAGAAGAAAATTGACGTTAGTGTATGTACATCAAAGCAGTCGATGTAATTACATATCATACCAGTGAAAACAGGAAGGTTTTTTCTAAATTCAAATAATTCTTGCTTTCGTCTTTGCAAATCCTTTTCCTGTTTTTGAGTTGGAGCTTTCGGACGACTGGATTCCAGTCGGTCATTAGGCTGATCCGCCTCACGCTCATGCACACCGTTTTGCACTCTTCTTCGCTTAGAGGCGTGCTTGTTATCATGAATTATAAACTGATCATCGTCTTCGTTGCTGAAGTGAACGACTTTTGCACCGGGAGCCATGGCAATGTACAAGGTAGAATGATACCTGCCAGCTTTTTTTTGTGACGGCCAATTTTTTTTCTTTTGGCCAGCGCAGACAGTCTTTCCTGTGTGCCTGATTGTGAAAGCCCTAGACGGCAAATTCAATCTTTGGTTCAAGAGCTAGATGAATTGATAAGCTACATGACCATTGTCACAGATAACATACTTTGATGCAGATAGAACCTTTGCTAGGCAGCTATATTCATTCATGGCTTTCGAGCTCTCATTGATTAACCACTTTGCTGGTTTCCATGGTTTGCAAAATCTGCAAATAATACAATTATCTATTTGTCGTCGAAAATACAGTATTATAGAGCGTACGGCTAAACTGTATAAGAGATGGTTCACTCGAAAGGAAATAGAGTATGCTAAACGAATAGAGACACAAGTTGTGGTTTCTTACGTTGTGAGTGCTGCATCTCCTTGATAATATTTTCGTTTATCCGTTTTCTATATTTTTCCGTAGCACGAAAAGGCAATTGGCCTAATGAAGCCTTAGACATGCTAGCGATGAGAGATAACGCAGAATGAACGAAACGCTGGTTATAGGCTAATCCTACGTATACTTGTACGGCAATCTTGCTCAACATCTTCGGCAAGCTCTAGAGTAGTCCATATCGTACCAATCCACTAGCAGACACTAATAGCTTCTCAATGTAGATGATGGCAGTTGATATTGTTACGACTTTGATTATTATGTAGGCCATAAAATGCTATTCTAGATATTTTTTTCGGCTATAGGACAAGTTGGCGGTATGCCTTTCTCACGGCTACTTTCCAAAAATTGATTGCGGGGGAGATCTTATAGCCATATTAATATTTGGTACGTAAATATTTGAAAAAGTTTGTTTCTCACAGAATTGTTATCATAAAAATGCTGTCGCTTAAGGCTGAGATAGATTAAGGTACACTTGAGTAGTGGGTCTGCACCTGTAACCTTGGACGATCAGGAGGGGCGTGAGCGATTTTACTGGGATTGAATTTGAGAGGTAATTGAGCCATTATGAGTCTTTTTTGAGGGGTTTGGGTGTAGCACTTGGCTGGCTGCTGTGAACCGCGCGGGTTTAATTACGGTACAGGTTTGGAATGCATGATGTTAAGCATGGATTGAAATACCCACCACCTTATTTACCATGTGCTATAAGCCAATTTTTCAACACAAATCAAATTACAGAGTGCTAGGCTGAGCGATAATTTTGCTCATCTGCGTGTAACACTTGCCCATATCGAGTTGCATTGCACACGTTCTGGACAGTCGGTGGGCTTTGTGTAGAAGTGCCATATTATCGCTGTCTGCTTGTATATATTATTGAAGCAAATGGACTGAATTCATCAATAATCATATTTTGGTTGGAGTGAGTGGAGTCACATGAGTCGACAGTGTGCCGGAGGGGAGGGCAAGCCCAAAGTCGGCGGTTTCCGGGCGTGTATTTGGCTTTGGCCAGACTCTCTTGTCAAGCATGCCCGTGACTGTGGTAGCCAAAAAGAGGGAGTTGAGAAAAAGACGGAAATAGATATTGCTTTTTTTTCATTTCCTGTCTCTCCTCTCACTTTTTTACTTTTCTTCTTCCTTCAAATCAAATCAAAACTTTTTTCACAAGTCAATGAAAACTTGGATTGTTGACATTCCAATAAACCATTGCTTCTTGCATTGATCTCCTCCCCTTCCTCACCATGTTCTCATCCCGCAAGTCTCTAATTGGAAGGCCGCAACCACAGCCTACTTCTCCACTCACACCTGCTGCCGCATCGCCAAGGCAAGTCGCCACTCGAGCATACAGCCTTGCGTGCAAAAAACTTGACAGAGATGAGCGAAAGAGCAAACAAAATTACACCTTGAGAGAGCGATTACTTCTCTACCGTACCATGAGCCATGCCGATGAAGTGTTACAGAAGCGAACCAGACGAACCATTCGAAGAGTCATGGACGCCGAAGAAGACGAAGAAGCTTTTGGTCTTCAAACGCCTAGTCAGCCAACCGGATTGCTTGGTACACCTGCCAAATTGATTTGGTCCAGCATTGATGACGAAGGTGTTGATCCGGATCAAAAACTTTCCGAAGAACGTCTCCATGAAACGCCCGTCGTGCCGTATCGTCAGCCCATTAGAAAGCCCATTGAACGTATTAGAGTTCCTCGCCCTCCTCCACAGGAAATTTCCTTCAAAGAGGAAGTTGTCCCCATGTCTCATAGGATTCCCCGCGATTGCAATCAAGTCAATCGTAACACTCTTGCGACGCAATCAAAGCCTGCTGTATTAGCGCAGTAATTGTTCTTAACATCCAACCTCCATTTTTTGCACGCCGATCAAATCAAATCCTTCCTCACTCACTCTTACATTCACATTTTGCACCCTTTTATCATTACTCTGCTTTGTATCATAGTGTTTCGTTTAATGAATCAATATATTTGCACACATCTCACACACAGACAGTGGAAGCAAGTATTATGCCATAATTTCTCTATAATGATTGTCAGCTTGTGTGGGAGACGTGGATATGATTGGTTGAAACCTAAGCTAATTTCCCACGGCGGATCCGAGGGTCTTTTTCGTTCTGCACGTGTTGATGACTGAAGTTGTTTCAATCCACCTGTGAAATGTTTACTTTAGTGCATAGTTCAACGATGAGCGGGGGGTCCGCGCCTCAAATGACTTTTACCTTGATGGCAGAGTATATCTTTCTTAAGAAGTAGAACGTAGCAAAGAATCCAATGCTTCCAACGCACAACGAGTAGATGCCGCACATCAATAAACTATATACAAAGTACACCAGAGCTGGTACAAATCCTGTCACCTCCAGACGGCTGAAGTAATAGAACACGGAATAGCTAAGATAACAAAAGAGTGAGACCTTTTTTTGACCTCATGATCGAAGTGACATCGGCCAAAAGGTACTCACATGAAGATATAGATTCCGGATGCAGCTGATACGAGAAATGCTCGCCAGTACCACCGATAATCCTGTGGGATGGGGGGCAAATAAGCATTATGAAAAAATCGTCATTTGATCAGTCTCAATTTACCTCAGCCTGAAGTTGCAAATACACCACAACAATAGAGATCTCGGCTGCGGTGGCTACTAGAATTAAAAACACAATAGCCAAGAATCCAACAATAAAGTATGTATATTGATTGGACCAGATGCCTTTGAAAATAAAGAACAGTTCCACGAATACCACTGCAAAGGGCATCATTCCGCCAGTGAGAATGCTAGAGATAATTGGTCCGTGTTAATACGCTATCCAAAGCGATGCACTCACAGCTTCCGCTCGAATTCCATCAATTCTTTTCCTTTCCCGCATTGTGACTTACCTGACATTGGGAGATAGATACCAAATCTGCTCCGGTATTTGTCGTGGGATTTGATGAATGCGTACAGGGTGCTCTATAGGCTTTTGTCGAGAGGCAACAGACGAACCTATAAATACCAACGGTAATGCAATGAAGAGGTAGATAGCAAACAAGGCAAAGAAGGTGCCAAATGGAATGGCAGACGATGAATGCTTGGCCCATACAAAGCAATTGAGAATAAACATGAGCGAAAACATGGCTGCAGGAAGCAGGGTCGCTGTCACCAATGCATTTCTTCTCCATGATGATCCTTGCAGCATAATATAGAGGCGAGTGCTGGCATAGCCCGAAAACAAGCCTCCAAACGCATAAAAGAACAAGGCATTGGACATGGTTCCACCACGGTAGGATGGGTTCAAGACACCAAATGACGATAAGGCAAGCGACATGGTCATCATCACTAGACACTGAATTCCGGATCCAATAACAGGTGCAAGTAGATTGGCATGTTTTGGTGCACGGAAGACATCGCCATGGACTAATTTCCAGCCTGTAGAGTCTTCTTCCGCTCCCTATTTGGTGGCACGTTAGATACACCCAGTCGTTGACGGTCACTACAAAGCCTGCATTACCTCGATGTCCTCTTCGTTGTACATTGAAATATCGCGGTTAAGGGTGCGCATAATAATGACGGCTACCATGGAGGTGATGAAAATAAGGATGATGAAAGAGTTGATGATGGCAAACCAATGGATTTGGGGGTCGGATGTAGTCATATACATATCCCATCGGTGCGTCCATTTAATTTCTTCAGTCTGAAGGGGAAAGTAGCATTCGTCAATACACAAGCGCTTTTATCCCATGAATTATTATTTTTTTTTAAAGAAAAAAGGGCATAATCCAAACCTCCTGCCAAGTCACAGCATATGTATATCTAACGATAACATCGCTCTCTCCAATTTCTTGCATGGGATGATCCACATCAACAGGACAGTCCGTACCATCATATCTAAAAACATTTCGCGTGTCAGTCCTCGCCTTTGCCTCCTCAGCAGATCGGTTTTTGTAACGCAGTGCTAACTTACGACTCTGGGTACACTTCAAATCCAACAATGTACTGTTCATCAGGCTTCTTTTCGTTCTTTTCGTACAAGAACACGAGAGTAAAGTGGTTGTGAATATATGTCTTTCCATCCTAATAAGATTTATCACTAGATAAGGAGCTTGTTCATGAGGTGGTGAAATGGGGTAGACTTCCAAGCGCTTTACCTTGACACGACCTAATGGGAAACCAGCAACATACATCTTTCGACCACCTTCAGAAATTTCAGTTTTTGCCGTAGCTCCAGGCAAATTATCCACAATCCTACAACCGTCCGAAAAAGGTACGTTCAGCGGCCATGCGCAACTAACCCGTAAGGCGTATGTCCAACTTACCATTCAACACTATATTCCTCTTCAATAAGCTGTTTCGCGTTGCTTGCCTGAGCACCGGATAGAGCTTTCGTACAAAGTTGTTGACACCCGATATCTTGCTTCATTTGGAGCTGTCATGGTTTTTATGAATATCTACGATGTTGTGGAATGGCTGGTAACAATACCTTAGTGGCACGAACTAACCTGAAAATCGCTGCTGACGAAGCGGTCGCCTCGTAGAATCTCGCCAAGATTGAGCCATGTTCTCTTGACAGGTCCTTTAGGCTGACAGACGAAATCGAGCTCACTGTATGCGTACGGTAACTGAGCATTCTTTGAAAAGATCTTGTTAACATCAAGCTGAACCTGCTGCCCAAACTTGTAGGAAACAGCGGTGAATCCAGGAATGTAAAACGCGGACACGGATTGCACTGTTGCAAGTAGTATTAAGGCTATTGCTGCCCATACTGTCTGGTACTTGCTTGCGTGCATCATTTCAAGCAAAGTAAAAAGCCGACGGTTTTCTGCCAAGTCTCGTTTGTCCTGAAATGGACAAATGCGGTGATGCGATCCAACGTCTTTAAACTCAGAGCTTTGACAGTCTTATGAGGCTTCACTTGTCCTGGCCTGCTCTCCGTTGCACTTACCAAACCTACAATGTGAAAGCTTTGTAACTTCCATGTACAAAATATATCAAAGAATTTTTAGTCCGAGACAAAGAAGGTGTGATTGTTCATGTATCCGTTGATTGTTGTTCGATGAATGATGATTAAATGGTCAGATATTATTTATTCATAAATGTACATGGAAAGGTTTTAAATTATCCGAATCTTTCATGCATTTCTTCAATTGTGTTCAATGTAAGGTGTAGAGATGACAGGGTAGCTTTAGGAAGTGAAAAAATAGGCATTACGGGTTCGTTTGTGCCAGAAGAGGAAGCACTGCTGACAGAAAGCGTGGATGAGCTAGCATTGGATGAGCTAAGCTGAGGTGGTTCGACAATTTTACGTTTGGTGATAGTTGAGCGACATAGAGGACTATAACCATGGCGTATTCAGATGAAGTCGTTGTTAGTCTATATAACGCAATTTTTCCAGAGGAATAGTTATATAAAAAAAAACTCAGGAAAAACTTACCAAGTGCCGAGAATCTTTGCACAAGTTATGCAAAATCCATCGTGACCGCACGGCTGCAGTTGAATACAGTGAGGCTCGGAATAACAGATGGTACAGAATATTTGTTCTTTATCCTCTGTTGAACTCGTTGTTTCGGTGTCACTATCACTATCCAGCCAAGCGGCTCGTCCTGAAATTTCGGCCGCCTTTCGTCCAAGGGAGGAAAGGGGTACTCTAGCACACTTTCGCCCCCGTAGCCGTGTAAGCTTCAAAATGTTACGTTTCAATTCTTCTGACATCGTCTCGCAAGCATTCATGGGTTGGAACCCGCTCTCTGGTAGCGAAGGAGGATACATCCAAGGACTCTGGCCAAAATTGACGATAACATGCTGATGGCTCGTAAGACTGATGGCAGGGTACAAACCGAGACCTTCAACATCTTTGATAGGCTGGCCGTTCTTTCCGTATTTCTGTCTGCGAGCCTTGTTGGTTTCAAAGGCCTGCTTCCGGGGTTGGTCAAACTCAACCGTAAGGCCATAGTCTTTTCCATTAATAAAGAAAGTACAAAGTCCATTGTCCAGATCTAGGTAAGTGCCAATGACATCTCCTGGTTTGCATTGTGGTATGCTTGTCGTTGGTGGATAGACCGCGGTACCGTTTGCCTATAATAAAACAAGAGTTTAGTATGAATATTGATTTGCCAAGATGACGGCAATTCTTCTTTTTGAGCGATCTATAAAATTTACCCAAATCGTATTTCGGCAGCAATCAAATCCAAAGCCATTCTTTGAGAGCAAAAAGTTAGGTGGGTGGGCCTGCAATCATGACAGTAGCATAGAAAAATAAGATAATCATCGAAGGCGCACTTACGTTATCATCACCGACACCTAAACCTTCCTCAGGGACAAAGTGACATCGCTCTGTAGCCCATCCAATTTGCATAATTCCGTCTGTTAGAGCCAAAACCTCATAGTACCATTTTCCGACTTTAACGTTCGCTGTCGCACGCACAGACTCAAAGTTCGGATGGTCGTTTCGGAGCTAGATGGGGAATTAAATTTACCACCAAGTTTGGGTATCAGGGCATGACCAAGTTTAATTATAAAAGTTCTTACCTCTAATCCACATGATCCCATTTTCCATCTAGATGTAGCGTCCAGAGGGTTCATGGTAATGTTAAGGTCGTCCAGATCCCACGCATTGGTTGCCTAAAGGGAAAAGCAATTTGTCAGATATAAAGATATCGCACACCTAGGAAAATATTGCTGTTCCGTTTTTTTTTTTTTTTAGGATGAGACAAAAAGCAATAAAATTACCTCCGTAGCATCTTTAATGGGGTTACCGAATGATGTAAGGGAAGTGTCAGTGAGATGATGATGAAAGAAAAGGAGGGTCGACGAAAAGCACTCTTACCAAATGTGTATGAGAGGGACCACCAAGAACAATGCTCCAACTGACGGTAACCTGTCCATACGGACAAAGCAGCGTCATTCTTAGCACCAGCCTTCTGTTTTAATTTTTCTGATTGACCATCGAGATCTATACTCGGTAGTGAGAGATTGGATGAAGTAATCCATGACCATTTTTGGAACCGAGAGACTACTTCATTGATTCCTTGCAAAGATCCTGCTTGCTGCGATACAGTTTCGCTCAGTGGTGATGTGGAGAAAGGTTCGTTGGCTACCCCATGAGACCTGACAAATTTGTTGAAATAGTGTAAAGGCATCAACTCGGTGTTGGCGTGCTTGTGCTGTTCGTCTTCTAAATTTAACAGGGACGGCGCTGTCAAATAATATTTCTGTTGACATTCATTTATGACGGATCGCAACACATCGGCAATGTCGACGGGACGAGATAAAATAAGAGTCTTGATAGTACCTATGAGAATCACCAGTCATTGGTCGGCTGAATCGAAATGAGAATTGAGCGACTCCTATAATACTTACCGGTTAAGGCGAACTTTTCAAGGGCAAGTAGAGCGTAAAGCCGGACGGTCGAGTTTTCCGCTGGGCTGGATAACATAGCTAACAACTCGTCTCCTATCTCATTATTCCATAGAGAAAAGCACAGATCTCCAGCAAATCGTTCAGCCAAAATGCACCATAATATACAAGCGTTCTCCTTGGTTAGCGACTCAGTGGGTGTCTTTTTGGATTTTTGCAATTTCTGCAGTATCATCTCCGAAGCACTGGAGATCGTCGCTTTAGACGGTAACGCCGCTCGATCAATTATATGATTCAAAAAGGCCATGGATAGTGGATTGCGAGTATCCAAGGTTGACAATATCACAGCAATGAGAGCTTTATATTCCTTCTCTATAGATGATAACCATGTGTGAGGCAACTATCTACACAACTGCTCTTTACCGATATTAAAATCACTAACCTTCTTGTGATAAAGAGAGGATAGTCTCCAAGGCGTATGTAAGTTCACTTTCATGTTGAAGTGCTGTGATGTATTCGTTACTCTCTCTCGACTGAATTCCTGTAAGCGAGTTGCCTGCGTTCAAGTCGTTTGTGGCGGCAATCAAACGTTTCCATGATTGTCGGATAGCTCTCGTCCGATGTAGTCGGGTAAGTATTCTATTAGTGAGGCTGATCACCATCTCACTAAAGAACGATTGTCAAACAATAGAGTAGGAGCGAAAAAGATTAAAAAAGTAAAAAAAAAAGGTTAAGGTAGAATATATTCTATAGCTAGAGGGGATCCGCGGTAATTAAACAATTTTTTTTTTTTAAAAAAAAAGGGTATGTTTCGACGCGGTGGCATCCCGGGACTCGACTTTATTCGCCCTACCTTACCCAAATTTCAGTTCCAACCAAAGTATATTTTCGTTGTCATCATGGGTAAAGCTGTATGTCTTGTTGGTGCATAGGAATAGTCATTGAGAGGGGATTTCCGTGACCGTATCACATTGGTCACTTTGCTGAAGTAACGAAAAGCACTTTGAGAACCTTGGACAGTTGAGATAGGATGGCCTCTATCATGTACGTCCTGAATTTCTATACCAAGTTCATGTTCAAACCATCAAGGAGTAACGTTGCTTTGTCACGGAAGAAATTTTTTTCTATATCTCAAGCGTTCATTTCACAAGCAATGATAACAGCGAAAAATGGGCTTTGTTTGACATGTCACTTGATGTACCAGATTTATGCCACAAGCATTAAGTAGAAATGATTGTGGCTGACTTGGGAAATTTTACAAATTCGTGCCATGCTTCATCCATTGAACTCAAAAGAAAAGGGGTTCCATGTATATCTGCTCAAAGTCGATAGTTATGCGACACAGTCGTATTCAAGTTCATTCGACCAACGATGGCTTGTCCGCCTAACCTACTAAGAGAAATAAAGATACGCAATCATGATGGTAATATTGTAGATGTGATTTAAACCATATGTCCTGCTATTGCAGATAAGAACCCAGGAGGACATTAGCATGTTTAGCATACTGAAAAATCCTTGGTATGATGTTATCCAATTGTGCGCGTGACTTTGGTAAATCATATTCTGGTATCTTCTGCTCCTTTGTTTAGACATTTTTCAAAATCATTCTACAGGTCTGTTAAGTCAAATGTCTTTTCTATGTTCAAGTCATTAAAATGACAATAAAAAAATAGATAGGATGCAAATTCAAAGCAAGCTTTCAATATAACTGTAGGAAAGACATCTCTTCCATGGACTATTATTAGAAAAGTAGTTACTATGTACATTATGTCGTAAACCTATTCAATTATTTACAATTCTTTACTGTCACTCAAAGCTTGACTGGTATGGGACGCACGATCGTCTATGGAATCAATATCAGCATCATACGGAGATGTACTCCGATGTACATTGAGAAAGTCGTTGGTTTGATCAACGGGAGAATCCGATATGAAATGGATTGTTGGCTCTTGTACTAAAATTTTGATGGTGGGGTGATCGGTCGAAGAGTCTTCTGAATGGTCTTGATCAAGCATATGAGGTGGTGGAGCCAAATCTAGGTCAATAACTCGAGACTTTCCTTTCTTGTCGCCCGGCATTTTCTTCGTCTTCCCCTTCATCAACCTCCGAACACTGTCCCATTGCCTAGAAAGAGTGCCTGGTCCGGTTCCAGCGGTAGAGGTGGAGGTGAAGGTATCAACTCGTCGAAGAGTGTCATGTTCACCTTTATTTTCACTGATAATCTTATCCATTTTTCCCCAACTCAAGCTATGTCTTCTTTGTTGCTGGTGCGATCGGTAAGGTGAGATCGAAATGTCAATGTCGTCATGTGCAAAAGAATGCCCAGCTTGCTGCCTTCGCAGCGTTGGATACGGATCTACCATAGTGGAGAGGCTGGACGCATTTGGCTGTTCATAATAAGTTCGTTTGTAAGTAGGTCTTTCAATATAGTGTCCGGCATCGACGATTTTAGGTTGAGAGGTAAACGGTGAAGGTATGGAGCTCCAATCTTTCCGACTACGAATGAACAGCACATCAGTTACATATGTAATAATACGTCAAAAGCAATTGAACGGCAATACGTTACATTGTTCCAACTTCCGCATTTCTTCTTCCTGATCTTCCTTGGAGCCTCCAATATCTATACTCGTTGTCATCCACTGGCGGACGACGAGGTGTGGTTCGTGCATGAGTTTGATCTCCGTCATTCATGCCTTCTTCGCTGTCAAAAACGACCTCCAAATCCATCATGATAGAGTTTCGATCTGCATCCGCAGAACCTCTATGTGCATTAGGATCCGATCCTGCAGACAATCTACGAGGTGTAGTTGTGGTTTCCGTAGGCAATGACTTCCGTTTGAATCGATTGAGGAACGACGGATGCGGCAGCTGAATGCCCACATGATTGCGTCGACTTGGTAGTGGCGTGGTCTGTGACCGCTGTGTGCGTTCATTGTTGGTAGGAGAAGTATGCTGTCTATGTAATGAGGGCCAACGCGAAATAGCCATCTCATACAGCCACTACAGGCAGAACAATGAGGGGGCGGGAAGCCACGGTAGAAAAAAATAATAGTTCCGATCCGCAATTTCTCTCCGTTCCTAGCAGAAGCTACGCATCTTACTCTTGAGTAAAATTCTATGGTATTCCCTATGCAAATACATGTAATAATCTGAACCTCACGATCTTATGAAAATTACAATCTACAGCATGAGTTTCTGTCTTGTTATGACCATACCTATCATTATTTTTCTGGGTGTCTATCCACATCACAAAACAATAAAAATACCTGCGGAAGACTCTATTAATCTTGTAGCGAAGTAAATAATATCGATATACACACATAAAAATGAATGGTGGAGGTATATATACATTTTAATGAAAGGTTTGCTTTTCTATGTACTTCGCCATGCTGTTAGCTGGCAAGATGCTGGCAAGGTCATCGTATGATGTAATCAGTATACAAAGTGTTGCAGGTCCCAAAAACGCATGTAAAAATATTATGTATAGCTTCGATTAATCATGGAAATTACTCGTATTTTGGGCCGCATCCTCGCAGACGTCAATTAAGAAATTTGGTGCATGCAGGCATGATTGGCTATCAGAACGCCAGCGAATGTTTACATTGAGACGTAGATGGACCGTCGTTTACTTCTTGGATAAATGATCATGGTGCTCGCAAATAACCCGACGGCAATTCCTAATGCAACCACGACCATATGAAGTGCAAAAGCACTGCCGTCCGGATCATCGTCCATTAGCAAATGGTAAGCTCCTCGAACACCTATGCAAATTGATCAGTTTATGCATAATTTTTTTATTGCGTATAAAATCAACTTACCGATGCCTCCAGGGACTAAAAGAGTAATGCCGCAACTTAGTGGTACCAAAGGTGGTGTCTTGGTCACCTTGAGAGCAAGATTTGCATATAGGCCAATAGCAAATGCCGAAATACTTGCGGCGATTTGATAATCGCTTATGACCTTGTTGAGGAAGAAGACGATGACGAAAGCAATAATACTGCAGCAGATCATGGAAGGCCATTGCTTAGCGGAAGCACCAAAAGTCATAGCGATGGATATCGCTAAGAAAGGTAGAAATGGGATGTAGAACCACTCAGATACCCCAGGCATACAATGGCCGGTAGAGTCTGAGTTGGGATTGATGGTACCGTAAAGGCTGCTTCCAATCTGTAGCCCATAACCTAGAATAAATGCATATATGACAGAGTAGACGAATCGTATGGTACCAGCAGCAATCTGTCGTGCAGATAGTTCCATCTGCAAATGCAACTTGTCAACGACAATTTTTTCCAAATATGGTGCTTGTCCGGTTTAGAACTTACCACTGCGACTGTCATACTGTAGCCTGGGAGAAGAACAATGACAGCTGAAATAGCAACTTTGGAAAAGCAGACCCACTGAAACAAAGAACGAGATATCAAAGCAACAGCGGCAGAAGCAGAGACTTCGAACACGTTGCTGTACACTGAATGCTGACTTGCCATGACATTAAGTGCGCCAACTAAAAATCCGAGCACACCAGCGACAGTAGAGTCAGTCCAGGACCCGCCAAACATGACAAGACAAGCCGTAAAGCTACACATGGTAAAGGCTACTATTGTACCATATGAGCCCCACGTCGGTGGAGAGTTCACAATTTCCTCGAGCTTGAGTAAGCAGTCGCCCACATGTAATTCTGATCGACAAAGGGCATTGGCAACGTCGTCAACGTCGGCCAGTTTTTTTATGTCGTAACCCTGGTGAACTTTAATCAAGACGGTTTGCGAATCAATCATTGAGACACCACCAAAAGAAATCATCATTTGTCCAGGAACGTAGGAGAAGGCGGCGTCTACTGAGAGAAATCTTGCGGTTTGTTCTAGAGACGATTCCTAGTTTTAATGGCACATTGAGTATCATGATACCATGGACCGGCAAAAAATAATAATTCTAGTTTACAATGGATGCTATCGAAGACTTACTATTCGATGACTGGGACAACCGTATCTAACGAGGCACTGGCTCATCAGAGCAATCAATTTTTTCTTGTCTTCCGTGGTATATTGATATGTTGGAGTTGCCAGTTCAATTTGAATGTGAGAGTCGTTCGTCGCATTCTGTGGGTTTGAACTGTCATTGACCTTGGGTCTCTTGTTCCAAACTTCCGGGGACATGTTTTGAAAGGCTTGCTGACTCAAGCGATACAGTCTTTTCAAGGCGCTCCGACTTTTTCCATTGGTGCCGTCTACTTCTATCTCTAGATCGCTTTCCTTCTTTCCGCTTGCGTTGACATAATAATCTGAAGAACTTTCTGTCAGTGTCAGGTTTCTATCGAGTTTAAGCATCGAGTTTTGTTGAGTGTAGGCTTCTGTCGGCGACTGAATCTGGGATACCGCTGCTGAGTGGGCTAGTGTGTCTTCAGATGACATATTCATAATGTAGAAATTTTGCTCTTCAGACGATGATGCTGAAGTTTGTGAAGACGACGACATCCTATACTAAGAGTAGAGCAAAGAGAAGATAGTCCGTCTAACAGATTTGTTAGTCAAGAATCTACCTTTCACGAACACAACCAAGGGGCATGTGCCATATCGAAATAGGATGATGCCGTATTTGACTTGATTCTAAGATGTATAAACGCTCATTACTTCTCACGCTGCAATATGCGTCCAATTATTTCTACTTTAACGAACACACGAAAGAATTGATTGATCTTTTGCATTAGATCACATTGTCCGCAACAATGATTTTGTCGTATGCCGTGCCCAAACTCACAGAAATCCTACGTAGTTCTTATTTTATTGATTGATACCGTTTAGAATTTAACCTGTTATAAAAACAATCAAACATAGTAGAATGTATCTGTTGTTGAAAGAAAGAAGCTATCGAGATGACAACATAAAGAAGCAATCCAAATTCCGGAACTACGGTTACAAGCCGGTTCATGACAGAGGGTCAAAACGCGGAGTGGCTTGTGACTTGCCTTCAAGCTTGGCAAGTCGGGTCGTCTTCGGTCTCAAAGCCCGTTCGTCTGGACATTGTTGTTAATGCCGCCACCTACTGCCAAAAACGCTGCAACTGAAGAGAAAGGCAAGGCCATAGCGAACAAAGATCTCAGTTGTTTGCGATGTCGAAAAAAGAAAGCAAAGTAAGATTGTGGTCCAAGCTTCAGGCTGCCTGCAACCCAACCGTTTTAGGCGCTAACTTCACTTACAGATGCTCAAAGACACGACCAACGTGTGCACGGTGTGCAAGATCTAACCAAGAAGTACGCAAGTTAAACAGGTTTTTCACAAGGCGATTGCATTCATTTTAAATCCTCTTTCCCGTAGTGTGTGTACCCAGACGCTCCACCCAATTTGACCGACTTATCCCAGACGGTGTTGTCATTGTACGATACCCTGAGACACCTGGAAGGCGAAATGCTCAACCAATATATGGAAGAGAGAGAAAATAACGTCAAGAAAGAAGCAGAAGACGACGATGGCAATAATTTGACATTGATCAGTACTGGCAACAGGAACGTTGGGCCGGCAGAAATAATTTTGTCAAATACCGGAATGGACGATGAAACAATGGATGACGAACAAGTATTCGAGGAGAAGTCAGCTTCCTCGTGGTCTTTGTCTTTCACGCATTTGGGACTATCGCTGCAAGCCGCAGTGCATAATGTGTTGGAGCTCGAAAACTTTTTAAAAGACATCTCAGGCGGTATATTTAGGGGGTTCGACGCTGCCAGTGCAGACAATTCCGATCACGATTCTTATTCTGATGATGAAGAATTAGACGATTCCGAGTACCTTGTAACCATACCGGTTTGTAGATTCTCTAACCTCGTTAGTAATACACTAATTGATCAAGAAATGGATACCGATTTTGGGGATGAAGAACCTCGATTCACCAACTTACCATTCAACCTATTTCATGAACATACTGATTGGAAGCGCCGTATAGCGCAAAAATATCCTCCTCATGTGGTTCTTTTAGTAGAGGCCTTAGAATCCTTTATCGTCAAGGACACCCATGAAAAATCGGACAATGGTGCTTCTGACAGCACCACCTCTGAATTTGTCTATTTGGCAGCCGCTACCATTATCTTCGCAAGTAATGACGAAGGAAAAAATCCGGCAGATGAAAGAGCCTTAGCCGAACAGTATTGCGTCAGTGCAACCAATATCCTATTTGAGAATACATTTTCAGATATCGAAACCAATGAGTGGCTACCCATCATACAAGCCATTCTCGTCCTCGGCTGGTATGAATTTGTATCTAAACGGTGCTTGATCCGAGCTAGGCAGCTTGTTGTGTTTGCCATTCGAGTATTTCTTATATACCAAAGCCAAAGGAATCCTCCATCGCGAGAGTGGCAGATCGCTGTCATGTCGTTGGTATACTTGGATGTTCTCTCCTCCGCATGTATGAATAGACGAACCTTGCTCGACGGCGACAATGTTGCAAACATCTCTCGGCAACTATTGGTCAAAACAGGATCACCAGATGCCCCAGACTACTTTGCGGAATCACTTTATATGGAGTTTCAATCCATTCGCCTTCTTCGCCAAGTCATACGGACTTTCTACGCAGTAGACGATAACGAGACGAAAAGAGATCTTGTTGCCAAAGTGGATGTGGATGAAGTCTTGAACTTGGTGAAAGACGTTGAAAAGTGGGAGACTGACCTATCCTCATGGGCGTTGTTCGACTCTGATGAAGAATTGGCTAGTTTGGACGACGAACTGAGTACCATTAAAGCAAGATGCAAGCTTCATGCCCACGCTCTGCACAATGTCGTCAAGGTCCTCCTATTTAGACCATTTTGCACCGACTTTCAGCGATATGAAGATCAGAATGACGAGGCCGACGATACTAGATTTGATCAGACACACACTCATACCACCTTTCTTGACTTATCGCTAGAGTCTGCTATGAAAATCGCCCGATGCTATAGAGTCTTAAGCACGGATGACTTCATTCTGGTTATTGGCAAGTCGCTTGTAGAAGATGTCATTGCTCGCGTACAAAGGGCATTCGAAAGCGACGAAGATATGATGCGCTCAATCAAGTTACTACAAAATACTTTATCTACCCATTAACCTTGATGCTATCTATTATTTTGAGCATATGGTCATTGCAGTAAGACTGTAGTGACCAGTTCTCCAAAGCAAAAATGGATTTAATAGAATCTAATCTCAGAATATGTGAATAGACTTGTACCATATACGTTAATTACACTTCGGATTGCAAGGGAAAAATTGTCCCGTAATAAAAATGAATAGTATCTGTTGTTAACAAAACATATCACAGGATCGATATTCCTTGCTAGCATTATGACCTAAGCGCTTTTCAGCTATACTTACTTAGCATTTATGACCGTGGAGTGCGTTATAGACTCTAGTTTTTTTTTAACACCTCTTAAATGTGCTGCCAGAAATCAACTGACAACACCTTATCTTTTAGCTTATTGCGGCATAATGTTAAAATAATGCCAAGAAGTACCTTGCATTAACTTTAGAGAAAAGAATAATATGTGTTACCCATAAGATGGCGCTCTCAGTCAGTAGCGTTATAGTATAGCGTTATCTCTAAGAAAGGGGGGAGATTCAGCATCACAGCAGGGAGAACATCCAGACTCAATTTTAAACGGCGCCGAACCACAACACCCCCCTTCAATTTGCTTGTTCTTGCCCTTCATCTCTTTTGACTCTGCGTTAAAGGTGAGTTCAACATCCATATGATTTCTTTTGAAAGTCCTGCTGTATGCACACCATATTGGCAAAAACCAAAACGACGTGAATCGAAAGATCGATGGGAAGAGTTTGAATTATTCTCTACCGTGAGCGATCCACGCATGTCCCACACGGATCTTATCGGCGAGGAACGCGTATATTATCTTTCGACCTTACAGTCGAACACTATATTGCTTGACCCAGCTTGACAACATACTTCGTGAGGTTTCCATAAAAAACTCAGCAAAAGTTTAGTGATTGACACTGTGATTCCCAATAGACATCAAGGCACATTATGGCGGAGACAAAGGCAATCATTAAGAGTGCTGACATGAGTGAGGAGATGCAGCAAGAGGCTGTTGACTGCGGTACCCAAGCTTTGGAGAAGTACAATATTGAAAAAGATATTGCTGCTCATATCAAGCGCGAATTCGACAAGAAATATGGTGAGAAGACCTCACTTCAATGCATCTAAACCCACAGAAAATAGTTCTAATGTATGCAATTTGTAGGCCCAACTTGGCATTGTGTTGTTGGCCGAAACTTTGGAAGCTTTGTGACCCACGGTACGTAACTATGATGACACCTAAAATATATATACAAGTACACTAATTGATTTGTTTCAGAGTCCAAACACTTCATCTACTTTTATCATGGCCAGATTGCAGTTCTCCTGTTCAAATCAGCATAATATCAATCAATTGTAATGGCAGTAGTTAAAATCAATAAAAAAGTTGATGATTGAAGATCAAGGCTGTTTTGCTATGATTTTAATTATAATTTTTTTTTTTCAATGCAGTAATTTTTTTTTAAAAGCCAACACTGTAATTATCCAAGTTTCAAAACGCTTTCCTTCGTTTTCTCCCCCTCAGCTTATCTTCACAATCAGCAAAATGGAGCTGCTAATGCTAGTATTGGCATCGGCCCAAGTACGTACACAGCAACCCTACTAATAAGCTATTGACAATGCGTCTGTCATACCTCAATATCTAACGCATTGATCCTACCTCCGCTTGACAGGCCATACTACAAGTTATTCTCGTTGTTCTGTTCGGCTACGGTTTAGCTAAGGCTGGTTTCTTTCCAAAGGAAAATCTGAAGGTTTGTCCAAATACCACTCACCATCTATGGAGTCTTATCTGCCACGTAGCTCACCTCTTCACTTTTTCAATGCCATAGTGGTTGTCAAATTTGAACATGAAGTTTTTCACTCCTTGCCTGCTCTTCTCGAAGATGGCCTCGGTTATCTCTCTAGAGATCTTCCTAGCATTCTGGCCCATTCCTCTGTTCTTTCTCACCTTTGCAGTTTTGTCATTTATCACGGCCCAGCTATGTTCCAGAATTCTTGGAATTTCTGAAGCTTATCGTCGATTCGTTACCGCTTGCGTCATGTTTAGCAATACCAACTCGTTGCCTATTGCCGTGATGACAAGTTTGGCCGTATCTGAAGCTGGGAAATTGCTTTATTGGAAAGCCGATGATAGCAGAGCCGATGTGGCTGCCAGGTAGAGTAGAGAAATATTTGAGACTCCTAAACGCACCTTCCTCCCTTTGCTGATACATCTATTTTTTTCTTGCCTTTGTTAAATCTCCGCAGAGGAATCTCATACATCTTATTCTATGCAATATTCGGTAATATTATAAGGTGGAGCTATGGATACAAGCTGATGACCATTCCACATGAGGAGGAGCAGCAAGCCAATGACTCGATTTTGCCGACTGTCGCCAAGCCAAAATATCTACCTTCGGCAACTCAGACCAATCGATATCATTACGACAGTTTAAGCACGTGCCCACCTTTGTCCATTTCAAATACAGAAATTGGGAACGAGCAAGAGCATGCCCAGTCAAGACGACGATCAAACTCATCAACTTCAGAACTCAGCTCGATAGACCGAACTCTAACTGCCGAAGAAAGTGATCATTACAGACTTTTGACAGAAAACGCAAGTACCGTCACCTTGGCGCCAAGCGATGACAATAATGAAGACAACCATCGCATTCACAACAAACATCGTGGCGAGCTTGAGCACCCTGTTCAACCACCTACGTATAACGAAAATTCGCCCTTGCTTTCTTTTCCGTCTCTACCCGCCGAATATGTGGAAGAACATGAAACCGTCTGTCCACTTGCTCGATATCCTGGCGGCAAACGAATTCTCACTGTCTATGCTCGACTTACTAAATATATGACTCCTCCGCTTTGGGCGGCGTTGGCTGCTTTATTTGTTGGCCTTACTCCTCTCAAGCCCATCCTATTTGACAAACACCGCTTTCTATATCCATCTTTCACCAAAGCCATTGAATCATGTGGTTCAGTTGCTGTTCCCATCATTCTCGTATGTCTAGGCGCCCAACTTGCCTCGTTCAGTATACATCACCGTTGCTCGTCTGACGATATGAAGAAACCCATTGCAGCAGCCGTCACCATTCGCATGCTGATCATGCCGCTCTTCGTCATTCCATTAACAACGCTTTTTATCGCCTATGGAGAAGGAATCAGTAGTTTGGCAAGCGATCCTGTGTTTGCAGTAGCCATGATTATGATCGGATGTGCACCTACCGCCATCAATCTAGTGCAGATGACTCAAGTATACCCCAATTTCTTTGAAGAAGAAATGCTTCGTGTCCTATTTTGGAGTTACGGCGTTATCTGCACACCTATGATGACAGTTGTTGTACTGCTGGCTTTAGAAGTGGTTCAGAAAGTAACGTAATGTAAAGGATTGGCCTCTCGATAACAAGATACATACATCCTAGCAGTTTCAAGTCCCTGGTCACTTCAAATCTTAATAATGATCGCAATTTTTCCTAATTCATCCACCCCCCCTATGCTCTTTTGGCAACTTTGTACATAGCACTAGCCATTACATCCGTAGATAAACATATGTCGACTTTCTTCGCATATGAATATGTCCGTCAGTAGAAAATAAAGTAATACACTCGGTCAGTGGACGCAACTTCACCACAGCAATTTGTCTGGGTTCTAAAAATCCATTGTTATTGTAATGCGACCAAAATGGAAATTTGTAAATGGAACGCGTAGAGGTAAATGAGAGCTGGCCAGGCGCTGCCAAACATCGTCGCACTTGTAAGCAAATAATGAATCTCTAGCCTGCAGAAAACTTTCAGTCATCCTGTCACATACTTAGCTTGGTACATCAAACAACAACGTATTACACTAGAAAAGATTAGAAAGAAGCTATGCCATTACTTGACTTTTGAACACTGGTAGAATCCATAGAACCCACGACATTTATATTTGAATTAGTGGCAGTAATTAACGCGGACTTCTGTCCGAACCTCTCAAACTGATTTCCCTCCAAAATTCCATTAATGGGATGTGGCGGGCATGTGGCTCGTTTGCCGAGTCCAGAGTTTTCCAATCCATCCTTTCTCGTTTTACAGATCAGCTTGGCAAACAAAATGGCTTCAGCTGAAGTTGAGGTACCAAACAACTTTGCAAATAACTTTTGGGTAAGTTCAAACGCCACCGTCAGTCACAACTCCTGCTGGCTCTATGCTCCTTTGGTAGAGATGCCCTGACATGTTACGTTGGTCCATTAGGGCCGCAATGATGCCGGCACGGAAATCCTTCGAGCTCGAATGTTGAGCTCCAAGCAAACGAACGAGGACCTCAAAACCTTTTACAATGTCAAGTAAGTGACTACAGTCCTCGGCGTATTATACTGTTTGGCCGACCTGACAGTATGCGGCGTTCTAAATTACGTCTTTTGAACTCATCTAATGATGTTCCAGAGCCGCTCTCCATGAGGATTTCGGTAAAAAGCTACTCAAACACTCCAAAATGGTGATTGGAAAGGATGAAACAGGGTGATTAAAATCAGTAGAGATTATATGCATTTGAATGTAATGTACTACTCTAATCTATCTCCGTTACCCCGCGATCATAGGACATTGCGGCGACTGTTGGATGGTATCCGAGATGAACTGGAAGCAGTTGGACAAAACAACGTAACTCTTGCACAGAGAATCCGTAATAGTTTGGAAACCCCTCTCCAAAACTTCATTACGGACCAACGAGACCAGAGAAAGCTGGTAGGAAAACACATCCCTTATATATCTGTTGCTGGCCGTGCATCATTTACAAACGACTACCATAGATTCAAGTAGGTGTGGACAAGCAGCAAAGAAACAAACAGCTTCACATCAATCATGTATACAAGGTGGGTTGATAACAAGATACGATGCTGTCTAAAAGGGGATGGGATTGTATATAGCTTGAGAGTTGTTACTAATATTGCCATCACAAAAAAGTCAAGGGAGAAATACTATGCAGAATGCTCAAAGATGCTCAATCTTCAAAATCAACTTGAAACATGTATAGCCGGTCGCGAGTATGAAAAGATCAAACAAAAGCATGAGAAGTCACGGCTGGAGGTAAAGACCTCAGGTACGTATGACATATAGGGCGAAAAGCGCAGCTGTTGAAAGTGAAACTGAAGCTGGGTCATTTTTTCAGATAAGGAATATCAAGCTGCGTGTACAGGACTTAAGAATGTGATGCAACAATGGCAAAACGAATGGAAAATTGCATGTGATGTTAGTAAAAGCGAAAGACATGTTGCCAAATCACCCTATGCATAATGCTAACTAAGTGTGGAAATAGAAATTTCAAGAAATGGAGGAGAAACGAATAGAATTTCTGCATCACAGCTTATGCGTCTATGTGAACATATTACAGACAGTTACCGATCAAGAAAGAGAGGTAAGTTATGATACCGGCTGACCGTGCTGCTTATCATTTGTGCTTACTGACCCTGTGTTTTACATTACTCCAGTCTCATGAACAGATATGGGATCTGCTGGACCATTGTGATGTGGAACAAGATATTCAATATTTCATCGAGAAGCAAGGAACGGGGAATAATATACCAGGTTTTTATCCATTTCGAGGTAGTGGCAAACTGATCGAGTCTGGTTATTTACACTTTATGAATCACTGCAGAACCACCTTCATACATTGACTTCTTTTCGGAAACCCGTGATGAACAACCAAAATACAGCATCGCCAACTTTGCTGGACGACAGAACAGTAAACGACTGTCTACCAGTGCTATACCCAACAGTAAGAGCGATCAAGAACTGAAGCGGGCTTCTACTCAATCTCTGCAATCTATTACACAACCCTTACAGCGGGCATCCTCCACACGGCTATCCTCCAGCATAGAACGAGACAGCCGGCAACTTTCGAACGCCGGTGACGAAGAAATTTTTATTGAGGATTCTGCACAGGGAGTTCTTGTCCCTATTGTTACGAAAAAGACAAGTAGCCAGATCCAATCTCTAGAATCCTCTAGAGTTCAGTCTCTGGAGTCCTCCAGGGTTATGAATCAAGCATCAGATGATGTATTTCATACAACGGAAAGAGCGAAAATTCACGAATACAGTGACGGAGAATCCACACCTAGCCATTCCCATCCCAAAAAATCTTTCGTCACTAGGTTATCACGAAAGCTTAGTCAAAACCTGGATCGCTCGTTTGACCATGCCCTTGAAGGATTGATTTATAAGATGGAAAAGGGAAGAGATGTTAATGATGTCGAATATTCACCGACGAAGACCTCTGCCCGATCCAACTCATACCGGCGTGCTCCATCACCCGTTAGAAATACCTCATCTTCCAGTGCTGCTTCCAAAAGCGGACGACCCACTTCACCTTATCTACCGGGTGGATGGCCTAATAACGAGCCAAAGGTCTCACTATCGACCTCAGCCAAGATCATTTCGGAACGTTCCGGTGTGATACAGTCTCCCTCCCCTTCATACTCAACAGGCACAGCGATCGGTGCCAAGACGTCTTCGGCTCGAGACCCACGCGGTAGTATCAAGATGAATGCCCCTCCAGCCATGCGAAGATCAGTCGTACAGCAACAGTCTCTCATGCCACAACCACCACCTTCACAAGAGAAACAAGTTGCTTCACACGATGGAGGCGAGCCTATAATATGCTGGGGTAAGTGTATATCCAATGGGTTAGAGGACATCAACAACGTTGAGATTGATCTTATTCGGTTTATTTTATGTTATGTTTCCCTTTATTGTAATACATTCTCACATTGGTTTTAGCTATTGCGCTCTTCAACTACCACGCAAAGTACGACGACGACCTGACGTTTGAACGAGGGGACTGGTTCGCTATAACGCAGATGGATCAAGGAGGGTGGTATATGGCGCATGCATGGAATGTGACGGATGCGCGATGGGTCGGCAAATATGGCTATGTGCCAAGCAACTTTCTACAACCTGCAAAATGATGAGGCATATTTAAACTGTATTTTCGTTGTCTCCAAAATCATAGAAACTGGGTATCCAATATTTGTCCTCTTCTCCTGGCGATAAATCCAACCATGCCAATCCGTCTTGTAACAGATTATCCTAATTTTTGTATTTAAATGTTTATAATGAAAATGATCAGTTTGCAATCCATGGTCTAATTTGACATACACTATCAATGACCTACCAGCGCTTGGAGGATTCGGCCTTCATGCCATTTAAATTCAGTTTCAATCATTCCTTTCGTCATGTAGCCCGTCGCCTTTGCGTCGATGGGTAAGCATATTTGGTCTGGTCGATACATGCCATTTGCAAAACCGATAAACTTACCTGCGCAAGCAGAAGCAGGGATGATTGATCCGTATCCAATTCTTTGGGCACTGAACGTACCATTTTGCGATTACCAATCGTCAAGATTTCGAATCCGCTACTTAATGGTTTGAGTGTTTTGATGGATCTCACTATGTCGTCTCTGAGAAATGAAAATGATAAGGCGACTTTAAAGAACGTAAGATCATTTTTCATCCTCTTCGATGCACTTACTCGCTTATTTCCGGTTGAGAGCTTTTTCTGTCACCTCGCTTAACTTTAATTCGACGCTTGAGTTCTCCCATTTCTATCAAACCACCGTTTTGTGGTCGTGTTGCAATACATATTTCTGTAATCTGCACGGAGAGTTCGAAATAGAAGTCACCAAACCCGAGCAGATCTGCCCAAAATCCTTTGTTTGCTGGTGAAAGTGGATATTCAGATCAAGTCTCATAGCTCATATTCCATATTATTCACTTACAGGCTAGAGGGTCTACTCCTATCTTTGTACACATTTGCTGAAAGTGCATGCGAAATGTTGGGTCCCGCCGTATATCTTTTCGGTACTTCCGGGCAAATTCTTGTAAGTTGGTCTTGAAGGTATCAAGCTGGTCATGAAGCTTATGGATACCATGGTCAGCAGTGTTGGTTTATATCGGTATAATGTATTGAGTGCCAGCACATACCTGCTGTATTTCTCTCGCAGCTATGTTGTCTCCAATCTCCTGAAACTTGCGCTGTGTGGCAAATCCAGATTAGCTAATGCAGTATGGCGACACAACAGTTTCGTCACAATACTTGCATCTAACGCTTTCCGATTTTCAGCATTAGCAATTCCAACAGCCCTTCGTCTCATTAAATATAAAGTGAAGTCAGAGAAAGAAGCTCGGTAAGGGAAGCTGAATTTGGCAAGCAACGGCAGAAAAGTCGCCAGCCAGCCAACTTGTGACTTTCAAACCCCCCTCGACTGACCCACCTCAACACACAGTCTTTCACTTGCTCACCCACCCACATTGTGTGCTAATCACTATGGCCGATAACCAAGACGCTGTGCCCGAGGTGCCACTCGCACTTGTCTCTAATCAGTACTATGAAACCAAAATTGCTCAGATGAGAAATCGTCCTGTTCCATGGGAGGTAATGCATCATGTCATAACCATGCCGCTACCGCCCATTTTTGCTCAATGCTTATCACGTCAATAGGGTTATCAGCGCGCCAACTTGATTACTTCTGAGCAGTTGGATCTCATTCAACGCATTGATAACAAGTCACCTCAAGTTATCAAAGAACTTGCTGATGAGCGAGGCGATACCTATGCGAATCTGTACCTTCAAATACTAGACACCCTGAACCGACCAGATACCATTCAGCACGTCCTTCTTTTGATAGAGGACTTCTTGACAGGTAATATATAATTTGCCGCGCTTTAGTATATCATTACGTGATCAGTCTAATCATTTTTTTGAATGCTTTGCCTACCAGATCATGAAGAAAATGTTCAATATTTCCATCATGCTAGTGGCAACAAACCCACATATCCATTTGGTCCTCTTTTCAAGTACGCTGTCATTTTGAAATGGTTGCCTGATTTTATTCGTCAGCGAACTTAATCATGCATTTCCTCTTTTTTCATCAGACATCTTCGCGTAAACGACGATATTGTACCTCTGCAAGCATCCAAGATCCTCACCATCTTTGCTTCGTAAGTCTTGCCATTTCATGGTTATCGTCATACCATATTATCGCCTGCTCACCTTGGTTGAAATTGATTAGCTCTGCCCCCTCTCCATCTATGGTCGATCTCAGCCCTTATTTCAACTGGATAGCCACCCAAGTACAAAGCGAGGATTTGCGAATCGTGGATCTGGCCGTACAGGAATTGGAATCAATTTTAAGAGTGCGCGAGTATCGATTGCCCTTCTGGGAGACACCAAAGGCTGCTGAATCGTAAGTGATCATTCAATTTTGTGTTCATGTATGTGCGATATACGGGACTCTGTGTACTCATTCATTGCTTGATAGGTTGATTCATGTGCTTCGACGAACGAGCCCAGGTCCTCAAATGCAGTACCAGGTTATCTTTTGCATATGGCTGTTAACATTCGACGCTCAAATAGCAAGCACGATCAACCGGTAGGTATCCTTCAACTACACCTACTCTGCTCATGTGCAGTCGACTAATGATGCCTTTTGCAGACAATACGATATCATCCCGTTGCTTATTGACATTGCCAAATCAGCTCTCAAGGAAAAGGTTATTCGCGTTGTCATTGCTAGCTTCCGAGTAAGTTGTAGTTTGGAGAATTAGCTACTGGTTTCTTTACAGGCTGCTAATCGAAACATGCTTTCAAACAGAACCTCGTTGAGAAACAACCAGAATCTAACTTGGCTGCCATGCTTGTCGCCAAGTTATTGCCATTCACAGAAAACCTTAGTACCAGGAAGTGGTCCGACACCGATATCGTCGAAGATATTGAGTATTTGAAGGCCGAGTTGGAAGAGAACTTCCATAGCCTGAGGTATGCACTGAGCTGACTTCACTGTAGCCATCGATATCTTATGCTCATAAACACCTTACAGCACCTTTGAAGAATATTCTTCTGAGGTTGAGACAGGAAAGCTCAACTGGTCACCCCCACACAAGTCAGAAGTGTTCTGGAAGGAGAATGCACAGCGACTTAATGAGCAAGACTATCGTCTTCTTAGAATCTTGGCGCGATTGCTTAGTACCTCACAAAGCCCCCTTGTTCTTTCTGTTGCTGCTCATGACATTGGTCAGTATGTTAAATACTCTTCCAAGGACGCTAAAAAGTAAGTTGAAGGAAAAGGTGGATGCAAATGTTATTAGATACTAATCTAACTCCATCCCTTCAGGATCGTCCAAGAAATTGGAGCCAAGCAACGAATCATGGAGCTTATGACCCATGAAGACCAGGATGTACGATATCAAGCACTCTCCGCAGTGCAGAAATACATGACCAACGCATGGGAGTTTTAAGCAACCAGTGTTGAGGAGGCGATAGATTGCACATTTTTCATACGAACAACAAAATAAATAAAATAACAAAAATATCCCTGTCTCTTCTTTTTCTGCCAGCACCTTACTGTCCATGATACGTGCATTTGGCCTCAATTCGTTTGGTCAAACCATGCCGTCCGGAGGGAATGGGGAGCTGCCAGCGGACATTACCCGCGTACTCTATTGTACTTGGGAATGCAGCTTTGGCATCAATGGTGAGCTTGCATTACCAACCTCAAAGACATTTTTGCTTTGTTCGTCTGGCCACTAAATAACCGACCGCGCTTGTGCGTGTATAGATAAAGGCGTTTTGGTGGTGTGGGGATATAACCCGCAGACTGGTTCATTGACATCAGGGGCAGTTCCGTTCCATAACGTTCGAGGAACAGACGTTGTCAAAGTGTACGGCGATCCAAACTCTACCCTTGGTATCCTGCTCTCAGACGGCAGCGTGTACCACTACAGCGTACCTGGATCGGGTGAGCCTATGTTCGTGGCCAGCCATTGCAAGGACGTAGCGTGCATGGCCGGCTCTCAGATCGTGATTTTGATCAAGTACGAAATTTTTCATTGTTTTAAAAACGCATTGAACCTATACTTCCATCTATTGAAGTCTTATCCATACATTACACTAGGAACGATGGAGAAGTGTACCATGCGGCCCTAAACGGTCGAGAATCACCTACCAAGATAGACATACCAGCGGTCCAAGGTGCTGAAGCCTCCTTGTATCATGCCATCCTCTACTGCAGCTCTCCGTTTGCTGTGTATGGTATAGGCTCCAATCGATTTGGTCAGCTTGGCTCACCAGAGTCTCCGGAAGCTCTGCAAGCAATACCGATTGCGTTTTTTGATGGCTTGACTCCAACTCAATTCCAAATCAGCTGTGGTACTTTCCACACTGCTTTCGTTCTAGATGGCGACGTGTACATATGCGGTCTAGGAACTCACCGCTCAGCAGGGAACCAGGATGATAACCAAGGATATCCTGTATTGGCAGAGTTCCAGGATGGGAAAGAGTGCGATGTAAATATTGTGAAAGTTGTTTGTGGAGGCAAACACATTATTGCGATAGACGGTAAGCGTGTCACGCACGACTCATTATAAGCGATATTTAGCAACGAGCTAATGCTGGATTAGATCAAGGTGGAGCTTGGGGTGTAGGAAGTAGCAAATATGGACAACTGCCGAGACAAGAAGGCAACAACGGCAATGCACTGGAATTAAACGAAATTTTCCATCGTTTAGAATTGAATGGCTATGGAGTAGACTGCTGGGCAGGTCCACAGAACTCATTCCTTCAAATAAAATGATACCCACAGGTTTTTCTGGTACAATGTCTGTGCGATTTATATCTTTTTTTTTAGCTGTAAAACTTCTATAAAACTTTTATGGGGGGATTTGGGTGCTGTATGGCAAACAAAGAATATATGACTACAATTACAATGGGGTGATGGGGAAAGAAGAAGCGAACCCAATCATTATTTCTTTTTGTTGCTAGGCATTTCTGGCTCTTCGTCCTTGGGCTGAGACTTCTGCATCAAGGTCAAAATTCTAGACATGAGCAGAGGGTGTGTTTTGCCCAAAGGTGTCTTCGCAGATAATGAATCGGCAGCTCTCATGTTGTTAGCCTTAGCAGACTGTTTAGCATTGGGAGAGGGGGTGGTTTTGAACATATCCTGAAGGGCAACTTCACCACCCTCATCACTCTCTGAGTATCCAAGGTAATCCTTCTCATCCTTGTTGATGTAAATAGGTTCTTCGCCTGGCTTGACGCTGCTGAGCGTAACGTTGGGACTGCCATCCGCTTCAATGGAAGCGTGGTTGACGTAGAAAGTGCGAACTTCCTTATCAATAGGTGGTCGTCCGGTATTCTTGACGGGAAGTGTTGCGGTAATTCCAGAAACACCAACAACGTACTTCATAGCACCATCCATGTTGACGATACGACCTTCAACAGGATACCCGTATTCCACTTGGTGATCAGAGTAGGTAGGACCGACAATGGATTGCGATCGTTGAGCGGTGGGCGAGGCAGTGACACCCAAATATTCGAGAAGCTGGTTCTTTGAAAGTTTTTCGTCCTTGACCAACTGAATGTATTCTTCGGAACGCTTGCCTGATTTCTTCAAAAGAAGCTTGAATTGTTCCTCGGTCATGGAACCAAGATCCTTGAGGACAACCTCTGGCTGGGGCTTGGGGGCGGTCGAGTTGGGGAAGTTCTCCTTCCATACACGGACGAAATTGACGGAGGAATTGGCAGAGTCCCAAGGAGTTTGATGCTCGGCTGTGTCTAATGCGCCTACAGTGATGAGTTTGGTGCGAATGACGGTGGGCAGGCTGCGCTTGAGACCCCAATCACCCCTCTTCTTCCAGCAGTTTTTTGTGGAGTAAACTTGAGGAATAGCAGAGTCGAACGACGCAAGCTTGGACGTACGCAATAGCTTTGCAAATGATTTTTCCATGCTGGCCCTGCTGAAGTTGGAATCTGACAATGGTCCCAAAGCTTTTTTGTTGTTGACAACTCCAAAAATCCCAAAGCGTCGGTATTAGCAGTCACACTTCCAGGTCAAGCAAGCTCAACTCTACAAAAGTTGAATGGAGGGAACCAAGCTCAAGCTTCCTTGTATTGTTAAAAAAATTCATCTACTCGTTTGTTGCTTCACTGGAATATGTCTTCGCTCTCTTTGTACACCACATGATTGTCGTACGGTTCTTTGTATCAGAAATGACGACAGTCGCCGTAAGCGATCAATTCATTGATATCCGCTGTCATTTAATAATGAATGCCCATTATCCTCCATATTGCCATTATGAAATCACTTTCTTCCGTTGTTTTACTACGTAGTTTATAAAGGGCTTACAAATGAATGAAAGATAGAGCAAAGGGCAAATTTGGGGAGGAAGCGCGCGACCTGAATTTTTTTTATTGGGCCCCCCCAATTGAGTTCAAAGATGACGGACTCCTTCGACAGCCAATTTGGGCTTCCAGCAAACCTCCACCAACAACTCCATTCTTCGAAATCCTGTTTCAACCATGAGGATCGATATCTCAGGGCGGTTCTTCATTGGAGGCGTATTGGTTCTGATATCGACGATCGCCTATCCCTCGCAATGGTTCGTCTTCTACGCACCTTTAGGCGGCTGGGCCTGGTCGACTGCCAAAGTGTTGGTACCTTTAAATATTCTCGTGGCCATGGTGTTTTACAATTACTACCTGTCATGTTCAACGGATCCAGGGAGAATCCCATTGGATTGGGTAAGTTTACGTGATCTTGTCACCGTCTCCTCCAATCGCTCACAAATCGTCAACTACTATGGCTTACAGGAACCTCCAGCTACTATTGCCCAACCGACGGAGGAAGGCAAGCGGATGGGTATCACTGGCCCCCGGTTTTGTAAAACTTGCAATGTATTTAAGCCCCCTCGATCACATCATTGCAGCGCTTGTCGTCGCTGTGTCCTAAAAATGGACCACCATTGTCCTTGGATTGCCAACTGCGTAGGCTATGACAATTATGGCCACTTTTTCCGCTTTCTTATTTATGTCGACTTGGCAACTTTGTATGTACTGATACTGCTCATTTGGAGAATACGAAAAATTATGGACGACATTCGACATTTTAGGGTAAGTAGCCGTGATTATGGCATCCTGAGTCTTCATAACCTGTGACATTGAACACTCTATTCTATTTCTTAGTTCCAGGCAGAACCGTCCACCACCGAAGTTGTCTTCCTCGTCCTTACTTTTGTACTGGACCTTGTAGTGCTGTTGTGTGTAGGCGTTCTGAGTTGCTATCATATATATTGTGTGTGCAAGAACCAATCCACCATTGAGAGCTGGGAGCGCGGTAAAGTCAAAGGCTTGGTTCGACGGGGCAAGATCCCATCGGTAAGGCGGATGGTTTCTCAGAGTACTTGATTGTACGATTTTTCTAACCTTTTGCACCGGGCTTCAGACACAATACCCGTTCAGTATTGGGATTATAAAAAATATCTGCTCAGTGCTTGGCCCTAACCCACTGCTATGGCTTTGGCCACAAAAACCACCAGGTGATGGACTCCAGTATCCAGTTAGTAAAGGCATAGGTAATTTAAACATGGTTGCAACTAGTGTTGGCGTTAAAAATGTTGGCTTTACTAACATTGTATATAGACCCAAGAGCAGCTTACATCTGGCCACCTCGCGACCCAGACGATCTACGACCCTCCATCTTTTCTCGAGGACAACATCCGGCTGGTAGAAATGGTAAAGCCCGATATCACCCCACACCGCAGCAGCGAAACCATGTTCGTCGCGATTCGGAAGGATATCTTGTGCGTGAACTGACGGCAGAAGAACGAACGTCGATGATGGAGTCCTATGTGGACGACGAAAATGCACAAGTGTATGAGATGGGAATGCACGAACCTGGACCTTATAATTACGAGGAAGATTATTATGACTCTGGCAGCGCCATTACTGATAGCGGCGATGAATTCTCTCTTACTGAAGATGAAGAAAACATGCGAAATGCCGTTAATGGATACGATTATCCTCCTGATAACTATGCGGATGAAGATGCTCAGTGGGAACAATACGTGGCCGCTGACTACGCAGGACGACCCGACCTTGCATACAATCAGGAAGAAGAGTATGCAATAGAAGAGGACGACGGTGACGACGCACCCCTTGCTACCTTGATACCAAAGACTAACTCCACGACAAAAGGTCTCAAGAAGGATTAGCAGATGTTTTCATATATTTTGTCATAATATTGTAGTTCAATTGCACGTATTTTTTTTCGGTTTTCATTAATGGTATTGATTGTTGTGGCAATTTAGCCTTTTGGTGGTCAAGACGCATTGGATGGAAATTCACGCGTATCGAAAGTGGAGGCTGTTCTACTTGCAAGATACCACGATTCTTCTATACCACATCATTGAGGCGTTCTTACTTCTGGACATATGAATCGACTACCGTTTACTCAGGGAAGCAAGCTGCAGCCACATTGCCGCATTAGAAAATGCAATTTTTTCCATGGTGCGTCTTCTGTCAACGATACGTTCTTCCCTTTACACTGTAAAATGTCTTTCTCCTCGTCAAAACGTCCAGTATTAGCCGTATTGGGCTGTGGCACTATGGGTGTTGCCATTTTGAAAGGTACGTTTTTAAAATCGGCAACTCACATGGGTAAGATCTGTCCTTTGACCGATTCAGTCACGAAGGAATTCACGACACTTTGGATGGAGGATGCCAAGAGGAACTATTTCCCAACAAGTTCCTAGTAACATGTTCTCGGCAAGAATCTAAAGCTCGATTGACTAAAACATTCGAGCGTAACGATACAGAAGTTCATTGTGGCGATAATGTTCACGTCGCAGAGGTTTCAGACATTGTACTCTTGTGGTTAGTTCCGGGCATGGAAGAATACCGAACATAATGATAGGATGATCATAACGCTGCTTTCTATTCTAGTTGTAAGCCTCAAGGCTCGAAGGCTATCTTGACACTTCCGGGTATGAAAGAGGCTCTTAAAAACAAATGTTTAATCAGCATTTGCGCTGGTGTGACTATTCTTCAAATGCAAGATTGGCTGGATCCAAGTACACACGTTATGCGAGCTATGCCCAACACACCATGCAAAGTGAGTATCATCGAAGGATGGACTAATTCTATCTCATTCTGTGCCTGTTACTGATCCCCCATCCTATCCAGATTCGCCAGGGTATGACCGTATTGAGTCCAGCATCCAATGTTGATCAAGTATACCAGCAATTGGCTTTTAACATGTTTTCGACATTGGGACGATGCAGAGTACTGGAGGAGAAGCATATGGACGCTGTCACAGCATTGTCAGGCTCAGGTCCAGCGTTTGGGTGGTGAGACATCATAGCATTTTGCCTGTCTGAGACGCATGGATACCATTGGCTAATTTTTGTTTCTTTGATATCACGTTTAGTGTAATTTTGGAGGCATTCGCTGATGGTGGTGTCATGATGGGTTTACCTAGAGACGTTGCTATTGAACTAGCGGCACAAGGTATGATGACATATTGCATAAGCTGCATAATCTTAATTTTCTGATGATATCTTTCACATTTAGCTATGAATGGAGCAGCTAGAATGGTATTGGAAACTGGTGCTCATCCCGCCGAAATCAAAGATGGTGTTACAACACCAGCAGGTTCAACGATAGCGGGATTACTTACCATGGAGGATGGAAAAATTCGGTCCACTTTGGCCAGAACTATCCAAGAAGCGACTAATGTCGCCAGCACCTTGGGCCGAAAGCAGTCCTAAACCGTTGTGAAGTCCAGGGGATTGCCGTTGACCAACCGGATGCAAGATTACAGTATGTCTCTGGTATTTCTTTTTTAACGGCGGCTACTTGCTCGGCAATCGAATGACAATAAAAAAAAAATTGATGTTAGCGTCAAATGAGACCACGTCTTTTACCCTCCTATGATTTCTGCTGCTCTTTCATAGTAGTTTCTCTCTCCTCCAAAACCATTTTGCTTACGCTTAAATCCAATGAGTCTAATTCGAACCTTGACTCAGCGTCCCCTTTCCATAGCAACTGCGCCTCATACCAAACGTTCACAAGTAGGCTCTCAAAAGAACAATGAGGCTAACCTGTGGATATTGCCTTCAAGCATGCCTGTAGAATATAACGAGCTCAAATCAATGTACCAGCTCTCCAAAGATAATTCAAAACGAAGGCGATGGTCAAAGCTGCTGGTCAAATATCGGGATGTGTATCCGCGAGGGCCCATGGCTGAGCAGCTGGCAATGACAGCCGCTCAATGAGTCGTTGTACAGACATGATTTTCTCCGCTTAATAAATTTAGCAGCCTCCCTACAAAGGTGGTTTCTTTATATCACTCATATCCCTTGCCTCGCCTTTCTTCAATCAATCCATGAATATCTCTAGAACCGACTTGCAAGCCGCTTTGGAGCGAGTTGTGCAGATCGCCCTTGATCGCAATGACCATTTGCCCGAATTACCTGTTGTTCAAATGAATCAGAATACTGATCAGGCCGAGACTCAGCTGCTGACAAGTCGCCTACCCACAACCGGCCAGCCTCTCGACAAGACGTTTGATCAAGTGTTTGACAGCGTGCTGAAGGAAGCGCCCAATGCCAATGGACCTAGGTGAGGATTTGTGTACATAGGATAGGGGCCAACCCTCAGGCATTGTTAATAATGGAGGTCTTAGGTTTTTTGGTTTGATCACAGGGGGGACAACACCGGCCTCTATTGTTGGTGACTTTCTGGCAACCCTCTATGACTTGAACGTGGCCTTGCATCTGCCTAAGGAGACCAACGCAGTGACAATTGAACAATTGGCCCTCGATATGGTGTTGGATCTCTGCCAAATCCCTCGAGAGGCGTATCCCGGCAAGCTCTTAACCACAGGAGCAACTGCCAGCAACACCATGGGCATGATGATTGCCAGGCAGTGGGTAGGAAAGAAAAGATTCAATATCGACATTGCCGAAGATGGCTTCTGCGGCAAAGTGATCAAAGTGATTGGTGGCCGAGCCCATTCCAGTGTCATTAAAGCTGTCGGAGTAGCGGGTCTAGGACGCGGAAACTACATTGATGTTTCGCTGGATCAACGTGGCTACAAATGGGATTTGGAAAAGATGGAAACCATTCTCAAGGCACAAAGGAACGGAGACTCCGAAGGTTCTATTGTGGTGGTCGGCTGCGGAGAGGTACAAATCGCTTTTGTGTAAATCAGAACTGTCACTCAACGGCGTCCCGAATTAACATCCTTTCCAAGCAGATCAATACGGGTGGATTCACTGCAGATATCGATAAAATTCGAGCACTATGCACTCAGTACGATGCTTGGCTGCATATTGACGCTGCATTTGGTTTGTACGCTCGAGCAATGCCTTCCCATGCTGCGTTTGCTGCTAACATCGAGATGGGTGACAGTATGACTTCAGACGCGCATAAGGTACAAACCAGCTCATCTTCTTTGTGTGGCCCCGCTTAAACAATGGCTAACCTATGGTTGTAGTGGCTAAATGTGCCTTATGACTGTGGATTGTTTTATACCAAGCACATCGATATGTGCTCAGAAGTTTTCGGAGGAGCCAAGTCTGCTTATCTGGATACCGGCAAGACGTCCATTCCCCAACCCTTGAGCGTCGGCATTGAAAATTCTCGTCGATTTAGAGCTCTGCCTCTCTATATGTCGTTACTGACTTATGGCGCCAAAGGCTATCAAGAAATTTTCGAAAGCAATTGCAACTTTGCAGTACGTCTAGGTGAATGGATCGATCAACACCCAGACTTGGAGCTTCTGGCACCTGTTTACCTGCACACTGTGTTGTTCCGTGTGTCAGCTAAGCCATGGGCACATCCTGAAGGAAACGACCAATTCATCGAAGCGATCAAGGGCACGGAAAAGGCTTATGTCACCAAGACAGTCTGGGATGGACAGCCTGCCATTAGAGCAGCTATGAGTAACTGGCGGACAGAACTAGATCGCGACCTACCCATTGTCCAACAAGCTTTAGAAGAAGCGTTACAATCTCGAACAGCATGATGGTGTTGGCATTATTATTTGAGTCTTTTTATTTTTCACACATTATATCACAACTGATTGTAATTTACAACAAATTAAAAAAAAAAGATATCCGTCGCATAGAATCCAAACATATGCACGTAATAGATCGGATCCAGCCGGCGTTGACCTTTCTTTTTTTTTTATTGGTTGACGCCATATTGAGCCTTGTATGCCTTCATCATCTCAAGCTCGTTACCATAGGTACCCTTCTCGGTCATGAATTCAATGATGTGATCCATGGTGATGATGGCACGGATGGGAATATTGTTCTGCTCTTGGATGGCTTGAATAGCGCTCTTACCGGAACCGTCGGGAGCGATTTCAGCGCGATCAACAGCAACGATGACACCGCACAAAGAAGCCTTGGAGGACTTGATGATCTGGATGGATTCATTGATGGCGGTACCAGCAGTGATGACATCGTCGACGACCAAGATTTCACCTTCCAGAGGAGAACCAACAATGTTGCCGCCTTCACCGTGATCCTTCTTCTCCTTACGGTTGAAAGAGTAAGGAGCGTCGACTTGGTGTTCGTTGTACAAGGCAATGGAGGAAGCAACTACGAGCGGAATACCCTTATAGGCGGGACCAAAGAGAACATCGTATTTGAAACCCTGGTCACGGATGGCAGCAGCATAGAAACCACCGATAGAGGTAATGGACTTGCCAGTGTTGAACAAACCAGCGTTAAAGAAGTAGGGTGATACTCTTCCGGACTTGAGAGTGAATGAACCGAAACGAAGGACATCATTGGCCAAACAGAATTCAATAAAATCTCGTTGATAATCCTTCATTTCGGGGCTGCTGGCGTTACCGTAAATCTATGCAACAAGCGTGCTGTGGAATGGTGAAAAAAAGAAAAGATTTTTTGGGCAAGGTTTCCTGGCATGTTTTGTGCGTGGAAATCAGCCGTCACGCTTTGATGGTCCGAGGGAGTTCGGAGTTGAGTAGAGCGCTTATCAAGTCGTTCATACAGGATTTGATATTTTGTGAAGATGTATTGAGAATAGAAAGAGATTATTTTATTATAATTGTCAGAAAAAAGTCTATAAGCATCATGGCCATATTCTGCGTAAAATGACTTTTATGCGGTAATGTATTTACAGTATTGGATTATACATGAAGAAGCCAATCAATCCGCAATCTATGCTTCTCCTGGCTTAAATGTTGTGCATACGGAGCTGTAGCATTGGATAGTTGGGAAATTTGATGGGCTGTTGGTCAGATTTTTTTGATCGATCATTGTTAGAGCTTTTGCTTGACTTGGAGTGTCCACTTGAGATGGAGTTAGTAGAAGTGTTTACAGATACGGTAGAGCGCTTGAAGAAGTTCATTTGAAACTGTACTTGGTTTTGAAAGGTTGGTTGTTTATGTTAATTGTGATTGTTGAAGCTTCTTTTATGTAACTTGATCTGCCAAGGCGAAATTGAGTTCCGCAAGGGCAAGAGCTTGGAATCCAACCTCAGCTTCTCGGCACTGCCAATGCCCAAACTTGGCAAAGGTCGGAAGTTACATTTCCCCATCTCTTGACACTTGTAACCTTTTGCTTGCTGCTATCAAGTCCTCGGTAGAGCTTAAATTCCTGTAATTTTTACCATGATAAATATGTATTTTTGGGCGAGGTATAGATCAGGAATTGTATGCCATGTGTCTTTATATCATCGTCTTTTTTAAATGTTGATCATTCTTTACATTTTAAACGTATCAACTGCCACTTGTACCCTAGCTACTGTGCTCGTGTAGATTGTATAATTTTTTTTTGATGATGCAGCATAAAAAGATTTTAATATACTCAATTCATTGTTAAGTAAGAGAGTATAAAACAAGAGCGACCACAAGGTAAACAATAGAAACTATTCAACCATATCAGTTATTTCGATGAATTTAAATCATTAAAGTCAAACTTGTCATCACTGACTATGGAGTAACAATAGGCAATAAAAACAGCATACCGCTCTCATTTGATGTAGCAGATAAAAAGTGTAAACTATAGGCAAGTAGTAAATTGCGAGGTTATTCAAAATACTAATGTATGCACTGCCTGATATTATTCCACTGCGCGATTTTTCTCTACATGGTGTGTTATTATTGCCCAGCATGGATTTTCATATTATCCACAAATCCAGCCAGCATTGAAAGAGAAACTCTACGTACGGACCGCTTGTCTCAAAGCCTTTGCATATCTGCTCTTTTTCCCTTGTTTCAGAGAAGGAAAATATGGCGACACATGCCATCCCACGCCTGTTGCAAGCACGAGCCAAGGTTTACCGTTGACCACTCCGCCAACAGCTTTGAACCTTGGCGACCAACACAAATCCCAACAAATATTTACATGAAGAAAAATTAATGGCTTGTTTATTTGGCTGTTTTTCTTCAGTTATTACACTTAATAAAGCGATGGTATATAAAAGACAAGTACGATAAGTTCAAATTTTGTAAAGAGTTTCCTTTCACACAGACAGGCTGATTATCACCATTCTTTCCCTTCCTTCCATTCACCAGTCCAGGGACTTTCATGTCCGACGCTAGTGGGTCGAGACCGAGGGGTGATGATGTGAGCTGAAAGGGAGGAAGCTTTGCGGTGATGGCCCCGGCCCGAGGGTGGGTGCAAGTGGTTGGAATGAGCATCAATCACTATGGAGGGATCGGGTGACAATGCAAGCGGTGATTTGATATCTATAGGGTTGGCAAGTTAATATGTAGCGGGGGAAAAATAAAAAAGGTTTACACTAGAAGACCTAAAGACTTACCATTTTGATGAAGCTTTAAATTTTGAATCGGACAATGTACGTGGTAAAGAGATATACTAGGTTAGCATCCATGTCATGTTAATACGATTTCAATTAGATTGCATACCGGAAGGATAGCGTGCTTGCCATCACCATCCAAGGCTACTGAATTGGCTCTAACGCGGGCTCCATAAAATAGTACAAGACAACAAGCCAACAAGCCAAGCCATACCAAAGTAGATTGCTTGTGGCACGGTTTCTTTGCAGGTTCACGATGGCTTGGATCCCAATCTTGAACGAGTGTGGGCTGCTTCTCAAGCTCACTGTCTTGATGACTACCGTGTTCGGGGGGTGGGATGTCATTATCGGCATCTTCTACACCAAGGTCCATTAAGCTAGCTTCTTGTTCTTTGGTTTCCATCTCAGCGTTAGCGTGGCCCTGTTCCAATAATGATTCCTTCTTGTCATCGTTGTAAGTTGTCTGCTGCTGAGGAGGTGGGTCGAGCGAACGATCTTCTTCAGGGATAAACTCATTTGACCATTTTAGCTCCTCTTCTTCCTCGGTCTGAGTTGTGTCTGGGTCTAAACCGAACTGTACTCGGTCTTGTTCATATAGATCTTCGTCTTGCTCGTCAAAGCTGTCGTGGTCAATAGCACCGTCCTCCTCGTCTTCCTCGTCGTCCTCTTCTTCATCGTCTTCATGGTCATGTTCGTCATCTTCCTCTTCTTCGTCATCGACCAGGTCTTCTTCTGATTCTTCTGATTCTTCGTCGTCATTATCGCCTGCATTGGCCCAAATATCGATTTCTTCGACAGTGTCCTTTGCATCATCTTCATCAATATGATTGAGTGAAGACGTAGCTTCTTCATCTTCTTCGTCGTCGTCTAAAGGGGTATTCTCGTCGTCATCTAGAAGGGGTTCTGCGGCGAGCAAAAAGTCGTCTTGGTCGTTAGCATCACGAGGTTGTATTTCATAGGACGGTGGTGGGTCGCTGGCCGACGCTATGAATATGAATGAACAAAGCAGTAGTAAGCACAGAAAGAGCTTTTTGTGCATTGTGAGGGAAGGAAGGAGGAAAGAAAGGGAAGTAAGAGAAAGCAAAAATATGGGGCTGACTTGACCCTTATTTGCTTACACCGCGTGTAGTACAACGCTGGTTCTTTTTATCCCATGTTTGGATTAAACTGGGAGTTTTAATGAAACTGAGTGTGTTTTATTGAAAATGTGCATTCCATCATAGTCTCTGCTACCTTACAGATGCTGAAACCAAAGGGAATTGGCTAGGTAGTAAGACCAAGCGTGAGAGCTGCAGGTACTGCAATGCAATTTATGCCATACCGCATTAATGAGAAAAACTAGAAAATAGGCTCAGATGGGAGTGCGGGGAAAGAAAGTGTTGGTCTGTCTTTCAAAACCAATAGGCTACAGTAATGGCAATTTCGACACTTGGAGTAAGGGCATATGTGGTAAGGAAAAATGTGGTTGGTTTAAGATAAAATAAACCATTTGGTATAGATAATCCATAGAGCAACAACAGAAAAATACGGCCAGGGAGGGGACTTCTATGCGTATTCTGTGATATTCTCAGAACCAGGAGCTGCTTGAACAACTAATAAACTGGCTCTCATCGACATAATAATTTGCGCTACTCCGCCAAGAGTTTTACCAGCTTCACTGACTCCGCTCTCCAAGGTGGCTTTGTCGGTGTCCAGACGGCGACGTCCAACAATGACTAAGTCACTTTCTTGCAGGCCGTCGACAAACGTTGCAATTTGTTGTTTGACCTTGGTAATTTTGATGGTTTGGCATTGAGGCAGATCCTGAATATACTCTTCATGTTCCGGGATGGTATCGTGGCTAACTTCGTGTCCATCGCGGATAACACCGTCCTCCGTCAGGGTATCAAAGAAGGTCTGGTCCGAAGCCACAGCATCTATTTCTTGTAAATAGGTTTGAATAGAAAGCACGCTTGGATTCCGACTGCTGGCCACATTGGAGTGGGGTGACTTCTTTTCGTTGCCTTGATTCAATTCCTCTTTCACGAACCGTAGGATGACAATTTTAGCTCCATCCGTCTGCATACGAAGAGCAAATTTGATGGCTTCACGATCATCAGAGCCTCCAATGAAAGGAACCAGGATGGTCTTGGAATAAGCAGTTTTGGTGTAGCCTCGGTCGACCAAAACAGCCACGGTGTGTCGTGAATTTTCCAGCACTCGTCGAACAAAGACCGCATCCCTGGCGCCATCCATTGCCTCCTTGCTGAACTCCGATGACCCTTCTAGAAGATCTTCGTTAACCTTACCGGTCCAATCTTTGGAAAGAAGCTGCCAAGGCAGGATAATAGCATTAACTCGTTCATCTTGAGCAGTATCGGTTACAACGTTGGGAAATTCAGTGGGGGTGGTGATGTTCACATCATCTTGCAGTCTGATGCCGCTTAATTTGGCAAACGTTCGGAAGACGCTCAAAACCGGGTCTCTTTCCAATGTATCACTATCTTGAATTTTCATCACAGCGGACGATCGTTGCGTCAATTCAATCAATCGAAGGGCGTGCACTTGCAATTGAACGAGTGGCCATCGTTGAGGGTGTTGATGCGATCTTCTACGACGTCTTTCACTATTGGCATCATGCTGTAACATCTGGATCAAGACCATCATAGCAGGCACGGTTTCTAGCTTGTTGAGCGTCACCATCAGTCGGTAGGTTTCCTCATTGGGCTCTTGTGGAGAGATCGCTTCCATGGGACTTTTGCTGCCCGCTTCACCTAGCTCACGTGCACGTTGTCTCTGATATGATTCGGGATATAACCAAAGGACAGCTGGTGTAGTCATGCATGTCGTCACAATGGCCATTACTACCATGATAACAAATGCTAAAGTGACATAGTATTATGAGGACATTGATGAATGAACAAACAACCGAAAGAAACATGAGATAAAGGGAGATGAATGCTGCTGCTTACTTTGATCATTCAACACACCAGCATCTTTGCCGATATTCAAAACGATGAGTTCGACTAGACTGTTGGCAAAGGAATTAAGGTTTAGGCATTGATTGGGCTATGCACACTAAGGTTTGCCAGCAAGCCAATCCACTCACCCTTTACAGTTCATCAAGAAGCCAACCGTGAAGGATTCTCTCCAGTTCATACCGTTGATCTTGGCCGCAGCTGTACATCCAGTGATTTTTCCAAAGCACGCAACGAAAATAACCAAGAATACGTAGCCCCATATTTCGCCTGTGTCCAAGAGACCAATCTGCGTTTTAAGACCCGACAGGGCAAAGTACTGGGTGTATCACGTTGAACTCTAATTAGAGCGAATGACAATCACTTGAAGAAAATGATGAAATCGCTCGCTTACCAAAGGAAGAAAGACAATGTTGATGATATCTTCAATCTTTTCAGTGATCTTGACAGCCAAACCTCTTTCATGAGGGATGATCACACCAGCCAGGAAGCCGCCAAAAATAGGATGAATGCCAATGATGTCGGTGACAAAGGCTGATATCAAAACCATCAGGAGCGTTACCGTCATGACAAGTGGAGTGGGCCCATTATCATATGAGCCGGTGTGCAAACAGAGACGATGGTAGAGTGGCCCCACGATAAAAATAAGCAGTAAACTGAATGCGATAGCACATAAAAATACCCACAAGGCAGTCAGACCTCCCGATGCGTTCAGTAAGGCAACCACCAAAGCAAGTAAGACCCAAGCAGTGCAATCATTGAGCAGACCAGCTGACATGGTGATCGCACCAACGCTTGTTTTCAACAGTCTCAATTCTGCTAGGATGCGGGCAAGCACTGGAAAAGCCTGTTTTGCAACATACGATGAGAGACAGTTGCATCCACATCACATTCTCATATGTAAACACACATGAATGGGGAATGGATCAGCATTTTCCAAAATACCAGAAACTTACCGTAATCGACATGGCAACACCCAAAAAAAGGAGATAGGAGCCAAAAGGAATGGTAGGGTCGTTTTGAAGACGATAGAGTCCATAACTAACAGCGACTCCCATAGCAAAAGGGAGAGCCATTCCCATGATACCCACCGTCAGGCTCTTTCGTACATCTCGTTTGATCAGCTTGACATCGACTTCCAAACCGACTTGAAACAAGAAGAAGACAAGGCCAATGGTAGCAATTAGGTTAAGGTAGGGCAACGAGGCAGTTGGAAAAATAGTGTCCATGTAGTTTGGAATGCGGCCCATGACAGATGGACCAAGAATGATACCTCCCAGAACTAAGAGGTGGCAATACATGAGCCCGGATATCTAGCATGAATACATCAATGTACGGTGGATCAACTTACCTTCAGCGATGACTCTTGGCTGTTTCAGCTTGGCTAAAGGAATTGCAAGTAATCGACAAGTTACGATGATAATGGTGGCCTTTGGTGGAAATAGGGTTAAAGTTGTTTGGAGTGGACATGTCAAAGAAGCCATGAGGAATGAATGAATGTTACCTGAATCACAAACAGCACAATGGGGTCGGTGGAGTTGAATGTGGCCGGGTTAGCGCCAGAGAGGACACCTCCCTGTGGTGCGGTGTGGTTAACAGGCATTGGATGTGGTGAAAAAGGACCAGAGGACCATCGATTTAAATGGTGGTGAGATTAAGGTTTAGAGAACAAAAAGCAATGGCACTGAAACCTTAATGAAACCTTAATGGCGGCATTGGGGGCTGCTGTATATTTTTTTAATATTTTTATTTTATTTGCTTGGATGGATGGCACATGTTATGTACATTGCAAGTTGACCAGTATGCGAAAAAGATGAAAAAAAAAAAAAAGCCGCTGTTCGTCTAAGAAAGATGAGTAGGGAAGTAACTGTGCGGTGTAGTGCAGTCTAATGAAAAGGTGGCCCGCACACCATATTAAAAGGGTCGAGAAAATCTAGAGTTTAGAAGTCGGGTTGATGTGTTGCTGCTCCCCCGAGTGTGATCACTCGGTGGCCTCATGTTCCGAGAGCCATCTCTCAGCGTCCAGAGCGGCCATACAGCCAGATCCAGCACTGGTAATAGCCTGTCGGTAACGCTTATCTTGGACATCACCAGCAGCGAAGAAGCCTTCAACGCTGGTCAAGCTGGATCCAGGTTGGGTCAGGATATAACCTTCATTGTCCAATTCAATTTGTCCCTTGACCAATGAAGTAGCAGGCTCATGACCAATAGCGTAGAAGAGACCATTGACAGCTAATTTGGTTTCTTCGCCTGAGATCGTGTTCTTGATAGTGAGTGCGTTCAAGAGAGATCCATCACCATGGGTAGAAGTAGCTTGGGTATTGAACAAGACGGTCACCTTGGGGTGCTTCAAGAGACGATCTCCCATGACCTTGGAGGCACGCAACTTGTCACGACGAACGAGGACATAGACGTGGGAAGCATCTACAGGGTTTCATTAGTAAAAGGACCCACATTTTTGATTTTTCTTTCCGATCACTCCACTTACATTTTGTCAAATAGATGGCTTCCTCAGCAGCGGAATCGCCTCCTCCAATAACAGCCAAGGGCTTCTTGCGGAAAATGGGGACAGCTCCATCACACACGGCACAAGCAGAGATACCGTTTTGCCAGTACTTGTCTTCACCAGGCAAGAACATACGCTTGGCAGAAGCGCCAGTTGAAAAGACCAGTGCGTCGGAAGTATCGGTGGGTTCGGACTCTTCCTCATTCCCTTCACGCCAAAGCTTGAAAGGACGAGATGAGAGGTCGACTTTCGAAATGGTCTCGGTAATGATTTCGGTTCCAAATCGCTCAGACTGTGCACGAAGCTTATCCATCAACTCTCCTCCAAGGACACCTTCGGGGAAACCGGGGAAGTTTTCAACATCGGTGGTAGTGGTCAATTGACCGCCTGGGGCAAACCCATTGGCCATCATGCCTTCAAACATAGTGGGTTCAAGATTTGCTCTTGCGAGATAGATAGCGGCAGTGTGGCCTATGAAGATGTATGAGTGATACGGTCATAGCGGCGGGGCAGCGACCTAGAAAGGCGAATTGCTTACCTGCTGGGCCAGAGCCAATGATGGTGACTTTACGGTGATTAGCGGGCATATTAAGGGCTGATAGGGTATGAAAAGTTCTTCTAGTAGAGCTGGGAAGTCTTAATAATCTAGAGTACATCGAGAGTAGGAATGAGCAACTGTGGTCTGAGTATTTATACTCACAGGGCAGATGGGTTGATTGTTCTAGAGGCATCATAAGCCACCGCTCACCTCATTACTCAGCTGCGAGCCAATCACTGCACGGCATCGGACGTTGAATGATTAGTAACAATTCCATCATTGGTTGAGAGAAGCCGATTTCATACCATACTCTCACAGAAATTTCTAATGACAGATAAGGAAACTGCTGACAATTCCAATCTATTTCCTGGGTCCTATCCGTTTGATCTGCATCGCTTCGTAAGCATAAAGTGGGAGGGGTATTATTGATACGGTTGTAGGCAAAAAAAAGGGGGGTAAATTGCAAATGAGAGTGTGTAAAAAAGGAATGAGGGTTTTTCAAAACAGAACAGAACAGACAAAGGGTCCCAAAATTATAAAAAAGAAGAGACGGGTGGTGCGTGCTCGCATCCACCCCCACAAACGAGGATGAAGGTATAACACAAAAAAAAAAAAAAGTCTATCATGGCATTTCACATCAAAATACAGTCGTCGGCTTGTGATCCACGCTTCTTCTTGTCTTTGGGATTTTCAGGTGCCTTGCCTTGTAGTCGCTGAATAGCACGCTTATCCCCATGTCTGGCAGCCTTCTTGTACCATTCCATGGCCTCCTCGGTATTCTTTGGGATACCAATGCCGACCTCAGTAAAATACCCAATGGCGTATTCAGCCTTTGGCAGCTCCTTTTCTGCAGCTCGTCTTGCCCAAAGATAAGCTTGCTCATCACTTTGGGGTAAAACGTTGGGTGAACCCACCAAGTACCAAGCGGTCAAAGCAAAGCAGGCCTCGCGATGACCCTGTTGAGCCGCGATGGTGTAATAGTGAATGGACAAAGCAGCATCCTGAGGACAGTTGAGCTTGCCATACTCATAGCATTCACCCAATCGGAAAGCCGAAGGGGCATAGCCTAAATCGGCGGCTTGAGCGTACAGAGTGACGGCGTATTCCAAATCCACAAACACCACGTTGTCAATACCGCGTTCATGAAGCAAGGCCAGCTCATGTAACGCATGGGGGTATTCTACGGTGGAGGCTTCTGCGGCTCTCTTGAGCCATTTGACACCATCTCTTGGATTTTTATTGATACCGAGTTCGCCGTTCAGTTCAGCCACACCAAGTCGATACATAGCACCAGGATGATTGAGCGTGGATGCTTTTCTGTGAATGAAAAAAGGGGTAAACGTCATAGTTGGGTGACCGTATTTAGTCGCCGTGCCTCAACGTAATTAAAGAAGTACCTGTAGAATTGAACTGCCTTGGCACTGTCTTTTCTGCACCCCAAGCCATCTTCATAGCATTTCGCAGCTCTATTTTAGGAAAATACCAAAGCCGCGTTAGTGGAGATATTGATGAGGAATGCCGCTTTGGAACGAGCTTGTGTAATTTGGTGCACGCAAAGAAGGCGTTTTTTTTTTTTTTTCCCCCTCTCTTTTTTTTTTTTTAAAAAATAAAAATTACCTGTAAGCAGCATCAGGATGATGATGTTTAGTAGCTTGAACAAACAATGGAAAGGCCTTGTCGAATTCGTTTTTTGATTTCCGGCTAAGTAATGCACTGGCGTAGAGGTTGCCTAAATAATATTGTGATTCGGCGTGACCGCGCGCAGCTAGCTGCTTCAAGAGTTTTTCAGCTTCGTTCAAATACTCCCATCGAGCAGTGTCATTATCCACAATGGGTTTGGCGGCTTCAACCATGAAGACAGCAAAATCGCACTGAATATCAGGGTTGTTGGTTTTCTTTGCGTTTTCTCTGTACATATTAATGGTTTGTGAATATGACAACAACGAAGCTTGGCTGCCAGGTTTTAAGTGAGAGTGATCGAGGAGTTGGTCGTTGGACATGGTCATGTTAGACACTGAACCGGATGAATTAGTGGGAGGGGTGGGTGACCTAGGGCTAGCTGAATTGGAAGCACTCGTAGGTGTACTTGCTTCAGAATATGTTGATCCTCTATTAGCTGGATGATTAGTATGGATAGAAGTAGGATAGGCTACCACTGGAGTGGGTGCATGTGGTGGTGGTTGAGGAGTTTGCTCTGCATGTTGCATCATGATGAATTTCCGATGGGCTGAGCAAACAGAAAGAGAAGAAAGACAGACAAAGCAGGTACAAAATGAAAAATTTGAGTATTTTTAACCAGCGGTTTACCAAGGAAATTATAGGGGAAAAAAAAAAAAAAAGTGTCATCGTCAGCGTTGCGAAGCGAAAAAACTCAGTTCATTCATCCCGCTTGCATTCTTCTCACCATTCAAGCTTCATTTCTTCAGCATGACAGACAATCTAGGTTATTCTTTTGCAGCCGTGGTATTTGTAGGAGGATTGATTGGTTATATCAAAGGTAAAATGACATAATCCGTCGTCCCTTCTTCTCATAATATATCGGTTTTGAACTGAGTTTTGTCCTTCCCACCCTGCATTTTTTCCAGCCGGTAGTCTGGCATCGTTCATCTCTGGAACGGTATTTGGCAGCTTGATCACGTTGGGGGCCTATCAAGCATCTCAGAGCCCGAGCCGTGTTGGCCTCGCTTTTGGTAAGCGAGGCTGAGTCGTACTTGGCGTCAATCGCTACTACTGACTATTAATACCTTTTTCCTTGCTAGTGGTCTCCTTGGCACTGATGATCGCCATGGGCATACGTTTTTCAAAGAGCAAGGCCTTCATGCCAGCTGGTTTGATTACTATTCTCAGGTAAAATTCATCTCCTTGGCCATGTCTACCGTGTATGGAAATCTCACCTCCAACTATTTATACTTGTCCTGTCCATCAACGGGGGGTTCATCTCCTTGTTCTCTATTCCATACAGTCTTGTCATGGCATTGCGCTACGGTACTCGCCTATTGCAATAACTGCCTTCACAAACCTTGGTTTGGCTTCCATTTAAAATAGGTCAAATTAAAAAAAAAAAGTCCAACACAAAAAAAAGGCGTCAATGTCAAATTTAGCTCATATTCTCCCTGACTTCCTTCCTACGTCGTCTCCTTGCGCTGGAAACCATGTAAAAATATAAGCAATGTCATTGATCAATGCGATAAAGTGCTCTGTTGTTTACTAAGCATTGCATATATAATATGTGTATATGTATTTTTTGCCACTCTAAACATTCGTATAGTTCACCCTGCCTGACGCATCCCCCACCACCAAATGAGAGATATAAGAAAAAGTCCCTGACCACGAAAATAGTTTGTTTTATAATAAGGGTAAGGTTTCAGTGCTATATTTACCGCATGTTTGGCGATGCCCAGTGCAGGTTTGACGCAGCAGCAACAATGAATGTTTAGAAGACGGAAACTCAAGTTGATTGATATATAAAGAGTGGGTGTGCGCGAAGTATTGAGCTAAATGCTGCTCCCATTGAACTTCAATCCATAGCAGCATAATGGATGGGGGGGTTTAAAATCGATCTCTTATATCGACAGGAAATGGTTCCATGTTTACAGGGTCATAGCGCAGAATGCCTGGCTATTGAAATTTTTATTTTCATGTATTTTTGTATGTGTGTTTTTAGGCTCAAATGTAACAAAGAGGTGGTTGGAGGGTTTAGGCAGTGGCAGCTTCAGCTTCACCGGCAGCCTTCTTCTTCTTGTTCTTCTTAGCACTAGGCTTCAAAGGAGTGGCCAAAAGCTTAACAAGCTCCTCATCCTTCAATTCCTTGTCACTCTTGACAAGAGCAGGGTCGTAAGGGGGAGTGGTGACCTTGACGTTACCGTTCTTGGTCAACAACAAAGTAGCCAAGAATTGGACAACAACGCCATCGCGTTCGAACAAGATGTCGTAGGGCAAAACAGTTTGGTGCTTGGCGCACTCAATGATACCCATACGGGACTTGCGCTGATCATCGAGATCACGGAGAGAGAATGGGAAGTTACCAAACTTGGTGTTAATCTCAGACAAAACTTGACGGGAAGCAGCCATCTTCAATTGGTAACGGGTACCAGTCTTCTTGTAAACGGTGGTACGGGTTTCCATTTGTCTGGTCTTTCCTTCACCGGTGGAGACAAGAATGTCAACGGCGTAGACTTCGTTTTCAGCAAAGGAAACACGCTCAAAGTCGCGCAAGTGATGCTCGCTGGGGTTGAGGATAACCTGGGAAGAAATTCGAGGTGAATGACCTTGGATAGCCTATACCCATTGTGTTTTCTTCCTTACCTGCTTCTTGCCATCAACAACATCCTTCTCCTGTTGGTGGGTCAACATACCCTCAACGCACTTGACGCCGAAATCATCAGTGATTTGAGTAACAGCCTTGGTGACATCCATGTTCTTGTTACCGGGCTTGATCAATCGGATAGCAGCCTCAAGAGCGGTGTGAGCAGCCTTCATGGCGTCAGCAACAGCTCCAGTGATAGGCTTCTCGGCAGAAGCACCAACAACAACGGTGTGGGCAATAGGGGAGCCGTAACCATCGATCTGGGCACCGAGTTGGCTAGATGAAAAAGTCAAAGGTTAAGACTAGAAAAAAATAAAAAAATCAAAGAGGGGATCAATCTTACATCTTGACAACATCACCATCCTTGAGAACAGTGGCGGCTTCGGGATCGCTCTCGATGGGGGAGAAGTGGGCAACACACTCGTTGATAGACAAGCAAGTGGGGAAAGCAATACCTAGTGGACGAGGCAAATTTTAGCATCCTATGCGTCATAGGTACACACGAGTCAAAAACAGTTCCTACCCTTGGGAGTCTTGGCCTTGTTGTAGACAGCCTTAGTACCCTCTTGGATGAGCTTATCACCCTCAACGCAGATATCGAAAACCTTGGCGCCAGCGACGCAAAGAGGAATGACCTGGTTCAAGACACCTATGGACAAAATAAACAATCAATGATCACGTCGAGATCGGGGGGCGGATGAGCCTGGCGTGAATTACGTACGGGTTGAGATTTCAGCTGCGGTCTTATACTTTGTGACAACATCAGGGTTCTGAATGGTGGGGTCGACTTGCTGTTGCTGAGCGTCTGCCATGGTGTTTTGCAAGAAAGGAAGAAGGAAAGATTTTTCGACACCGTGAAGGCTGAAATGCAACACAGTCACAACTTTTTCGCCTTCTTACTGTGTTGAAATCCGACTCCCAACTTATACCAGCTTTATCAAACCAGAATGCCAGCAGTGACTACTGCCAAATTGCAGGAGCTGCAAAGCACTTGCAAGAACATTCGTAATATATGTATCTTAGCTCATGTGGATCACGGCAAAACAACCCTTTCCGACTCATTGCTCGCATCCAACGGCATTATCTCCAGCAAACTCGCTGGTAAAGTTCGGTATTTGGATTCACGAGAAGACGAACAAGAACGAGGCATCACCATGGAATCGAGTGGTATCAGTTTGTATTTCCAAGTACTGAAAGCCATCATGCAAGGCGAAGGTAAGTCGCACTCTCTGTGGTTAGCAAAGCGACCTCATTCTTCTGACACTACGCTTAGAACAAAAGACCATTTCTACTGAGTACCTCGTGAATTTGATTGATTCACCCGGGCATGTGGATTTTTCGTCCGAAGTATCGACAGCCTCTCGATTATGCGATGGTGCGCTGGTCCTTATTGATGCCATTGAAGGAATTTGTACGCAGGTAGGTGTAGACGCATTATGTAATGTAAAGGCTGTCACCGAAATTTAACCATCGTAAAATTTGTGTAGACAATTACCGTGCTGCGGCAGGCATGGGCTGAAAAAGTTCGACCCATTTTGGTTCTCAACAAAATCGATAGACTGATCACCGAAATTCAGCTCACACCAATGGAGGCGTATCAGCATCTTAATAAGATCTTAGAACAAGCCAATGCTATCATGGCCACCTTTTTAACTGGAGATCAGATGGCTCAAGAGGCTCGCAAGGTAGAAGAAGAGAAGCGAAAACGATCCACTAAGGACAGTGTAGAGGATATGGCGAATCAAATGTATGATTGGAGTATGGAAGAGTTGGACGATTCCGATATCTACTTTGATCCCGCAGTTGGCAACGTCATTTTTTCTAGTGCCATTGATGGATGGGCTTTCAGGTAACAGTGGATGATCTCGTGGAAAGTTGGGTTGAAATTGGAATACTAACCACCTTCATATTAGAATTCAGCAATTCGCCACCATTTACGCTAAAAAACTTGGGTTCAAGGAATCCGCACTTCGAAAATGTCTGTGGGGAGATTTCTACTTTGATCCAAAGTCAAAGCGAGTGATTCAACAAAAACATCTCAAGGGACGAAACTTGAAGCCAATGTTTGTTCAATTTGTGCTGGACAATATATGGGCTGTCTATCAAAATGTGGTGGTCGAGCCGTAAGTGGATTTTTATGTATAATACGCAGCGTCTTTTTTGAGCGGACGTCTCCCTTTTTGTCATGTAACTGAACTTCATCTCATACAGTAATCGCGAACGAACAGAGAAAATTGTCTCATCCCTTAATCTCAAGATCCTTCCAAGAGATATGCGCTCAAAAGACACCAGAGTTCTTCTCACCGCAATCATGACACAATGGTTACCCTTAGCAACGGCTATCTTACTCACCATCATTGAGCAACTACCATCACCAGATGTTGCACAAAGGATACGGTTACCAAAGGTTTTATACCCATTTGCAGAAGGCGAAGTACAGCCTTCCAATGAGGCTGAGAAAGCTATGTTCGAATGTGATCAATCCGAAAGTGCACCTGCCATTGCCTACGTCAGTAAAATGTTTGCAGTGCCTACCGAAGCCCTGCCTGAGAACCGCCGCAAGCTATTGACAGCGGAAGAATTACGTGAACGCGGAAGACTTCATCGTGCCGCTCTTAAGGCTGCTGCTGAAGGCAGTGCTACTGTAGATTTGAGTGTCAGCAATGACGATGCCCCTGTCGATGTTCCTGCTTCTCCAGAGCCTGAAAATTCCTATGTTGAAAAAAACGAAGAAACGTTGATTGGATTTTCACGTTTGTATTCTGGCACACTGAAGGTTGGTCAGAAGATCTATGTACTTGGACCAAAGTACAAGCCGCAAGACCCAGAAAAGCACTGTTCAGAGATCACCGTTAAGAGCTTATATATGATTATGGGGAGAGAACTGGAATCTTTGCCTGAGGTAGCAGCTGGAAATGTATTCGGCATCGGCGGCCTTGAAGGTCATGTGTTGAAGAATGCCACACTGAGTACTACCAAGGACGTTACCAACTTGGCAGGCGTTGCAACCGATAGCGCACCTATTGTCCGTGTTGCTTTAGAACCCGAAGATTTATGTGAGTTTCGAGGTTGTGAACATGGATGTATCACATTTTACTTATCAGCCGATTCTTTTTGCTTACAGCTGAAATGGACAAGCTCGTCAAAGGTCTTCGCCTACTTAATCAAGCTGATCCTTGTGTTGAGGTCATGCTGCAAGAAACGGGAGAGCATGTCATTATGGGAGCTGGCGAATTGCATTTGGAGCGCTGCCTTAAGGACCTTCGTGAACGATTTGCTAAAATTGCTATCCATGTTTCACCACCCATTGTGCCTTTCCGTGAATCCATCGTTAGTGGAGGTAACGTTGCCTTATGGTACGGACGCTCTTTATCCATCATCTAACTTTATTTTCGTATATGTTTAGATCTATCTGCCAACAAGGAAAAGGATGGCGTGACGGTCCCCCGAGGCACAGTGACAGTGCCAATACCAAGCAAATACCTCAGTCTCAAAATAAGAGCTGTCCCTCTACCCAAGAATGTGATGGAACTGCTCGCATCTCACACAGCTACTATTAAGCATATTGTGGAACAGAAAATTGCTCGCAGAAATGCGCAAAAGCAAAACAAGGACGTTGATATCGAAGAGATCAAAGCGGATAACATTACGGGTGAGCTTTCCGAACAGAAGATTCTGTCTGCTGCCGAATTCCAAGACATGTTGAAGAAGGAGTTCCAGATTGCTCAGGCTCAAGGTGGTCCTTTGGCTTCTCTATGGGATGGCATTGTTGACCAGTATGTATTATACTTTATATTGTTGTGAATGCCTGCCTGCCGATACGTTCTCAATAGACTAAAATGTTCTTGTAGAATATGGTCATTTGGACCGAAGCGAGTGGGACCCAATCTTCTTATCAATCGCATACCTGGTTATGTCAGAAAGCACTTCTTCGATGTCGACGCTGAGAAGTCACAGAAGCAATCTGACGGAAAGGAAGACAACTTAGTGGATGATGAAGTGGTCGATGTCATTCAAAAAGACGAGCGACTTGGCATTTTAGACGTGGACTTTAATATCCATACCGCCTTCCAGCTTTCAACTCTCACTGGTACGCTTTGTGCCGAGCCTATGCTTGGTGTATGCTACATTGTTGAAGACGTTATTGTGAACAGCGACGAGATGGTCGGTCCGTCAGGAGAATCAATTGATGGTAAGAGATGATACATCCTATGCCAAACACTATGTTGTCATGATGCTCATTGCAAAATACTACAGTTCGATCCAAGATCGGTGTCATTCAAGGTCAAGTCATTTCCACCATGCGTGAAGCCTGCCGACAGAGTTTCTTGGATTGGTCTCCAAGACTTTACCTTGCCATGTATTCATGCGATATCCAAGCATCAGGTAAGGAATGCAAACTAACTAATTTACAAAGGTGTTTGAAGATGCCTGAAGGCTTATATGACTTTTTTTCTTTATTTCATCTTCACTTTAGCTGAGGTGCTCGGTAAAGTTTATGGAGTTATCTCAAAGAGACGTGGGCGAATTGTACATGAAGACTTGAAGGACGGTACCTCATTCTGGCAAATCAGTTCGCGCATGCCAGTTGTGGAAAGTTTCGGCTTCTCTGACGGTAAGGATAACCACTGAGCCCAAGGTATTATTACACCAGAGACTTACTGATATTTTGATTCTCAGAGATTCGAAAGAGGACTTCAGGCGCAGCCAGTCCTCAGCTTGTGTTCAGTGGGTAAGTAGGAGTCTGCGCAAAAGGTATTAAAAGGATTTAGGATATCTATCTAACTTATGCCTTGCAACTACAGGTTTGAAATGCTGGACCAAGATCCCTTCTGGGTGCCTACTTCTGAGGAGGAATTGGAAGACCTCGGAGAGAAGGCGGACCGAGAAAACTTAGCTAAGAAGTACATGGATTCTGTTCGCAAGCGCAAAGGCATGTTCGTAGAGAAGAAAATTGTTGAGCATGCCGAGAAGCAGCGAACACTGAAGAAGAACTAGATAAAAAAAAGTACATAAAGTTATCTGTAACCATGGTTCATTGTTGGTTGCTAGGCACCACCATCGTAGCGCAGTCATCAAAGGCTCAGCATTTCTCGCATGTTGGGAACACAAACACAGAAGGCGTTTTTTTGCTGTATGTCTTGTCCCCTCTCGTGTTTTTCAAAGATCACCATCTCATCTATTCATGTCCACCACCGACGACGACTTTGCGGGTAAAGAAACCAAGAAATATCATGAAGATGACAGCAATGACAATGTATTCAAAATTCTGCCAACGGCCATCCTACAGATTTTGCCTGGGATAGCAGTAGCAGCCAAGTCCACAGACAGTATTGTAAGCGCAGTCACTCAGTGGATCAAACTCGAAACCCTTGCACGTACACTTGAAGTTTGGCTCGATGCGCTATGTGAGCAGCTTCCCAACTTACAGGAAGAGACTCGACTATTGGGCCGTCTCAGTATTGGCATTGCTTTCTTGCTTGAGAGTGGTCGAGCAGGGCACGTGGTGACGCCATCTGATCTGTCTCTGGTATGGAGCTTGGTACAAGACGCCCTCACCAGTGCATCGGTAAGCCTTCCTCTCTTCGCTGCGTCTCGTAGTGCGCAAGGGTTTCTCGCAGTTCCCCTTTGCAGTCTGATCAAAGATGGAGATATTGAAGTCCTGTTCAGATTTCATGTCTGGCTTCCAAATCAGTATCGAGGAAACCCTGACGTGGACCTTCATTCGCACCAGTGTTCCTCCCAGAGCTGGATTCTGGCTGGGGAAGGGACGGATCTTTCCTACACCGTTGAGGCGACTGAGGATTTTGAAGGCGCAACTCATTCCAAGTACGCACTTTCCTGGACCGCCGAGGATGGAGCCGACGACGATGGAAATGTTGGAGATAACAAATACAAAACTCGCCAGCAAAAATCAACCGTGGTCAATACTGGCAAATTAGTAAAAGCTGCACTAAGACGTTCGGAAGTTCACACTCGAAACACTAGTTACACCATCGACGCCGCAGCATACCATCGATCTGAAGTTTCAATTGATATTTTGCATGCCACCCTGTTCGTTTTCGATGGCAAACGCGGTTTCGTGAAAGATGCGGACGTCATGGGCCCAAAGGATGGCACGTCTTTTGCTCAGAAACGAGACCCTGCAGGTGTAACGGCTGCTCAACTCGTGGGCAAGGTCGAACTTATCCGCTCATGGGAGGCTTATTTGGAGCGAAGTAGACAACATGCCATACGTGCAGATTGGGAACATGCATTGCGGGAACTGAATAGTGCCCTCATTTTGTGCGATTCGGATGATGACTTTCCAAACAGTTCTCGTTACAAAAGCCTTGTCCTTGGTGAACTCGGCAGTATCAATAGGCGTTTCGGGAGATATGACCAAGCCAGGGACCTGTTAGAGAAAGCGGTTGAAGAACTAGGACAATGTAAAGAGCGTGCAGATTTCAGTGGCGAACTATGTGTGGTCTATCGTCATTTGGGTGAACTTCAGCTGGCAAAGCAGGCGGCGGAGATCGAGTACAATACGGCTAAAGAGATTCAGCTTGAACCTTCCATATGTCGCACCATTGGCAACTTGGGCATGATTAACTATCAGCTTTCACAGCGAGATGGAGACGGTAGCTTGTTAGACTTGGCGATCAGACAATTGACTGAACGTATTGATGCTGCTCGACACATGAGAAATACAAGTGACACAAAATCAAATGACCCAAAGGTAAGGGCGCAGATACGCATGACTGCTACAACTTGGGAGGCTATCGGCTTGGCTCGACTCTCATTGTGTTACACGGCTAAAGGCAACAATGAAATGGCTGTAGACGCTGCGTTTTTATCATTGACTGCCACCAATGCCTCCGAAGATACGACGGTCATTGCCATGAGTCGCTTCTTTTACGGACGCGCTCTATGGAGGAGTGGAAAGCTCCAAGAGGCACTGAAGCAATTTAATCAGTTTTCGACCAATACCTGCACGCCTGTCATTGCTATGTGTAAAGAGCCTTCGATGGAGAATCGACAATACTTGCGAGAACTGATCGACGCTGGTGCAAATATGGAGCTCATCGACGAGCAAGGCTACAATGCATTAGATTATGTTGTGTTCAATCAAGATAAAGAAACCAAACAAATTGTTCTCGAAGGGCTTCGCCAACAGTATCATAGTGAGGCCGACAAAAAATTGGCGGACCAACATCTGGATGCGATGCGTCGAAAAGGCTATCGTGAGCTGTTCCAGGAGAAAATGCGCCCTGAGTTGCTTGCTCATGGTGACGGCGACCGTTTGATGCGTCTACGACGTGTATATGCAGATGAGCTTGATGCTGATGAGAAGAAGAAGGAATTATTTGATGGTCTCAAGTTCATACCTTATTCTGACTTCTGTCAATTTGGAAGACTTCCGCGATCAGACGATGGTCTGGTGCAAAGCTTTATGTCAAGCTCGCACGATGGATCTCAAAGCCACAAGGCTGAATTTGTGATTTTCATGTCATACCGATGGATCAACAAGCGTCCTGGGTCGACATCCCCTGATGATGAAAAGCATACACAATACCGTCGCATGGTCAAAGCCGCTGAGGATTTCTTGGAACTTCATCCTTCCGTGAAAAGAGAGAAGCTGGGTATATGGTTGGTAAGTAATAGAAAGACCCCCTACTAAACAGTCGTGTATCAGTATCTCATTCATTCTCTCTAAAGGACCATGCCTGCGTCGACCAAGACTCCCCACAACCAGGCGTCTCGGCACTACCCATGATTGTTGCGCAGTGCAATGCTCTCATCAGCCTCATCGACGATACATACTACGAGCGTGCCTGGTGTTCTGTGGAAGTCATGATGATGCAAACGCTGGTAAAATCTTACAATATCCATCTCTGGTACGAGCATGTAGCGGAGAAGGAAGGCGTTGAAAAGTCTTATCTACGAAAGGGACCAATGGATATGGAAATAACCATGGCGGCAAAGTATTTGACGTATGAAACGGATCGACCCAAGATATTATTTTTGGAGAGGCAGACGAAATTGTTGGGATAAAGAAAAGGAAATGTACGGGTTCTCATCTTCATGCCATTTGCTGCTATGAGACCGCCTGCCCGCCCGCCCATATTAGTTAGTTTATGCCATATTATGTAGTATAACCACGGAAAGAGTGAATCTACTCGATAACTTTACCCCAGCTGAAAGAGGACTCGCCTACCTTTCCACCATATATTTCTAGTTAATTCTTAATACGACAGAAGCATGAAAGTCGCATCAATGAAGGAAGCTACGGATGATCATGAATCGTGGTTTTGGGGCATGTTATGTACTTTGTATTTGCGAGAGGAGTTACTGTTACTACCTACAAACATATGGCAATCCAGCAAGACGACACTCCTTATTGAAATTTGAGCAGAATATTGAATCAAATTGTTTTATTGAAAAGATTTAAGTGGATCCCGCTTCGTTCACACTGATTTATCCGCGGAATTGAGTGAATGCAGGGTTAGAACCGAACTGCGAAGTCGGTGGTGGGTTCTGCTGCTGTTGCTGGCCGAATGAAGCTGGCTGACCAAAGGTGCTGGAAGATGAAATGTGTGAGAAGAATGGAACATAAAAGGAAGCGCTAATCATATCGTACTCACCCTGTGTTAGCAGGTTGGTTGGCAAACACGTTTTGTCCTTGTTGAGCAAAAGAACCAAAACCAGAGCCAGATTGAGCAGCACTACACACCGAACCATCAGATTAGAAAACAGTGCATTCATTTTATACTTATTCAACAATGCCTTTCACTTACGCAGCAAATCCACCGCTTGTACCAAATGATGTAGACGATCCAAAGGTACTCTTTGGAGCAGTACCAAATCCACGGTTCATATTTGAGCCAAAGTTCGAAGTGGCACCAAACCCAGCGCCAAGACTAGAAGTTGAGCCAAATGCTGGTTGAGCACTTGCACCAAAGCCAGAACTTGAACCAAAGCCTGATGACGGAGCATTTCCACCCAAGTTAGTCGTAGACCCAAAGGATGGAGTGCTGGAAGCGGCACCAAATGAAGTTGTAGAACCGAAAGATGGCGCAGGGGCATTGCTACCAAGACCGGAAGTGGCACCAAAAGAAGGTGTAGCAGCATTTCCGCCAAGGTTCGTAGTAGAGCCGAACGATGGTGGATTGGAAGAAGCTCCAAATCCAGTAGTGGATCCAAACGATGGGGTTGGGGCATTGCCACTAAGGTTAGAAGTTGAACCAAAGGACGGCGCGGGCACATTGCCACCTAGACTGGAAGTGGACCCAAAGGATGGAGTTGATGAACCAGCACCAAAGCCAGAACCAGTTCCAAAGCCAGAAGATGCAGGCTGAGAGCCAAATGGTGCTGATGTAGCAGGCGTTGAACCAAAGGTAGATGGGGCGGTAGTTCCAAAGCCGGATGGTGCTGCCTTTGCTGAGCCTCCAAATGCTGGTGTAGATGAAGTTGCGCCCCAACCTGACGAAGATGTTGCAGTAGTTGTTTCAAACGTTGGTTTAGGAGCAGCAGATTCAGTCTGTGAAGTAGCTTGCGTAGTAGCAGGCTCTGAAAGTGCAGAGCCGAATCCAGACAGGGAGAAGGATGAGGCATCAGCTGGCGCTGTTGAGGGTACAGTTTGTTCAGGCTCTGGTTCAGACATGGCCTCTTCTTCCTCCTCCTCTTCTTCCTCTTCTTCGTCATCCGCAGCTGGTACCACTACTCCAATGCCTTTCATAGCTAACTCAATTTCATCCTCTGGAGCCAATCCATCTTCTTCAGGCACTTGTTGCTCTTCTTCCTGTACAGCAGGTTCTGAGATCTGAGCTGCATCGGCGGTGGATGACTCAGTAGCCTTCTCTTCAGCAGGCGTAGTCTCACCTACAGCAAAACTGTCAGTCTTACTCTCACCCTGTGCTGTGATTTCTTCATCAGTACCTTCATCTTCAACGTCAGATTCTAATCCCTGTTCGTAATCTTCGTCACCGGATCCATCACCCATGCGAGGATGCTCAATCACGTCAAAGGAAGAAGCAGTGTCACTTGGAGTAGGAGACGCTGGCGTGTCTTGCTTTTCGGGCACATTGTCCTGCTTGTGAGTTGATTCTTGAACCTCTTCCGGTGCTTTTTCATCTTTTTCAGGCACCTTATCACTCTCTTTAGATGCCTCTTCAGTTGGCTTTGAGCTGGGGATTCCGAACGGCGCAGGCTTGTCCTTTGCATCAGTTGCTGAAGCACCGAATGAAAGCGTCGGTGATGATTTAGCAGAAGATTGACCAAACGAGAAGGAGAGGGGCGAAGCAGACTTGACATTCATTTGCGATTCTTTTATGCCTTTATCTTTAGCAGGCTGTTCTCCAACTGGGGTATTACCAGGGCTGCCCCATGAAAAGGGTTTGGCCACCTGTTCTCCACCTGAAGTATTACCAGGGCTGCTCCATGGAGAGGCTTTTGCTGGTTGTTCTCCACCAGGGGCTTTACCAAAGCCACCCCATTGAAAGGGTTTTGTTGGTGCCGGTGACGCTTCTACTTGGAAACTGAAAGACGGTTTCGATTCTTTGGTTTCCTCTTTCTTCTCAGTAGCTTGGGATTGTGGTGAAGTATCCGTCTGAACAGCCTTGGTGTCATACACCTTTGGTAGGGAAGAGCCAGACTTGCTCTTCCACGCAGCGCTGTCTGGTTGTGTCGACACCTCATCGTTTTCTTCCTCGTATTCCTCCTCATCTTCATCGTAATCATCTTCTTCTTCTTCGTCTTCATCTTCTTCTTCCTCATCCTCTTCGTCTTCGCTATCTAACAAGCCGAGCGCTTCTGATTCCTTTATAGGTGATTTACGGCTACGAGGGGTAGAGATATCAGACACATCCAGAGATGCAAGGTCGATGCCAAGCGGTGATGGATCAAGTGGAAGGTGTGTTTTTTTCTGAACCACAGGTTGAGGAGTGATTTTGTGAACATTTGCTGTCCTTGCAGATGCAAATGAGCTCAAACGGCTCAGGAAGCTTTCTTCCATGAGAACCTCACTGGCTGCTTCAAGGGCTTGTTGAGATGCCTTGGGTATGTGTACCTTCTGCTGTGTTGGCTTGAGCTGGAGGTGGACATCCTCTTCTTCGCCAATAGACTCGTCAAAGGAGAAGCGTGAACTATGTGCTCTTGGCTTTGGCGTTTCTTCAACAGTAAGACTGGATAGCTTGGATTCTAGCTCGTCCAATTCAACATTATGGACAAATAGGCCATTTCGGACTTCTCGAATGGTGCGATGGATGGTATATAACGATGGGTTACTGTGGTGAAAAGATAGATGAGTGAATCATGAGCAAGCACGATGAAAAAATAAGGGGGAGGTGGGAGAAATGAAAGCAAGCAGTGTCTTACCTCAAACCGCGGTATGCTTTTTGATTGCGAAGTATATTTTTCTTCGCATGTTCAGTCTTGCTTTCAGCGTCTTTAAAGGAATCATTTACTTCGTTAGCCAACTGCTCAAGGCGTCGCAACGACTCTTGGGCTTCAGGGCCAAGGTGGTCACTCTTGCTTGGGGGTTGTTTGCTAGAATCAGCGGAAGCATCCAAGAACTTCTTAATTTCCAACTGCTTGTGAGCATCTGGAAATGGAACAGTAATAAGTACAAAGTGTGCGAAGTAATTCTAAGAGATTTGAACGTGACACTTACTTTTGACTTCACCTTGGTCAAGCTTAACCATATGAAGCTTAATCGATTCACCATCTTGTTGAATGACTTTCATTTTCTCAAGAAGCTGTCTTGTCAAGCTAACTTGAGTCTTCAAATCACTCAGTTTCCATTGGTCAATCTTCTGCAGAGCTTCCAGGGTATTCAACTTTGGATTGGAAATACGGTCTCTGGCATTGATTTTCTCGGAAGCCTCAGCAATAGTTCGAAGCTAGATGGTAAAACATACAGATCAGTACCGAAAATATCGTTGAGATGCAGCATATATAGTTCGTTAGTTCAACTTACACTATCTAATTCAGCATTGAGTGTGAGATACATTGACTCGAATTCCTTAGCCATGCCCTGTTACAAAGCGTTAGAAAATACATGCAGACACGCGCTACAAACATTTTAAACGTAGCTTACCTTCAGTTGCGTTTTCTTTTCCGTTTCTGCCGCAGTTGGTGCAGGTTTTGTTGCTACAGATTTAGGAGGTGCAGACTGAAGACCTTGAAATGAGGATGGGGAAGAGCCGCCAAAGCTCAAGGCGGGTTTGTCCAGCTTCAAAGAAGGTGCGGTGGAGGTATCTGACTTGGGGCTACTAGCAAATGAACTAGGTGTCTCAAGAGGGGATTGGAATTTGGGAGCTTCAAAAGATGGCTTTGGGGCTGCTCCGAAGGAGAAGCCTGTATTGGCCGGTTTTGATGGCGAACCAACATTGGATGATGTGGGTTTGTTAAGGCTGAAAGGTGTGCTTGCTACCTCCTTGGCAGGTGGCGATTTAACAGCAGTACCTAAAGTGAAGCCTCCAGGGCTAGCGTTTGCAGCACCGGTCTTAAATCCACCAGAAAAGGGTGATGTACCGGCTGGTTTAGCTTGAGAACCAGCACCAAAGGAGAAGCCACTTGCAGCTGGCGCGGTAGCAGTCTCCGTTTGTGATTTCGAAAAGCCGAAATCTGTTTTTGGTGCTAGGCTAGGCGAATCGAACTTGAAAGAGTTCGATGGTGACTGCGCTGGTGCATTTGAGCTTCCAAAAGATGGCATTGGCGAAGACACTCCTGATCCAAACTTGGCAGTACCAAACCCTCCTGGACCACCAATCGTTGAGGTGGCAGGAGTTGGCTTCGCTGCGGTGAAAGACGAGCTGGCTGGGGCAGTAACTGCGGCAAAGGCACCCGCAGTAAGACTTTGAGGTTTGATTTGCCCAGAATAACTTTCATTTCTTTTGGCTGCTGAAACATTGAGACAATGGAAAGCACCCATGTTGGCTTCATCGTTGAGATAATAAAGGATCGGAACAGGCTCGACAAGGTTTTCGGGCTCGCTAGGATCAAGTGGTTCTAAGCGCTCGGTAGACGAGAAATCCACAGCCAAGCCAAATGGCGATGTGTCCATATCCGTTTTCTCAGAAAGTGGCAGGTTACCGCGAGCAGTGTCATCCAATTCCCATACAGCCCAATCGCCAGACTTGTCTTGTCCAACCACGCCGATATGAGCTGAAGGGGCACTAGCAACCAAAATCACGTATGGTGCTTCTTCACCTAAACCTTTGATGACCTGCATGTAATAATTTCCTGTTCTTTCTTGCTGACCAAAGGGCATACAAATATCGGTCAAGCGCGTATAGTGCTTGATGGTTGTCTTGGGTTGTCGAGTCACAATGTATCCATCATACAAGTGAGCAGGTTGTTCATCGTCTGGTGGAGTCGGTGCTGCATAGATAGGTAAAAACACATTGTTTTCAACCCATACGACGTTTTGAACTATGTCACACCGAGAAAATGATGTTAATTTGATGGCTTCAAGGAATGCTATTATAGTAAGAAACCTACCATAACGGTCGTCACTCTCGCCGCCAGCAACGGTCATAGCAGGAGGAGGTTCCACAGCACTCTTCAAGTTTCCTTCCAAATCATATTGAGACATGAATCCCTTTTGATTTCCCACAGTGATTTGTTTTCCCTTTGGTGACCAACAGATAGCAGTGGCACCAGTTTCTGCAATCTTAGCTAAAACCGACCCAGAGCTAAGTGACATGTACTGACATGTGTGGTTCTGAAGAAGTACGGCAATCACATCAGGTTTTTCTTCTGGATTAGGTCGCAAATCCAAGATCGGCGAACCAGCTGAGAAAGTTTTAACAGGTTGCAAATTGGACTAGAGTTTATAAATTAGTGCCATGAGATGACGCGCAAGTTTACAACAGCAAGAGTGAGATCGTACCTTGGTGGACATCGCCTTTGCATCATATACGAGAATAGTGCCATCGGCAAGACCAGCAATGATTTGCTCCTGAGAAGCTGTGAGTCGAAGGTGGTGTACACTTCCCTGTGAAACTTGAACGTCGATTTTGTTGTTGAAGCTCGCAGTTTCGCCTTTTCCAGCCTTGTTAAAGGTAGTGCGAAGATCGGATAGTTGGCCGAGTACAAAACCTGGCAAGTGCGATACGCCATTTTGACATTGCAGTTAGAACACGCGGCGTTCGTTCATTGATTAGCATGTTTCAAGTTGTATACCTTTCGGTGTGCCAGCTACAAAGTAACCAAATTTACTCGAGCACTCTAGCAGAGACACATTGCCAGGATAGCTTTTGGTATCGAATGGATCGCCTGATAAGTTGACTTTGACATCAGGATTCAAGGCTTTCAGTTGAAGAAACTGCAGGGGATCAAAAGGTGAGCATGTTTCAGCAATGCAATGCAAGTCTGTGCCATTTTATTACCTCTACTTCCTTCTCGGAAGGTTCGTCACTGTCATTGTTTTGACCTAGAACCGCAAAGCTACTCATGCCTTTGATTGTCAAATGGTTGCAAAGTCAGAAAATGGATGCTTTTAACGCGCAAAGCGAGTCACATGTCCAGAAAGTTTGGCATTGTTGGCGGGAACAAACAAAATTTTGATGAATGAAAGCTAGAAGCTCCAAGGTTATGAGCGCAGGCTATTCAGTCAAGATGGTTGTTATTTTGATGATGCCTAACTTTAATGGTAGACCTAACTAATTGCTATTTGTGCTTCAACTTTTCGCTCCGAGGTTTATTTAGTTTGAGCTGGCCACGATGCGAGATGAATCGTTTGAGATAAAAAATGCAAGTGCTTTCATCCAGCAGGGATCGAATACTATTGATTGATAAGTACGATTTCTTATAACTCAAACAAGGATCTTGTTGACCAAATTATGCTACAATGACAATAACGATAGTGAAAATTATATCATATAGTCGGTACCATGTCATGGTGGATGGCTAATAAAGAACACACACTTTACGATCCATTTTATTAAAACCGCCAGACTGAAACGGCAATACCTAGAGACATAAGTGTTGAAGACAAGTTTACCCAGCATAAATTGATAATCGACACTGCCTTCTTCCATCTCATTCATATCATTTTACCCATATCGTCGAGTTGTGCCTTTTGAATTCTGTACCTTGCCATGCCTCCAGTGGATACAATATAATTTAAATCTAAACGATACGATTGAATTGAGGTTTATTGATGATATAATACAGGAGAAGAAAGTCGATCCAATTCAAAGGGTTCTAGTATCTATCATGAGGCGGAAAAAAGTGTAGTGTAGTGACAAGACCATGGGATGGTCGAACACAGTAGCTGATCTAAAGTTGCTTTCCCAATCGAGCCAAATGGTAGTTGATGGTGTTGGTTGCTTTTGACTTTTTGACCTTCAGAACGGTAAATGGTGTCAATAAGAAAGAATCAGAGAGTCACCCAATGTTTGTAACTTACAGGTTTGGACATGCATGTGGCAAGGGCCTTTGCGGTTTGTGCACATCGAGGATCGTCCACACCCGCTCGTGACCAGCATTCAAGCATGGCACCCATTTCGCCAATACAAGGACTGGCTTCCAACAACTTCTTTGGTCTAACTTTGAGGGCCTTGAGTTTCATGGAAGTCTAATTGTCAAAGACACAACAAAAATTCATGGCCGAAATGAACAAAGTAAATACTTGTGACTGCTTCTTTCATCACACTCCCATCCAAGCCAACAAACTCGGCTACCGTGTGCAACGACACCGTTCTCTTCCTTTTTTTTTTCATATTAATACATTTATTTTAGGGTAAACTTCTGTCGAAACCATTTTACAACACTCCCTTTGTGCTAGGAACGTCATTGGTACCTGTATGTTCGACAGCTTGGCGAATGGCAACGGCCAGGGCCTTGAAAGCGGACTCGGATCTACAAAAAGTCATGTTGTTAGCGTCTCCAACCCTCTACCTGAAAAAACGATTCTTATATTTACCGGTGATGATCGTTGTCACCTTTCAAAACATCCACGTGCAGCGTTATGCCAGCAGCGGTGGCGAAGGAGAAGAGAACGTGAGGAATCATTTCACAAGAGAGGTCACCAATCTTCTCTCTTTTTAAGCCAAGGTCGATGGCGGCAAAGGGACGACCGGAGATATCAACAACAGCTCTAGACAAAGCTTCGTCCAAGGGACAGTAAGCATGGCCGAAACGCTTGATACCCTTGGGAGTACCAAGAGCTTGTTTGAAAGCCATACCGAGGGCAATGGCGGTATCTTCGGCAGTGTGATGGTCATCGATATGCAAATCACCAGTACACTTGAGGGTCAAAGACCATCCACCATGCTTGGCCAAAGCATGATACATCTATGGGTATGAGGTTAGCGGAAATGTTGAAGTAGTTGGAGGACATGCATGACAAATTCATACATGGTCGAGAAATCCAATGCCAGTGGCAATGTCAATTTGTTGATCCATCTTGGAGTCCAAGTTGACCTTTATGCTGATATCGGTCTCATTGGTTTTACGTTCGATAGAGGCAGCTCTAGCAGGCTGTTGTGAGTTGTCAGACATGGTTCAAAGAGCTTAGTAGTTGGCTGGCTTCCCGAAAAAACCAAAGATGGGTCATTTGTGACTGCTGATCTTTTGCTGCCGATCTGTCATTTTTTGACTGGCATTACACTTTGTCTTTTTCACAGTGGGTTTCTTTCATAATTATGACAACGTGTGATGCCAGCTGCAACTGCTATAGCGTTATTCTAATGTGAAAATGGCATATGTGCTAATGATAGTGGGTGTGCCAACCAATCCAATTGTAGCCCATATCCTGACCCTTCCAACATAAAGAAGTAGGACCACCACGGTGTGTTTTAGAATAATTATGAGAATCAAGGGTTAAGCGAGAGGCTTGGTGCGTTAATAAAGGCACAGGTTGTTTCATGGTGCCCGTCAATGAGCGGTGTTTTAAAAGCCGGCATGAAAAATAACAGCGTTTGTTTATTCAAGACGGCTTTCGTTTTCCCTTTTTAATTTTCCCCTCTGGTTTTGAGATATGGAAGAAGCTGGAGAAACACGATATGCTGCGGAGCTAACTGAACAGACAAAGGCTAACCGACTTGATGCTCGCTTACTTAAAATAAGCGGTAAATTTCGTCGCAGGTAAAGCAGCATGTGTTTCTTTATCGGTTCAAGTGTGTGCAGTCTGAGATGAGAATTTTTTTTTATTATTTATTTTGGACTGACTTAATCCACTAGAACCAACGAATCCGGATATCATTCTATTATGGATGTCTGGGTGGACTTGTTTCCGTGCGTCCAAGTGGCTAGTTCGTTTGAAGCTTGGTGGGCTATGCAATACATGTTGCGCATTACTGGCGAATTTCATGAATACTGTGATGGCTTTCGAGAAGCTGATGATATTACACAGATGGCCAGCATGTTTGACGAACTTGAAAAGGCATGGTTAGTGTTATTGGAACGGGAAGGGCTCAGTACAACGGACAAAATTCGATCCATCAATTTATTTCGAGATGGTCAAGACAAAGCTGGCGTGCTCGGTGTCCCAGCAGTGTATCAGCAAGTGGTGAAGGTCCTTGCAGCACAGCCAACGCCGTAACATGGATCGGCCACTTTCCAGACGGCACCGTGAACTGCGCTAGGCGGTCGGTTCATTCAGCAGCGTTTATTTAATTGGCCAGCTATAATTGGACAACTCGAGAACTGTGGTTACACCAGCTTATTGATGTTACTGCCAAGGTTCGCTGCTAAACCTGTTGCTTCCTTGCTTTTAAAGACCTTTTTTTATTTCTCTAATTTCAATTTACACGTCCCTTTCTTCCTTTTTCTCTCTTTCGCTTAATACACTCCCTCCTACTATGAAACTTTTGTCTGTTGCTACCTCTGCCTTGCTTGCTCTCGGCTCCATCGTTTCAGTCGTCAACGCTGATTCTTATTCTGATGCTATGAAGGAGTTCTGTGGCGGTATGTCCACTTGAAACCTTTCTAAATATAACGCCCCTAATTTTTGCTAAACATAAACATTTCATCTCGTCGTATAGGTATCACCATCACCTATCCTCAAAAGACCACCGTTGTCAAGGCTGGTAGTGCAACTAAAGTTTCTGTCAGTCAGTATCATCCTAGATTCGTTCTCGACGCACTAGAGTGAAAACCCCGCTTTATTAACCCTCTCAACTTTTTAGCCCGTGTGCCCAACGCTCACTTCAAGACCATCACCGGTCTCGATCTTTACAAGGTCACCAACGGCAAGGCCCAGTACCTTAAGAACATCTGGCACGGAAACTACACCTTGAACACCCAGGCATCCATTCAGGATAAATTGGATGCTAGCAATGCTGCTGGTCTCTACTACTATCGCGTTTGGGTCACCAACATCATGGGTGGTGAACACGGTCCTGACTGCACACCTACCTCACCCACCTTCAAGGTCACCAGCGCCAGCGGCCACACCAACGCCGACGGCAGTGTCACTGAGGATGACCTCAATGATCCCACTCTTTACCACCCCGACTACCAAAAGGGTTGTTTCGGTCTTGATGTGAAGTACCCTGCTGAAGGTCAAACTATTGACATTGGCAAGCACCTTCGTCTCCAACTCGAACGTGATAGCGCTTCTCAAACCGACGAGTTGTTGCAAGTTGATCTGTTCAAGGGTGACCCCAGCAACCAAGGCCAATTCGTCCAGAACGTTTGGACCGGCGAGGAATCTATCAACAACATCCTCACCCTCAAGGACCACATGGTCCTTCCTAGCAACGTTACAAACGATGGTGATTTCTTCTACAGCATCAAGGTCAGCTCCGACAAGGTCGACAAGGCCGAAGATGCTTGCACCTTCTACTCCAAGGGCTTCAAGATTACTGGAACCTCTGCTTAAATGCCAGCCTTGAATTTTCTGCCTTAATTCTTTTTATAAGCAGTAGAAAAAAAAAAATAGGGAAAGAGACAGTAATATATACACAATGGCTTGTTTCATTATTTCACCTTCACATCCCTTCCCTTCGAAAATTGCCACCCCCGTCTTTGTTTTATCACACCTTTTTTTTATATCCATCATCAGTGTTGTAACCCTTGTCCGCTTGTAACATTTTCAATAAATGCTTAACAGTACACGTTATCCATGCAACCGTATTACAATGATGAACTGTCAGTCAGTCAGTGCGGTGTCACCGTGCTCCATAGGCTTCAATGGAACATTGACTCCCATCCATCATTCAAATTGTTATCAGCCATTTAATAGATGATATTTATCCTTCGTGAAGCCATCCCGTTGTTCTTTTGCTACTTTGAGTCTAACATGGCTATTGGTATGATGTTCACTTAAACACGGGTTTTACAGCTTACGATTGTTTCACGGTGTGAGAATTAAACCCTATCCCAATCGCATCATTGTGACATGATATGGCAGGGCTCGTCCCAACATCAATTTACAAAGCCAGTCCGCCCGCCGGTATGCTGCTTTCTCTTACACGTCGTTACATTACTCGTACATCCCCCACTCTACATTTTACTATACGAACCATGGCCATTGCGAAGCATGTTGTTGCAAAAGAGTCCGACTTGAAGGACGGTGAAAAGTGAGTTCCAACCCGCTATTGCTTTTGATATGCCCCTACTGACTTGGTTCGCGTACCATAGGAAGGAAGTTAAAATTGGCGAGACCCCAGTGTTGCTCAGCAAAGTCAAGGGCTCATACTATGCTACTTCAGCCAGATGTACTCACTATGGAGCTCCTCTTGTAAATGGCACCTTAGCCTCCGATGGGCGTATTATGTGGTGAGTGAAAATCGATGGCGGCACCGGTTATTTCAGCCCATTGACCGCCCTTACTTCTTCTTCCAAAGCCCATGGCACGGAGCATGCTTTAATGCTACCACCGGTGACATCGGTAAGTTGTGATGGAAACCTCGTCTCAGCTCTATCGATCGCTCATCGAACTTTTTTTCATCACGCTTTGATCGGATGTTGAAATATAGAGGACGCCCCCGCTCTCAATAGCTTGCAAAAGTTCGAGGTTACTGTCCAAGATGGTGACGTGATCGTTGAAGCAGATGAAAGTGCTCTGGCTGCCGGGAAAAGAAAGCCCGCGTGCGTCAAGCACAACAAAGAGAACAATGACACCGTCGTCATCGTCGGCGGTGGTGCCTCCGGTGCTACTACTGCTGAGACTTTGCGTGAAAAAGGCTATACTGGAAAGATTCGAGTCGTATCTCGTGAGGACTATTTGCCCATTGACAGGTGAGATGGGATTGAAATGAACTAGAGCAAAATATACCCCAGTTTCATTCATGCATTTTTCAATGATAGACCTAAAGTCAGCAAGACCTTTGGCACAGGAGACCCCGCTGGCATTGCTTTACGCGACGCTAGCCACTGGAAATCCCTTGATGTTGAGTTCAAACTAGGAACTGTCAGTACCTTTTTTTTTTTGCTTTGATAAAGTAAACTGTATGAAAGCTAACGATACTTTTATGCATGCACAGGATGTGACCTCCGTGGATCCAAAAGGCAAATCCGTCACTTTATCGAACGGCGACAAATGGACATGGAACCATCTTGTTCTAGCCACAGGAGGATGGGTAAGCGCTTTAGATCGCATTTAACGAACTTGAGATGAAAAATTTCTCTAAAAGTTGTGTGTTATCCCATCCAGCCCAAGAAAATTCCTATTCCAGGTGTCGACTTATCAAATGTGTTTACACTGCGTACTGTTCATAACAACAATACCATCCAACAGGCTGTCAAAAGCTTTGGTGGCAAGCCTAATGTTGTGGTGATTGGGTCAAGTTTCATTGGTATGGAGTTGGCTTCTGTTGCTTCCAAGGAGGCTAACGTCACTGTTGTTGGCATGGAAAAAGTACCATTTGAGCGAGTACTAGGCGAAAAGGTTGGAGGAGCTTTAGGAGAGCTACATAAATCCAACGGCGTCAACCTTATCATGAATGCCAATGTCGAAGCCATTGAACCCAGAGGTAAAATAAGGAACATTTAAAAATTCATCATTAGATGTAGTCACACTCACCCCCTTTTCTCTCTAGAGGACAAGAGCTCAGTCGGCAGCGTAAAACTCAAGGGAGGTCAAACGTTACCAGCTGACGTCGTCGTGTTGGGCGTTGGCGTTGGACCTCAAACCGACTATCTCAAGAACTCTCCTGATTTTACCCTCGAAAAAGACGGAAGTCTAAAGGTTGATCAGCACTTCAAAGTCGAAGGGTTTGACCATATTTACGCCACAGGTAGACGTCAAAAGTGATATTGGGGTGTTCACTGGTCCGGAATACTCAATACGCCTCTTCGTTTGCAGGTGACATTGCCACTTTCCCCTATCAGCACACTGGTCAGCCACTTCGAATTGAGCATTGGGGCTTTGCTGAGAACACTGGGCGCACGGTGGCTCTCAACATTGCCTCCAAGCCTAAAAAGTTTACCCATGTGCCCTACTTTTGGACGGTACGTTGAATGATTGGCCATCACAGTCCAAAAATAACCCCATGTAACTGAACAAAACAAACTAGGCACAACATGGAAAGAGCATTCGTTACGCCGGCTTTGCAAAGGAATACGATGATGTCATTATTCACGGTGATTTGAAGGAATTGGCCTTTGCGGCATACTATGCTAGTAAGTGAAACAGCGATTAGAAAGAAAGAAGTCAGATCAAAAGCTAAGCATTGCGTTATCTCTTAATCAGAGGGTGAGGAGATTCTAGCCATTGCCTCTTTGAACAAAGACCCTGTGGTTTCTTACAGCGCTGAATTGGTAAGAGACAAGCAAGCCATTTCTGTGGAACGTATTCTTGTACTCACCTTTTGACTGATCTTTCTACAGCTGCGCATTGGCAAGATGCCCAAGGCAAGTGAACTGCGCAAAGGTGTCAACCCGCTTGACATTCCGTTGGTAGTCTAGTTTCGACCAATCCATCCATGTTATTCAATGTAACATCCATGTTATTAAATGTGAAAATGATCCATCGAAATTTTTGTGTTCCCCAATGGTGGTTTTAACCTGAAATGAAAATGAACTTCGCCACATCTTACAAAAGTAGAACCGAACCATCTAGTCAAATGGAACACTGAGAAATAGACAAAAAACCTGGTGTGAAGTGCAGAGAGGGAAGCGGACGAGATAAGAAGCGCTAGTAACACAATTACTCACGTTGTAACATGTGTGCTGGTACATTTCTCTTTTGGTACAGGTGCTTAAAAGCTTAGCAAAGAATCGGGTTGAACGAAATATAAGCAAACACACTAATACTTTCTTTCCCCACTTCACTTTCTACTTGCACCTCCCTTCTCTCTTTAAATCTGCCAATAATCTCTCTCATTTAATTTTTCAACATACCCATTTCTTAGTATTGACTATGGCCGACAATCATTCTCGAAACGGCTTTACAGCTATTCAAAATGGCCAGACGCCTCACGACGAACAGTCCGTCGCTGAGAGCTATGAATCAGACAGCCTCAAGAGAACGATGGGGCCGTTCTCAGGTACTAAAACAAGTCAATACCTACCTACATGATGATTTTATATTCCACTGATAACCCAATTTGTCGTCTTCTTTTTTTTTTTTTTTGGCTACAGCCATGATGGTTATTGCCGGCATGATCATTGGTAGTGGTATTTTCTCAACACCTTCCGGTATCTTGATATCTGTAGGATCAGTTGGAATGTCATTGATGGTCTGGGTCATTGCTGCGCTTGCTAGTGTTTGCGGCGTTCTTGCCTACATCGAACTTGGTTCCGTAAGTGAGGGAAGGGACGCTTTGGGATACAGGTAGTTGTGCTCAGCCATGGATGGCAGACCACCAGTGACTAACGCCACCGCTGGCTTTTTGATTCTGTATAGATGCTTCCTAGATCAGGCGGTGAAAAGGAGTACCTTGACTATGGTAAGCAATGATCCGTGAAAAGCATTTCCGTAAACATATTCTGTACTTGTCGTAACAAATGTGCCCTCTCACTCCGCTTTTCAGAGTACAGGAAACCAAAAGCCTTGGCTCCTTTTTTATTCTGTTTGTCCATGATCGTCTTAACGCGTGGTGGCGCCTGTGCGGTGGACTCTATCGTTGTTGGAACAGTGAGTTGTAATTTACACGTTAATTTGCCTGTAAATGGAGATCCCTGTCTAATCATAGCTTGTCACCCAAATTGTAAATTTTATTGCTCAGTATATCATGTTTGCTGGTAATTGTTGTATTTTTTTATGATCATTTTGGGAGAGTGATCGCCTTGCCATCCATCAACAAGCCATACTTACCACTATGTTGCAGCTGGAGTAACCGATAATCCATGGGCTGAGAGAGGCATTGGTATAGTGGTTATTACCGTCGTTTGCCTTCTTCACAGTTTCTCTGTACCATGGGGTATTCGCACCACGGACTTGCTGACTATGATCAAAATCATTGTGTTGGTGATGATTTCTATCACTGGAATTGTTGCTGCTGCCGGTGGAACACAAGCCCCGCAAACCCATGCTTTTACCAATGCCTTCGAAGGCACCTTAGCGGACGGTAGTGGGTACGCTATTGCTTTGTTCAAAGCGTTTTTTGCCTTTGATGGTTGGAATAACGCAAATTACGTTATTGGTGAATTACGCAACCCAGTTCGAACTTTGAAGGTCGCCGCCCTTTCTGCTATATCCTTGGTGTCCGTGTTATATGTTCTGGCCAACATTGCGTATTTCGCTGTGGTACCCAAGGAAGTCATTTTAACCTCCAAAACGGTGGTGGCTGCAGAATTCTTCACCCGGGTGTATGGCCCTAAGGCAGGTGGCCAAGCTCTGCCTGTACTAGTAGCCATCAGTTCATTTGGATCGGTTTGCGCCATGACCTTCACTGCGGGGCGAGTCATTATGGAAGCCGCTCGAGAAGGGTACCTTCCTTTTGGCAGCTTCTTTGGACAAGTTAGTCGCTTCGATACGCCTGCTAACGCATTTATTATCCATTGGGTCGTGACCATGGTTCTCATGCTCGCTCCTCCCGCTGGTGACAGGTATGCATGTGGATTTGGCTGTGTAGTATGTAGAGCTGTTCATATACTGACCTTCTTTCTTTCCAGCTATAACTTTATCGTCAACCTACAATCTTATCCAGAGTGGTGGTTCTATGGCGCTTCAGTAGTGGGATTATTGATCCTTCGACACACACAGCCGAATGCAGCGCGACCCTTCAAATCTTTCTGGATAACCAATGTCTTTTTCGTTTTGGTTTCTGTCTTCTTGGTCATTGTGCCTTTCATTCCTCCTAAAGTCAGTGATACTCCTTCCATTCCATACTACGTTGTTCCCGTGGTGAGTTTGGCATTCATTGCCCTTTCCGCCGGTCTCTGGTATATCCGGGTGAAGCTTTTCCACGGCCTGGAAACATCCTAGTAAGTATTGGTCTGCATTGCTGGCTTGCTTTGCATGCTGCAATGGTAATCCTGAACACATGGTTGTGCCTTTTGACTAACCTGTGACCTCGTTTGCAGTATTGTACAGAGATACATTATTCAAAACAACTTGCAGAACATAGAATATACTCCCGAGGAGATCGAAGCAATGATGAACGATGCCAATGAGTACGAGCTGGCCCATGTTCGCGAGTACGCCAAACGGCTGGCCAGAGGAGAAGCATAAGTAGGAGGTTGTTTGGCCTGTTGGTTTAGAACCATATGCTGGCCAGGCTGTACATTAATGACTGATCGCTCGTCTCTCAACGATTTCTCCTCAGTTCCTCCACTGACGAATAAACATGTTGAGCGGCTCCGAGTTATCTGATACAGTCACCGTCTAATATACGATACATCTTACTGTAATATCAAGTAAAACAAACAAATCTGAATAATAAATAGTTGAACGAATGACAAAAGCCAAATTGGCTACTCAACTTATGGTCAAGAATGCTTTTGTTTCATAAAGGGATGGGGTCGATATATTATTATGTATTACGAATTGTTAAGGATAGGGATTTTGGGATTTTCTATGAGCATATAATTCGGGGGGAGTAAAATTTGGTTCAAGATTGGATAAAATCAATAATTGATGGAAGTTTGATGTATGGGGGGAAAATAACATGATAAAATAAATGGAGGAGAACGCTAAAGACTCTCATACGCAGACTTGGCAAGGCTGCTTAGTTCAGAGTTGTCGACTGTCATAAGCTTCGAAAGTCTGTGCAAATCTACGGTATCGAGAAGACGAATGGTAACCTTAGGGGCCTGTTTGACCCCCGTTGCCTAACGTAAACGAAATATTATCAATAAGGCTGTCTCAAGCCATTGTCAAATCTCGGGGCAAAACAGTTTTACCTTCACCAGTGGGTACAGCTTGTCACCCAATTTCTGCTTCTTCTCAAACAAAGACAATTTCGAGATCTTGAGATAGAAAGCCTCGGCACTGTTATCTTCTTTGGCTTCAGCTGGACGGGAATCGCCATTTGGGCTTTCGTCTTCATCGGCAAAGATGTTAAGAGCGTCGCGGGCTTGACTGATTTTGCTTCTCAAATACTCAGGATTGAAGATGCATAAAGATCTCTCCTTGCTAGACAAAGTCATTAGCATATCAATGATCTCTTCTTCCGCAGTCGGATCGATTTGCTGAATGGCGTCAATCATCCTATCACGTTGATCAGACACTGTACTTCCAGGAGTACTTGTCCCGTCCTGTCCTCCTAAACGCTGTGAAATGCTGTCGGAAGATCGGCCAGGAAGCGCTATGAGCGATGATAGAACATTGTTTTGCGAGATTGGGCTAGACACAATGGATGAACTGGCACTTTGAGGAGTCTGCTTCGGTAAGTCGTCTGGATGACTGGTTTCAGAAGGCGATCTGATGTTGATGGGGCGAGAAACGGGTATTTCGATAACAGGCGACAGACCCAATCCATCACGGATTTCCTTAACCTATGGAATACAGCCGTTAAAGGCACTGAACATATATGTTGTCCCACAGTATATAAGACTATGTGTGTGTATAATAACCTTTTCAAGAAGCAACAAAGGTTGCGTCAGCAGTGCTACCTGTTCCTGTCTCGGCAGCTTACTTAAAGACTCGGTGACTTGATTCAAGTTCGACTCCCACACAATGCCCGTGCCTACAACGCTGTTGTAGAGATCTTGGTATAAATCACTTGATTCATAGGCCGTAGATTCGGGCGGAGGAAGGCTAGCCACTTGAGAGCCACTCTCCGAAGTGCCTGGAGACTTGGGTGATACCGGTAAGACCCGTGGCTTCTTGGGTTCATGGTACGCCACCAAAATTGGTTTGGAGCCCAAGACGGCTCCGTTCATCTGATTCAAGGCAAAAGCTGCTTCCTCAGGCCGGCTGTAACTGACAAACCCATAGCCTCTTGACTGGTTCGTAGCCGCATTTACGATCACCCGAGCACTAACAATCCTACCGTAAGATTTAAAGTGCTGAAACAGATCTGTACTGTTAAGTGCCTCGTCCAAATTCTTGACGTAAAGATTGCAATAGTCAATGAAATGTTGCTGCAAGGATAGAGGCGACGTGGCGGTTACGGTATCATCATCGGTCACAGAGTCCTTGCGACTGACGGTTGTTGGGGCAGAGGGGTTAAAGGGTACGGCCGAAACATTCAACTGCTGCAAGGGACGATGGAAATGAGAAAAAAAAGGGTTAGCTTGGTAAAACGGGAAGAGCCAAGTACACCAAAAACTTACTGTGCGAGGTTTGCTTGGCGCTCTCTCCGTTGAACTAGCTGAGGAATTCGAATTTTTCGAAGAACGTTTACTTTGCAGGTCCATAGGACTGACCGAGCTACAGTACAGAATATGAATGAGAAGGAGGGTGTTATTTCACCACGGGATGGGTTATGATATCACTCACATCAGCTGGCCGTCAATATCAGAGCAGTGCTAGAAAGAAAGGATCAACTATGAATAATGAGGAGAGAAAAATAAAAAAGAACTTTTGTCTTTTCAATGCTGGTAAAACTATTTAGGGTGAGTATCGGCTTACCATTTCCTGCAAAGCCATATGTGCGTCTTGCTGCAAAAAGAATTGTACAGTTGCAGTGACCTCGGTACTACTTGCTTTGGAAATGACACTACACGAATAGATAGGGCCAAATGAAGCAAATCGATCAAATACGTCGGACTCCGTCATATCAGATGGAAGACTCTTGATCAACAGACCAGTACGTGGCTCTGGCATAGGCAAAGGACATTGAATCTGAAGATCAGAGCCTTCAAGAGGTTGGTTGTTCACCACAGCATACGCTTTGTTGGCTGTAACTGAATTTGTTTAGGCTTCCGATCCGTGTTACAATAGGCTTTCAACCAAGGCTTACCTTGGTGGCCAATGACGAAATCAACAGACGCAGTAGTCCCGCTTTTGTGAATGCTGCGAGACAAAAGCTTTGAATTAGAAAGATAATCATCCATGTCTGAGTCATTTTCTTTAAATAGGTGTACTTGACGATTCCGAATGGCTCAAACAGTTGCTTCAATGTCTGTTCAGAGACACCGGGTGGAAGCTTCTCGACAACAAGGGTACCAGGAAATGCTTGTCGAGTCATGACCATGCATATACTGGATTGGAAAAAGAGTGGAGTTGTTGGCTGAAGCTTAAGCTGATTATGTTTTATTTAAGCCGAGGGAGAGAAAGAAGAGGGTGAGAAGAAAGAGAGAGGTTGGATATGAGAAACGAAGAAAAGGTTTATAAAAAAAAAAAATGAAGTACAGCGAAAGGGCGGGCACGTTTCTCTATTATCGCTTTTGTGACAAAGATGTACAAATTTCTCTACATCTGCTGAATGTATCGTTTTTTTTGTCCCATTTATAACAGAAAGTCGCTCTGATTACCATCCTTCCCAATCATCATCCCAGCCATCGTTCACTTTGGCAGCTTTTTTAGCGACGGGTGCTTTCAAGGGAGTCCTTGGTCTACCATTGCTTGGTGTAATGCTGCGTGCTGCTGGGCCATTCAATGCTGGGGATGCACTTCTGGATCCCGAAGGTGATGAGCTACTGCTTTGTTGCAATGACGATATGGTGTTGTTGAAAAAGTCGTCATGGCTGTAATCGGGATCGACGGTGTGTGAATTGGAGGAGTTGCTTCGTAGTGATGTGGGTGTGCCTGAGCGGTTGGAGTCCAAACTTGAATAAAGTTGTTGGCCCTATAAGAATCCAACAAATAAAAATCAGTCCCTCTGGTTTAGATCTACCAGGTGAGAAGCAAAAATTGAATAGAAAAAGCGGTAGCCGCCGGCTTTGACTATTTACCTTCTTGGTCAAGTTACTCACGTAGGAGGACACGTTGTTGCGAAGGTTAGGATCCGCCAAGTGTTGTGAAGCAGGACGAACATAGTTCTCGTTGGCATATTTGGTGAACTGTTCAGCACCTTGCGCAGCATATTTGGCACTTTCTACAGCAGCAACCGACAACAATGACCAACCTTTCGTCAAGGCTTGCATTGGATCATTCATGATGTCATTCATATCGGGCACGTCCTTCTTAGACGTTTGACTTTGGACTGTAAAATGAAGAACAGTGAGCCATCCATTCGAACGAATGATTGCGTAGTTATCTGATCCATGAACTACTTACATGCAGGATTGCCAAAACCCTGATATTTTCCACCTTGATTTGGTGGCAAATAATCTGGTCTAGTCTCATTTTCATTTCCTAGCTTAGCAAAGTATTCCTCGTTTCTTTCTTTATTGTTGCCAGCCAAGTTGCTCGATGTATATTCATTTGTGAGGGGTGATCTAGTGCGTTGGGCACTGCCCAGTGATGGAGCCGAGCCAGTACGTTGAGTACCAAGTGTCGTCTTGTTGAGCGATCTCACTGAAGCGGATGATGAGGGTCGTTTCGTGCTAGCTGCAGGAGCAGACGAGGGTGTCCAGGGTTTGCCTTCGACCTCAGCTGTCAACTGTTGACCATACACATTGTCAGATACTACTTTTTGATTTTTCAAAACACTGTAGATGTATCTACCTTCTCTCGGTACATAGTTGCAAAGTGGCTGTTGTACTTGTCTGGCAGTGGCATGGATGATTGATAATCTGGTTGAGATTCAAAGAACTCTTTGGCCTTCTTATTACCGCCCAACTAATTATAGAGTGTCAACAAATTCCATGCCAATTAATTCAAAGATATGTAGACAAATGAACGATCAAGGGCTTGTTACTTACATCCATCTTCATGACTTGTTCGTCAAACCATTTGTCCATGGTGATGGATCGAACGAAACTGGATGAAAAAAGAACGAAGAGTTTGGCGGAAGATAGTGAGCATGCGATGAAAAGAACAAGCAGGATGTTGCCAAACAACTTGATGCAAAGTTGTACCTAATATGAACACCAAAAGATCGATGGACTCCTGAGCAATCGAGGCAGATGAAGATACCGTAGCTCACACTGGACCATTGAGGGTTAGGAGCCCCACAATCAAAGCATTGTCGATTTCCTTCTCTCCTTTGAATCTCATATAATTTTTGCTTGTACTCGGCCGCCATTTTAGAGGAGAAAGGACCGAGTAGGGTCTGGTATGATGAGAGAAAGCAGGCGGGCGGGCTGAGTGGAATGGAAACAGTTTCAGCGTTTTTCAGCGTCACGTGATTCGCTTCGCTTGTGGGTTTCGCTCCGATGTCGTCGCTTTTTTGATAGTTAGTGAGCCACGATGTATGAGATATTTTTATTTTAGAAAACAGAAAGAAGGTAAAAAAAAAAAAAAGGATTTATGAAGGATTGTTTTTTCCATCCAATGTAAATTTGTGACGCAGTAAAAGGAAAGGAAAAGAAGAGAATATGCTAGCTGAGGGGGAAAATGATACAATGATGAAGATGAAAAAATTCAATATGATACGGGGTAGTAATAGACTGCTTGTGGACCGTTATTGTCATTAGGATACGACATATGCTCATTAGTATAGGCAACACTAGTCGATGGATGATAAGTGGCATCATGTTGTGATGGATGCTTCCAGTTGTTGCTGTAGTCTCCACCGCCCGCTGCATTCCAACCTGGGTTCGGTGGTGGCATACCTTGCTGCGTCATACCCACCGGTTGATACCAATAGGGATTGTACATCATCATTTGCTGAGAATCGTATGGCATGTACATCATATTGTTCGGATCCATCATGGTGGGCGTGGCAGATGTTGGGGTGGAAGCTGTAGCACCGGGTGAACCCATCATTGGCGCATAAAACATACCTTGCCTTCCTCCTTGCCCATCTCCCATAGCCGGATTCATGGGTGGGAAAGGCATGGTGTACACTGGAATGGGTCCTCCGTTGGGTGAGGTGATAGCGAAAGCAACAGGCTGAGACACAAAGGAAGGTGTGGAAACGGCTGGTTGCATTTGATGCGCCATGGGGACAGGAACATCATTTCTAGGGTGAGCTGGTCTTATATTATCTTCTTGACGTGCAAAGTTTTTCTTGTATTTATGATGTGTATATTCAGTGGTGGTGGCCGATGGCTCTTGGTGACTGTCATCCGCTGGCGTTTGGACTGCAACCTTGTCTTTCATATCCACGTTTTGTGCAGGTGATCGATGGTTATGCTGCTTCCTCTGTCGTTTCGGTTTGTCGTCATTACCTTCGACTTTGGCAGGTGACGACGATTCGGCTGGTTGACTGACCGTTTCGTGTGCTGCTGCATCCGATACAACGTCCGGGGAAACTTCCAAAGTAGCTGAATTGCTTTCGTTTTTCAAAGCTTCATCCCTAGACATTGGGTTGGATTTAGAAAAGGGTCGAGTCTTGTGAGATTTCTTAGGTCGATCAGACGGAAGCTGGGTTTTGGTTGCGGATGATTCGGGTATAGGGGACTGGTTAGGCAGCGATTCCTTACTATCAGAATTGGCCATTTTCATTGAGAGTCGTTTCGCCTGTCGTTTCTTTCGTGCCTTATCTCGCTTCGCTTCCCGCCTTGCTTGATCAGCAGCATCTTTTGTGTCACCCGTTGGTTGATCTCCCGCTGCCACTTGTTCTCCAGCAGCTAGAGATGTTTGTGACACCGAGTCAGCAAGTTGTTCAACGTCAGCATCCACTTTGCCATCTTTTTCATCAACATGGCTGGGTCCATCGGATACAGGCGTGTCGACTGCGCTGGCTGACGACCATCCAGATGGTTGTGGTGAGGATGGATAGTTTGGTGCTCGTGGGTGATTGCCGCCTCGGTGAAAACCTCGCCAAGACCCCCTGCCTCGTCTGAAAGATGGGTCTCCTCGGTATCTTCCCCTGGGTGCACCACGGTGGAAAGAGGGTTTATCTTGTGGGTGGTTTGGCCGAGCGTCTTGTGGGTCTGCAGTACCAACAGCCTGTCCCTCCACACTTTCAGTAGAAGTCACTTTGACACTATCTGCATCCTCCTTGTCAACCGAAACACTCTCTTGAACATTCGAGGTCTGGCTACTAGTAGGGTCGTGAAATTGTCTGCGAGCCTGTCTGCCTCCTCGTGTGCTACCGCGACCCCGTCCATGCCCCGTTGAGAATTGTGGAGACTCTCGGAAATTACCTCGCCCACGAGAATTGGTCATGTATTTACGGAATGGAGGAGACTGCGATGGTTTGAACTGGTCAACAGCTGGTTTTGCGGAATCAAGAGTGGCGTAGTCAATGACTTGTTCGGAATCACCCACTTCGCTAACATCGTATGCATTAATGACAGGCTTCGGTGAAGATTTTTGGTCATTCTCACTACTTGTCTTGGTTGCTGTGGATCGCGCCTTGGATGTCACATTCTGCTTACGGCTTGTAGGTTTAGGAGATGCATCTTGGTCCGTTTTAGCACTGTGATTAGTCAAAGACTTGCTGCGTCTTGTAGGAGTGGACTTGCTTTTGGTGGGAGTTCTAGCGCCTTCAGTGGAAGCAGGATCGCTATGGTTGCCACTAGCATCGCTGTCTTTTGGAGATGGACGATCGGCCTGGCTGTTTCGTGACCTGGAAGTTGTCTCAGCCGATTTCTCTGTACGACTTTCTTCTTCCCCATCACTAACAGTCTGTGCTTGTCCTTGTTGACGTCTACGGCTTTGCATCTTGCTCATTTTGAGGGTGGAATGAAAGAAGTAATGTCAAAGAAAGCAGCACAAAAAACAAAGGATATTTCAAAACCAAAGGGGGATTTTTTCAAAGGCGCGACCATACCCAACTTTCGCAAATCACGTGCTTTGTGACGTGCTTATTCAATTTCCGACGGGCTCTGTCAACCGCTTGCAACGCAACATGAAAGAAAAATAATGCTGTCTTATTGCACGCCAGTAAAAATATTCGTATTCATATCAACTTTTGCCATTGTAGTGTTCGTTTTTGCTTGTGATTCAGTTGTCTCGCGCGCGACAAAGGATTTTACTAGGATTACCTGATGATGACCACCATCTTCTTTATGAGAAAAACAGGAAAAAGGCTGGAACCATCTTTTTGCAGAACAGACAGAATTAAGTTAGAAGTGAATGAATTGCATTGACGTTCGTTGTGGGTGGTGGTTTCGATCGATCGGAATATGAAAAAATGATTGGGCTGAATCGACCATCGATACGTCAACATGACCTCAAAAGAGGAACAACTGGTAAAAGAAAGGTGTGGGTTTTCCCAGCTGATGATGGCACCGTATATAAACTGAACCCTACGTAAATATTGTTCTTTATCCGAATTTTCCAATAAACATCCCTTTTGCTGCTGCTTTCTCTGCAAAATGGCTGCTCCTGGACAAAATCAACCCATCGTATACAACGAGAGTGACGGCCAGACTGATCCTCGAGCTGCCATCAACACCGGATCCAACGTGGGGTCTATAAATAAGGCCAACCGTGAACACGAAGAAAATGTGACTTCCAAGGTCAAGGAAGGCGATCTGAAGGGTGTCACATCCAAATTGTCGATGCTGCCCAAGTATCACCTTGATGCCGACCGTATTGAACAACAGATGAACCCTCAATATCGGAAGCAAAATGAGGAGGTTGATAATCCTAATTTGAAGAAAGGCGCTGCAAATGTCATGGATGCCTCTGGTAATGTTACAAGCAACACCGAGGGTCCACCAAAAGACAAGGATAACGATCACTCGCTCGAAGACATCAGTAACCAAAATTTACCAAGTCAAGAGCAGAATACTGCGTTCAGATCTGCCACCAGAGGCGATTTACCTTCATCGCAAATCAGTAGTGATTTGAATGATCACCCGGCAGACAATGATGAAAATAAATTCAAGAAAGTCCTAGATAATGCTGTAGATGGCACTGGGCCTGCCAGCGCCGATGAAAATAAATACAAAAGCGTCCTTGATGATGCTGCTGAAAGTAACGCTGCACCATTAGCAGCTGCTGGAGACATCATCACCAATATCGGAAACAAGCTACCGACGTTGACAAGACATGGAAAAATCGCGGAATTGGACGATGGTACGAACCTGTTATTTATTTAATTATGCAGTTCATTATTTTTTATATGGATTTTTTCTTTAACGTTTTCACTCTTTGTTTTAAAAAAGATAATCTTGCCGTCAATAACGAGGAAGAGATGCTAAATCTGAGTGCAGAACAAGCAGAGCAAGATTCTACACGAGCCATCCCTCCTTCGTCCAAAATGGATAATAGTACAGTAGCGTCAGCGGCAGGCGTTGCTGACAATAAGAAAGACCAGAAACTAGACTCTTCGGTCAGCGCGGCTGCCCAGGCGCAAATGACTGCAAAGGGAAATGTGGATGTCGATAGCAACAATGAACCCACAGATTGGAAATCTCCCAGTCTCAAATACCGACAGCCTTTGAAGCCAGCTACACCAGCCACTATCATCTTCTACCTTCAACGTAAAGCTCTCAAGTACATTGTGATGTCTTGCGCTGTATGCTATATCTTTGGCAAGCTCGGCTTTGGATGGATTGCCGGGTTGCTAGCTATTTGTGGAGGTAAATAATGAATACCGAAATTACCCCTAACCCTAATCTGACAATAACATCATTTCGACGTCAATAAGGTGCGTTCGCTTGGTGGCGTCTCGGTACGGAAGCAAAGCAAGGTATTGAGTGGCAGATGGAAAAAGACGACGCAATGAAAACAGTAAGTACACATGTAAATCCTTAACATGCTGTACTATATATGCTAACCTTTTTCTGCATTAAAGTTGTACACCTCCGAAGGTGAGACAGTGGAATGGCTCAACTATTGCGTGGAAAAAATCTGGCGCAGCATAGATCCCCAAATGTTTGTTCAAGTTGAAGATATTTTGGAAGACACTCTTGGCAGTCTTGCACCTGGATTCATTGTAAGTCATCATGTAAAATAAGAACAGAATGACAACTTCGGATGTCAGACGTGCTGAGCGATTTTATCATCCCTTGCTAGAAAGGTGTAAAAGTCACTGATTTTGATATTGGTGTGCAAGCCCCCCGTGTTCAGATGTATGTATCCAATATCTGCTATTTATGCTAAACTCTTTATACTAACCTCCCCTTAACGATGATCAATGAAGGATCCGTATCTTCCCACCGCTTCCTGGCCAACCTGACGAGAGCATCTTCGGTGAAGCTGCGTTCAGTTTCCATGCTCATCCAGTTGCATCGATTTCCACCACCCGACGCAGTCTCTCCGCCCCCCCTGGCATTGGAATCCGATTCAAGACTGGAATTAAGGCTGCTATTGACATCAAGGCTGAATTGACAGCCTTATCCGGCAAAATTCGTTTTAAGATCCTGACTTCCCCGGAAATGCCATTTGTCTCCAAAGTTACCATTGCTTTTACCAGTGTTCCAGTCATTGAAACCGGTGTTATGCCAGTTTCAAAGCATATGAATATTATGCACTTGCCTCTGATTAAGACATTGGTCAATGAAGGTGTCAAGCTTGGTTTTGCTGGTCTAGTTGACCCCAAGAGTATGACGCTTGATATTCAAGCCCTCATGGGGGCAGCCGCTCATGACACTTCGGCCATTGGAGTGGTCAAGGTTGACTTCATTGAAGCGGTCAGATCAGCCAAGTCCCTTCAAGATATGGAAGATTCTTATGCCAGTCTGTCTCTCAGTAACAGTCCTGGACGTAGCATGACTTCGACTCGTGTTCTTACAAATGACAAGGATCCTCGATGGAACGAATCTTTGTTCCTGTTAATCCATGAAGGTGAGACATTGTTTATGGAAAATACTACCCCATCTATTTTCAGTTAACTTATGTACCCATACACTAGATGATATTGTCAGTGACAACCAAGTCGAACTCAAGGTATGGGATGCCGATAAAATCAAGTTCGACGACGTATGGGGTCATGTTGGCATGGCTGTCAAAGATATCGTGCTGGCCAAAACCGATAAACTTGGCAACGTCAGTGACTGGTGTGCGGACGAACGCCAAGTCTTCGATGGATGGGCTCCTATTGATGGCGCTAAGGATCTCGAGAGCAGCCAGATCAAGTTGCATTATCGTTTGAGCTGGCATCCAAAGTATATTGCTGCCAAGCCCAAGATCATGGAGCGCAACAAGGGCGAAATCAAGGATAACCAGCCAACATCGTCGGATACTGGTCCAGCTCAAAAGGAAGAAGAAAAAGTCAAGGTTGATGAAGCTCACTCTTCTGGCATTTTGTCTATCACCATCCATCAAGCTATAGAGTTAGAAATTGCTGATCAGCAGCTAATTGACAACAAGGAAAAGCATCCATACAACGCTGGTACCGTCGTCAGTCCCTATGCGCTTGTCTACATCAATGACGAAAAGGTTTTCCGCACACGCCATAAAATGCGTAATCCCAGTCCTGTAAGTACTGAGAATATAAAAGGGGGTGGCGAAATCTCAAGTAGTATTTAACATTTATTTACTTTTTAAAAGCACTGGAACGCTGTGACTGAGCACTTTATCCGCGATTATCATTCGACTTTCGTACGTATTTCAGTCAAGCATAGCGTTGACTTGGAACGTGATCCCGTTTTGGGAACTCGAGTTGTCAACCTTGAAGATGCTTTTGAAAACCAGAGCGATGATATCAAGGAATGCCAACGCTGGTTGCCTATCAAAGATGGTATTGGATTTGGTAAAGTCCTCGTCACTTTGCGCTACAAGCCCGTGAAGCTTTCACTCCCCAAGCCCATGACTGGCTCCAGAGTGGGAACTCTGGTCATCGACCGTGTTGTTTTCAATAATCTTCAACCTCCGTTCTCCAACTCAATCAAGTCACTCAAGGCTGTGCTGGCTGCCAACGTTGAGCCTGGCATGTCCAAAAATCTGAAGGCAAGAGACTCCGACCAGCAAAATCAACCTGAAGTCAGCGAAAACCAAGTGTCTTGGTCTGGCAAACGCCTCTACTTCCCTATCACCATGCGTTATCGCACTGCCATCTATGTTCATCTCTCCGCTGGAGGTGTCAGCAGCAAGCGCATTACTGGCCGTCTTTGGCTACGCGACTTGGTGGACGATGAGCAAAAAGAAGTGACTATCGGTTTGCATCCTGGTTTGGACCATAAGAGCAAGGATGCTAATCGCAATACGGATGATTGGGAAGCCCCTGGCGAATTTGGCACTTGCCAAATCAATTGTCTCTTTATCCCCGGCTATTCCAGTGTCCACACCAACTTGCAATCATTCCGCAAGGATATGGTTGGAGCCAATCCATTCAAGGAACTTCAAAACGAGCGTGACTCCCAAGAATGGGCCAAAGCCAATCAAGAAATTGGTGATAACAAAGCCAACCGAAAGCGCAGCAACTCAGTCAATACTGAGGCTTCTTCTGAATATGAAGAAGAATCTGAAGAAGAGAATGATGACGATGAAGACGATGATCTCATGAGAGAATTGTTGAACAGTGGAAGAGCGGATAAGATTAAGAAATATCGTGTTCTTCGCAAACTTGCCTGGAGTCGAGACCTTGTTAAAGACAAGGTTGATCAGATACGGGGTGGATTCAACAGTGAAAACCGAGCCAATCGCTCGGTTAGCAAGGAGTAGATTCACTCTGTACCCTTTTTTAAATGATTTCATTTTATTGAATATGTGTGTAAATAAAGTAACCAACAACGCAATATCAAAAAATCTCGAGAGAACAGCGAAAAGATGCAAAGATCTTGTCATTGCGCAATTCCCGATACTTTTGCGATTGGCTGATCCAGTCTCCGCTAAACGGCGAACTTTTTTTTAATTTTTAAAATATCGCTGTAGTTGTTTCAAACTCTCGCTCTCTATTTCCTTCATACATTATGTTTGCTTTGCGTACCCGTTTGACGCCTTTGTACGCCAGAGGCTTTGCCACTGCTGCTGCTGCTGAGACCCAGAAGCCCGCCGCCGACAAGGCTTACAAGGTGGTTGTCATTGGAGGTGGACCTGGTGGTTTGTCTGGTAAGTGGGCTCATTCATACATAGGCAGTTGGGAGCCGACGATAGCTAACGGCCACTGTGAACAGTCTCTTCCACTGTGTCTAAATTGCTTGGTCAAAGCCAAGTGGCTGTCATTGAGCCTTCAAAGGTCCACTATGTAAGTTTTGTGATCAAAAAGTGACTAATCCACAGCCGAGCCGGGGTTTATTGACAAAAATTCGGATGTGCTAGTATCAACCACTCTGGACTTATGTTGGTGGAGGTCTCAAGTCATTCTCGGAATCTGAACGCCCCATGGGTGAGTTGATCTCGCCCCAGGCAGATTGGATTCAGGATAAGGTCACCAAGGTCAATGCCGAAGAAAACACAGTTACGCTCGCTGACGGCAAGCGAATTGGTTATGATTATTTGGTGGTTGCTGCTGGTATCCAGGTCAACTGGGATAACATCAAGGGTTTGAAGAACGCGCTTGGTAAGAACGGTGTCACCTCCAACTACTCTGCTGACAGTGTTCAAAAGACCTGGCAGTTCATCCAAGACTTCAAGGGAGGCAATGCTATCTTTACCTTCCCTGCTACTCCCCCCAAGGTAAGGAAAATGGGCCTTCCATATTGTTTAAATTCAGGTGGGAAATCATTTTATTTATTTTTGACGACTAGTGCCCTGGAGCCCCTACCAAGATCACCTTCTTGGCTGAGGAAGCCTTCCGCAACCTCGGTGTTCGTGATAAGACGAATGTCATCTATAACCATGCTGGAGCCAAGATCTTTGGTGTTGACCACTATGGCAAGGTTTTGCAGCGTTTGGCTGATGAGCGCGGTATTCAAACCAACTATTTCCATGAATTGATTGAAATTAAGGCCGACGATAAGGAAGCTATTTTCCGCAACAACCAAACCAAGGACGTCAAGACCTTCAACTACGACATGATCCACGTCGCTCCTCCTTGCGGACCCCCAGCTTTCATCAAGGAATCCAACATTGGTGATGCCGCCGGTTGGGTTGATGTTAACAAGGAAACCACTCGTCACAACAAGTACTCTAACATCTTTGCCTTGGGTGACTGCTCTTCCCTGCCCACCTCTAAGACTGCTGCTGCTATTACTGCTGAGTCTGGTGTCCTTAAGCACAACTTGATTGCTGACCTTGAAGGCAAGACGGTTGAACCCGCAAAGTACGATGGTTACACTAGTTGCCCATTGATTGTTGGCCGAAAGCAACTTATCTTGGCTGAATTCTCTGGTTATACCGGTACTCCTATGGAGACTTTCCCGGTTGATCAGCGACAAATCTCTTCCACTGCTCAGTTCTTGAACAAGGAGGTAAGTTAATGGGCTAGATGCCGTTCGCTTCGGCTGTAGACTAATACAATATGGCTTTTTGTTTAGGTCATTCCTGAAATTTACTGGAGAGAGCTTTTGGCTGGCAGATGGACCGGTCCCAGCAAGTACCGTGAGGCCATGGCACCTTTCCGTGGCAAGTACGACTAAGTCATACCCCACCTTTGTTTGCGACAAGGTGTGCTTCCCTATATAAAGAAAAAAAGTCATCCCACCACTCTTAAAAAAATAAAAATTGCAGTTTCTCTTCAGCGCCGTAGATCACCTTTGTCATCTGCAGGCCATCCACGGAGTATAAAATAATGGAGGCGAGTCCATGGATAGACCTGCTAAGAGCCCAACTGTAGCTTTTACGGACTTGAATTCTAGTTCCCCTCATTGGAACAATAAATTTAGGCTCGGGCCTCAGTCGTACAGTGAGATCCAGAACGTTTTAGCCAATTCACCAGTTAAAGACAGAGCCACCAACCCCACTAACTGGGTGATGCGATAGACAAAACAATTATAAAAAAGGCCCTTGAAACCTACATTATATCCGGACTTTCTTTTTCTTCTTCACACACACAATCATGGTATTTGCTCCATACTCAAGGATCGAAGCTGACTCGGATTCGCTGCTGGACAGCGTTCCGCAAGTCGTTGATACAAGTAACACGGTCACGCAACGAGATCGCTCACAGTCCTCGCCACCGCGACCCTCGTTTCGACCCACGAATCGAAACCGTGCCATCAGTGATCCTTTCTTTGCACAAAATACCACTTGGCATCCACTGAACGACATGGACGACGAAGATGATGATGATAGACGTGACCTGCTGTGCAGTACAAGACCTGCCTTGCCTCGTAAGAAGAGCAGCTTTGGGGTATTCAAACAAGGCGTCCTCAAGGCCGTCGGTATCAAGTCCTGATCCACGTTGTATGTAATCTCTTCCTATTAATGCAATAAACAGTTTCGGGCGGGTGGAAATGATGTAACACAGACAAACGGGCGCGCGCGCATGGCAAAACTCAGTTCCTTTTCGGACACTAACGGACGATGTTTGAGTCTAAGCGATGGAATAGAACACATTTTTTTTTTTTTTTCACTTGGAATAAATATTGGCTATAGCCTAACTACATGCTTCTCATTGATTAAAACGCATTGGAAAAAGTCAATGCTGTGCTCAGATTACAAAAAAAAACAAGTAAAAAAAAAAAAAAAGAAGGGTGGAAAGGTTTAGGGTATTTTTGGACCTAGCGATGAGGTTTTGTGGTGTAAAGGGAAAGAAGCTAGATAGGGAGATGTAAAAATAAATGACATACAGGGAGGGAGGGCGCTACAAGCATCTTTACAGTGACTTCAACACCTTCATAAAATTGCTTGGAACCAGCCCTCGCCGCCGCCGTCTCTGATCAAGAACTTCGGCCTCCCACCATCCGTCCTGTTGTTTGGTAATGACAGCTAAAACATCGTTGGTTTCGAAAGATATTTCTGTATCGGGAATACGAGCCTGATAGCTCCATTGAGCTTGCACTATTTAAACCAACAAAAAGCGTCAGTATCGCATCATTCACGTAGAAAGCAAAGAAACCTCCTCGTACCATATTCCAAAATGGGAGTGCCATCTGCCAACGTCGCCTGCCAGTTGGGCTGTGGAGGAGAGTCACCTGCTTGTCGTTGCCGTAGTTGTTCCATACCAAGTGAACTCATTCGTTGTGAGATATGAACGGGTTCAGCATTTGAGCCTGGTATTTTGGGCGACGCCCACTCAGGTGTGGTCGAAACCGGGCCTAAGCCTAATGCCGAATCCGGTCCTCGTGAACCACCAGGGCTACGAGGTACTGAACCAGCTTGAGAAGGTTGCTGGTTAACAACATGGCCACTCTCATTATCAGATATAGGGTTGCTCAATAGACTAGGTGCATGCATGCTCTCTTGTTCTCCACTAGCCTTGGTCTTCTCTCGATGCTTCTTCCCTTCCTTATCCCGTTTGAATATGGACAGCGAAAATCGACTGTTGGATCGCTCCTTGAATCGATCCACATGGTGAATAGGCATGGCCGAAGGGTCTGTAGCACTTCGAGCCGCTGCGCGGGAATCTGTCTCTGATTTACTGGGTTTGGGCATGGTGTCTGCTGTTCTTGCCTTCTCTGGCACCCCCGCACCTGGTGATTTGTTAAAGGCAAATTTCATTTTGGATGCAAGCGATGGACTTTTGGACGACTGAGGTGCATCCAATTTCGACGGTGAAGGTGTGCTCCGATGGTTCGGCAGTGGAGAATCAAATGTCATCATGGAGGCGGCTGCCCGGGATAAAAAGGGTGAATTTTCAGGATAGGAAGATGCAAGGTTGGCGGGTTGATTAGGGTCATTTTTTTGGGAAGCGTCTAGGACTCCCCATGGAGGTGGTCGAATACCAAGGTCAACATCTTCATCATTAGAAGCGTATATATATTGGTTAGTAGGAGGTTCAATAGGCTGTCGATGAGACGGTTGCTTTGCATGGTGGTGGTGATGGATCGGTTCGGACGTAGCCAAAGGGGATGGCGTGGTAGTGGGAGGTGATCTTGGAGTGACATGGTCATTTGCCAATGGCTGCGGAGGGGAGGGCATTTTGCCTGATGTCTCTGTTGTGGCATGGCTCAAGGCTGAATTAGGTTGTGAATGATCGATGGTCGGATTCAAGTTGCGAGTATTGACCACAGGCCCTGGTTTTTTGATGGACACTGGACTGGCCATCAAAGTCGACGTGGGCTTCACTTCGGTAATGGCGAGGGGCGGTGGTCGTGACAGTATGCCATGTCCTGATGTCCGCTTTTCGCTTTTTGGTGAAGAAGGAGAGCCAGTGACAGAGCGTTTGTCAGGCACTTGAGTTGACTCGGCAGCTTCGGTTGGATTATGATTAATAGAGGATGCTTCGTCGTCTCTGTGGCTGCCAATATTAGAGGACTCAAGGTCGTTTGCCGTTCCCCTGGGTGCCGATGATCTCGATATGATGAAATCCGACACGCTACCAACAATATCACTGTCGTCGTCGCTTTGTGCCTTTGCATTATGATCGGCATTAGAATCATCCGGTGGCGATAGTTGAGCCACCGCGTCAAGTTCTACCAATTCTTTGGAGTGTCTTCTAGGCAAGTCGTGCTTTGGCTCCTTTGATAAGCCATTTGTGGGTAAAGAGGGCACTACTGCTTCTGTTTGTGCCAATAAAGATTCAGCTGTCATGGTGCGCATAGTAGGAAGTCGCTTCAGCTGCACATCGACCGATCGCAGTTCCTCGTCTACAACTGGGATTGTAATTTCTCTAATCGATTTTGGTTCAGCCTCTTCGCCGTTCAGCTTGACTTCGGAGTCTACCACCTTGTTTCCCCACAAACTACCGGGCGGAGCTATTGGTGGCAATGGCTTTATCACCGAGGATGACATGTCGGATCGTTTAGAAGATGATTTTAGTTTTTCGAAAAAGTTTTCGTACTTTGTCGGTTCTAATGGTGGCAAACTATGTTAGTCACCTACCCAGACAGGGATGTAAGGAGGTGTCATTGCGTACCTGGAGGAGTTTGGCCAGTGCGTCGCTTTTGCACAAATGTATCCAAATCCTTATACACTTCCATGCACTCTAAGGATGTCCTTATACGTTCGCATGACTGATGCAAGTGGCTAGGGTCAACGGGCGAGCTTCGATTCGAGAGAAGCATGAGGGACTTACCTGGTCATCTATTGTATGGACGCTAGACATCATATTGGCGTACCTAGAGGAAGTGGATGACAAAGAGGTGGCGTTAATTTAAAGCTACGCGGCAACCCTGAAGAAATCAAAGGTACTTACGCCCAAAGACTACTTCGTAGATAATGCAATCTTCGTTCTTCTAAGCTTTGGAATATATCACATACTTCACGCCACTCATCATACCACAGACCGTAAGCAGCAGCCAAGGCCTGAATGGAATTTTTATAGTCTTGGTCTGCGCGCAAGATTCGTTGAGTAAATCAAAGAACACAGTCTTTTTCCAATGCTTTCTTAAGATGCTCACCTGTTTGCGCCACTTGTTCTTGCAGCTAAATGGAAGAAAGCGTTGTGCAACCTTGAGTCAGTGCACTTTTTTTTCGCACTTTAGCCAATCAGGACCTACCTTGGCAATATCTTCCTGTCCAACCTGCTGTGACCTGTCCTCCAAACGCTGTCGCATTTCTATTAGGTGCTGGCATTGTGCTTCATAAGCATCTTTGGCCTAGAAAGAAACAAAGGGGCAAGATGTGTTTCAGTACCAATTGTGTTAAGGCGGTGGTGGGTGGTTGAGGGAATATATACCTTCGTAGCGTTGGAGATATGAAATGCTTTCTGCTGTCGTGCTTCTTCAATCTTGCTCAAAGTCTGTAAGGGAAAAACCGTGCGATTGAGTATAGTGCGAGCCAGGGCGATGAACGACAGGGGTGGGTTGTAACATACGGCTTGTCTGACCTCCTTTTGGTCTTTAACGAATGTTGACAGGGGCGATTCGAGATGATGTTTGATTTGTTGCGCTAGATCGAGATGTGCTCTGGCTGCGGCTTCTGTTGCCGCTGGGATATCGTTGAGAGTGTCTGAAAAGGTGCTACCATATTCTTCATGGTCTCCAAGTGGGCTCTGCGCTATTTGTAACAACCGGTCACCGTATTCTTCTTCGAGCTGAGCACTGTTATATTGAACATTAGGGATGAGTGGGTTGAAAAATAACTACATAAAACCGAAGAGAGATTACCGTTTTTCGAACAGCCGTTTTATTTGCTCGGACGTTTGTTTTGATCGCCGTGAGCGTTCAACAATGACCTGAATGCTGGCTTCTTCATTTCCCTAGATGATTGCACAAGGTGGGATGAGACTTTGCATTGAACAAAAATACTTTGTCATGTAGAACATAGCGTACCCAAAAGTTATCGGCAAACGGGTAATGCAGGCCTTCTGTGGCCATTTCCAGCAGTGACAAGTAGAAGTTCTCTTTTGCGTAACCAGCTGCTGAGCGCAATAAATTTTCGGAGGAGCCGCCAGGCAATTTGAAGCCGCCAACCCAGCCAGGTCTTCTTGTTTTTTAATATCGCTTTCTGTCTTCATGGCTAACAAGCATTCCCCTGTAATTCGGATTTCCCCTCCAGAATTCCAATTCTATCGTGAGTTAGTTGTCCAACCACTTGTCATGCCACGTCAGTCTATCTTACTAACATGGTATGCTTCAGCCCTACGGCAAGGTCCTGGCTTCACAGCTCGTTTGCATGTCAAGAATCTAATTGAAAATTCCGTTGCCTTTAAAGTGAGCTATGACTAGGAATTCATGGTTTTTTGTATATCTGCTGCTAACGTGACGCTGTTAGTTCAAGACCAATGCTCCAACTCGCTACTCTGTCAAACCTGTATTGGCTGTATTACATCCCGGAGATGCAATTGAAACATATGGTAAGTGGATACGTAGCAGGCCACTGTCGCCAGCCAACTGCACATTGACAAGAAAAAATTTCATGCACTAGTTCGCTCGGAAACTCCTATTAGCGATCAAGACAAGTTCTTGATTCAAAGTGTACCCCTTACGGAAGAAGAGTCAGGCTTGGAAATGACTTCGGCTGAGGTAAAAGCGCAAAGAGTTACAAAAGGGAGTACATGTGGAGGATATTAATATCAGTTTTTCCATAGTGGAAAGCTCTGGACAAGCGACGGATAACGGATAACTTTATCAACTGTGTGATGATGAGAGGTTTGCGACCGCGCGTTCAATCCATTGAATCGCGCTCTTCATCTCCTCCTGTATCGCCGCGTCTGTCACCGATCCCGCTTTCGCCGTCTCCATCGCCCTCCACTCAGCAATATAATCGATCTGTCCGTCAACACGATCAAAAAGAATCTCAATCCTTTCCTACATTCAAGGTGAGTTTCTGTCAGACAGCAGGATGGCTCGATAACAAATTTAAGTTGACAAACATCGAATCATTCCCTAGATCGTCATTTTCAGCATTATTTGCATATTGATTGGCTTATTGATACCCTTTGAAAAATTCGCTTTGCTCTTTCCATCTAATTGAGGTCATCCCGTCGTTACCCTACCTCTCTTACTGTACTATTTTACGCTACATGTTTCTTTCTTTCTTGGCTTACTTAGAAGTTGAATTATTCTTTTTTCCTCTCCTCCTATTCATTAGTTTTTAGTAATCAATTTTTGGTAAAAAGGCGCCCACACATTTATAACGTAGACAAAAAGGTTGACGCAAACCCAGCACAATATAAAACATCGGATCCAATGATGGAAAACCATAGCACGCACTGGTGATAATGTGTTGGAAAAATATATTTTTATTTTTTAAAGGAAGAAAAAAAACGGTCCAAGGAAAAAAAGGTCATACAATGGGGAGCAAGTTTTGCAAAAGGGCAAAAGTATAAAACACGCAACTGCTTACGATGAAAACTTTTCTAAAGGCATGATGGCAAATTAGTCAGAATCTTCTCGCTGCTTTCTTCTAGCCTTGCTCTTGCTACTTCGCTGAGCCTTGCGCTTCTTCTTGCCAGCTTCAAATTGAGCGACATCCTTATGCAGACGGCCGAGGTTATCAAGATCCTTGACCTTGTAGATACGTACAATCCAGTTCTCAGATGTGAAAGCTTCATCCAACACATTCAACTCTGGGCTTTCCTTGGGCAAGGTTTGTTGTCGAACACGATCAACTGGTGCGTGAGGTCCAAAGAGCTCGGTGAATCGGTAATAGCTCATCTTGTACATGAGGGAGTCCTTCATGGTTTGAGAAGCCTTGTCGTCAACGCGATAGTCACCAGTGGGAGTAAAGTAGTTGGATTCCTTGATCTTGTCTGGCCAAACACCTTCGGCAATACGAATCATCCACAAGTACTTGTTGATATCATCGCCAGAGTATCCTAACAGACCACCGAAAATGATCAACACATAGTCGACATCATGTTGCTTCATGATCTCATAAGCATCTTCTTCGTTGGATGACATGGCACGACCAACCGTGGCAATATGAGTGTTGTTCCAGGTGTTGTTATCAACCAAAGTGGGACGATCAGCCATACCGGAGATCTGATATCCATAATCCCACCATGACATGATCTTAGCATCCTCCTTGGTGTTTTGACGAAGCCAGTTGTACGATTCACGGAAATCATCAATAATATGTTGTGATCCATCTGGGTTGCGAGAAGCAAGCACAATGGAGGGGGATGAATAAGCGTTGGAGGTAACCCAGGTACAATGCCAAACGAAAATGACAAGGAAGATCACAAAGTTGGTGAGCACAATAGTACGGGAATCAAAGTTGAGAATACCAAAGTACTTTTCTTTGGTGCTGTCAGCATCTTTGGTAGCAGCGGCCTTTGCAGCAGCACTAGCATGTTTGGATCGAGGGGTTTCAGTAGAAGCCGATGGTTGTCCGGACGGCTCAGTGGTGGATTCGGCAGTGTTGAAATCCAAATAGGTATCAAGAATAGTGGACAACGCAACGGCAGCAGAGATACAAACAACGGGAGTAAGGGTCAACATGAGACGAACCATGACACCGGCAAAGTAAGAAGCGAAAACACTGTAAACAATGATGAAGACGTGTTCATCACGCAATTGTCTGAAGCACAAGTATACACCGGCAGGGAAAAGGAAAATCAACATCTCCAAGTCGAAGAAGAAGGAAGGCCAGGCGGTAGGTTGATGTTCGGAAACGGAGGCAATAATTGGAATGTGGATCTTGGCATAGCCAGTATCCCACAGTGAGTAGAAGCGGCCAGTCCAAGGAGCAATAAATCCAGTCATAGTCAGAGCGGTCAAGCCAACCACACCAACAACGAAGATAAGAACGACGAAAATACGAAGCAAAGTTTGGAATTGCCTTTCCTGCACATGGCTACGAACCAGCTCAACGAAGGCAAGAATTTGGCAGAGACCAAATACACCCAATGCAGCCATATGTTCGCTTGTTCGTGTAGGCTGGAAGCCAACAAAAGGAATCTGCATGGACATAAGAGTTCCCAAAATGTAGAATGTAGAGTAAGAAACATACACACGAGTAGAGAAACGACCCATGCCCATCAACACGAGAACATGTAGAGGGATCAAGTTGATGATAAAGACGTAACCACCTATAAAAATAAACATCAGCATATAGAGTATAAACGTCATCTCAAACACCACATTAGCAACCATGTCAACTTACCCCAGGCGGCCACCATGTAAAAGTAGAAAAAGGCAGCAGCAGCGGCCCAGAGTGCGGAGCCAAGCTTCAAAGCCTTGATCCAAAGATAAAAGGTGAACATCAATAGGAAAATAGCAATGCCTTCGTTATCATAAGATCCTGCGACGGAACGAGAGATATAACCGGGAGCAATACCAATGAAGGCAGCGGCCAATAAACCAGCGGAGGAGTCTTTAATTTCGCATGTCAACAAGTAGGTAGCGTAAGCTGTAGCTCCGGAAAAGACGGGAGCGAGAAGCACACAGACATTTCGAATATCGACTGGGAAATGAAGATAATGCAACACGTTGTGGATAATGGCCGAAGTGACCATCAAACCGGGATACACGGTTCCTCCAACAACACGTCCAAGAGGATACCAGGCACGCGGGTCAAACCAGTTCCAGAATTCATAGAAACCGTCTTTGACGAGCATTTGAGTTGTTCTGTAATTGAACCTACAGTGAAAGATGAGTTTAGGGTGGACGAAAAGGCATGATCTATACCAAAGGTAGAACACATTACCATGGGTCGAATTCGTGGATGACTGATTCATAGCGAACGATGGAGAATAGACGTGATGAGAAGGCTGCTCCAGCTATAAGACCGAGAATAACGGTCTTGAGCAAGGCCTGTTGGTTGCTAGCGTCTAGCTTGGCCATGCTTTTCTACCAAGTTTAGGATTTATAGGTTCTAAAAAGGTTGAGCAACGAACAAAACGAGCCCAGCAGGAACGATGTGCGAAGGTTTCATTGGGCGAGATTTTTGAAATCCAGTGCCAGCGGCCAAGCAAAATGGAAATTGCAAAAAATTACCGTCGACTGTATTATTTAACTGTATTTTTGAACGTATTAAAGCTAACTATAGGACTAGTCATAAGTTGGCTATGTGTGTAGAGTATCGGCATTTTACTCCCTGTTAAGCCGCCGAGAGGCATAAACGTTGTCAGCAAAACTTGTTACCTATACAAACAAAAAAAAGCAAGCGAAAGAACCACACTCACGCAAAAATGAAGAGATTGTTGGTGGCAGCAACGGCCACAGTGTTTTCATGTGGATGCCAAGACGAGTGCAGAATCTTCTTGTTAAAGTCAATATAATCGGTGCCAAAGTCACTTCGTCCGGACTTGCGCGTCATTCTACTTTTTGAGGATCCTAGTCGTCGCGCGCGGAAAGCGCTCTTGTCCGCTTGGAGAGTGACATCGGTTTTACCCTCAAAGTCGTATATGTGAAAATCATTATTATACGAACCAGTCAACACTGACCTTTTAATGTAGCGAGTCAGTAAATCAATGCATCGGTAGATGTAATCGTCCAATTGAAACAAACTTACTTTCCGTCTCCACTGAACGTACACTCAAACTTGTCAAAAATACAGTCATTCTCATACAAATCGCACAGCCTATTTCGAAGTTGTTCGTGAATATTGATGGTTGTGACGGGCTTGTTATCCATATTGATATCCCAGATCTTCAACGTGAGGTAGTCTCTGGCAAGAATGTACCGGCCATCCTTGCTAAACTTGACATCAGAAATAGATGCAATGATTTCTGAAAAGAAGGACTTTGTTGAAGGGTCCTCCGCATCTTCATATACTGCGGGGAAGGATACATTGGTTGAATTAAAACAACGGGAATTGAAGCACCGCATAGCGTTGGTACTTACGTTTGGCATGTTGATCACACAACGAAGCAGCTCTCATATCACTCAATTTGATGGTTCCCTTGCTGCTACTATACACAAACAAATTACAATGCTGTGGGTGGAACTCGGCTGCAGTGATCACCTCTGTCAGCTCCTCCATGTTCGTGGGCTTGATGTCAACAATATCTTTGTTTGTACAGCAACCAAGTCAGTGACAGCTTTGGCATGAAGTCATGTATGCATTCCATCCACTTACTGAAGCTTTGTTCTGATATGCCAAAGTTCCATAAATTGATACGCAAATCATCTGCAGATAGATATGTTTCATCATCCGAGTTGACTGAGATAGAATTGATGTGGTACGCATGAGCTACAAGACGGCACAAAAGTTTAGTACACACTTCAGACACGGCCGCCACATTCCTACGTTCTAGTCCCTACCGTTTCCATATATCCTTCGCGGGACGGCTGCCACTATAGTATCCTGGCGCATCATCTTGGGAAGACGCAAAGATTGCGTACCATTCATAGGCACATCGTTATCCAAACCTCCTTCTGCTACCACCTTGAGTGACTTTTCAAATACTTTCCAAAGCTTGATAGTTTTGTCTGCCAGGTTATTCTGTCAGCATCTCCTCCATAACAAAATTTTTACGCACTTTAGCATGCTACTGACCGTTAGTGGACAACAAGAAGTGTGCTGAATTCTGGCGTCTACACCACTTAATTTTGTTGATCTTCTCCTCAATTTCCAATGACTTCAGACAGTCAAATTCAGGTTCGTGAGATTGAAACTCGGTAAAGAACTTGTACTCGCAGCTTGATTTCTGTTTTAACAAAAACAAGGGGGCATAAGTCAGATCAAGTTCATACCCAAAATGAAAAACCAACCATGTTATTGCGAGCACTCACAGTAGCATTCCGTTCAAACAAAACTATACGTCCGCCTTTATCACCAGTAGCCAAATAGTCTCCAGTTCGATCGAAATCGACGGCTGAAATGATGTCCGCTGAAAACAATACGAAGTGGAACTTAGTAAAAAAAAAAAAAAAAAAGGCATAGCAACTTTCTCGGAATGTTTGGGCGCTTTTCATGCTTTATTGAGTAGCCAAGCTCGTTGTGGTGGAAGAAGTCGAGTCATACACCGGAGGATCTTGCCCAAACGTCGGGTTGCATAATTACAACTGTACAATAGTCCAAAAACCAATGCATAAGACACAACACACACCTTCAGTGACATCTCCTGAATCGCTTTTGTCACCAAAGCATTGAGCAAACTTCCAGTCGTGATCTTCAATAGTCGTCATTTGAGATTAGAACTGGTGACGAAACAGTAGAAGGAAAGGGAAATGAGCAGGTGAGGTTCACAAGGCGTCAAGAAAAAAATGCCAGCTTGTTTGTCAGGCAATTTGCGCCAATCATTGGCTTGGTTGGCGGGTCAACTATTATTGGTCAGCTTGAACTGTAATTCGATACAGAACAAGCACAACCACTTATTCATTAAAGATCTATACGTACTATGATACAGCTTGACAAAAAAAAAATATGAAGATGTTCGAAAACACACAGTTTGTCTGATTTCCTTGGTATTTTGAAAGGCATCGAAATTTTCGCTTGGGGCGAGACAAGGAATTTGAGCGTGACCGGCTCTCTTCAACACAATTTTCGACGCTCACTAACGAAAAATTTACCAGCGTTACAATAGCCTTCCAGCATCCCAACAACAGGCCCAGCCAATGTCTGTAAAATGCGGTGGAAACATCTACCGCAACTTATGGCGAGCAGTTTTATTAGAAAGAGTCGGCCCGCGATCTCGACGGCTTGAGCCATCTCACTCCAGTTTTTTACAAGATCTATACCTTGTTAACATGCGATTTTCACCACGACGACATTTCCTATCAACGGCTGCTGCTCCTATAAAGACATCAAGCACATTAGCACACCGTTCATCATCACCGACGAAAAGAACATTTGACCAGAAAACAGGAAGCAAGGCTGACATAGAATCTAGAATGGATCAACTGGGATCTTGGCTGCACAAGCTCACCCTATCGGATGCAACACCAGCTGATATCCAGGGCATAACCCATCTATTGCAACATTCTGAAGCGCATGCACTTTTGAAAACATTATCTCCAGGCAATATCACCACACTTTATCGATTGCTTTCTAAGTTTAGTTGCCTGGACTTATTGAATCAGATACGCACCGCTTTGAATGACATTGGCGTGGACCCAACAATGGCCGATTTCCAAGTATGGCTGGTGGCATATACCAAATCCAATTTACTCAAGGAGGCTCAGGAACTAATATCTGATGCGCAGAGGCATGGGTTTCAACTGTCGTGGAGTCCCGCATTGATGGATTGCATCGAAAGCGGTGACTTGCAGAGTGCACATCAGACCATCCAGATATTAGCGGACATCCCCACTATTCAGGTTGACGCATCTGCGTACAAGAACTTAATACAAGCATACTTGAGGAATGATAAGAGAAAACACAGCGGGTCCCTTGGGTATGCTATACGCACTTTTCAATTGATGGTGCAAAGCAACACCGAAGCCGATGGAGAGACATATTCAGCATTTGTCGAGGCTTATATTGAGGATTCATTGGCGCACTGGAAGGACGAAGAGCATAAAACTCGGATATCTACCATTGATCGTTTATATGAAGCCATTCTTGCCCAACCCAATTTCGAGCCACCTTCATCGGTATGGACATCTCTGATACGCGTATACACTCAAAACGACTCGCTTGCCAAAGCCGAACAAGTCTATTATGACTTTAAGAAGACTGAAAAGATCGCTGAAGATGTGATGGATACAACCGAAAACCTGATCGTTGCATTGACTCGACAACAATGGATGGTGTCAGCCAATTCGCTGTTTTATGACCTGATGGCGGATGGACACCTTTTTCACCACAAGACCTTGTCAGCCATGGTGTATGGATATGGCAGGAAAAATGATTTGGAAGCGGCAGAAGAGCTTATTCATACCTCTCGAGACCAATGGGCAAAATCCAGTTTACAACCCTATGCAGCACTCATACGAGAATACATGCGATTGAATGATATCCCAGCAGCTCGTCGGATTTTTGACACCATTGCAGATAAAATCCCGCAATCTCATCCCAGCCTTCAAGTTTATGTATATAATTTGCTACTTACCGGTTACGCTAATATTGGAAACATTAAGCAATGTGAAAGTCTTTGGCGACATATGAAGCACCATGATATTATCAGCTTCAACGTCATGCTTGAGGCTTACTCGGAGACTGGTGAATGGGATGGCTTTATCCGAACCGTCGACAAGATGCACCAGGATCACATCGAGCCCGATAGCCGGACCAAAAGCATTCTTATATTTGGCCAAATTCGACAAGGGCATTTGGATCGCGCTCAAGATATGGTCAAGGCATATGCGTCTGCTGAAACATTTCAGTCCAAATCATCTAACCTAATAGGCGCGGTTAACTCACTGTTACAACTACAAAGCTTGAAAGGTGATAAGGAGGCATGTGAACAGCTGTTCCAGTATCTTGTAAAGTACGATCGGGTCAACGCCAACTCATACCAGTCCCTTTTGTTCTGTCTCGGGAAGATTGGAGCAACTAACGAATTAAAAATGGTTTACGACAAAACTCGTCAACAGGATATACAGTTGGAACCGGCAATTGATAGACTCATTAGAAAATGGTTATAATAAAGCATAATACCCCTGTCAGTCCCACTCTCAAAGCAACTTCTCTCTTTCTTTTTCATGATCAAATTTCATAACTGAGACGCCATTGATTGGTCGGAAGATTTGGGACTGCAAAATTTTTTCTTCACAACTTTTTTTCTAAGGAAAGAAAAAAAAAAAGTCCAGCACGTTAATCCCTTGCCAATCGCACATTTTGCGCTGTCCTTATACTTTGTGAAAAGCGATCTACCGAGGGTAAAAAGCAATGTCGACCGAAACAGATTATATCAAGCCTACCAGTGCGACTCCTGCCATTGACACTTCCAACTGGCCACTGTTGCTCAAGGTATAATTCTTAGATCACAGCGTCAAGCCACCGTTTCGCTGACATGCAGGCTAACAATTTTTTCATGGATGAATCTTTTTAGAACTATGACCAATTGAACGTTCGTACTGGACACTACACTCCCATTCCTTCCGGTTGCTCTCCTCTCAAGCGTGAACTTAGCGAATATGTTCGTTATGGTGTCATTAACTTGGACAAGGTATAAGCCACTTCCATATTTATTTCCGCTCAATGTCAACTTTTCCAATACTTAACTATTCAACTCTACTTAGCCTGCCAACCCTTCATCCCACGAAGTCGTCGCTTGGGTTCGTCGTATCCTTCGTGTCGAAAAGACTGGTCACAGCGGTACTCTCGATCCCAAGGTTACTGGATGTTTGATCGTCTGTATCGACCGTGCCACCCGTTTGGTCAAGTCCCAACAAGGTGCTGGTAAGGAGTACGTTTGCGTCCTCCGTCTCCATGACGCTCTCGACAATGAGAAGAAGCTTGCTCAGGTATGTTTTCTCGAGATGTATGGCCACATCAGAAATATCTCATTGTATTAACATTATATGCATTCTAGGCTATGGAAACTCTCACTGGTGCCTTGTTCCAGAGACCTCCTTTGATCTCTGCTGTCAAGCGTCAACTCCGTGTTCGTACTATCCACGAAAGCAAGCTTCTTGAATTCGATAACGATAGACACTTGGCTGTTTTCTGGGTCAGCTGTGAAGCTGGTACTTACATGCGTACTTTGTGTGTCCATCTTGGTCTCTTGTTGCAAGTTGGTGGTCACATGCAAGAACTTCGTCGTGTTCGCTCTGGAGCCATGTCTGAGAATGTATGTGAAATCAAACCGTTTATTTAAGATGCATGCATACAATGACTCTTACTAATGTTTAAACCTATAGGATGACATTGTTACCATGCACGATGTCTTGGATGCTCAATGGAGCTACGATAACACAAAGGATGAGACCTACCTCCGTCGTGTCGTCCGTCCTTTGGAAACCCTTTTGACCGGCTACAAGCGCATCGTTGTCAAGGACAGCGCTGTCAACGCCATCTGCTATGGTGCGAAGTTCATGCTTCCCGGTCTTTTGCGTTATGAATCCGGCATTGAGATCAATGAGGAAGTTGTTCTGATGACCACCAAGGGAGAAGCTATTGCCCTTGCTATCGCACAAATGACCACTGCTGTCATGGCCACCTGCGACCACGGTGTTGTAGCCAAGATCAAGCGTGTCATTATGGAGCGCGATACCTATCCCCGCCGCTGGGGACTCGGCCCCGTTGCTCTTGCCAAGAAGAAGCTTGTCAAGGACGGTCAGCTTGACAAGTTTGGCCGTGTCACTGAAGACACTCCTCAAGCCTGGAGCAAGACCTACGTCGATTTCAATAACAACCCTGATGGTACTGAGCCCTCCCCAGTGATGGGTGCCGCTGCTTCCTCTGCAGCTGTTGCTGCTGTTGTTGAAGATGCTTCCGCCAAGCGCAAGATTGAAGAGGTCGAAGAGGCTGAATCTGGCAAGAAGGAGAAGAAGGAGAAGAAGGAAAAGAAGGAAAAGAAGGAGAAGAAGGAAAAGAAAGAGAAGAAGTCCAAGAAGGATAAGGAATAAGTGTCTCATTGCTATGCCATGCTAGCAAAATGCTTTTTCTTTACGCTTCGTTGTAAGCCTTCAAATGAATCATTTTCCTGCTGCTTACACTCACTGTAATTATTTTTTCTTCCACCACTTCTTTGTTCCTGTATGTAGCCAATACACTCTTTTTGCATTTCTCGTACATTCCTCTCATCACCCTTTAAAAAAATTTGAATAACAAAATTAAAATAATATACGAGCTACACTAAAGTGAAGAGAAGGATGAAGCCGTCAACATCCAATGGGAGATGCCTGCGATACCGCCAGATATGCATGACTGCAGTTGAGTCTTTTAGCACGGCTTAGTCTCAGGCAAGCTATGAAAAATAGCATCCCAACAGGCTATCTCCGAGCGTTCTTTATTATGCACTTCCACTTGTTAGTCCTATAAATTTGACTGTCGATTGAGCACAATGTCTTCTCGACCGTGTCATCCAAACGCGTATAACAATATGTTTCTGAATAAGGAAATGTCAGCAAATTCTGCTAGCCTGGTAACCAGTAGAAGCTGGGCTTCCTGCACACAATGAGAAGCATGGATTCTTTGGAGGGTTGTGGATGCTAGCTAGCTAGCTATTGAGAACCAGCATCATGAAAAGAGCTTTCAAGAGTGTATTGAGCATCGAAAGCTCCACTGAGACCAGATCAAGTGTCCAAACTGGATCAGTAATAAAAAAATCGAGACATTTTTGCAGTCAACAAAATTTGTTGCGTCACTCGGGCAGGAAGTCCTACCATCCCATCCTCCCATCCTTCCATCATGGCCCTATTGGCCGAAGCGAAAAGACTATGGAACAAACATGTCCATTTTCTACAGCTTCATTATGCCTACATTCTCTTTCTATGCTTTTTCTTCTCCGGATGCTTTTATTTCGATCCCAATGGGGTCCGGCCAAACTATATTGATGCGTTGTTCATGATGGTGTCCACAAGCACATGCACTGGTCTAAATACTGTTACGATCACCGATATGTCCACTTATCAACAGTCTTTGATCTTTGTATCGTCCATCTTTGGCTCCAGCGTTTTCATTAGCTGTGTCATAGTCTTTGTTCGAAAACATGCATTTGAAGACCGGTTTGAGGAAATTGTCCAGTATAACAGGAAAAAACATGAAGAGCAAGATCGAAATCGTGGTAGCAGATCAAGTGATTTAGAATTAGGAACTGGAGGGCCTTTGACCTCCCTCGGCAGAAGATTCTCTTCGATCTCTGCTCATCGAAGTTCAGATGATTTTCACCCAGAAATCAGAGTGGTTCGCCGACCGTCCATTCTTGAGGATTTGTCCGCAAAGCAACAAGAAGAGGAGAACCACAGAAATATGGACACTACATCTACCAGCTCCAACGATTTAATACAACAGCCAAACGCAATAAAGAATGCAACTCCAGAACCGTCGCCCAATCCCTCCAGACTGGCAACCCCATTGCAGTCCCGAAGAAACTCTTTGATAGGTAGCGTTCATCCACTGGAGACAGACACCGAAGAATCTGCTGATGAAGTGTTCAAAAAGCAGAGGAGCGCAAGTTTAAATGATCGGCGATCGATGCAATCAGACGATACAAGCAATATACTACCGAATGACGACGACGATCAAGGAGATCCGAATGCCCAAACCATTATGTTTGCCGATGATATTGACAATCAGCGGCAGCAGGCCAGAAATATGCGCAAGCGAAGAACAGCAGATAAGGATGGCGACTACGCTCATCGAAATCTGAGCGCACTCGTTAGTAAAGAGCAGCTCACTCAAGAAGAACGGTTCAATCTTGGTGGAGCGGAATACAGAGCATTGCACACACTGTCTTTCATTGTTCCGCTCTACTATTTATGCATACCTGTTTTTTTCAGCTTCGTATTTCGCATCTATTTCGCCACTTCAGAATATGGACAATGGGTTCTCGATACGTCCAATGGAAGCAACAATGGTGCAGTGAATCCATGGTTCATGTCTTTTTTTACTGCCATTGCGGGCTTCAACAATGTTGGCCTGTTGCCCTTGGATGATAGCGTTGTCCCATTTCAAAAGTCTCCTCTGTTCCTGTTGGCCTTGGCTTTTCTGATTTTGGTCGGAAATACCGCGTTTGCCTTGCTCCTTCGATTGATCATTTGGGTCATGTGGGTCACAACTCCAGTATCCAGGCAGGTACATAAGGACTCGCTGAGATTCCTGCTCGATCACCCGCGTAGATGCTTTACAACTCTCTTTCCTTCGATGCAAACATGGTGGCTTTTCCTCATCCTCTCTATCATCACCGTCACGGAATTGGTCATGTTTTTGATTCTGGACTATTGGCTGCCTGTGGTCCAGGATATTCCTTGGGGCTACCGAGTTCTGGATGGTCTCTTTCAATCCATCTCAACCCGTAACGCCGGTTTCAGTGTCATTGACATCTCCCAGGTCAATCCTGGCCTGACCATCATATATGTCGTTGCGATGTATATATCTGTTTATCCTGTAACCATTTCCATGCGAAGAACCAACGTATATCAGGTGAGTGAAAGGATTAGGTTTGAGATAGAGAGAAAGAAATCTTTGCATGGTATACTGATCTAAATGGGTGGGTAGGAACGATCTCTTGGCATATACGGCTCTGAAGATGATGAAGAACCAAATTTCACAGACTTGGACCTAGCAGAACGCCCTACCTTTGTTGGTTTAAAAAGGTCCAATACATTATCCTCCATCATGACGACGACACGTGGGTTAGCTAAAGGCATCAAACGACCGGATTTTTTTGTCATGCAACAAGTACAACGCCAGTTATCCAGTGACTTGGCATGGATTGTTATCGGTATTTTCTTAATCTGTGTCATTGAATCGGGACAGATTATGAGTACTTCCCCCATCACCGTGTTCTCGGTCATATATGAGTGCGTCAGTGCCTTTGCCAACGTGGGTGCATCTTTAGGATACCCTGGCACCTCCACCTCACAAACAGCTCAATATGGTACGCTGAGTAAACTAATCGTCATCTGTTTAATGTATCGTGGAAGACATCGAGGCAAGTATAGGGCAAATGAATGTCAACGAAACATGAACGTGACGCACTAATACCTTTCCTTTGCCATTGACAGGCTTGCCAGCTGCTATTGATAGAGCTGTGCTCCTACCGTCTGATCAATGGCATGAAAAAGAACGAGAAGATATACAGTTCAAGCGACGAAACACTACTGTATCTACGGCATCGCCCACTCGTGGCAATTCTTCAGCCGTATTCTATCGTTCACGAACAATGTAATTTTCAAACCTCATAGACGACCATAGACGCCTCCCACCATTTTTTTTTTCTTTTTCGAACTTGAATACCAACTGTACAACTTTCTCCTTCACTCTCACACGCAACCTCACATCGCATCTCCGCACGTAATCAAAGTCCTTTACTGTTCAATTTGCGCATAACATGGGTGACAAACGCCTTGTTTTACACTTGGTAACATCCAGATGGCACAATCTTTTTCAATCCTTTTGTCATCCACGATACCCTCCTTTCCTCTGACCTCGTTTCATTTGCCACTCCGTAGTATTAATTGGTTTTTCAGATAATTTTCTTCAGTTCTTTTACTGCTGTAATACTTTGTTGCCTTTGGAAAATGAAAAGATAAAATAATAATAAAAAAAGGAAGAATCAAGGTGATTGAAAACAAATCAAACAGGAAAAAAAAAAAAAAAAGGCATGGGTACTAAATACAAATTGGCGCGCCGGTATACTGATAACAAAGTTACTGACTGATTGTTCATTGAGTAGAAAATATGTAGCTGTAAAAGGGGGGCTCTACTGCTGCAAACGCAAGAGCTCCATTACGACTTCTTCCATATTATGGTTAAAAGCCTTCAGGAGCTCAACATTGATAGTGTCGTGGTAGAATCCCTACAACAATGAATTAATATGGCACTCACATATAAAAAAAGGGGAAAAAATTTAAGTATGAACACTTACCATATCATGAAGTTGCTTTAGCTCAGCCTCTAGGGCAGAATCAATGGGAGAGGAGACAATCAATGTGTCTTGTGGAGCTTCTTCAATCTTGGAGCTGGAGGTCAATTCTTCTTGCTGTTCCTTTTCAGTCAAAAAGGGATTGCTCGGGCTTTCATGAGGGACAGATTGAATATGATGGAAAGCCTCGGTCTCTTCCTCCTCTTGCTCAATCACAATGTAATCCTTGGCTTCGTCTGGAGTGCCAGGAGCTTCAGGGTCAGCATACACTTCATAGCCAGAGTAAGAGTCCTCACTTTCATTGTCCTCACTGTCCGACATAGATCTAACGGAGGGTGTGACAACAGAGGAATCAATAATGCTATTGGCGTGGTGGCTGCTTCCTTCTTCAGTGCGAATGGTGGCCTTGTCTTCGTCATCAGCGTCGCGGTTGGTCAAGGTGGGATAAATCATCACACTGGATGAGGTGGACGAGCCTTGCTGCTCCTCATTTTCCACAAGGATATCGCACCATACCCTATGACCGAAACGAGTACCCGTGGGTGTTATCAATCGGAAGTAGCTAACATATCGACCAGGCTTGGCCGGTGCTTGCAAGTCAGCAGTAACATAAGCGTTCTTTCCGGGTTTGGTAACGGGTACGGCAAATGTCGTAGTGGAGGGGCTAGAAGCGAGAGAATCGCCTCCGCAGAAAACAAGCTGAGTGCCTTGCGGCCACTCTTGAGATCCTTCATTGACCATATTCCATATCTAAACAGGAGCAAGCAGATAAGAATCAAAGGAATAAAGCCAAAAAAATAGTCGGCAAAAGATTACCTTCAAAAAACGAGACTTGGCAGCAACAATGGTTCCATCGGGTATGTTGACGTCGTCAACAAAGCGAGCAAAGAGATCTGGTTGAGAGAGAGAGGCTACGGATGCACTGGCTGACACTTCCGATGGTTTCTCTACAATAGGAGCAGAGGAAGAGGCAACAGATGGTAGGCTTCTAACAGACAGTCTCTCAAGTTTGCAGTCAAGTTCGTTTACCGAAGACTGGTCAACGGTACGCGAGGAACTGTTTGAAAATAAAAATTAGCATTTTCCATATTCGATATCAATATCAATATGCAGCCATTGTTAAAGCAAGATGACATACCTGGCATTAGGTGACCTTGGAAGTGAAGCTGTAGTAATACTCTGAGCGCCTTCTCGTTGTTTCATCTGTGGGGGAGCAAACGAAGGGAATTCTTTCTTTTCTTGATACAGGCTTGGCAGTAGCGGAACAATATTGGACAGTATCTTATTCAACGGTGTCTTCACCTTCAAGAACACATGATGAGGGTTATGCTCTTCGGTTGCTTCACACTTGCTGCACAGATCGAAATCTTCACAATTGCCACACTACAGCCATACAAATGCCATTTAGTACGCAGTTTCATTCCATGTAACGTTGTATAAACGAGCATTCTTACCTTGTAACGGATACCATAAATCCACTTGTCACATCCATCACAACGAACACCAGCGTGGTAGTTCGTGCTGTTTTCAGTCACTGGGGTTGGAGGATGAGGAGCTGTGCATCTCGTCCTGTGAGCTCGGGTTATTTCGAATGCGTGCCCAGGATGCTGTGTGTCGGCCAAAGCAATGCATCTTTCGCACAAGTCGAAATCAGGGCAGTCCTTGCACTTATAGCGGGTTCCACTTATGACAGAATCGCAGAAGTCACAACTGGCAATGGGCATAGGGTGAGGCATACGGTTTCGATGAAATCCACGAGTTCGATTTTGTTGCGAATGTCGATGAGGATGTGAGTGAGGGTGCGAGTTACAAAGAGAAGGAGAAGAGGACTGCATAGCACTGAACCGGTGATGAGAAGGATGATTGTGCTGTCCAGCAGTCTTGCAACCATCGCAAAGATCATAGTCTCGGCAGTCTTGGCATTTCCAACGAGTTCTGGAAACTTCTAGCTTAGCATAAAGGAGAACAATGCAAAAAATGGACACGTAGTTCAAAAGATGACGTACCCTCGAACTGCGCGATAACAATGATCACACATGACATTGGTGTGAAGCGCTGTCTCAGGCTGCTGAGTAGGCACTGATTGGTTCGTAGCAGTGAATGGTTGTCTGGGCGAAGGATTGAAAGCTCGCTGCCAATTCTGAGTTGCAGTGTTAGCAGCAGCAGATGCAGCAGCAGCAATGGCAGATGCACTGGATTGGGCACTATCTTGAATAAAGGACATTTCTCGTTCCAGATGATCAACGAAATTTTGAGCTAAACCAGCCCAAGCATTAGAGGCAGCCGTATCTCCAGCGTTTTCTTTTTCAGCAGAGGGCTTCTGTTCACCTTTGTTTCCGGTTTTCTTGATAGTAAAGCGGCATGTTACACCCTTATTGGACGATATCTGCTGACTTTGGAACATGCTGAGAGCTTCCGCTAAATCTTGGTTCGAAGTAACGGTCACTTCATCCATATCATCGTCGGTATAATACACCTTGTAGGGCTCAGTCAAATTGAACATTCTAGCAAACTAGAAGGGAATATTTAGAAACGTTAATGTTCTTTGGAAGCCAAGAAAAAAAAATACTGCTGAGCAACCCATGAGGTTTATTTGCTCACGGTGGGGATGGAGTCGAACCTCCGCACAACTGCAGGTGTTTTCATACCTCGGCATGGAGTCTATCGTAGGTAAATGCCTGAGCATTAATGAACGAGATCCTCTTGAGCTCTGAATTATAGATAACTTTCACGACGATTTGGGGTGGCATGCTGGATCGGAAGGGAAAGTGAAAAAAAGCCGTGGAGCGCCAAGTCCTAAAAAGCTGCGCCAAGTCCCTTTTTCTCATTAATGCCCTAATCAGTCACGAGCTTCTTTGCTTCTTTATTTTTGCATATGGAAATGCTGCACTGCAAACTACGTTAAGCTCAATGCAAGAACAACTATTTCATCCTGGTTAAAGCTAACTAATACCAAAATCATAATTGCTTGGCAGACTCGATGGCCTCTTGTACAGCAACGTCAAGACCACTGGGCTTTACATTGGGGAACAAATCATTATCAACTGTATCAAAGTACATATCTCCATGTGCTGCCTTGATCAGTAACATGAAATAGAATGATGTGACGGTGTTCGGATTGGCATCAATAATCTCCTGTGCCTCGGCTTCTGTAAGTCTTGAAACTTTCAAGGGGGTTCCTACAGCTTTGAACCTCTCGATAATTTCATCAAAGCTTGTTTGCAAGCTTTTGACCTGCAGTGCTTTGTTTCTTGATACGGAGGGATTCTTCAAAATCTCCACGATGAATGAAGCAATATCCTTTCTGTATGTCAGAGTAAGTGGCACAGAGCTGTCACCGACAAGTCTTGCACTTCCCTCTTTAACGTCGAACCCGAATAATGGGATAACGGTTTCATCAGCAAAAAGTGATACAAACAATAGAGTGTATTCCAGCCCATTCTTCACGATTTCCTCTTGGACGGCTCTCTTCGTTTCGAATACAGGACCAACCCTAATTTGAAATAATTGTTAAAGAAAAAGTTAACGGCTGACAGGTAAAAGTAAGAATGTTAACCTACGCCTTTTGAGAATTAATGCCAAATTCGGATGGAATAAATCGTTTAACGCCAGCTCTAGCCGCTGCCTTAACCCACACCAACTGGCTTGCTAGAACACTTCCACCAATGGAACTGACAACAGCGTCAATTCCTTGAAGAGCCTCGGTTACTGCATCTTCATCCGCTAAATCAAGGGCAGTAACTTGCACGCCTCTGGCCTTGAGATCATTAAACTTTTCTGGTTTTTCCTCAAAGCTTTCAGATCTTGTCAAAACCTTGACGGTGCTAAAAGCCTTGGATTCGAGTAAAGCGTCCACAAGATATGGACCGAGATCACCAGTAGCTCCAAAGACGGCGATGGATTTGAGGGAACTCATATTTTTGATAGGTTATATTTAAAATGCAGTATAATACTTGATAGACGGCAATGCTATTTTATACTGATATCCATGATGACAAATGAATGCCTTGTCAATTTGTTCCAGTAACGCAATCGTCACCAAAAAAAAAAAAAAAAATCCAATTGAGCACGCCATTTCACCCAACACCACCAAAATTGGATTGAGTCTCCTGATACTTTCCAAAAACCAAAGGTTGATGAAGGTAATGACACCGAACGCCATGGAATCGCATCCTTCGCCATTGTAATAAACTTCTACCTGAACATACCGAGAAATTCATAGATAAAATAGAATAAAATTCAGAAAAAAGTAGGCGTTTTCAAGGAAATGTCTTTGCCGCATCAAGTAATTATATTGGATCGCTCATGTCTTTATTACAATCAGTATATTTAGCGTTTATGAAATAGATCAGCTTATAGAATAAGGCATTAAACTAAGCAACGGATAAGTCTCTAACTATCATTACGAATCGAACAGCTGCAGGTCGAAAATTACCAGCAGACATTCTCTATAATGATTTTAAATCATATATAATTTTAGAACAAGTTAAGCGGCAAGTGCATTAGTAAGATCAGTACCATTGGGCCTGATGTAAATTCAGTTTGTCCTACCACAATCCAAGCAGACAAGCCCCCTGATAACAACAGAAAGGTATACCTCAGCTTAGCTAAGCGGCTCAGCACTTAGCAAGAAAATTCACCAAATCAGGATAAAAGTGTACAGGTTTCATCGCAAGACAAATTGAAAGAGGGCGTTGAATCGCATTGGAGCCTTGTTAGAATGGATAGTGAGATAATACATTTGATGTGGATGATCTATGGATTTGTTACAATTTCTAGATATATAATTTATGTGTACACTAATGATCATTGCCAAAATCTATGAACTGTTCTCTGTGGCATTTTCACGAAGGTATTGAGAAAGCCGCTCATACACCACAAATGTGATGCAAGTACCCGGCAGCACTCGAATAATATTGGGTGAAAGTCCCTTGTAAAAGCCTATATAACCTTCTGCTCTGTAAATCTGTCGAATGCAATCGACAACTCCTTTGTATTTATCTTGAGTGGTTTGGTTCTGGAAACGACTTCGAAGCACTTGATATGGATAAGTGGCGATAGTGGCAGTTACTTTGCTAGAAGCTGCCATGACCAGATATTCCACTGTACTAAGTCTTTCAACATCCAGGTCCTCCATACCCTGCTTTTCTCGAATACTTTTCCTCCATTTCTTCATTTCCTCATACGCCATAAATTGAATGGCTCCATGTGAAACACCAAACAGCGCTGGTACCATTCCTCGATAGAGACCACGAATACCCTCTTCCGTAGCTAATCGACTTAATCCATTGAACAGACCAGTGTATGCGCCAGGTGTATATCTTGTTGTGGTGCACATACGAGTTTTAATAACCCAGAATGGATTTGTAAAGACCGCTGTGATGGCGCCTGTAGAGAATGAAATGGGGTTATAAGCACCAAGAGCAGCATCATAATGAAATTCAAAATGTGACATACCAGCCTCTGCAGAAGCAGTCAAATGTTGTATTGGAGACAGTTTTCCTTCTTCGTTCTTCGGCATGTGCTTTTTTATCAGACTATACCTGTAAAAATTTTTGACATGCACAATGGATGAGGTTCACAGTGGGCCATTGCAGGTGAACCGTTTGCAAATATTGCTTACTTACCACCAAAAGTACAAACTCCAACTCGCCGTTGCTCCTGCTATGTTTGGCGTGACTCCACGATATAGTCCACGCCATACACCTTCGTTTCTTACTATTTTCTGGAAAGACCTGACGGTTCCTCCAATAAGTGGTCGTTGCTCAGATTTCTTTCGCTCATCGACTGCCCTTAATAATGAGTACAGATAATAAAACAGAAAGGTACAAAGGGCTCGAACAAGTACCTTGGAATCTAATCTTTATGACATCCAGTGGGTGTAAAATTACTGTCGAGACTAACCCGGCTCCGAAACCAGCCAGAGCTTGATCCTGGCAAGGAAAGGGGAATTTGAGAACATGTCATTCATATGTATAAGCAAACGTATCTTTCACTCGGAACGTAAGGCTTACCAGGTGTGGTGAGCTGGTGTATGACTTGGAAGTTGACATAGTCTATACCCCTTCTTCACAGTATGTTGGAAGCCCGGCTCCATTTTCATGTCTGTTTTTTGCCTTTCAGTCGCACAGTCACATGACTTGCCTCTGCAGCAAAATTCGGAACTCATTGTTCATGGCACACACGCTTTAACTTCGAGTGATCCTTCGCCAACCAACCAACACTTTTGACACCACACGATACCACTCCATCTCAAATGAAAAATATAAAAATTGTTTTCCACCCAATCAAAGCCAACTACATCATTTCATTTCACATCGTCTTTATGTTTCTCAAACAACATGACCAAATAACAGATATGCAGGTAAGAATAGATCGAATAAATTGAAAAATATGTTTCATATGGAACATTCTTGACTTGGCTCAAGAGCGGCAAATAGGTAATTGCGCTTCTTATTTTACTGCTCTTCTTATGGGTGTAGTTGTAACGAGCTTCGGGTGAATTATCGTCACCATGTGCATGGAAAGCTCCTATCCTCAATAACGGCTATCCCGCCAGCATAAACTTTTTAAGGGTGCTAACCATGGAATCGGGTAAAAGTTGGCGCTGGACCCAGCGGAAGACTTTTTGCAGCTCAGCAAATTCTCAAACTGATAGGCTGTGAAGCGGTTCATTAAAAGAAACCTCCACATTACCCTTTTAGCCATTTATAACTCCGAGCTCATTAGCCTTGGGATGTGATCTGAGAAATTCATCCCATTGGACCTATTTTACAAGCAGCCAGCGGAGGAGGGGGTTTGAACCCACCTTACCGTCGATATAATTAAGATACCCTCAAGTGGCTAAGGATAAGCATTGGTTGGCATGGACCTCATTAACCACATGTCTTTACTCTATTTGTAGGATGTGGTGTTTTACTAGGGGAATCAAGGCATTGAAGCAGTGCTATGGGCAAGTTTTATTCTGTTTATCTGAAGGTGATTGGAGAAAGTAGGAAGAGCGCTAAGGGGATCATCATCGCCCTCAACTTGATGTCTTAATTTGGCAGCAGCGGGCACGTGTGAATTTCATTGGCAGTTTGACAACTCACGTGTGGAACATGAGCACGCATGATTGGATGAATCAAGCATTGGCTACTGGCACACACACCACTCGTGCCTCTACCTTAAATGTTATCACAGACTCCACCATGTCGAGCCTCTTTTTCTCTTTCCTCGCTATTAATGACTAATACTTCGCCTATACCAAGTCCTTCAAGCCAACCACCAAAAAAGAGAAAGCGTCCTTCCAGCCATGATGAATCCGACAAATCCAGGAAAACAGATCAAATTAGCAGAGACAGCCATAGTGAAGCTTCCACCTCGCCACAGGTTGCGTCCACACCACCTTTTTCTCCAATGATGTATCAACAACAGCCTGGTCCTCAACATCCGCATGGGCCATTTGGTCCACCATCGTGTCCGCTACCTCCTCCTTTGGTTCAGATTCATCCACACATGGTGTCCGTCATACCAGGCACGGCAACAGCATACTATCATCCTGGGTTGTCACCGCAGCTTTATCCTCATTACGGCCCTCCTCAGCGATATTCGCCCACATCGGCTGTAGTTTCGGCTCCCAATTCACCACATACCTCAATTTCTCCAGCCGGCACACGGTATAATGCTATACTTCCCAAGAAAGAGTCAGAGGCTGCGGATTCGAAGGGAACGAAGGGGGCTCCTCAACCAATGTCTACCATGCCACCACCGTCACCTAATATGACATATACTCAGCATGCACCCATGTATCATCCTGGCCATCAGTACGTGCAAATATCACCACAATTACCTCCCAACATGGTTCCGGTGACCCCGCCGACGTCTGGGTATATGCACCCAAACCTCTCCCCATCGTTAAGCCCCTCCTTTGACGGTTCAGATCGCAATCGCAGAGTTTCTTCTATTTCCTCACTCGGGACCACAGCTGATCAACGAGAACAAGCAAGGAAGGAATCACATTCTGCTATTGAACGTAGACGACGAGAACGCATTAACGATAAGGTGAGTCAGTGGCGGGAAATAACAGTACATAAATTTGTCAAGTATACTAACGTCACTCGCTTTATAGATTTTGCAATTGAAACAACTCATACCATCATGTGCGGATCAAGATCATTTGCACAAAATGAGTATTCTTCAGAGTGCCATCGATTACATCGCTTATCTGAAGGAAGTCATAGAGAAACAAGGTGGCAAGGATCTCTTGCATGGCAAATTAGCCATTAAGACCGTGCGATCCATGTTACCAAAAGAGGTTGAGGCGTTCACTGGCCAATTTTCTGTCAAAAGTCGAACATCCATCAGCTCAATGGATTCCAACACGCCCTCCCCTGCATGGACAGCCAAGCAATCTACTGAAATCGTACAGCAAATGGATCTTGGGCCTCCTCTGGCGGTCCCCACAAAGGAAAGAGAACAAGCAGAAGAAGATGAGCAATCAGAGTACCATAGCGAGTCGGAATCGTCTACCTCCTCAAAATTGGCTGCTGTTGCTGCTACAGAGACCAAGGAAATTGATTCATCCTCGCGATCACCATCAGGCAAAGCTTCAGATGATGGCTATGACTCTGCCACCACTCCTCTTAAGCCAAGTGATCTCATGAAGAAACCTCTACGACAAACATCGCACCCACCTAATGATGCAACCACTGATAACGTTACGGAGAAGGACGCTACGAAGGCTAATGAGAATGATACTTCTGCTGGTCCAGAGCAATGTGCTCGTTCCCTTCAAGCTCAACAAAACGAGAGCTCCATGAGCGTTAGTCAGATGCTTTGCTGAAGAAGGATGAGTACACACGCATATACTTATCCATCAAGCGCATTTTCCTACTATTTCCGCTCTTAATATCTCTGGCCGGGCGACTTAGACATGCATTTCACTCTATTGTCATTTCGGATGATAACGCACACTCCTGTAAATAGATGCCATCAATTCATATTCATACCTAGTTGCAATCGAAAACCACAAGGTATACCTTGGTTTCCTCTGAGTGTTAGTAAAATGAAAACCAGAAAATAAATACACCCACACACCCTTGTTTCAAATTTTGCATTTCTGGTACCTTGAAGGCTTTTGTGTCACAATACTTTCTGGCACCGCCTTAGTAAATTGCGATTTGTTCTATGAACCACTTGCTTGTCGGATGCACTGAATGAATTCCATAGCATATCGAACTAAGCGACTTTAATTTTTGTGGTGTTTTTCTATGCTTCTCGTTCTGGTTGTGGCAAACTCGTCCATCGTAAAATGGTTACATTGTCATGCACGTGGACTCCAATGGTTCACAATAGTAGATTTTTTCTTCAATTATTGATGCAGCCGACCTGTTTAGAAGATATTCTTCAGCTTATACCGTTGCACATTGCATGAGATCTTAAACCGCCAACGACTGGAACAAAAAAGAATTGATAACCTCGACTCAGTGGGCCAAAGTGCCTGTCGCCTGAGCTGAAAAATAGAAAGTCACATCTTTTTGTGAAAATGCAGCCAGTCCAATCAACTGCCATAGCCCCCGTTCATTCACTGTTAGCAAATCCCCATCATGTTGGACGTCCTCCTTGCCTCCATCGGCCATCCATCCGAGCTTAGTGCTCTCATTACATACAAGTTCTTCAAGCCTGAATCCAACATCAACCGCAACCAAAAACTCATTGCTAACAACGAAAGAAAGAAGAGGTGCTACGACTTTTTGGATAAGGTACGGGTTTGGTCATCTGGACCTGTCATGCCCCCCCCTTGTCACTAACACACGAATCGCGTTCTGGTAGACATCACGTAGTTTCAGCGCAGTCATCCAAGAACTCGATGATGAATTAAGAGATGCCGTAAGTCTTGTTTTTTTTTTCAAACACTTGACACTACTGTTGGCTTGTCTCCACGCGGTCACACTCACAGACACCATCCTCATTGCCATACCAATCTTCTAGATCTGCTTGTTCTACTTGGTGCTTCGAGGATTGGATACTATTGAGGATGATATGACTTTGGACCTCGACAGAAAGTGTGAATTGCTTCGATCTTTCGACAAAATCATTTTCCAACGTGGATGGAATTTTAAAGAAAGTCAGTATCAGCGTTGGGTGGTGCAAGATAAAGATAGGTAGCTGAGGATATGTACATTAACCAGGATATCTTTTTATGTTGGGTGGTGTCATTAGACGGTCCCAATGAAAAGGATCGTCATCTTCTTGTCGACTTCCAGATTGTCATTGAGGAATTCCTTGAACTTCCCAAGAAGTTCCAGGATGTTATTGCCGATATCACCAATCAAATGGGTAATGGTATGGCTGATTATGCCTCTGGCGATCACAGAGAGAACACTGCCGTGGCCACCATCAAGGACTTTGACCTCTACTGCCATTATGTTGCTGGTTTGGTAGGATGGGGTTTGTCTGACCTTTTTGCCGCTTCTGGTCTTGAAGATCCTTCCATTGCCAAAGACAAGCGACTCTCTGACTCCATGGGTATGTTCTTGCAAAAGACCAACATCATTCGCGATTACCGCGAAGATTTGGATGATGGAAGACAATTCTGGCCCAAGGAAATCTGGGGAAAATATACCGATGATTTTGCTGGACTTGTCAAGCCTGAGAACGCTAAGACGGTAAGGTGTTTTATGCAAATTGGTTGAAGACGTGCTTAGTTGAGCACCCAGTAGCTAACGGTTTTCCTCTTCTCTCAGGCTCAAGCTGTTTTGAGTGCTATGGTTCTCAACGTCTTGGAACACATTCCCGATGTTCTTACTTACCTAAAGTCATTGAAGAACCAGTCTGTCTTCAACTTCTGTGCCATTCCTCAAGTTATGGCTATTGCTACACTCGCCCTTGTTTTTAACAACCAGGATGTCTACCATCGCAATGTCAAAATCAGAAAGGGTACAGCCGTCAAGCTTATTATGGCTTCCACCAACATGGATAACGTTGTTGCTATCTTCCGAGAGTACATTCACGTTCTTTCCACTAAGAACGATGCTGCGGATCCTAACTTTATTAACATTTCCATCGCCGTTGGCAAGGTGAGTTTCCTTTGGCTGTGTGGAAATTGGGTGAGTGGCCATTCCTAACGATATCCCCTTCTAGGCCGAACAATGGATCACCACCAACCTCCCCGATTCTCCTCGTACGCTTGCCAAGCGCTCAGACTCTTCGTCGACCTTCATTATGCTGGCCGTTTTAGCCAGTCTTGCTGCCATCATCTTGAATGCCTACAAATGATACCCGAACTCACGAATATCTCCATCCTGACATTGTGGCCAGGATGTCAACCTCCTGCATCTATCGTGCGATTTGGTCTCTCACTTTTCTCCCCCCTCATTCAATATAATATTTAAAAGCATTCGATCTAGCGGCTCTGACAGATCGGATTTGCCCAATTATTCCGTTCAAACCTGGATATAACAAATAAAGAAAATATATATTAAAAAAGAAAAAAGGTAGAACTATTACAAAGGAAAAAGCTCAGCTCGTCTCCATAAATAATCTATCACCATTGCTCGATGATAATGAGCACGAAGGTGTGCTCTGCGATTTAGATATATTAACAGGAAAGTAAGACTAAAAAAAAGGTGGGGGAGAGATATGGCGGCTTTTTCTTTTCATATACATGGGTGCAGCTAACAAGACTCTTGAATAACGTTCAAAAGATCTTGTATTTCTTTATCCTTTAACTGTAGCAGATGTCGAAACCTATTCATGGCCATCTGCATCTTGCCGATCTCATCATCGCGCTGATGGATTGTTTGCATCAAATCTTGTGCCCGCTTAGATTGATCCTATGGAACAAAAAAGATACCCCGAAGCAAACCAAAACAAAAGAGAAAGGCGTGGGTTAACATCCAATGTTGATCTGATATTGGTTATGATTATAATCACCTGAGTGTTCTTGGTCATCCTTGATATGCGGTCACGGCAATAGGCAATTTCCTCCTGCTGCTCGTCAAATATCAACTGAAGGCGATCACCATCCCACATGGCGACATCCGAGAGGGTTGAGCCATCATCTTCTTGTTCGTTGTCTTCTTCGTCGCTGGATAAGCCGAACGACATGCGGCATTTTGCCCGCCGATCCGATAATACACTAGATCTCGGGATAGATATGGTGGCTGGCTTGCGCGGCATAGTAGGTGGTGGTGACAATGCAGGCATGAAATTGGCGGATTCTAGGCTGTGGGGTTCCATATCTGTCGATTCAGAGGCATCATCGCTAAAGCCATCTTCGGTGGTCCCCGATGAGAAGGTCCGCCATTCAGAATATTCATAGGTGGGTGTGGAAAACTTGCTTGCTAAGAGGGTCATGGAGTATGCATAAGTTACAGTTGAAAAAAGCAATGCAGTCTATGCCATGATCTCAAATGGTTTACCTAGATATTCACTTCGGGATGGAGTATAATAGGATAAGTCTTCAGTGGAGTCGAAACGCATTGGAAAAACCTGGCTACGCTGCAGTCTAATATTGTAACCTATATAAAAAGGGTTAATAACTTGCTAAAAATCGTGTGTGTACAATGTGTACGTACTGATATTGGAAACCGGCTCCTCCATCATTCGTGTTAAAGGAGATGTAGAAAAAATAAAAATAACAAAGAGTCACCAGAAACACACAAGAGATGTTTACGGGTATAAGAACTGCGAGACGAAGAGAATGACAAGAGGATAAATATAATGAAGACGGAGGTAAGAGGATGGCGGGCAAGTGCTGTTAATGCATGCAGTGCAAGTAACCATAAAAACTGGTTTGAGCCTACAATGGAAAGCAACTTGTTGCGATATTTGTGTGGCAAGATAGGTGGCCTGGTTTAATGAGAATGGTGATCATTCTCCCAGTTTATTCCATTTGTGCCTCCTTCTTTCCCCTTCTATTTTCCCTGTTTCGGCTGATGACCACGATGCCCCTCCGATCACTGGTTTGAAATGAGATGCTACACCGATAAGAAAGGAGACCAAGTCATCTGAGCATAGCCCCAGGAAATCAATAAAAAATATTGCTGCATCGATCTAATAAAACATTTTGTTATGAAGTGTTTGACTTTAAGGAGGTAACTTTTTGACCTTGTTACGGTTGTATGACACGATCGGAAGCCCCAAATGGAGATCCCGCAGGGATATGTTTGGCAGCTCGCAAGTTGGCAGAAAAAAAAAAAAGGCTGACTCTATCACCTTATGGCAACCAAGTGACCGCTTCATTTCATATTCCACATGGCTGGTTCGCCTGTACTTAACGAAGGGTTGGCAGATCACTCTCCTTTCTCTCACTTGTGTTTCGTTTCTCACTTCTGTATTTATTTATGATAGCATGCGGTTGCTACAGATATGCACAGAGAATGAATAGTATAAACGAAGCCGTAGGTAGAGTTTGGGGGGAAGCTGGGCAAGATACAAACCAATAAGAAGAAAAAAGGTACAATGAAAGGGCTTACGGACATCCAACTTTTTTTTTTTTTTCGTTTTCAAAACCTAATGAGTTGCTTAACGAAGTTTTTTGGAATAAGGCAGCGGTTGTTCCTTCAAACACCATGTGCAAATGGAAAGAGCAAAGCAAAAGATACAGAAGAGAGAGAAAAGCAAAAAAACCGACAAAACCAAGTTACAATGACAGAACAAAAAATATATATATTTCATTTCTTTTCTTTTCTTTAGAAATCTGGGAACTTGTTTCGGTATGGATCATCCTGGTGAATGCCATAAGGCTGTTGCTCTTCGGGATAGCGATCAAAGTGACTAGCGTCTCCATCACCACGAATTTGAGGTACATAGGGTGCTCTGATCTGCCGTCCAAGTACACGACTAAAGTCGACTCCTTCGAACCATCGGTGTCTTTTGATATCGTCACTACCTCCACGCAAGTTACCAAAACGCTTGGACAAGTCGGGGGTCAGTAAGCGCTTGAGAAGATCCTTAGCATTTGGATCAAAATACGTTGGCCACTTGATTTTTCCTGCCAAGATTTTTTCATAGAGCTTGAGATGATCGTCATCATAGAATGGTGGATAGCTGCGTGAGAGAGATGGAAGCAAATGATTAGACTCAATGACCTATCGGCCCGACCCGACCCGATTCGAACAGAGCAGACTCAACAGCCATGCAAGTATAACTACAACTTACCCTGCCAACATTTCAAAAATCAAGATACCCAAACTCCACCAGTCGGCAGCTTTGCCATAACCTTTGGACTGAATGATCTCCGGAGCTATCAAGAGGTAGATAAAGGTGTCAACATCATGCCACACCGACAAAAAAACAACGACATTTGTTTCTTCTTACCAAGATAATCCGGAGTACCGCAGAGAGTCCATGTAATATCTGGCACATGCTTGGCAAAACCAAAATCTGTGATTTTCAAATGACCTTGGGCATCCAAGAGTAGGTTCTCAGGTTTGAGATCTCTATATATAACATCCTTGGAATGTAAGTATTCCAGAGCAAGGATGACTTCAGCAGCATAGAATTTTGCAACATGATCGGGGAAACGCTAGTATCGACAAAAAGAAACAATGAGCCAAAGTGGAAAAAGAAAAAAATGCCCATGGTATTACTTTACCTGACTCTTGCGAAGAACGCTAAAAAGTTCGCCTCCAGGAACATAATCCATGACCATGTACAAGTTTGCGTCGTCTTGGAAAGTGCCCCACATATTAACGAGGAAGGGGTGTGCAACAGCTTCTAAAATATGCTTTTCATTGTTTGTGTGCTCGACTTGTTTCAATCGAACGACCTCAGACTTCTTGAGTACTTTGATGGCGTAAAACCTCGCATTCACTTTACTTTGTGCCAAGTGAACTCGACCGAATGATCCAGTGCCCAATGTTCTCAATAGATGAAAATCGTCCAGCTTGAGCTTTGGGCGTGACTGGCGCTGCTGGATGATGGACGAATCAATAAACTGCTGTTGAGGCTGATGTTGTTGCTCTTGTTCTTGATGCTCGGCTTGCTGCTGAAGCGTTTGGTTGGCGGGAGGTAAAATGGGAGCTCCTTTGTTCAGGACCGGTTTCGTAGCTGGCGGGTCGTTAAGCTGCGGTATGTGTGTAGAAGGAGCTGCATCTGTAGCTTCAGATGCGGTTGTCGGTTGAGTGGTGTCCGGAGTGAGGGATTCTAGAAAACAAAAGATCATGTTTAACAAGCAAGTTCTACACACGATGGAAAATCCCCCAATCGTTATGTGCATATTCCACAATCCCTTTAACTGATAGGATAGTAATGCAGGACACCCTCCTTAGCTCAGCACAACTTCTTATACTCACCGATGGGTGGTGCTCCAGCTGGTGCTCCAGATGGTGCACTAGTTTGCGGCTGGTTATTATTCTGTTGTGATTTTGCAAAATCTAGATGCGAAGGTTGTTTAAACGGTTAGTCTCAAGGTGTTGATGCCCCATACATAAAACAAATCTGTGTAGTTAAAAAAAGCGAGGGCGTGTGTCGTAATTTTTTTTTCAGAGGAGTTTCATATTCACTCTTAGCTTGTTGCGGAGCAAAATGCGAGATCTCAACCCAGTCAAGTCCAGCAACCGTGCTGTGACCATCGTGCACTTTCGATGACGCGAAACCCTTCTACACTTGATATGACTTCGACACCGTGCTTCCACATTTAAAATAGGGAAGGAGTTGAACCACTAGCTGGGGGGTTGTTCGATCGAATGGATTTTCAAGCATCGCGGTGGCTCATAAAAATGCAAGATTGAAGAGGTGGCATGAATTTTCGCGGCGTCAAGTGTTGTGGATGAAGGAAGTGGGGGCCGGAAAGAGGGTCGTGTGAAACGTCAAGAAAGTACAATAAAATAGCGTATTATATACGTCGCCAGCGCCCAAAATCGAAAACAAGTGGAAGGAAAAAAAAAAAAAGAAGAAGAACGAATACTTGCCTGGACTGTCTATGCTCATTCTGCTAGAGTCGTTCTGGGCTTGATTGTCAAAACTTCGACCAGGTGTAGCGGATGCTGGTGGGGTGACATATGCGTTTTCACCATTACTGCCGTAAGGTCTGCCTGAATCTTTGGACGATGAGTGACTATGATGCTTCGCCTTGTCCATTATCTTGTTGAAGAATGACATTGTCTTTTAAAACAGTTGGAAGCAAACGACTGTACAGAATGGTCACCAGCGCTGATGCTAAAGGTGGCTGGTTGTTAAAGGAAAGAGTATAAGCAAGCTGCAAAGCAACACGAATATTGTGGCGAGAAGAGCGAAAGAGCGAGACGAATCCCTAAAGTGAACGCTCGATACATGTGACACACACCTTGGAAAAAAAAAAATCGGATTTCCATACGTCATTCGCGCCCTCCAGTTAATAGCAAGCCAGCGAGGTAAAACCGCCAAAAAACTCGCCGGCTGCTGAAGGTTTTGCCAGACCCAACCAGCGACCCATGATTGTTTTGAAATAATGGAGAAAATACAAACGTATCCAAGGATAGATCACCTTATGTAATATGCAAACGTATAATTTAAACAGCCTGGCTGAAAGAAAAAAAAATTTTATTCATGCTTTGCAGGAAAAAAAAAATAGGTAAGACAAAGCGACTATTGGTATTCTAGTATATCTACCACGCTCGCCGATATAGGTTAATGGAATGGTTATCTTCTATTATGTATCTTTTTGCACAGGCGGCGTGCTAAATCTAGAGCAGTAGGTTGGTTGGATCAGATGGGAAAATACAGGCTGATATTGAAAAACCTGGTGGCAGTGTGGGTACAGAAGACTGTACTTCAGCACCCAGCAACTCTAATTTTCCAACCTGCGGCTGGTGAACGACAGGTACTTGCGGTAACTGCAGAGGTTACCTGCTACAGAGTGTCAGGCCATAACCTAATTTATTCCTGATGTGCTGCGATAAATAGCTGTTCAAATGCCTGCCCACTTTCAGAAATTGGTTTCATCTTCAGCAGCGGTCTGTCTGTGCAAAAAGGGAAAAATAATACGCCAATTCGACCAAAAACTGTACATGTCCGTGTACGTACCTCTAAGAGTACTTTATCCCCAATTTTTTTCACTCAAATGAGGAGGAGGCGCATGTTGAGGTGGTAGATTCAAAGGAATTAGATAACGCATCTCGACGTACATCATTGCGAAATGCGTGGAAAAGTGCATATTGGGGAGTCTCAAATGTTACACCAATGAAATTAATGCCGTCGTCTCCCATCAAACATGCATTATGAGAGTGTCTATTATATAGCCGAAGCCAATGGGACATGTTAAACTGTATTCATTTCAGTTTCATGTTCATCAGTGTCAACATTGCTTAACCTTGCAAACTCTATCTTTTCGTAATGGCAATCATGAATTGAAACTATTTAGTTGATGGTCTACCAACGTGGTCCATTGGACAAATGCAGCATTGAAAGGCAGGTCTATTAGACTGTATTAGCCGCCGTACACCTCCACAACATCTCGTACTCCCTTGTAGTTCACATTGAAGAACACTTTTTTCCACAAGTCAATTGGTGTCACAATTGGGGGTTTGATTCGTACCCTTCTTTTGCTTATGATGTTCAGTGGTATATTGATCAGGAGCTTGGTTTTGTAAATAATATATATTACAGTGTAAATATAATACACTATAGAAAAATACATACCGATATCATATGGAGATAAACGCTATGTTGCCTGCGCTATGTTCCTTTGAAATAGGCTTCTCTGTTCTCAAAATGGAATTCGTAAAACAATCGATTTTAAAATGCCAACGGGAACCATTTCATTTGATCTTACCTTGAGTCGAAAGTCTCTTATTCACAACCTTCAAGGTACTCCTAGAGTGTTATAAAAATACGCTTTTACCTACTAGCGGCAATCTTTCAAAAATAGTACAATCACCTGCCTAGATAAAAATAACGAATGCAATCGCAAATAAACAAGAAATAAAGGTGGGATGATACGTTTTGTTCAGCAAATTTAAATCATTATATTGGTCACAGCACGACGAAGATTGAGAAACTGCGATGTATCGAACAGTATAGAAGGGATAGACTAAGAGTAACTCACAGCAACGAGATCTCTGTCCCCATGACTGCCTGTTGAAAGGCGGTTTTCTATTGTTGCCTTGATTCCAGTCAGCTGACAGCCTGTCATGGCAATTTTGTAAAAAGCGACATCAATGATGTCATTCGGAGGCTATTTTTGCCAAGAGCATCAAGTATGTCTTGATCTTTCGAATAAGCTGCTTCTCTGGTGAAATTCGTTGGTACACATTTTGAAATCGCAATAGGTAGCGAATTCTAGACCGAAATGGCAATAAAACGGATGGTTTGAGGAACTCTAACGGCTGGGTCACAAAGAATACGCCGGTTTGGTAGGGATAGGGATCTCCACGTGACACAAAAGGCAATAAGTGGTGGCAAAATTTGAAGCACATTTTTTGGAACAGGCCATAAAACTTTCTCTTTGCACTCCACTCCAATAATCTCGGTTGTAATGTTGAAAGCATTATGCTTTTTGCTCCTTGTAACCATAGTATGCGCCTTCAACACATCAGCATTACCGCCACTCGATGAAATTGGCTTATGTATAGAGACATGCGTCTTGGTAAGTTCGTCTTTTCTCGGGAATAACCTCGATGATTTTGACTCTGGTCTAATGTTCACTCATGTTCTCCAGAATACCGGACATAGTGTGTGTGGTTCGCAATTCACCTTCGACGACGCTTCACTTCAATGTGCCTGCACCAATCCAACCTTTAATAGCACTGTTCAACAGTGCGTTGTGACCAATAAGTGCCCACAAACCAGTATTGATCTCACCAACAAAGCTTATACTCAGCTATGCCTGAACGCTACTACGACGGCAACATCATCTATAATGGCATCAGCACAGCCATCTCAATCCTCAAGTCCCCCTGCCGCAGCCTCTGTTGACGCTGCAGCAGCCAGTTCCAAAGAATTTCCATTTAGTGGCTCTGCCGTAGCCGTCTTCGTCGTTCTCACTGTTGGCACCCTCTTCTTCTAAATACTATTTTTTCTTATGTAATTCCTTATATTCCTGTTTTATTACTAGAATCTTAACTATCAGGCTCCCAACATAATTTCTTTTTTCCTTTCAAAAAAAGCCGCCCTCAACTTGTACCATATATTAAAGCTTGACGAAAAAAAATAAACGAACGAGTAGGCAGCCAAATGCCGTCATTTTAAAAATAGAAATTTTTGGAAACACTTGCTCCGCACGCCATTTCTCCCAAATTTACAAGATCGGCCTTCTTGTTGAAAGCCACATGGGCAAACTGAATGGGACATTTTATACATTGTTTCCGCCATCATAACATGCAGTATCATAAGAACATGAAAGCGAATGCACGTTTGAGCATAGTGTTCTATCATAATAGAGTTCAAGCTAATAATCAGAGGGATCCCGGTTATGCGCTCCTCCACATGTCAACATGCCAAACTCGTCCGAATTTACACCGAGTTTGCACAAAAAATATGCTTATGGTAACCTCAATCATATTCCCGCTTACTGCATTTGAAAAGGACGATGCGTTAGGGTATGAATGAGGGGGGGACCTTGCGCTAGACAAAGAACAGGATGGAGCGGGACGAGAGGGACCATTGAACAAGTTCCACCACCACATTTGGTGGCGGTCAAGGTGCGACGGGCTTTCGCAAATGTGTCGATCTGGTTCACAAGCTGCAAGCTAATTTTACTCCCAGTACACGACCTGTATTGCTCCATCTGAAGGAGTTGTAAAAAGCCATTCCCATTTCGTTAGTCTCTTCATACCAAATGCCCTCTATTCCACATATTCCAGGCTACACGAAGCATATTGTATCACAGCAAATACTGGTCAGATGGAGAGGATTTCTTGCACTTTTTTTCTTGCACCCGTACATCAACCAATTTCACGTCATGTTATATAATATGACTTTTTTGGATCTTTCAAATGAGTCTGCAAGTTTTTTGTTCAATCGTTCTCCGATAGAACAAAGTTCAAGACAATTCAAGGCAATTTATCGGCAGACGTGCATTGCCGCTAGACCTTGGCGACTTACGCCGCTGCCGGTAGATTCAAGACTAGAAAAAATTATGTGAGTGAGAACAAATTACAGTAATTGGTGCCATTAGATACATTAGCTCCATTTGATTTTTTTTTTTTAATAAAGCGATAAAAATACCGAAGATATGGACATTTTTGAAATATTCCATGCAATCACAGCTTGGATATGGTCGTGCCGAAAAGAGATGCAGACATGCACATAGCTACACCGTATGTCTAAAGGTCTGAAATATTTTATTTATTTTTTAAAGTGCAGGCAATAAAGACACTGCCTTATGCGTGGAGGCTTCTATAACACGATGTCAACATGAGATTGACATCGCTCAAAGTGCTTCATTATTGACTGCTACTTTTTGCGACCAAATATACGTTGTCCATTAACATTGCAACCGTCATAGGGCCTACACCGCCAGGTACGGGGGTAATGTGGCCAGCTACTTTGCTCGCAGCCGCATAATCCACATCGCCGACAGTTCGATAACCTGACTTCTTGCTCGAGTCTAAGAATGGAATACGCGTTCAATACCCCAAGTAGTCAATTTACGCATAATGTCAAAGCTACTTACCTGGAACATAATTCATGCCCACATCAATGACGACAGCTCCCGGTTTAATCCAGTCACCTTGTACATAATTGGCTTGTCCTATAGCCACGACCAAGATATCGGCTCTCTTAATCTGTTTTGATATGAGTCAAGATTGAATGTATCTATTTTCAGTGGAGGTCGCCGGGCTGTTCTTACATGATCAACAATGTCGCTTGTCTTGGTGTGACAAAGCGTCACAGTTGCATTAGCTGAAGTTAACAACAACGACATGGGAGCGCCCTAAGTCATAGAAGTAAATGTCAAAAGTAGGGGTTAGATTTCTGTTCCCTGCGCTAGTACCACCCGTTCTAAGCTTACCACCAAGTCACCCCGGCCAACTACCGTGGCATTCTTTCCTTCAATAGTGATACCTAAGCAGCCGAAAGTTAAGAAATAGCTGACTTAAACATTATAGCTGAACCAGTGAAAATATATGTCTACCAGTTGACCGAATCAATTCCATAATGCCCTTTGGTGTGCAGGGTTGAATCAACGGCGCACTTCCTCTGACCACCAACTTTCCAACATTGACAGGATGGAGGCTAAGATGCCGAGGAAGGGGGGGGGGTTTAGAAATAGGTATAAACATAGGTAAACAAAGGCACTTTCATCTCAAGAAGGAGCAACCCACCCGTCGACATCCTTTTTAGGGCTAATAGCATCAATGACAAGGGCTTCGTCAATATGCTCGGGTAAAGGCAATTGTACCAACAGGCCATGGACTGAATTGTCCTCATTCAATATTTGAATTTGGCTCAAGATATCATTGAGAGTAGCTGTTTCAGGAAATTGATGAAGTGCAAACTCGATACCAGCCTGACCGGAAGAAGGGATCAGATAAGCTCTACAAAGGCTAATTTGGAAAGTTCACGCTATACCTCTGCAGCAGCTTTCTGCTTTAGTCGAATGTAGCTCGAGGAATCAGATCGAGTGCCTACTTGTATAAGTGCTAATTTAGGATTGACTGCTGGCTGAGCCTCCTTCAGCTTGGCAATGTCGGCCTTAAGTTGATCGCGCAGCGATCTAGATCCCGGGTTACTTTTCCTTTAAGCGACAAAGTTTGGCAAGGCTGAACTACTCACTGTGAAATAGCCTTTCCGTCAATGACAGCAGCTGGCATAGTGGGTGAATGGAGTTCTTGAAAAAAATGAATAATTTAAAAAAATTGGTTAAACGGGGGAAATCAAGTCACGCATGAATGGGGGACTTGAGTTAATTTATTATCGTACAGCTTTACAGGAAGAAAGGGTGAGGTATCGTATTTTTAACAAAAGTTCAGCTTATAAGGGAAGGATGGATTGTGCGTGCTTTGTTGGTACAGGGTGGTCGACTTGATGCATAGATACAGGGAATTCGGCTGCAGGACTTGAAAATGACGACGGTGGACCAGCCTGTGAAGAGTTTTCATCATCCAGATAGATACCAGGCCGTGAGTTGTTGAATGCATAGACAAATAAGATCATCAAAAGGGCGATGGCCAGTACTATTATGCCGGCGAATAATGCGGTGTCTGTTAGAGATGCAGCCATATGGGATAAAGAAAGGAGTGAAAAGAGAGAGGTGAAAGAACGAGGGAAAAGGGCCGCAGGTGACTGTTGATATAACCAACGGTTGAAGCGGGTTTTGCTTTGTTCATGTCTGATCTGTCTGGTTGAGCCCTAATTTTGGCCAGACGCATGAGGCGCAATCAAAGCACCTTATTGGCTTCTGCATATCCACCACGTACACTTCTTCTTTACCAACGAGAAGGGCAGCATACAGAGCACCCTTCTTTCTAACCATCATCAGGGGATAAAGCTTTATCCAGTCATTGCGCAATTGACTGCATCATCATACACAGCTAAAATTTTAGCATGTAATTTGGGTTTCATATGCTCAGGGTGCGCCACTGTTAGTCTGTTCATCCTGCCACACTACCCAAAGGCTTTCCAAGGTGGCAATGCTCTTTGCACAACGTGGTGAACTAACTTTCAGCTGCTATATGCTCACTAGCCAACGATCTCGCCGTTTGTTCCTATCAAGTTTGTTTCGCCAAGACATCGTCGGTAGCATAAATACATCCCACTAGGCCAATTTCTGTCCCCAAGCTGAACTTAAATGGCGTCACAACTAAAAAATTTGACACCGAGTTAGAAGTGTGTGAGCCAGCCGCCTTGGCATCGATATCGTAGCCATGAACAAAGTTTCGGGAACATTCTACATCTTAATGCCGCTGTTTCGACTGGGTCCTCTTGGCTTTATGCGCATACAATGAAAGTACGTGGGTTCGACAAGACTGGGCGACCCTAGTGAGTGCAAACTCTTGTTATTTACAGTCATTCTCATTGAATTATTTCATTAATGAGTTTTTGTGGTTCGTCTTATGTTCTGCTCAAATAAGGGCTAATTGACCCATGTAATATTATTATTTTTATTGCGTGCGTTTGGATACGCAAGGATTGGGCGTGGGCCAGAACAAAATTAGGTATAGCCATTTCAACTCCACCCCGCCTGATGGACCCTACAAGGGCTAAAAATTTGACCTCATCCTTGTCACTCGTTTGGACCATAGCAGGTCAAGCCTATGATGTACCTGGCCTGACTGCCAATCATGGTATTATGAAAAGGTTTCCAAAGGGAGTAGAAGGGGTTCTAATATGACGGTTTTCACTTTCAGAGCAGTCGGTAGTGCGGGGTGTTCATGAAACCATTTGGCGGGAGAATAAGATTTTCTGAGGCACCTATAGTTTCCGAGGGTATTATGTGGAAATTTCTTTTTTACAGCATCGACAATGTGAAGAAAAAGGTAATTAGGCTTGCGTATGCGGTTTAGCAACCAAATAGGTGTACGGCAATTAAAAAACCAAGGCTACAACAAACAATACGGAAGGTGTGTGAGATTCGGCTGTTTCACGTGAGGTAGCTCAACATCCAGATGGGTTTTCTCAAATGTCACAGAAGAACCCAAAATAGCCAAAGGTGTGTGTTCTGTGGCGCTTTCTGTTTTCCCCCACGGGAGAAACCAATCATTGCCTAGGTTGCACCGGACTGCCGCGGGGGGGTGCGTGTTTTTTTTTTGTTTTGGCGCTCAACTCAACTTCAACTGACTGCCCTGCCATGCCATGCCATGCTAACTTCCGCAATTGGAAATGGTCATCAAGTAACTGTCCCTCTTAGCCGAGTGCCCCCCCCAATTCCAAAGGCCTCCATTGTTGAGGCGTTCCTTACCTACTGTAAGTTTGGCTATTTTTCCCCATTAGTCGTTCGAACCGTGACCCTGCGCACCTCACCTCATAGTATTTGGGCAGCTTCCATACCACTCCCCTTTCAAGTTGACAGTGCCCCCACTAGCTCACTAAATAACATTCCGAATCGTACTATATTGCCGAAACAGCCATGGTCGTCAGGTATGTTACTAGTCCTACCGCTTTTGGAATATAACATTTGTTTTCCTATCTCAGCCTCGCATCATGATTCGCATCGCCTCGCCTTGCACTGGGTCAACACACACAGAACCGATCTCGCAGCGATGATCTGATCAAATGATATCACGTCAGGAGAATCTTAAGGATATTGTTTACAGTCATGTCTTCATTACTCTGCGCCGTCCGACCCCCTTTGGTTTGCTTCGTTCCCTTGACTGGGCTGCTCTTTTTCAACGGACAGGCTGACCTTAGAAGGGTGTACCTCATATGGGACATTGTGCCCAAAGAAGGTAGCGTTGGGTTCGAAGAGTGGCGTTACATTACATACGTAGGCGAAGGGTAAATAAGAATGCAAAGGAATTTCAAATGGAGATTGGTTTTAAAAATGGATGATGTTACGCTTTCATTGACGGTGCTATTTTGGAGTTGGGGGGCATGAGAAAGGGGTAGCCAGCTTTTGAACTGGGGCGGGAAGGGACCGCTCCCCCCACTTCCTTAGTAGAAAAGGAAGTTTATTGAAAAACGTGTTATTTCGTTTCGCTCCATTTTGATCAGCAGCAGTGTGCGACAAATGTGGTTTGGACGTTCCCCATTGTGCTCCGATTCCGCCCTTATGGTAAATGCAGTTTATATTATTTTTATTATAATCAGATTTTTTATTTATTTTCCAAACTCCCTCTTTCATTAAATTTTTGTTCTTGTTTTTTTTCCAAACCACCCGATTGCAGCATTTCAACCTTCATCACAATTCATTTGCAATGCCTACCACCACCACAACGTCCAGCAACAACTTTGAGTGGGCTGATTTTGCTTCTTCGGTCCTGCTCATGATATGGTATGGAGTTTCCTACAATGAAGCGCAACAGCAAGAATCATTTCGACAATTCAGTCGCAACCTACTTTCCACCATGCAAGTTAGTTCATCGGTGGTGATTTTATCACTCAAGTATGTGTCTTTGTTACGACAAGGTCACGCTCAAACTGGAGCTGCGGGCTCTGAATATCGATTACTGGTCGCATCCCTCATGCTTGCTTCCAAGTTCTTGGATGACAGTACCTATGCGTCTCGTACATGGGCCCAAGTGTCTCGCATCCCATTAGACGATTTGAACAAGAGTGAGACCGAATTCTTAATAGCCATCGGATATTCCCTGCATGTGCCGGAGTTACAATATCTAGAATGGCTCAAGTACTTGGAAGAACTTATTCGCCAGCCACAATTAGTGATGCACGCCAAACGTTCTCGCACAACAATGGAAGGTCACATGAAAAGGAGACGGGTCAGCAGCAATAATGTTACAAGTTTCCAGCCCTATCATCACACACCGTCGTATTCCTCAATTGAGATGGTGGCCCCAACCGCCGTGTACACTCTACCGCAGTTCGACCCGATGATGTTGATGCCTTTCATCTCAAACTTTGGTCTGGCAACCAAAATGCGTCATATTCCACATGCTGGGCATGTGCGTGTCTAGACTTTTTTTTACACTCCAACCTTCTTTTTGCTTCATGCCCTACCTTAGTTTCCCCCCCCCATGTTGTACAACAAACACAATGTGTATCTTGACGAGATATCTCCCCTCTCTCCTCACATTTGTCCATTTGTAAATATTGTTATTGATTTCTTTTTTTTTTCTTTCTGCCCAGTCCCCAGCAATGTACACACACACCCCTTTTAACCCACCACTAATACATAGTTCGTTCAAATATATTCACATTCATAGAACTGTTTGTGTTTCATTAGGCGTTGTTGATCTTGCGTGTTCAAGGAGATGTGTGTAACCATCAGAGCATCGTGGCTGGCTACATGAACCCAATAACTGGTTTAAACCCACCAGAAAGAAAATATCCCCGCGATGATGGGATTTTTTTATTTTAAATTGTTCATGTATAAAAAAAAACCAGTAAGCCCTAGTAAACGCCTGGGGGGGGGAAGTCAGCAAATTTATTTTGAGTTTTGGATTTCTCCCTTTTGTCCGATTACACTTCTGTCCAGTTTCCTTACCTGGAAGGATTCTGCTTTTGACAATCTCACAGTATTTCTCCCAATCTTTTCCATACTTCTTGTGACACTTTTCGTCATCTCGTCGTTCACGGTGTACAAGCAAGATTGTGAAATAAATGGCGTAAAAATATGGGATGGGGGACCCGAATCCACAAGGTAGGCAATAAGCAAGCCCCATCATCAGGTCTCCAAGATAATTAATGTGTCTAGCTCTTCCCCACCAGCTGCTCGTGATAAGTCGGCTGCCGGTGGACGTTTGAATATACTTGAGATCTAAAATAAAATAAGAAAAAGGTCCCTTAGTTTTTCCGCGGATACCCTAAATTAGCCCTTGACAACAATCAACTCACGCTTGACCTCAGGTGCATGCGGATCGGTCCTAAATCTGTCCTTTTCCCCGTTAGCCGCTCTGAAGATGTAATAACCGCCAGCCAGCAGACCGACAATCACCGCTATTTGCCAATAATGAAGGTCCACAGGGAAATCCACCAAATAGCGTGCTTGCATACAGTACACCATAGGAACCCAGCATAAATTACCAAATGCCAGCATAAACCCAAATCCGTCGGTTGTGATGTCCATCGTGGTTAAAATAGCAGACTATGGAAAGAGTGCCCCAAACGGGAATTATGTTAGAAAAATCGAGGGGATGGTGTTCCCCCCTTTTGCTCTCCTTGGGTTGCTCAAATGACCCCTTAGGGACCCTCCTTTCACGCATCTTTCATGTTGTTATATTTGTTTGCTAGCAATTTGTTGTTGTTTGATGCCCCGTCCGTTCACTACAAAAAATATAGCTTTTATAGCCAAGCCTTCCTTGCACTTACCTCATTGTATAAAGCATCCACAATATACAACACTTGCGCAAACACAACGAGGACCATGCTGTTCGTGACACGGCCTAGATTGGTGTATTGCTTGGCAGCCATACAGATATCCATGAGAAGCCATCCGATCAAGTTGGGTCGCAATTCAACAAAGAATTTAATATCAAAATCTCTGATACGTGGGTTGAGTTCTCGTCCAATCATGAACTGGCATGTTGAAAAAGGATTGATTGAAACAAGCAATTTTTTTTTTCAAGGGGTGGCATGAGCGATTAGCTGGTTGCTATGGATCGTCAAAATAACAACATAACTTACATCGTAGACCGCAGTGCCTGTGTTACCTCCTAAAGCCAGCATTTTACCAGGTTTGAAGCTAGTGTAGTAAACATATGCAGACACCAAGAAGGACGTGAGGATGGAGGCTAAGCAAAACGACAGGTAATTGTCGTACACCCAGCCTAGAGCGTTGATACCAGCGCCTCTGAACATCATAGCATTCATGGTAATCAAGGCTTGCAAGCAACCGAGAGCTAGTGAGGTGGTGCGAAGGCAAGTCATTAGTATGGACACTTTCTTCTTTTACTTTCCAAGTGTGTCACTTGGCTACTTACCATTTATCTTGTACTTCAAAACGCGTCCATCACGTAACTTGGTGCCGTCCACCATGTTACCGGGCAAAGACACGGACATGACAGCCAAGTTAATTAGAAAACCAAAATACCACGCAAACGCCCACACATTAACGTTCTTTTGGATGTTCTCCCATGATAACCATATACGTAAATTGTTCACAGAGATGTTCCAAAAGTTTTGAGAAGGATAACCGGTGGCATCGCAAAAGGTGGCGAAAAACAACACCACAGCTGGTAAACCTACGATCATCCCAATTGCGCCAATGGGTCCTCCAAACCTAATGATGTAAATAAGTATGTGTATGCTTGTTTGGAGTACAACTCTGTTCGCTTACTCATAGTGCTTGGTGACGGGATTAAGCTTGGATGAGCTGACGGTGGTAGATCCTTGGTTTTTTTTGGCCATGGATGAGCGCGTTCGTCGAAAGGCGGGAGGAGTATCTGCTGAGGTTGAGGAGGCAGTACGTTCTGCTGCAGCACGTCTTCGGGTAGTCACCATTTTGTGATCAGGGATTCACCTTTATACAGATTGCTGGGTAGGGCAAAAAATGAAGAGGTAATGCGAGAAAACCCCGCTGCCCGCCTAAACCTTTTCATATCCGCGCGCTCATCGTTAAAATCGAGATGTGGATTTTTTTTTTCTTTTTTTTTTTTTCTGCTGTTCACATCTCCGTCCTCAATTTCCCCATATACTTATAATGAGTCGCGGTCATACATCCAGATGATTGTATCTATGTGTCTTCCTCGTCCATTCAAGTGTAATTGGGAGCATTTTACAATTGAATTGCCTACGGTGGCCAAGGTTCACCTGACACCTTTTTCCACGTAAGATGGAGTATACGGTTCCTGTTTTGAGTTGATCCTTTCTTGCACGTTGTATACCCCAAACAGTTGTCATTCTGTGTTTCTCATTCGTGTATTCCCGATTCATGTATTTTTATTTTAAAGTTTTCTTCCAACTGACGTTGTCTTCCATCAGCTCAATCAAAGCGCTTTGCCAAGCTCCATCTTCTTACGGAGCTGGCGTTCAGCTCGGTAAACGACAGAATCAACGATTCCTGCCACAGTAAAAATACCACCTACAATGGCACAAACGCCAGTTAAGAAACTGGTGAAGGAGGGTCGTGTTTCCTGATATATAACCAACATGGGTGAGATGTCCAAGTTGAAAAAGACGCCTATATCGGTTCATGCATGGATGGAACAGAAAGGGATTAGCAATGGTACTGATGGATATATGCACATGACGTTCGCTTACGTACCCGGCAAACCTTCTTGGCCCTGTCTAGTTATGATCCCTCTTTCGTGTTCGGTCACTGAGTATTGGTTGGTGTAAAGCTTCATTCCATTCAGATATCTGAATTCGGTGGAAACAATCTTCAAAAAATACTGATACATCATACCAACTGTAGATGAGAATATACGTTAATAGCCGGTTTACAAAGTGATAAAAGAGACGTGGCCATTGGAGGTGAAACGGGGCCAGTTCAACAATATTATCTATCAGCGCTCAAACAGAACAACTTACAATCATTCGTAACACGACTGGTGTTATCCAATGGATTTGTGAGCTCTACAGGTGTTCCTTTGGCTGTACGTCGCTTCATTTTATCAGGGATCACATCGCCGAATTGAAGCTTGTTAATATGATGTGTAAAGTCAAACTTGTGGCCATCCGGGGCGCCAGCAATGTACCCAGCCATATCGTGGACATGCATGTGTGATTGTTGGAAGGACTGTCCAGGAGCAATATGGAAGTTACCGCGGACCTTGTTCACTTGGAGGTGACCATGGATGTTGCAACCTTCATTGGACTGGGTTTCAATTTTATCGCGCCAACCTTCTTTGACACATTGTTCATACATAGAAGGGTCGTTGAACCCCCATCCCGCCTTGATATATGCTTCTCGTACGTCTTCGCAAGTATTACAGCACCCATTTTCATGTGGGGAGGGTGCTCCGTAACAGCTTCCACAATGATCAGGGTCGTCTTGCTTCAATGCGAGTTCCGCTCCTTCGCTATTGTCACCGAGTTCTACAACGTTGCATCAGGTTAGGGATCACTACCATAAACAGGCAATGGCAATACAATGCTGCCTGTATACAGTCGCATTGTTCTACTTACTATGCGCTTTCTCAGATTCAATTTGATTTCCGGCTAAATCAAGTCGCACCTTATAAACATCATGTGTAAATCCTGAAAGATGTTGACCGGAATCATCCATGATATCCACGCTAAGCACTGTACCATGAAGAAGTTAGATATCTAGCCGACATGGCTTCATCAACCACCTAAACTTACAATAGCAAGGGATCTTTGGGAACGTCACATTAAAAGTGATGGGAAGCTTATCCTTACGTCCCTTGTCGATAACTAATTCTGGCTTCATGACCGAGGTTCTATATGCAGATAATTCTGATAACACCAATATAGCAATGAGAAGACCACTGATGATGGTTACTGCATGTTGAATTTCGACAAATGGGATGAAGGCAAGGTCAGAAACTCAGGGGGGACGGGCCAAAAGTGGATGAAAATTAGTTGAATGATCTAACCTGCTGCACCACTTGTAGTTTTGACTCGGAAATCATCAAGAGTCTTTGCGTATGCGTCGAGGCTACGGAACCTACTCAAGACAGATCCCTGCTTTGGCATTGAAAAAGGCTGATCTTGGACAATGGGTTATGGAATGAACGCTGGAACAACTTTAGTGGGTGAAATTTGGTGAACTCAAAGCTCTAGCCAATCAAGACTCTCCAATGCATCCTCGGAATTTTTAAGGTCCGCATCACCATGAAAAGAAGCACATTTTTCTGTTGTCAAGCAAATGACACGCAAATGAAAGCAAGCATGGGTACGAAGAGACACACACAGTTTGAAGAAGAAATTATTTATGCAATTTTAAAACAGCTTGTGTTTCTATCTCTCCCATACAGAGCTACATCGCTCGGATGTGGGCAGTCTTGATCAGATAATCCAAGGGAAAAACACATTGCCGATGATGCCGCCCTGGCGAACGTAAGACCAGAGTCAGCGTTCCTGCGGGAACTATCGTACGGCCGGTATCTATTCATAACATTTTAGATCATTATTGTTTGCTACTAGTGACTCTTTTCTTCGACGTTGCTTTTGTCATTTTTACATCCTGAACCATTTTAACAATCATGACGCACAAAATATAAGCGAGCGCACACTCAAGCGCATCGTGCCGCCAGCTACAGACACAATTGATTGATAAAAAAAAATAATTACAAAGTTTATAGTGGATGATGCGTGGAAATATTGGGAATGGGGGCAAAACGCTCAGTGCGTTACTATACAATAGAAATACTGTACGAAAAAGCAATTGGCCGGATAGTAGATAACCAATTGATAATCGCTTGCTTAATGAACCACCTCTTCAGTTCTGTTGTTCCGGGTTGTAAGGGATCTCATAGACACCACCAAGGATGACGTAGGGACGGTAGGTGAAGTTGCGAAGGTCATCCATTTTCGTTACGCCAGAAAGGACCAACACAGGGTCAATTTGAGAAGTCACACCAGCAACAATACTGCAAACACAAGTTTCATGATTTAGCAACGTATATCTTGCAGCAACGAGATGACTTTAAGAATGTGACTTACTCAGTATCCATACGGTCGCCAATGATGCAGGTATCTTCATGGTTTATTCCCAATGATCGCTGGGCATAACGCATGATGAGAGCGGAAGGCTTGCCGCAGAAGAAGGCCTTGGTCTTGGTAACAAGTTCAATGGCAGCGGTGAAAGCTCCACAGCTTGGAATAACCTCTCCCTTGGAGTTGAGGGTCTCTACATCCAAATTGGTTGCGATCAACTTTGCTCCCTTCATCACCAAAGAGACAGCCTTGCACATCTTTTCATAATCGTATGAAGGTCCTTCTCCAAGGACAACATAGTCAGGGTTGACATCATTCATATAGAATCCCTTGGAATAGAGAGCAAAGGTCAATCCTGGCTCGCCAATAACATAGCAGGAACCTCCTTCAGGCATCTGAGTAGAGAGGAATTGGGCGGTAGCCAAAGCGGCAGTGTAAAATCGGCTTTCATCGACATCAATTCCGAGACGACCCAACTTTTGTTTCAGTTCTCTGGGCGTAGGTGCCGAGTTGTTTGTCAAGAACAAAAATTCCTTGTTGTTATCATGCAAGAACTGGACGAATTCCTTGGCTCCAGGTAACAAAGTAGAGCCCTATTGCAAAGCATGAATGTTAGCCACAAAGTCTATGATCCCAACCCCACACTGCTCACTTTGTTTACTTACATGATAAATAACGCCATCCATATCGATAATATAACCCTTTTTGTTACGGATATCATTCAATCTTGAGGTGTGGATGACTTCATCGGTAAGAAGAGCCAAGTCCTTCAAGACTGCAGTAGAGAGAGGAGCACTTCTTGATTGTGTGTACTTGTACTCGTTTCCTGGGGTGGCGATGGGTGATGACGCTACTGACGAGTCGTATTGAACCTCGCTACCAAGTGTGGTGGAAATAAAGGGATGGACCATGTCATCGAGTTGAGGAATGGAGCCTGTAGAGTTTGCTTGGGACGGTATCATAGTGGACAGCAGAGAAAAATTCAGAAAATAAAATGATTAGGTGAAACCTAAATAAGCTCGTATCGACATACCTTGATATTTATATGTTCGTCGAATCGATTTTATCGGCTTGACAAAATTTTTGGTTTCGGGACCTTTGTTTCGCCTATAAAGGTGTTGCTAAGCGTTAACGTCATTCACCACCAGCCAGCTTTTATGGTCTTTAACCTACAGTTGGCTTCTAACACCACATCATAAGGTTTTATTTTGTTCGTTCCGGCATCTATCAGCTCTGTCATCCACCTAATGCCCCAACATGGTGTGCATGGCTTATCTTCAGTATAGAGAGACTGACTCTATGCCAATCATGATAGTGAACAGCATCCGGTTTTCAATTTGACGCTAATGCCGATAACCATCATGATAGTGGACAAGCGGAGTATGGTTTATGATATCTGCAGTGCGTTGGTATGAATGGGTTTGCAGGGACCCGGGTCGTCGTGGATTAAAGTACCTTTTTTTTTTTATCAACGGAAGGGGGATACGGTTGAATTACAGTAAGATGATACATGACAAATAGCTTAGTGATGAAACAATTTAATGAAGACAGGTGATATTGCATCAATAAAATAATAGCATTTCAATGCCTGCTTGAATTTGTTACATGGCTCGAAAATGATTCAAGTTGATGCCCTGTCAAAAACGCTAGTCACGTCGCAGTTTATAATTACCCGCTTCGACAAATGTCATAATAAGTCCGAAATTTAAAACGACCAAGGTTGAAGAAAACAACATGTGCTGGTGCCCGATCAATCGACGGAGCCCATAGTATGGTTGCTTCATGGTATTCTCTTCAATACTCGTGTTTAAAAAAATGGATATATGTTGCAAGTCTTACGGATCAAAAGTGGGATTTCCATATTTGGTCATTTGTCGACCTCAGTGTTGGCAATGCACAAGCCAATACTTGTCAACATCATATCATTGAGAGAGCAAAACTGCCTCAACATATCATTCAATGACCGCCCAATATAAAGTATGTTTAGGATAGAAAGCTCAACAGCATGTATAGTGGTATTCTGCTTTGTGGCTCTGTTCAATAGTCTCGGCACTATAGGTTCATTGCTCATAAAATTGCCTGATAATCGGCGCGGCAAGATTTTTGTACTATTTCCATTGACCCTGTGGTAATGCTGGCATACGAAAAGCAAGGCATCTTTTCCTCCTTTCCTTCCTTTCCTTCCGGCCAATTTAGAATACCACACCGACAACTCAGCTAATAGACATGGCTCCATCACTATCTGGGGAGGCGCTGCCGTCTTACGATGAGATTTCAAAACCAGCTTTGGCCTATAGATTAGCACCTCCGCCTTATACAGCTGCCGCTCGCGATGACGACGAGGTGCTGGGGTTCAATGGACTGGGATACGATGAATTAACATTGAGTGCTGGAGAACAAACAGTGTATAAGACTCGTATGCTGTTGACCATGATAGCCATCGTCATGACCACAGGACTAATGGTTACACTTGGAGTTCTATTATTCCCTGCTTCGGGTGGCAAGCCGCAGCAACAAATTTGCTGGAATCCATGTTCTAATCGATCAGAAACCATCAACACGAGTAATTGTTGTGCAGGATTTTTCTGTAGCCCCTCTTGTTAGCACCATCATCATTCCAACGCTAGTTTTACCATTGCATATGAAAATGACCACGGGGATTTCGCCGTGACCAAATAATTTATAGCACTAAAAGTCTACTAAATTATAATCACTACTATAAAGGTCCTTTTCATAGGTGTATCATAATTACTCATTCAAAGCAACATGTACATTGCTGTAGGCTATCAATCATAATAAAATATGGAGCCTTTTCTTTCAAAGTCAATTAGGGAAAGTCGTTTTATTGATCTAAATATGAGCATGACAGATTTTTGGGATCTTGCAAAATGGGGTTTATGTAAACGTGGATGAAAAAAAAAAAAGAAGAAGAAAAAAAAAAGAATTCGTGTCACTTTACAATTGCAGCTTTACAATCGCTGCTTCACCCAGCCTTCAAGGCCACCATCCAACCACAACTCTTGGACACTTTTGCCGAGAACGCCAACTTTGTAGACCTTTTCGCTACCATCAGCCTGCTTGACAATCACCTTTCCTTCACCAACCTTGATCTCCGCATTCCATCCAGTACGCTTGGTCAGATCAGACGTACCAACGTTGTTCTTCAGGTCATTGACAAGTTCAGGGGATTCAAGAAGCAAAAGTGCATTGTTGATGGAGTTACGCTTGAAAATATCAGAGAAGGATCCAGCAATCATGATGGTAATGCCCCGTGACTTGATGGCTGTAGCAGCTTGCTCTCTAGATGAGCCAGTACCAAAGTTGAAACCGCCAACCAGGACATCAGAATTCTTTACAATATCAACGAACTTGGGATCATAGTTCTCCATGACGACCTTGCGCATATCGTCTGTGGTCATATCATCGTTGTAGGTGTATTTTCCAGGGTAAATGCCGTCGGTATTGAGATTGTCTGCATGACAGAAAAGTAGTTCTCCTTTGATGGTAGATGGGAAGTTAGGCAAAACTTCAGTGCTGCTGGAATCATCGTCTTCCTTGTTGGTGTTCAAAGTTTCAATGGTGAATTTGGGCTCTGCAGTGGATTGAGTAGTTCCGTTGGGTCCAACAATCTTTCCAGCAATGGCAGATGCAGCAACCACGGCTGATCAGTATGAATGTTAGTTACATGGGTTCCATTCACACTATCATGAATGTTTTTTTTAAATTACCTGGTGATGCAAGGTAGGCCTTGGCACTAGGGGATCCCATACGACCCTTGAAGTTACGGTTGGTGGCAGAAATACCGACTTCACCATCCTTGAGCAATCCTGTACCCAATCCAACGCATGGTCCACATCCAGCAGGAAGAACCTTGGCACCAGCATTGACCAGAACATCCCAGTCTCCAGATTCAACAACTTCCTTTTGAACCTCTGAAGAAGCAGCTGCAATATAGAATTCTACACCTTCCTTAACCTTCTTTCCTTTCATGACAGCGGCGGCTTGACGCAAATCGCCAGCTCGGGAGTTGACACAGGAGACCAAGTATGCCTTGTTAATGGCAATGTCCTCCTTCTCCAAAGCAGCAAGGGTATTGGCAACCTTGACTGAGTTAGGGCCAGAGATATGGGGCGACAGAGTTGAAAGATCCAGAGTCAAACGCTTGGCGTAGGTGGCGTTGGGAGATGCCTTGATAGGGTTGTTGACCAATTCTTGAATGGTTTGGTCGTTGATGCGAGGATGAGAGGCTGAGCCATTTCCTTTCTCAAATTGTTCCAATTCCAGGCGCTTTTGTCTCTTCTGCAAGTATTCGATGGTCAAGTCGTCCACTGGGAAGACACCAGCAAGAGCACCCCATTCAGTGGTCATATTAGCAATAGCTAGACGATCCTCAAGCGAAATTGCCTTCATGGTTTCCTCACTGCCGTGAAATTCGATTGCAGTGTTGAGAACCTCATCCTTGTTGAACAAACCACACAATGTGATGATGACATCCTTTCCTGTCACACCTGCTGGAAGAGTTCCTTGAAGATCGACCTTAACAACAGGTGGAATTTGCCACCAGGTACGTCCAGTGGCCCAGATAGCAGCGGCATCAGTACGAACAACGGGTGTACCCAAAGCACCAATACCACCATACATGTTTGAGTGCGAATCAGAGGCCACAGTCAAAGTGTATGGGAAGGCATAACCTTCTTCGATCATAATTTGATGACCGATACCCCGTCCAGCTGGGTAGAAATCAACTTTATGGTCCTTTCCGAATTGTTCAATCTTGCGGTATTTCTCAATATTCTTCTCGCTTTTGTTTTGAACATCGTGATCCAATGCAAAGACCGGTTGACGTGGGTTATTGAACTTGGTTGCACCAATGGACTTGAACCTGGGGTAATACTCTATCAGTCAGCACCTATAACGGTCAAAATACAGTTGTTACCAAGAAGACTTACTTGGGAATAACAGCACCGGTATTGTCGTGGGTAAGAACATGATGAGGGCGAATCGTCACGTAGTCGCCACTCTTGACCAAATATCCTTCAGGCAAGTCTAGGGCATATTTTTGGACAATTTTCTCCACCAGGTTTTGTGTGTCTTTAGCGTCAGTGGTGGTAGCCAGACATCTTCGAGTAATGACTGTTGGAACAATGCGAGAGGTCGATACTGAGACCGTTCGCAATAATGGAGTCCTGGCAAGGGAGAGAATCATGTCTTGCACTGAAAAAGGTTAAAGAGACGAGATGTGATTAATCTCAGTATTGTATTTTTTTTCACCTCCGCCAGCTCATACTGATGTTTGCGACATTGTGCAGTCACGATCTCGTGCTTTCTGACTTTTTGGCAGCGACTCAAACCTGGGAATACGAAGTTCAGCCTGTCTTCAGCCATGTCCAGCTACCCTCGTACATCGACAGCAAGGAGAACGCAGAACTTGTCAGAAGCGAAATTAAAGCGCATCATAGAGTACAATGAAAGACAAAAGCAGCAACTAGACATCCCTCGCATAGCTGTTTCCGAAGCTTCTAAAGGGTACGTTGAAAGGCATCCTGCAAACTTGATTATCCCGATAAGACTTTGCTTGTTCGATTGACCCTAACTTGCATCATTAGCCTAATTTCATACTGCAAGGAAGTGCGCGATCCTCTGGTACCGTCAGTGTGGGGACCCATTCCTAAGACAGAGGATCCTTTCACCTCGTCATCGACTAAAAGCGGTTGCTGTATTATTATGTAAATGAACCAATCACCCTGGCTATCGACATCTGAGCCGGCTCTGCATGTCAACCAACCAAGTTTTTATTACTATTATTCTTTGTGTTTTTTCCGTTATTTTATTGGCTTCTCGTTACATATTCGCACGCTCTAGACCCCACATAAAGTAATTGTTGTACATTCGATTAATTTGCCTCATTGTATCTCAAAAGGCATGTTACAAATGACACATGGGATATACTCCTTGTAATCCCCAACTTTTTATCTAAGATATAAAACGATAGCTCATGTATCGCATAATAAAAGGTTTATAGATGATCTAGACAAATGGCGTGGGCTGCTTTCCTGTCTTTTGATAATCCTCCAGCACCTGCTTAAGCTTCTGCTCATCCACTCGATGTTGCAGTAAAAACTTGTCATTCAAATGCACAACAGGAGTATCAAACACATAGCGTTCTGCAAGCTCTTTGGGGCATTCTGGCTTATTCAGGTTCAGCTCTTTGAGAGTGAAGGGAACCTACAAACATGCCTATCAATTTTTATATTTGCAACATTGAGCCACAAACAAATACCAGTGGCTTACGGTTTTCTGCACTCTCAAAAGTGCCTCTTTGGCATTATCACACAGTCCACAACGCTCAGTGTGGAATAGGGTCAATATAATCTGTCGTGCCGCCATTCTGGTATATAGATCGTGCAGAAAGGAGTGGCTTGGAATTGGCCAAAGAAGCCGACCATTTTATTAATTTTTTTTTTTGGAGCTTTGAAAGGCTAATGCTTTGAAGACCATTGAATTCGATTCGCCATGGGTTCAAAGAAACGTTCCAAAAAGATACCACTGACTGTTGATAGAAGACCTGATGTTCACTTCAAAAGCTCATCCACCGAAACAGCTCGGCTGATTAGACGATTCCATGTTCTCAATAAGGAACTTGCAAAACTGAAAGGGGAGACTAACAGCTCCCAAACCGGAAAAAGAAGACAATCGATTCTCAGCGAGATGGAATCGATGGGAGGATTAGACTGGTACCAGCGCGCCTCTAAACTTGGGCAGAGCAAAGCGAGAGGAGGCGATTCTTCAAAATGGCTGATGGGAGTTCTACAACGTGAATCTATACCTGAGCGATACAAGGATCAACCTATGCAACTTCTCGATGTTGGCGCACTCTCACCGTTCAACTATGAAAAGTACAAATGGATCAAAACCACGCCAATCGATCTCAATCCTCAACATCATCTCATCCAACAACAGGACTTTTTGCAAATGCCGCCACCAGAAAAGGAAGACGAGCGCTACGATATCGTTTGCTTGAGTTTAGTGGTTAATTTTGTTGGCGATCCAGTCGACAGAGGTATGTCTGGAGTGATGAATATACTATACTGTTAGATCGAGGTATAGGCTGACTGATGATGTTCATAGGAACTATGCTATTGCACACGCGCGCCTTCTTTCCTTCCAGTCCAACGAATCCACGGCTCCTGTATTTTGTCGTACCATTACCATGCATCACAAACTCTCGATACTTCACACACGACCATCTGCTGGCCATGATGGACTCCATTGGCTATACAAAATGTATCGACTATCATCATAGCAATAAGCTAGGCTACTATCTATTTGAGCTCAGTTCCATTGTTTCCGAGACACCCAGCTGGAAAAAAAAGCTTTTGAAAGATGCGAAAGGATGTAACAATTTTTCCATCGTCATGTCAACAAGCGACTAAATAGACAGGATGTAATATCATCCTCTTTTTGTATAGTGTACATTATTCATTGAAATCATTTAATTCCAATATAACCATCCAATATATTGTCATACTGTTCAATGTGACATTGAGAAAAAGGAACCATTTTTCAACCTGTGAAACTTCGTGCTCGAAACTTAGCTTGAAAGCTAGTTTGTACTTATAACCTCAGCGGGAAATGTGTTGGCAATACCCAAACAGTTCATACCAAACGATGGATTCCTCAACACAAATTGCTTTTATCAAACTATACAAGGCGGAAACAATTGGTGAAATGTGGAGTTGTACATTAAAAAAGTAGAAAGCGTCTAGTTCTCTTCGGAAGCGGCGGGTTGGCGTTGAAGAAGCTGGTCCTTGGTTTCAGCACCGGCGAAGTCCCATTTGCGCTGCAATCGTAAAATGACGTTGGAAGGTAGTGTGTTTAGATAAGGTGAATGTGTTATTAATTCAAGGGGAGAAGAGACATAAAAATTAGTGGTGAGAGCAAAGCTAACAGATTGAAGACAATCACATCAACAAACTTACATCAGTCTTGTAAGCCAAAATGGTGAGGCCAACGGGAACGGCAACCATCCAAAGTGCAGCAGCACGGACGTTTCTCTTGTTCCAGCCAAAGTACAAATGGGTATTTTCACGGAGGTGAGCCCATCTTTCGATTGCTGGGTCGACCTTTAGGAGGTTATGATCGCCTGCCATTGTTTGAAGTGTCTAAGTGTCAGTCGTGCTAATGCCCTGTCTGTTTGGAGAGTACTGATCAAATGTATGACATCACGTTTTGTATGAATCATATCAATTTTTGAAAATCTCACAGTATTCGAAGACCGTCACATCCGTCAATTTGGAGACAGCATGAAACGGAAAAAAGCGTCCAATACCTCTGACCTTGTGGCAATACTCGTCATACCTCCATAGACGCTTCAAGGCTTTTGCTGGAATTGTTAATTTAAACGGACCATTCAACTGAAAGCAAATGGCTCGAAAAGGCAAAAGGAAATCATCGACTAGTGAGGCGCCTGATGTCAAGACGGAATCGCGCAGCAGTAAACGAAAAACCTCGCACGAGACGGCAAAGTTGACTAACGTCTCACAGAGTTCCAATAAAAAGGGAAAAGGAAAGCAGAAAGAAGATAACATAAAGGAAAAGGGAGCCAAGAATACATCAAGAGTCAATGCTGACCAAGCGACTGTAAACAAGGCAGCGTCTCCGCCACCCAATCTGTCCTTAGGAGACCGTATAGACCGTTTACTACCGGAAGAATTATATAGAGACGATACCTCTAATGAATCTGATAGCTCCTTATCAGACGCTTCAAGTGGGATACCATTGAAAATAGAGCGCAAACCATTACCGTGGGTAAATGAACCAGATACCAGCGGATCTGACTCTAGCGACAACGAAGAGGATATGAACTGGGAAACTGTAGCCGAAACTGAAATGGAAACGCCTATGAAAAATCCTCCATTGAAAGATCGAGAGATAAAAGACGTAGAAATTACGTTTGAAGCCCCAAAAAGCAAAAACAGGTAACAATCATCACGGTCATCACAAAAAACTCTATGACAACTTGTTAACCCACGAGTATCACAGAAAATCAAAACTGGAACTAGAAATTGATCGAATTGTTCGTGATCTGCTTCACAATGTGCATGTGGTATGTCTTGTTGGACACTATATGCTTCGAAATAAATGGTGTGCAAGGGAGGATATAAAGGTATTTGATGAGATATCAGAATTTGTACGTTATCAACTACTAAACTCCTTCCCTTGAAGGGTCTTTGCAAATCTGTTATTCCAAATCATGTATACGCTGCTTTAGAGGCAAACGGCTCTGATATAAAAAAATGCGTACGGGCGATTTCGAGTTGGTGGAGATCTTACTTCAAAGTGACGAGCCCTGGTCTAGCTACTCATTCATATGAAGAGTTTGAAACTCTTGACGAAAATATACGTTCCCTGTTATTCTCCAACCTTTCTTCTTTGGTAAGTTGGGGTATAAATGTGGAGTCCAATACTTGACAGTTACTCATGTAGCATTCAGCCGGCAGAAAAGAAAGCAATTTTGGCATCCTTTTGTGGAGAGGAATTCATCATGAACAGCGAGGATTTCATAAAATGCCTTGTATCCAAGCAAGGCTCTAGAGACACATCAGCTGAACTCTTTGTTGCTATCCTGCGATCTGTAGGTATTGATGCAAGATTAGTGTGCTCCATTCAGCCAATATCGTACCGTGTAGCAGCTGAACGAACGAGCGAAAGTCGCAAGAAAAAAGGTTTGGATAAAAGCAAACAAAACGATACCTTTCCACCGTCTCATACCGAAGAAACAAAAGTGCCTTTGAAATTTCCATTTCGTTCGCCTGCACCACGATTATCACCACCGCCAGAAGACGGTAGCTCGAAGAAAAAGGAAACGAACCCTCTCACTTCCCCAACATCTAAACCGCCAACCGTCTGGGCAGAAATTTACGATGAATCACTTTCACGCTGGATACCAATAGACCCTATCAGGGGCTTTATTGATGAAGCCAAGGCTATGGAACCATCAGTGTCATCGAAAAACAATATATTATCTTATGTAATTGCTTATCACAGTGACTGTGATGGATGCATAGATGTTACAAGGCGATACACATCAAACTGGGAAAAGACGAATCGGTTGCGGGGACGGGAGCTTTCCAAATCTGAAAAAGAGATCGGAAGACGGCCATGGTGGGACGATTTTTACGAAACTATCCGACGACGGAAACTAGGAGATCGTGAACGACACGAAGAAACAGAGTTTGAGTCTCTGAATGAGAAAGAGCCTATTCCTACTTCCATCAGTAGGTTCAACAACCATCGTTTGTATGCGTTAGAGCGACACCTGAAAAAGTTTGAAATTCTGGAACCCAACGCCACGGTACTTGGAAAAATCAAAGGAGAGAACATATACCCCCGCTCAGCTGTTCAACCTGTCAGTACAATGGAAACCTGGTTGAAACAAGGCAGAAGTATCAAGCGAGGTGAACAACCTATCAAGACTGTAAATGCTCGAGCGGTAACTCTGGAAAAGAAACGCGCCAAAGAGATTGCTCGACAAGAAGGCGAGGAGCTTCAAGTTGGATGCTACGCTTACTGGCAAACGGAGAAATTCAGGCCGCAAAATGTGATCAACGTGAGGGTTTATGCAGAATTGGTTGTACATCCCGCTCTTCTAAGCAAAGATTTAACCTTTTACCTCCTGTTTAGGGCGTCATCCCCAAGAATTCCTTTGGAAACGTCGATTTATACCAGCCAGATATGTGTCCTATTGGAGCAAGTCATATCGCGATTCAAGGAATAGGCAAGGTTGCTAGAAAACTAGGGGTGGATTTTGCAGATGCGGTGGTAAGATTCCCCAGTTTTACAAACCCTTAGAATGTCTTGGCGTGCCTTTTTCTAATTGGGAACTCTGTAGATTGGGTTTGAATTCGTTAAGCAACGATCCGTGCCAGTGGTTAATGGCATAGTTGTGCCAGCTGAAGCCGAGGAAATGGTGCTCGAGGTTAGTCATCCAGCCCTTCTGATGTGTTTTTCGGACGGTTTAAGTCGGGTTACCTAAAAATGGATTGTTTTTGTATCAGGCATGGCAAGAGACTCAGGCACATGAATCTCGGAAAGCTCTTGCCAAGCAAGAGGTGGAGATATACACACGATGGAAGCGTCTCATCACTAGTGCGTTATTGCATAAGCGACTGAACGAAGCATATGGTGACGAGGTTATCTGAAAGATCGCAGTTCGGGATCAATAAAAGATAGGTCAGAAATGTCATGGGGCAAACGCTCAGTCAGCTCGTGTGACTCTAGCATGAAGCAGCAAGAGTATGGAGGAAAAAAAATATCATATTCCTCGAAATATCGCAAGGCATAGCATGGAATGAGCTCAACAGGATAATATTTTTTATTGCTCTTGAGAAAATTGCATATTAAATGGAGGAATGATGCAAATGTACGTAAAATTGTGCACATGTTACATTAGATATGAAGAGATTTGATGTGATATATTACAAGAATGTGCTGATCTCGAGATTTGCTCGGGTCAATCATCGGGAAATCATCGTATACGTGGCTATATGTGATGATAGAGGCGCCTATGATGGTCCAGATTTAACAAGGAGTGAAAGCGACGTTGGCAGTGACTGCATCGATGTCCAGTGGTTGGTGAGCGTGGAGACGAAGCCGTGGTATCGCTACGCAAGATAGGGTATATTGTTATGAAAGACGGCAATAGAGTGGCCCTTTGAGTCATTTGTGGTTACGAGTTAAACGATGGCATTAACGAAAGCAGTGTGAACCGTGCGAGAGTTCATCACTTTATATATGCACAGGAAGTTACCGGGAGCGGTGATTGACCTGGTGATGAGGCATTATTCCCAGGCCTGAAAGAAATCGGGCTTCAGCAGCACAGAATGACAAGGCAAAACGGTAAACAATTGATCACACTTTGTTTTCACTTTCTCGGTATTTTGTGCCACGACTGTTTGCCAGAGTCTGTTTGATCATGATTGATTTAACCAAATTCTACAAGGATTGCTGAGGATCGTAACATTTATGTTTAGATATGAGCTTCTTATGCTCAGACTGGATTCGTCAATAAGCTCGTGCGTTTTCTGTTTCGTTTTGAAACCGCCTGCATAACGAGCTGAGAAAAGGAGACCCCGAACACAAGACACGTAAATTTTTTCATTTCACCTGGGGTCAGCAAGCAAATCCCTGTCCAATGTCGCCAAAATTGAACTCCGCTGAATTACTTTACAGTTTAAAAATCAAGTTTTGTAAGAAATTTACGTCATCGGAATGGCTGGATTGAGGGGACACGGAAAACAAAATAGCAAGGCTGTTATTACCTATCAAGCAACAATACAATGGCAGCTGGATTCCACCCCCATCTTGCTGGTGCTTGGCACCGATATGGCGCTAAGGCGCTAGGAGCCTCCATGTGGTTCTGGATGATGTACCGAGCAAAACAAGACATGCCCGTCTTGCTTGTATGTCTTTGCTATTTAATATGTATTCGAAGACGAGTGATCAGATTGAGTTAACCAATTGAATTTTCTTTAGGGATGGAGACACCCATGGGACGGTCACCACGGAGATGAGCACGCAGAGCACCACTAGAGTTGTGGATAATAGAACTTTTGTAAACAACGTAAAAAAAAACCAGATTCACCAAACCTTTTCCAATTCGCTACATAAACGAATTCTCTGAAGCAGACCCACTTCAGAATCTTTACGTCAACATTGTGTTTGCTTGTTTTATTTAAGAAAAGGTCGCTACCATCTTACAATTATGAAGAATCCCAAATAGCCGTCCAAATCATAGTATTGCAGCAATGGATTTAACACTAAATTACAATTCGTAAACTGAAGAAGAGAAGATACTAATCCTCTTCTGTGCCGTAATAACGATCTGTAAGCAAAGAGGTGTTAAGGAGGATCGGATAATATGTCATGCCAATGATTTCGAAGAGATTTACCTCCAAAGTTTCCAATTCCTGGTTCTATCCACAGAGTTTCGGGGGATAATACTGGGTCAACCATAGATGTAACGATTTTTACTTTAGGGAAAGCATTGGCCAAAACGTGCAGGCCAGCAGGTGCTGCGAGGAATGTAAGGAAAATGATATTCTCTTCCGGAACATCGTGATCGCGTAGTACGCGAATGGCCATCAAGCTGGCCGCGCCTGTACCGACAGTGGCATCCTGTTTGAGGGAGGAGTCGCGTCAGTAATGAACTCGTTGGCAGTTTCATTGATGCAGGGTCCATACCATGAGTAAAATGTTATATTTGTTCACGTTTTGCGGTAGTTTACAGTAATGCAGTTGCGGTTCCCCTGATCGAGGATCAGTTTGAATCAGCAACTTTCCAATTTTAACATCTTGTAAAACCCTCATCAGTCCTGTCTCCATCGTGCTTCCAGCTCGTAGAATGGAAACGCCGCAAATCTATGTAAATAGTGAATCAGGCTCCTTAATAATGATTTGTCGCAGCGATTACATTCGGTTGATTTTACTTACAGTTCCCTTAAATGATTTTCCTTTATATTCATGTCCCAAAGGTGTTATGGCCGTTTCATCTTGGAACGGAAGTTGTGAAAGACCTCTAAGATATGATCGCATATGTAAGCAATTTTCATCCACACTTGAACATCTGTTCAACAAATACGTACGTTTCAATGATTAGGGTAGAAAGTCTTTCGGAATAGAAAATGAAGTCGTCTCTGGGTGTGTTGACATCCCGAATTATGGTATGCATGCCCTATCATTCTATCTGTTAGTACCTCAAATCACAATATAATGAATTCCTTCATCGCATGACACTCACCTTTATCTGATTAGTCTCTTTCAGAACGGTGACGTTAGGTGGAAGTACATTTCCACAATTCATCTTGGCTAAAGACCAGCGATGCTTCAAAGGGAGGTCTTGCAATTGCTTCTGGACATGTTTGGTAATAAGGTCGATTGCAACGGCATTTTCCAATCCTCTTGGTATAATCTATATCAAAAATTGTTATTCCATGTTTACAGCAATCTTATCACTACTGCACAATACTTACAACGTCCGCATTTCTGACAGTTGGTTGAACGAAGTCATCATAGGAAGGCTTTACAAACCGCGTATATTGCTTCGTAAAGGTATAAGTATAAGCGCAGCTAGATTTGGTAGATAGGGCATACCAAAGTGTATAAATTTACCTGCAAGATTCCTTCCAAATCACGGCCACGCTCTGCGATATCACGTTTCACTGCATTGCCATTATATAAGTCCTGTGATTTCGCCAACTCACAAATTCCAATTGTACTTACATCGACGGGCAAGGCGAATGTCTGCGTCAGTATCTACAAAAATCTAGCAATTCAAACCATATATAAGGTAAGTATATACGTGAAAAAGACCATGTAATCAAGATAAATGTACAGTCATTACCTTCAAATCCATTAAGTCAATGATCTTTTTATCGTACAATGCGAAAATTCCTTCGAAAATGATGACGTTCGCTCCATAGACTGTTTTGGTTCGAGTTTCTCGTGAATGAGTGTTGAAATTATATATTGGAATCTCCACTGATTTTCTTTTGAGAAATATGAGACTCATATCAAAAACGAGTAGATAATGATGTTTTGATTTGCTTTACCCTTGTTTAAGTTTGGTCAAACAGTCGAAAAGAGTTTCGAAATCAAAGGCGGCAGGAACGTCGAAATCAAAATTGCTAGTGGGTGAGGTGGTGGGATGAGATCACATGGTCACCACTTTCTACCAGTGGCACGTAAAACTTACTTGGAGTGGGCCAATTTGCTGTCCTCTGGACTAAGAATATTATAGAACGAGTCCATCGATATAATTACCACCCATGGGACGTTCAAATTTTTCAAAATGCGTCTGGTGTGCCTTATGTTACTAATGCAGTTGACTAGTGAGCTATTCCACAGGAAATGGTGACTTACTCAGCAACACTGGTCTTTCCACTTGCACTTCCGCCTAAATGAAGCAAAGGAGAATAGGTGTTTATTTAAGCGCGAATCTCTTATCTAGGACGATTGAATCAGGATTCTTACCAGCTATGCCGATCAAATAGCTCTCTGTATTAGAACCATCGGCACTAAGCAAAAAGAGATCATGGGCGGTTAATCAACGATTATTCATGTTGTGATTCTGCGATATGCTCTATGTTGCCAACTCTTTCATTTGTTCGAATACTCTGCAGATAACTTACTTGTACCACGGACTGGCGTGGGATATCAAGGTGGAGTGGCAAACGGTTAGTACAATGGCGACATGGTGGAGGACATCCCAGCTACAAACTGTAAAATGGGAACTATACCTTCTGCCTGCAGAAGAAATAGTCAGAGTCCCTTTCTCGATTGACATTTCAACGCTGAACCGAGATAACCAAAAAAACAAGGCTGCTGCGTGGCGGCGACCGTGCAGCAAAGCCAAAAAAAATTTCGAGGACCAAGAAATTCATAAATTGAGTTTTATAATAAAAATTGGCATCACACTTAAATTTGGTCTATGACAGGCTTACACGGGGGCATAGCTCCAACTTTGCTCATTTGTAGATCAGACATGCCTTCATCTCGCGTCATTGCGTCTGCGATAGCGCTTTTGGCGTTCATCGCTGTATTTTTTTCCGCATCAACGGAGGCTACTGCCTTGACCTATAATGTAGCTGCCCACGAAAAGGCTTGTTTTTATAGCTGGGCTGATGTTCCTGGAAAGAAAGTCGCCTTCTACTTTGCTGTAAGTTTCATCTTCCCCACCTATATGACCCATCTGGATTGTCGACTACCTAGTAGTACGCGAGCAAGACACGCTGAATGATAGAAACCACTCTGATGGTATTTAATCAATCAGACCTATGTGTCTGATCTCTTCTGCTTCCCCGTCAATGCATATTTAATGCATTGAATTCCAGCATATGTCGGGCAACACAATCAAATTTTACCACGTCATCTTGCAAAATTACTTACCATTTCTTCCCTTGACGCTAGGTACAAACTGGTGGATCCTTCGATATCGATTACTCTGTTGAAGGACCATCTGGCAAGGTGATCTTAAATGGAGAGCGCGAACGACAAGGCGACTATGTATTCACAGCTAATGATGTTGGCGAATATTCTTTCTGTTTTTCAAATGACATGTCTACGTTTGCGGAGAAATTGGTCGATTTTGAGATCACGGTTGAGAACGAAGCAAGACCAAGCTACCAATCCATTGGATCACAGATCCAACCTCCAGAATCCGTCGGCTTTATGGAAGAATCACTATTCAGACTCTCAGGCTCTCTTTCCAACATAGCCAGAACTCAAAAGTACTTCCGAACCCGTGAAAACCGTAACTTCAGCACTGTGGTGTCGACCGAGAAGAGAATCTTCTGGTTTGCTGCTACTGAAGGCATTGCTATCATCGCCATGGCAGGATTACAAGTTTTCGTTGTTCGTAACTTCTTCAACGTTAAGAAGGGAGGAGTTTAAGCGAGGAGTATTGTACTGCCGTTAAAAATAAAAAAAGCAACAAAACACATCATTAACCTAAAAACGAGTTCCAATGGATGCATGCTTTGCCTTGAATATTAATATGTCTTTTTCAGCCCGCCTAATCTGTTGTGGCTGTACTTTTCGGCCTGGCTGGATCGTCGCAACTGCGAGCTTGCTAGAAGTCGATCGATTTCCATGGAGACAGAGGTTATTAGACGTCCATACCATTGGATCATGAAGGAGCTTTCAATCAATTAAATAGACACTACGAAAACCCTGTGGAGCGCAGTTTTGATACAATACCTTTGGTACTGCCAAGCCATAGCAATGTGTTTATCAGGCAGCAATTATTGGCTGGAAATGAAGGCGGGGCCTGAAGGTTAAAAAATCCGAAGTCTTGTTCTGAGCTGATCTTCGTTGCTAATGGATGGAAGTATAGGGACCCCAGGAGGGCAAAATGCTTCTCAAGCATCGTTCACACCGGCAATCCAAAGAAGTGATACAGCTGGAATATCGATGGCAAGTAGCCACAGCTCTCGCCTCGAGATTCATGACCACACGCCTGCAGATCGGCATCGTCCACCACCTAGCGTTATATCACCATTGAGAACTCGTACTCCCAAAATGAATAATCTCAACTTCCCTGGTCCAGGCACTCGCATCCATGCAACAACTACAGCTGCTCAGAATGAGATTTATAAACTGGAACGACAGTTAGAGAAGGTGTTCCAAAACTACACCAGCAGCCATGGGGCTTTTGCTTCGTTTATATCTCAAGAAAATATGTTACTAGAAAAGAGCCAAACTGCCACCGCCCCATTGACAAACAGATTGCTTCATCCACGAAGGCAAGGAACCGCTAACTTACATACCGCCGGACCAAACAATATACCCGCCCAACCTTTAGCTATGAACTCTAAGCAAGCAAGCGCCTTCCTCCTGAATAACATAGCGGAAATTATCAAGAAACACCCAGGAGCCACAAGGCTTCCTATGATGCATGATGTACTGGGTGCTCTAGAAGCTCCATTCTTGGTATGGCCCGTAGAAGGTAAAGAACTTTCTTGAATGCATCTCGCACAAAGCCGCTTCAGCTAATTTGTCATCCTTTCAGTGGATCAATGTAATAAAGCATTGGAAATCTTTGAGTACATAAACTCATCATTTAAGGAAAGAGATCAGTTGGTAAGAAATAATGAAGAAGGGTGGCATGAAACGAATTTTTACTCACTCAGCCTTATTCAGGAAAACTTTCAACTACTGCTTTGGTGCTGTCGGCAACTGAGTGTTCCTGATTTCCAGTTGAAGGTAGATCAGATCATACAATATAAGCGTCTAATGAACTATATGTGCTAATTGGAATTTCTAGATGCGAGTTATCTCCATGGTCAAATTTTCTTTAGCGCCGACCACTGAGAACTCGAAAGCGCTTCCATCCACGCCAAGCGCCATTTATAGCCTGGTGAATATCTTGATGACTGCACTCTTTCACTTACATGACGAAAATGGAAAGGAAAAGAAGTTGGGATACAATACAGACGACAATCGTCAATCGTTCCAAAATGAATACAATCATGTTCGTGATAGTATCCTAGACCTTTTGGATCAGCTGGCTAATGCAGGGCTCATCACGCTAAACAAGGAATGCTGCGAACATTATCTGGGTGCTGAGGCAGGACCTGATTTCACACCCCAGGATGTCAAAAAAGTAGTCAAATACTGTATTATGGAAGGAATCTGCAAGTGTTTTCTCAACAGGCGTGTGCTTCAAGAAAACAAAGTGGTCTATAGCCCTCCTTCTAAAATAGCAGAATCCGTGGATCGAAATACCAGGATGCATGAGCGAAAGTGTGAAGTGCTGTTTGATTTGCTTGAGGTAGTGATTTCGAATACTTGCAAATCCATTTGTTTTTCATTTTCTGATGAATGTTACAGAGATATTGGATTCCCCAAGGTGAACAGTGTGACCCTGGCTTCAAGTCACTCGCCCATCTCTTTTGTTCAATTTGTAAGCATCTCTTTCCTTCATCGTTTTCGTTCAACTGTCATGGGCTGATATAGTACTAGTGTCCGAGTCCGTTTCGATGACCACCGACAACAGCAAGTCTTCGTTGGGATGGTTGGATCTAGTTTCATTTTTCCAGAAGCACCTCTCATTCACGACATTACATACCTGTTTTCAATCAAACGCGGCGGAGCGAGACAAGATTATAAATGACGTTATAAACGCTTTACTGCGCATATTATGTGTGAAGTCAGCCAAGGATTCTGGAGCCAGCCCAAGACTTGATGCACGCACTTACAGTGATGATATTGAGGAATGGAATTCACAAGACTTTAGTGTTCGAAAAGTCAAGCAACCAATATTAGATAATGTTACCAACGAAGTGTTCACATCCACAGTACAGAGCGTCAACTCCTATCTCGATGATATCTGGAATGATGGATTCAACGTCGCAATTACATCGCTAGTCAAAGAGAAATTGCAGCAGACAGAATGGTCATACGTCGTACCCTTATACTCCAACCTTACAGTTAATCGAAACATCAACGATAAGGTTGGCTCAGCCATTGTAAAAGAGACACTTCCTACGCTTTTCCAAAGACTGGTTAGCGACCTGCCCCAAGCAACGCCAGACCTCTGCCATCTCCTTTCAAATCTCGCAAAGCAACACAAGATACAATTTTACAAGCCAATAATCACCTGCATCGCTTCAAATTCTGAAAACAAAATTGTGAAGTCTCTCGTTCTGATTATCAGCCTTCGTCAATATCTTTCTGGTGTCCAAATGTGGATGCGAGATGCTGAGATGATGAGCGTCATCATCCTTGGAGATGTAGGTAAACCTAAAACCGATATTCAGCCAAGTCTTTCATCCACAATACGCCTTGGCGATTCATCGGGCTTGACATCAAGAGTTGAAGAAGTGTCGGACGCATCTTCATGTGTAAGCGACACTGACTCAAAGATAGAAAGCTGGCGAACTACTACTCTTGGGCAGTGTGCTGTCGTAGCAGAATTCATCTGGGCCATAAAAGAGCTTCGGGACCGACAAAAAGACCGCAAGCGCGATATGGAAGACGATGAGATTGCCAAAAAGTTCTTGATCGACTTGGAGCGACAATTGTCAATCATTTTAGTGGCCAAAGAGAAAACCAAGCTGATCCCATTACCACTTAGGGTATTGGTTGCCAACATGTTTCTGGAGATTAGATTCTTCTGCAACACTACACACCGGCCGGGCTGGCTGAGTCGTTCCATCGAATGGTGTACTCATATTCTGCCTGCTTCAGATTTATACCGTTTTGCATCTATGGATGGTCAAGATACGACTGGAGATTTTGCATATAACTTTTCAGCAGAAGATCATCACAACAATGGTCAGCAAAACATACTTTTGGACGATGTTTCTATGATGTTTCAGAGACTGAGGATACTGTATGCGAACGTGAGCTCTCAAGTTGAAGGAGACTTCGATGTATTCGATTTTGATCGACCGGTTTCTGCCTTACCTCGACGACCAACGAATGAACAGCAATTAGATGGTAGTGCGCCAGCCTCGTCGTCCCAGTCTTCAACAGCATTGGATATAGAGTCCATAACAACTGCTCCAACGCCCGTACAAATCCAACGAATCAAGTTTCAACCAACCTCAGCTGCTGGCCAAGCGGCATTGGATATCAGCCCTCCTCCATTGAAAAAAGGAGAACAAGGGGATCCCATGCCGATGGCACAACCAGGAAAATCTCTCATTCTATTGACGAGCCAGGTAGCAAAAAATAGGCTCAATCAAATTGCAGATCTTAATCAAGATCCTTTTGGTTCCGTGCTGTCTTTGCTTGTTGCTGTCTTCGCGACGATAAACGAACAAGAACTTACTGCTTTGGCAGCACCTTTGTGGAACCGATATATGGATGATAGAAAGCACCAGGCATTTCCAGCTGCTGCCTTTCTGTTGATGCAGTGTGGAGAAAAAGTACCAGAAGTGATTGTCAACTTGACGTCCAAGGATTTGTATAGGTACGTGTGCAACCAGGTCATGAAGACTGTAGGATACGAACGAACTAATGCTTTTGTTTAGTGAGAATCCAATGAGGAGGCTTTCTGGGTTAAGAATTCTATCTTCATTGTTTGGCTATCGATTCAATATTCTCACTCAAGATTACATACCGGTCACCTCTCGGCGTTTACCCTTCCGCAGTGGAGCTGGTGCAATTTCGACTCCTTTCGTTTTGACTGATCTGGGAAATAACAAATTTACCCTCGACGAACCTAGATGGATGTCTAAACTCAAGCATTCAGGCAACTTCCCCGTAGAAATCAAGCGTCAGATTCAGGAGTTAGGATGGGACGAAAATGAACAGACAGAAGAACATGAAGCGTTCCTTAGAGAATTGACCCCTCTTACGATATTACCTTTGTTCTATTTGGATGAAGAGGACGGAGCTGCCAATGAGGCTGCTGAAAACAAAGCTGCTACAAATCAACAGCTCATGGGAAACTCTCGAACTTTACAAAAGACCATCAAATCTGCTGCAAAGAACCCATTGTCGAAGCGCAGAGCAGCCACTGTACCAGCTCTCAGCGTTGCCTCCTTGAGCATGGTTGATCTTTTGGACGATGTCAATGGCGGAATCTTCAATGGTACTCGTGAACTCATTGACTACTTTCTGCGGGAAGATCCATCAGTATTCTTACGTGTGTTCTTGGGAGATCTCAGCAAAGCAACGTTTTCCCGCCAAAAAGAGATCTTGACACGTTTGCGTATGCTGGTCAATATGCAAGCCAAACTGCCACCAGCATTTGCTCACTCGTTGTTTAATTTTCTGGCGGGTATGCTCAAGTGGTATGCTAAAGAAGGCAAAGATCAAAGTCTTGGTCTTATGAACTTGGTCCATCCTGTACTGGCAGAGTTAGTCTTCTCGATAAACGATTTGGCTACACGAGATCTTCGTAAGAACAAGATAGAGTATTTGCTGGCGAGCACAGGACATTTCTGGTTCAAAACAGAACAGCCGGCTTCCATGTTTCCCCGTTCATTTGGTTCAGCTAATACCATATTGAGACTTCTTGAAGTTCCTGTGGATGTTTTCCGGATCACCCTCTTGCGCATCAGTCACTACCAATTTCTGACGAATTTCCTCCAACGGTTCCCACGAGAGGTGTATGCGATCAAGAAAACGATGACCCAGTACGAACCTTTGCCAACTTTGGATGAAATTGACGGCATTCACTCTGCCATACTTGACGACGAAGATTACTATATCCCGAAATTAACTAAGCGTCGTCTTATAGCGAACATGGATGCCACTTCAGAGGCTATAGCGAAAACGCATACCAATGGCTGTGATGAATCACCATTGCAAAGAAGACGTATGACTAGCAAACGAGCGGAAAATCTTTTAATGCTGTCAGCTCTTCGTGCACGCTGTTGGATCAAATTTGTGGACAGCCTACTGATTGGTTTGAACAAAAACTTTAATGACCGTGATGATTTGGAGAAAATACTCACTGGTGTTAATAGCATCATCATTACGCACCAAAAGGACTTTGAACTGCTTGGACAGGCTTTGACCCTTTACACCAGAGTAGCATCAAAATTCAAACGCTTGTTCAGCTCCAACCGTGGATACTATATTTTCTTACCAGCATTATTCAAAGTTTATTGCGAGTGTGAAGATTACGTCCCCGTCAGATCAGCCATTGTTTTTGCCTGGTGCCGATTCTTAGCTATTCATGAAGAAGCATTTATTTTCCAAATGCTCGGATGTCTCGTGCCAATGATACTATCTGCTAGTCAGAAATCGTCGGTCGTCGGACAATGTATGGTGGACAATCTTTTTGAACTCTTAAAGTGTATGAGCTCACCACCAAGACTTGGAGCTACATCTGACGTTCTCGGCGTACAGCTTCAATTTGAACTTGATGAACATGGTCGCCTTGTTCAGCAACAGCTGGATAATATAAGCAATCCGATCGCTGTACCATTATCCAAATCCATCTTGAAGCCACTAGCACGATCCATGACAGCTCCTATGATAGCAATCGGAGCATCTAATATCACGGATAAATCGTTCCCACTGGAAGATTCGGTCAAGCTATTCCTCACTATCATTGCTTATGATTCTGGTGCACTTAGAGCGGAGCAGTTTGTTATCATGTTCAGAAACTTGCTGGTCCATTTCATGAAGGTGCCAAGGCTGTCGGAGTTGATTGATGAAGGCATTGCCGCCTTGATCAATGTGTTTTTCAAGTTTGCTAAAACTGCTAGACCATCAAACTCTGTAAGCTCAGCATTTTTCTCGGGAGGCGCTAGTGCTCCGCTTCTGGACTCTTTCGGCAATCCGATAACAAGGAATGATCTAAACGAACGATTGTTTTCATCCAGAATTCCACTCGATAATACCACTAGGGGACCTGGCAAAAACTGGCTGCAAAATGATCGGCTCACGGTCAAAAAGGAATTTGTTCGTCTCGTTCAAGAATATTTTCACCAAGGCGGCAAACTTACTTGGTACGGTCATGACAAGATGGGACAAATCATCAAGCTCATCATCAAGGACAGTGGGACCATACGTGGCTTGATATGTCCTACTGACTGGATCAGAGACTATATTGTCGATACCGTTACGTCCATTGGGGCTGATCCTGAAGGAACAAAGTCAATTCAGGAGCTGTTGCAACACATTTATACACAGTTTCGACCACAGTGGCGGTTCATAGATGCCGCAGATATGTATGACGGTCTGGCTACGGTCCTAGAAAAAAGCTCTGCCAATGCTGTCATCGTTTCTGGCGTTGGACCCATTGCCATCGAAAAGTTTGTGTGCTTCGGGCTGTCCATTGCAACTAGGCACGATTGGGACCCTGAACACCAATCCATGCAAAAGAGATTCCAGCAAAGTTTAGTGCGGTTAATCCTAGCTATATTGGAGAATACGCCGTATGATGTTATGCATGAGATTGAGGCACAAGTTCCTTCAGCAACACTAATTGGTATCATTATCATACCTATATGTCTTCAGTACAATCTCAAAGATGACTACAACCCTTTGGTTGTAAACTCGAGACGTAAAAGCCCCACTGATATTACCAACATCTGGGCTCGACTGCTGGGAATTGTTATGCGCGCCTGTAACAAAGCAAGCATGGGCAAAGCAAAAAGTGGGGGATTTTCATTGTCTGCTTTGACCAACAGTAATGGACAAAACGATAATCTGGCCAACGACGAAACTTTACCTGAGGAAGAGCAGACCATGAGCTCTTCATCGTCATTCAAAATGACGTTTGTTATCGGCTTTACGGCACTGAAAATCATTATGTTGAGAGGCCAAACCGCCTTTAATACCAGCAAAAAACTTTGGCTTCGAACTGCACTATTTGCTCAACAATCTCTAAAATTCGGTGAAACACTTGCCAGATCAAGAACTAGAAGAGGAGGAAATGGAATGCCTGCATCCCCCAACTTCCCCGTGTCACCAGATACTATTTCTCCCGAAGCCGTTACCTCCAACTTCACAGCATCCTTTGAACTCTCTGTAGATCATCAAAGTTCATTTTCTGGAAATGTCATGGCCAACGATCAAATGACATCCTTTGAATATACCCTTTGGACGTTTTTGGAATTCGTCGTTTCCTACAAACAACCTTTGATCATTTATATGAGGACCTTTATTCACCAAAAAATCTATGAAGAGGGAAATATGCATTTACGTCTATCTTCCTCACCAAGAAGAGGTGAATTTTCCCGTCAGTCAAGGGGTTCAGTAGGAAGTCCCATTAGCAGCGACCACCATACCCCAAACCCGTTGCACCGTTGGAGGAGCTGGGGTGGACAAGCACCTCCCTCTGTAACCATACAGAAATCACCATCCCTACTAAGCGCATCTGGAAGTGACCCAGAACAAATCCATCATTTATCTTTAAACTCACCTGTCAGTCCCAGATCCCCCGTAGTTGCTACTTCCAACGCTAGCTTGTCACCAGGACTGCCCGCACACACCCTTTCTCCCGTTCCATCCATTCCATCAGATATACCTGATCATCGTAGTGCTGACTATAGACGACCATCTCACGTATCAATGGCGAATTCATCAAACCAAAGCTACATATTACCAGGCAATGCTGATCAGAACAGTAAATATGCTGCCATGCAATCGCAGGCAGTGTCCTCATTTACTAATGTTCAGCGATCCATGGGATACCAAGTGACCAATACCAACGAATCTCATCCTCCATTACTTGTCTGGAGTAAAGCTTTTGCTCTTGAAAAGCTCACGAGTGAATGGAAGTTCGTCACTCAGACATACCCATATGTTTTCTATTTGAACGAAACCAGACGAGATGTAGACATGTAATTCATTTTTTGTACAGCTTCATGCGCCGTCATTGTATTATTTTGTTATTAAAAAAGGACAGCCATTATTCCAAGACCCAATGCGTAAACGTTTAGTAATGCTTTTGGGCGATTTTTATTCATTCATCATATTTGACACAGTAAATGCTTTATTAGATGAACATCCTAATTTAACGGTAAACCGTCAATTCTAAAGTAGGCGTACAGGATATCAGAAGGATAAGTGTCGTCTTCTGTATTAATTGAATGAGTGAGTTGGTAGCAGGTGTCTGGAAGATCGAGTCTATCCTCCTTACTGGTGTTGGTCTGGCTTCGATTCCAGGTATTTCGTCGACCCTCGATTCGCGATACCTTGCTAGAATCCATTTGTGACCCATCGTAACGTATGCCATGATGGGTGTCGTATTGACTTGTATTCGAATCAAAGTAGTATTCGAAAACGTTACTTGCTGTCCAGGAACCAGAGAGAAACGTCTGTGGTGAGACAGCTTGAAATTGATACCTTTGATTCACTTCGTCTTCGCCGCCAGATCTGCATTGCTCATCTTCAAAGTCATACTCTTGGTGTGTGACCGTGTTCATCTTTTGCATTTCTTCAATGCCTTTATTGTCTGTCTGATGGTGGAACATTTCCTTTTCTTCAATCTCACATTGCTTTGGAAGAGAATATGGAATGGGTAGGCACAAGGTTGGAATGTCTTGACAAAAAATATCTCCTGTATTTACAGTATTTCCGGTCTCTCGAGCGGTCGAAGAGGAATCATTAGCGTGATGCGAAACCAGCCGCTGCAGAAAGGTCTCCTTGACAGCCACAGAGTTACATGATCTTCGTTGTTCATCGGCTGTATTGCTGTTACATTGAAAATCGTTGGCTGGACTAGACGCGTTGGTGGACGATGTTTCAATACTTGACTTGCTTATTCTACTGCTCAGTATGCTTAAACTTCGCACACGACCTTTAATCGATAAACGACTTTTGTTTGACTCCGTACCTGTCGAAGTCTGTGTTCTATACTCGTTTTTTTCGTCCTGTTTCTTATTGTCTCTGCCGGCAGATAAACTATGAGATGAAGAGCGTTTGCTGGAGAGGTCCTGAGTTGTCTGTACACTAAGATAATTGCCCGGCTCGTTATCAGTGCTCGTGCTAGAATGATTGGAAGGTAGTTTGAAATAGCTTGATCGCATTGAGACTGGCGTTTCTGGAAGTATTGAGTAATCATATTCAGTTGACTCAATACTGTCCTCATAGCTTGTTAAGATGTCATCTAGCAAATTGTCGCTACTCTGGCAAGCGTTCTCTGATGGTATTAGGTTACTGTCTGTTTTGAGACCGGTCAGCCAATAAGCTACTGAAGAGCGTCCAGTTGATGAGATTGGTTTTCTGACTGTCAAGTTCTTGTGTTTAATGTCCACATTTTTCAGTTCGGTTGATGCAAGCTGATTTGGTGGATGATCTAAATGCTCTAAGTTCAAAGCTTGAAGTCTGGAATCGACTTGATTTAAAATAAGAGACGTCCGGAAAACAGAAGAAAAGGCAGAATCCAGCGTATCATTTAAGTTGCTTCTTTCGTCAGTTTTCTTCAAAAATGGTGGTGGAGACCGGTCTTCAGACCGCAGCTTGATTTTATGTCGAGTGATACTGAGCATCATGAAGACATAAGTAAAACAGAGAGAACACCAAAAGACAAAGCAGAGTGGGGTTTATTTCACGACCTTCATTTTACACACATCTGTCCTCCATCGATTTAAGTAATTTAGACTGACGATCGTTTCCAATAACCATGCAGTGTGCCGCCGAACCATATGGAGCAGGGATGAGACCGTTGGCCCACACACAAATAAGAACACAAAATGAAACGGAGCACAAGGGACCTTTTATTAAATGGGCTTGTCGTTCTTTACACCAGCAACTTGTCGCATACGATCGATTTTTTAGTATATACAGAAGTAGGACGGATGTCAAGCACATCATTTTGGAAAGGCGGTCTATATAAACCAGAGCTTCCAAGTTCGTGGTCATCTTAGCTCCTGACGGACGTTTCATTTGCCGCGCACCAATGGCGCCAAACTGGCCCCCATCAAAGTGTCACAATCAATTTTGCAATCCGTTTTTTCTTAACCATCACTTGAGGCAGACATGAAAATGATCATATAAAGTCATTCAATAAGGGCAATCTACATTTCTTGGTGGTTGAAAAATCATATCAATTATTGTTAAGTCTTATGCTTGATGAAACATTCAATGTTTGGAGAATATAAAAGAAAGGTCTCCAGCTAAGCAAGCTTCATGAAAAATAGCCATCTAAAGAAAATACAATTCAGCTGGTAAGCCTTCACATGCCATAGCGCTCAGCGAGCACCGTTCTCGTTTGAGGGGGGAGAGTAGTCAAAGCCTGCTCCCACTGCTCTGCTCCAAACATGTTCTTATATCCGACCAAGATCTGATTAAGTAACGGAAAAATTAGCTCCTCTGACAAGATACAAAGTATTACTGCTCTTTCATTTAGCCAAAAAAAAACTTACGTTGCCGAATGCCTCGTGGAGATGCGGTGTAATGGATTGGAAGTTAGCGACGGCGCTACAGAAGAATAATATTTCCTATTTTATCAACGCGAAAAAAGTTATTAGTATCAGTGAAGTCAGATTTGCTTTGGATGAGTCTGAGATTTGGAATGATATGCACCTTCACGACACCTTGTGGGTTAACCTTGATCATTTCGCAAAGACCATTGAAAGCTGATTCCTTTTCCTCATTATCACGAATGTCGTTGAGTGCCTGGAGCCATGCGTGAATGAAAAGTTCCAAATGTGGAGCAACAATCGTAGGACAGACGAAGCCTAATCGACCGATTGTAATGGCGGTATTTTCGAGGAGAGTTCTGGGGGTCTCCTGGTTAAGGACTAGTGGGAACAGTCGTTGCAATAATGCTTCCACATAAGGTTGTATTTCCTGTTTCCATTGCAAAGCAATTTCACCAGCTGCCCAAGCTGCGTTGTTACAAACTGATACATGCTCAAATGTGGGGTCAACTTGTTCCAACAGATGTGGCAAGAACTGGGGCAGAACACTGCGTACATGTTCGAAGCAAGAAATTGCTAGATCACCTAACAAAGCGTATGAAGACTGTCGAACTTCTGGGACGGGATCCTTATAGAATACACCATTGTTAGTTGGGCTATTTTGCCAGAGAATGAAAAAGAACAGCTACTTACGTTTATGCACATCGACAACAATTGGACCAGCGAGGGGCGTGCACTGGCGACCAAGCTTTCGACAGAAGTATTCAAACCTTGTACAATTCCAGATAGTAGATCCAAAGCGACAATCATGAAATCTTTGTCAGGCTGATCAAGAGTGGGGTCAAGAGCAGCAAGTTGGCATCCTTCCAAAGTTTTGTAGACAAGGTTGACGCAACGGGTGAAGACAGGTTCAGCAAATGGCTTGAAGTGGACACCAAGAGCGGTGCTGACTGAGGTCAAACACTAGAATTACATCATTTGATATTAGTTCTCGGCATAATCCGCTTATTCCCATATCAAACAGTAATTACCTCAAGCAAAGGAAACAAATCAGTATCATTGTCTGTCACTTCTTGCCATTTTTGAATCAATGGAGGCATCAACAATTCGATGTAGGCAGGTTCGGCGAGAGCAGGACCAACGTTCTCGGCCAAAGTACCGAGAGCATCGTACAAGATAAGCAAGTTCTTGTGCTGATATTTGCTGAAAGCTGCAGAGAGATTCATAAGAATGGGTTGAAGGTAAGGTACGAGTTCCAAAGTGGCTTCCTCTTCCAAAGTGGCGAAGGCAGAGCAAGCTGCTTCTTGCACTCTCTTATTGTTGTCCAAAGCTCTCTTGAGTAAGCCTTCAACAACTGGCTCGAAGAACAATTTACGACCATCTGGGGTTGCTAAAACATCAACGCACCAACGAGCATAGCGACTGAGAGCCCAGCACGAGATAGACCGGACCAGGGGCTATAGTTGCGGAAATGTTAGTATATAAATATAGATGAACTGCGGTTGGATCTTGGCAGTGTCACTCACTTTGGGATCGTTCAAATTACGGACAAGGTAAGGAACGAGATCAGGCAAATGAGGTGCAACTTCATCCATGCCGCCTTAAAAGCGAAAATCATATTAGTATTCGAGCTCATATATTTTAAGAGGAGATGGTAATGAATGACTGACCTTCAGCAGCAGCTCCGAGAGCTAGAATACCGCATTCACGGTGCTTCCAATCTTCATGGAACAATTGCTCCTTGAGAAGAGGAAGAAGGATTTTGACCAAGTCACCTTCGAATGCAGTAGCAAGGACATCAAGGGCGGCGGCAGAGCACTTGCGCAAGTTCCATTCATCATAAAACTCATCGTCATCGAAATCATCTTCATCATCTTCATCTTCATCGTCCTCTCCGTCGCCACCAGATGGTTGCTTCTTTTGAGGCTCAGCGTTTGTGGCAGTTGTGGTGTGTTCATGTTCGACAACAGCTGCACGATGAAATCTAGGCTTAATATCCTGCTCACTATCTTCAATGTGAGCATCATCTTCATCGCCTCCCAATGTGAGCAAGTCCATCTCGGAATAAACCATTCCTGAGAGCAAGACAGGGATGACTCGAGGTAAGTAGGGACGAAGGTTTTCGCGCAGATCGTCCTGTTCAGCAAAAGCCAACCAGAATTCGCAAGCCTCAAGGGCAACTTGTTCATCCTGATCTTGGGTGGAGAAAAGCATGTATTCGACTACGTTGGGAAGCTGAGGAATAAGGGTATCAGGTCGTACTTCCAGAAGCATGACAAGGGCCGAACAGATGTGTCTTCTGACTTCAGGTTCAGCATCGGAAGCTCTGCTGAAAAGAGCGTTGACAAACTGTTCGATGTTTATCATGAGAGACTGTGAACGCATCATAATGAACTGGTTGGTGGCTGCGATAGCATGAACTCGCAATTTTGGATTTGGGTTGTCGAAGAAAGAAATAAATTTTGGGATCATGTAATTAAGTGGACGTATGCCATCAATATCCTGATCCAAGTCGCGAGGCGAGTCTTCACATATCTTTCTCAACGTATCGAACGCGCCCTAAAAATGATGAAGTCAGTATATAAAAAATTGCTAATGGATGGGCATACTATCCCTATACTACTTACTTCAATAAGATTAGCGTCAGCGCTGTCCAATTTTTCCATCAAGATTTGGAGGATTTGTGGCCAGTTATGAACCTGTCCGCGCGTAACAATAGCAGTGATGACCAAACCAACAGCTTTACGGACGCTGGTGTCGGGTTCACCAATATGTTGAACACAGCACTCCTTTACATATTCCATAACCGGGGGAGGAATGGTGTTGAAATAGGTGCGGATGTTGTTTTTGAGGTTCAAGCCAGCAAGAGTGCGAGTATAAGCATCCTCTTGTGGCATCTGAGTAAGAATGTAGACGAGGTATGAATTGTAATCAGGCACTTTGTTGAAGTACTCCAGTTTCTGATGAAATACCAAAACGATTAGCATTTAAATAAATTCTTAGGAAGGTTCATCTCATGGTCCGAGCAGGAGTAAAAGATCTACATACTTCTGTAATAGCGGTTTGACTGGCATTGGGATTGACAGCCTCCTTCAGTAGCTGCAAGAGATCAGAAAGACCTTGCGGTTGGGGTTGCCACGTTGCCATGATGGACTTTGCTGTAACAAGGGAAAATGAACGGTGAGAACGAGGTAAAGATAATAGAAGTTGGCAATTAGAGACACTGAACTCTTTGAAAGTAGAGTGTCTTTTGGCCAAATGAAATACTCACCTTTTTCTTGGAGGTGGTCAAGCTTGGCTACGACGGCAAACCATTTTTTTTTTGGCCATGTCGGCCGATCTAAGCCACCGACCAAAATGCAACGGCAAGATTGATTGGCTGCTAAGGTTTTTCGCTCAAACCATCGAAAGAATGAGACTGTTTATTGCTTTGCACATGGTTTCATTGTTAAGGGAGGCAATCAAGAACTGAATTTACTATAGAATATGTAAAGTTTTGGGTGAAGGTGTATGTAAATACCTCAAATTTAAGATAGTTTACGCAAGGGCTTTTTGGCACGCTGATCGGTCATCAAAAAGTGCCCTCTTAAAGTAACGTACCACACAGCTTGCACAAATCGTAACCTACCTTTGCCTCAGATGTTAAACATCAAGCTCTTCGTTAAAGTCTAAACTGCTTAGGACACATCGTAAAGGTAATCACTTGTCTAGCCACCAGGCTCCATACGTCATCCTTTGGTAGTCTGAAGCGTGAACACGGGCATGGGAGGTAGTACGATTGTTTCCCAGATCGTTTTCAGCATGGGGACTTGGCTGATCGATGGGAAATTGCGTGATGATGTTTAATATCCCTCTGCAAAACAACCGAATCTTCTTTCGCTTTCTATAGCATACTTTTGGTAGAGATATGGAAATCCACTCTTCCCTACGTATTGTTCATATCCAAAGCTTGGTTGTAACAGTCATCAATACAATTCGTCAGTAGTGATAATCTAACTATACTATTGACCACATTTTCACATTTTCTATTTTTTAAGCCAGTTCCTTCGAAATAAGCCATCAATCGTAGATACATTTAAGACGAGTGCTTTGATTATCCCAGGCATTCCTTTATCCATGCACGTGACTGTTATATCACGTGGGTGGGTCGTGTTCGGACCTCTGAGTGAAGGTTATGGGAGTAATCGAAGACTTCTTACAGGCAACAGTATGGAGGCCAAGGACGCCAATTCAAAGAATGAGAGAGACGACCATCTAGATAGATCCGGAGAGATACCAACATCAGATGACTTTTCTGAATTGAGCACTAGTACTAGTGAGGTCGAAGAAACTCAGGCGACTTCTGGAACGGTGTCTGATTCAGAAGAGAATATAACTATTACATCTAAACACAACGACCAGAATTCCAATACTGTCGGTTTCGAACAAAAACTAGCTCCCAGTGAGGAACTCGTGGATAAAGCTGTAGCTGTAGTTTCTCAGAACGATGAAGACGTGCAAAACTTCAGCAACAATGCGACGCAGGAGGCAGCCGAAGCAGAAAATAAGTTATCCCCAGACAGTGATAGCATTCCCGAAGACCTTGAAGGAGACGGTAATGCTGACGAGTTCAATAATTTTCCAAACCAAGAAACCAATTTCGCATTCAATGAAGACGGTCAGAATGACGACTTTGGTGACTTTGGGGATTTCGACGGACCTGGAGACCTATCCAATGTAGACGACGATTTTGGTGATTTTGGCGACTTTGACGAAGTTTCAGAAATGAAAAATTCGATTGAGACACAACCTGAAGATATTCATTTAGATGGAATCGACAGTTATGTAAGTATTCCCGCGTAATGCGAGTCATGTCACAAACGATTTCTAATACAGCTTTCATTAATTTTAATCAATATAGCTGCAGTCACTGCAGGATGGGGATGTGAGCAATGTGACCGGGTTTCTAGACAGTTTCTTCGACAAATCATTGGAAAACAGCACGCCAGAAAATACTTCAAATTCGATCGAATCAATAATTGGAAGTCCAACTTCGCCAGATCCAATACAGTCGCCCTCTGAAAGGAACTTGAACGAAAGAAGCAGAGCACTCCTTTCAACAGAAACCTCGTAGGTTTTATTCGATATGTAATCTGTTTTACTGTTCCCTTTTAATGACGCTCATAAACCAGCATGGATCTGTGGGACAAGCTCTCTACGGATTCAGTATTCTACAATCCAATCACCGGAGCAGTTGGGCAATTTCAGTGGACAAGATCAGAAATCAATAAGGTGTATCTACGATCTCTTGGAGTCACCATCAATGTTGATGATGTAAGTATAGTAATGATTACGATACGTTAAACGGCTCTTGTACTAGGAATGACACAGCAATACATATTCGATTAGGCTCTGCGTCATTCATCCTCCTCACTTCCTTCATCGCCTTATATGGAGACGGTAAGGTCACCAAATGGAAGGGCAAGTCAGGGAGGCTATCTAGAAAAGAAATCACCCCCGCCGCGGATGGATAGGAAGAGGTCTTCTAAGCATCATCAACACACAAAAGCTAGTTCGCTGTCTGGAATCAACTTACCAGTGCGTGAGATCAATGTTGTTGAGCCTAAAAAGCCGGAACCCGAACCTGAGCTGGATATTGATATAGCGAGAGCATATTGCGAGCTTACGGAGGGTACGTATTTGTTTGGATTAAGTAACTGCCTCTTGACATGAATACTAATATGTCTCTAGATACTGTCCGGGTTTTCCCTGCTGTGAAGCTAACATCTATCATTACTGACTTGACGCGACTTCAACGACAAGCTTCGGACTACTTGCAATACCTTCTTGACCAACGAGAGCAACTGATAATGGACTCAGAAACATACAATGACCTAATTAGCTGTATTGTTGGTCATGCACAGAGATTACGTGAACAGAGCCCCAAGGACGCCAGCCCAGCAATGGTCCAGAAAAAGAAACAAGGCAAGTATTTAGGGGGTACATTATGTGTTGGGCCACATAAACTTTCTCTAACACTTCTTACCGCAGGGTCAATGTCTCTAGGAGGAATTGGTCTAAAGCGGAAAAGTCAGCAAGCTGCCCCTGGGCAGGCTGCGTTTAGTGCCTCCATGGGTGGTGGTGTTGTAGGTATTAAGAATTCGGCTGGCACCGGAACGCGCAAAATAGAGCGAGGACATAGTACGAGCTCCATCCAACCCGTGGCGACAACCTCAACTCCAAGTCAAAATGCAGCCCATAAGGAAAGCTTACATGACTAGACATCGATACCCCTACTCTGAAAAGCAATAGTGTTTTTATTTCCTCAATAATATAAAAAATCCAATACAATACAATACAATACAATAGATTAGCTTTTGAAGATCTTTTCAAAGCCCATGTAAACCCTAGCATTTCACCTTCCAGCTATTTTTTTGCTTCCTTTTCTGCTAAGCGTACAGACGCTGTTCACCACACTAACAGTTTCGCAGCTCCGGCTCGAGCCATGGTATACCAATGACTTCAAATGCTTCTTTTTCATCAGTCACAGGGATGCGATGAGAGTGGCTACGATCTGTGAAAATTCCAAAGCTTGCTACATGCAGTCCCTTTGTCTGAAAATTTTCAATGTATTAGCATCGATGGTTGTCGCCCAACAATACTCTAATTTTCTGTACCTCGGCATATGATCTCAACGATCTCTCAAACTGGCGAGATCCAGTCCATCCGAGTATGGTTGTGTATAACTGGCTAGGAGGTGCAACAAGGATATCGACTTGTCTTAGAATTCCTGTACTTGGTTGCAAAAAGGCTGTGTAGCACTGCACGATAGTGGTGAACATTGCGTCGACAGTTGCAGAGATACCCGCTTTGATAACTTACCGAATCTATTAAATCCTTATTGGCATCTACCAACGATTTCTCTTCAAACCTATTAGCGCTCGGCTCAGAATATCGTAGTTTGTGGACAATGTACCCTGTAAATATGGTTAACTTAGGTGTTACTTGTGGTTTCAGCATCAAAAATTACCTTTGCTGCACAAACGGTCAACTAGATTCTTCAAAAAGTTTTGGTTTTTAAGCTCATCTGGATGACTTAAAACAAGATCAACATCTCCATTGGACTCTTTACCCCGCCTATTGAATTACGCATGAGGAAAAGAAAAGTCACTATGACCTTGTCGACTGTAACCTGTGTATCAAATTGGTACCTAACCTGTAACCACCAACTGGGTAAATCTCACAGCCTGGTAACAGATCTTTAGCTTCTTTTTCTATTATACCAAGAATCTCTTCGCAATCCTTCCGTGACAATCTGCGCAGCTTCATAAGTACCACTGTTTGTAAAATAGAATCAGATCATGTTTACGCATTACCTTTGATTCAATTGATCGAAAAGCTCGATCCCAAGTTTAATAGTCGGTGGCAAGCTGGCATTCTGGTACACTTCATCTAAACTTCGATACCCAGAGTTCCACCATTCCTGGGCCAAGTTTTGGCCCACGCCTTTTCATCAAGATAGTCAGTGATACAGAAACTTGGTTCAATCAAGAGATTGAGAACGTACCCCAAACTTTCAAAAATTTGCTCATGACATGAAATTTAACATCTGATTCTATAGCCTTTGCTTCTGGTATAGTTCCAGTTTTGAGGAAAACTCGTATGGACTCCTTAATTTTGTTCCCAATACCTATTTACATGGTTAAAGAACGATGTGATAGTGTCGATGGGAGTAGGTCTATACCTTTGATTTGTTGTGCTTCTCTGCTACTCCGAATTTCTCTTGGATATGCCTTGATACAAAACTAAATCAGTATGATTGCCTGAAATCATACACATCATAACCTCATGACATTACTTTTAATGCGGCTATTGCATGCCTGTAAGAAAGCGAGCTCATACTTTCACCATTGGTATGCCTTTTCATCTCCAACAGCTCCAATAATCGAATCAGCTCTTTGTTATACTTTGGCTCAAAGGGTGTCGGCCGCAAGCACTCATGAAAAGAGTTGTGGAATTTCGGATCAATATCAATTTCTGAAAATATCCAACATTAAAATAATTGCGGCAAGCTTGATCAGAAATCGCAGGTTACCTTCATCACTAGAATCTGACGTGCTATCTTGTTCAAATGGTGTGGATTTCTCTATGTCATCAGCCGGCTCTGGTGAAGACAGTCTCGGAGGTTTCTGTTCAATGTCGAGGTGTATTGCATAGTTTTTTGTCGACAGTTTCGTTTCCTCCTTCACACAGTCATTAATCCATTTTACATCAATGATTGGCGCCTAACCAAATTAAAGGTAAATATCTTGATGATTCGTTTAGATCAGAATTGGCTATACTATACCTGTGTCGTTTGAATATGGCGCGCAAGACGTGCTGGTGCCTTCATTCCTGTCAGAATCATATTTGCATTCGCTTGATCTGGGGAAATCTCCCCCCCTACAGCCGTTGATAGAAAAGTTTCAATATGTTATAACAATATTAAAAATCTGCCGCAAAGGCTATTACCGTGTGCTTTTATCATATTCTTTACAGTGCTCACTGAAAATGGACCCAACTTCGTCTCCACAATGAAGATTCGCATTCCAGTAAATATTGCCATCGTCAGATCTCGCAGTAACGAAGCTGCACAAGACCAAAAATGTGCTTTTTCCACCTTTGGGTTTACAAACAGCACGTCGTTAACCCTGCAAACGAAAAATGACTTCATGGTTTCGTATCAATGACTAAGTTTCAGACATACTCTCTACGGGAGATTATGAGTAGATTCAGGCTCTACTTTAGGCTCTACTTATTAGATAACGTGAATTCATGCTAAGTATCGCTTTGACAGCAGAAAGTGCTTGCCCATTGCCTTGGCAAGCACTATGTTGAGGTGCTCTTAGTAGATTGCCAACTGTTCTTGCTAACTGTAGTCAACTATATTCTGAATTTTTGATAAATGGCGTTCAGGGTGAAAATATCATTCCCAGAAGATCATCCGTGGCACCAAAACAACGAGTCAACAATCATGCCCGCATAAGACCATGCTGTAAATACCCAACCATCCGGTATCAACTTTTTGTTTATTCTTTCGTGAACTTCCACTTAGCTCGCTCAAAGTACCTTAGTGAATGGTTCTAAGGGATATATCATGGTGAGAATGTATACATGATTGCTTTAGTGTCGGTGAACCTGTGTTCTTAACAACCACCGAGCAAGACGTACCATCATAGATCTAGCCCTTTTGAACGCAAACCTGGTCATGGAATGTCAAAGTTTCCAGGACAGAACCCCAGGCTATACTATGACCAAGATATAAGAGTAAGCGCACACAGGATGCAAATGCTGGCACCGTTTCAGTTTTTGACACCTTGAACTAGGCACAACTTCGCCCCCATGCATCGTCAGAAACACTGCAGAATAATGTCAATGGAAATAGCTACCAGAATCAGTACCTAGCGTATCATGTCGAAGCAGAATACTATACAATCTTCAAGGGTGCGCAAAAGCTTCTGCCCTCGAAAAAGCAACCTCAAAATGATATACCATATTTTGACAAGCCGAAGGAAACTCGCAAAATTTTTTCCGGTGTGAAAGTTGCCCAACCTCGGACCGTAACAAGAAAGATAGATGAAACTTTCCGGGTCAGCAAGCATACATCTGCCGGTCCAAGGAAGATGATGATGTCTCTTAAAAAGAAGAAGACTGAAAATTCTTGCAGCGCTACAACCTTCCATGTTTCTTTGGACAATGCCGACGAGGAGGATATGTACAGTGGCTGTCAGGATGTAGAGGAGGCAGTTAACCTTGATCCACTTCAAGCTAGAAAGCCTGTGAACAAGTATAGACTAAAGAATCAAAAATGGACACGATGGGATGTTGTTGATCGTCAATATCTGTCATTCTCGGACTCAGAAGGGAACAGCGACACTTTCACTACTAGTGGCAAAAACGATGCGACAATGGAAGTTTCACAGCCGAATGAGGAGTATGTACAGGAGAACGGTGACAATGATGTTGAAATATCCAACGCCGATGCGAAGGAAGAAGACGAGGACGACGCACTGCAATCAGATGATGACGTTGTGGGGCCATGGCACGAAGCTACGCCTCCAGTTGCACTACATTCTGTGGAGACTTCCACATTGAGCGGTATGCAAAAAAGTGGTATACTGGAAGAGACAGCTGTACAGACATCGAAAGAAACTCAAGAAATCAATCCTGAGGCCCAGCTCACTAGTGTTTCGAACACTTTTGACATACCAATCTTGAACGCGACAACCGTTGCATTTAGTTCAGCTCTTGTTGCTTTAACAAATGACACTGTCTCCGGTATCGTTGCGCCGAATTCAAAAGCTATCACTGCTAATCGAAAAGTGAAGGTTATGGACACAGTCGCTGCTCGAAAAGCAACCACCAAGGCCAAAGCAAAACCACAGCATCCTCCTACCAAATCGTCCTATGCGATCAAAACAGACAAGAAGATGAAACAGCAGACAGCAAGTAAAGGGAAGAAGGGTAAAAAGAAGGGCAAAAAACAAGTAAAGAAACCTACTCAACCTCAAGAAGAATTTAGCACTACAGGTGCATTCCTGACTAGAGGTACCGCGCGACAACTGGCGGGTCCTTACGGATTTCAGCCTAACCCTTTCAACTACCACCACAAGCAAGCTGTAGAAGTTCTCAATATCAACGGCTGTTGGTACAGTGGCGTGTTAATGGAAATGAATAGTGGAAGAGTCAAAGTTAAATACATAGACTGGAAGGAGCACGAATGGATTATCGTTGGATCTCGGCGTTTGCGACCGGTTGTGGAATCTGCCACTGTAGATGAGGCTGCCAAAGTGGCAGCAAACCAAAATCAACCAGAGTCTAGCTTGGCAGCGGTTGCCACTGAAAATGACGAAACCGTAATTGCATCCAACGCTGACCTGCTAGTAGCAAATCCTACTAATTTATCAAACAGCAATAACTTAACACCTCAAGTTATCAGGGATGAAATTGGATCCGTTAATGAACTGCATATGCTCCAACAGAACAGCAACGATCCTTCAGAAACTAGCTTTCAGACGCCTGAAAGTCCTGGTTCAGCTTTGCCAATAAAGAAGCGAGTAGTAGCAGAGCCAGTGATACACGAGTATAGGACAACTGGAGCTTTTGCAACTAGGAATGCCTTGCGAGAACTAGCCGATCCTCACGGATTTACACCAAACGCATATGGGTAATGTAACGACTGGGAATTCGAATGAGAGAACACTTTTACTGACCTTCTCATCATGACGCAGGTATTCTTATCAATGCAGAGTGGAAGTTCTTAACGTCAAAAAGTTTTGGGAGCCAGGAAATCTTGTAGCCATGGACAAAAATCGTGTTAAAGTGCGTTTTGAAGGGTGGGACGAGGAGTCTGATGAATGGATTACGATGGGCAGTCGGAGGCTGAGAGTGATGGCCCAAGTGGACCAGGAGAATAGTTTGGAAAGCTTACTTGTGCATGAACTCAACCCTGAGTTATTAGACGAAGCAAGAAGGCCAACGAAGCGAAGAGTTCTCGGGCCTGACGACGAGTTTTGGATTACGCAAGCAAGATTGCATGAAGAAGCGGAGCGTAATAAGAAGCGACGAGGTAAACCGAAGGACGACGATGCCTATACTGAAAATGCCCAGGACAGTTTGGAAGCAGCTGATGTAGAAAAGGAAAACAAGCAAGAATTAGCCATGTTCCCTCCTAACATATATGGCTATTACTTGATGCAGCACGTTCATGTATTGCAGATGGATCGCAAGTTCTACGAAGCACGTTTGGTGGCAATGGCCAATGGAAAAGTCAAGGTACACTACTGTGGCTGGAGTAAAAAGCTGGAAGAAGCCGTGACATGCGGAAGTCCTCGCATTCAGTCATGGAAAGGAGGAGACATCAACATCTGTGTCGAGCCAGAATACGTAGCCGGAGCTCAAGTGATACAAAATGTGCCAGAAATACTCCCACCAACGGATGAGTTACAGCCTAGTATACCAAACTTTGTAAGACGTAGCGTAAGGACACGGAAACCTACATACAAGTGCCGCGAAGGTTCTCCCTCTGAATTTTCGTCCGCTACACTCTGGCTGCATCCGTTTGGAGTTCCAGATGAGGATAAAGAGGTTGATGTTCGAAACCATTTGCGAAAGATCAAGCAGCGTTTTATAGAACAACCAGAATATTACAATGAAATGGAACTGGACGCAGACGGAAATGGTAAGTGCTACAGCAACTCAGGAAATGCAGTATGTGTGCTCCATGTTAATAAAGCTTTCGATCAGGAGACGTAGCTGTTGTTGTTTATTGCAAACAGTGTAGAGTCGTCATCAACAAATTCAGATACTATTGTACCTACTGCGAAGCTCCAACTGAAAGTCAAACTATCCAAACATTCGACTTATGCTTAAAGTGCTTTGATCAGGACTTTCCCTTCTGGCATGAACATCCTCGTTCTGGTTTTGCGGTGCAAGCTCTTCTGGAGACAAAAGATGATGCCCTAGAGTACATTTCTCCCTCATGGGAAGAAGACGTCATAGATCCAGATTATGTTCCGGATGCTACTGATGAATGCTTCCAGTCAAATGCACCAATTGAAAGTGATGAAGGATACAAGTATCTTTCGCAATGGAAGAAGCGAAAGATATGCGCCCTTTGTAATGACGATGATACCAGTGCGGATTTGGGTGGATTTGTAGGACCGTTCATTATTGAAACTTTCAACAAGAGAGGAGAAGAAAAGAGGAAGTCGTTTTGGATCCATGACGCTTGTGGAAGGTACTCACCTGAGGTTGTCGTCACTAAAGAAAACAAATGGTATAATGTGACAATTGCGCTACGTAGAGGCCGAGGAGTGGTAAGTACTAGAAAAAAAAAGAATATTCAGTCGTCTTCTGTACATACGTTGCATTAAACGAACCCCATTCCAGAAATGCGCAGCTTGTAAAGAAAAAGGCGCCACTATTGGTTGCTTTGACGGAGACTGCAACAAAAGCTTCCATATACCATGCACACGTAAGCCTATCAATTATTTTAAGAAAGGAGTCATTTTTTGGTGCCCAGGGCATGAAGAATACTATAACAAGAAAGGTAGGTTTTCAACATTGAGTGGAAATAGACAAATCTAAATGGATAACTTCAACTATGACTTCAGACACCTATGTCAACATCTTTCACTGTGACGCTTGCTCTAGAAAAATGGAGCAAAATACTTGGTTCAGCTGTCTACCTTGTAGTCAGGAATATTTTTCGACCTTCGATTTGTGTTTGGAATGCTTTGAGGGAAGTGGACGCTCCAACCACGAGCATGATGAAGATTGTTTTGAGGAAACATGTAAGTGTAATAATAAATATGATATTAGGTTATGGCTTGAACTTATTATTCTTTAAGCCATGGAGATTATAAAAGAAATGGAAGCTCAAGAAGCAGCTGAAAAGGCGCGCAAGAAAGCAGAAGCTAGAGCTGCACGTAAGTCTGGTCTCATTATATGAGCCACTATGGCAATCTATTTTTATTTTCTCATGCGTGACAAATTTCAGGTGCTGCAACCAAGAAATGCAACTTGTTCCCAAGACGGGATCACAAAAAAGGGCTGTATTGCTCTTATTGCAATACCCAAGAAACTGTACGCTGGAGAAAAGGGTTTGATGGTGTCCTGATGTGCGAAGCCTGTTTCGAGTTGGCCTCATTGGACTTGATACAAGATGAACTGCCACTGGTGCTTGACGAAGAAGCCGACCATACCTATGCTGCATCAATTGAAGACTATAGTCATAAGCCATATCTGACAAGGGAAGCATTATCATCCACAAAGTTCGACGACATGAAATCAAATGCTGTTCGCTTAGCATCCTATGCACCTGTGGAACACCAGCTTTTCTCTCTCTCATTCGATAGTACGTATTTCGACATTCCTGGTAGGGCGCCACGCTGGGCATCTCATAGTGGAACTGACTATCATGGCACATGGCTGCCGCAAACTGTCAGACGGTGAGCTAAAATGTAACTTATCATCGATCTGCCCAACGTTTACTTGCTAATGCGCATGTATGTAACAGGGCCATTCTTCGGCATACTCGCAAAGATGACAGAATTTTATCGAACTTCTTAGGAAGAGGTACTGACGCTATAGAATGCTTCCTACTACAAAGACGGTATGTTTTCGAGAGAAATTTTCTTCTTAATTTGATTAGCGAACTTATACCTTGATATCTGTAGCTGCTGTGGTGTGGATATCAACCCTGCTGCTGTATCGCTCTCTCAGAGAAGTTGCTCCTTTGAAACTCCTCCAGGACTGACAACTGCAGAGCATAGGCCAATTATTGTACAGGCGGACTCTCGTAAACTGACAGGTGCGCTGTTTGCAGATGAATCGTACGACCACGTTCTATCCCACCCGCCATACAAGGATTGTGTAGCTTATTCACTACATATTGAGGGCGATCTTTCCAGGTAACAGTTATTGGTGTGTTTTCAAACTGTTTTGAGGACGGTCACTAATTTGGCGTAATTTTTGGTAGATACACAAACCCTCTCGATTTCCAAGAACAGTACGATAAATGCGTCAGAGAAAGCTGGAGGTTGGTTGCATATTAGTAACATGTAATTATGAAAAGCATGACACTATAACATGGTACCTTTAGATTGCTCAAGATGGATCGAAGGCTAACACTTGGAATTGGTGATAATCGAGAACATTGCTTTTATATACCTGTTGGATTCCAGTTGATCAGGTTGTATATTAACAATGGCTTCGAGCTTGAAGAATTGGTAAGTCTCTGACAATGCGATTATATGTTATATTTTCCTTTCTACCATTGTATCATTTTATTTACACTTACTCATCTCAAACACTTCTACATATACATCTTCCTGTCAGATTATCAAACGTCAACGATACTGTTCGGCATTTGGCCTTGGAACTTATCTTTGTGTGCAGTTTGACTTTCTGGTATTTACCCATGAGTTCATTGCAACCTTTCGCAAAGTACCACGCAATTCAAATGATAAGATGGATTCGTTCGATGGTAAGTACCAGTGATATCCTTATTTGCAACGCTTATATACTAAATGTTTGCCGCTTGCCATAGCCTCCAACACAAAGAGCCAAATGCGAATTACATACACATGCAGAGAGATACCAAGGTCGCCCATTGCTCGAAAAAGCGTGGTGATGGGAACCGTATGGCTGTTCAAACCATCCAGTAGGCACTCGTTTGCCCAACTATGTACATCAAGAATGGTCGAGCGGTTTGGCAAGGATGAATCTAACTGGGAACATGTTGAGCTAGAAATCATATCAGATAATGACGACTCAAGTTTAAAGCCGTCCTTGGCAAATATAGCAACTGACTCAATGGTTGTAGAGGATGAAGGGTTGTCTATCTCAAGCTATGAAATCGAGCGTCAGAAACGGATTGATGAAAACCGGCTTGCTCTGCTTCAACTGGTAAGCTCCCTGTCCACCCCTTTTATCCATATCAACGATGATCTAACCTATTTATTCTGCATGGCAGGGGTTGATATCCGACCTCAGTGAAGAATCAAGCGATTTTACACATTATGAAGCCATGATCAGAAAGGCAGCATTGCCTTACCCTGCGCCACTGACAGTCAGGGTTGTGACACACATCCCTCACCATTTTCTCACACCTGATTCCATACCATTATACAGAGAAAACGTGGTTCAAATTGCACAGGATTCTGTGAACAAGCTAGCTGTTGGCGGCATGTTCATCGTGGGCACACAAGACTACAGAGATGATGAAGGGAAGCTGTGGCCAATTAGCATGCTCATCATGGAAGACGTAAATCGACATATAGGTGAAAAAATTCTCAAACTAAAAGAAATGGTGGTTACAGTCCCAGAAGGCTATGCCAAAGATCGAAGCAAGCCGATCTCCTTCGATACGTACGAGCCTGAAGTGTGCTTATTGGATATAGATGAGGCGCAAAAACATGAAATTGATGTACCGATTGTTCATGCTATTTACCTTGTTTTCATGAAAATGGGTCCCCCTTAACGGTTAACAAAAAATAATAAGTCGGTTTGTGATTGATAATAAAAAATTATCAATGTTGCTGCAAAGGAAAGTGCAAACTTGATATGTAAGCTCTCGGGTTTCAGATTGCCGACTTTACCGGAAGGCTTTTTGAGTAGCTGTGTTTGGAACCAAAAACAGAACCACTAAAAAAAAAAAAAGGTGGCAAAAACGAAGGTTCATTCTTTATGAAAGCAATATCACTTTCACCTCAATCAACAGAATGCTTGAAGATGAGCGCCTTTCTTTTAATGAACACCAAATGGTTTGACAGGGTAAATAATCCCTTCGTCTCCCTGTAAGCAAAGCGGCCATCCAATTTCTTAGAGCAAAGCCGCACCTGCTGTCACGTAACCTCACATGTACCACATTAGACAATTTCACCGGCCGACTGAAACTCTGGTATTATTTTAGAAAAAAGGATTTTACGGAGCTTGCTGCAAACAGAAACCGCTGTTATTTTCAACTTGGGATTTTTCTTCTCCGCCTTCCACTCTTCTTTCTTTCTTGACTTTCTCTGTTTGATCATAACCTTCCAACTTAAATCATGAAGTTTGGTGAGGAATTGAAAGACAATGTGTTTGCCCCATGGAGGTTAGAGTATCTCGCATACGACACTATAAAGTATGATCTGAAAGCTCGCCAAATGGACCACCCATGGAATACGGAGGATGAGGCGTATTTTCTACGAGCCTTAGAGTTCGAGCTAACAAAAGTGGATGACTTCGTCTCACGAAAGCTTAGAGAGATTGATAGCCGTATTTCATACTGTGAAAGGATTCTCAACAATGCTCAAGCACCGTCGATCTTCGATGCCATGGACGACACTGTGACAGAAATTCTGTTCGATGTGAACGATCTTACCAAGTTCACCCGTTATAACTACCTTGGTTTCCAAAAACTATTGAAGAAGCATGACAAGTATACGGGAGGCAATATGCGTCAACAGTTTGTGCCCAAGTTTCAAGCAAAGCCTTTGGATAAACAGCGGTTCGATGTTGTCATCGTCCGTATTTCCACTCTCCATGATCTGTGTCAACTTAAAGGAGAAGCACGTACAGGCAACGCTGCTGCAGGTGGTGACCAAAATGCCTTCGAAAGAGCCACTGCCAAGTACTGGATTCACCCAGACAACATCACCGAAGTAAAAGCGATTATTTTGTTCCACCTTCCTGTCTTAGTGTTCAACACCAACAAACCGTACGAGGCTTCTGACAGCGCCATTTCAAGTGTTTATTTCGACAATGAAGATTATGATCTTTACACTGGGCGCCTACAACGAGACGAAGGAGCTGAAGCTATTCGCTTCCGTTGGTATGGGCCAGTCGACTCCCCCAATATTTTTATTGAACGAAAAACGCACCATGCGGCTTGGCTAGACGGTGCTTCTGTCAAAGACCGATTCAGACTCAAAGAACCCCAAGTTAACAATTTTGTTTCCGGAAGCTATACTGCTGATCAAATTGCCGAAGACATGCGAAAAAAGGGTGATATGGAAGAAAATGCTATTTCAGAAGCTCACTTTATTGCTCAAGGCATTCAAACGTCTTTCCGTGAGAAACACTTGGATCCCACGCTTCGTGTCTTTTACAACCGTACAGCGTTTCAGATTCCAGGTGATCAACGTCTGCGTTTATCATTGGATACAGACTTGACGTTTATACGCGAAGACAATCGTGACGGTAGCCAACGACGAGATCCTAATAATTGGAGGCGGGATGATCTAGGTATCGACCACCCATTCTCCTATGTTACACAACAAGACATCTTGCGCTTCCCTTATGCTGTTTTGGAAACTAAACTGCAAACACATCTTGGTCAAGAACCTCCCGAATGGCTTACCAAATTACTTGAGAGCTCTCTTGTTCATGAAGTTCCTCGATTTTCAAAATACTTGCACGGTGCTTCTCACTTTTACCGTGATTCGATGCCTCTACTTCCCTGGTGGCTGTCCGAAATGGATTTGGATATCCGGAAACCAAGAAGTAATCAATTCGGTTTAGCCAGATCCAAGAGTCTCAAACCCTTGATTGATGGAAAATACCGAATGGGTTATTTAGAATCACAGTTGGAAAGAAAGTCGACGTTAGACCGACGTAACTCGAAACCCACCAAAGATATCGCAGCCTATCGCCAAAACAACAATAGCACGCCTATCGATGAATCTATAACGATTGACATCTTTTCGGATAATCATCCGAGAGATTCACACCCCTTCCATCCTCATGAAGATGATCACTTGTACAGTCGTGAAAGTGGCAATTATTCCTCTGCCATGCTACTTCCTCCATACAACAATGACACTTCTGGGTTTAGAAATAGAGGCTTTTGGTCTAAAGGTGACCAAGGATCAAGGGAGAACCTTGTACCGATGGAGGACCTCAGTTTACCCCATGACAACAACGAAAAACAATGGGACGGCAAAGAAGGCGGTGGTGGTGGTAAAAAGAAAAACAAGAAGAACAAGAAGGAAAAAGCTGAACTCATTGAACCGAAAATCTTCTTTGCCAATGAACGTACATTTATTCACTGGCTTCATTTTGCCGCTCTTTTGCTGACTACGGCCCTCACCTTGCTCAACTTTGGTGACAAGACTTCTCGCATTGTTGGTGGAGTGTTCATTGGACTTGCTCTTGGTATCTCTCTTTATGCTCAGTTTCGGTTCCAGTACCGCGCATGGCAGATTCGCCACCAAGGCCACTTGCGTTTTGATGATATTTATGGACCTGCTGTGCTTTGTTTCCTTATTGTTGGTGCTCTTGTGGTAAGTTAAATAAGTTTCCTACGCACATGGTTGACGTGTTCTTTTTAAACTCACTGTATGCGCTACTCTTTCAGCTCAACTTTGTCCTACGATTTTCGGCTCCTCCACCAAATGGTAGCTATCTCGGCGTTGGGAACTCCACAGCTGGCACGACTGCCTTACAAGGAACTGCAATGGCAACAAACACTGTTTCAAACATTGCGACCACCGTGTCAAATACTATGGAGAACTTAATTCCAACTACCACAATGCCTGACGCGTCTTTTCCCGCAACGACTAGTGTCGATGATCCTGCCAGTACAACGGATCCTACAAGCACCGACGACTCTACAAGCACTGACGAATTTGGAAACCCCATAGCTGATGGCTCATCCACGGACGCAAATGGCGACCCGCTTCCAACCCCGTAAAAGAAGATACCAACAAGCATGACGCACGCCTGCGCCTAATTCCCAACAATCGGCGCAGCTCTCCGTTTTGCCTATCCAACTAGATTAGCTCTGCTCTTTTATTTTTTTCATAACTGCATTTTGCATTGTCATATTTTATCGATCTGTAAGAATCAGTCCTAGCCAAACCACACTATAGCATAAACAGTACGAGTGTGGTATGTATAATAAAACACTGGCTCAAAATGATATATGAAATTGAGAAACCCCTTGCGATTCCCACCTGTAGACCAACCTGCCAATTATAGACAGGATGGGAGCAGCCGTCAACGTTTGCAAAATGTGGTGGGTTTTGAATTGAGACACGGAAAAATTTTCAACGTCGTTTCGCTTAACAATCAACCCATTTTAAAAAATTTGTAAGAGTAATAAGAACCGACGGGTTTCAGTTGATGCGTTCTGATGCTGGAAAACCCAGTTCGGTACCGACAGTTCTTCCGATACCACCTCAGCTACATCCAATGCCAGCTTTTGCCGAAGTCTGGATGCCTGTGTAACGTATGGAAATAGTGACCTCAATGACTCTTTGCTTACGAAAGGTGCATTATTAACCGATAAGGAAGACCACACGACCTCGCGTGGGTCATGTACCGGCTATTTTTTTTTTTTACTAAAGCTGGGCTGACGGAGCCTAATGTCTGTGTTTGCAAAACCTGTGTCAGTTTGATCATTACTACAGGCCAAAAATAAAGAGATCGTTTTGACTAAGAATTAAAAAAAAAAAATTATATTATCTGTCATCAGAGACCCGCTTATATCTCTAATCGCTTTCTCAATCCTTGTGTCTTATCCTCCTTCTTCTTCTTTAAAACTTCGTCGGTTTACGCATTTCTCTTTCGGCTTTATATCTCAATCATGAAGTACGGCAGCGAACTCCAGGATAACGTTTTTGCTCCATGGAGACTATCCTACATTGCATACGATGTGCTGAAAATGGAATTAAAAACTCGTCAACTCGACCATCAGTGGAATGATGCAGACGAAGCTGATTTCGTAGAGGTTAGTATTTCATCATAAGTAGTTGTGAAACGTATGACATGGTTGGCTAAACCCTCACCCAAATCCACAGTTGCTGCATAATGAATTGAACAAGGTTTACGACTTCGTTACCGCCAAACTGAGGGAAGTCGAAGCTCGTATCACCTACTGTGAGAGAACCATCGGTACTTTTCAGAAGAACCCCACTATGTCATCTGAAGCCAATTGGGGCATCATGGATGATGCACTGACCGAGGTTTTATTCGATGTAAATGACTTGGCTAAATTCACACGAGTCAATTATATCGGGTTTCAGAAGATTTTGAAGAAGCACGACAAGTGGACCAACCGAAGCCTGCAACATAGCTTTGTTGAAGCTCTACGATCAAAGCCGTTGGATAAACAGCGTTTCGATGTTGCCATTGTCTACATTTCTTCATTGCACGATCTTTGCCGTCTGCGCGGTCAGCCACGGAATGGAAACTCTGCAGCCGGTGGCGATCAAAACGCTTTCGAAAGAGCGACTTCAAAGTATTGGATCCATCCAGATAATGTCACAGAAGTCAAGGCAATCATTATGTTACATCTTCCTGTACTGGTCTTCAATCAGAACAAGAAATATGAAGAAAGTGATTCCGCTATCTCTAGTGTATACTACGATAACTATGACTTTGATCTATACACTGGAAGACTACAACGGGATGAAGGCGCCGAAGCCATCCGTTTTAGATGGTAAGACCAAAGTGTTGTAGTAAGGACTAAAAAAAAATTTTTTTAAAACCCATTGTTAACGTTTTTATGTTTTTGTCTCAAGGTATGGCCCATACGAGTCCCCAAACATATTTATCGAGCGAAAGACACATCACGCAGAATGGTTGAACGGAGCTTCCGTGAAAGACCGATTCCCATTGAAGGAGGACAAAGTCAATAGCTATGTTGCTGGAGAATATACTCCGGAGCAGATTGTCGAGCAGATGAGAGCCAAAGGCACAGCCGATGAAGACACTATAAACAGCGTCAACTTTATCTCCACCGGAATTCAAACTTCTTTCAAAGAAAAAAATTTGACTCCCATTTGTCGTATCTTTTACAACCGTACCGCCTTCCAACTTCCTGGTGACCAAAAACTACGTATTTCACTAGACTCAGACATGACTTATATCCGTGAAGACGATCTTGACGGCGTAAAAAGACGAGACAATAATAACTGGCGACGCACCGATGCCCATATTGATTACCCGTTCAGCCATTTGCCAAAAAAGGATGTATACCGATTCCCTTACGCTGTGTTGGAAACCAAGTTGCAAACCCATCTTGGACAAGAACCCCCACAATGGCTTACTACTTTGTTGGATTCACATCTTGTTCATGAGGTACCTCGTTTCTCCAAATATCTCCATGGCGCATCCTTCTTCTATGGAGAGCGATTGCCACTTCTTCCTTGGTGGCTTTCCGAAATGAACACGGATATTCGCAAGCCAAGATCTATGAATGCTGGCTTATCCCGTTCCAAGAGTTTCAAGCCTTTGATTGACGGGCAGTATCGTCATGCCATGGAAGAGGAGGAGCGTCGCATGGAGCGTCAAGAGCGTACAGCCAAGTCTGTGGCTGCCAGCGATGGATCCAGTCTAGCTGGCAGTACAGTGCATTCGCAAATAGCCGGCCCTCCATCTATTACCATCCAACCCGCTGGTAACGTTGATGCTTCCAAAGCCAAGTCGTCTAAAAAGGCAAAAAGCGGAGGAGACAACCTGTCTAGCACTTATTCACCTTCCATTGGAAATAATGAAAAGGGTGTGATGTATCGCGGAGGAGCTGTATCGCCTATAGAAATCGAACCCGTAGGAGAAGCTGTAGCCATTGACATCGTTGAAGAAGATGGAAATGGAAAAGACAAGGGCCCAGTCAAAAGGAGAGTCAAGGTCAAGGTCGAGCCCAAGGTTTTCTTCGCTAATGAACGTACATTCATTTCATGGTTGCAATTCTGCGCTTTGCTACTTACTGTTGCTCTCAATCTCCTCAACTTTGGTGACTTCGTATCCAGAATTAGCGGAGCTCTTTTTATTTGTATAGCTGGTGTCATGTCCATATATGCGTTGTATCGCTTCGAACGCAGAGCTTGGATGATCAATCGCCAACATACCGGCCGTTACGACGATATCTGGGGACCTGCCGTCCTCTGTGTCTTCTTGGTGGCAGCATTGATCGTCAATTTCTACCTCAGATTCCGATGATAGCATCGAGACCCACCTCGAAATCTTTTTGGCATACGTTTTCTTTCTTTATAATTTTGTTTACCATCTACACATCACCCTATATTTAGGACATTATCTTCTTTTGCTTCTGTCCTTCATCATGTCACAAAATCCAATTCCCCACACGCATTTTTTGTACATCCAATTCTAAAAAGTATAATAGCCGAGATGATTTATAAACAGTATCGGACAACATGCATTGTTCTCAGTTGAAAAACTTCCGATACATAGTGATGATACATTGAGTGATGATTGAATCCGTGCATCAGTCCAATGGAACAATGTCCCGTATTATCCAAGTGCAATGGTACAAATGTTTCATAACACGAAAGTAGATTTATTGCTAAAAAGTGAGACTGCATTGATCTCAGTTATAGAACGTCATGGTAATACAGCAAAGTTTCGATCTAGTCTATGTCAGTCAGGTTTATATCCTCTGCTGCTTGTTTTCTGTCTCGTATATTACCATGTTCCATCTTTTGCACCGTCGAAGTGAGCTTTATCAGCTCATCACAAGAATAAATCCTCCTACGTATATGCCATGATCTCAAGAACAAAGATAGAGAATATCACCAGCCTTACCTTCAATTTCATTAACATTACTCTCTACATATTGATCACCACCGCTGCTGTAACAAAGTCTATTGGCGGTGACTTTGCAGATATTGTAGTATGTGTGTATACTGCGTAGGTTAAATTCACCTAATCACTGCAAAAATCCGAATGCTTTGGTGTAACATTTCCCCCACCCCTTTGTTTCAAATAGAGTCGCAACCACGTTTCTCATTCTTAATGAGGTACGGTCGCCGGCATTCGTTGACGAGTACTTTCGCTTCTTGCGTATAAATCAAGGACGTGGTTTACTCTTTTTATTGTAAGTGTTGTATGTTGACCCGCTGTATACAAAGAAAAACAACCAATGGGCTGACGGAACGATTTAGTTTTGGATGTGTGATACTGGACACCAAGTCATTCAATATCATTGTGGGCATTCTCAGTTGGACTGTGGGTCTTCTGTACCTCATTATTTCGTTCGCTCCGGATCGATTCAAGCCCAATACACTTATAGTCAACTGGCAAACCTGGAAGGATTTTTCTGCGGAAGGTCTTGATCTTGCCAACCCAGCCACGACGCCAGGGCTATCAATGGCATACACCTCACCGCATGCAACTCGAGACTTGCTCAGTCCCAGCAAGAATCGCTCATTTCTTCACGTAGATCAAGCTCGGTCATCTCCTATCAGCAGCCCGGTTAAAACTCCAGTTGTCGCTGCATCCATACGCCATCCTTCATATTTCGGGAGTGATCATACTCCAGATCTGTCCATCATTGATACCATGAGGTCAATGTCGCGCAGTACGAAGTGATCCTTCCAATAACCTAGCGTTATTGCAAACGCAACACTCTCTGGAAGAGTCTCACTATACCACTGGTTCGGGGGGGGTTTTTTTTTTTTTAGAAATGTTTCAAAATAAATACAATCCAAAGACGTTTGATAAAGATCTAATTGATGCTAAGCGCTATTATTAAGCCTGATGGTCAAAAAGGAAAAGGAAACAAAAAGAGAGTATGGTATGTTACATGGCACAATGCAAATGCGGTACACACGTAGGTGCTGAAAAGGAAAGGAACAAGCTTTCAAAGAGCATCAAAGTTCACAATATGCAAAGCCTTTCGTCGCTCTAAACGATCCTCTCGCTTTTCCATCCAATTAAGCGTTGCAACTACAGTTGCCAAAATGGCAGCTGCACCGGCTAAGGTGACAAAGACCCATGGGATGTAATCTGCTGGCTGAATGTAGAGTTCTACTTTCCATCTGTAGAAGAAAGCGTCAGTTGTGGGAGCATAAAGATGAGGAAGATGAAATTAACTTACGTAGAAGAATCCTCAACACCCTCTGGTTGGTATGGAATGAAAATTAGTTGGGAGTTGGGGATAACTCCTTCGTAAAATAGATAATTTTGAACCTGTATTCAAAATGTTGATAGTGTTGGTTACTCTTGTTCTTCATTTAACAAATACAACATAATCTTTTGTCGAGTCAAAGCCTTACCTGATGTTGAGTGGTACCAGCAAACATTTCCTCAATATAATTGTTGGTGCGGCCCAATCCAAACAAGCTGTATGGAGTTTGAAGGGAAAGGTATCCCGTCTGTGAAAGTTGAGGAACTGTATATATTTCATAGATGTGAGCGCTCCATTTCCCAAAACTTCGCTATTTCGTTACCAGTAACATACCTTGGTGTACACGCTTTACGCCGGATGTGTCAAGCACCGTAAATTTGAACGTTGCTCCAGGATAATTAACACCGTATGGCTATCGACAATGCAATGTTAATAAAATCAGGGACATTTCATTCTAAAGAGCAATAAGCACAAACCTTTGGAGTTGGAAATCGCGGTTCATTAGGGCAATAGCCTGGGCATACGCCGTTGGAAACTAGTGTACACAAATCATATGTAATGTCAATCTTTCTGTGTAGACTAGTGAGTTACCAAGCATGGAATAATCAACTTACCAAGCCCTTTCAGGAAGAAAGCATCATTAAAGTAATTGTTCAGTACAAATTGTGCTTTCCTGCCCAATGATGAACTGGATCCCTCCAGTTGCAGTACAAGTATGTCAAGCGTGCCCTAAATACGTTGGTCAGACTATGGCTTGTACGCATACTTCTCACAAAAATTTCACCTACATCTTCAGCGATATCGAAGAAAGCAGCTTGCCTCGGGTTGGATATGTCACTAGTAATGGCATCGGCTCCACTGGTGACAATTTTGAATGCTCTACGATACGCATTTGTAGCGGGGGCTGGGCATCGGCCATTGTCGCAACGAACAGACTCGAAAAGTACCACTCGCTTATTTGTGACGACGAGTAGGTCCGGGTATCCGTCCAAATTATAGTCCCCTTTAATGATAGGGTTCTTTCGGTTAGTCATGAGTAAAAAAATGAAAGCTGAGTATGTTACATACCAAGTCGAATGGGTACTGGCCAAGAACCCTGAAAGCCAGTGTCATCCGTGCGGATATATTCACCATCATCCAACACACTACTCATATCAAACATCGAATATGACTAAAGACAAATGAGTAAGCTGTATGTTTCAATATTGAAGGGTTCCGAAATTTTCATCAGTTACCTGAGTATGACTACTATCAAAGTCAAATTTGAAGTCTGGGTCTGCAACACATAGGTTTCGTGCTTGGCGACAGGTGGTTGAGTTTTGGTGGGAATCTTCAGGCTTCGCGCACAATGACATTTGTTGATTATAAACAATATGGATCTGACATTTTGATCCACTGCACACAGGAAACAATATATCGATAGATCCATCGCCATCTAAATGAAATGATAATGTCAGTTGGTGCCGAACTACCGTGTGTGATTTCTATGTAGACTGACCTATATCGGAGAAGCTTAGAGGACCAGCCCCGTTCGGCAAGTTTGCTTGTTGAACCATTTTGAAGCCTTGTTCGCGATTGTTGACCCAAAACTGCACACTCTGCTGTCCATTCGATCCAGTGCATGTAAAAACGAGGTCTGACGGTAAAGATAAAACGTTAACATGCGTGCTTGACTCTATAATCTCATCCTTCACGTTAGTAAAAAGACGCCTGCCTTACCTGCAAGACAATCACCGTCCAAATCCAGAAATGCATTCGAATGGGGAGAAGACCATACGCACTTCTGGGAATCTGCTGTGTCAAACAATTTCTCAGCGGACGAACTAATAAAAGAAGATGTCTCATTAGATTAACGTTATGAACCTAAAACAATCGTAAGCATTACAGCACTTACACATTGAAAAGGGTGGTGCTATTCGGGTTGGCCGGATCTGCAATATTGGTCCAAATGGACAATGTAGGTTGTGATGATGTATCATCCCATGCGTATCCTAATATATCAGGCTTCATATCACCAGTGATATCTGCTACCATGGGCTGAGCTGTCTTTGCTGAAGGAAGGCTGATGTAGTCGGAATCTACGAGTGATTGAAGATAGATTTATTTTCAGCTGGTTGGACACTTTGTCGCCAAATGTAACATGCATCCTCATTTTACCTATTGTATCATTTCCATTCCCCTTGTAAATTCTCATCAATATCTCATCATTGGCATGCGATGGGTTCTTGCGTCCCATAAGCAAGAGATCAAGCTTGCCGTCAAATGTAAAGTCGCCAGGAATGATATTTTCTATCACAAAATCGGTGTTGTGGACTTGCGGTGCGTTCGGTAACGCTTGAAAGGTAGAGTTGACTAGTAGAGCCTTTAGTTACAGGCTGGCTTTTCACTGTGAATTTGACATGCAAGCTACATACCATGATTCCAAGTGTACACTGTTACGGAAGCTTGATCGGTGCCAAGCACAATTAAATCAGTGCTGTCGTAAACAAAATACTCGGTTAAACTCTTTCTTTGTTCCATAATAGACATAGGTATCACATAAACATACTATTTGTCGCCATTGAAGTCTCCAAATGCTGCAATGGTGCCTGCCAAGTTATCAATGCCGAGACTGTCTGGCGGAAGCTGGTAGAGCTTGCTTTTTGGAAAGGTTGATGGGTATTGAAATGCGTAAACGGTGCTGAAGAGATTTGATATACAACAACATAGAGCTAGTGCCTGTGTTATTGTAGTGCTAGACCTCCACCGTAGCATGATTAGACGACGATGGGCACAAAGAGCTTGGAAAGTATCAATGCCAAAAAGGTGAGGTATGTTAAACTCCGCCGAAGTTTAAAAATGTTTTTGCTGTGCCAGCCCAAAAAAAAGCGATCTCTAATCTCGTGCATTCAACAATAACCTTTGCGATCTCCCGGAAATGCGAGTTTGTTACTACGAGTTACTCAACGTAGCAAGGACTGCTTCACCTGAAGAGTTAAAAAAGGCTTACAGAAAGCAGGCTTTGATATGGCACCCTGGTAAACCTCACTTCATGAGAGTTTAATACTCAGACTTTACAACCTCGATACTGACAAATCCTATTAGACAAGAATGCCCATAGAATCCAGCAAGCTACCGATCAATTTGCCTTAATTCAAGAAGCATACGAAGTCCTATCAGATCCACAAGAAAGAGCATGGTAACGATGGTCGCATTATGATATGTATAGACGTAACTGCCAGCGTTGTACTGACGATTGCTTTATTTGATAGGTATGATGGACATCGAGACGCCATTTTACGAGGAGATGACAGTGTTGGCCAGAAAGACAGCTCAGCCGGGACGACAGTTGACGATCTTATGGGATACTTTAGTATATCTCAATATCGTGGATATAACGATGATCCAAAGGTAAAGCTATTGTTATCAGCATATAATTGGGATCGTCAGTTTGACTAATCCTTGTATTACATAGGGATTTTTTCATATCTATAGAACGCTGTTTCAAAAGTTGGAGGACGAGGAAGAGGAAGCTGTGGCCTCTGGAGCGTCGGACGAGGTTCAGTCTTTTACACGATATCCATCATTTGGTTCTTCAAGCACGCCGTTTGCTGACGACGACGGTTACCTTGGATACGGAGCTTACGTCAAGGACTTTTACAATGCTTGGATGACCTTCTCCAGTGCAAAATCTTTCCAGTGGGCAGACAAATGGAGGCTGTCTGAAGCTCCCAACCGATTTGTAAAGCGGGCAATGGAGAAAGAAAACAAGAAAGCTAGAGAAACCGCTAAGAAGGAATACAATGATACCATTAGAGTAAGTCAATATACAACTGGCGACATGTAATTGATATTCACTGCTAACTTCTCGTTATCGTGCAGAACTTGGTGGCTTTTGTTCGAAAACGTGATCCACGATACAAGGCGTATCAGGACCAGCAGAAGGCGAAAAAAGATGCGCAAGTGGCAGAGAACAAGGCAAGAGCACAACGAGAACGCTTAGAATTGCAGGCAAAGGCTGCCGCATACAAGGAACAAGAGTGGGCCAGGGTTGGCGAAGAAGCTGATAGTGTATCGGAAGATGAGGACGAGGACGAGGACGAAAACGGAGACTACGACGATGCATTTTATTGCGTGGCATGCAACAAGTATTTCAAGAGCCAAAGACAATTCGAAAACCATGAGCAAAGCAAGAAACATATTAAAATAGTACAAGATCTTCGGGAACAAATGCTTGCCGATGAGGAGAATCTGGATTTACAAGCTATTCCACTGCAAATGGATGATACAGAAGAGGGAGAGAGCATCGAGCCGGTGAATTTAACAGACGTCGGTGAGGAGATTGCGATTATTCAAACAGAGCCTCTGGATGTGGTTTCCGACGACGATTACATACCGATACACCCAGCCCCTAAGAAGTCAAAAAAGAAAGCGAAGAAGAAGGTTCCTAACTGGGGATTTGATAGTGAAGAACTTAGCGAAAGTACTACGCCGAATTTGGATGAAGCATTTGTGGAAGAAGATCTTTCTACCCTAGCGGCCAGACTTGCACTGGGTCAGTCCGGTAGACGGAAAAAGGGAAGCAGAGTAAATACCCCACGACAAATGGACAGTGATGATGAAAATGGATTGTCAACACCTAAACCCGATGGCGACCTTGGTTCTCTGAATAGCAGCAATTCTGAAGCCACTCCTGTTAAAGAATCGGCCAAGGCAAAGAGGGAAAAGCGTAAAGAGAAGAAAAAGCAAAAAGAAGAGGCTGCAGCTGCTGAGGTAATTTTTGCTAATGCTTTTAGTTATTAACGTTACATCACTAACATTCTTTCTTACAGCAAATGCTGAACTGCAACGTTTGTGGTGAGGATTTTCCGACGAGAAATTCGCTCTTTACCCACATTAAAAGTACAGGACACGCACTCGCTGCTCCAACCAAGTCAAATAGAAGGAGGTGAATGTAAAGTATTGTGTTATTTGGTAATATACAATTGTAGTGTACTCTAGTCTAGTGCTGTTGTTGTCTTGCTCTTAAAATCAGCAAAATGTTTTTTCTTTCTATGTACGAGTCTTCAGTCTATCGTCAAAGACGCTTGCATCCTCAAATAGAACTTTTGGTCGTAACGGCCACTCTTCAAACTTGCGAGCCACCTCATCAATTTGTTCTACACTCAGCTGTCCTACAAGAATATTAGGGTCGAATGATAGTCGTGATGTGATGATTTCCGCTCCAGGGCCAAGCGTCCTTGATCAAGTTAGTGACAGTGTTCAGCTTCTTTAATCAAGCCATGTTTGCATCTCAACTTACTTGATAGCCTTTGAAAGTTTTTGCTTCTTTGTAACAAAGATGTGCCGCAATACGTATTCGAAAACATCCCAATCAGCTGTAATTACAGTTTAGTGTCATGTTGCAGCATTAAAGTTTCCAGTTTGAAGTGTACTCACTTTGTATTCTCTTTTCAGCAAGTGGCACAATATTAAGAAGCTTGTAGTCGTTCTACAACAAAGTTCATCAGTACAACGATAAGTGAGATAACATCATACAAAGCAGTGATATTTACAGGAGGATAAAAGTTTTCGGGATCGGGGGTATTGATGACCGAGATGTCTGCGCTGGCATCTCGTACGATACTCAGTTTACATCTTGCAGCGTCACCTGGAGGTGCTGCAATTTTCTGGGCCAGGAATATGTTAGTCATAAGCAGCATTTTTGTCGTCGGCCAAAGCATTGCAATACTCACGACGTAGAGAGATGTGGGGATCCACATGGCCATCTGTATTCGTCCAAGGCTGTGTAATGCCATTTTATTGATAATACAGCCAAATAATTGCGCCATGAGCTGCTCGCCTTTGACACTCTTAGGTATGGTTCCCGTATACAAGATCTCCTTGTGAACTATTGCCCAAGTAAATGTCATGTCAGTACGATGACACTGCGTATATCTCGCTAAAGCAAAGTTTACCTTCAGACCAATCTTGGTTTTCTTTGGATCCCAAGATCTTATCTTCTTTCAATTTCAAATAGGTCGACCAGTCGTACCCATCAAGATCCATGGCCTCAACAGCACCATCTGACTCCTTTGCGAGTCCCTACATCAAATTTCTCTCCAGGTTAACATATGGTCCTCGCTTTCAAAAAATCGTCTGTCCTCTCTGCTTACCGATATATAAGGGAAAAACTTATTATGTGGTTCAAGTGCTATGACCTTTTTAATCCCTCCGTTGACCAGTGCAGCCGTCCATACACCCACACCTGCAAGTGGTGAACATCGAAAGTCAGCTAGTGAACTCTTTGAAGGAACTTGATATCGAAGTGGCATATTGGTAAAGAATGTCATATAATACCTGGGTAAAGTTCAACTGCGGTCATCTTTTTGGGGGACTTCAAGTTCAATTCTGCCATTGCTCGGTCTATAAGAAGAATGAGGTGTTGGAGTCGGTACAGGTGAGGAGGTCAATCGCTAAGTGAAATCTTACCAGCGGTAGAAACACTAACTAGATTCAGGCGAATGGCCGACTTGGAGCTCACAGTTGCTTTGAATAGCTTGGGCCATTGCTTAATTGATGGGACATTTGGGACAAGTCTTGATAGTGACATGTCGAAGTGGATCAATATGCTTGGGACTCCTTTGTTCCTAACAATTTTTTTTTTTTTTACAAAGCGGAGTTCCTTACAACAAACGGTAGAGTGAGGAAGAGAACAGATTGTCAAATCTTTCAACAGTGCTGCAAGCATAGTCATTCTTTGTCTATATGGCTACATATGAACATATCGAACTTGTAGCCATCCAATTTCGCATAATGGTATATTTACCGTTTACGATGTTTGGAAATCTTTTGTTTTATCGCACATGAGTTAGGTGGAGGGATTTTCTATTCTACATTGCTATTGGTATATTAATTATATTAAGTGATTACATGGTGTCCCTGGTTATTAATGTTAGTTACTGAAGTCGGATCTGCAGTAAGTGAAAAACTCGATTTCACTCAGTATAGTTCCGTATTTGTCTGAGTCGCCGTTCTGTGTCATGTCAATGTATCTATCCAGATTCATTTGTACACCTAGAAAAAAAAAGATGGCTTAGTACATTAGCTGAGAATTAGAAATCAAAGGGCGAGAACTACTAAAGTACCTGGGATGCAAATGGCTTTGTAAGTTGGTGGTGCCATGATATATTCTCCATCTTGGAGCTAGGGCGGCGGGTCATTGTTAAATCACTATACCATTATCTAATGTCCATCTCCATGATCACCTTACCATGTGCGACCGATCAGACGCAAAATATCGAAGAAAATTCCTGCACGGGATTAGGCGAAACCATCTGCACTAGGTTATCAGACGATGATCGTCGAATCGTACTTGCTCAGATCGAACGTACCTTTTGAATGCGCTTGCTAAATCTATATTAGGGCGAAATGTTCGTGAAATATAGTCACGAAAAGGCGTTGGAAATGGTAGGCGACTGTCGAAGTCATATACGATACTATCAAGAGTATGTGTTCAGCGTGGCTCGGTGTACAAAGTCATGTTCTTCATGGTGCTGCGTTACACTTACCCATCAGTACCGTCTCCCACGCATTGCAGCAGGATAACATGATAGTCCTTGACAAAGGGGCGAAGTCAATATACATTTTCATATATTATTGTTGTATTCAGAATACATACCCAAATCACAAAATTCCCTTCGACAGCGCTCGACTGCTCCCAAAGTGGTACCTGTACAAAATGTTTTCGTTTAATACAAACTGTTAAATTATTCGTAACACCTTGATATCACATACTCGACGGTCAGGATTGCTGATAAACACCACCAATATGTTATCTATTTCGTTTTCATGTTTTTCCTTGATCCATTCACAGAGCTTGTATATGTTTTCTTCGCAATAGCATCGAGTGTATGCCAGCTCCGAACGGGGAAAGAACATGAAGAAAAGAAAAGTTTGTCCTTGAAAGTCTGAGCCTGCAGAAAATTCGCAGGATCCGCACGGCAAACACAGTCACAAAAATTTGGCCAAAGGTGAAGAAAAAAAAAAAAAGTTGGCAGTGACTTTACTAACACCTTCAATACAACCGTTTACATCGCAACATGGTAAGGCAGCAAACTCTTTCAAAAACTTTACTCTCCAGAACGATATGTCTAAGATGCTATTGAATAGATACGAAGAAATACTCGTCTTCGAAGAGAATACCTCTACAGGAAATCCTTGGAATCCAAGGAACGAGCCACCTTTGAACGAAAGCAACAGATCAAAGAAGCGATTGAACGTATGTGCCGAGCAACGAGTTACAATGTCGATGCAAACCAATATCTAACCGAAATCACTTTTCTACAGAGGGTAAACCAGTTCCCACTGAGCTTCAAAACACTGGTGACTCCATGAAGGCAGATCTTCCCTTCGACGAGGCTCAAACTGGTATGTACTGTTGCAAATCAGCAAGTTTACTAAATTCTGGATAGCTAACAACAATTCATATCAAATAGAACCCACTTCCCACGTTGATGATGAATACGCTAGGGCTGGTATATACGACCCTAAGATTTTGATCACAACTTCTCGAGACCCAAGCAGTCGTCTTCAACAATTTTCAAAGGAAATGCGACTCGTATTTCCCAACTCACAGCGTATAAATCGTGGTAACCACGTTATGAAGGAGATTGTGGATGCGTGTAGAGCAAACGAGGTCACAGATTTGGTTATCTTTCACGAGCACCGAGGTCAACCTGGTAAGAAAAATCACCTTTTGCAGAGGAAATCGGTTCGATTCGTACAATTTGTCTAACTGGTAATACCCTTAGACGGTATGGTGGTTTGTCACTTCCCATATGGCCCAACTGCATACTTTTCATTGCATAACGTTGTGCTTCGACACGATATCAAAGACCAAGGCACCGTGTCTGAAGCATTCCCTCACCTCATCTTCCACAACTTCAATTCCAAGCTCGGACACAGAGTAAGCTTTATTACGATTACAATGTCACAATAGCCCTATTGAAATGGATGACTGACTATCCGGCCACAACAGGTAACCAACATCCTCAAATACCTCTTCCCTGTTCCAAAGGAAGATAGCAAGCGAGTGATGACATTTTCAAATGATAGTGATTTCATATCATTCCGACACCATGTATTTGTCAAGACTGGTCATAAGGATGCTCAGCTGGCTGAAGTTGGCCCTAGATTTGAAATGCGATGTAAGTTAAGCTTTGAGAGAATGAAAACTACATTTATTCCCCTGATATCTAATGGCTCTCTCTCCTCTATAGTATATGAAATTAAGCTTGGAACTGTCGATCTTACCGATGCCGATTCAGAATGGCACCTTACACCATTCACCAGAACTGCCCACAAGAGGGTTCAACTTTAGAATTGCTTATATATTCACTGAACTTGATTATTTTTTGATATACATTCGCCTCCATGTAATTGTTCTCACTCACTTCAACCCCTTTTTCCATCACTCATGTCCGCAATCAATACCATAAAACCCTCCACACGAGTTTTATCTAAATTGAAGTGAATGCCGAGGAATGGATGTTTGTGTTTCTTTCATATTGTATTTTTCTACAGCATATACAGACAAATATACAGGTTGTCGCGAACGACATGTTGTACAAGCACTCAATAGATTGCATCGGTAATGAATTGAGTGACAAGTTTGATCGTGGTGACGGAGCCATCATCCATTTCTAGGAGATACTCATGCCAAGGTGGCCATATGCGAACTAGTTGGCTTTGATTGAACCGTGCGCGCATGGGTTGGCTTAGTGAAGAGTTGACGAAGGAAAAGTAAATGACTTGGGGATTGGTATCGACATCATCGCTTTCAGCCGGAGACCATGTAACTTGGTTGTCGTCTTGCAAATTATTTTCTGCCGCCGACACATGCTTCCACACAACTTCTTCTGGAGGCTCTTCAATACGTATGCATTCTGTATAGACCAAACCTTTGTCGTCCATTATATTCACAATTCGAAAAAGTTGCGTGTTAGGGTATATGGGTCCCAAGAAAGCTACGGACCCCAGTTGTGCCACTATATGAACCAGTGGTGAGTAAATGAGTCGACACCATCGGGAGAACAAATACAAGATGACTTACTGTAGCCACGAACATCCGTATCCCACTGGTTGTGAGCGTGTTGATCTTCTTCAAGCAATTTCTTTGCCTTCATACTCAGTCCATTTCTATCATACAAAAGCAACCATGAGAATTGCGTTGAAAATCACAGTAAAACCATACTACGCATCAAATTACTCTACTAGTGTAATCTTTTCATGGCTGTCGCTTGATATCTGATTATGTTTGCGCTTTGAAGTGTCGGACTTGGTGCTTGAATTTAGAACAGAGAATGCAGTCGACTTGGAGGAAATAAAAACAGGTGCTTTAGGTATAAATGTGGGTGGTGCAGCTAGAGAGAGGGCCGATGCTACGTTCTGCTTTGGCAATAATTCAGCATCGGATCCTGATACGCATGTTTCAAGGTTATTCAGCTTCTTAGATCTTGATTTTAGGTCGTGGCCATTCGATACTCCTTCGTCTTTCAGGTCGTCAAACTCAACGTTGTGATTATCAAAGTCGTCAGAAGAGAGGCGTGGTGAGATATCTCCCAAAATGCTACTATAGCTGCTATTATCGTCTATGTCATCTCGAGAATTCGCTATTTGAGAAAAGAGAGCTTGTTCACGGAAATTGCTAGGTTGCGGTGCTAAATCTTCCTCATCCTGGCTGAACTCCCCTATGGACCAACAGCCACTAGTATCAATTGCATCTTGTACCGTTTGCTGACTGTATTCATCCATTATTTCTCTGCTTTCATTTTTCACAATATCGGTGTCGTTACCATCATGCAAGGGTATTTGGTCCGAATAGGGGCTTGCTTGGCTTCCTTCGCCATGGTCGGGATTCTCCTTCCAATCACGTTGACTAGTAGAGAGCGTTTTCGAATCGAATTTAGAGGATCTTTCTTCTACATTATAGCTCTGTATAGTGGCATTGTCCTCGCTGCTCGTTTCCTGGGATGCCAGAGTCAGTAGCCATTTGTCCCCAGTTGGCATGAGAATACTGAAAACGCGACAATTTTTCGACGCGCCCTCCGGTTTTTGTAAATTTACCACCGTCACGCTGGACCACTTGCACCTCAGCCTTGCCATTTACAATTCAGAGTCAATGCCACCCGAGCGGGTCAATGGTGTATCCCCAATCAAGCTTTTCTCTGATGGTAGCTCGGAAGGTTTACCTTCACCTGAAGCACTGAGGGCGGTCCTCTTCTCCGAGCAATCACTTTCACAACCTAAAACCCCCAGCAAGAGTTCATTCGCCCACGCAAACGTCATAATACTAGACGATACTCCTCCAAGTCCAAAAGGCAAAAGAATATCTTCCCTTACTACGCTTCAATGTGAGAGTACCACCACTGTGTGTAATAGTCAAGACTCAGTAGACGAGAATCTCTCAAAATTTGTTGTCAATCCGCAGCCCGTAGGTCCAGCTTTTCCAATGCGTTAAATTTTATTTGCTCAAGATCACTTAACCTAATTACTGCGCTGTGCAGAGATCATTGTCTAAAATACTAGAATCTATAGCTGAAAGTGCGAATGACACCGAATCTGAAAGTAAGTCCGGAAGCAAAAGGAAAGGAAAGCGAAAACTTGAGGGCAATGAGGCTGGATCCAGTCAGAAAGAATTGAAAGAGCAGACACGATTGGAAAAGAAGCGGGAACGAGAAATGGCGAAAGTACGTAATGACTATGCAGACAATCCTTGTATATGATTGGGTGCTAATGCCGTTGTTTTAATAGGCACAAAAGGAAGCGGAAAAGAGGAAACTCAAGGAATTGAAACAGGCAAATGCTCTTCGCAGTGCGTCAAAGGACACTCTCCATGACACCATTCTATGCCTAGAAAAAACACTCTATGGTTCTGAACTTGGAGAGGCTATCAAATCTCAATTCATAGGAAAAGCAGCTGAAATTGTTGAGATAGAGGATGACGTTCAATATACCATACGATGGCAAACGAAGACCAAAGCAGAATGGGATAGTCTTTCTCAAAGTTTTATACCTTTTGAAAACAAAAAGACCACTATTGTCAAGAACAGACATGTGGCTTTGTGGATGAACATGCAGCGATTCACAATTATGATTCAAAACGAAGACCTCATCCCAACCTTGGCTGGAATTAAGGCACAGCAAGCTGGCTCTCAAGTTGTGCTGATTGTAGAAGGTTTACAAAAATACTATAGAGATCAAAAGAACCATCGATCAAGAGCGTTCCAGAACTCAGTACTGAAAGGTATAGCTGAAGAATTTGGAGAGCAACGCAGTAGACCCGCCACCTCGAAGAAGCCACGCACCTCTAAAACCGATTGGATTGCGGATGGGCCCGATAAAAATACCATAGAAGATATCATGCTCTCACTTCAACTGAGCGAGAAAATCATGATTGTACATACTGCTAATATTACAGAGACTGCTTCATGGATAGCGTCGTTTTCAGCTACTATGGCGACAACTAATGCGTATGTTTTCTTCCTTGTTTGGTATTTAAGCGCTTTTGCCTTATACGATATTAATTTTAAATTATGGCAGATCGTCAGAATTACTGGATTTTTACATGGACGTTCGGGCTAAGTCAGGGATTGATTCAACGGACACATGGCTAAAGATGCTTCAAAATATTCAAAAGTGCACTGACGCCGTTGCCAAAGCCATTGTACAAGAATACCCCACCGTGTACTCACTTTATGACGCCTACACGAAAACTCAATCGGTTGAAGAGGCTGAGATGCTCTTGGCTGATATCGAGGTAATGAATTGACGATACTCCATGACGATAGAATTGAGGCCGTGCTCATCAAGGCTTTTGTTTCCTTTTTTTTTAATTCAGGTACAACGGTCAGTCATTACCAATCGGGATCGTTTCGTGAACAAAGCCATGTCCAAAAAGATTTACAGCATCCTCATGTCGGACGACAATAAACTGGTGATATCATGAGCCGCGAATTCATCGGCGAAAAAAATTCCTTGTCATCCTCGCCGAGCCCATCCATGTGTAAATACAACCAAGTTCCACAAGACCGATATGTACATTCTCCTAATTCATAATGAACGCGTAAAGTAATGAAAAATATTTGTTTCCCTAACATATTCAATGACTAAACATTGGTTGACAACGGCCTATAATTGAATGTGAATTTTATATTCGTATCATTCTAACAGTGTAGCCTACAAAAAAATAGAAACGGGGGAGATAATAACAGGGGGGTTCCAGGTGAAGAAGTGGGTATAAGTACATGTTGGGAGGTTTACGTTTGCTGGTCGCAACGGAAGCGAAATGAACGTCTTCCATCATAATTGGCAGTCGTCACCCAAGGATGATTCAAGCATTGTACAGTCTCATTTTGTTTCCTTTGGCGATGCTCAAAAGTCATAAATTCCTCGAAAGGCTTCCAAGTTTCTACCGTCGCAATGAGCAGCCAGATCTTGTCGATTCATCCTATAGAAAAGGAAGGAAGGTGTTACAAGACGTGAAAACTTTAAAAATAAAAATAAAAATAGAAAAACCCTAACCAAGCCCTACTTACATAAACATGACCATTCGAAGGCTGTCCCAAACGTTATCTGACATTCCACCAGGAACCGTATATTGATTACCGTTCTCATCGATCAAAGGAGTGTCGGTGGCTGTGGATTCACTGGATTGTTGCAAAGCCAAAGCTGTTAATAGATGTTCAGCAGCCTCCTTGTGTTGCCCCAAATTGATGCAACTGATGGCCAGATTGTATCGCGCACGAATGTAGGAAGGGTTAATTTCGAGAGCATTGAAGTATGCGTCAATGGCAGCCGAGGTTTCATGGGAATTAGCAAGAGTTGCACCAAGCTTATTCCACAAAAGATAATCCTAAATGAGAGAGAAATTATACAAGTTTAGATTTTTTTATACCATTAAAATTGACCAATCACCCAGACCATTTTGAGTTGGATTTACCTGTGGTCGGCTGGCAAGAGCAGCCTTGAAGCAGTCTACAGCCTTTTGATATTCCTCAGACACATTGAACAGAACTCCAAGACCGACTTGCACATCAGCATCCATTTCTTCACCAGGAGACGATCGTGCGGCTTCCAGGAACAAATCGGTAACAAACGCGTGTCGGTCAGCACCCACCATCTTGCCCTTGAGTCCATGTGATCTGGAAATGTGCTTGTATTTTTCATTGTTCTGCAACCATGCCTCTAAGCAATCATATGCATCTGCTCGGCAATTTTCGTTGGTGTAGCTGACAGCCAGAGCCAGCCAGGCATCAAGCAAAGTGGGGTCCATGGACACGGCTTTGCGCAGGGCGGCAATGGCTGCACCATCTCGTTCATTTTCCTGTTGTCGGAAACCAAGTTGCTGCCATGAAGAGGCATCAGATGGGTTAAGCTGTAATTTGGCTTCCAGCGCCAGAATAGAATCGCTCAAGTTGTGTGCGTGATTTACATCGATAGGCATGGCTCTTGATAGATATGGGTTGGTGGGGTGGAAACCATATTCATCAAACTCGGGATTACTGGCTCTGTATCCTAGACCTTGATCAGGCTTGTACTTTTCCCAATCTTTTTGCATGCCTTCCCATTCAGCATCTTGTGCCGTTTTGAGATGAGCGATGTTGGCATGGTATTGTTGAACCCAGTCTTGAAATTCAGTACCTTTGGCAAAGGCTTCCTCCATTTGTGCAGCATTGACAGGGTCGTTGGTGAACTCGGTTGCCCAGTCATCAGGGACATTGATAGGGTCAGCGACAGTGTTTACAGGTCCCGAAGTCGAAGTGAAATCTTCGACCCATCCACGTTCAGCTCCTTTGGCAAATTCCTCAGACCACATGTTACCATCCTTCGCACCTTGCGACGTTCCTTGGTTGAACTCACTGGCCCAATTACCGGATGTTTCGCCGCCAGCAAACTCGGATGCCCATGAAGATTCTCCATTAGCAGGAACCACTTTGCTTCCTTCAATGGATACTTCACTATCCCTAAGTTGTCGCATAAACTGCAGGAAATTGGAGCTTTTGAATTTTGGGTTGGACTCCATATCAATGGATTCTAACAGCATGCCAGCTGTCTTAGCGAGAGCTTCTTTTTCACTTCCAGCTACGATATTCTCGGTCTCTTGCTTGGAAAACTCGGCGGCCCAAGAGTCTTCTTGATTCGCAAACTCGGTTTCCCAATCAACTGCCGCACCTGGGGATTGGACATAAATGGTTACTATGGCTGATTGTAATGTGTCTATACTTCCAACAAAAATAATTCAACTTGCCATGATGTGCCTCATCAAATGCTCGTTCAAATGCCTCTAATTCTTTGGGTGCCAGTGTATGGTTATGTGATTGCTGGAAATTATCAAAATCCTGTTGCCAACAATGAGGGCCTAAACGGAGTTCGTAAGCAACAATCAAATCAAATTGTATCCCGCCAAAAAAATTCCCAAGGTCCACCACCCACCCCCGCTCGTGCGAGCCTTTACGAACGGATGCCATAAACTCTCAATGCTTACCATGTTGATGCTGATGCTCACACATATGATGAGAAAAATGTTGTTGAAATGCATTATCGAATTCTTCCATTTGATGTCGGTCGTTCATGATAACGGGTTGTTCTCGCATGAAGTCAGTTGCCCATTCAGGAGCCTCCGTCATACCAGGATGAATGTTCTCCAGTTCCTTGCCAAGCTCACTGAATTCAAATCGATTATGTGGGCCCTTTTCCAATGCTTCGTCCCGAAAGAACTCCTCTGTTAACTGATGCACGTGAAATTGCGTTTAGGAAACTCATCATCGTCAAGCACATCGCCTTTTTAATCCTTCCATAGTCTTACCTGAGAGCCACCCATGGGTCTCGTTTGATTTCTCGAGCGAAACGCCGAACGTGAGCTTTCGCCAGCTCTATCTTGTACAAAGCGGTCCTAACATGAAAGATGGGGATTCCGTTTGTTAACAAAGGGATTCGCAGTCATACTGCAAGATCTTTCTGAATTGGTACCTGTTGTAGCGAGCGATCCTGATGAAATTGCTTCATGAGTCCTGCCATAGGATTCGATGGGCCGCACTCGGCCCCATTGCCAGCTAATGGAGAGAAAGCCATATTGGAAGACGAGTTAAAGCTGTCGTTGCTCGAGTAAGCGCTTTTTTGTTTCTGACTAATGGCACGTGAATCAGTATTTCTTTGGCACTCTTGCGGAGTACCTATGGTAGTTTGGCCAATGAAAATGGTCAGTCAAACGTACCAGCAATAATTCAACTTAGAACCTTTCGATCCAATGCTTGGCTGATAAAGGGTCAAATAACATAAGCACACTTACGGATAAATGGCATGTAGTTGTACGCGCAGCATGGATGTGGAACTGCATGACCTCAAACAATTTCCCAGATATTTCCAGAAGCCCACCGCTTTACTTCGGTATGTTTTGACCGAGCAATACCTCTTTATGGGAATAAGAGAATATAGGATCACCTCCATCCGAAAATAGCTGTATTTACTTCTATCGAAAATTGCCATGGAATTTTCTAAGAGGGGTCCTTGCATTTTTGTTGGGAGCCACGTTTTTTTTTGCGTTACAACCGTAGAGTGTATTCGATTCAAGGCAAGACATACAACTCATCTGTACGTATGGCTACAATGTGGTGCAGTTCTGCCTTATGTTTTGGCGTGCCAGCATTTTTGAAAATGGTATAAAAAAATATGGTTGCATTCATTTACTTGTATACTAAGGTAAGGCATATGATGAAAGGTGACATTTCAGTCAAAAAAAAAAGGGCATTTAAATATCTACATCTACATTCCGTTGTCAGTCGTAACAGCGACCTAAAGCTATGACTGCAAGGTAAGAACTTGTTCAGGTTAAACTGATTGCAATTGTCTTGCAATGCGGTAGTCCAGGGAGCCATAGCGCACAGTCAAGTTTGCAGCATCCACATAAACTGGATAGCCTCCAAAGGCCTGAATTCTAAGGTAGCCTCTGGTATGGTTAAACCACCATTGCTCAATTTGCTGATTAGCAACAGGATCCAGTGGAACCCATTCTGCACCGGCAGCCAGGAGCCATTGAACTCGTACATTGCGCATTCTTCTCATGTTTGAATAAATTTAAAAAAGTGTGGGGAGAGTTGTATTTAGTTGAGGATAGTTTTGTTCCTGGTTTCAAAGCGCCCTGATCTTGATGAGCTTGTAGGCTGTTGGATACGGCGACATGAATGGATACGACGTAGACATTTTATATGAGTTTTTGGAGTTGATGTACTGAACAACCTTGCAAGCTCAGCATATAGAAAACACTCAGGCGATTGTAAGAACAGTAAGAACAGCAAATGGAAGCGTTTAGCACTCAATGTGACCGGAAAGTTCCGTGAAGAAGAGCTTTGGAATGTACCAAGCTGGAAATCCAGAAGGAGGAAACATACAAGCTACGAACATTCGAACAAAGCAGATATGCTTGAGCTGCGCTTCAAACCCCCTGTTTATCATGGCATTACACCATGGGGTACAATAGGATGACAAAGTCGACTCAGCGACGCATGTCTCTATTTCATAATCTGCTTCAGCGTACGGGATACATACGGTTCAAGAAAGATTAGCCGAATTACTGAGCTTTTCGTGTCAAGGACAAAAATGGAAAGTCCAATAAATGGCTCGCGCGTTATTCGTAACCAGGTAATGGAGGTCACGGTTGGTTAGCGTATGCATTAATCGCTCCTCGAAAGAAACAAAAGAAACATTTCATTCAGCTGATAGTTGCCAAGAAGCGGTGTTTGCTTTTAATCTTTCGCCCCTCCAACCACATTCGTCTTATATCTTCTATTCTATTCAATTCAATTCATTTCAATTGCGTTGTGAAGGAGTTTCTTGTACGCTTATCAAAATAGAGTGAATGGCATGTGGAGTTCGGCATCGCATCAGCCAAGTGCACGTCAGCGAAAAGCAGCCTTTAGTCAACTCTGCTAAGCCTTGGAGTAGTGTGGCACAGGCGGACTCAATATGGAAATCCCACCCGCCAGTTGATCGATATGTGGCTGGCAAAAGCTCGGTCCGTTTGCCTCCATTTAGGGGTAGCATTTCGTTACATAAGTTATTTTGCTACGATGCTACTGAGGTATTCGTAGCAATTGGCTTCAATATTTACAGAGAGAAAAACTGAAAGGCGGCCAAAGCCTGGTCACGTCAGTCACCACTATTCATAGCGTTCAGTTAAAGTGACACGATCGGTGGTGGCGGAGTTGCTTTTGATATCGAGACGATGTTGTTGAAGCCTCCACTTGAGGCTATGCTCGTCGTGGCGACAATGAGTTTGTTGAAGTGACCAACTGGCTGAGATAAAAAAAAATGCTGGAGAGGCGTAGATAGGTTTTTAAATAATCACTGGACATTTAATATATAATGACCCATTCCTTTCATTTGCAAAGAACTTTACATTCTACCATTTGTCTATACTATCTCTCACAATGTCATCTTTCCAATGGGTATACTCTTCTGGATGCAATTGGATTCCATTCGACGCAAAAGCCAATCGTGAAATCGAGAAACTTTGGTTCAACGGTACCTGTGGCGGATGGATTTATTTGACAAGCTTTGGTGGTCAAGCATATATCAACACTGCATCCTTGTATCTACAATGGTCAGGCTACAATTACAGGATTGCCCGTAGACTCCGTTAGTCGTGGTCCATCTTCAACATCCATTCTATCTATTTTCTTGACATCTTACATTCATATTATTCATCCCTCTCATCTGCCAACCTTTCACATCTAGCATTCATCTATCACTTTCATTTGCATCTCACATCACATTGTACTCTCACTCTCACTTCCATTGTACTCTAAGCGTCGTTTGCGCAATCACACACTGCATTTACCATTCAAACACTTTTATATTATGGCACATTAAATAAAAACACGTTTACATTTACCCAACTTGGGGATTTGGTCCGCCAATTGGATTCCGCCCCCAGCACTTGTAACAGCGCGTCGTTATCCATCCCCTTGTACTTGCCATCAACAATCATCATGGCAGAGGAAACGCCAAGGGATCTGAAAGAGACAGAAAAGGCTGTTGAGGATGCTTTCGAGTTCAACGATGACGAATCTTTTGAGGATGTAGTGGAATCGCTTGATATTGCCCCCGCTGAACCTGTTTCAGCTATCCCTGAGGAAAAGTTCTTGGATTCCGAAGAAACGTCTCAAGAACCTGAACCGATCTCGGAAGAGAACGATGAGAAAGTTGAAGAAAGTGTTCAGCCCGAGTCTCTTCAACCAGAAGAGGAAGTAGTAGAGGAAGTGGAGGAAGAAGAAGAAAGACACGAAGAACTTCAGAATGTCGTAAACGCTTTGCAAGACTCTTTCCAACAGCTATCAGCTACAGCCACGAAGGAAAAGGAGGAGACCGAGTTAGTTGGGCTTGGACTTGTCATGGCAGAAGGTGAAGCCAAAGTCGAAGAACAGGTTACGGACGGTCCTCCAAAAATTAGGACGGATGCTTTAACCGGGGACAACGATTTTGTTCCTCCTACTCCCGGCACTCCACCCAGTAGAAGCCCGTTCGATCCCAACAGTCCTCCTGTGGAAGACTCCGATGATATTGAAACTTATAGTGCCAACCTTTTGGCTTTGAACAAGGTCGATATCAAGAACATCGGCCCCAATACACTGGATGCTAGAGAACAAGAGAAGGCTGGTAAGTTGGACGGTGTAATTTTCTTGATGGATGACAAGTAGAAAACTTATGAGCGGCTGGTTGCGATAGATGAACCCGTTCTATTGGGCATGGCGCACCTCTTCAATAACAGATTTATGAAGGCTAAAAAGGTGTTTGAGTCTGAGGCGGAAACCAACCCATTGTTCGGTTTTGGAATGGGTTACATGGCATTCTTGAAAGGTACGTCTGCACTGACTGGTTATAAGTAAATGAACCGTTTGACTAATGTTACTTCTCTCCCTTCTTAGCTGTGATGGTAATTATGGTCTTTTCAGAGTTGTTCAAAGATCATATACATAACAATACCTAATCATTTTACTCTGTTCTTGTTCCGCATAGACATTTGAAGAAAAGGAAATCAAAATTGCTATCGACATTTTGACGCAAACCTATCTTATTGCCGGTGCTCAGATTGACGCTGCCTCCAAGAAAGGATTTGGAGGTTCAGTCGCTCATTATGTTTCCTCTTACTATAGCTATATTAAGCACACTCGCAGCAAAAGTCTACCACATGCCACCCCTGCAACCAGCGAGGAAATTCTGAAACAAGAAGTCAAGTTTTTACCAAATGGAGTTCTCAGAGCCCACGTTATCAAGGCCGAGTGTTGTCTGCAAATTGCCATACTCCAACTCGCACAAGAAACAGTTGTTGGCTATATTAAGTGTGGTGTAAACTTAAGAAGAGGTAAGTGAGACCCCCACTACGAGCTAGATCACGTGGTCAAATTTTCATACACCTAACCTATGCTTTGCAAAATGTTAGCATACACAAGCTATAGTTTGGTATGGCAGGAATACAAGAGAATGGGCCAGGCGTATAACGATTACATGGATCGAGACACCATCTCTGGTATCCAATTTGGGTAGGTTTGCGTCACCTTTTATTCATTGTTGGGTTTCTTCTTGTTTTTTCTCACTGCAATATTTGTATGTAGCATCGGCGCGGTGCATCTCGTGCTATCCACTCTCCCCGCTAAAATCCTGACTTTGGTATCCGCATTTGGTTGGAAGGCTGACAAGCATCTGGGCTTTGCTTTAATCAAGCTGTGTCTTGATAATCAACGCATTCGCTCACCGACCGCTTCCATGCTGTAAGTAAACAGTCCTTGTGTGGTCAGGTTCTTGTCACGGAAACTCTTGGTCTAACCAATCTGACCTCAATCTTACCCTAGCCTCCTCGGATATTATACAGTTCTCACCACGTTTGCGCCTCAAATTTTGTCACCCATCTATACACAACCAGCTATTGAAGTGAGTCACTCAAGCAATTATGTAATTGAATGTGGGGTATGACTGATCCAATCCCTTCTTCCATCAGACTCTGCTTGATGCTCAGAAAAAATATCCTAATTCAGCATTCTTCCTCTACTTTGCTGGACGTACCTCTCGATTGGCTCGCAATCTGCCTCTTTCAACTCAATCCTTCAAATATGCATCGGAGATTAGTAATGCTGAGTGGGTTGAGGTGGATATTAGGCAAGTGTGCGATTATGAGATTGCCACCAACAATATGATGCAGCTGAACTGGAAGGATGCGGCTCAGCTTTTCGAGAAATTGTGTTCTGAAAGCTATTGGTCTCCGATCCTCTTCAAGTACCTGAATGGCGTTTGTTTGGAGCAAATGGGTATGCGAACAGAAGCTATCCTGGCATTTGCTGAGGTGACCCAAATTGCCAGCAGAAAGACCGGCAGCAAATCCAATATCGAACAATATGTCTTGAGGAAGGTGGAGTCATTCCAAGCAGCTGGATATCAAGATTTACCCATTACGTGCCCCGCTCTCGAGTATTTGTACATTAATAATGCATTTGAGTTCATGGACCATCCCCTGTTAGAAGAAGCCATGGAAGCTGTGGATATAGCTTTGGATGAGATTCAGGAGAGGGAAAAGGCTGAGTATATGCTTCGTGCTAATGAAATTATGCCAACCTTGGATCCCCCCGATTACTACGCACAGCGCGGTAGTTTGCTTCTCATCAAATCTGCTATCCTTAACTCAATGGGACGACACCAGCAATCTATCATCCACCTCAACTGGATTGTGGATCACAAGGATCGTATGACTGAAGAGAAATGGGTTGTACCGTACGCCTTTTGGTAAGCAGCAGAAAAATCATTGAAAAGCACCGGTGATTTGGAAGCGCATGTTTGCTAATACGCTATGTATGTTTTCAGGGAGGCTGGTCTGGTGACTTGGGCGGCTGGCGACAAACTCAAAAGTCGTTCCCTTTGGGAAACTGCCTTGAATCAATCCAAATTTGATTTTGAATATAGGCTTGCTATTGTAAGTGTTATTTAGAGTGACGTTCGAGAAGAAAGAGATCACCATACTGTGTTTATAGTATCTCCTGCTGTATTGTTTGGTCAGCCGTTAATGTTTACATATCTTTTAGCGTCTTAATCTTGCTATCTCGCGAGCGGAGGACTTGGGTACCCCCAAACCAGAGCGACCAAAACCTACCAAGGGTCTAAGCACCAATGGTCGCAAGCGACTTTCCCTAGCAGCCATTCGATCTAGCCCTGTTGTTTAAAGACTGCTTTTCTAAATTTCCCTTACACATTTGAGTTTTCCTATTCGTACTTATGCTTTTAACTTTGGTCCATTTTTATTTGACTTTTGTTTTTTATTTTAGAAGATATCTTTTATTAAAAAGAATAACAAAAAAGAATCATTGGTCTGTCTGACTATTTTCTCTAGACTTGATTTGACCGTGTGGTAAGGAGAATGGGCGGGCGGAGTGGTAAGGAGAAATATTGAAAATTGATGAAGCATGCTTCAACCTCTCCTCTGCCTGCCATATTTAGCAAACCTGTCAAAGCACGATCTCGAGGAAACATGCCTGCATTCATTGTGTAGCCCACGATGTAAGAGGCTATAATGGGCAAATGCGTTCACGATAAACGAATAAGGTGCAAAGTGAGCGAGCGTCCTGCCTCGCGTGGCTCCCTCCCCGCCCAAAGACTATCCAAATCAATTTGTTGAGTCCCCACTCCGCTGCCTACACGTGAATCACTCCATTTGCAGTGATGACGTTAGAGAGAATTGCAGAATGAACGTCTAGCTAGCGATGAATGGGTCCAAGATAGGGATTCCAGAAGGGTCTTGTTTAACTAACTAGACTAAGCTCACTGGACAAAATTAGGTACAAATTGATCTTGGGTTGTTCCCCCAATCCACTCGTTCGTCCCCCCCGAAACGATAGACAGGTTGATTAGAATGAGTGTGTACAGTAGAAAGAAGCGAATAGAAGAAATCGAATAAAAAAAAGAGAATGGCTCGCTTGGAATGGCATGGATCTCATAGTTTAGGCAGATGAAGTTTTCACCCAAAACGCGAGTTTCAATAATTTTTTTTTGATCACCGTCGCACCAGCAAAGCTGACTTTGTCGCACACACCTAAAACTATACAGTATTTTCCTCATCTCGCACTCATCCTTCTACCATCAATACTATGCAAGCTATTAAATGCGTCGTTGTTGGTGACGGGTATGTTCTTCGCCATCTCTCATCACAACCCTAATTTACTTCAAACACTAACAACCCAAATCCTTGTGCCGCCATCATTCCATCCAGTGCTGTAGGTAAAACATGCCTGCTCATCTCGTATACTACAAATGCCTTTCCAGGCGAATATATTCCTACAGTGTAAGCAAACTATCACCGCGAACACACCATGTCTCTTTCAACTGTATGGTAACCCTTTTCATCCTTGTGCCCCAAATCGTTCCACCCACCAGTTTTGATAACTACTCTGCCAATGTAATGGTTGACGGAAAGCCAATCAACTTGGGTCTGTGGGATACAGCTGGTCAAGAGGATTATGATCGACTACGTCCTCTCTCCTATCCGCAAACTGATGTGTTCCTTATCTGTTTCTCGCTTGTGAGCCCACCTTCTTGTGAAAACGTGCGAACAAAGGTAAAACTCATTTGGCATTTATTTTGAAAAGGCAGGCTAGCTACCATGATCCATCTCTTCTGGCGTGTGTTTTTTTTCCTCATCATGAGAGGAAGACGTTGGGGATGCAATCTATGCAGCTGCCATTCACTCTCCTTTGCATATTGACTGACTCCATTTATCGCTCAACAGTGGGTTCCAGAGATTTCTCACCATGCACCAAACGTACCCGTCATTCTTGTTGGTACAAAGCTTGATTTGCGTGAGGATCGCGACACAATCGAAAAATTGCGCGAGAAGCGCATGGCACCCACGACGTATCAGCAAGGGTTGCAGATGGCCAAGGATATTGGTGCCGTTAAGTATCTAGAGTGCTCTGCTCTGACACAAAAAGGTAAGAAATAAAAATTTAGGTGATGCCTAACCGAATGGAGAAAGGCTAGACTAAGTAAGCGTGGTGTCTAATGTACTCTTTGTATAGGCCTTAAGAATGTGTTTGATGAAGCAATCCGTGCTGTTTTGTGCCCTCCTGTAGCACCCAGAAGGAAGAAGGGCTGCTTGATATTGTAGAGATAGTTTTCTGAATATCCGATATTTTACATTCACCAGTACTAATAAAGAAGCGACAGTATTTTAAGTTTTTACCCTAACAGAAAACCCGCCCAACCCTTTTTTAACCTTGTTACTCTTCATGACAGACGACATTGACATTGATAACACCATGTCAACCCCAATGAACTACACCAATGCTCTCATCATGATTGATTCCGAGCAATTGCCTGTTGAAATCCAAGATGGAATCATCGAGATCGCTCGAAACTATCCATACAAAAACTTCACCACGGCCGACGCTATGGGTGACTCAGACTATAACTCTGTCTGGACAGTAAGGTAATAACCATATCATTCAAGCTTGCATTCGCAGCTTACCTACCTGGGGGGATTTCTCACTCACCCCACACCAGCTTTCTGAATGATCCGGAGCTCCAGGCAGGCCAGCTGGCAGTGTCGGCGAATCATTCCATTAACTCAGACTCAAGCCAAGAACCCCGCCTGGATATCATGGTGCGGTATCATCGCAGAATCGAAGGTAGCGTTGTACCTGAGAGCAATAGCGTATTTGGACATGAAATCTGAGCATTTCTCTTTCGTTCGGCAATAGCATTTCGTGGCCTAGGGCGTATTCTTGGCGCGGCTCGTCAGAATTCCGATGGTTTAGCTATACCGAGTTTGCTAAACTTTACTGAACGGGCTCAACTTGACACTAGAGGGTAATGTGACGCATGCGACTTTCGGTTTTTCTGGAAAAGGTTACCTTGGCTGACGTGAATTTTGCTCTAGGGTCATGATCGATTGTAGTCGAAACGGTGTGCTTAAGCCTGAATCCGTATACTTTTTCTTGCGAAACATGGCGTTGATGGGACTTAATATGCTTCAGTTATATACCGAGGATACATACGAGATCGAGAACGAGCCCTTCTTTGGCTATCTGAGGGGAAAATATACCGCAAAGGAGCTGTCGGCCATCGACGACTACGCGTATGATTTGTAAGGTTTCAGAAACTCTACATCATCTTGACGGCCTAACGCGCGGTACTGAACCATCCTTATGTTTAGAGATATTGAAGTCATACCATGCATTCAGACATTGGGTCACTTGGGACAAATCTTACAGTGGCCACAGTATGCGCATCTTCGAGATAACTCCGAAGTCTTATTGGCGGAATATGAGCCTACGTATGAATTTCTAGATAAATTGATTAGTGCTTCCACAGCACCGTTCCGATCAAAGCGCATTCATTTAGGCATGGATGAGGTACGTTGTTTTTTTTTTTTTTAGGAACAATGAAAAGTTACTTTCCACCGTTCACTTAATTGTATTATGAAACTTGCTTTATTAGGCATATGGTGTAGGTGAAGGCCGATATAGACAGTACTTTGGGTATAAAGAAGGCACGCGCATCTTTGTAGACCACCTTCAACGCGTCAACGAGATTTGCGATAGACTGCAAGTGGAACCCATGATATGGTCCGACAGTATGTAATATGTTGTCATTGTTTACGTTGATCCATACCATTCTGCCTAACACAACTTCACAGTGCTGTTCTGCTTGGCGGCGAAAAACAACTCCTTACAGGGGTACTATGACACGGATAGTAACCCAGCCAATCTACCAGAAGTGGTAGACAAGATACCATCTAATGTTGAGCTCATATTTTGGGACTACTATCATACCAATGCCGATCTCTATGAAGAAAAATTGCAGCATCATCGTGATCTTGGCTGTCAACAACCTTGGATGGCCACCGGCGTATGGACGTGGAGCCGTTTTTGGGCCGCCCTTCCTTTTACATTTGAATCGGTAAGAGCAAGCACAGTGACTGCGAAGAACCAACAAACTGGTGTGCGAAATGGCTTTATCACGGTGTGGGGCGACGATGGCAACGAATGCGACATGTAAGTTGGGCGTGTTATTTTCCTGTGGAACATCACCAGACCCCATGTGCAAATTATTGTTTGGTAACCCAATTTTTGCATATTTCACTCTTTAGGTATTCGTCTTTGCCTGCCCTGTTATACTATGCGCAACATTGCTATACAGACCAAGACGAAGTGGATATTGCCTTGTTGAAACGAAATTTTGAAGGCATCTGTGGAGCAGGATTTGATGACTGGATAATGGCTTCCAAGGTAAAAAAGAAAGCGAGACACACAAACACATTTTGTATCAAACTTGGTGCTTGCCAGAATTCTTTATTAACATGAATTGCTCAATTTGGCACGCATGTTGGGTTTGTGTTTAGGTTGATACGACGCCAAGTGGGTCACACATTATTACCCGAAGTAACTTTGCAGCAAACACCAGTAAATGGTTACTATGGGAAGGTGAGATTGCTTCCACGTTGTTTTTGTTGGGTTTTTCCGTCAGCTAACACAGTCGCTTTACCACCTAATTTTTTTTTCCCATACAAAACAAAAAATTCCACTGTATACGCACTCGCTTTATCCAACTGACCTCATTTTGTTTTTTTTATACGCCTCCTTACAATTGGGCGTTCTCAAGATCCCATGATGGCGTTTCTCTCACCTCAATATGCAGGAGAGAACCTGGAAGACCATTACGAAGCGATCGCAAACGATTTGAGTATGGCCATGGAGGCCTACGACAAACCATTGAATTGCCGCTTAGAGTTACCGGCAAGATTGGCTCGTGTACTCTCGTTGAAATGCCATTTACGCGAGAGGCTTCAGGATGCTTATCGAAAGGGTCGTCATGACGAAATTCAGAGTCTTGCCGAAGGTAGATTGCAGCGATTGAGGCAGGAGGTCGATGACTTATGGCGTTATCACCGGCGCATGTGGATGAACATGTACAAACCTTTCGGCTGGGAGAACATTGATTTGCGCTATGGAGGCCTTCGAGCTCGTTTGGATTCCATGCAACAACAATTGCTGGAATATGTCGAATGGGTCAAACAAAACGGCGCTGAAGATGCCGCTATTCCTGAATACGATGTTGATCTTGAATGTATTTACGTTGGCTCTCACACCAACTTGCTTCTGGACTATACCCGTGCATGTACTCCTTCCAGATAAATATAATTTCCCGTCCAAGAAGACAGAAGGAAAGGCTGGTGTACACAATTCAGTAGCAAAAAATGTCAAAAAAAAAATTCAGATATAGCAGATACTTTTTTATTGTGGGTATTTGGCAAAAAAGACCTTTTTTTTGGAAGTAGCAAGATAACAAAAGACAACGTATGTATAAGAAACAAGAATTTGACATATTCAAGCTTGCACTGTACAGATAACGAGAAAATAAAATAAAAAAGCTACCATAAAAGAAAAAGAAATGAGTATATACTAGCCGTAGCCAGAGGTACTTGAAGCCAGATAGATTTTGGTCCATTGGGGGGTTCCACTGTTACTGGGTGCATTGGCGAACATACCCAGGCTGATACGTTACAGAGCGTGGGTGAAATTGATTTTCGGTATGTAGTATTTATATATTTATAGGAAGTGAGGGTAGCGCCTGCTACTCCTCCGTGCTGCCAGCAGACATCGATCGACGACGTACGCCTTCAAATGTACTATGGATAGAAAGAGCGGTGGGTAAAAATCCGGGAACATAGCGGGGAAATAAATCAGAGCCTTGTTGCTGCTGCACAGTTGAATTTTGTTGCTGCGGCGGCTGCTGGTGATGAGCTTGCATGTAGTTTGTGAATCGATTGGGCGGCGATGCCGAGAACGAGATCATTTGAGGTGGTGATGAGGAAAGAGAAGAAGTGTCACTGTCTCGACGATGGAAGCGAGCACAAGCAGAGGTATGGCTGGCAAATGTATCCGTCTTCTCAAAGGTTTGTCCGCATTTGCATCTGAAAGGCATTTTTGAAGGAAGAGAACAAGAAGAGGAACAAAGAATATTCTGGGGAAAAAAGAAAGCTTGCAGCCAATTTATGCAATTTTTCATAGCGCTTCTTCCATTGTGGGCAAAAAAGTTCAAAAGGGGTGTCACGAGGCAACACTAGATAAGGAAATGTCATATCTATTGGCTAGAGATAATGACCGGGGTTTTAAGGCAAAAACTCTCGTTTCAAGTTTAATTGAAGCCGTGAACTAACAGCTTCAAATCGTAACATACAAAGTGTTAACCGATGACTACATGTCAAAACAGCAGCAATCGCTTTCAATACATAAAGTTTCTGTACTTTTTGACTGTCCAGTAGTTCTTCGGCTGTGACTGCCCTATCATCAATTTTGATGGCACAGTCAAGATTCATGCAGGCTAATTCGTGCACTCCTTCCAATCTAAGGGTTTTGGCGATACTTTCGAGTTTTTGTCGTTCGGTATCACATAATTCCATTCTACATTGTCTTTCAGCTCCAGGGGGAGGATAATAGAGATAAAATTCCGAAAGTTGCACTAATAAATTGTGGGGATTGTCTTCCCGCTTATATCTTATCTGATAAAGAGCTCGTACATCATCGCTGACGTCGGCCAGGTTGGCTGGTGGAGTCAGTTTCTGCTCCAATGCTGAACTTTGTAGAAGGTTTGCCAATCGAACATCTTTAAGCCATAGAAGAACTTCTTGGTTGCCAGTTTCTCCAAACCCATCAATCGTTTTCCTGGCCGTCATGAGCTTGTCCCTTAATCGTCGGAGTGAATAATACTGGGCGTCCTTGAGCAAATTGGCTCGGTGGACTTCATCTCTAATTTGGATGGAATATCCTTGTAAATGGCTAATGATCTCTGAAAATGTTTCTGGATTTCGATCAATTATATATGGAGGCGCTTCAGCTTGCTTGACATGGGTGTAGAATAAATAGTGTATCAAAGGTCCCGTGAAAAAATTGGCTGGTCCATCTAGTGTAATGAAAAGGGGGGGAAGTTAAGTAAACTCAGATTATTAGAGTTCTGAACTGTCCACATCACACCATAACTGACCTCTAGCCAAAAGGTCCTTTGACAATCGAAATACACGACCGCCTACATTAAGAAACAGCGTTTGGCGAAGGAACTGGGTGAGTCGCTTAAGACCATAGTACCTTGCGTCATTCATTAAATTTTGATTCTCGTATTCATCTTTTGGTCGAATCTGATATCCTCGTAAATAGTGTAAAATCATTTTAAACGTATCTGGGTCGCGGTCGATGCGAACAGTGCGTGACCTTGGGTTTCGAGAAAAATGCTCGATAAAGAAATTAGCTGGACCATCGGAGCATAATGTTTCCCAGCTCATTCGAAAAACTTTATCAGCTACAATGACCGTGAACACGGTTTGCTTCAGGATGGCCGCTGTTTGCGATGCTGCGCTGCCTGTTGTTCCACTTGCCTTGGTTTCGCTTGAAGCTGAGTTCGTGGCCACTGCAGGATCCTTTGGTTTCACGCCAGAATCGCTAGGTCGGCTATCCAAAGATTGGCTTGATGGTCGACGCGTGGTGGCGGTGGGTAGAGGAGGGAGTCCACTAACCACGCTAGTGTCCGCAGGATTCTCTCCCAGAGCAATTCCACTCATGACATCAACATCGGAAAACGAAAACATCATATCGGCAGCAGCAGACGGCGGCAGCAAGTCTTGATTAGTCAATCCGTCCAAAGTCGTACCGTCGCCTATGAATGCGTCAAAGTTGAAGTCGTTCATGAACGCGTAATTAGGATCCTCGCCATCCTTATTTGCTGGAGTATCTGTTCTAGGTCGCTTCCTAGGTTCGTTCTCTGCCATGGATCTTTTTCAATGGCGCTTTGTCAACCGGCTGCTTACAGGAAAAGTCCAATAACGACCCTTGTGACTTGCAAAAAATGCAACATAAAGGCAGTTGTGGACGGTCAGGGAGCCACTCGGACTCAAAATTACAACATGTCATTTTTAAAGCGATCAGTGCCTATATTGACGGCAGCTGCAATCGGTGTTGCAACAGGATACTATGTTTTTGAACCGCTTTTGCGACAGTACGAAAAGTAAACCCTAATCATACCTTCATTTCCATACACGCATTTCTTCCTATACTAATCTATACTATGCATAGGGACACGAAGGGTACTTGGAAAAAGCCTGGTGATGACGAGCGCATAGAAGAGATAAAGAAAGAGTTCCCAATTGTAAAGAAGCTCGAAGGTGAATCTACGAATGAAAAAACGGCATAAAGTTCACGGCATGTCATCCGCCTTTTCACCCGTAATATCAACACCTGCGCTCAACATCCTCGTATATGACCATTCACTCTGCTTTAAGCTTTTCCCACTTGTCTAAAATAAATTATTGATGTTCGGATGATGTTTTCTGGTTCAAGCTGGTTCTAAACCTTTAATTTTAATAAGGCGCAGTTTGCAGACGGAGCCAAGGAATTGCCAATGAATAGATCCAGTGTATGGTGAGAACAATATATAGATAGTATGGTACAATTGAAGACTTTGAGGAGAACCAAAAGGCCCTATGGGTTTCTCAAAGCTTCCAGCCGCCGCTGTAATTCTGCATCCTCTTCTGCAGCGGCTTGCGAGGATTCTTTGATAGGATTGTTAGTGGGCACAGAGGCCATCTTGCCATTGATAGAAATGCCAATTTCATCCAACACCTAGTTGAAGTCTCAGTTAGCGATGTTGTTGTAGCCAACGGTTAAGCTGGTTGTAACTTACTTGATTCATAATGTCCTCCGACTCCTCTTCGTCATCTTCTTCACCCAAGACGTCTTCCAAAGTATCGTCCACTAAAATTAACAATTGATTAACCCTGTCTACCATCACACAGACAGCGTCAAATAACTCTATACATACTCATTTCTGCCGTCATATCAGCATGAAGGGACTGTTTTTGAAACTCCATCATAGTCTTCTGAATTTGCGCTGGATCCATGACCTTGCTAGTCGCAGCCATTGCCTTGGTAGCCCCACTCATGGCATTACTGTTGACGGTGAGTAAATATGGAGTTGACAGAATACCCCTAATATTCAACACTTACCCCATTGCAATGTTGCTCTGCATAGCGGTAGTCCGATGAGACATCCCGGATATCTGAGACTCGACCTTTTGATTCTTTGTCTTTTGGTTACGAACTTGTATGAGTTGCTTTAGGAGAGAAGTCTTTCAGTTGGGAGCTGTCACAAGGTAGACGCAATCACAAAGTTCAACACGCTACCTTAGCAAGAGACTTCGCCAGAGTGGTATTTCCTTGCCGAGCGGCCCGTTTGATTTCTGCTTCTAACTGACTTTCTTGTCGTTGAAGTTGAAGTTGATCCCGTTTCAAATCCCTTTGCACCGATCGGAAATCACGCTGACTTTTTCGCAATTCCTCTGTGATAATCAAAGTAGATGTGAGACGTAGTTCTGTGATTTAGTGGAATTTAGAATTAATAGTGACCTTTGGGTGAAGGTTTTGTGAAAAAAGATTTTAATGGCTCCATAATTGTCTGTTGATCAAGCCAAGAGAAGAGGGCCAAGAGTTGGCTCAAACCTGTTCAGGGACCGCCTGGTCAAAAATTTGACTCCGCAGTGGGAAATCAAAATGACATGACCAAAACTTAGCTTTACAAATACTGTTTATGCTGTCTCCTCTAGCTCTATCTATTAAAAATATATTATGCTATATTACAAAACACCGCCCAAAAGAATGTCGTTGTACGTTGTCATGATATCTTTCAGTGCCAACAAAATATGGCCACAAAGCTGCTTGACCTCCTCCGTCGACCCGTCGATGAGAGCTGTAGTAACAGGGAAATAGAAACATTCTTAGCATAACTATATTTCTAGCGACCAGTTTATCACTACTTACCAACAACCCAGTCTTTAGTCTCCACCAATTGCTGAGCATACTCATTAATGAGTCTTGATTTCTGATCTTTCATCGAAATATTGACAATGGTGTTAATTCCTATTAATGCGGCGTGAACAACGCTGGGGTCGGGTTGTCCTTGGAAGGTGTGATATCGCAGAGAAAGAGCAAAGTCCCAAAATTCTTTGACGATGTGCTGATGTTGTGGTGTATTGACTGTTTACAATTGAGCGCTGTTAGTACAGTTTTTCATGATGGCGATGGCTGATAATACTTCAATACTTGCTGGAAAAATGCAAAATGACCCCAAGCGTTAGGACAAACCTAGACAAGAGTCTTGGAGATTGAGTTGCCATAATCCGTACTGTTTGATTACTGTAATATAGAATTGCCATCATGAATTCAGTCGTTCCTGTACAAGCATTTTCCCATGTGCAAGATGTTCACTTACCTCCAGCCAGTTCGCGTTCCTTCCCACCATCCTTGCATTAAAGGAAAAAAGATGTCCGTACTAACAAAACCAGAGAGCTTATTTTGTGTCGGTTTCGCTCGCTTGCGATCCACCTCGCTTTTCCTAGAGAACACTCTGGTTTTTCCTCTGGTTTCCAAAGCAGTTTTACTCGTACTTTCATCTGGCAGAGTAAGTGAGTTGCTAAACATTTGATCCAGCGACTCTATGGCTCCTGCAGCCGAGCCCTCTTTTGGCTGTGAAAAAATGTCCCCCGTTACTAGATTGATCAGTATATGGAATCTAAATATATGCCACTTTACCTTTGTATCTCGCCAGCCCGCCAACTCTTTGACTGCAATACTGATACACCGCAATGCTAAAGATCGCTGTGAATCAGAGGAGTTACGATCGTAAAATTCATCTATGACGACTCTGCAAAAGGATGAAAGCGTTAAGCATAGAAAGCTGCTGAAATTATGACGTGTGGTATGCCGAACTTACCTGAAAGATGGCTTGGGTGAAGCTATCAATAAGGCTACCAGAGTGCCTTGTTGGCTTTCATCGAAATTTTCTAAATGAAATGTATCTTGCAGAGACATTACTATCTTGGTAAGTTCTTGTGCATTTTCCTCTGTCCAGCGAATGGTTAATCAAATTATCGTAACAAGGCTTGTAACGCTCATCCGTGGTGATCAAGAGCTGTAGCTTACCTATCTCAGTTCCAACGTTTTCTTTCTGCCTAATCAGGTCTTCAGCAGACGACAAGCCAACCTCTTGCTTGATCGGATCATCCTGTGCTCGTAGGTATTGAAGGAGGTCGTACACATACCTAATGATAAACCAAAAATAGCAAATAGTTTAGTCCAGAGCCATCTCTAATTTGCTGTGAATTCCATTAGAAACCGCCTTACATAGGTTTGCCAAGTTTTTTCTTATCTGGTGCTCTATGATCCTGTTCATCATCGGGTTCCTGGGGCATAGGATAGGGCTCCAAATCTGAATCCTCGTCCGATGTATCATCGTCTATCGATTTTTGGGTAAGCATCCACTATCAATTTAAGACAACAAAAAGGGATGCATTGTGATACCTTGTCCAAAAGTGAATGGGGCGTCAGGGTCTACCTCTTGCATGTCTTGATCATCATCATCCGATAACGGCTCATTTCCAGCTATTTCAGCACGCACTTCGTCAACCTCTTCATTGTCTGTGGCATCTGTTTGAGAGGCATTAACAAACAATTGCCTAGGGTATTAGCAATTTGATGGGCCACCACTCACCCTCATGCTGCAGAGCGTCTCTGGCATAGATCAAATCTCGTAATGCCAAAAGACTCTTATCCATTTCTGGATCGAGTACATGACAGTCCAATCTTTTGTCAGGGTCGTCCATCAACATCGATAGTGTTTCTGCCAGTAACTAATGATACATACAAAAATAACATGGTTTGAGTATCATGAACCTGAGTTGCTTTTCTGTCCAAAATCTAACCAACTTTTCCAGCTTACAATCCCTATCTTCGTCGTCTCCGGGTCTCCACTGACAAACCATTCATGTATATGCTTGGACATCTGCAGGGCTGAGAATACTTCAGCTTTAATGACCTGATTAGGTAGATAGCCGAGAATTACGAGTATGGCCGATGTAACACCTATTGAGTACAAGCATGACCATTAGATAAGGGCCCAGTCAAGATAGGCGCCCGTTTCATGCTTAAAACATTCGTACCAATTTGTTTCAAGTAGGGAGTATTTCGAACAAACTGCCTATCGCCCCACATAGAAATAAGCTTTCGAAGCACCAACAAAAGAATATCCTGGGCTTTCTTTGTGATGGAATACGACGACACTAATTTACAAAGGGAAAGTCGATGAGTGAGCTGGTTTGAATTGAATGCAGTATGGCACAAGAATGGGCTTACTTACCTTCCTGGCCGAAATTCTCGGATTCTTGTATCCCCCCAGCATACACTAGCAATGCAGCCAGTGTTCTGGTAACACCCATACTGGGTGATGAGTGAGATTCTAACCAGCCGATTTTCCAAAAGAGTTGCAAAACAGAATTTGACATCTCAACAGGCTCAGAAGCAAAATACATTGCAAAAAGTCCTTTAGAAAGTTGCTGAACGCGACCTACTGTCAAATCTGTTTTCGATATATTCTGATTTAAATACAAGAATGTTCCGGAGATCAGTCGGGAGAGATCAGGCGAGAGCATCAAATGGTTCAACATAATATGCGACCAAATCTTGCAAGTCATGGCAGTATGGGGCGATCGAGAGGCAACCTGAGGTAGGGTATGAGGGTACAAATTTGAGATGAGGTTGGGGGCATATCCTTGCCGAGCCATTTTCCCTATTAATTGCCCAATGGAGGCGCCAACACTATCGACGTATTGTTCATTATCCACGGCTGGAGCTCTCTGGGCTGCTATATCTACGTAATGGGCGATGGAAGTAGCAACCATGGCTGAATACCGACTGATCAGAAAGAAATAAAAGGTGAGGAAGACTGCGATGTGCTATGGGGAGATTCAGTGTTCAACAATTAAAGAGATCTACCTGTCAGTATACCAGTCATCACGCGTCGACGTTTCACCTATAGCATTGGCAACTCTTGCCGGTACGGATACCATGGCAGTGACAACCCGCCGCCACTCAGCATCATGGCATTTTCCAAGCAATAAGTCAAGGCCGCCTTCTTGTATCAAATGGCGTAGTAGACGTATTAATATCGAAAGCTCTCCGGTGGGTATTGTTTTATGAGCCAGCGAATCCACAAGGATTGTTAAGGATAGCCGAGCCATCATGGTTGCTTGTTTTGACCGAACTTCAGGGACAAAGGTAGCCTTCAAAAGCTGAAACCGCTGCCCGTCTTCAAATGCATAGCTCCAGTTTGGGATCAGAGTATCAAGCACAAAGTGTAAATGGGTAGCCCAAAATGAGCCTTTGACAAGTTGATCGATCAGTTGATCATTAGCACCTTGCCATGACTGGAAGTGATCTAAATGCGACGGTAGGGCCTGAACACGACTTAAAGGTTCGGACAGAGCCTCTGTAGCTAATGCCAAGGTGGCGGATTGTGTGTTGCAAACGCGATTATGCAAATCATTCAAGTGCGACTTTTCCATTGGCCTCGAAAAAGATAAAGAGTATATTTATCTCGGTTCGACCAGACAGACAATATAAATGAGCAAGTGGTATTATAATTACAAAAAGGAAAGAGGTAGTGGAAAGGAAGACGACTTCTACACAATCAGTCAGCACAGAAAATAATAAAAAATTGCCCTGGAGTAGTGTAGCGAATTTAAGTTGAAAAGTGCTATGGTGGATAGTAAGAAAAAAACAAGAAGTTAGGTATGGCATTTTTTTCTCGTGTGTCGTTCTCATTCTTGCATATCCACGTCAGAATCCATTTTCTCAGCCATCATCGCAACAATAGCAGCACCAACAATTCTTGAGTGCTTGACAATGCCCACCGAGAGCTTGGAAGCGATATCATCTGAAATGAGAGCCTTCAGCGTTTCACAAACTCGAGGATGGAATGAAGGGTAATCTTCGTACAGATCACCGCTGATAGCTATAGAGAGAGAGTGGTATTAGGACACAGGTGCCATGGGTGATCAAAAGTCATTCGCCCATCGAAGAAATTTGGTTTACTTACATATAGCGAAGCCATCGCTGGTATCATCCAATCCGATACCATGCTCGACCATATAATTAACTACACTGGCTATTGCTGCACCAACGAGCATGGCAGAGCGTCTTCCAACAATTTCGCACACTTTTTGCACTATCTCGCGATCAGCAACAGTGGTTGGGCCGATCTTCAGCATCTCTTCCAGGATGACGCACGTGTCTTTGTACGCTTCACTATCGTCGTCAGCTTCAATTACATACATATAGCTAGTGTCAAAACTATAGGGAGTATTTAGACCATCTGAACTTGATCCAGCAAAGAGTTTGTCATTGTCCACAAGGTAGACCAATATGTTGCGAACAATTTCACCGAGGTACATGCCAGTAGTCATCTTTTCAAAGATGTGTATAGAAGGATTATTTGACTCACGATCCAGTTTTCGGTCAAACCAAGTATTGGGAAGCCATCGCTTATGTGAACCAAAGTTACACCATTCGGTGTTGATGATCATATCGTCTGAATTCTTATTCTTGAATGAATTTTCAAGAGACTTGATATTGCTGAACTTTTCATAATAGGCACAATTCGTTCCAGCGCTGTGTACTATTCCAATTCGTGTGGAAGGATGTTGATAGGCATGTGCCAATAGAGTGCATACAGTGTCTTTTGGAAAAGAGTGATGGGGGTTTAGCATGAAAAAAAAAAAAGGGCAATTTTTCATATCCCGCTTGGTTGTACTTACCGTTGGCCATGGCAACGACTTTAACGGCCAAGCCTTTAGCTTTAAAACGAGAGTGGAAAAGCTCTACAACATCACAGCCAACACCATTTTGGTAATCAAAGCCATGCTCCAGGGCCACAATAGTTCCCTTGTTAAGACCGGTTTGCTTGACCGCGAACCCCACGCTGACGGCCATGGGGTAAACGAAGAGGTCCTGTGTGCCAACTCTGACTAAGAAATCGGAAACACAGTCCGCAACATAGTCTACCAAAATCGACATATCTTCTCCTGCTGTCAAGTTATCTGGAATCTTGTACTGATATTGGTTGATAGCTAACTTGCCGCGTTCGCCTTTCAATTTCACTTGGCAAACATAGATATCCATGCCTGAAATCTCCAAGGCTAGGTAAACGCCCTTTTCATTCCCGGATGGATAACCTGACAGAAGGCAAGTAGAAGATGAGTATAAGATCGAGATGAAAAAGGTATTTTGGGCGGGCGGGCGGGCGGAACGGAGCTAAATAGTGGCATCATCCTAGTGCACGCATAAATAGCATGTTGTTGAAGCAAACATCGCCCCGATGATAGACGACTGGGCAGTGTACTAACCTGTTACCCAAGAGGGTATCATCTTCAGATCACAAGATTGGTCGTGAGCCCGTAACCCCGCGCTCATCTCTTCAGCAAAACCCTTTACAATGGTTTTGAGCTTGTCATCTGACACCTCAAAAGTTCTTGCTAATCGTTCAATTTCGTCTTGCTGGTCTGGCGTAGCATGTTCCAGCCGAGACGAGAATGCAGAGTTACGTCTCGAGGTCAATGGTGCCGGGTTGGGATGGGCAGTAGTCATGGTGGAGTCGAGCAGTGGGTAACGATAGAAACAAAAAGTGAGTGTGGAACTTTATGTTTGAAAAACGGACGAAAGTTCACCAAAGAAGAATATGATAGGGATTAAATGAAGAGGAAAAACAAGACAATTTCAAGCAAAAGGAAAGACGAAAGGTATGGGTTGAGTTAGTTGGGTTGGGGTTTTGTTAGAGTTGCGTGCGTGGACCCCCAGGAATACAAGCTCAGTGTCTGAAATTTTTCTACACTTCCCCCGAAGAACAACCACCATAACAGCCACAACTTTTTTCTCTTTTGTCCCACTTGGATGTCGTTCTTAGCCCATCCACCCTCACTTCGCCTGTTGTACAAACTACGCATGCACTGATTGAACTTGTTATCGACTTCTTACTGGTTCTTGGAAGGTATGGGCTAACGTAGGTCATAGTAAATTTTGGATGAGCACCCACTACTCTGGGACCAACATTGACCGCGCGATACCAATAAAGCATCAATAGGGAAAGTGGAAAAAAAAAGGTTGCTAAACATGCGGCATGACTTGGCAGCATCGAGCCGCCTATAATTTTACGCTGGCCGTTATGACAGTCCAGTAGATCTTCAGATATGTTTTAATCCTATATATTGATTTTACGATACATGAGTCAAAGCAAGTATCATTATTCTAATGTTGATAAGCTATAGCTGGCTAGTCATTCGTTTCAGAATGTTAGTTGCTTCCTTTCTCACACTATCCTATGAACAATTTACTCATCTAATAAAAGAAAAACCAGCGATGGCTATCTCTGGAGATACACATTGTTATGTCCGTGTGTTAGCAGGCGATGTTTAAACTGGGTTGGGCGGGGCCATGTAGCCTATCTGACGGATGCTGCCATGTCGGGGATTCAATGAGGCAGATAACCTACGGGACCAAGCGACCACAGCATTCTATACTATGGGTGTACGATCATTCCACTTGGATAGTGAAAACAAGTATCTTTCGTTGATCTTATCTTTCTAAAATTTGTTTTGTTATACTCTTCAAAGTATGCAAAGCCTGGTCCTTCTGAGTGGCGCCTGAATAAAAAAAAACCCAAGCTCTGTAATTGTGTCACGCGGATCGGCGACTTTCTCGTTGAGACTTTCTCACTCGCTGATACGCTGTTCTAAAAAATCATGGAAGTGTAGTCCACTGTCTATTACTCTCTATGAGAAGGTCTATTGGCTACATTACCCACGCCGAGAACATTTATAATGTCACTTGAACATCAGCCTTCCGCGGATATACCACACGAGGTATTTTATCCTCTCCCACCATTTTAGATACGCCAAACTTACCAATTTGTAAAATTTACCCGCCACTTGCGACTGAAAGATACCTTCTGTACCTTGGTTTGCCATTATGACACTACCACAAGCACTTTTTCCTCTCACTAATTTTCAAATATTCGCATACTGGGATGTTAATCTAGCAGATATATAATTTTGAAATTGCTGCATTAAATATCAATTTGCTGAAGGATATCCCAGTTAGCAAGTGCACATTACGCATTTGCTTTCCCATAACTAAATTCTTTCTAGTAAGTGTGCATGCTGTAAATCAAGAACGTTTTCGTGATGACGGAATACATTGCTCGGGGCATTTTCCTCTGTTATGGTCGCTTGGAGTACCATGGGAAGGCTGCTCAAAATCGCTCTGAAAGCGTGGATTATTTTTTTGGCGAACGATTCCACAAAGGACCTGCTGTAAAAGTTTCAAGCGGTGGCGCATGTACTCTAGTGCATATGCGACCAAAAAACCCAAGACGGCGGAGGAGATGATGTTCAACAATGCCATGTCTGGGCGTGAAAATTACTTGCACACGGCCATTCCGATCCTTCGCGCATATGTGCACCAAGAATCCGCCGATGGTCCAGATCAAATCCATTACAATAAAGGTCTACTAAATGCACCATAATTGTAAATATCTCCCACCGTCGACAGAGAATTCCAAGCTGCGCTTTGCGAGGCCATTGGCTTGGCTGTCATATATGCCTATTGCCCATTTAAAGATCAGTTAGCACTGCGTAGTACATTTTTGCGCACGACTAAAAATCACACCCCACCTATAATTGGCCCATTCTCGAATATCCCACTGATTTTATAGACACTTTGTATCACTCAAGAAAAAACAAAGATTTGGAATAGGTGACTATTCTACACTTTCTAATACCGCATCCAAATGCAACGTAAAAATTACAGACACGACCTCAAATACAATAAAAAAAAGTAGGTGATACACTCCATGCATCATTATGACAACAACTTCTGCATCTTCTATAGACCATGCTGTGCCATGAAAAGTAGATTAATGCGAGAGTTAGTGCGACCTTTCGTTATCCGATGGTATAATCTGAATTACTCAAGTGCAGTATTTCAACAGAATAAAATTTCGCTTACAAGTGTGGGGGATATTGCTAACCAATTTTGGTATCCCAGCCTGGTTTGTCGTGTTCGAGCACACAATTTTCTGTCACTTGCATTGGAAGCCTATAGAGCATTTAAGTTTAACCTGCAACAATGTGACACCCGTAAACTCCTCATATCAATGTCTAATGAGATTAGGTGTGATGTGACGCGACGTGGGCAAAATACACCATACATCACTGCTGCCATACACTTCGCTTATCTGGAAGCGGTGAACAAGACATCCGGCATTGTCCATTTCCGGTAAAATACCATGAGCCGTTGCCTCTGTTGTACATCAACCGAAAGACAGCGTCTATCACATGCCGATGGAAGCAGTGTGGATTAACTAATAGAACTTCCATGCATGCAAGGCGGGACATGAGTAGTATTACCATAGACGTATTGAATTACGGTGCCGACTCAGATTGGGCAGCACATAATGATTGCAAAGGAGGAGAAAATACAGCTTATGAAATTTGAAGGGATAATGACACTGCTAACACCTCACCCCACAATTTGATCCCAGAAAGGTCAAGTGATGAATATACTACTGATTGATTACTTACAAATCGGCTGGGACCCAAACAATTCCAATGTCTTTTGTCGATCCAGCCTTCATCGTATATGCATAGCCGAGCCGATAGACCGTGCGTTTCCATGGCTGTCACGAGCAGCTACATAACCCACACGTCATTGCATAGCAGCAACAATTACACTGTCAACCGTCGGGAAAGATAAATACTATCAAAAGAAACGGGAGGAATAAGTGCGGAAAAAGGAGTGTGTATTAATTCCGAAGTGTCTGTTGGCTCCTAACACAGGGCAGGACAAGAGTAATGCTGATTGTCGTTGCAAGTGAGGGAAGTAGTTGCTTAAAAAAGATAAACAGTGGTCTCTTAACTTATTTTGGTCATGTCAGGGAACTCCAGTACTTTTTGAAAAAAATAAGGTACAAATACGACGCATAGCTACATCTCCATTCAGTCGAACCCCCATCCTCCATTCACTATGATCGCTTTTGCACAGTATCTTCTTGCATGCCTCTCCATAGCTTCTTATGTCTCTGCAACACCATTACATTTGACGAAAAGACTGACTCGTGGAGTTCAGACTAATTGCAAGGCAGGTCACTTTGCCTTGACTTTCGATGATGGCCCATACAAGTACAGCAGCAGATTGATTGACCATCTCAATGAACGAGGAATAAAGGTATAATTCGACTGCTAGTACTAAATGCCTTTTGGTCACTGCCATAGACTGATGGCGGTTCTTCTTTCTACGCAGGCTACTTTTTTTGTAAATGGCAATAATTTTTGGTAGGTACAATGTTAATGACCTAGGGTTGGATATTGTTCCAACGCGAATAAGCAACATTCTTTGTTCTTATAAATTTTGAAATATAGGGATTTAGATGATGATATTCAGGCTCAAAACGTTATTAAAAAGGCGTATGACTCTGGCCATCAGGTAAGGGGGGAAAAAGCATATAAGGAGAGATGGGGTTTGGACTATCGGTGTAGCTTCTCGCCTCCCTAATCTCTCACGTCCAAAAAGATTGCCAGTCATACTTGGAGCCATGCTAACCTCGACGAACTTTCAAATCGACAAGTGGAAAATGAGGTAGTACGGCTTGAAGACGCTTTGATGAGGATTATTGGTGTTAGGTGAGCTAGTCATTGAAAAGGCGGAAAATGACACCAAGTTCGATTGATCTAAAACATACTACTTTGCTTTCGACTTTGATATCTATTGATAAAGACCATCCTGTATGATTTTTTTCTTTCTTATTTTTATGTTTAGCGTCTTTGTTTTCCTTAGCACTCATAGTTAATTTTGATTTTTGCAGTTATTCGCCCTCCTTATGGCAACTCTGAGGACCGTGTCACGCATATTTTGAACCGCCTTGGCTATACAGTGGTGAACTGGTCTGTAGACTCCAAAGACTATGAAACTCATTCTCTTTCAGATGAAATGCACAACTACCATAGAGAGCTGGGATCTAGCCATGATTCCAAGGGAGGGATTGGGTTGCAACATGATGTGGGTTTGCAAACATAGTTTGACAGGTGCTCAATGTGACCTAAACTGATTCATGTATTCTTCCGTACTAGGTATACAAGCAGACAGCGGAAGAACTTGCTGATTCAATCATTGATTATGCTCGGGAACGCGGATTCAAATTTTCCACGGTCGCGGAATGTGAGTCTAATCAATCGTTGGTTTATGTCTTACATACAATTCACTTATTGATCTCCTGGTACGCACACTTACCTAGGTTTCAACGAGGCACCTTACCATTAGAGATGTAAATAGACTAGCATGCGGTGTTTCAAGAAAGATACGAATTTTCCACCTCCTGGAAAGAGATATTCAGAGCAACATGGATTATTAATAAACATTCACCTTACGATGACATGACAAAGATACTTCGGAGAAGTCTGACCCGCCGAACCGAAGAGTCCGCTTGTTTGGTTCTCAGATCAGTCGAATGTTATGCCGATGGAAGAGGTAAACGCATGCACCACATAACAATGGATGAAAAAAATATTGGGTTTAAAAGTGGAGTGTTAATTGCCAGAAGATAAAATCTTTGGGATTGAGTGACACGAAGATTGCCAGGTACAATCAACTGTGACGGACATGGTTAAATCAGTATCAATGTCAAGGTCATTTAGCAGAGTGAGAATTTGTTAACAGAGAAACAATTCACAGACACTAATTAATCAGTGTCGGTATCATGCAAGCCATGGCCCCAATGCAGGTGGCAACTGCGACATTTTTAGCATCTGCTGGTCGAATCGTGACTGGCGATGTAAAGAGGTACGCCAAGTACGCCAGCGGTATTCGTAATCGGACGTCATGGTAGAACGACGATGATGAAAGACCGGACAAGACGGATAATAAATTACCATCGCGCCGTAAACATTCTATCAACTCTATGTTTCCACAATGGATATCCATGCCCAGGAAGAGAAGCACTACAAATGCAATTCCTGCTTCTTCTGTGCAGCTGCTCTCGTCTTTTTCTCAATTGTGGTAAGATAAAACATGTATCAACTTATTTTAAGCAGTAAGCTTTCGGTCGGAGTAATCCCACTCCTCATTGTTCTGCCCCTTCGCGACGGTCACACTGAAACTTTCCAAACGCCTTTAGTCATGCAGACAAAACAGGGCATGTGTACCTTGGAACAGGGTAAACATTTATTCTATCAAATCCTGGTAAACATTGGAGGCAGATTGAAGGAAACTCTTGCTTTTTGAAAAAGGGAAGGGATGATATGGTTGTTGTTAGCGCGAAGCTTGTTTGTGGAGTAACCTCGGTAAAGTCCCATTCGGACAATGCAGACAAATAAAGGAAAAAACCAAAACAAAAAAAATCTGGGAATCCGATGGCGGACCCAATGGTCTAAATAAAGATTGATGGCAGTACTTGAAATGAAAGAGGTCGGTTGTCCAGGAGCCTATATATACTCTTCGTTTTCTTCTTCTTCTCGATATCATTTTTTTTTTACTTTTCAAAAAGGTTTAATCCAATGCATTCTCTCGTCTATCTGGCCTTTGCTTTACTATTGAGCTCAACATTGGTCTCCACGTCGCCCATAACAAGACGTACTCTTACTGGCGTTCAAACTGACTGCAAGAAAGGATATTTCGCATTGACATACGATGATGGTCCATACGAGTTTACTGAAGAGCTAGTTGACAAGTTAGACGCGGCTGGTATCAAGGTCAGTGGTTCTGGATTGCCGTTGATGGCTTGACGCGTATTTGTCATTGCAGACCTAACATTATTATTTTCTTTGCTATGTTGAAACAGGCTACTTTCTTTGTCAATGGCAAAAACTGGTGGTAAGGATCTTGCTATCCTTTTAGTATGTACGAATGATCTGAAAACGCTGATTGATGTATCAATGGTAAATAGGGATATCAAAACTGATTCCAACGCATCTGCTGCGATCGAAAAAGCATATAATTCTGGCCATCAGGTACGATTCCGGCCAGGGTTAACACTATGGCAGTAGTGTTCCAAAATTGAGACCTCATTCCTAAACATTTGGTTATTTCAACATCCACAGATTGCAAGCCATACATATTCACACGCTGATCTCGATAGTTTGGATGCTGCGGGAGTCACCTCGGAAATGACCGATCTTGAAGCTGCATTGGAGAAGGCTATCGGTGTAAAGTAAGTATCAAAATGCCTAGAACCATACAGGGGCTCGGTTAGAGAGAGTTTCTGCATCCCAAATCTTCGCACTTTACTCCTGCTTTTTATTCTAAACATGTCTTCATTTTTCTACGTAGGCCAGCGTGTAAGTGCCTTTACCTAAAAAAACAACGTGGTAAATTAAAAGCGGGATGACATTGTATCTGATTTTTTGATCTTTTAGTCATGCGTCCTCCTTACGGTAATAGCAATTCGGGAACTACGTCGACTCTTAACTCACTCGGATATACAGTCGTAACCTGGAATGTCGACTCGAAAGATTATGAAACTCACAACCTCAATGATGAACTGACTAACTACAAGAACGAGCTCGGTCCTATTACCGGGCCCGGTGGTATTGCTTTGGAACACGATGTGAGTAATTTGTCTGGCCGGCGGTGGTGATACTATTCAATGCAATCCTAAGATATTTATTCCTTTTTCAATCTTCAAGGTTTACCAACAAACTGTCGAGGAGCTTACCGACAAAGCCATTGAATACGTCCAGGGAATGGGTTACAAGTTTGCCACTATCGCTGAGTGTACGTAGATATACCTCGTTTGATCTTTAAACCTTCTATACTCTTTTCTAACATGTGCGTTTCCTTCAGGCTTCAACTCGCAGCCCTACCAGTAGGAGGAGAAATATTTGAGTCGTACCTTAGCGCCGTCTATCATGGACGCAACGATTTTATAACCTTTCTTGAAAAATAACAAAACCCAAAAACAAAGCATAAGTACAAGTAGCTTCCATATAGTATGGAAAGATAGGTCAGAGCATAATGGATTGATAATAAAATATATTCTTCTCAAAATTTGCATCCCACTGAAACAGCCCTGTTGGATGTCATAGTGCGATTGCCGCACCAACCCGCCATTGCTAAAATAAGCGGTATTCTGCCCTGGAACCAATCTGACAAAATTTGACAGAAATGTCTCATCGCCAATATGAAACAAACCAGTTTTATATAATGTGACCCGCACTATTCTTCACCAGCCATCTTAAAATAGAGGTATCGAACTTTTCCAAACCAACTTTAACGGACTTTGTCACAAGGCATGAAGGAATCGCAAATTTCTCATGTTTCAAGTCCATTTTCATCAGCAAAGATGTATCTGTCATTGACGGTTGGCAACCCGTATAGGGCTTCTAAAAGGAAATCATGTAGGGGACATACAACGATATATATTACTTCAGTTGGATAAATTTAATCATAACATTAAGATGGAGGTTGATTCTATGCTGGAAAATGCGATGTGGTATAGCTCCTACGATTTCTCTAAGCGCATAACAAAATATACAAAAATAAAAGATCAATGACATGCATGACAAGCTTACAAGGCGGCTTTCTGGGCGGCGTTGTTCTCAACGTCCGCCTTTTGTGCTTCTTCCCATGTTGGGTAATCGGTGTATCCAGTGGGGCCACCACCGTAGAAGGTATCACGGTTGTAAGGGTTCAAAGGAAGGTTTTCCTGAAGACGGTAAGGCAAATCAGGGTTGGCAATGAAGTGACGGCCATAAGCAAGCAAATTGCCGGTTTCCTCAGCAACAGCCAATGCGTGTTCACGATGGTCGCCATAACCACCAGCACTGACGAATGCGGACTTCCAAATCTGAGTGAGTGGGATCAGGAATTTTATCAGTCAGACGGTAAAAAAAAAAGAAAGCTGGTTTGGGAAAAAAAAAAGTGGTTATGGCTTACCTTTTTGAAGGACTTGAGACTTGGTCCCTTATCGGCCTCACTCAGATCAACAACATCAGGACGGGGTTCCATGAAGTGAAGATAGGCGAGGTTGGGATGGTTGTCTTGCAATTGTTGGGTCAGATAGCCCCAGGTTTCCAAAGGTGTTTCGTCACCCATGTCCTGGAAAGCTCCCCAAGGAGAGAATCGAATAGCAGTGCGTTCAGGACCGACTGCTTGTTGAACGGCATCCACTACTTCCAAAGCCAATCGAGTTCTGTTCTCAATGGAACCACCATACTTGTCTGTTCGAACGTTGCTGTTGCTGTTGATAAATTGGTCAATGATATATCCATTGGCACCGTGAATCTCGACACCGTCAAATTCAGCCTCTATGGCGTTCTTGGCTGCCTTAACATAATCTTGAATAAGGCTAGGAATTTCCGATTCCTCAAGGGGACGAGGAACTCCATAAGGCTGACCGGCCATGTTGTTGCCCTTGATAGCAATGGCAGATGCTGAGACGGGTGTAGCGTTGTCAGGGAGAACATGACTGGAAGTAGCACGACCAACGTGCCACAATTGCAGGAAAATGGCAGATCCTTGCTTATGGACGGCTTCAGTAACCTAAAAGAAAATGCCCACATAGGTCAGTATCGAGCAAACACAACTCTCTGATTTACTGCAAGTGCAGATAAAGTACCTTTTTCCATCCTTCCACCTGTTCCTTAGTATAGATTCCTGGAGCGCCAGGGTAGCCACCAGCCATGGGTGAGATGAAGGTAGCTTCAGTGATCAACAAGCCGCCTCCGTTGCCAGCACGCTGCTTGTAGTGTTCGACCACAAGATCATTGGGAACATGATCACCAGTGTTACGCATGCGAGTAAGTGGAGCAAGCACGACACGGTGCTTCAAGGCAACTTTTCCAACTCGGATTGGAGTGAACAGTTTTGGAACGGTCATTGTGTGGTTGTAGAGATAAATGTAATTTTTTTTTTTTTTTGGCGATGGCAAAACCGATATTTTATATTCATTACCGGCTTTGGAATTATGGTTTTAATTCAGGGTCAGATCGCTTACCTGAGCCAAATCCCGGATAATTATTTACCGTGATTACTGATTCAAATGGGTAATTTATCATGTCTAAGCATGCCGACGTAAGTGCTCAATGTTCGACGTGTCTCCTTCAACCAAAGGATTGCTTGGTCACCATATCAACTTTAATACTTTTTGACAAAAGAGACACGCCTTGCAAATCCTACTAGTTCCATGGACAGTGCCTCCTGGTCCTTTTTAGGCGAAGGTAAAAGCCATAGATTTTAATAACATTAATTTTACATTGGTGGTCAACATACCGTGAAGGAAGGACCCTGCCATTGAGAAGATTAGAGGGCGATTCATGCTGGATCCAGGGCGTCTCCAATACGACAATCGCTGCATCGAATTTGTTTACCAAAGCATTTTTCCGCATGAGGGCTTATATTGAGCCGGTTCTCATTGGATATGACACCATGTTCATCCGGGCGTATTATCAATATAAGGTACAAACAAACCACCGTCCATCCTAAGTCAACCCTCGAGGTGTTCTCGGTTGCCCCTATTGCCAGAACAGATATATAGAACTTGGCCATTTTTTTTTTTTAATAGACTTTCAAACTCCAATATTTACATTTCAAATACATGAAAATGGGATTGTGCAGGAAAGAAGCAGAAAAAAGCAATCTCGATGCAAGAAGGACGCTGAACAAACCAATGTGCTTCGAAACATCAAGCAAGAGAAGAAAATGAAAACACAAGTATGCCAAATACAAGTAAACACTCAATACGGCATGTGCGGCAATTCTATCTATTATCTCTCCATCTGATTCAATTTTTTTTTGTTTTTTTGTTTTTTTTTGCTTTTACGCCAGCCTTTCTTTTTCTTGTTAAAAACCTTTTCTTTTTTTTTTTAAATGGAACGGTTAGCATCCGTCTTTGGAGTTATGTTCTTTTTTTGATCGTGTATGTGTAAGTGTTTTCGATTTCAAAGAGTGCATATGTAAAAACTTGGTATTTTTTTCTTCGTTTTCTTCTTGAACACAAGTTGGGAGAAGGGTTATTTGCAGTGATATGGGAGGGTGCCTCTTTTTCTCTTCTGTTTACTTGGAAGCGGGAGAGTTGGCTTGAGCATTAGGTTGGCTTTTGTTGGTATTGTTACCCTTACGGTCTCCTCCACGTCCAGCATTTCCACGTCGGTTTCCGCGCTCGCTCTGTTGACCATCAGCTTGTTGTTGGCTGGCCTGCTTGTCACCACCACGATGCATTCCTCCACGACGGTTTTCGAAACCACCACGTCCTTCACCGTTTTGACGTCGTCCTTCATATTGCCCACGGCCACCTTGGGGACGACGTTCCTCAGCAAGCACAACGGCTGAGCCGATCGTGATCTTTTGCTGACTCAAGGCCTTGTGAGCACTCTCAGCATGGCTGAAGTCAAGGAAAGCACAGCTCTTGGAATGAACAACAGTGAGCGTCTTGATAGCACCAAACTTGCCGAATGCCTCCTTCAACTGGTCTTCAGTCATGGTCTGCTGTACATTCTTGACAAAGATAGAAATGTTCTCAGTCTTGGTGGGCTGCTTGGTCTGAAGTTGTTGTTGCTGTTGCTGAGGAGATTGCTTAGGAGGGTTGACAGGAACCGAAGCAACGGGTCCCTTAGCTTCTGCAACTTGAGTTCCCCACTTTTCAGAGTCATTGGCAGCCAAATTAGCCCAGGTCTTGGGAGCATTGCTCTTGGCAGCACTGGCAGGTCTGTCATGTTGCTTTTGCTTCTGCTTATCACCATCAGCCTTGGACTTCTTTGGGCGCTGTTGTTGTTGTTGCTGCTCCTTGGCAGATCCTTCTGAGGCCACACCGTTGGCGACTTGTTCAACAGACTTTTCATTGCTTTCCTCAGTCTTGGTCACGGGGGTTTCCTTGACTTCAGGAACAACAGCAGGAGAAGGCTCTTCATCAGGCTTAGCTTCAGCTACTTGGGTAGCTTCGACAGCAGCAGTTTGTGCGTCATCCATGCTGACAGCAGACTGTTCCTGGTCGGGCTCAGCTACCTTTTCTTCAACAGCAGCGACCTCTTCCTCGGTGACACCCTCTTCATAGTCAATATCCTCTCTCAAAAAGCGGAAAATGTCATTCAAGACATAGTATCCCTTTGGCTGCTCGGCTAAAAAGAAGGTCTGTGCAAATTTTCTTGCTTCGGTGCCTTGATTGGACATTTCGCCAAGAACCTGGACAATGATACCGTTGTTTGCAGACGACATACTATCAACGCTAGAGACCATAACCATACAGTTGTTCAAGTTGAGATCAGTAATAGCCTTGCGGATTTGCTATGGGAGGAGGAGGATGAGTAAGCTCAATCGCTCATTTCAAAAAAAAAAAAAAAAGTTTTCCAAGGGTAATCTCCCTAGATGCTTACCTGATTGCCGTTGACCAATTTGACGTTGAGATCGCCCTCCTCGCCATGAAGGTAGCTCGAGTTCTTGTTATAGAACAAGTGCAACTTTTGAGGGTCATCATGCAAGAAATTGTAGTATTCATGGACAAACATCATGCCGATTTCTTGAGGTGTGACCGATGACTGGGCGTCAGTTGTATCATTCTCAAGGATGGCGGATGCAGCGGTTTGGTTGGCGTTAATGGCAGTTGCAGTCATGAGAGGATTGATCTGTATGTGAAATGATGTGGGGCCCACCAAAAAAAACACGCAGAAGTTAGGACGTGACTGGAAGGTTGCGGTGTGTCAACTAAATCAAAACAGATTTGAGCACTACTTACGTGTAGAAATTAGAAGTGGAGGAAACCAAGAGGTGCGGTTAAAAAAGAGCAGTAATGAAATGGAAAAAAAGGAGAAGAATGAGATGAAATGAAGTATAAAAAGAAAAGTCAACAAGATGTTGCCTAATTCCTTGTCTTTATTTTTTTTTCTCTAGTTTTCTTTCCATTTGATTCTCAGCAATTCCAATTCAGGTTTTCCCCATTGCAACGTCGTAAACGTCTTGTTGGAGCTGAACCATCTTCCACTCGACAGATTTTCGTGAACGTACAAGAAGCAATACATCTTGACCAATTGATTGGCTTTGCCGCGAAAAGCCTCGTACCTGATGAGAAAAGTATGCAATTTTTACAGATCCACGTTTTACAGTGGCCAATGCTAGGAAAAGTGCATAAACTGCAACCGACTAGCTCCTCCCAGCTAGAGGCCACACAACCCGAATAGTGCTAGGTGTTCATGATAACAATTTAATCTAAGACATTACTTTATTAGAGTCAATAAGATGTATAGACGTTCGCTTTCAATCAGGCTGGCGTGTGTTTAGAGAGAGCCGTTTGGAATTGTGCGCTACCATTTGTCATTCGCTATTACAATGCACAGCATTCCACAGCAGTAATGCAACAATAACACCCCTTATAAACGTACTTTTTGCCCTCGCGTGGAAATAGTAAAAGTCATACGCGCCATGGAATAATAGTGTCTTACATTAAAACGAAGGGCCAAAATCTGGAAGGAACGGTGTATAAATGCTATAACTACAGGTGATGAACATAGAAAGTGAGAGGGAATCATGTTAAGCGAATTAGTATTAAGCTGCTACAGTTAAACTTTGATGAACAGATAGAGTAGAAAAAGAAAAGAAAGCTGGATCGAAGAACAACAGCGAGGTCTACAGGTCAATTTGTGCGAGGATGGAGGGCAGTTTTTCGTCATAAGTACTGCAGATATTGATGAGCAGAGGTATATCATTTTCTTCAACCCTGTATACATCAATGTTTAATATTTCAAACATTAGCTCATTACTATCTTCAAGGACCGAGCCTTTACCTGATTTCAGCCGCTAAAGACTTGGGGTCGTTGAAAAATGGTTGTTCATCGAGGGCATTGTATCCGTTTCGCCGCTGGTAAACTGCCTCTTGTAGGAAAGTACTTCGAAGGTACAATAATTGTAACTGGTCTTCGAGCCATCCCAAGCACTGTAGTTCAAAAAATGATCGGTCAGTTCAGCACTGAAGCAGATAATGATATCGTGATGGATTCCATTACCTCTTCTGCTCCAACGCCGTTTTGAAATTTTCGCTTGAGGTCCGTCAACATTTGGTGAACTAAACTTGACATTTGCATATACCGCCAATCATCTTTTCTAGAATCCATATCATGGCTACCGTCCTGTTAGGTATGGGCGTTGCAAATTAAAAGCAATTTCAAATAAATGGACTCACAGTGCTTGATCCGGTTCGTCTGGTCGTTGGTGAAGAGTGCGACATCGCCTATAACAGAGATTAAAAAAAAAAACCGGTTAGTCCCCCAAATTAGACGTACACATACATCTATCCGCATCTGCTTACGAAGTGTTGGTGTCAATGACAATGCACACGGCTTCAGAGGTATCATTCGTAAGTGAATATTGAGTCAAAGTGTCCCGCATATCTGACTCCAAGGCGTCGATGAAGGAATTGTTGGGTAAGCCCATCAAAACGAAATCCGATTTGTACGAGTTGCAATATCCAACCATAAGTGACCTTCCATAGGACTTTGCAAATAGCTCGTCTGCTGCTGCTGATGGTACACCTGTCTCTTTAGCGAGCGTAATATCCGGCTCCATGTGATATATGTACGATCTGTGCAAAGAAAACAAAATTCCCAAGTTAACTAAATGGGGGGTCATCCAAAAAACAAACAAATCTCATAAAAGAAAAACTGACTTGGGCATAGACAAGGGATAGCAGCAATCGGCGTCGGTAGATTGTGATCTTGAGCTCAAGGATGGGCTTCTAGAATCGGAATAGCTTCCTCTTTCTTGTCTCAATTCTCTCGTTTCTGCGGCAATGGCACTAGCCACTGCCGTTGTATGGGCAGCGGTGTCAAAGTTAACTTGTGTAGGTGGGATGGTTTGGGACGACGACCGATAGCCCTGGTTATCTTCTTTAATTGGCGAGGTAGTGTCTAGAGAAGACGCTACGGAAATGTTTTCCCGATAACTTGCATCCTCCCCTTTTTTTCGTGGTATATTTATGGATTTGCTTTCAGCCGAACCCATCAATTGCTGTACAATGTGGTCTTCCATCTCCCCGCTGGTATCTTCCATAGGAAACTCTTTTCCAAAAATAGAATTGGAGTCTGTATCCGTGGCTAGAACTTCCATATTGTCGTATACTTCGTTACACCGAATGAAATAACTCAAGACATATATTATCCTTCGTACAACAGCTGGCTGTTGGCCGACAACGATAGTTCGTGCCATGCGACTTTGATGACCGACATGCCCATATAAGTCGCTGCCGAAAGAAAACAAAAAGTGACAGGTCAGCGACATGCTTATTTGTGATACGTCTGAGCTGTGCCCAACCCCAAAACAATATAAAGAATAAAAACGCCAATAACTTACCTAAGTTGCGCCCAAAGTGGATCGTAGTAGCCATGATTATAGCCGCCCAAATGTGGAGACTATATGTTGGATAGGTTGAATTTAGAATTGCTTTGCGAAAAAAGGGGGGGGGGCAGTCCATGAAGTAAAATGAAAGTTACATACCCTGCTCTCTTCAGGCGGTCGTATCGTCGGCACCCACGAAAGATGATATGTTAAAACGGCGGTCATCATTGTGGATATCAAGAAGTTTTGCGCCCGATTGTCGTACAGGTCCATAAGGTTGGTTAACTCGCGCAAAAGATGATTCGCATACTCGGGCCGTCGATGTGAAAATGTTGACATGTTTAGCCATAGTGGTTCCTGCAGGATGACTGAGTGACATGTAACTTTGCATGAAAGTTATTCAGGTAGCTTACCTGAATTCTTGGGGTGTTATAGAGTGAACATATGGAGTCTTTGAATTTGGCAACGGCATCCAATAAGATGGGGTCGTTTTGAAAGGTGTTTGCTGACAAAAAAGGCAAACTTCCTCGACTTCTGCGCTGTGGTTGAGCAAAAATCTAAATAAGATGATGAAAGGCATTAGTATGTATGTATCACCAACCCGGCTACTTTCCCTTATGTGGCATGCCTCCGCAAGTCTGTCATCAATGTCTACGGCACGCGACATAATTATATAATTATTATTTTTTCTTTAACTTACTGAATTAAGTCCGCTCAAATGCATTTGTCTTGGTGAAGATCGTCGAAAATGATTACAGAGCAACTTGAAAGCAACGACTTGAAGTTGGTGGAGTTTGTTTTCAATGACAGCGAAGTGGGAAAAAATAAGATCCAAAAGTGGATGTGTTTCTGAATTATCTAGGGTGATGACCACAGCCAATGCATATTTGATAGACCTTGAGGGATGGCGTACAGTCTGCTCATGAAAAATAATTTAGGTGCAATTCCAACGACGCAAGAATTCACACACCATGATCGAGGACTTACACTGGGTTCCACCACATCATACGTACGTGTATTGGGAAGAGGGGTTGGGTTGAACGTTCCGTCTTCAATGCTGGTTTGACTGAAGCGACGAGACCGTTTGCTATTTAAAGATCTTCGGGATTTCGGTGACCGTCCAAATAATTGTTCAGCGAAAGGTGAAACAGAAGAATATCGAGAAGATTCATCATCACTCGACAATTCGGGACTGTCATCCACAATGGAGTGAGGTCTGGAAATGGATGGGCGGTGCGATAATCGAGGCCCAAATATCGTCGTGCCATCCATATATGGCCCACTTGCAGATGACGAAAATGACATATCACTGTTGACAGACGAAAATGAACCACGGCGAATAGGTTGGTTTTCAAGCTCGCGAGGATTGATGGTAAAAAGGTTGGTCAAGATGATTTGTGGGTGCTTATCTCGTTTGTAATGGATTTTGGTGCTGGTCCCTTTGTAAGCCAAAGGAGTGGCTCCAAATATCATGTCTCCAATGATGTCCAATTTCCGATATTGCTGTTTGGAACCAATGAAAGAGGAGTTGTATTAGCTCAGCCATCAAACTACTACAGGTACATTGTGGTTTCCAAAGATAACGAGGAAAAAAAAAAAAAAAGGTGGACCATTCAATCTATTTTTACCTTGCGTTGCTGAGACAGACCATCATGGCTCGATACGGACGGTAGTGTCTTCACACTGTAGGATCGAAAGTCGCTGCTTCGTCTGCCTTCAGCGAGAGAACCAACGATTTCATTTGCTCTGCTGGCGATGGTATGAAGCTGAGTTCCATTCCATGATCGAGACACATCATTTGGTATTCGCACTGATCCAGTTTCACTGGTGGGAGGGTGATGAGAATCATATAATGCAAACTTGCTGCTATTGCTGCCTTCCTGACAAAGTAAAACTCGAACTCGGTCGGGGTCAATAGGGTCTAATTTCCACCTTTGGGACATGTAGGGAATGAGTTTAAGGTGAATTTGACATAATGACAGCAAGGTTGTCTACGTACTGATCGGGATCCAAAAGAGCCTCTGCAGCTTTATCGTCCAAGTCCTTTGCCGTTGACTTGCTGCGAAAGAGTTTCTGTAACATGCGGCAGTGACTGAAAGATTGGGGACAAATGCTCTTTTGAAAAAGGCGGAGGTGGGGGAGAAGTAAGAAGAGTGGTAGTTGAGAGTAGGGGTAAGGGTCTGATATATAAGAGGGGTTATGTTTTTAACTAAGTTTGAGAGTCTCTTGAGCCTTGTGAATGCCCACTAAGGCTCATTGAGGGTACTCTCTTCAAAACGAAAAGCTCAAAGGAACAACAGCTGACAGGAAAGTTTCAAAGCCAGAGTGGCCATTTCAATGTCACACGCCAGTCGAGCCTGTCACAATTTTTTTTTTTTTTTTTTGGGCCCTTTGACCCATTCGCCGGTACACGTTGAGCATATGGACCCATCATCCTAAACACGCATCCTCCTTGGTTTACAAGGAAAAGAAAAACAACAAACTCCTATGGTTGAAACAAAATAGTCTCTCCTGATAATGTGTTATGATCCAACCATGCTGATAATGAAGTGCAAAATAGATGGTGGTTGCCATAGGGGCGGATGAAAATCAGTACTGTATTTAGCAGTGGAATTTACTGGAATACACATGGAAGAACATCTGCCGAAAGAAATACGAGATTGAACATATTACACGCGTTGGGCATGGATATGGTGTTAATTGCCTCCTAGAAGTGGCGCTCTTTCGCCACTCAGACGATCTGTCAATCGACTGAAGCGCTTGTTAATACGCTCCAAAATGTCGGGAACAGTGGCACGGGCGATGGCGCTGACGAGAATACCGCACACAACGAGAGAAGTGACATGGGGTACACCGGTGAGAAACACGGCGGCTGCGAGGAGGATCCTAATAACAAGTTCAACCAAATTTGTCGATCAGTACGTATTGGAAGGAGATGTTCAAGGGTCTTCACGTGTAGAAAAAAACTCACCATGAGGTGGTTGCAGCGTAAATCCAATCCTTACGTTGAGAATAGTCAACCAGGTGCAATGCTACGAATCCAACAATTATGATGATAACCGTATGCACCTATGTGTATCACAAAGAGTCAAGTGACGGTTAACAAACAAGTTAAATTTGTGGGGCCAATATGGAAAGTGTGCTTCTTACCACTGGGTGAGTTCTGGTGACTTCAGAGAACCAGAAGCTTTGGAACAACGTAGCAAAGAAAGTGAACGCAGCGTAGATGGAGAAAGGAGCATTGACGAATAGCAAGTCAACTGCATTTCTGGGAGGGTAATCGCGAAGTCGGTGATAGACAAATCCTACAGAAGCTAAGAGCCATAACAGGCCAACGTATGCCAAGATATCGAGGTGGAAATACTGTAAAGGCGTATTGAATAAAATGGATTCCTTTTTTTTCAAACAGAACGAAGAACAAAACTTACCCAAAGAAGAGCTTGACCACTGTTGACCAAAGCAATCAAAAGATACCAGAAGCCGATGGCCTCAAATGCGTCTATTGTGCAAATAACATCATGATGGTTAGAACACCGACTCCGCCTTATGCCAACACAAGAAATACAAACATACCTTTGGGAGCACTGGGTAACCACTGGTAAATCGTCATACCGATTAGCAAAACTTCCAATATGACAGATAGAATGAGAATGAAGTCGCGACCACCAAACTTTTCAGGATGGCGAAGGAACCTGGTAACGCAATTCGGCAGGACAGAGGCATTTCGTCAATACAGAACATGTCGCGTGTCACAACAACAATAAAATATATGTAGACAGAGCTTACCAGTCTTGAAAACTAAATCCATGTGAGCCAACAAGAATAAGAGTGGCAGCAGTGTTAGCTAGCTTGAGCTTGATGTCGAGATGGGTCATGGTGAGCAAGTCAAGGTGGGAAATGCGGAGATTTAAATCTTGCTGGAACAAGCTGGTTCAAGAAATGCTTGTTGCCGACTGCCCTTTGCTTTCGACCCGCCCGCCCTGTCGGCAGAATGTCCACTTCGCATTTTTACTTGCCTTATGGCTACAAAGAAGCTCCTCCATGGCCATCTCTGTACTGGCCATTTGGTCCCAATTTCAATCCCCTGAGTTTAATCGCTGACATTCCTCATTCGCTGTATTATATGAAAGGTATTTTCGCTCAGTTGAGAAACCTCGACGACCACAGGAATGAAATTGACCATTTCCTTTCAGACATTTGGAAATTCACCGTGCTTTGGTCACTTCTATTCTCGATTATCGTTTATCTCCCAGCAGGTAAGACTTATATCTCCTGAGATCCTTCAGAACTCCCCTCGCAGATATAAACCGGAGCACTTTTTTCGTTAGGTATCTGGGCCTACTTTATGTTTCTTAAATCACACACTTTCAAATGGTATATGCTGGTTCTTATACCGTTAGTATTTGTGTTGGCCGGATGCCTTTCTTCCTTTATCATTGGAAGTGTCGTTGGTATGTGAAGAATGTTATTTTATTTTTTATATATGGGCGCCGGCCGGTCAGGTGTATTTTCATGTACACACAAGCAAAAAACAATCGGCCATTAACCTCCATCCGCCATTCTAATTCATTTCAGGTGTCGTGTTGTCCATCATCTATAATGCCGGTTTCTTTGTCATGTCGACTTGGATTCCGTTTTTGTGGGCTCTGATTCAAGTTCTCATTGTCGTCATTGGCAGCTATTCCACTATCACTACCATACTATAACGATTGTACTCTTTAGTCTAGCATACTCACATCATGTACTATATACTATATCACAATACATACCATCGTACATGGTAAAGGCACCATGTACGTCATTTTCCCAATTTTTATGTGGAGCCGTATTTCACGTCTGCAAACTCAGCTCTTGGCCTTCATCTCTTACTTATGTCAGAATTCCATTCCCTTGCTACCCTCATCAAACGCCTAGAGGTAGCTACCACTCGGCTGGAAGACTTGGCCCTTTCGGGCATGTCTGCTTCTACCATCACCGCCACCCATCCACCTGCTGCTCCTTCAGCTTCATCTGCCCAACCTAAAGAGGCTCCCGTGGAGGTTCCTAGAGCTGTCGAAGCATTCAGTAGCGCAATTGATACCCCAGTCAAACGGTTTATTGAACTATCTGGCCAACTCGGTGGCCCTGTTCAGGAACAGGTATGGATCGGCTAGGACACGGTCTTTTTTGCTACGAGTGTTTTAACAGACGTGTATCTCTCGTTTTCTAGGCTCAACTCTTGCAACAGCTCGTCAACGCTCAGCGCGATTTTATTCATTTAGCCTCTATCGCTAAGAAGCCCGATATGAGCTCACCTACCTTTGCCAAACTCATAGAGCCTATTCAAAAACCTCTCATGGCTATTACCGAAGTGAAGGATAAGAATAGAGGTCACAAACAGTTTAACCATTTAAGCACCGTAGCTGAAGGTGTTCCTGCATTTGGTTGGATCGCTGTGGTAAGTTAAAAAACAGATGGTGTATGGAAGAAAATGCCTTGCTAAGAAGTCTTCCGGCCGTAGGAACCTACACCTGCACCTTACGTCCAGGAAATGGGCAACGCTGCTCAGTTTTACTCGAACCGAGTCGTGAAGGAGTTCAAAGACAAGTAAGTCAGCATGTGAAATTGGTATAGGTCTGATGCTTTAGCTCACTACGGTGTTTTCAGAGACCCCCAGCAGATCGAATGGACCAAGGCGTTCTTGGCTATTCTTAACGAGCTATACAGTTATGTTAAGGAGCACCACCGCACTGGACTTGTGTGGAATCCAAATGGTGAAAACCCCGAGTCAGCTTTCAGTAAGGTCTCGTCTCAACCTTCTGGATCTGACGTTCCTACCCCCACCGCACCCCCACCAGCACCTGCACCTTCTGCTGGAGGCCCACCACCCCCTCCTCCTCCACCTCCACCCGTCATGACCGAATTCGAAGATGCTGCTGCCAAGCCTGCACCTTCCGCCACGGGAGCTTCCGCCGTGTTTGCTGAGTTGAACAAGGGTGAATCAGTGACATCAGGTCTTCGCAAGGTTGATAAGAGTCAGATGACACACAAGAACCCATCCTTGAGAGCAGGAAGTGTTGTTTCTGATGATGCTGTGAAGAAGACCCGTCCACCAACTCCAAATAAGCCCGGAAAATACGTCTTGAAGAAGCCTGCAAAGACCGAATTGCAAGGAAACAAATGGGTTGTAGAAAATCATGAAGGTAACAGCGATGTTGTGATTGAAGGTGAGATCAATCATGCTGTCTACATTTTTGGATGCAAGAACTCCACCATCCGTATCAAGGGCAAGGTCAACGCCGTTACCATGGGTAAGTTAAATATTGGATGTATACTACGCTAATGATATGGTATATTAACGCTAGCGACTAGATTCATGTCACAAGTGTGGCCTGGCTGTAGACACCATTGTTTCCACTGTCGATCTTGTTAACTGCAGGTCATTTGGTGTCCAAATCTTCAACGTTACCCCCACCATTGTCATTGATAAGTGTGATGGTGGTCAAGTCTACTTGAGCAAGAACTGCTTGGATGTCGAGATTTTGACTGCAAAGACATCCGCCGTCAACATTCTTGTGCCTGAAAGCCCTGCCGAAGACGCAGAATTTGTAGAGCTTCCTGTCCCAGAGCAGTTGAAGAGTACCATTGTTGACGGCAAGGTCGTTACCGTTGCCGTCGAACATGCCGGTTAATCAATAGACTGGTGATGTGGTTTTATCATTTTTTGAAAGAAAAAAAGAAATATTTCATTCATAAAATACTGTAATTGTTCGCTTAAATAAAAAAAGAAATAAGCTGAACAATGGCTAGAAAGTGTAATTGATTGGCCGTCTCGACATACCCTAACCCCGCCCATGGCGCGCTCTTCCAACTAAGGAAACGTGAAGTGTTACTTGTGCCCGTCGACAACCTCCATTCATTCAATGCCAGCACCGAGTTCAAACTCTGGTAGCTCATCCGCTGAGGATGATCAAAAAGAATCAGTTTACTATGACCAAGCCACGGCGTTGAGTTTATCTCCCCATTTAGAGACACAGGTGTCCTCTATTTTACAAGTGAAGGATCCGTTAGATGCTCCGCAATTCGACCCTACAGAGTACATCAACCGCTTATTCCCCAATGGTGCGTTTGCTCACATAGTATACGTAGCATAAGGAGATAATCCAGGACTGTAGTTCAGCACTAATGAATTTTTATGACTGTTAGAACAAGCCATGGCATCAATGGACAGTGTGCTCGGCGTCCTTCGATCAAAACTCGACGAACTCGGTATCGAAATCAAACGACTCACGTCAGAACAACTAAATAAGGGTGCAGATAATGCTGAAGAGCTGAAAAAGGCGAGAAAATCCATCGAGGTATTTGGTGTATGTATGGCTACGAGAGCGCAATCATTGGATACTCATTGGAGTGAATGAAGGATTTGTTCATCAAAATTCAGGATATCAAAAAGAAGGCGGCTCAGTCGGAAGAAATGGTGCAGGAAATAACGCAAGACATAAAGTCGCTTGATTTTGCAAAGAGACATCTTACCCTGTCGATCACAGCTCTTAAACGACTACAAATGTTGGTAACCGCTGTGAGCCAGCTCGAAGTGATGATACAGAAGAGGCAATACAAAGACAGCGCTCAGCTTCTCCAAGCAGTGCTTCAGTTGATACAGCATTTCAAATTGTACAAAAGTATACCACAGGTGGCTGAACTTTCCAAGTCGATTGCTGCGCTACAGACTGATCTGAACACCCGTGCGCTGCAAGAATTCAAATCTGCGTGAGTAGGACGCAAAACAGTTGAAAGTTTCGTGACAACCTCTAATCAAAGGTGTACAGGTTCAATTCGGATGGATCCATGACGGGTTATGCTAGCGTATTACACGACGCTTGTTTGGTAGTCACCGTTTTGGGAACAGAATCTGTGTAGGTTATGCGTTTTGATGAGGTGGCTCGGTCATATTCAACAATTCTGACCATCGCCTTTCTATAGAAATTCTCTTACCGATTGGTACGTTGATTTGCAACTCAAAACTTATAGAAATCTGTTCCGATCTGGATTTGAGGTAATTTTTTTTTGTTATCTTTAATGACTGAAAGCAACCATACGATTAGTTACTAAGTGGAATTTGTAGGTGTCAGATCTCGACAATGTATCCCGTCGATATGCTTGGTTGAAGAGGACTTTGAATACATGTGATGAGGAGCACGGCTCAATATTCCCCCCGTCATGGCATGTCAGTGAAAAGATATGTCAGAGCTTTTGCAAAATTACAAGGTAAGCAAAGATATGTCATCTCCTTGCTCATTGAAGTGAAGAATGAAGCTCTTACGCCGCCCGCCCAGTGACGACTTGAAGGAGGTGTTGGCAAAGAAGCAACAGCAGATTGATGTGAAGGAATTGCTCAAAAGCTTACATTTGACCATCGAATTCGAGAATCAGTTGTCGAAGCGCTTCAGCCAACAGAGCCAGAAAGATGATACCCATCGACAGCCTTTCAAATTTGAAAAGTCTATATCTTCTGTTTTTGAACCATACCTTGGATTGTACATTGAAGCGGAGGATGGGTACGTGGTTTAAAGACAATTTTGATACTCCACCCCATTTTTTCAAATATCCTAACTATGGCAATGTCTCAGCGCACTGGCCGGAATGATAGAAGAATACAAGACGTCTGATCTGAACTTGGAACTCGATGCCACCACTGTGGTTTTGCCTTCTAGTACAGATCTGTTCTATTTCTATCGTGAAACTCTTGTTCAAAGCGCTAGATTATCAACAGGGAAGGCTTTCTTTGATCTATGCAATCTTTTTGGAAAGCATCTGGATAATTACTGTACAAATGTGCTACTAGGAAACTTACCCAGGTAAAGGATCAAAACTTGCTGCTGCATGGGTGGGATGAAAGGAGATTGAATGATGGTGTATCTGATTCCATGATATTAATCCGCATAAAGGGACGAAAAGCGACCTTTAGAAAATGAACAGATACGATTCGCATGCTACATTTTGAATACTGCGGATTACTGTGGAATTACAACGCTACAGGTACTATTTCATGCTGCTTACCACGGTAAAGGCAACAGGACTAACATAGCAATCAGTTGGAGGAAAAGCTGAAGGAGAAGATCGACGATAAATGGAAAGATCAGGTCGATCTACAAGCACAGCGTGATAACTTCTTGAAGTGAGTGGCATACACGTCTTGTATTCTTCTCATAGTATATTGACACCCTATGTATGATTTCCCAGTGCGGCTTCGGTGTCCATTGGAGCGCTGATAAGAGGAGTTCTTGGTCAATTTGATCCTGCGTATCAAGCTATGGCCAAGATTTCTTGGGGCTTGGTGGAGTCTGTTGGAGACCAGTCATCCTATGTCAGCGATTTACAATCATGCCTTGTCAATAGCATTACGATTATGGGAAAGACTATAGGAACTAAACGCTATTTCAGGACTTTTTGTGACCGCTTTGTCGAGTGAGTGTTAATTCCAAAGATTGTGGCGGTACCTCGCGCTATTCTTTTTGCTAACATGGTGCGGCTTATCTAGGGCATTTGTCACTCGACACCTGGCGAATATAACAAGATGCCGGCCAATTTCAGAGGTCGGAGCTGAACAGGTATATATGGGGGTATAACTTATCATTCATGTGGCTGTCACTCACGAATTATGTGAACACTAGATGCTGCTTGATATCCATGCGCTTAAAACCACCATTATGGATATGCCGTTCATGGGCACGGAAGGTTCCGTTGCTGTGCCAGCATCGTAAGTTGATATATACGTGCGTTTGTCGATGTATACAAGATACAGCTCTCATGACGTTCTCTCTTCGCAGATTCGCAAAGCTTGTAAATAGAGGTTTTAACAGAATGGAGACCCTTTTAAAGGCAGTCATGACACCATCTGATCCTGTGGAGGGATTCATTGAGAGCTACATCTTCTTGATAGCGGATAAGAGCACCAACAACTTCCAGAAGATCATGGATATAAAGGTACGTGATACTGTAAGGAGCACATGGAACAAGGATATAATATTCATACATTGCTTGATATCAGGGTATTCGGAAGGCAGACCAGCCTCAGGTGATGGAAGCTTTCCAGAAACGGATAAGCAGCGCTGAAACGCTAGCTGATAGCTCAGATATACTGGGCAAGCTTGATTTGCCCGCAACAAATGTGCTCCCCAGTTCAATTTCGACGTCCTTCAATACCATTGCGAATACCGCTAGTAATTTTAATACCGCACAGTTCCAACAATTGGGAATTCGAAGTGCTGTCGGACAGTCAACGTCCATGAATAGCCCAATTTCACCTACAGGCGATGGTACAGCCAAAGGAAGATTGAATGAAAACTTTAGAAAGCTGGTTATGACGGGCATGAACTTCCGTAAAGATCTACAGGAGAGACGAGAGATTGCTAGTCGGCAAGCTAAGCCAACCTGAGCTGAGCTCACTCCCACTATAAAATAAAAATACCCAATTTTAATCATATGGTTCTCCTTTCTTCGGCTTAACTTGGACGACTTGTTGCAAGCTAATTGCGAACATTCAGTTCTACATTTCACTCGAATTGTTCGAATGTCACAGAGGTTTAATTCTATCATTGACGCAGCATAATACACATCGTCATTCCTTGAATTTTGCATGATTTTATGAAAAAAAACGTTGTAGCTACAAAAGCTTCCATTGTTCACTAAACTGCGATTGGAACTCCAACAAGCTGTCTAAGGGCAATTTTTGTCAGTATGCTATGTATTATGGCTTTTGACTATAAAATATTCACAAGTATATTAATATCCTCTTTATTAGATAGAATTCACTGAAAAGTACAATGAGACCAAATGAACTCCTTTGGAAGAGGGAGATTGGCCAGAAATTCTCTGTTACACACTGGCAAGGCTCCACAGTAACACAAGTACCAATGATACTCAAAGAAAGTCCGGTGAATATTACGGGAAGCGATAAAGTATTCAGTTCATATTGGCTTAATGATGGCGACATTTTGTTTGGCACCAAAGATCAAAAGGTAACGTCACTTAATAATCAAAACTGTAAATGCGTCAATTTCGCTGCATGGCACAATATAATATCCGTGGTAATGACATTGGTATAAGTTGCTTGTTTACAACGTAAACCACGCCAAAAAATTTGACATACAGCTGCCATCGCCTTCTCCTATATCAATTACTCAAAAGCACAACGCCATATACTTGAGAGGTAGTCAACGAACGCAGAACTTCTGTCGTGGCAGTAATCATCTGCCCAAGAACTCAACGGTTCCCTTAGCTGGAATTCGAGCCATTAATGCCAATCCAGCCGGCACATTAATCGCCGTGGCGAGCAGTAACCCGTATTCCATCTACATACTTGACTTACCATCACTTTCATCAAACACCATACTACAAGGGCATACCGACGCTATATTTTCTGTAGCTTGGATAGACAACGAAACCGTTATAAGTGGTTCTAGAGACGGAACGATGAAATGCTGGAAAGTAAATGGAAACAAACAACAAAGTGTACAAGATCGATCGATTGAAATTCTAGAAGCCTTATGGAGCACAACTGAAATTGACAGTCAACGAATACGCGATTTAATATACCTAGACATGAAGGCAGTTACACTATCTTCCAATGGATTTCTGGACATATGGGATGTGGAAAAGCAGGCAGCTGTAAGTTTGTACATTGACCATCTTTTGGCTTCATATTTGATCTTTGACTAAGTTAATCCATTAGCAGGTCAACTCCATTTGCTTGCCTTTTCCTCTGGAAGCTGTTTGCATGGCTGGAAATAACCAAAATGCCACGGTAGCTGTTGGATCCCAAGCTCATGTGGCTGTTATGGATGCCAGATCTGGGTCCTCTGTTCACACGTTTCAGTCTGTCAATGACTACACTGGGGTACGGTCCCTTGATTACTGCGACTATATCATTACTTCAGGTGGAGGAATGGGGCATATAGGATGGTACGATTTGCGAGCGCAAAGATATTTGAAGATAGATGGACAAGATTTTCGCAGTGCAAGTGCAGGCTGGTTTGCAGTAGAAAACGACCTTCAAAGTAGTTCAGGGGGATGGCATGGAAATCCAACCAAAGCTATATATACTCTCAAATACAATCATCAGCGCACTAAACTTTTTGCAGCTGGCGGTCCCCTTGAAGCCAACTTCAAAGGTGCTTATGCAGGAGTATGGATGTAAAACTCTGCTCTAATAAAAGTGCTACCCCACCAAGATGTTCTTAACCTTTGTGTGTGTGCGAAAATCGCATGGAGACGAGTACCAAAGTCAATATTGCAGTCACACGACAAAAGTATTCTGTCTCACCTTACCCCACCACAGAAGTCGAATCTTTCTTGTCCTCGATAATATTACTTCGTATATAACTTGACTTGATGCCTGTTACTCGAGGTGATAAACTTAATGGCCGTATATTCGACTATGTCGTCATAGGAGGTATGTCTGGATATTCTCAGGCGAGATAATGTATAGGTTTATTGACGCTCTCGTGAACTGGGATAAGGTGGCACCGGAGGCTGCGTCCTAGCCAGTCGGCTTTCTGAGGACCCAGCTAACCGGGTTTTGTTGCTGGAGGCAGGTACAAGTGATGGAAATATCATGGCAGCTAGGATCCCCATGCTCTATCCCCGCTTACACGAGGACACTCGATACGATTGGGGGATTACGACTGTAAAGCAAAAGCACGCTTACGACCGAGAGTTAATTTGGCCGCGCGGAAAACTTCTCGGTGGCTGTAGTAATGTGAATGCTATGATAGTAGGTTTTCGAGGTCAAAAGAAAGTTGCAACTGTTGTGCCGACCATGGATTAATCCAATTTCACTCAAAATTTGTAGTTGCAACAATGTGCTCCCGCTGATTATGACTCGTGGGGAATTGAAGGATGGGCGTTCAACGACCTGTTGCCATATTTCAGGAAAGCGGAAACATATAACCCTGCTCAAAACATGCCGTATCACGAAGAGCTACACGGTATGATATCTCAAAAATCATTGTTGCAGACCATGGTTTACGTTAACATATGAGCTTCGCGGTATATAGGTAGGGATGGGCCATGGCATACGACCAGTGTAGTTGACCAGACGCCACTAGGCCATGCATTCTTAGACGCGTGTGAAAAAGAAGGCATTCCAAGAGTCCATGATATCAACGGCCATGTCAGTTGCGGCGCTTTAACATTCCAAACGTTTTCTTTCAATGGTCGTCGCTCCATGATATCCAGTGCATACTTATCCCCAAGCGTATTAGCAAGACCAAATTTGACAGTTGGCCTCGGATGCCATGTAACCAAGATTATTTTCAGTGCTGACGGGAGTGTTGCCGAAGCGGTGCAATACCAGACAAAGCAGAATGGCCATACCTTTACCGTTAGAGTAGCAAGAGAGGTTGCGGTGTGTGCAGGTGCAATCCAATCTCCTCAGGTAATACTATCGTTTAACTCTTCCTCCGTTTCTACGTAAATGCTCACTATCCAGACCAGATATTGATGCTTAGTGGAATCGGACCTGGTCGTCATCTGGAGGAACACAAAATACCGGTGATTCACAACCTTGAAGGTGTAGGTGAAAATATGGCTGACCACAATAGAATTCCTCTATTATACGAGACAATCCCGGGCTACTCTTTAAATGGCTTGCAAGCATCTATACCTAAACTCGTCTACAACTTTTACCGCGGCCTCGTACATAACGATGGTCCATTGACTCGCCCTATCATTGAAGCAGCAGCCTACTTCCGCATCCCTGTAAGCTATTTGGAAGCGTTTTTCATCACAAACTTATAAGTATATCTATGTGCTTATCTTTATTGTTCAATAGGACGGCCCTTGTAACGCTAGTGCATCCGACTCGCCTCATTTCGAAATTTTTGAAGCTCCCTATCTTATTAATCAGGACCCTCTGGTTCTCAAGAACACAGAAGGAACCAGCGTTTTTATCGTTCTATTAAGCCCATTCTCATTGGGCACTGTGCGCTTAGCCTCATCCAATCCTTGGAGCAAAGCGCTTGTGGATCCTAAAGTGCTATCCGATTCACGAGATGTAGAGCTCTACGTCGCTGCGTTCAAAAAGACCCTGGCTATAGTGAACCAACCTGGGTTTTCTAAATATCTGAAACGAGAGATTCAGCCTGGTCCTCTGTCTACGGATGAGCAAATTGCTGATTATGTGCGAAAAGAGATCGTAACAACCTACCATCCTGCTGGTACTTGTAAGGTATGTGTATTTTGCCACACCATCAAACGATAATTTCCATTGAACGCTCCTTTAACCTTCACGTTCAGATGGGCGCCAAAGCAGACTCTACTTCAGTAGTGGATGCGAATTTGATTGTACACGGCACCAAAAATCTCAGAGTAGTGGATGCTTCGGTATTCCCTCGTATTCCTGGTGGTCAAATCTGCTGGCCTGTCATCGCTACTGCCGAGAAGGCGGCAGATATGATAAAACATCACAAGCTGATGAACAATCCACCACGATACATCCTTGAGGCTAAACTTTGAGCAACGGATGAATTTAAGCATTATGGCATCTTTAATAATAGTTTAAATTCTTTTTATTTTATATTATTCAGTCAAAAGATTCTGACAATCTTGAAGGACAAAATACAATGAGGGGCATTTTTTTTTTCTCTCTCTCTCTCTCTCTCTCTCTCTCTCTCTCTCTCTCTACTTTCTCAAATCAGCGACTCTTATAGCAACTGCATTACGATGAGCTTCTAAACCCTCACGTTCAGCCAGCTGCATAACAGTGTCGCCCAGACGGTTAAGACCATCTGCAGTCAATTGTTGTGAAGTGATGTGTTTGACGAAAGTTAACGTGTTGACACCAGAGTACATGCGGGAGTAGCCATATGTAGGCAAGGTATGGTTGGTTCCGGAGGCGTAGTCACCACAGCTATAGAAGTTGAGGAGTACGTGATTTGTTAGTTTCATAACAAGGCTCGTTATTCAGTAGATGTGAAAGATCTTACCTCTCTGGAGAGTATGCACCGACAAAAACGCTACCAGCATTTTGAACAAGGGGAATAGCATCTTCAGCATTGTCAATGTGCAAAATAAGATGCTCTGGTGCGTAGTCGTTGGAGAAATCCATAGCTTCTGACAAATTGGCTACTCGCAGGGTGTAGCTCTTGGGGATGCTCTGTCTGACAATATCAACGCGTGGGAGTCGTGATGCTTGAACATGGATTTGTTCTTCAATCTCTGCCAATTTCTCGTCAGTAATACCGGCAGCAACAAGGACGACTTGAGAGTCGGCTCCGTGCTCAGCTTGGGACAAGAGGTCAGATGCAACATAAGCAGGGTTTGAGTTTTGATCGGCGACAACAAGAACTTCAGAAGGACCGGCAGGCATATCGATGGAAACAAGGCAAGAAGAGTCGTTTTGGGCAAGCATCTTAGCAGCTGTTACATACTGATTGCCAGGACCGCAAATCTTGTCAACCTTGGGAATGGTTTCGGTACCATAAGCCATGGCGGCAACAGCTTGAGCACCACCGGCAGTAACAACGTGAGTGGCGCCAACCTTGTGAGCAACGTACATGACGTCGGGAACAATACTTCCATCAGGGCGAGGAGGTGTGGCAAGAACGATCTGCTTACAGCCAGCAACCTTGGCTGGGATACCAAGCATCAAGGCTGAAGAGGGAAGAACAGCGGTACCACCGGGAACATACAAACCAACCTTCTCGATGGGTCTAGCGAATCGTGAGCAAACAACACCAGGCATAGTCTCGACAACTAAAGTTTCTCTATCCATTTGAGCGTCATGGAATTTGTAGATGTTGTCGTAGGCTTGATCAATAGCGGCCTTAGTCTTCTCATCCAACTGCATGCATTCAGGAGAGAAAGGTGCTTTGATGACAGTAGTGGGCAATTGAACACGATCGAATTTGGCAGTGAGCTCAAGCACAGCAGCATCACCACGTTCGCGAACAGCATTGATGATGGGAGTGACTCTGCTCATGATGTCGGAAGAGTTGATGATGGGTCTCTTCAAGAGATCCGCTCGCTCCTTTGATGAGATCTTAGTGGCATCGTGGTAATTCATTTTGATACGTCCACTCTCTGTAGCAACAGGTTGTGGAGCTGCAGCTGGTTGTGCAGGCGCTGCTGGTTTTTCGCTGTTGTTCTGTGCTGCCTCCCACTTGGGCTTTGCATTTCCAGGTCTGCGAGAGATCTTCAATGACTTCTTGTCCAAGTTCTTCTCAATGTCGCTGACAGAAACGCCAGCAGCAACACACCGGGTGATGGCGAAATAAATCAAATCTGCTGCTTCCCATGCGACGTCTTCCTTGGTGTTCGCTTCACACAATTCTTCGGCTTCCTCCATGATCTTGGCGTTAAGAAGCTTGGCATCATTGAACAGACGAGCAGTGTATGAGCCTTCTGGTGCATTTTGTTTGCGCTGGAACAAAGTCTTCTCCAAAGCGCTAATACCACTTTCAGCACCAAAGCATGACTTTGTGTTGAGGTGGCAGAATCCACTTCCATTTTGGCGAACTGTAAACTGAAGAGCATCAGCGTCGCAGTCGAATTGAACATTCAAAAGAGTTTGAGTGGCTCCTGAAGTGGCTCCCTTGTACCAAAGACCACGGGTTCTTGATTGATAGACACCAGTGCCAGTTTTAATGGATTCGGCAACGCTTTCAACACTGGAGTAAACGAGACCCAATGCAACCTTACGTTCATCAACGACCATGGTGGGGTAGAGTCCGTCGGCACGATCAGTGATAGCGGAGGCCATGAAAGCTTGACCAATGTTAATCTTGCCTGATTCTGCTGGAGAGGAGGTTGTCAAGAATTGCTTGGGAACGATAACATCTAAATTAACCTTGTCTAAGCTTGAGATCAACTCCAATTGGGGGGCGCGATCTGTCAAAACACAGATACGGCGAGCACCACCTTCAGGCAGAAGGTTCTTTTTGGCTGATACAGCGAACTCAACAACGTTGGAGTCCTGAGCGATGGTTGCTAAGTCACCGGCCAAAATGTAAACTGAGGGCTGATGGGCGGCTTGCTGAATTTTGCTCAGGGACTGACTTGAGCCGACAACCACACCGAGTCTTTGGGGTGAAACGTGGTTGATATCGTTCTCAATTTGAAGGTAGGTATCAAGATTGAAAATGATCTTGCCGACACCAGCGTCGAGTAGCTTCAAGGCATCGTCAACGTTGGAAGCGCACAACCAGTAAGTGGCCTTTGAGTCATTTCCAAGAACGCTTTCGTAGTTAGCAATGGTGACATTTTCAGCAAGAACATCCGAGAAGAAAGCTAAAAAGTCTTTCTGTGAGCCATTAGACTCGTCGAAAGCGGGAATTATCATGTCGAAATGAAGAGGTAGAGGGAAGTCTTTCTAAAACACACCACAAAAAAGAAACTGCAAGGTACTCAAAAATGTGTCATTGCAGCTGTGACTGCATTTCGGTATCTCATCAATTTTTATTATTAAATTCAATTACGCCTCGCCATTAGTTTCGTCGGGAGGAAATCCATCATCAACCTTTCTTCTGAATATAGTGATCTCCTGCTGCTTGAAATAACGTCTGTTCTCCTCATCTATGAGAACAAGATTAAGATAATATCTCGTGGAATACTTCTTGTTGATGTCTGCGAAACGATGAAGAGTTAGGTAAGTGTGCCATCTGTTGTGGCGCGTGGTTCATCATTACTTACCGCGGAAAGTAGGCGTCAGCTCAAAACCTCCCAAGAATAGTCTGATAGGAATGGTCTCTCCTGTTGTAGAGAGCAATGGTCAGAAACAAAAATAACTTGCAAGAACAGGTGAATTTGAAATATACAAACCCCGCACAGGAGCACCGTCCATAATCTCAAACTTGGTGATCGTTTCGCTTTCATTGTAAAGATTAGGGGCTATAGAGTAATGATCAGTTTCAGAGCCATTCAAAGATATTACTTTTGAATTTACATACCAGCACCAGTGGTTTCGCGTCTGATGATAGATAGTTCCATATGTTTGATCTTGATACGTACAAGTAGGAAGTAGATTTTACCTACAATGACGTCCTTCATATGGTACCTAAGCAAGACATGAAAAGGTCGATCAATGAGTCAATCTAATGAGAACGTCGAGTTACTTCATCAGGTTTCAACTTACATGGACTTGTTGTATTCAAATTCAATATGCAGGCAATCCTCAATACCAACTTCCATTTTAATTGAGTTGTTGAGGTCAGCGGGCAATGTGTAGGAATAAACCCAAATATCTCGCTCCTTGACCAAATCTGCCATTCTTCGCGCTGCAGTGACACGCACAAAGTATCTATATTGCAGTTATCGAGTTGGTCAAAATGGCTCCAGAAGGAATACTTATCGTACCACGTGCACCTACCTTAGCTTGGCATTGATTCCATAGTAGCATTCATATTGTTTTTCAACGTTTTTGAACTCAAAATCAAAGCTGGTGGCCTGTCTCATGTCACCGGGGGCTGCTAATTCTTGAGATAACGCCAAAAACTCGGTCGTTTTGCTACCACTTTGTGTAAGGTCTACCCAGAGGAGCAATAGTCAGTCGACAATGAACACGGTTTTTTCAATCGTTGATGATGAAGCCTACCTATGCTACCGACGAATTCAATTTTGATGCCGTTATGTTCAACCTTCTTTCCGTCTCTAGGTCTGATTGTCACCTTAGTTCATAAGAGGCTGATTAGTATGACATTCTTGGCATTCATACTGTTCGATGTGCAGCTAGAACGGAACTCAGGCATGAGGCAGAATGAACTGTACCTTTCCTTTGACGGTTTCTCCATCCAAATACAAAGGCATGGATTCACGATGATCTTTATCAACCTTGACGTCTACATGCTTTCGGTGCTCCTCGCCTGCGAAGGTGATATCAATGTCCACAGGGGTAGAAAGTCCAAATAAACTCTAAAGATTGTTTTAAACAGGTTCAGTATGTCAATATATAGTCGTACATGATACTAATGAGGTACGTACTGCCATAGCCATCTTGGAGAAGGATTGAGGTCTAAATGATACTGGTTAGCTGCAGTTACTTGGGCGGCGGCATTTGCTTCGCAGCGCGGAGTTATAAGTCACCTGACTTAGCTCTAACATGCAGCCAGGAAACGGAAAGTGTATGAAGTATAGAGCCCATGTTATTGTAATGTTATAACCTTCGAGAATAGATATATTTGAATAGCAATTAAACTGATAGTGTAGGTGATGGCGCTGTTGTTGAGAAAGATGCCTCCAATGGATACATTATGTTCAGCTGCCAAGTTATTAGCCATCTGTTGTGAATTCATGCCAACAAAGATATCGAATGAAAGAAGAAACTGGCCAGTAGGAAGAGCTCCATGTACTCATAATTAGGAATTTACTTCGGTCTTTTACTACCTTCATTACGATCACAGTTCGCGAAGGGAGCTTTGTCGAAGATACTTTGTGACAAGACTGCTTGCCCCGATTGGGCACAAAATTTACCGCATTTTTTTTTTTTTTGCCTATGCGTGCAGTTTGAATTGAGACGCTTGGAAGACCTTAACATGTTGACAATAGAAACCATTCCGCAGAACGTCTTGATAGAGTTGGCATTCTCTTTGGATCCAGCGGACATTGCCCGCTTAGCACAAACATGCAAAACTTTCTTTCAAATCTACTCTAGTAATGAGTTGTGGAGAAGGTAATGTGTCCGACTTAACTTCACCTTTCACTTTTACACTACACCGTTTGACCTTTCATAATTCCATGCAGCAAAACTCATCACGATTTCGGAAACTTGTTTGCTGTGTATCACATTCTTACAACTTCTGGTTTGGAGCTTGATCCAGCTTTAGGCGCTAAATTTGCCAATGAACCAAGTAATTGGAGGCAGTATTATATCGAAAAAAACAATGCTGTAAACGGAACCGACGCTCAGAATAACGCTTTACTCCACGAAGGCGAAGAAGAGTATATCAAAGCCCAAAAGGACCTTCAATCGTTCCAAGATAGTCAAGATGTGACGATCTTGAGCCGCGTTGCTTCCAAGCTAGTTTGGATTCTAGGTAGGCTAAAGAATTCTCTGAACGCTTCGCGAAACAGATCACTGAAGCTTTCTGTCAAAAAGATGTGTTCCCTGGTCATGCTGGATGTTACCACCTTCTTGGATTTATCCTGTATATCCTCAATAGGTTGGAAGAGGCGATGATGTTATTAGATTTTGGTCGAACTGTCGACCCCGAGTATGAGCCTATTGATGGTACGTATTTCGTACTCTAAACCTCCTATTTACAGCTGGGTACTTATGGGTTTACTTTATTTTAGACTTAGAAGAGGAGATCTCTAAAATTCTTAATGGTTACAAAGGGAGCGAAGGTATAGTTTGCTGCACTAGCCGTCCCAAATCATCAACCCCATTCAAGTACTAACTTTCCAAGTGATATTAGAAGAGGAACCTTTAATTAAAGATCACGAGCTAACACCAAAGCTTGCCGAAGTGCTGAGTGAGATTTTCGAAACATTTGACCAAGATCATGATGGCGCACTCAACAACCAAGAACTTGGCAACTTCATCTTTACCACAAACGGATCCCATCCTCCTCCACAATTTCTAGTTCAAATTGCTCAAAGGTTTGGTGGAACAGAACGCTATTGGCTTACAAAGGATGGATTTTTGGTAAAACGCAGTTCCCATAAGTTATCAATTGTTCAAATTTCTAGTACTAATCGCTTCGTCCTTAGGCATTTTATTTGGAGCAAACGTTAGATGACCCAACAGAGACGCGGAGTGATTTGTCAGTACACGGTTACGATGGACAAACGTTACAAAAGATGATGCAAGAATAGACGTACTTCAACAAACTTGCATTTCCTAGAGCCACCAAATTTCAACGATTCTCTCGTCGCTTTCTTTGGGAGGAGAGGCTTTTTATTTTTTCACAATTCACTTTTTACGACCACCTATCGTTATATACCGTTAGTGGCTGAATACATAAAATATGCAATAATTGTTCTAATACCAGCGTAGCAATGCAAAGCCGGTAGGCGGTCATCTACTTCTTAATGTAAGGTGCAAGTTTTCTGAGAGCCACGACAGCGTCTTCCAAAACGTCGTCTGATTTACAGAAAGCAAAGCGAGCAAAATCCTCAGCGAGGTTACGGTTCTCTTTGGAGTAAAATTCGGATGGTGGGATGGCAACAACTCCAATTTCCTTGGCGAGCCAATAGCACATTTTAAAGTCTTTAGCGCGAGATTCCAAAATATCAGGGAACTCATAGTTGTTGGGGAATTGCACGTTGGTTGTGTTAACAAGAATGAAATAAGAGCCATCGGGTACTGTATAGGGTAAACCAAGTTCATCAAAGACAGCTGATAGAATCTGTCTCTTCTTAGTATATGCCTTGATTTGATCTTGGAAATAAGGTAAATCCTGACTCTTTTCCAAGCCAATTGCCAATGCTTCCTGGCAAGGAGAATTAACACAGAACACAACACGAGTATGTGCGGCCAGTGAGTACTGAATAAGTTCGTTAGGACCAATTAGCCATCCTACACGCCATCCAGTAGCAGCGTATGACTTGCCGCCAGAGCCAACAGTTATCGTTCTATCCCAAAAGTTCTTCAAAGTGGCAATGCGAACTTGTTTGGCGGGTTCATAATAGAGGCGATCGTACTGTGGGACAAGGCGTTAGTATACAGTCAATTCTCAATACGCAGGATTCCAATACTCACCACTTCGTCAGATAGGATAATCAGGTTGTGTTCCTCAGCAACGTCACCGATGGCAATCAATTCCTCTTCGTCAAAGACTTTTCCAATTGGGTTGTGAGGAGTGTTGATCACAATCATTCTTGTTCTCTTGGTGATTTTGCTACGAAGCTCATTGATATCCAACTTCCATTCATGCGAAGAAATGTTCTCGGTTGCTGCCTTGGCTGGGGCTCTCAATGGAACATAAACGGGGACACCTCCATTCATGGTGATATTAGACTAGAAAAACGACGCAGTAAGCACAAATAATGGAGACATTGAAATGAGCTGAGCTCTTGCACTTACGATATATTGATCAAAAAATGGTTCCATGCAAATAACTTCATCGCCTTCATCCAGAAATGCCGCAAAAGTAGCAAACATTCCTACGACGCATATGGTCAGGAACGTATGGACACAGTGGCAACTCGTGCTCCCAGATAGCATCAATAAATACCTTCATTTGCGCCAGCAGTAACAATCACTTCAGATTCGGGGTCAAGTTGTCGTCCGAAAAGTGGGCTGTACGATTTAGCCAAGGCTTGTCTCAGCCTAGGTCGTCCTCGTGGGTGACTTGAAAAAACACATGAGTAATTCAGCGCGGATCTAAATTTTGAAGCATCGTCATACAACATCTATACCTGTACTGATTGGATCCAACGTCATGAATGGCTTGGTTGGCGGCTTCCTGTACGAAATCAGGGGGGTTGAAGCTGAGCAAATAATTAGTTACCGTAGTGATGTGACGGAAGCATATGGAAAATGTCATACTTCATGAAACCTTGTCCTAGATTGATGGCCTTTGTTTCTACAGCCAAAGGTGTGAAAATAGACCATACTAAAACATAGCATCATCAGGAAAATTTTAAAATGTAAACTTTAGCAAACTTGATAGCTGTGGATAGTCATAGGCTACAGTGGTCCTAAAGAGCTAGGTTGCATAAGTCTAACATACCATCACGTTCGAAATGAGCAACTTTTTGGGAGGGCCCAATAGCTGGCTTCTTCAAATTATTAGACATGTTAAAACGTTTAGTTGTCAAGGATTGTCTCGGTTTACAAGTTGAGTAAACTATCGAATTTCCGAGGCGATTGGCGTTACGAGCAATGTTCCTCAACATGCAAAAAGTGACCTGCCCTGTCAAAGGTTGAGCCGACGAAGTCAGCGGAGTCATCGTGACTGCGAATGGTGCAACGCCTTTAAGCTGGGGAAGGATGGTTTATGAACTTTATTGTTGGACCTTGCATACAACCCGTCTTCAATAAAGGTTTTCAAATAGCTACTGTTACACTTTTTTCTGTCATAATATTGTTTTTTTTTTTGTTAACTGAAGCCTTTGTCTAAAAGCTATACAGAACGATAAATTTAACATGAACAATTGGAAAGAGGTAATAAGTAATATCTACAAGCATGTTACGAAGAACGGAATATTTCCCAAAAGAAACACGTATAAAATGTTTACTTCTTTGCGGTCGCGAGATGTTTCGTATGGATATGCTCCATTCCGGTGTCATCATAATTTCCACGACAAACAGGGATCGTCTGAATCCAGCTATCCTGCAACACTTGATCGATGGATGGCCGCTCAGCAGCATTGGGGTCAAGCATATTGTACATAGTAGGAGCTGAACCGGCCGGTAGCTTCGTAAATGGTTCAAAAGCTCGAGATTCTCTGGCTTTGACATACAAATGGTAATTGGGATCATCTTGCTTTGATACCCTCCACGGTATCGATCCGGCTTGCATGCTATAAAAGATGATAGCACTGGACCATATGTCGACCTTGATGGCATCGTAAGGTTCTTTAGCCCATATTTCTGGTGCAATATACGGTTCGGAGCCATATACACCATCACTTAGGTGTCGCTTTTTCTCCCATGTCATTTGCACAACGTCCGAGACACCAAAATCGGTTATCTTCAAACAATTGCCGGCCAGCAGCAAATTTTCAGGTTTGAGGTCTCGATGTGCCACACCAACTGAATGCAGATATTTTATGCCGTCCAGCAGCTGTCGGAAGTTGCAGTTAATTTCAGTTTCCGTCATCTGACCTGCCTTAATGGCAGTGAACAAGTCGCCACCATAGCACTGATAAGATAGCGTTAGCTTCAAAACCCGGCATAGTCAACAAAGACATCATGACATACATATTCCATAACAATGCACCAGCGCTTTTGTTCATCCATCACCAAATCGACTGTTTCCACAACATTCCTATGCCGGAAAGTGGAGCTAATGCAAAACTCGCTCGTCAGCTTCTTCATATAAGACTTTTCGCTCTCTCCTTTACGTCGTTTTCGATACTCCTTGACAGCGTAAAGCTTTTCTGTTTTTGAAGTCTTATCTAACTTGTGTGCTAGTCGAACGACGGCTGTGGCCCCTTTGCCAATACTACCACGTTCGCAAACTCCATATTTTGATAGCAAAGATGTACTTTCGACAGCTGATGCGACGCTTGGTGCTTGATGTGTCGAGGATTTGTGCTTCTCATGATGACCATCAGTAGAGTTATATTCCATGGTCGACTGTCTTGACACGGACGGTGTTCCATTTGGATGAAGAAACTTGTTCACAAAACTCAGTTTCTTTACATGCTTTGGTTTGTTGGGATCGGTAGACGATAGCGTGCTGGTGCGACTTGAAGAGACAACCGCACCGCTATCAGAGGGTCGTAGTTGGCTATCTTTGTTGGAATCTGTTATGGCTCCTCCTGCCATTGTATCGATGATGAGTTATCGATAACAACGCTTGTAAAGAAAGTTCAGTACGCAGAGCAAAGAAAAAGCGAAAAGGCAAATTTCCTGAGTTTGGTGAAATTTGGGCTGTCGCAATCAATCAACGTCCACCAGTTCTTTTGCCTCGTGACTTTCGAATGAATCATCAATTTTCCAAATGCCGAAATTCAATGACAAAAATTAGTTTCTCGGAATCTCGATTGTTATGATCAGCAGCTAGTGTCTAATAGGCCAACTGTAATGCCTTGAGTTTTGACATTCAGGCCCTCAAATAATATGATTAATTTTTCTAACAAGGCGTATGCTCCACCAGACTATAGATAAACAAAGAAGCCGTCTAAAGCCTAGATGCCGACGTAGATGGGACTCGAAAGCAGTGCTTTGATTCGTGTACCTTTTCATATGTCTTACTTAGGAGCCAACACGCTGCTTTACGTAAAAGTAGTATTTTCTCCATCATAAGGTCAAACGGGAAGGCAAATATCTCACGTAACTTTCGCCGACAGAACGGCATGAAATGTTGCAACGAGAACGTCCAGAACATTGGTTAGTCACCCAATCCGATGGCGAAACAGCGGCGTACATGCAGCATATTTTTACTTTCGGGATATATGGCCGTTATCAGAGTGCCACAACTCTCACAGGGACTCGGTGTTAGTACATTGTCAAGCTTTAACGATGACAGGTATAATGATAATAACCCGCTTCTAATTGGACGCCGAGAAAATCTGACCAATGGGCGGACTCATCTGACAAATAGTCGAGAGTCTTGATTTTGATTTCCCACACCACCTGTTCATATTTAAGGTCAACTTTCTAGACTTCTTGATACTCACGCGAGCCTTATGCTTCACTCAGTCAGAAATCTTAAAACTCTTTCACGGCAAGGCCATCTGTTCCGAACAGCTTTGGCTTACCAGCCAGTCAGGACACTGGCTACTGCTGTTGGAAACGGAAGGGTTGGTGCTCATACAAATGAAAAATCGTTCTTCCCTGACGAGCCCGAGTCCCCATCTGTCAAAACCGCTATCCCCGGACCGGCTTCCAAAGAGATTATGAGCAGATTGAACCAATATCAGGACACGCGTTCGGTGTTCTATATCGCAGGTATGATTAGCTTACAGCATATATTCGGTGACGCTGAGCGATACATTGAAGTTGACATCTAAGGGACTCCTGTCAGATTTCCACAAATCCAAGGGAAATTATATCGTTGATGCAGATGGAAACGTTCTCTTAGACATATTTGCGCAGATTGCATCCATTCCTATTGGATACAATTCGCCTGCTTTCTTGTCATTGGCCTCCTCTCCCGTCTTTCAATCCGCACTTGCCAACAGACCTGCCTTAGGTGTTAACCCTACCAAAGACTGGGTAGATACCGTGGAGTCGGCTTTCATGAGTGTAGCTCCTAAGGGTATGCCCAATGTTTTTACAGCTATGTGTGGTAGCTGTGCAAACGAAAATGCTTTCAAAACAGCTTTCATATACAAGGCTGCCAAAAACCGCGGCGAGCAGGACTTTAGCTTAGAGGAACTTCAAAGTTGTATGAAGAACCAAGCACCAGGTTCTCCTGATATGTCCATTCTCAGTTTCACTCAAGCGTTCCATGGTCGTCTGTTTGGATCGTTGACTGCTACCGCAAGCAAGGCTATTCACAAAGTTGACATCCCGGCTTTCGATTGGCCAAAAGCAACATTCCCTCTGCGAAAGTACCCATTGGAGGATAACGTTGAATACAACCAGAAGGTGGAGAAGGAGTCTCTTGCTGAAGTTGAGAAATTGGTCAAATCGTGGAAGAGCCCCGTAGCCGCCGTTGTAGTCGAGCCTGTGCAATCGGAAGGAGGTGATAACCACGGTACGTAATTTAGCAGGCTAAGTGTATTAATGCATGCATTGACTTATGCGATATATAGCATCCCCCGAGTACTTCCGTGGTCTTCAAAAGATTTGCCAGGACAATGACGTACTTTTTATCGTCGATGAGGTCCAAACCGGTGTGGGTGCCACTGGTACCTTCTGGGCTCATGAAGCATGGAACTTGCCATCTCCTCCAGATCTTGTCACTTTCTCCAAGAAGTTCCAAGCAGCTGGTTTCTATAGCCACGCCAAGTTCAGACCTGCTCAGCCTTACAGACTTTACAACACTTGGATGGGTGACCCGGTCAGAGCCATGCAGGCCGCAGCAATTGTACGTGAAGTGCAAGATAAGAACCTGTTGGAAAATGTCAACAGAGTTGGTGAATATCTTCAAAAGGAATTGAAAGATATCAGCCGCAAGCATGGAAAACTCGAGAACGTTCGTGGTCAAGGAACCTTCATCGCTTTCGATTTACCTACGCCTCAAGAAAGAGATGCCCTTATTGGCGAGATGAGAAAGAATGGTGTGAATATCGGTGGATGCGGTGACAGAGCCATTCGCCTCAGACCTATGCTGACATTCCAAATGAAGCACGCTGATATTTTCCTTGATACTCTAGAAAAAGTTATTGCTGCCTAAGTGCATAGTTTTAGCAAAAAGAAAAAAACATAATTAAAACGTTTATGTCCTGTTTGATATACCTCATCCACAAGAGTGCCTGACACGTTGTCACTCATTCATTGCCCTGAAATTTTTCCTCAATGTGCCACAAAAAATATAAAAAAGATCAAATTGCAGCTCAGGTGGACCTTGCTCATTCCTTCTCAGAAATCTTCAGCCAAGCTTGTCGCTATGAGCGAAAAGCAAAAGGAAGAGTTCATTAAGCCGAAGATAACTTCGGCTCACGACTACAGAGCATATTTCCGTCAAGCCTTAGATGCCAGCAAACGCCAACCATTTACCGATTTCCAAATTGCAGCTTTCGTTACTGTTATAGCTGGCATAGTCCGTTTGTATAAGATCTGGGAACCAACGTCCGTTGTGTAAGTAAATCTCTCGAGATTTAACCGATTGACAGCTGTTTAGCTCGCTTATACGAAAATGTTAGGTTTGATGAAGTTCACTTTGGTAAATTTGCCGGCAAATACATCAATCACACATACTTCTTTGACGTCCATCCTCCGGTAAATCCTTTTGCCTAAATATCGCGCATATTTTTGATCCAGTGTCTCTAACATTAACCTAGCTTGCAAAATTATTGATTGCTGGGGTCGGTAGTGTGGCAGGATATGATGGTTTATTTGATTTCAACAATATTGGAGAGTAAGCCAAAATTCAGTTATGCATGAATCGTCAAAAATGGATTTCCTAAAGTAAATGCGCCTACAGTGATTATCTAGCACCAGCAGTTCCTTACGTGTCGATGAGATTATTCTGCGGCATTCTTGGTCTCCTCACAATACCCATGAGCTATATCACCGTCAAAGCTAGTGGTCACTCAACAGCAGCTGCGCTTGTTGCCGCAACGCTTGTTTGCTTCGGTAAGATGTAATGCTAAACTTTAGGACAAGCGAACAATTATGTCTGATTACAGGTCAATTTATAGAAAATGGTTTTGTGGCAAACAATCGATTGATCCTGCTTGATTCGCCCCTTCTCTTCTTCATCTCTTTCACGATCATGGCTTGGATGAAATTCTCTGATCCAAGACTCCAGCCATTTTCATTCCAGTGGAAAATATGGTTATTCCTTACGGGTCTCGGACTAGGATGCTCTATAAGTTCAAAGTGGGTTGGCCTCTTCACCATAGCGACCGTCGGCTGTTCGACGATCAAAGGCTTGTGGGATATTTGGGGTGACTTATCTGTGTCGCCTTCAGGTTTCGGACGCCACTTTATCAACCGAGTCCTTTACCTCATCATAGTCCCTATTCTGATCTATATATTTGCATTTGGTGTTCATTTCACTGCCCTTCCATTGTCTGGAGATGGTGATACACATATGTCACCGGCATTCCAGCAAACCTTGAAAGGAAACGAAGCCCCCGCAACCCGGGCAGGTTCGTACATAGAAATGGCTCTGGAGTGCAATTGATTCAGTAGCATGACTGACATTTGACAATCTATTTCTAGATGTTGCTTATAACTCGATCATATCCATTAGACATCTGAAAACCAATGGTGGATATCTGCATTCTCATTCCTCACGATACGAAACTGGCAGTGAACGTAAGTTGAATGGTAATGCTATAGTAGATGTCAAGTTATTGACAAGTTGTATAGAGCAACAAATCACTCTTTATAGCTTTAGAGATGACAACAATTTGTGGAAAATTCGAAAAGGAGGTGAAGATCAAGTAGAGAATGCTGATGAATTGGAGTGGGTCAAAAATGGCGACATCATTCGTCTAGAGCATGTATCAACCAGCCCAATCATGCTGCATAGTCACGACCATAGACCACCAGTTACTGAAGAAGAGTATCATAATGAAGTCAGGTTGGTGCTTTAAAGAAACGTCCCCTTATTATCTCAGCGAAGCAAATACTTTGAATACTGATCTTGATTTTTGCGAATTCAGTGGATATGGATTCAAAGACTATGAAGGAGACGCCAATGACTATTGGAGAGTGGAAATTGTAGATCACAGCTCTTCGTCGCCGGCTGCTGGTGAAAGATTACAAGCTCTAAGATCTGTATTCCGTCTCATACATATCAATGAAGGCTGCACTTTGTTTTCACACAGCGTCAAACGTAAGGCTATCTTTATTGTCTGGATCCACAAATAATAAGTACATTTGTCGCTAACTAGGCTACATAGTGCCGAAATGGGCTTTTGACCAGCAGGAAGTAACATGCATCAAAGGCGGTACTATGCCCAAAACTCAGTGGTATATCGAGCAAAATGACCACCCTCTGCTTAATGAGACCGCCGAACTAGTATCATACGAAAACCCGGGATTCTTCAAAAAATTCTTGGAATTGAACAAGGTTATGTGGACGTCCAATGCTGGATTGGTGGATAGCCATCCGTATGATTCTCGCCCACCAAGTTGGCCGATCCTACAACGAGGTATATCAATGTGGTCGCAGGATGAGAAACAAATATATCTGCTCGGCAATCCACTCATCTACTGGGGATCAACATGGGCTATATTTTCATATCTCATTGTACGAGGCGTTCTCATTTTGAGGCAACAACGCGGATACTCTGACAAAATCGGGATTGCTGGTCGCTACTTTCAGGATTCTATTGGATTCTATGTCGCCGGATGGACATTCCATTTTCTGCCATTCCTTTTGATGGGTCGCCAATTATTTTTACACCACTACATGCCAGCTTTGTACTTTGGTATCCTAGGATTTGCCGCTGTGTTTGATCTGTTGACCAAGAACTTACGATCCACCAAGAAAATCTTAGCTACTACTGTTCTTATTGCTGTTATTGTGGGAGTCTTCATGGTATATGCTCCAATCACTTATGGAACAACTTGGACAAGAGATGACTGCTTACGCTCTAAAGTTATGGACAAATGGGACTATAGCTGTGACACGTATCTTGATAGAAATCCATTGAAACCTATTATCACCGAAGCACCTTCTATTCATTTACAAGAAGAGAGTGCACATTTGGAAGTTGTCTCGGCTAATGACAAAGATATGAATGTCGAAACCAAATCAGAGAGCCCAATGCAGCCAACACCAAGCGCGCCTATGGACGAGCACAGTGGCGAATTTGGCGATGAAGAAGACGGCGATGACGAGTGGTACCGGCTGAACAGACCTGGTGATCCGGAGGAGGAGGAGGAGGAGGAGGATGAAGACGACGAAGAAGATGATGAAGATGATGAAGAGGAATAGAGTGTTAAATAGAGTCCCTCTCGCAAATTGGATGTAAAACGACTGATACACGATTCATCTTTTCAGACTAAACTACCTTGTTTATTTTTTGGATTTGGATGATCCGTATCAGCGGAAGATGCTACCACTCTCCATTAAATTGTTCATACTCGCATTATTTCTTGTATCCTTTGTTTATTTATCACAACTTTTAGAGAATAGTTGGGTAGTTGTTATGCAATTTGTATGACCTGTTTCTTATGGTCTTCTATTTAATTCTGAACATCAAGTTCAGGAGACATCCAAGTATCGAAATCCTCTGAGTTTGCAGGGTTTCCAAACATTTTCAAAGCTGATACTCTGATATGATACTTTCCAGTCGGGAGAGCTTTGACTCCTGTCACAGCCTGACTATGCACGGTACCATTGGAAGCGACACGTAGGTTGTGGTGGAAGGACGACCGGAGAGTTCCGGTGGAATACAAAGTTGGTAACAGCTTGTTACGCGAAGTAGCTGCCTCAAATGATTCAGCAACATTGCCACGCCACTCTAGACCGAGAATATCGTGCGAATCCATGATATCGTTTCGACCTAGGAAAGTGTCATAGCCACCAGGGATTGTTCCCAAGGTCTTTGATTTTTCAGCAGCGCTGACCACATCGATAACCACCATCGCACTAGCGGAGGAGAGCTGGAAGACAATCAAACCTGGGCTAGTGCTGCTAATGACGTTCTTGGTTGGCAGTTCCACCATTGGCAATGTCGAGTTTTGGAGAAGGACTCCCATGTCATGCAAACTGGCAGTAAGTCCAGCATACGGAACATGCACATCGGAATTGGTTCTTTGGTCGTGGATAACAAGATAACCAGAGTAGATTGTAGGCGGGATGGAACCGGAATTGGCCGGCGGATGAATGCGTACCAATACCTCAACTTTGCCTCCAGCTGGAACATTCACGGCCGATACTGAAAACTCTACAGAAGCTGCCGAACCTTGATCATTTGTATATTGGGGTTTGGTTAACGGGACCAATGATTTAGAGTAAGAACTGGGTCCATAAGCCTGGACGCTTGCTGCTGATAAATGTTTGAGTCTGAATTCCGTTGCGTCTTGACCGATGTTTTCAACTGTGATCTTGTACTCATTATTGGCGGCTAAATGTTTGATATCTCCAATTGCAATGCTTTGTGGTTGAACCAATACTTTAGAATTAATAGCTTGATGAATATCAACTAATCCAGCACCTTGGCGAGCAACAGAATCAAAGTAATCCTTTTGAAATACTTTGAAAGGCTGAGCATTATTCATCATCAGAGTACGCAAGGTTAGTGCATCCAAAGCTCTACCACCCCCTCTTGCTTGTCTGATGAGAGTCATGACACCAGCAATGTGAGGACATGCCATGCTAGTTCCGCTTAGAGTAGCGTAAGATCCCATTTTGGTTGGGAAGCTGAATTTGAAGTAACAGATGACATTCATTATCAGATAGTCTAGTAGAAAATGACAAGCTTTCATATAAACTTACGTTGAAAATATCTGGCCACCAGGAGCACTGACTTCAGGCTTTATGTCCAAGTCAGCAGAGAGTCCCCATGAACTAAAGCTACTGATAAGACCTGCATAAAATAGTTTGTCAGCCTGAGGTAAAGGTCTTACTCGTCATCTTCCAATACATACCTGCTGTAGGCACATCGAAAGAGCGGTGTTCCTGAGGAGTCTCGACAGTCGCTTTTTCAGAGCTGCTGAGCATTTGCAAGATAGCCAAACCGTCTTCCTTAGAAAGTCCTACCACTGGAATCTTCAGCTTTACATCATGCGCAGCCGGAGTCAAAATACCAATATCATTGTTATAGATGAGCACACCGACGGCACCAGCAGCTTGCGCGTTCAGAGCCTAAGTATGTAAGAAGTTAATACATTTGGAGACTTTCGGCTTTTGTAAAGTATGGTATAAAATTACCTTTTCATCAAAAAAGCATCCACCTCTGCTTATCAGAGCGAACTTTCCAGTCAGGTCGGTTTGAATTGCACTGCAACCATCTCCAGATTTGTTGGGTTCCGATGATGTTGCCACAATTCCCGCGGTCTTTGCGTTGATCGGGTGTCCTGTTTCTGTTACATAAGCTGTAATTTCATCAGAAAAATGTTTCAATCTTTGATATCTGCTGTAAAATAAATCACTTACAGAATTCCTTTCCGTTGACAATGATAGCGAATTGAAGGACCTTCGCATTATCGACACTTGCAACAGACACGACATGATGTCCGACGGCCGGGGCCCCGACTTGGAATGCACCTTTATCACCAGCATTTCCAGCTGCTGCTGCAACTGCCATACCCTTATCTGCCAGGGCATTTCCTAAGACAGCAGTAGGAGAGTCAGCCCATCCTTGATCTCCAAGAGACAGGTTAATTACATCCTGGATTTATGAAGAGAAAGGTAAGTTGAAAGTCACGGCAAATTTAATTTACAGCAGCATAAAACTGGCTGCTTACCATTCCGTCGTCAAATGCCATCTCCATAGCCTTCATAATGATATCGTCAGCAGTACTTCCAGTGCATCCAAATATACGATAAGCTCCAAATGTAACTACGTATGTCAAAAAGAGTTAAAATCTGAGATTCTTCAAAAGTAATGAATCACATTTGAAAAACATTTGTACCGTCTGGAGCCACTCCAACAAATCCACTTTCGGGATCATGAGCTCCAATAATGCCTATATCATGTAATTGTAAATTATTCAAACTCATTTCATGCTTGCGATGGAGGTGATTAATTACATACCTGCAACGTGAGTACCGTGTCCGTTACAATTGTCCATTGGATCGGAATCTTCTGAGAACGAGTTTGTTCCGTCGTACATATCACCAACGAAATCATGGCCATAAGCTACTCTACACGAAGAACCAAAACAACCTCCTAGTGCAGGATGCGTATAGTCAACGCCTGTAGCATTAAATAATGTTAGACATTGTACTGCTCAGCGGGTCATATATATATTCAAATTACCAGTATCAATAACGCCAACTTTCATACCCTTGCCAGTCAATCTGATACCGAATAAAATAATGATCTTTAGTACATGAGTGCCCATTGCTGGTCATCATCCATCTACATACCCCAATTCTTTTTGGACTCGAATAACTCCGGTCATGTTGTTTGCAGCCGTCAATGTTCCAGAGTCGCCACCATGTTGTATTTCCATTGCTGGTTTCGAGATCAAGCTCTAAGATTGCAGCATAAAAAAGTCAAAGGATGGTTCGGAAGTTCTCATATGATGTTGAATTATAAACCTACCACTGGCCAAATTCTTTTAACGTCATGTAAAGTCTTCAAGTAGTTGAGCGCTTCAGATGGTTTGTCAACCTCAATGGATATAGCATTAATGTACTTGAACTCATGTCGGACAATATGATTCAAGTTTTCATTTTCTAGGCGTCGATATAAATGGTTACGGCGTCGCATGAGATGGCGCTGAGTAGGAGCGTATTTGAATTCAATCATGAAGGCGTTTCGTAGTGTTTGCTGGGAGTCTGCCTGAACATAGGCGAGACTAAATATGCACAATAAAGCACATAATAGTCCAGCATGAATCGATCTCATCATTTTGGCACGGGCTGTTGTGGACAGGTGTTAAGAGGCGGTCAAGATGTCTGCTGTCCGATACACCTTTAGGATGTCCAAGTATCAATCAGGATTATTTAGCACTTCAGGCCCAGTATTTATTATTCAGGTTCCTCAATTGCTAGCTCGTAAATTAACTGTCTCACATTGAGAAAGCTGTAAACCTCCCCCTATGTTTGACCTTAGAGTTTATCAAATGGTTCTCCATGCCGATGCTGAAATTGAGATCCGAACCAATACAGCAAGCGGCAATTTACCTGTATGGCTCAGTAACTATATTTTCTCCGGCAAATTCAATACTTGATATTTACAAAGGAGATACAAGTCAAAAAATATTGACTTGATGTCATTTATCCCATCCATCCATAATTACTTTGAATTTTAGCACTGCAAGTATACAATATTTTTCCCAAATAAAGTAATTTACATGAGTAGCATCCTGCTTGATTCTCATTCCGTGCCGTAGGAAAAAATATCATCCACCTTACTAATATTTGCCCTAGCTTTTTGATTGAAAACATCAATCGCTGGTGATTTATTTCTCCAAATTGGCATGGTTAGGTTATGCTTTGTTTTCTATTGGCATAACAAAAAATGGTGAATATTACTTGTAAATGAAATGTGAATGTCGAAATATCTAATAAGCTTCTCTTCAACACACTTATTGACCAGAAATGTGTGTATGCACCTGTGGCGGGAAATAGCAAGTGATATCATTGAAAGATATCATGCAACTGGTGCATTCGGCCAACATGTCGGACTTGAAATCCGCCACCCACAAAAAAAAAAGACAGCAGCCCAGTTCGAGCTTGCGTGTCCATTCAGAATATCATGAGCGACACGGCATCCCTTGTAGAACTCAATCAGGCATTAGATCCTCGAGCAGGCGCTACGCGTCAGCAAAGTGAACTCGCACTTCAAAAATTATTGTCTACAATTGGAGGTAACTAGTGTAATGGTCTTCCGTGATATTTAAGACAAAGGAAGCTTGCTAATAAAACTTAGAAACACTTACCTTGGAGCAATCTAATAAAACTCTCGAGAATATATCCTTGGCAAACCTTTTCTACCATGCTGATTCTGAGGAAGACGTCGGAGTCTATGCTCGAGAAGCTATTCGCAGAGTGCTCAATCCTATCCCTTACGAAAGCATAGCCACAACAGAATACAAGACATATCTTGTACAAGGTCTTTCTCACTTTTCACCTGATGTCAGAAAGCTCTCTCTCCAGCAGGTTGAGAAATGTTTGGCCAACGAGCAAGCCAGCTCTTTGATGGTAAACATGCGAAGCTTGCGTATATTCTTCTCGGTCATATTATATAACCATATTTATTAGGCAAAATCTGACATATTTGTCTTGGTTTTGACAACATTGAGCTTTCAAAGCCCAGAGGTAGCTGAAAAGGCGTCAGATATACTTTATAAGGTTCATTTTCACAACTTGATGATTAAAACAGAACATCAAGGAATATACTAATGGCTAAAGTGAATGGTAAATTAGGTGGCGTTAACTAATGATGGCCGTGGCGAATTCTTTAGCCAACAGTCCATAGCTATCTTGAAAGCAATTTCAACCATGTAAGTGTGGAAAATTAATGTACAGCTGTACTAATTGAAGTATACTAAAGCTACTCTAGTGATGAAACCATCAAATTTCGAGTATACGAGCTGATTATCAAGGTAGCCGGTTCGTCCGAGAAAGGATTTGAATTAGCGGAAAATGATATGCTATTGGACGATATTATAGCAGAGGTGAAGTCAGATGACATTTTGATCAAGATCAACGCTATAGAGATGCTTATGGAGGTATGAAACGGGTATGAGGGTTGATTTGGGGTGTGGAAATGAAAGTTTGACCGCCACTATGCAGATGGCCGCCTCTCCGCCTGGTTATCGATTTATGAAGAAAGCCAATCTGTTGAGCTATTTGGTGGGCTTAATGAAAAACGAAACAGGATCTGAATCCTCCGTTACAGTGTGTGCTGCTGTCAAGTTCTTTGGCAGGCTCGTGTCAGTGAAGGTATTATGAATATGCCGTATAAGCAGTTTTCGGAATCTGTGTGTACTTATGCATTTACTGGTAGGGTGTCGATCCATCTGAAATTGAAGCCGATCTCGGCATAGTCGAAATTTGGAAAAACATCCTACAAAATGCTACGGATGATACTCTGGTATGTAATCTAATGACAGTCGGCTCTTTGTCTGCTTTTATCTCAGTAACAAACACTCCTCCAACGAAGGTTGTGACCATCGCTACTATTGGCCTTGTTGGATCATCGACCAACGGTTTGATTCTACTCAATGAAAAGGGTATACTTGAAGAGGTCTGTGGGAATTTCAGACTTTCGGCAGGTCATATTAAAGTGGGATACCTTCAGAGTATCTCACAATTGCTGGCAGTACATGATTCATCAGAGAAGAGCGTCGAAGTTGAAAAGATAACAGAAAACATATTTCATAATATGGGAGGTAATGTCCTTTTACCTGCCAAATGGCATAGTATCAACAATTCTCCTTTTAATGCTTCTCGTAATATAGGGTCTGCTGGACCGATCGAACTTTTGATTAGTTTAGCTCAACAGCCTCTTGAAGAAATGCGAGTTTCCGCTTTTGCTGTACTGGAATCGATTGCTACACACGAATGGGGTCAGCGCGAATTAACTCAGCCTAAAAAATTCTTGGATTATATCTTAAATCGAACAACCGAGACAACGCATGCCGGAAAGGTGAAGTACCTTCGAATATCTACAATTTGGTTGATGATTAGCGATTAACAATATTCCATCCTTACTGAAATACAATGTAATGCGCCAATAGACGTGGAAATTCTCTATTGTTCGAGCGCTAACAGTAACACCTAACGCAGAAGCTAACATAGAGCCAATGGCACTTCGACGGCTAACAGAATATGTCAAACAGGGACCATTTTACATACATAGGGAGGCAGCTGTTGCAATGGAATCGGGATAATATAGTTATCATTTTTTTACATAAAGAAAGAAAGAGGGAGAAAAAACCCGTTATCTGTACTGTCTATATGGTATTCAGTTTTGCTGCAAGCTGTTGTGCGCTACTGAAGTGGGAGAACAATTTTGCTGACGTCACGAATTTTTGAGTGGAAACTGGCAAGTCTCTCAGAGTCTTTAATGGGCTGCAGAGCGGCCGAAAGTGAATCTTCCTTTTTTTCGTTGCTTAGGTGCGTATCTTTTGGATAACGGATAAGAGCCTGGATGGATGATCATCAGTGGCATTGATGATGATAGATGGATCGGATGATGGATGGAATCGAGATATTAACATACTTTTTTTTCTTTACATTAGCCATGAAGGTATTTTGAATTTCCAAAAAGTGAAGAATCACATTATCCTGACGGACTGGTCGACGCATTGCATCCTTCAACGAAAACAAGTTCACCTGCGTATAACGTTATTTACCAATAATCGACCATTGTACCGATAATGTTAGCATTTGTGTATAATTGCGCCCACTCCGGTCAATTCACTTTGTTGAAAACCGTTCATTGCGACAAGGCCAAACAGTAGCGAAAAAAGTTCTATTCAGCAAACAGCTCCTCTCCCCATAAATCCTGCTTGAAATCGATATTCAGCCCCACTAATATTTGTTGTTTTTGAAAATAGGACATCTACAAGGACGACGAGCTCATCATCCCCGAGAACGTTGATATCACCATCAAGTCCCGCATCGTCACCGTCAAGGGACCTCGCGGTGAACTCACCAAGAACCTCCGTCATCTTAACATGGAGATCAAGGCCGTTGGTGAGAAGAAGCTCAAGTTTGTTGTCTACCACGGCAACCGTAAGCACGTTGCTTGCATCCGTACTGTTCGTTCCATCGTTAACAACATGGTCACCGGTGTCACCAAGGGTTTCCAATACAAGATGCGTTACGTATATGCCCATTTTCCCATCAACGTTATTATCAACGATAACGGTAAGGAAGTTGAGATCCGTAACTTCTTGGGACAAAAGGTCACTTTCCGTGTCAAGATGTTGGAAGGTTGCTCCGTTGAGAGCTCCGCTGCCCAGAAGGATGAGTTGATCATCACTGGTAACGATCTCGATGCCGTTTCTCAATCCGGTAAGCTAAAGCTCAATATCTCACTGATCAGGTCTTGTAATCCTTTACTAAATTTTATGTTCGTTTTCCAGCTGCTAGCATCCAACAAGCCACCGCTGTTAAGAACAAGGATATCCGTAAGTTCTTGGACGGTATCTACGTTTCCGAGCGCAACGTTCTTGAGGAAGCTTAAGGAACAGGAATGTCCCATTGTTATTCTGAATAAAAAAAATTGATATCTTGCAATCATGCAATGCACGTTTTTCATATGGAATCGTTTTGATTGTTGTTCGGAGTTGAGCATTATCTTGAGTCATAGCGACTAAGCAACTTTTAGGACATCTCTTTCAGCTATTCAAATGCCACCTGCAGAAGTAAACGAAGGTGTGAAATCAGGTAAATGTGAATAAAATGTCGACAACGCGTCTTCTCCGGGACGATCAGCTAATATCTTTTGCAAGTCCATGACCTGCTATTGAATCCCACGGTAAAGATCGCTAACATTGAGGCTGTTGCAAGTAAATTACAAAAGATCCTAAGTCATGGAAAGGACGAGGTTCACTTTATTTGTGGTAGGCTTTCGTCTATGGTTGTTTGATATAGGTACCAATAATGAGAGTGTTGGTAATAATCATCATTTATATTAGATTTCGATATGACTCTCTCACGCCACTGGGTTAAGAATGCCGATGGAAAGCCTGTGCGCAATAGCTCAACCCACGGAGTATTAGGACGTTATAAACGCCTGAGCCCAGAGGTTAGAGCTCTGACATGAGGAGCCATTTGAATTCATTGGACAACGTCACTAACAACTTTTCTACGTAGTTCCACACTGAGACCCAGAGACTCTACAATCATTACTACCCCATAGAAATAGATCAATCTCTGTCTTTCGAAGAAAAAGTTCCAGAGATGGTTGCTTGGTGGGAACAGGCTCATGCTGCTCTGGTAGGGCAAAGCATCACTAGAGAAGGTAATTTGAATTGCATACCTATGTTCTTGTATTTTATACGAGTGCGAAACTCTGAACTTGCGCTCGATAGATATCGCATTAATGGTCAAGCAAACTTATGTGGAGATGCGGCCGAATGTAGACACATTTTTAAAGAAGTGTGCAGACATCAACGTTCCTCTTCTCGTTTTCTCTGCCGGAGTGAGCGATGTTATACAAGAGGTTCTTAATCAACATAACATGTTCCATCACAACATGCATATTGTTTCCAACAAGATGGGTTGGAATGACAGTGGTATTTGTGATCACTTCGAAGAACCGCTCATCCATGTGTTCAACAAAAGTGAATTCTGCTTGGATAAAACCGATTACTATCAAGGTATCAAGGACAGAAAAAATGTTATCCTGCTTGGAGATTCTGTAGGGGATGTATTGATGAGTCAAGGAGTTCAGCATGACACTTGCTTGAATATAGGATTTCTCAATCATGATGTTGAGAGTCTATACCCAAAATATTCGCAGCTTTATGATATTGTAATAATTGGTGACTCTAGTGTAGAACCAGTCTTGAGCATTTTAGAGAAACTTCAGTGAATTCAAATAGAATCCTATGTTATCAATATTTTCATGTCAAATGCATAAGTCTGACTTCGTGACTCGATGATTTGGTGCCTTGATTTTTTTTCTACTACATTACTTTGGCTGAAACCTGTAGCGCCACTTCAGGTTGGTTGCAACCGTCACCAAATTTAACATGGCTACATCGACCAAACCGCCAATGTCAGCCTCTCCTACGGTAGCCTCGCGATTACGAAAACGTAATTACAAGATATTGAGCGACCACAATGATTCGGACAGTGACATTGAAGAAGGTATTGGGGCTATACCACAGTCCAACAATTCGTCGACAACTGAAAAGAAACCGCGAGTGGTGAAAAGGCGGCAAATGACAGCAATGAACGGCGCAGGCGTCGAGCAAATAGATAGCAATATGCCGGATACCGACCTTGCGACTGACATTGCCTCAAGTGTAGAATCTGTCAGCAGCGAGACGCATACAAGGAAAACTCGTAGTCGACCAAGAATTCACAACTGTACATGGCCAGACTGCGGAAAGGTCTACGACATCAAAGCGAAACTCACTGAACATATTCGCAGTCATACCGGCGAGGTAAGTTTATCAATTAATATTTAGGGGAGAGAGATTATTGGCACTGACAGCCTCGCATAGCGTCCATTTACCTGTCCTGTGGAGGGTTGTGGCAAGTCCTATATGAAAAATGCCCAATTGCAAGTCCATATTTTGACTCACGACGAGAGTTCTAAATCAGCCTTTCGCTGCCCTTTCGATGGCTGTGGAGCAGCATTTCCGCACAAACACCGCTTAAAAAATCACCTGAAGGTGCATGAGCAACCACATCAGTTCGTGTGTGATTGGGAAGGATGTGGTGCAGCATTTGTGAAACCCTTTCAATTACGAAATCATATGTGTACCCATACCAACAAGAAGCCACATCCATGCACTCACTCAGGCTGCGAAAAAAGTTTTGACACTCGTCCCAAGTTGAATGTACATATGGCAACAGTCCATAGTACTGAATTACGATACTGCTGCGGTCACGAAGGATGCGACGCGAGATTTGCAAAATATAACCAACTTCAACTTCATACCAAACACGATCACGAAAACAAGTGCTCTATATGTGGGAAAGTCTACGAAACACGAACTATGCTCACTTATCATATCAGCACTGTGCATTTACAACAAGAACCATTTGCTTGTCATTGGGATGGGTGTGGCAAGAAATTTAAGATGGTAGGTACAAAGATAGATGTCAAGTTACCAATATGACGATCAATAATCTAAAAATGCCATCTTTTTACTTAAAATGACAGCAATCCAGTCTGCGGTATCATATCCAGCATATTCACCGGAATATCGAACCCTATAAATGTGAGCATGATGGCTGCGTCGCTACGTTTCCTACTCCATCTTCCCTTCGTCGACATATCAAGAGTAGGCATGAACCAAAAGAAGATCAAGGAACTTCTCCTCCAGCACCGGCACCTGAGATATCCGTACTGACAGGATACAGTGAAAACGGCACTAACAAGCAGCGCAGCTATAGCTGTCCTTTCGGTGGATGTGGCATGACATTTTGGCGAGAATATGACCTTAAGCGACATATAGAAAGCAAGTCTCACGAGTGCGAATTGAGTCAAGAAGTGCAAAACGTGGATGTGTAAAAATACCCTATTACCTGAAGGAGCCAACCGACCTTTTGATTATTACAACAACATTGATGCCAACAAAATTTGTAACACCACGGTAGAACCCCGTCTGAAGTCCCATGCACGGTTCCCAAGAAAAGGCTGATAATTGTTTATGATTTAAAAATAATGAAATCGGTCCAGTAAATAAAGTACAGCAGCAAAATCTATTCCCTTTACTATGCGATCTCCAATGACTTTTTGGAAAAGTAGAAAAAGTTCGCCCCTGTACAGTTGTAACCTCCTCATCTCTCCTTAAAACCAACCTCCCAAACATCTTTTTATATTTCATCTTTTTTTTTCGTTTCGTCCTTCTCTATCACTCTATATAATTTCAGATATTTTCCCTCTTGTCGTCCATATCATACTTCATCCCTGATCATCCTTAAGCGCTTCCTTTTGGCAGATCCCTGTACATTCTTCGCCTTACCTCTTACGCAGTCCTTTTAAGCAAGTTTACGGCAACTCATGGCAGCAGAAATCCAAACCCAACATCACACTGCTCAGTCTATGATGTTGACAGCAGAGGCTCCCGCCAGCAAATTCAAGACTGGAAATCAAAAGTGTGCAAAGTGCCAAAAGATTCTGTCTGGCCATTTTGTTAGAGCTTTGGGAACCACGTGGCACTTGGAATGTTTTGTCTGCATTGTACGTTTGAACGTCCCGCAACTACTTGATACAACAAAAGCCAATACCTCGTTTTCATTGTATGCTGACCCGCTTTGTCCTAGGATTGTGAGGAGGTTGTGACCTCGAAATTCTTCCCGTATCCCGTTGAGTCCACAACTGGGCGCCATTACCCTCTCTGCGAACGGGACTATTTCCGGCGACTCAAGTTGGTGTGCGCCCAATGTGGTAGCGCTTTAAGAGGCTCATACATTACAGCTCTTGACAGAAAATATCACATCGAGCATTTCACCTGCTCCGTTTGCCCAACTGTTTTCGGTCCTGACGATTCCTACTATGAGCATAACGACAAAGTCTATTGCCACTATCACTATTCTATCCAATTTGCTGTACGGTGTGCTGGATGTAAAACTGCTATTCTGAAGCAGTTTGTTGAAATCAATCGACATAATGTGGATGAACACTGGCATCCGGAATGCTACATGATTAACAAAGTAAGTGATGTCTATCAAACACGCTCGCGCTTTCATTTATTGACACGAGATGTAGTTTTGGAATGTAAAGCTTTCCCTACCTAGCGTTGATGGTAGAGATTACTTCATAATTGGAGAAGGTATGCTTTGGAAATGTCTAAAACAGTACCTTTCGATTGCTTGTAGTGACTAAGCTACTTCTATCATTTCAGAGTGGGATATGACACCAGAGCAGCTTAAAGAGGCACAAGTTTCCATAGAAGAAAAGGTGTATCAAATCTGGACAGTGTTGTCGGCTTTTGAGGAGTCAGCTGCAGCTTGCATATCAGACATGTTGTTACATGTGTCTAACGGAGCCTGTATCGAGGGTGTCAAAATGGCAGGCAGCTTTCTCACTCATGTGGAAGTACTATTTACGGCAATTGATGATCTCTACTCACAATATGCAAACATCAAAGATGCAGGTACGCAGAAATATTTTTAATGCCTTGCCTACATTAACGTAAATCAGTGTAAATGACGGTTTGAAAAGATCTTTCTTACAGCAAGGATGCCAAGCTTCTCTGTCGAAAAATCATCACTTTTTTCTCGCTACTCTCACATACGCAGGAGACAGGTTTACGTCGACTGGGTATCACGCAAGAACTACTCTCACTCGTTACTGGACTGGCGCATTACTTGAAGAATTTGATCAGAATAGCTTTGACTGGGGCCTTGTTATTGGTAAGCATAAATCACGATGTCTGTTGCGGAATACATCCATAAAATTCAATTTCGAAATTGCATATATCCCATTAGGAAAAAAAATATAGTCGCAAAACAGCGATATCTCGATTCTTGAGTAAATTGATGGAACTTGCCAGCAGAGATCGGTCCGATTTTCTTGGTTCAAAGATGTTGCATGCGGAAATAGCTTCAGATTTATGTGTTAGCTGTAAATCTGCTTGCGAAGATCAGTGCTTAAAATACGATGAATGTCGTTGGCACTTGGTATGCTTCAAGTGTAGCGTTTGTAAGAAACCTTTGAATGAAGAATATGACACAGCAGGGTTCTGTCAATGGAGTCTTACGCTGCACTGTTCCAAGTGCTCACTATCAAGAAAGGACACTGTATCCGGTGTTGTAATGATATCTCAACTAGAGCAATACGTATATCTTTTACGTGTTGCCCTCCAGAGAGTTTTTGTTTTGCTCAACGTCAATGGTTTGTGTTGTAACGGTTTATAATTAAGAGGATCAAATAGAGGCGCTAACTCAAATTGTAGAACATATAGAGGAAGGACATGTAGCAGTGGAGCCAGCTTCGCAGATGAAATCCAAAGTATCAGCTCCGGGAGCACTCAGAATAGACTCAAGATCGAAATCGTACAGTACAGGGGATAATCCTTACCAAGCTATCAACTTGGGGGATATCAAAAGAATGAAATCAACACACACAACTCGAAAGCTCAGTAATTCCAATCGATTTGGCAAAAGATCCACCTTGATGGAGATCCCCACTCCTGCGGCCGCCGCCATATCCGCTAAGAGTGAGCCCACACTACAAAATGTTGATAATGAGCGCGATTTCGTATACAATGAAGAACCGGAACAAATGGACCATGAAGACTTCGTATCTAAGGCACTTGCTAATATGGATAGTGTTGGTAACAGCGAATCTCTAATGTTGAAGGACCTTGTGTCCCCGGATCTTTTGTTGATGCCGAGATCGTCGGAGCGAGGAAGACACAGCCATACAGATTATAGGAAATCAATGGCAAAAGCAACAGCATATCTTGCAGAACTTGGCGCTTTGGATCACTTTATGGTTAAGCATATTGCTGTGATCAACATTGAACCGTTTGTCAAGGATCACTTTTCTTTGGAAGATCTTCTGGAGTTGATAGATGATAAAAAGGCTTCTACTCTCTGGGGAAAGTTCGTAACTGGCTTACGCACTGGTAGTAATAAGAAAGCGACGCGACCAAAAGGTAAAGTTAGCTAGAAGACAATGCTGTTTATTGATCTACTTGTTAAGCGCTATTCTACAGCAATAGGTACTTTTGGCGTACCGTTGGACTACTTGGTAGAGAGAAATGGTACAGAATCCAGCTTAGGAGCTGGACCATGCCGTATTCGAATTCCTGTATTCGTGGACGACTGCATAGCTACTTTGAAGCAAATGGGTAAGCTTGTTCTCACAATGCAAGCGGCAGTAAATAATCCCTTCTCACCAAACACGTACTCTATAGATGTATCTGTGGAAGGAATTTTTAGGAAGAATGGAAATATCAGACAGTTGAAAGAGTTGAGCGATGAATTAGATCGAAATCCATCGAAGGTCAATTTGGCTGCGGAGAACCCTATCCAAGTGGCAGCCTTGCTCAAAAAATTCTTGCGCGATTTACCGGACTCTTTACTAACATCAAAACTCTACAAACTATTTATAACATCTCAAAGTGGGTAATATTCCTATCATCACATTGATGGATTAACAAATGCTGAACACTATTGATGAAAACAGAACTCGAAGATCCCGAGCACAGAAAGGAGGTGCTGCATTTAGCTTGTTGTCTGCTACCAAAGCCAAATCGGGATTTGATGGAAGTCCTGTTTGTATTTATGAAATGGGTAGCGTCATACTCTCATTTTGAAGATAACGGTGGAAGCAAGATGGATATAATGAATCTCGCCACAGTTCTTGCTCCAAATGTTATCTATGCCAAAGGTCGTGATCCTACTAGGGAAGAGTCGCTTCTGTGCATTGAAGTGGTCCACATGCTGCTGGCCCATCATGAAGTATTCTGCGCGGTAAGTCATAATATCCTCGAACAATGTTGCAGTTAAAAACAAAATGAAACTGACTGCTTCTGTTTCCATTTGCAACAGGTGCCAGAGGAACTATTACCGTTTTTGCAAGATTCTGGCTTGGGCCATAGTGATTTGAGCCTAGCAGCCAAAGAAGTGCTGAAAAAATGCGAGAACTTAATGAAGCTTAAAAAATCCCATTCCACCAACGTCGTACCTGTCGACAAAATGTACGGCCATACTGAAACGAAAGAATATAATACGAATCAAGTCGGAACCGATTACTTTTCATCAATTCCTGGTTTATGATCGACTTATCTGGCATGGAAAGCTTGTGATTTAGGAGCAGGTTTACTTTGACTCTCTAGCTTAAGCTGGCGACTTACCTACCAAGTCGTCGCTTTATACCCATCAACCAACCAGTATCACTCCACGATCAATATGTAACTATATGGAATGACTGTATAGACTCCTACTTTTTGTGGTGTACCCACAGATGATTTGAACAATAAATGCATTTATTTGGTCAGAGTAATAGTATGCACAGCAAGCTAGTCTTCTTCAGCTGTCACCTTGAAATAGTCAAAGTCAGCGTGGCCAAGAGTAGAGTATCCATTATCGGTACAGTACATAGCGGCATACACTCCAGTGAAATGAAGTCTAAGGGGCTGAGTCCGCTTGAACCACTTGGTACTCATGGTGCCCAAGACCTTGCATTCGCCGGATTTACTGTTTTTGTATCCAAACGAATAAGTAGTTGGCTCAGCCTTGATGAAGAGCTCGACAGGTTCATCGTCATTCAGAGCTTCATAGGTAAGAATTTCTCTCTTCTTGTCAATATTGAGTTCATCCAAATCATCTAGATCCGATCTCCAAACTCTGGAAAAGACGCTGCGCCCATGCTCCTTTGTGAAAGTGATAGCAACCTCTGCGTGCACGTAGTCGTTAGCGTGCAATGTGAGACCGGCTTCCTGTTCTCTCATTTTTGGCTTGAAGTCCATCAGTGTGCGAAACTCTCCGCGGAACGATTGCTGTCTACGTCCAACCCAGCTTGGGGAGTCTGTTTGGCCCAAAGATATGTGTGAGGTGTTTAATCGAAGCCATCCAGGTCGCTCGGTAAGTGAGTAGGTATCAGGGTATGGATTGCGGACGAAATTGAATGACTTGTCCAATTCCTCATGATCGAAGTTGTCTTCAAAGCCAAGGTCACGTTTAGCACCGTCTTGCTTTAATGACCTATGCACGTCCATTTTAAGGGATACAGGGTTTCCCTTATTGATAACCTACATCGTAACAATCAGAAAAATTGTCCAAAGAAGATAAAAAAGGAGTATATACGCACCGGCCATCCATCCTGCCATTCTACAGGAGCGAGGAAGGTCTCACGGCCCAAGTGATCGTATGTGTCGGGATAACGACGAGTTCCCAAAAATACGATCCACCAGTCACCTAAGTGATCTTGGAACAAATCACCATGACCTAACAAAAACTCCTTGTCAACTCGCAGAAAGAATTGGAGTTTGGCATAAGCAAAACAACTAACCTGTGCATCGGATAGGCTGCTCTTCAACACTTTGTGGGTAGTGGTGGACGAGCGGATTACCAGGACATGCCTCCCATGGTCCATATGGCTCTTTGCTTCGAGCACAGGTTACCATATGTCTCTCCTCAGTTCCTCCTAGATGATGTTGTTATGTACCGCATACCCAGTAGAAGATGCTTGTTTCGAAAATACTTACCCTCCGCAAGCAAAAGGTAGTACCAGTCATCTATATAATAAAGATGAGGTCCCTCTGGTCTTTCCAAGCTGGTTCCTCTGTACGTATGTCCTTTCCATAATTGTTTCCTCTCCGTCAAGTGTCTTCCGGTTTCAATGTCAATCTCACTTTGGTATATACCCCAGAAGATGTCTTTGTCATTGTTGACACCCTGGCTGGTAACGTAGACTTTGCCGTCGTGGAATAACAAAGATGGATCGATGCCTTTCTGATTTACATATATCGGCTCGGACCATGAGCCGTAGCTATTGATATCCGATGTTGAGCAATAGAAAGTTCGACTAGTCTTCCAACTTCCAGGCTGATAATCTTGTTAAGCAAGGTTTCAGTGTCCTGCTTCGATCAAAATTGTGTGATTACAGTACATCCACTTACAGCACAAGGCGTTTACAATAACGTAGAATTTTCCTTCATGATGACGAATGGTTGGAGCCCATACTCCTCCGCTTGAAGCGACACCAGAGAGAGAGAGCTGTGAACTCCTTGTTAAGACGTGACCGATCAGTTTCCAATCAACGAGATTTTTGCTATGATAAATTGGAATGCCCGGCCAAAATTCGAAGGTAGAGTTGACTAGGTAGTAGTCTTCGCCAACTCGGCAAATACTAGGGTCAGGATGAAAACCTGGAAGAATCGGATTTTTGTATGGCATACTTTTCTGAGAACAAGTTTCTCCAACGTACCCCGCTTTATACGTATGATGGATTGAAATAAGGTTTACCAAAACGCGGGCAACTTACGGGACACACACTGTTTGCTTTTATTGCCCGACTGGTCACATCAGCTTTTCTCTCAACTATCCATTTCCCCGGCTAATTCTCCGTAAGGGTATGGCATCCTTCAGAAGTATAAGCGAATTGAAAATCAGAAATACTACATTATCCGAAGACGCGTAAGAAACACTGCAGCGTTTTACTTTTTAATAGCGATAACGTAGTGATTATCTCTATCATACCCAGAGCGACTAATATCCGCCATGCCAGTCTCTACAATCAATTCATCCAGCTCTCCCTGCGCAAAGAGGTGATAATATCTGCAAGAAATAGTCAGCAAATGGGCCTGAGAGATGCTTCAGCCTCATAATGTAACAGCTACCTTTGGTACACTTTCTTCGGCGATTCTTCCACGGCGGCCTCATCGTTGTTGGTCTTTGCCGTAGACAACATCCAGGGAACAAATACATCCTGCTGCGTCTTATCAAAATTCCGTTTACTGAACTTAGATTGCTCTAGGGCCCAAACAAAAATCAAAATAGGGCTTCCGGGTTTGACCACGCGCAGAATTTCCTGCCAATTCTCCATTAAAAACGGCTTTCTACTGTGATATGCTGACAGTCTCCCCACAACATACCTCAATGGCCGACCGCCGACGCTCCGGCGTTGAGAAGTGGTGAATGACTGCTATTGAAATTGCAAAATCCTAGACAACAAAAATCTGTTAACAAAATTATAGCATCACTATCCTGCGACCGGAAACCTTGTACTCACAAAAGCATCAGTTCTATATGGAGTATTAAGCCCATCGCAGACCATGCCTTCAAATCCGCGGTCTCGTACAATCTGAATTAAATTGGAGCTCCTATAAAAATCAAACTTGTCTTTAGACTACATAAACATTCAGTATAACTTTCTACAACGTTCGAGGAAGAAATACCTATCTGAACCCAGTATACAGACATTTGGGTTTACACCAATGTATTTTCCATTCCCGCATCCTATATCAGCTCCTATGCTGCCTAACTCTAATCCATTTAAAAAATCTTCGACGACTGGCCATGGCTGCGGTCAAGTTTGACTATGAGTTTGTTGTTCGGTTGTATAGGCTAAAGTAGTCAATATGACACAGTGATCCGCATTGCCTACCTTATATCGAGTGTCACTAAAATGTGAAGCAATTGTCTGATAGACATTGTGTACGTGTTCTTCTTCGTATGACTTCTCGTTCTCGGTAGGAGTTGTTACCGCAACTGGTTGTGGTTTCGACATTAAGCGAACTATGTAGATTGATCGAGATTTCGATTCAGCAGCCAAAAAAATCTGGGTTATTTTACGGTGACTGCCTGTCAAAGTCAATAAATTCACCTCCGTCCTGGATCGGCTTGCACAAGCAATACGTACGTCGCAAAAGAATTCCCAGAATCTACAGTGTGAATGTACATGCTTCCAACTCCAATATTAAAATTGGAGAAGGAGGAAGCTTCAGCCTTGATATCGTAATGCGCATTCATTTAGTCCCATCGTACGGCATTTGTAAGCCATACTGACATAGAGCATTCCGTCTATTAGAAACCTCAGCATATCCAGTCTAACTCAGTGCATCTTGGAGCTGGTGTATAACGGTAAAAATATGTTAGTAACTACATGTTGTTTCTTGCGGTTGCGTTATTGAGCACGAAATATATGTGTAGCTCTAGATGCAGAGGCAACCAACATATCCATTGGCGTGAACACCGAAAACTACTATGTAAATGTCCAGGACAACGGTCTAGGTATCCCTGTACAAGACCTCGAAAACCTAGCTCGGCCTAATTGTATGTAAGTTATGCTTTTGTCCACTTCAATGAATTGATTAACCAATGTTGGCGCAGTCACGTCAAAAGGGCAATCACGGGGCGATATCCACAATAGAAAGACGTACGGCTTTCGCGGAGAAGGTATGCTACTTCACAGTATCAATTTAGTAATGTGTAGCCGAAGCGTTAAATCCATGTGAACATAGCGCTGTCTTGTATTTCGCAAATTGCCACTCTTGAAGTCATAAGTAGACATGCCTCTACTCCACAAACCTTTCATGGAATATGGAGGGTAAGGCGTTAAAATGCACCGATCGCCAAGGTCTACAGTATATTGAATTTACAGCAAATTGATATAGGACGGAAGCTTGATCTCCTTTTTTCGGTCTACAACTGAAGAAAAGCCATCGCCTGGAACGACAGTCGTTGTTCGCGACCTATTCCACAAGGTATAAACCATAATGCCATAATCGAACTATGGTTAAGAAAGCTTTCTAACATAATTTTGTTAAAGCATCCTATACGGAGGAAACAAATTGAACACGAGCGACTTCGAAAGATGTCTGCAAGTGGTGATAGAACCTTAATCGACATTAAGCGTTCTATTGAAAAGCTAGCTCTCACCAGGTATGATGTCGCTTGGACTTTGAACGATCTCAGCTCTCGTCATAGGATCTTGAATATGAAAGCGGTATGTACTGGCAAGAAGCAATGAAAACTTGAGATCAAAACTAATGCACAATTTTAGTATGATTCGCCCCTGAAGATGTTTCAATGCATATACGGTCATAACTTTTCAACGGTTTGTATTTTCTGTGCCTGAGCAGTAAATGTCAGAATTTACTGACCGATAAGGTTATTTAGAATTGCAAAGAGTACGTAGAGACATCTGCAGAAATGAGGATATCGGGTTTTCTCTCTTTGAAACTTCATACTAGCAAGGTAAACCGTCAGCTTGTATTGCGTTCCCTCATATTTTCTTGTACTGACACACTCCGTCCAGATTCATCGATACCTGTGTTAGTGAATTTTACAGCCTGGTAGCCTTATGAGACCAATCAGCTAAAGATTTCTTTATAGATCTAAATGACCATTTTGTACGCTTTGGACCGGTATACAACATTATCGATAAGTTAATTCGCAACGCCAACCTCCATGATGCTGCTTCAGGTTAGTGATAAATATCTCTCTGTAATAGCCGTTGAGCTTGCACCTTACAAATGAAACAGGTTCGAAATATACGTCAAATTTTCCAGTATACTTGATTAGGGTAAACACGAATGTTAGGAACAGTGAAGAAAAGGATATGTTAGAGCATTATTTAAATGAAGACGAGGTAAATATGGCAGGCTTGCGACTCCGGACGAACCCAAACTGAACATGATATTAGGAATCCACAACACTGCTGTCAAGTATCAAACAGTTCGTGTTGCATATTTTGAGCATCTCATTACCAGAAACTCAACAAGTTCAGATAGAATCGAATTCTCTACCACTATTTAAAAAACGAAAGGCAAGCGAAGTGACAGAAATGGATGTTCTTACAAAATCTGAAAAGAAGTTACTGGTCAAAGAAGACCAGCAGAGAATGGTATGTTTTGTACATTATTTTATGTTTGAAGTTTGGAAATCATCAGACAGTAAACTAAAACCTATAATTTTTATGCCAATATACTGAAGGCGACCCAACCTAGCGAAGATGAGCAAACTATTCTTTCGACTCAGGTACGATTGTTATAATTGAGATGATGTACGCGGAGAACTACTCAGACTAACTCTTTTATAGGATAATGATGGGACACCGCAGTGGAATCATGCTATTGATGGACTTCCTTACATGAACTACCAATCACTGTCCGGCAACAAAGCAGGCGAAAACTATCAATATCCAAAGTTATTCAAAAACGATGGTTTACCAGAGGCGCTATCTACACATCAACTCACAAATGCAAGAGTCATTGGCCAAGCAGATAGAAAGTTCATTGCATTTAGTATACCCATACCTGTGACTTCTCACCAAGAGGCCATTGAAAAATCAATGATCATCATTGCGGACCAGCATGCTGTTGATGAGAGAATCTTGCTGGAAAGAATGCTCAAAAGTATTCTTGATCCCGGGAAGCAAGTTGATCAAGGGAGACGCTTAGCATACAATGGCTGCTTATTGCTCACGCCACCAAGGAAACTTCAAGTTTCTAGCTCGGAAATCGAAAAAGCGGTCCGGTATCGCTCTATATTCAATAGATGGGGTATAGATTTTTTCACTAGTCCCGATTCTCACTTATCTATGGACCGACAGGAAAATATGGCGACATCAGACTCTAGACATTTTCGCCAACTGCGATCTGCAAGTAAATACTTTGGCCAAACGAGTTCCAGCCGAACTGATGATACCCATTATATTCAGATTACCAAAATTCCTAGAGTGATTTCGGATAGGTGCGCGACCAACTCAATGCTCTTGAAGCAAATAATATACGATCATATTGCATGGATGGAGTCACAATCCCAGTCCCAACAAATTGATGAACTTCAGCCAGACGATGAATTTGGTGTCTGGAGTCGCCATCTCAGAAACTGCCCTAGAGGAATTGTCGATATTCTGAAATCAAAGGCATGTCGCAATGCTATTATGTTTAATGACAGCTTGACCGATCAACAGTGCCAAAAGCTTGTAGATATGGTCTCTGATTGCGTCTTCCCTTTCCAATGTGCCCACGGCAGGTATGAAGCTTAGAGTATGCAGTTATGTTCATTGAAACATTTATCAAGCATATTGAATTTTACATTTTCCAGGTTATCCATGGTTCCGTTGATGAAATATAACCAGTATGGTGGAGGCAGGGCAGAACGCTCAAATCAACAGCCAAGTCGACGAAGGACAGTCAACTGGCGTCGATTTCGACGTCCGCAGCACTGAGTTTGGCAGTGGCCACTTTTCTGCTCATTTCTTGCCATATGTGTGGACGCTTTGCATGCTCGCTAAGTCGGGAGGCAATCAAAAAGGGCCTTCATGACAATGGCATTAACCCAGAAGAATGGGTTGATCAAGAAAAATATGAAGGTACTTACAATGTAGCGCCGACATACTACATTCCTGTGATTAAGCAGTCTGACGACACCTACCGGTTACAGTCAATGGTAAGCGCATTTGATACAATTCTCCAAGTTATTCAATAGATATTCATCTTTTTATTATCACAGAGATGGGGATTGATACCTTTCTGGAGTAAAACGAAACCCGAAGTCCCGGTAAGACTCTAGAGGATAGTGGAGGATGTAAACCAATGTTATTAAAAGCTGTAGTGCAGACAATCAATGCCAGAGATGATTCGTTGACTACAGGAAAGTCGATGTTTCGGTCCTGCAGGAATGATAAGCGTTGTATTGTCATTGCTGAAGGGTATTTATATTCCGTCAATCCTGGTAGACGATTATGTTACACATTTTGACATTCAGCTCCAGGTATTACGAATGGCTGACACCGAAGTCTGGAGGCAAGAAGATTCCGCACTATGTTAGAAGAGAAGATGGAAATTTGATGTTTTTTGCGGCTCTTTACGATCATGTAAAATTGGACGGTAAGGACACACGTACTGGCAAGTTATGCGATGGCAAAACTTGGCTCACATTTCAATACGATTAGGAGGCAAAGATAGTATATACAGCTGTACAATTGTGACAACCTCATGCTCAAAGCAACTCTCATTTTTGCATGATCGAATGCCGGTCATATTTGACAGCAGTTCAAAGGAAGTAGACACTTGGCTAGATAATACCAAACCATGGGACAACGCCACCCTGGGGACATTGCTGAAGCCCTATGAGAAAAAGCTCGCGTGGTAAAACTAAAGCTCTAATTTGTAGTTCGCCTCAAACAGCATAGTTAACAATCGTCTTTAGCTACCCAGTCACGCCCGAAGTTGGTAGGGTTGGCAAGAACTCGCCTGACTTCGTCATACCCATTAGCGAGAAGAAAGGCACCCTAGGAAGCTTTTTTGCTAAAGCAAACTCAGATCAAAGTTCAAAACGCGCTGAGGCTACAAGTGATAATGTCAACGTCAAGACAGAAGATGTAAATGTGAACCTTCATGAACAAAAACCTTTAAAACCTGACGACACGAACCACAAAATAGACAATATGGATGAAGAAGGACATAATGCAAAGCAAGAAGATGATGATATTCAAAGAGCGATAGCGCTTAGTCTACAGGATCAGAAAGATCATTATGAAGCAAACTCAAATTCGAGCATTCACGGTGAGGACAACAGAGGTACTAAAAGGGAAGTGGAAGAAAGTCTATCACCGCCGCGAGCGAAGTTTCGAAGATCCGATCCAGCTAAGCAAATGAAATCCCCTTCGAAAAGTCCAGCAAAAGGAGGTGGTGATAAAGGCAACAGTAACAAAAAAATCACAAGTTTCTTTTCGAAAGACTGATGGCGGTATAAATATGTCGTATTATTGAAATACGGCGATCGTGAAGCTACCTTCATTACGGATGATAATCTTGCTGTAGAGATTATTTGTTTTCTCTTGTAAATAACATTTTCAATGGCAAAAAATCAGACTTTCATGACCACGTACTAGCTTTCCAGTTCAATGCTCACAGTTGAGTATTGTGACTTGTCTTCGATCTCGGATACATCACTGAGACTTCTTGCACTATTGGCAATGGAAGCAACAAAAGCAGCTCCTGCCGACTTAGCTATGCCTCTTGCTAGAAAGTTCATAGTGTGAGGTTACAAGTAGTTGAGGTCTGCTGATTCGTGTCAAGTAAATTGTCATACTTCCTAAACAGAGGCCAGATTCATCCGCAACTAACACTCCTTTAACACCTTCCTTTTCGCTTCTAAATCAATCAATGAACAGTGAGTAGTTTAGCTTAATTCAGTTACAGGAAGTGATTGGTTTTGCTTACATTTTATCAAGCACTTGCTCCAGTGAGAATTCCATAGTGGTCAGTTCTGTCTCCGCAAGCATTTCAAATCAATTTCAACAGAGGTATATCACACGTGATCAGCAAGTTCCAGCTCTCTTCTGTCCATTATCGATTAGCGACTGTCTAGCGACGTACCATCGGTGCCTGTGCAATGTCCACGGCCGAGAAATCAGCGGAAACAAAGAAACCAGAGACATGGGAAACATGGGTTCTCATGTCCAAAATATGGAAAGATTTTGACGACCTAGCATACGAAAATGCACTGCGACTTTGCGAGCGCCTTTATGCCATTGACGTTACCAATGAGGACTACCTATACCTATATGGCTTATGCTTATTTCATTCAGCCGATTACGACGGTGCCTATATGGTTCTTCGAAACGCTGAATCCATTAAATGTCGATACGTTTTCGCCATTAGCTGCCTAAAGCTTGGGACACGAGAATATTTAATGGAAGGATATACAGCAGCGAACCAAGCACTGTTACTTCACCAAGAAGAGAGCGACCCTGAACGTAGATGGGGAGATGGTATGCTTTCATTGAATATGCACTATGATGTCTATGTATAATTATAGCTAACCCCATTCAATTCGAAAGATGTACGCAGCGTCAATACCAGGAACCATACTCCTACGCGTGCCTCCATATGCCAATTATTAGGGACGATTTCAATGTAAGATGCCACAAAAAGATATATTTAAAAATTCGAAATTGGAAATCGTATTTAACCCTGCTCTACTAGAAAACTAGAGGTCATCCAATCCGCAGTTGGACATTTGCGAGAGTGTCTTGCTGACGACTGCTTCAAGATAACCGCATATTATCAACTTTGCGATATTGGTCCAGATGGCAGAGGTTCAAAGGATATTGATAATCCACAGGCCATTTTTGAGGATTTACGATATAGTGATAAGGTTCTGGAGAGATGCTCACATCAGCATCGACCACGATATCCCGCTACAACCGTTGACAAAAGCTCAGAAAGCATTATCTTATCGCGAGAACAGCCAGATTTAAAGTGGAAGGACTCATCCCCATATATGCCAAACCTTGAGGCATACGATTCACCTGTTACAAAACGACACTTACAAAAGGCTCAATCAGCATTAACATCAACTAACCCACTAATGGAGGAAGTCCGCCAACGACGTCGTTCTGTCGAACTTCAGAAGGACGAAAAGATTGGTGAAGTCAAGAGTGACATTGAAACACTCAAGGCCGAAGCCGAATACAGAAATGAGCATGGTTTGCACAAAAAACCACCGCCGGACGTGACCAATGACATCAAGATTAAGGAGATGGATACGAAAGCCGAGAACGCCAAAATAATTGAGCAAACACCAGCGAAAGGGTACAGATCTGTTCCTCCAAGCCTAAAATCAACAAATAGGTACGCACTTTCACTAGGATGCATAGATTTATTTGTAATGCAATCTTTAACCTTTCCCCTCCTGCAGCCAACCTACAGAAACTGTAACCAGAAAGAGGAAGGCAACCACAATCACAAAGTTCGTATTGAGTTTTCATTGGTCATGACGATGTATGATGCTTTTAACTCATTACTTTGAATAGCATAACAGATACGAGAATGACGGATACGAGGCAGAGATCAACACTCGCTCGCGCTAATGTACGTATGATATTCTGCTACGAAATGCATAATGTAATCCATATTGATAGAAAGACCGTCAAATGTTTGTAGACTACTGCCTCACGCCTGGCTAAAAAGCGGTCTATCCCTCCAAAGTCAGTACCAATTGACAAACGACAAAAGGTATAACCCTTCCTGTTTATGTCTATTATAGTTTAGAATATAAGTGACTGATTCAATCATATTTAATTTAGACATCTGGAACGACACAAATGAAGCCAACGGCATCCAACGCCAATTTCATTGATGCGGCACTGCTTGCGGAAGCGAATCAAGAACAAGCTACGCAAATCATATCAGCCATTAACAAAGTTATTGGAATATTACGCGTTTTAGCCACAGGCTATCTACATGCTGCAAACTATCAATGCAGAGAAACCTCGCTCGTCCTTCAACAATTGGACGATCAGCAGTATGAAACTGCTTGGGTACAATGCGCGATGGGCAAGGCATACTATGATGCGGGTGACTATCCAACTGCAGAGCGTCTGTTTAGTCGAGCATTTCTTCTGTGGCCATGGTACTGCGATGCTGTGCCATATCATTCAACATGCTTATGGTACATGCAGAAGGAATTGGAGTTGAATTTACTGGCCTCGAAAATGCAGGACAACAAGAGCCATCAATATGAAGCGTTTATTGCTGCTGGTAACTGGGCTAGCCATGCTCGCTCAAGTAAAGAAGCAATATACTGGTATCAACGCGCCGCTGACTCTGACCCATCACGCTCTTATGCGCATGCCTTGCTTGGTCAAGAAGAATGGGAACGAGAAGAATTTCTTGTCGCCATGACACACTTTAGGCAGTGTATCAGTTCAGACAGACGATCTTATACCGGCTGGTAAGAAGTACTTTCATTTTTTCTTAAATGGAAGTTATTGCTTATTAAGCTATTTGCAATTTTGAACAGGCATGGTCTGGGCTTAGCATATGAAGGACTTCAATTATACCCCAAAGCAAAGGCCGCTGTTGATGAAGCCGTTCGATTACATCCTCGCCATCCTTTTGCCTTATGTACATTAGGAGATGTAAGTTTTAATTTTAAAGCGTATTGTGCTTTTTCATCGGCATCTCATCACCACTTCATAGATCCTTGCACATTTGGGGAAGGACCAGGAAGCACTTACATATTTGGATCAGTCAATGAAGATGTTCCCTACTCACCAAGCGTGTAAATTGAGAGCTCGCATATTCGCACGACTGAAAGATCCTGAGGTATATATCACCCTGTTTGTAATTTTGAAGACTCAACATCTAACGACCGTTTTTCACAACGTAATAGCGCGCATTGGAGGAATTGCTTCGGTTAATAGAACTTGATCAATCTGAACTAGAGTCTGCTGACTTTCGGTACCAATTAGGTATTGCATACTCTCAACTCGGAAAACGAAGGGAGGCCATCACTCACTTGACGGAAGCTACATCGCGACTTCGTCCATGGGATTATACCAGTATGCCAAAGATTAAGAAGGCTTTAAGCGAAGCTGCCACTGTAGAATAGTACATTTATCATAACGTTTTTTTGAAAATTTTGAAAAAGAAAAAAAATTCGGCAGACCTACGATTTTACGTCAGCCAATCAATATGCCAATTTCCTTAAACTGTTTATTGAGTGAACCCGCTTTCAGAAAGGGCTCAAGCTTCTACCTTCAGCCAAGAATGTCAACTCCTAGCAAACCACGACAATGGGGCGTAACAGCACCAATATCAACAGCTTCGCCCACTCCACATGAACTACAGCTCACAGAAACATTGGTTGAAGCTTTAAAAGGCTACAACCTGTTTGAATCTGATCAAGAAGCTCGCAAACGGTAATTACATTTAGCACTATGACCCACTTGGATCACCTTGATTACTACAAAAGATAGAACACGTTGTCTGACTTTTTGCCTATTCTCTTAGTGAGGTCGTTCTTGGGAAACTGAACACTCTAACTAAAGAATTTGTATACCAAGTGAGCAAAAAGAAAGGATTTCCCGAATCGCTAGCACGAGAAGCAGGAGGCAAAATCTTCACGTATGGTAGTTACCGCCTTGGAGTGCACAATGCTGGTATGTTTATCTCATTTATGGTTAAAGCACACCTACCTTCATCCTAATTGCGATCCCTCAAGGCTCTGATATCGATTGTTTATCTGTATTACCGCGCCATGTTGAACGAGAGGAATTCTTCACCACCATGTACGAAATGCTCAAGGAGCAAAAGGAAGTTACTGAAATGACGGTAAGTCTTCATTCTCGTGTGCACATACTGTAGTTTGCCTTTTATTTACTAACTTCACACCATCTTTAATTCCAATAGGCCGTCAGCGATGCTTACGTACCCGTCATAAAGATGCACTTTTCCGGAATACCAGTGTGTATCACTTCAGTTCATGAGATCAACTTCAGCCCTCAACTCAAAAAAGCTAACCAATTCATCATTATAGATCGATTTTGTATGCGCTCGATTATCGCTTGCTCGTATTCCAGATGATCTCGAATTGTCAGACAATAATCTCTTGAAGAATCTTGATGAACGCTGCATCCGTAGTTTGAACGGATCTCGAGTAACAGACGATATTCTACGACTTGTACCAAACATTCCGGCGTTCAGAATTGCACTCCGTTGTGTCAAGTTATGGGCGAAAAAACGAGCGATTTACTCTAACGTTATGGGATTCTTTGGTGGTGTTGCATGGGCTATGTTAGTGGCCAGGATATGTCAGTTATATCCAAATGCATGTGCGGGGGCTATCGTGAGCCGCTTTTTCCGCATTATGTATCAATGGAACTGGCCACAGCCTGTTTTACTCAAGCATATGGAGGACGGTCCTTTACCGGTACGAGTATGGAATCCAAAGGTACGTACTGAATATCCATCAATACAGGTGTAGGTTGAAAATGACTGATTCATAATGTTGCCCACAGTTATATCCAGCTGATAAGAGTCATAGAATGCCCATCATCACCCCAGCTTACCCATCGATGTGTGCAACACATAATGTTACCGATTCAACGCGAACCATTATGATATCGGAGTTCAAGAGGGCAGCAGAATGCGTCGATAAAATTTTCATCGGTGCAGGTCAATGGCCTGAGCTTTTTGAGAACCATACTTTCTTTCAAACATACAAGTACTATTTGCAGGTTATTGCCAGCTCCGATTCTGCGGAAAGTCAGCTCAAATGGTACGTTGAGCGGTAATACTGATGAGCATTGTCGTTTTATCTATTAAACCTTCTTTTTTTATTTTCTTGCTACTTGATAGGTCCGGTATGGTAGAGTCAAGGTTGCGACAATTGGTGTTGAAATTGGAACTTGTAGATATGCTTGTACTTGCGCATCCATACATCAAACCATTAGATAGGGTGCATTACTGTTCGACTGATCAAGAAGCACTGGATGCTGCTTACGGAGTTTTCAATCCACAAACAACATTTGCCCTAACTGAAGGTAATATGGATGTTAATCATATGGATCTTCTGAGAGAAAATGGCGACAGTGCAGAAGGTTCTGATCCGCAGCAAGAGCCAAGAAAGGTGTACACAACCACGTTTTTTATTGGACTTTTTATTGAACCGAAAACAGGTTAGTGATGGATGAATTTGCAATATGGATGTTGAATGTGTTTGCAATGGTTAAGTAATGATTTACATGTCCCTTCTTTTCCCAGCTGGTACTACTGGAACTCGTAAACTCAATATATCCTGGCCATGTGCTGAATTCACGAAACTGGTGAAGGCATGGGATAAGTACGATGAAGCGACTATGGGAATTACCATCAAGTATATTAAGAGGTATGAAAAGCAAATGTTATATGTATGCGATTCCTGGGTGGACTCTGTTATTGACTTCTATCCATTCAGCTCTATGCTTCCTGCGGACGTTGTTGAAGGAGATCCAAAGAAATTGAAGCGACCGCAAAGCAAGGTGAGTTAGGTTTTTGAATCCATCAATCACTCTTTAACAAATTCTAAACTGCTATACACTTGCTTTCGAAAAGAACAAGACTGGTAATCCACCAGCTGTCAATGTTGAAAAGCCAAATAAGAAGATGCGAAGCGGTACTGAGGAGCAAGCTGACAACACTGGAATGACCAATCCAGTTGCTACTGGAAATAGTGAGGAGAGTATAGCGACGGCTCCACCTGCTGCAGAACCGGTTTCAACATGAGTGGAGATTCTCTTTCTTGTACAAACTTATCTTTTTTTTTTCAGTCATTCATACTGATGTAAGACTCTTTTTCCTTAGTTTTCACATAATTCTGTTTTAGCTGTCGCCAATCTGTTCTTATATCGCTTGCGAAATCATCTCCATATTGTAATTGTTTCTCACGGAATGTTTTCTATAGAGTCTTTTGACCGATGAAATGAAGTTATAAATAAAAATAAAAACCCAAAAAAAATTGGAAAAGTAGAGTGCGTTTGATTGGATTTACACCACGTGAGGCTGCTTGCTGTAAGAGCTGTTCTTCTCCTCCAAGCGCTCACAATACTAGTCACCTACTTGAGCCCAGCACTTTGAATGCTGAGCATCGCCATATAATTAACTATACCTTGGTGAACATGTCTTTTGAACAGTCTTCTAGGTAAGAACTGACATTAATTATATATTGTGTAATTAACATGCCCGCATGTCTGGGCTTTATCTAACGCCTTCAAAACCAGCCTGTCCCAAGATCGCACCAATCATTCACGTTCTTCGTCTAGTAATACCGACATGGGACAGAATATTACAGTGCCTAGACTGACGGAAAGTGAGCTTCAACAGCAAGATAGCCGAGCAGCTGGTGTGGATGAACAAACGGCGAATAGTCAGGACGACGGCGAATCAATCATATCAGACTCTGCAGCAACCGTATCCTCTCGTGCAACGAGTACACATCCCAACGAACATGAAACACCGACCGGCTTTTATCAAACCCGTTCTTTAGGGCCCAATACTCAGCAATATCCCATGTTAGCTCACTCTCCATCAGCTTCAACTAGTGCTGATCATGTCGCCAATATGCCTGCTCAATCCATACAATCTGCCGAACGCTATTCGGAGCACAAAACGGAACCCTTTGCCCTTGCATCCGAAGTCCCCGTATCAGCATCACCAAGAGAGTCATCACCGTTACGACACTCTTTCACAAATGAAGATCATATATCAAATACCAGCCCATCCATTCAACGTACCAGTTACACTCCACAATCGCACCAAGGTTCGATTGCAATACCACGGCCCGTTGCTGCTAATCATAGATGGGCAAATCCTTCATTACTTGTCGAAGCGTCGTTTGCTAGTTTGGACGATACCGCACCGCCTTACGATGGATACCCGTTTCTGTATGGAAATTCAAAGAAGATACCATTTAGAATACCAAGCTCACCGAGAAATTCTATGTCACCACCAAGATATCGAGACGGTCGACCCGACGCTAGCTCTTCTCGAGGCAGCCAAGATTCAGTTGATATAATTGATACAGACGACATCAAATGGTAATTGATTTTTAACATCAGCTCATTCATACCATTGCTGTATTAACGGTTGTCTAACCTCTTACTAGTCAAATTTGTTTGGATAACATTCGAGAAGCATTTATAACGCGGTGTGGTCATTCTTTCTGGTAAGGAACTGTGGGAATAAGATTGACGGTTGCCTTGAAGATTAGATTCTAATGATCGCTCTCTGGGCAGCTATAAATGTATCGTCGAACATTTAAACCACCACCAATCATGCCCAACATGCCAAAACACTCTACTTCGTGAACATATATACCCTAATTTCCAGCGTAAGCACTTCTCTTGACCTCGCCTCCAATGCCGTCCGCACATCTAACCTTTCCATACCCAGTGAACAAAATTGTACAAAAAGCCACCGCATTCAAATCAAAACACCATGTTGGAAGTAGGAGACATACACGCAATTCTAGTACAACTAGTATGGACGATGTTCATCCAATATTGGACGAACGAACGCTAGCTTCTGATATCTCCAGTTTAATTGCTTCTGGAATTAACGGATTAGCTGACCTTGATGCCAAAGGTATAACAATGGCATTGATCATGCCGATACTTTCCATGTGTTCCAGTCCATTTAGTTCTAACGAATAGTGTCATTCGACGTTTCTTTCAAAGATGTAGATAATGTCCTCTCAGCATTGATTGCAAAAAAGAGACAACTGCTACTTGAAGAGAAGTCCATGGAGTCACAAATGCTTAGAGAGTTCTTATTAAAGGTTAAACAGCAAAAACAACAGGTTGGTTAGTCACTAAAATATTACAAATTTTCTTCACGGTCAGTACTAATTTTGTTCTTCCAAGTTACTGGAACGTGTAAGCTCTGAGCTAGCTTGCATTGACAGTGACCTTGCGACAGTTCAAGCAGATATTCGACAAGACCGTGCGTTGTATCCTGAAAATGATGAAGCTGAATCCAGTGATGTGGATAGACCAGCCGCACCAGAAGTTCCAGACGACCGAGCAAGAACTTTAACCTTTACAGGAAAGAAGCGAAAATTGGATGACCGGGAGGCCTCACCTGAAAGATATCACCCCAAACAAAAGTAAGGCTACTTGTCAGAAGCTTACCCACGATCACAAAATTTCTAATGCCCCTTCTAGACATCCAAGACTGGATCTGCAAAGACAGCGCATGGACGATTTTTTTGGAGACCTCGAAGAGTGTTATTTCAATATGCGAATGACTGGTACGTATGACAAACGAACATTCTCCAGAAGGAGAAGGGCTTGGTCCGTAGAGAGCTCCATGGCTAACTGCGAAATTCCCGTATTCAGCACAAGGTAATCGACAGTCGCTTATGGACTTTTCTTCGACCATCAACAAGTTCGCCAAGCATTCGCAGTTCAAAGTAGTAGCCACATTACGTTACGGTGACATTTCCAGCACATCCTCTATCGTATCGGCCATTGAATTTGATCGAGACGATGAATATTTCGCAACGGCAGGTGTAACGAAGAAAATTAAAATATTCGAATATGCCAACATTGAACAAGAAAGTTTTGAATACGAAGATGATCATCGTAGTGAAGAAGAAGCCTCGCTCTATTCCACACACAATTCTGAAATATGGCCACGGTCGATTACAAATTGCGATGGAAAGGGCGGGCTTTCCAATGATGCGGGCTACGTTGGCCGCAGTCGAAATACCATGGAAACAGTAATGCAATACCCAATCAAGGAAATGGTATGCAGACAAAAGATAAGGTAATGAACGGTATTGAAATTGCATAGTTTTTCGGGTCTTCTGTTGAAAAAGACAAAAGTGCAAGTGATATATGCGGCGAAACATTTTATGGGTTCACTTCTAATGATTTGTGTCCAATAGTTGTCTATCGTGGAACTCGTACATAAAAAATCAAATGGCCAGTTCGGACTACGAGGGCGTAGTTTCCATTTGGGATGCCACTGTCGGTCAACTAATGCAAAGCTTCGACGAACACAAGCGACGGACTTGGAGCGTTGATTACTCAAGAGTGGACCCTACCCTGTTAGCATCAGGAAGCGATGATTCCACTGTGAAAATATGGTCGATCAATCAGAGAAATTCTGTATGTACTATAGAAAAGAACGCAAATATATGCTGCGTCAAGTTTTTACCAACATCGAGCCATTTCATCGCTATGGGTAGCGCAGGTAAATACATACTTTCATCGCGCGTGAATTTTTCTCCGATGAATATTTCTTGGATTAATAATGGGACCTTTGCGTACCACTGTGCAACCTTCAAATCGATCTCCTAGATCATCACATCCACTATTATGACCTACGAAATACGAAAGAACCCGTCTCAGTGTTCCGAGGTCATCGAAAAGCTGTTTCATACGTAAAGTGGTTGAATGAAAACGAGTTGGTTTCTGCGTAAGTTATTTTTAAAGCTGAAGTGACAGTGTGCTACTAGCGCATTAAGGCTCTCAATGTGAGTTTGGACGTTAACATTTGTTTTTTTTTCTGCACATGTTTTTTTTTTTTTTTTGGGTGGTGTGCGCTTTGGCATAACAGTTCCACCGATAGTACGCTGAAACTTTGGAACGTCCGTGATGGTGAATGCGTACGAACCTACACAGGGCATATCAATGAAAAAAACTTTGTAGGATTGTCGAGTAATAGCGACTGGATTTCCTGTGGTAGCGAAAACAATGCTGTCTATACCTACTACAAATCGTTTCGATCACCCCTTGCATGTGTCAAATTTGGAGGCTTCGACCCATTAACTGTAAGAACCCAACTTATCTCGATTTATAATCCATACTAGTGTTAAAAGCATTTTTAATCCATGCTCCGCAGGGCCACAGTACGGAAGAGGACGATCCCAGCCAATTCGTAAGCTCGGTATGCTGGAAAAGAAATTCCAACACATTATTAAGTGCCAACAGCCAAGGCACTATCAAAGTCATGGCACTCGTATAGAAACCCGTACAATTAATAAAATTAAAAGCAATTTTTCTCTCTTGCATCGCACGTTGTCTCAGGCTGCGGCAGAAACACGCGCCGGATTAAAAAGTCCTGTCCCGTGGTTCGCTGGCATGGGAACTGAGGCATATCCTAATCGGGCGATTTACGTGCAATTTTTTTGTGCGGGGACGAACAACTACATCATGCTATTTCAATAAAGCAACATAGCCAATTGTCCACCCCAACTTCATACGCCGCAAAATACATATAAATACAGGCTGGATTTTGAATGTTAGCTATCCTCATTTTCGCAAGGTTCCCTCTGCTTGGAATTCACAAAATATGCTTGATACTATTACTTCACAACCTCAGGTCGAACAGACTGGCAAATCTCACAGTAGTCTGCCAGTCAAACGCCAAGCCAGTCCTTCGCCTCCAGCAACTCCCCCGGCTACCGAGACTTACCACATCATGGATATTCGACCAGCTGAAAATAATCAAACCAATGATGCCTTTTGTGACTCTAATCTGGTAGAATCCATCATCTCAGGTCTTGATCAGCCGTATAATAACAAAACCATCCCCACCTTGGTATTATACAACAATCGGGGCCTACAACTATTTGATCAAATCACCTATCTTCCCGAGTATTACTTGACCAATGCTGAAATAGATATTCTGCAATACAAGAGTCATGAAATCTTGGCTAATATTCCCGATGGTAGTGCAGTCATTGAACTTGGCGCTGGGTAATGTTTCATTTGCTTTATGGACCTGCTGCATGAGGAGACGCTAACTAGGGTATTACAGTGCACTCCGAAAAACGTCACTCATACTCAAGGCTTTGGAAGAGCATAGACGCAATATTACATACTACGCCCTAGATCTAGATCTGCAGGAACTAGAAAGATCGCTGTCCTCTTTAGGAACCTTTGACAACGTCAAGCTCGTTGGCCTGCTAGGAACTTACGACGATGGCGTAGAGTGGCTCTCAACAAAATTTGATAAGACCACACCCAAAACAATTATGTGGCTGGGAAGTTCGGTTGGAAATCTTGACCGAGAAGAAGCTGGTCAATTTATTGGACGCATACAAGAGCAATGCATGGTGGAAGGAGATAACTTTTTTATTGGTATTGACCAGCGTAATGATCCTCAAAAGATTGCACTGGCCTACAATGAACCTGCAGGCATTACTAGAGAGTTCATCATGAATGGACTTGATCATATCAACGAAATGCTAGAGCAGCCTTTCATTGATAGAAATAACTTTGAGTATATATCAGAATACCGACAAGATGAAGGAAGGCACGTGGCACACTATAAGGCGGTTCGGGACTGCGTACTAAAATACCGCCCTTCCAACGGTGCTGTGACTCAAATTACCGTGGTCAAAGACGAGATGATTTACGTCGAAACCTCGTACAAATATTCGCCATCCGAGATGGATACTCTCGTGGGGACTGCAGGACTAGCTTCTATCGGTCGATGGACTGACTCTGACAAACAATACAGCATGCTGATGGCTGAGAAGCGACCCTTTCATTTTGCTCGAGGCTTGGACCTGAAACGCGAACAAGATAGGGCTGAATTTCCTGGCGTCCCTTCGGAACATGCTTGGAATGAACTCTGGAAAAGCTGGGACCTTGTTACCCAAACAGTATTGACAAGAGACATGATGTTTGAGCGGCCCATCGCTCTTCGTCATTTTTTCATATTCTACATTGGCCACATTCCTGCATTCCTCGACATTCAACTTGCTCGAACCCTAAAAGAAGCCTACACCGAACCCACCGAATATGTTGATATTTTTGAACGTGGCATTGACCCTGACATGGAAGACCCCTCTATTTGCAATCCTCATTCTGAAGTTCCTGTGAACCCTGAGGACTGGCCCAAATTGGATGATATCATAGAATATTCCCATCGTGTACGACACAGACTCCATTCCTTGATGCAAGATTGCGCCACTGGGAAACGTCATATGACGAAACGACTGGGTCGAATCATTTGGTTGACGCACGAGCATGAAGCCATGCATTTGGAGACTCTACTATATATGCTCGTGCAGAGTCCCAACATTCATTCTCCGAGCGGAGTCAAAGCGACATCCTGGGACAAACATTCAACTACTACGCTGTCCAATGCGCCACTGCATAGTGTCCACGCTGGCTCTGTCGTTGTCGGTCATGACGACATTGAAAGGTTAGATGATCAACAAACCTTGACACCCGGAAATGAATATGGATGGGACAACGAAAACCCAAAGCGACAGGTTGCTGTAGCGTCCTTCAAAATTCAGTCCAGACCCGTCACCAATGGGGAATACTATACATATTTGAAGGAAAGTGATCTGTTGGACAAGATTCCTTGCTCTTGGCTTCGTAGTGAGGATGGACAGCTTATGGTCAAAACGGTGTTTGGACCATGTCCTTTAGCAGCTGCTGCTGATTGGCCAGTATCCGTGTCAGGACATCAAGCTGAAGCCTACGCGGCGTCAAAAGGAATGCGATTGCCAACTGAGCATGAGCTGATCCATTTCAGAGAGCAATATCAGCACCACAAGGATGTTAAAGCGCCCAACATTGGATTCTCCAACTGGCACCCTACCAACGTCGACAATAACACAACCCATCTGCTAGGTGACGTGTGGGAATGGACTTCGACTGTCTGGGATACTCATGATGGATTTGAAACTTCCATAGTGTACCCTGGTTATTCTGCTGACTTCTTCGATGGAAAGCACAATGTTGTTCTAGGAGGTAGCTGGGCAACTCTCCCCATCATGGCGGAGAGACGATCTTTCCGTAACTGGTATCAACGAGCTTACCCTTATGTGTTTGCCGGATTCAGATGTGCTGTATAAAAATATCTCGTTGTTGCTTACGTCCTGCCCCAATATGAGAATAATAATAAAAATAACACCGACGACCTATGAATACTTTGGATGAAAATTTCGATGAGATGGAACTGAATGAAACATGGGTGTCGTGACGCTTCTGAAATTTCAATGATACAATTACGACAGCACTGCATGAGTGGCCCCCTTTGGAAAAGATGACAAGGAAAGGCAAATCCACAACGCATGACCTTCTTGTTATGGTAAATTATATTTTGTACACGCTGGGCTTTGTCTTTCATCCCTTTTTCTCTTCCTATCTTCTTTCACTTTACTTTCGTTCGAGCCAACATATACACTAATTACCATGGATATACCGTCTTCTATCATAACCTCGGATATGCACACGTTTGCAACATCACCAAAACGAAGACACACACTAGACAGCATCGATACCAATAACATATTACGTCGATCCAGTACGACGCTTCTGGGTGACAATGATGTAGAGCGAGGTAAATGGCCAAGAATGCCGAAAGAAAATAAACTGCATGCTTGTTATGGCTGACCAACATCTTTTCTTGTGGTTGATAGCAATGAGTTGGTCTACGGCCACCACAGCTATCAATTGTGCGCCAGTCGAATGTGTATTTTCATCTCCATCATCAAGTGTATCGTCGCTGGAAATTGCAACATCGCGGTTTTTTGGTTATTTTCAACATCGTCCGGTATCGGGCAACCCCATATTGCGTCGAAAAGACAGTTTACAACTTGTAACAACAATACAATCGGAGTTCTCCGACGCCTCGACATTGGCGCCAAGCTATTTTCTGGACGCATTTTTCGAAGACGACGAGGACTTGGCCGATTCTAACCTGTCTTTGAATGAAAGCTGCAGCCCAGACTCACAAGTCACCCTGATACCGGGAGATGCACGATATTCTACCCCAGAATTTTCGATACCACCGATCTTGCATACGGGGTCCAATGATTTCCCCAACGTCGTGGACGATAAATTGGCGTGCAGGGTAAGGCACAAATAACAAACAAAATCTACCTTCTTCAAAATACAACCAGAGATAAGCTTTCTCACCCTAATTTCATTCATGCTCTCTTTCTAATAGCTGCGGGACTACCTGCCCCCCAGACAAAACGTCAAACAAAACTGGCATCTGGAATACAGTTTTGACAGCCACGGTATCAGCTTGTCGACCCTGTATGCAAAAGTGCATGATAAAGGCCCCTGTATATTAGCCATCCGAGATGAGTACGACGGAGTGTTTGGTGCATATATATCAGAGCCATTGCATACCAATCGACTGTACTATGGAAACGGAGAATGGTAGGTTGCATTGCTTCTTGTTTCGGGACAAAACCGAATATTCTCTCTTACGATGCTTGGCATACCCTAGTTTTATGTGGAGAATCAATGCTCATGACAGCTCCATTCAAGTTTACCACTGCACTGGAGAGAATACATACACGGTCCTTTCTCAAAAGGATTTTATTGCACTTGGTGGCGGGTAAGTTTTTGCGTTCCTTAACCATTGCTTGTTAAATTAAAGGCGGCATTGAAGTTCATTAATTTATGCCCTTTGATAGCGATGGCAAATTCGGCCTCTGGATAAATGCTGACCTGGAACATGGATACTCTGAAAGTTGCAAAACATTTGCCAACGACATTCTAAGCACGCATTCTAATTTTCAATGTATCGACTTGGAGATATGGACCTTTTCCGATTGATGCCTGCTGCTTCACCTTTGTACATTTTACCAATAATACCAACCACGCAAGCAAAAAGCAATTATTACAAATATGTTAGCTCTGCATAGCCCTGTAATTGTAAAAACATATTTATCTTTCTCGACTGTACAATTTATGACCCCAGCTTATTTGTCATAGAAATGAAGAAAAAAAAATAGGAAAGGCTGTTTGATAACTAATACAAGTCTTCTAGTGTTGAGACCTAATCCAAATCGCCGCTGACACTTTGCACAGGCCACTTGTATTCATTTGCTCCAAATCTGTCATAGCCATACTTTCTGACAAAGTCATCGAGTTCATCTGGGCCACGCGATCCGTACTTGTAGTCCTTGGGCAAGATCTTCTTACCCTCGATTTCGTGCAAGATAGGAGTAAAGATTTTCCATGCAGCGTCCAATTCATCGTCTCTGACAAAGTTGGAATGATCACCGCGAAGGACATCCAAAATCAAGGCTTCATAAGCGTCGGGGATCTTGAGGTCAGAGTAACGGCGATGATAAGTCAAATCTAAATCGCTTTGCAAGGTTTGGTAAGAGAGACCAGGATGCTTGTTGTTGAACTTCATGTACACAGCTTCGCTAGGTTGAATGCGAAGGACAAGTTCATTACGAGGCGTGTTCTTGAACAGGTTGCCAGACACGTTGCGGAATTGAATACGGATCTCCACCTTGGCTTCGTTCAAAGCCTTACCAGCCTTCATGATGAATGGAACACCTTCCCATCGTTCGTTGTGAATATGAGCAACCAATGCTGCGAAAGTAGGGCAGTTGGTTTCCTTGTTCTTCAAAGAATCATCTTCCTTGTAACCAGGCTTGTCGCCATTACGGACATACTGGCCAAGAAGAGCGTCTTCGAGCTTGAGAGGTTCAATGCACTTCAAGACCTTCACTTTCTCGTCACGAATAGCTTCAGCATCAGTGCTGATGGGCCGTTCCATAGCAACCAGCGACAAGACTTGCAGCAAATCTATGGTTATGATAAAATTTTCAATACAAAGCAAGAAAAAAAAATGACATTAGTCAATGTATTTAGTAACCAAATTCCTCATGCATATGAAAGGTTTGATCGGAGTACTTACGGTTCTGCATAACATCACGGATGATGCCGAATTCATCAAAGTAGCCACCACGACCTTCCGTTCCGAAAGGCTCCTTGAATGTAATTTGGACGTTGTCGATATTGCGACGATCCCAGACTTGTCCGAAGAAGACATTGGCGAAGCGGAGTGTCATCAAGTTCTTAACCATTTCCTTGCCGAGGTAATGGTCAATGCGATAAATCTGTGACATCATACATAATAAGTTCAGTTAGAAGGGCTTATTCACCTTATTACAAGCTTTGACAAATGCAAACAAAGTTACCTCGTCTTCCTTGAAAAGCTTTCCAATATCACGACCCAACTCGCGAGAGCTTTCAAGGTCCTTACCGAAAGGCTTTTCAATGACAATGCGGTTGATAAAGCCTTCTGAATAACAATGGCCGCGGACTCCTGATGCGACATCCAAGAAGACGGAAGGTGGGAGAGCGACATAGAAGAGACGATTTTTCTTCTCAGTGTTGCCTTCAACCTTATTGATATATTGAGCAAGATCCTTCCAACTAGCATCTTCGTCGTACTTGCCAGCGTGATAGCTAGTAATTTCAAGGAAACTGTTCAGCTTCTTCTTAACTTCTGGATCATCACCGATCTTCATATATTCGGTGATACGCTTGACGAAGTCGTCACGGTCCATCTTGGTACGAGCATAACCAATGATACGGGTTTGCTTGGGCAAAAAACCATTGCGATAAAGTCCAAAAAGCGAAGGGAATGTCTTCTTCTTAGCCAAGTCACCCGAAGCGCCAAACACTATTCCAAAAAATAACGTCAGTATGGAGTTGAATGATACTAGGCGTGGCATTACGACGCCTCGTCGCAATCTTCCTCGGGCCACAAAGAAAAGCGTGTATACTTTTCGCTTTGTAGGTTCTTTTGAACCGCCCAAAGAAAGCCGTACTGATAATAAAAAAAATAATCTGCTTTACTAACCAACAATGGTGATAGAGCCGTGAAGCTGATTGTCTACGTCTTGAGTGAGTTCTTGAATGGCAGAGCTGGCCATAGTGTAAAGTTAAAAGTGTTATGCAAAGGTGACGGCGGATTGGGGTATTTGAGGGTTGGTTTGCTCAATCAAATCGCCGTCACATCTGCGTGCTGTCATTGTTGGGTTTTCTCGTTTGATTTGTCTGATTACCTTTCCTTTCTTTATCTGATACTAGCTTTAGCTTTTGGATCATTCAATAAAACTACCGGTTATTTTATATTTGAATATACTCTTTGGCAACGACACATTGTTTTGACAACTTTTTGCTTATTCGTGTCCCGGCATCTTGCGCCATCGATGTGTTAGGGTCTGGGAATCAAAATTTGGCCAATGGTGGGCACTAAATTATGCGCCCAATCATGCTGGCCGCTCAGGCTGCTAGCACCCAATCAACAAAGCGTCTTGTACTTTCACCACTGGCCTTACGGAGCTTTTTTGAGGACATTACCTTTTTTTGGTTGATGGTACGGACAAAGTAATCAATTTCCGCTATAGCCTGAATCCACCTGGAATAGCGTCGTCTATTGATGCTTATTGTCTTTCTTCATATGGAAGTCTTCAAAGAGAACGAAACAAAGACATCCACAAAAAATCGCGCTGTATAGGATCAACCTTAATCAGCGAAGTAAACATCAACACAAAGCGCAATCATTTTCCCTAGTTTATGGACAAATGGTAAATCTAGATACAACTTTTCGGAGTTGTGCCTGATAAGGTTCACCCTTATGAGTAACGTCGTTGAAAGTACGACGGCTAAAGGGTTCTATTACATCGTTGTAAGTTTCAATGTTTGTGTATGCTGAAATCTCCTAAGCAGGGGATACGGAGGGCAACTGGCATAGCGCATCGTTATGTATTAACTCTACGTGATGGAGCATACCCGTTAGGCCACATTAGCAAAAGCCACATTGATCAAATTGACAAACGAGCAAAGTCGGTCACTGCAACAACCTCCAAGCACCACGCCACGGTAGATTTCAAAACTTTCGCTAGCCCCTTCCCCGAAATCAACAAAAGCACATCATCGAAAGAATCTATATAATTTGGTGTTTTTGTTTATTTTAAAAGAGTGTTTCTGCATGGTTTTTGTTTTCATTGACGTGAGATGGTAATGTACTGATTTAAGCTTCTTCCAAGCTGGAAAGAAGGATCTGCGTCTCTGCAATCTGTGGGGGGGGGGGCAAACATTTAATGTCACTTTCATGGGGCAACCGAAATTCTGATGACTCAATTTCCAACTCACCTCCAGTGCTTGCTTAACCTCTAAATGTCTTCGTGCTGCCTGTATCCAGTCCATGGCGAGCTTCTTGGGCCAACCAGAGAGCTGGTTCAATTCTCTGGCAGCATTTTCTAGATCCTCCTCATGAAGATAATATTCAGCTCGGGCCAAGCGAGACTCGGCATCATCACCCTCCACCAAACCTTGCTTTTTGAACATCAACTTGCCAAACACCTTGCTGACAACATGACTAGGTAAACCTCCATCTTGAGGAACCAATGCGACGTTTCTAACCTCGTTAGCAACAACCTGGAAACGGTCAGCAAGATCAACAATGGTGTCAACACCTTCTTGAGCAACGTCCTGAGGAATAGTATCCAAAGCGGCTTGTATAATTTCTAAGTTGCTGGTGTTGCGACGAACAGCTTCTAACTCGGCTTCAAAAGGTTGCTTGTGGGCTGCGGTAAGCTTGTCCCGGAGAGTTCGAACAGCGATGTGGCCCTTGTGAATTTGTCGCGAGTGGTCAATGCGGTCAGCATTGGACAATGAAATTTGCTCCAAAGCTTGGAAGCGTGCTGTTATCTGATCTAATTTGGCAAGACGGCCAGCTCGCTCCTGTTCAACGCGATGCTTGACGTCTCTAATAAATTGTCGTTGCATTTCTGTGGCTTGGGATATAAGAGATTCCTTGAGTTCCTGTTGATGAGCTTGTTGCTGCTGTGTAAGCTGAGTGGTAAGGGTGGTGTTGAAGGTCTCGTTCAAGATGGCGCGCTCCTTGCTGAATTGTTCCTGGAGTTCAGCCTCCTTAGCCTTGACCTTTACAACTGTCTCAGCAGCAGCCTTTTGGACCAAATCCTGTGAATCACTAGTGTACTTGTCAAAGCTAGAAGCAAGTTGATCACCACGCTTGTCCAATTGTACAACAGTAGAGAGGACAGCATCTTGTTCGTTGCGCAAATTCTCAAATTGCTTGTTCAAGCTGTTGAGTTGAGTTTGAGCTTCGGCGACAAATTCCTTGCCTTGCTTTGCCATACCAGCCTTATTTAAGATGTCTGCAAGCTCACCAACTACAGCAGACAATTTCACAATGGAAGGTTCGTTGGAATCAACCTGGCTGACCTTGATCAACTGTGTAGTCACCTTGACAGGGCTCTTCTCATCATCAGTGTATAGGGAAATTTTTCCAGGTTTGGCTTCTACACCTGAGGCGATCTGCTTTGGTGTATCAACCAAGCCGTCTAACTCTGTTGTTCTTCTCTTTGCAACTGGAGCGGGAGCACCAGGTGGAGGCAAACGAGGTGGCTCTGATGTACCGGTCAACTTGGCGATGGTGTCGCTAGCATATTCATATGCATCAACAGTGGCATCCTTGGCTTTCACGCCAATTTCCTTAGCAGTGTGAGCATATCCCGAAGCTTGCTTAGTGAGATCACGAGCTTGCTGACGATAAGCTTGAAGATCCTTGTTGTTTTGAACTTCTTCAATGTAATCCAAAACCTGTTCACCTCCGGGAACATATGTCGTGAAGGTATCATGGAAAGGTTCGTTCGTCAAAGCATAGTAGACAGCGCCAGTGTATCCTGCAGTCAACAACAGGGTAGCTGTTCCAAGCTTTCTCGGAATAGAGCTTCCAGTTGACACTGTTCCAGTAGGTGTGGTGCTTTCGAAACGCTGTAATTTACGTTTTATGTGTGAGTTATCAAGAATATTGAGAAAATGGTAAACGATCGGCTAAAAATGAAGCAATGGCCATAGCTAATGTATACCTTGGCAATTAATGAAGCTTTACGCGTTCTAGCTAATGGCGTAACAGACCTAACAGTCGACTGCAATCGTGACGCTCTAAGCATGATTGGAATGGCTGGTCACAATAGAGGTGTCGCTATCAGTTTCAATTTCGCAACAACAAACTTGTCTATACCAGAAATTCACTGGGCACCTACGTCATCAAAATTGTTACCAGCATACAAAACAAAAAGTCCCTATAGGCCTAGCGAATAAAAAAAAACACACACCACATTCTCGATAACTCATTCAGTTACTTTCGCCATGTCCTTCGTTCGTGTCGCCACCCGCTCTCTTGTAGTATGTGTATTCTCGATGCTTTCTAATCTCCTTACGTGATGTGCATACTTATTGAGCCACTCTTCTGTTTGCTTCAACCAGGCTGCTCCCATTAAGGCTGCCATGCGCCCTGCCCTTCCCGTCATGGCCGTCCGCACCTTCATCACACCTTCCATGCCTGTCCAGAAGGGTATGTTAGCAAAAATATCTGCAACAGATACACTGTAGATTATGTTTTAACCATGACTTTCTCTCTTACACAGATGTCATTCAGGACCTTTACCTTAAGGAATTGAAGAACTACAAGCCTGCCCCCGTTGTATGTATCTCGTTACGATTGCCACTCGGTGATGCCTATTCACCAATAACATAGACATATATACGAAACTAGTCATGATTCCTTGTATTTTTAACCTGGTTTTTGATTTGTAGACCAAGGGTTCTGAGGAAGGTCAAGTCAAGGACCTCAAGCTTCCCCCCACTCCTGCTGTAAGTTTGTCAATTTGTACCCTGCTCGTACAATCAATGTCTAATTCCAATATAATCTTATAGGCCCCCGTTGTTGAGGATCTTACCGAAGAGCTCGCTAACTACGACAAGGAGATTGAAGAGCCCGTTGCTGAAGAAGCTGAGGAGGCTGCTCATTAAATGTGGATATAATACTCGGTCGACCCCGGTAACAAGTGCAACATTAGAAGTTACAAATGGACGGTGCGCATGTTTAATATAACCAAACACCAATGTTCAACAACAACCCTCAAAAAAAAAGAAATTGTTCAAAACGTCAGCATTTTTATATAAAATGTCATCATTTACAAATTAGAAGCGTGTCGTGTGGGTGTTTTTAAATGTGTCTATGTAAGCGATATAAATCCGCTACGAGGTATAATGAGCCGCAAAGGACAATCAAACCCTCAGATTGCCCAGCGTTTCGTAATGCCTGTGCGAGGGATGGCTCCACGCTACAGGGTCCAGAAGCGACGGTCGCGGCAATGTCCCTGATTTCAGTTGGGTCCATATGGCTTATCCACGGCATATTCTCAGGTTGTGTGAACGTTGTAGCACACACCGAATCTTGTGGTCGTAATAATATGCTCAGAAGCTCCTTTATGTCTTTTCCCTCAGTTGAAGCTATGATCCATTGAACTTTATCCCTATTTCGCGTCTGACATTGCTGATCCACAAATTCTCGTAGTACTTGGGCTGCTGGAGGATTATGGGCTCCATCCACAAACATTTCATCTATGCTGTACATCTCTGTCAACCATGGACACTGCTCCTTCGTCAACAAGTCCAAGCGTCCTGGCCACCGGGTATCCGCCATTCCTTTCTGGATATGCTCTGCAGTAATTTTTAAACCCACATGTTTGTTTGCATTCTTCAGTACGTGTATAGTAGATACGGCAGTAGCTGCATTCACGAGCTGGTGGTCCCCATACAATGGTATTTTGAACTGGTAGGTTGTAGGTGGTAAATTATTCGGATATTGGATATCCACAGTGGCCCATTCCCTGGTTGGTGAGCACCACCTCGCCATAGGGGAGATTAGCAAGGGGCTGGAAAGCCTTTGTGCTGTTCTTTTAACAACTTCCATTGCGTCAGCTTCGGGTTGAGGTGATGCTATTACTGGACAATTGGCTTTGATGATACCGGCTTTTGCAGACGCAATCTCAGCAATGCTGTTTCCAAGTATACCGGCGTGATCCATGCCAATAGGCGTGATGACGCTGGCAACTACCTCCTCAAAAACATTTGTGGCATCCAAAGTTCCTCCCAGACCAACCTCAATGACTGCAAAGTCAACCTTGCGTTCGTAAAACCAAAGGATAGCTGCGGATGTGGATAATTCGAAAGTGGAGGCTCCGCAATTGTTCTCCTTGTCAACAGAAGCTACTCTATCACAAAGATTTTTGTATTCGATTGAATCAATTCTTTCGCCACATATCTGCATAGCATCTGTTGGCTCCAAAAAGTGAGGAGAGTTGTACCGGCCAACCTTGAATCCGGCTGCCTTGAGAATGGAGGCAATATAGGCACAAACGGAGCCTTTACCATTCGTTCCAGCAACGTGGATTACCGATAAACTTTTCTCTGGGCTACCTAATGCATAGAGTAGGTTTTTTATACGGTCTAATCCGAGATCCATGCTGAAGATTTAAGACAGGACTCCTTTGTTGAAACTGTCATTTTCTATCGTTAAGGCGAGATTCACGTGATTAAGCGCGCTCAAAGTGAATCATTTACTGCTGCGGGCGGCGGCTAATTCAACCAAACATGTTTTTGCTACTGGATAAACGCGCTACTTGATGATTGTAGCTGGAGAGCCTTAATATTTTTTTATCACATCATAAAATAGTGTCGCATAATTAAAGATGATTGTTCAAGACCAAGGTTATAAAGATGGGCAAGTGTGGTGTTTAATAGAAGAAGGAAACAGGGCAGCAGTGTCGTAAATGTGTGCAATGCAGTGCCCAATGAAAGACACTAAATATCTCTGTTGCGAGCGAATATATCATTGGATTTTGCGGTAATACCATACACTCGAGTTGTACCCTTAATCCATTCAGTATAAATACTATTCGCCTAAGTTTTCCTTTGGTGATGATTTAATTTCAACTTTGAAATTTTATTAATAGTAAATGTGTAGGTAAAGATGAAACACTCATCCCAAGCCTATTAGCGCGGTGATATGCTAAGATTATGAACGTACTGACCATCTTGATCCGTATGGGAAGAGGTTACCAGAGTTACAACGAAATCCAGTGACATCACGGTGGAGCTGGCGTATCGCCAATCTGTCGCGACCATCAAAGAACTCCCTGGCAATGGAGGTGTTAAAACATCTCTCGTTTCTATCGACAAGACCTGCGGACATTCGTAGCCTACTTACTTGTACCTTGTAATGTAGTAATGTAGTTCTTGTAGAAACATCAGAATTCATTCTGTAAAACCCTCCTCCCTATCTCACTTCAGAAAAAACAATCTGTTTTCAGCATATATTTTAGCATCGTAGCAAGTTAACCATTTGACTTGACGACTCTGAAAGATCTACTCCTGAGAGGTTGGGGGGAGAAAGCTTGAGACTAGGACAGACAGTGTGTGTTTGGGTGATACTGGGACAGATCGGAACAAGTTGGGAGAGGTTGGATGAGACGGGGACAGATCAGGACAGGTTGGGAGAGGTCAGTGAGGTGGAGAGAGTTTCAGACAGGTTGAGATCAGCCGAGAGAGAATGAATGTGGCTGGGTGTGGCATGCAGGACGCCAGAGTCATTAGAAACATAGAGAGAGGTGGAGTGAAAATAGAAGATAATAGAGGAGGCTATGTTTGCCTGTGAGATTGTATGAGAGAAAGAGAGCGCTGAGAGAAGTTGGCCAGCTTAAACAACATAGAGACTGGAAAACGTAGAGAAAATGTAGTTGAGCAATGACATATCGTGGCCACCATTTTGTGTCCGGGCTTTCGATTGGCTACCTATTTGTTGATTGCTTACCATCGACAACCTGCATGATTCATGGTCCATTTATGTTATGGCTCGAAAAAATGAGAAAGCATTGGAATACCTTACTGACCTTTCGGCTTTTCCTTGTAAAACATCGCGAGAACTCTAAAACTATTTGGTCACACCACTGCTGGTCCCTATAAACTTACCTAACCCGGGATCACAGGCATAAATTGACTGCGGATGCAACGGTATGAAGGCTTTTTCCTTTCACTTCAAAACAACTTACTGTCTGAAAACAATGGCCTCGATCGAGAAGCCAGAGACAGTGAAAAGCTGTTCGGAAGAATTGCCGGATCATACTGTTGAAAATAATGAACTCAATTATATGTTTCCTTCGTCAGAAGTTGGTATTCCTCTGACCAAGCTTCAATGGGCGTTGACTTTTGTTGGGTATGTGCATTTTGATAGGCTTATACCGTGCAATTGATTCTCACCACTTTAAAACAGTCTGAGTCTTTCCTTGTTTTTGGCAGCGGTCGATACGTAAGGCTCCGTCCATTTTCCTATCTAAACACTGCATATCTGTGAATATTAATTCCATTGCTAAAATTGACATGTTTTTCACCATCGTGATGAAACAGAACGATCGTCTCTACGGCGATTCCGAAAATCGGATCGGATTTCCATGCGTTAGAAAAAGGATCGTGGATCGTCACAGTAAGCACCATCGATGAAGAAATTTGTGGGGACAATTTGAGTTTGGCGATTCCTACGCCATCATTCTAAAATCGTGTTGCTGTTTATAGGCATACATCTTGTCGTTTGACTCACTTCAGGTAGAGTATGAAGAAGAGCTGCATCACCGCTCAAATCAAATACTAATGACCCCCGATGACAAAATACAGCCCATGTACGGAAAACTGAGCGATATCTTTGGTCGCAAGAATGTCTTATTGCCGGCTGTTTTCATCTTTCTGTTGGGATCAGTTTTATGTGGCGTGAGCACCAATATGGTGATGATCATTGTTATGAGAGCAATACAAGGAGTTGGAGGAGCTGGTATCTTCAGCGTTGTATTCATCACGGTAAGTAGTCTGGCCATGTTAACCGACAATCAATAGCATTTATCTTGACAGATGCTTTCCCGATTTAGGTTGCAGATATGATCCCGCTACGAGCTAGAGGTTGTTGTCGCTACACTTTTGAGCCTTCCTTTGGCACCATGAACCAAAGCTAATCATTGTAAACTCTCGGAAAGGTCAATACTCAGCTTTGATTAGCACCGTCTTTGCAGTAGCATCGGTCTGCGGTCCATTAATAGGTAAAGACAGCCTAAAATGGCCGATCTATCAATGCGCTATTATGTCATATGATATTGATGTTGCTCAACATTAGGTGTAAGTTCACAATGATTGATGCTAAAAAAGAATCAAGAAATGTTAAATTTGACCATATCACCTTGTTAACTATGTGATGGACACAGGGGTATGTCAATACGGATATGGCAGCACGCAATTGCTGGAGACTAACAATGCATTTATGATAATCACCAGCGCTTTTACGGATCAAGTCAGTTGGAAATGGGGTACGTGGACTTGAATTTTTTGGTCGATATCAAATGTTGCAAATGTTTTAATGATGAATATATCACAGCTTTCTTCATCAAGTAATGCAGTCAATTTGCTTATTTTGACCACCATCCTTGCAGTATTGACAGATCCTTTACCTTCCTCAACCTAGTCTGCCTGTAGGCGGAGTAGGCACTATACTGCTGATATTCTTTATGAAAGAGAAGAGAAAGCGTGCACCGGTTCGAGCCTTGTTGAAGCGAGTGGATTATCTCGGTAATTTTTGTTGTTTGTATGGACAGCGCACCGCTTGGATGATTTTGACCTTTTTTTATATTTAGGTACCGTAAGCATTCTGGCATTTGCAACTCTTACTTTAGTAGCGCTGAACTTGGGAGGTGTACAATATGCATGGAACTCGGCTCCAGTCCTAGTGTGTTTAATCCTTGGTATCTCGTTCCTTGGAGTCTTGGTTGTAGTAGAATGGAAATTTGCGAAAGAGCCTATGATGCCTATATACCTCTTCAAAAAACGCACTGTCACTTGTATTAGCATCGCGAATCTCTTCTTTGGTGCCGCCATCGCCATATTAATCATTGAAATGCCTCTATTTCTACAGGTATGAGAAAGTAGAAAACGATGGAATTTTTATTCGTTTATTGATTGTGAAATAGCATTTAACTTTTTTTTTTTTTTCTTTATCTCACATGCAGGCTGCTAGGGGCGACTCTGCTACCATGTCTGGAGTTCGAATCATCGTTGGTCAAGCTTCCATTTGTATAGTATCTACGGTCTCTGGATATCTAATGGGCCGATTCAACTCTTATAAATATTTGTAGGTGTAGCCAATGCATTTTTTGCTTCGAGCTATTGGCACTCATTGTTTTTTTTCCCAACAGTCTCATCGTTGGTAGTGCACTTGCTACCCTGGGATTTGGACTGTGCGCTTTGTTCAATGACACTTCGCCTTTTGGCTATCTATATGGATTCATCATCATTGCCGGAGCAGGATCCGGGATGATCTATGCGTGCAGTAGTGTCGCAGCTCAATCTGCATGCGAAAAAAAGGATCTAGGTAGGCTGGGTTTGCCGTTAGAGCAACGTGCATACTTGAGACATGACTTTTTAAACATCTCTGCACCATATTAGCGGTTGTTACTGTTCTGGTTACATTTTTCATGAACCTTGGAACGGCTGTTGGCGTTGCTGTCGCATCTGCAGTTTTAAACAACGGGCTACAGAGCTGTCTACTTCAATCCGTGTCACCGGACTTGGTTACCGCCATATTGCAGAGCACTACGTTCATTCGCTCTGGAGCCTTAACTCCTGAACAAGTAGACATCACTATCAAGTGCTATAATTCCAGCTTCAAATCCATATGGCTGACAGCGTTGGCATTCTCTAGCATAGCGTTTATAAGCACTCTGTTCATCCAGGAACATTCACTTCTCGGCCAACAAACAAGCGAAGATAATGATGTCAAAGAGCACAATATAGTAGAGGACATTGAAAAGCAAAAAACGGATCATCAAGAGATTGAACATATTGAAGTCGAGGATGATAAAACCACCATTGAGAAGGTGGCATAGCCACTCATAGCGTTGCATCGAAAGCATTATCTATTTTAGCGAAAGTTTGCTTAATTCCATTACCACACTGGTTGTATAATGTAGCCGATTACCCTAATATGAATGAGCAACAGAAATAAATAAAAACAAAAACGACAAACAAGATCAAAGACAAATGCGTTGATTTGATTAAATAAATGGTAAATTTATTGTACAAGGGTTTATTCATCTTCTTCAAGACCTTCAGGCGTGATGGTGATGGTGTTGGTAGACGCTGACGAAATATCTGCCAACCACTCTGGCATAGTGGCCGCATCGATGACACCTCGAGCCAATAACTGCTTCAGACCTTCTGACACATTCTTTCCATCAAACCGTAGCTTACAATCCCATAACTGATTTTGAGATGAAGACGCCAACGGCATCCGGATCTGCAGTATGGAAAAGAATGAGAAACATGGTCTAATCAGAAACCAAAGCTATGTGCAGCACTTGCCTTGACTTGAAATCGTTCAGGTCCAATAAGTGGGTTATTACCAAATTTTGCTGTGACCTTTCTAGCGCGCTCATTTACTATCGAAGCATCTATGGGCTGAATTCGTCGACTTGCTTCACGACCGGTGACATATTTGCTTGGCTCTTGAGATGGCCATTTGCTGGGAGGGGCTAAAGGATTTGCATCCACTTCGTTCAGTCGATATTGACTCCATGGACCTTGAGAATCTCGGTACAATGTCAGTTGGTATAGAGAACTTATGTGCTTGCTTTTGAGATCCTGCTCCCATAGAGTTGCAGCATTGAAAGCCTCTACCAAAACCTATACAAATCTCAATACGTGCAAGCTTCAAGGCAAAGAGTTAGAATGGAGATCTTACCTGAAGAACGAATTGTTTGACATCGGGTCGAATGTTGGATCCGCAAAGTATTGTGTCAGAACCAGGGAAATGTACAAGATATATATTACTGGAATTCAAAGGTATATTAGGCGACGTATCATAGAACGATATTCTGATCCATATGGTTGGAGTCTCTTCGCGGGTGGTGGGATGTAATGTGCAAGCAGATACGTATATATGCTAAAAGTAATTTTGGACGATGAGCCTATGTAGTTGTCAACGAGTGTAGGTTTACGAGGCATACTCACGCATCTGGAGAAATAGGCCGTGAAATGCCGCCGCATACGCTTTTGAAGCTCTGCAGGTTCCATGTGTAAATGAAGATCTGGTCGGGTTTCGTCTGTATATTCGGCGGTTAGCAGGGAAAAAGGGTTCATGTTTACCACCACCAACATAGCTTTCAGCTCGTACCTGATTTCAATCGCCAGACCCGCCACGTCCGTCCGGTAAGATATCTGTTTTGAAGCCAAACTAGGTCAAGCATTGCAACCTGATCGTGCGTCAGCCCTTTGGGCTAATGAAGATGAATGATGTGAGTATATAGTAAGCATTGGGATCGTCGGCAGCTAGACATCATACCCAGTCCAATGTTATTATACGATTAGCGACGTTGTGCACTTGTGATTGCCGTAAGAGTTCGTAGTCTGCCAGAGTTCCTACTTCTAAAGACTGATCGTCGTCATCGTCGTCGTCGTCTGCTTTGCCGTGTGGCAATGTGTCTGTGTTCCTGAACCATTCTTCAACGACAGAGAGGAGTGTCTCTTTGGTATGCTTTCCTAGCAATCTTCGCAGTGAATCCGTCCATGGAACAAGAGTGGGTTGATGTCGTCTTGTTCCAGCTTGTAGCATGGAGTTCTATGTACTGTCGTTTGAAGTTCGAACTTTCAAATGTTTAATTAAAAGACGATAAATTGTCCACCGTCAAGGTAAGAATTTCTAAATTCCTGAAAAAAAAAAATCGTAGACGCGCGAACACGACTTTAAACGCGATTCCCAAACATTTTAAACACCTCCCCATGCGCTGTTATTGGCGGTGGAATATTGTCTTCATGGTTTATTATTAAAACCAGATGAATTATTGAAATTATTAAGGTTCTAAGATTGTTCAATAGACAGACGCCTGGTATCCCGCTCCAAGCCTTCCACGGCCAGGTGCGTTTCGTCATCGGTAGTAGAGCGGCGGTGGTGTTTTGCTTCGACATCCGTCTTGGGATCCTTACGAGGCTCTTGTTCGGCCATAGCCTTCAAAGACTGTTGCGACATGCTTCTAGAATGTCTTTTGAATTTGGTAACTGCTTTCATCTGCAATGCAGTGTTGGCTGGTTTAGCTGGCTGATAAACCAAAGCACCTTTCGTTCCAATCTGGCTAACTTACCACCGTAAAAATATTTGCCACACTCTTGATAGCATTGCTGAACTCCTCTTCTGTAACCTCGGTGACGACAAGTTGGCAATTTTCGTCCACGGAGATGAGTGGGTCTGTGCCATCCAAGGTAACCCATGGGTGTACTCTCATTTGTTCCATGGTGATACGTTGTGAGGGATCTTTTGTGAGCATTTTCTGGAAAAGGTCGAGTAATTTTGGATTCGTGTCGGATTCATAAGGAACTCTTTGAGAAAAAATATGAGTGCCATTCAAAAATTTGTATGGAGTCAGAGCATTGGAGGATATTTACGGGTCATTTTTGATGGCCTCAAACAATTCAATCACATTGGATTTTGGGAACGGTAGTCGCCCATAGATGAGACAGTAAAGGGTCACACCCATTGACCAAATATCAGCCGCAGTACCAGATACATCGCCGTGACGAGCTAGTTGATGCTGTTTAGTTAACATGACACATTAAGCCGTGCGCAGCGCCATATTTACTTACCGACACAAAGCTCTGGTGCCATGAATGCAGGACTGCCTGCTGATTTCTTCAGACGATCGTCGCCTTTATTAAACATTTCAGATACACCGAAATCCACAATTTTCAGCACGTCGTCCTTTGATCTCAACAGGTTGTCAGGCTTAATATCTGTTCATCAGATGAGGAGAAGGTTAGAATTATTCAATTAAATCCCAAAGAGGGAGGAGAAGGTTTCATTCAGCTTTACCTCGATGTGCGATTTCGTTATGATGAACTGCAAGGGACTTATGTTAATATAGTTGCTTTTCAGGGGGTGGATTTTCAAATTATATCCCCACACTCACGGTATTCAATACCAAGGATCATCTGCCGAAAGTAAATGCGAGATTCCTCTTCGCTGTAAGGAACAGAAGCCTTATCCAAATCAATGTCCATTAATGCACCTTTCTCGGCCATTTCAAAGACTAATGGTTGCGTAACGACGACATGTGAGATGAAGCTCGTGATGGTTCAGGTCCAGACAAATTCTCTTACCCATATACAAAGAATCGTCATTAGGATCATCCAATACTTCGAACAGTTTGACGACGTTTTCATGGTTAAGCTTTTTGAGGATAGCCATTTCACCTCTGACCAAATCGAGAGGATTTTTGGGTTCCGCAGCTGCAGCTGAAGCAGCTCGGCCAACACCTAAGCCGACGCGACCACGACCACGACCACGCGGGCCAGACCTACGCAGCATATCAGACTGCTCCTTCTTACGCAGTCGAGATTTACTAAATTCTTTAATGGCCTAGAGTTTATGATTTGCAGGTTTTGGGGAATATTTCCATTACGGCCAAATAAAAAATAAAAGTGAGGCGGTGTAGGTTATAAGGAGGTCAATAGAAACAGTAAGTTATAGATCCAAGTCAATGGAAACGGTCACATTCATAAGACACACACATAAACGTTACCACTTGTATCGACTGCGATATGGACCGTTCCAAATGCACCGTGGCCAATTTCTTTTTGTAGCGTATACTGGTTGATTTTCTTTTGTCCGGCGGAATTCTCGCTCGTCGTAGCATGCAACGTTTCGATCACAACGGACGGTGGTCTGCTGTAGCGACTACCACTGCCCGAGCTGGTTAGAACACTAGAGCTGGAACTGCTTGGCGTTCCAGGTGGTGATTGGGTGGGACTCTTGAACATTGAAAGAGGCGAAGATGCAAAACTAGAACTGGCTGGACTAAAAAAGATTAAAATGGGAATAACTGGGTTTTAATTTGAAAAAGAAGCTGAAGAGGTATTGCGATGGAGGTGGGAGGGTATGGGGGCAAAAGGTACAAAAGGGAGAGTGTGCGTATGTAAAAGATAAAAGAAAATAAGCAAGTACTATGTGGAAAGGGATGGAGTGAAGTGGATCTGTTTTTTTTTTTTTTTTTCCTTTATGATGTCTTTGAAAACCGGGATGTCTACTCCCAAGGTCGGACTCCAACGTATCCAATGGCTGGGGATCCCGCAGTAGCAAGACTAGTGTCCTTAATTTGTCGCCAGAACGGCTCTGGTCCGCTATGAAGTCCAATAATCCAGCCTAATTGTTTGGTAAATTCTTCTATTGCACTGCTGAATAAACCATTCGTAACAGTGTTGTGTTGCGCAAGACTATCAAAACAATGATTAGCACATGTGGTGTGGGTGCGTGTAATGATGTAGACGGGGAAAGAAAATATTACGATACTTACTTTTTTGCCCACTCGCTGACTACCTGCTGACCATAGATTTTACCGTCACCGACTTTGTCTGAAGCTTGGCGGATGACTCGTTTCCAGTATCCAGAAAGGCTAACATAGGCATCTCTCTTGATATTATTATGAGACTCAGTGTCCCAGGTAGGGAGACGGTGTATGACGCAGGTTGCAATATGAAGGTAGCTGAAGCTGGTAGTAGGAAATTCGGAGGGTTGGGTAAAATGTTCTGCAAAATCCGTCAGGGTAGTCTGCAGTAAAAGGGTTAAGACGTGTACTGACTGATATTAAAAATCACCAAAAGAAAAAAATGGGCAACTTACAACAAGATCCATAAGAGCAGGACGTACACGATTAAAACTATAATCGTCCTTTCCTGGTCCACCTTTGTTATAAGGATAGCTTAAATTCATTCTTTTTTCCAGGTCTGCCAGGGTTGACGATGCTGTTTGTAACGTTGGTGATGGCATAATTTGTGCAATGTCTTCTTGTATGAAAGGGTGTGCGTCGATTAATCCATTGATAAGGTGTACTAGTTTATCTTTGTCCATGGTGGCTAAAGTGGAAGCGAAGAGTCAGTATTGACAAGAAGACTTTGGTGACTTAAAAGAACGAAAAGGCATACCTAAAAGTCGGCTGATGGGAAAACGTCGTTGTGAGCCGGTCTTCAATCGTTTAATTTCTGCATGCCGAGAAAATGGTGATTTCCTTTGGTCTGAAGGTTCTGTCCGGCTTTGGTACGAGTGAAAATCACTATCGCCGCCACCGTACATTTCTTCATCCTCTGACAATCTTCGTTTAGATCCTACATGAGACATGGGAAATGATGGCGTAAGCATTCCATTATGGAAGTGACGAACGTTGAGGGAGTTTAGATCAGTACCTCGTGACATGGATTTTACTTGGATAAATAGCAAGACAAATGAGCGTAGTTGAGGTTATAAAAACGCAGTAAGAAGAAGAATAAATGGAAGAAGGAAGAAAGCGTTATCGATACAAAAGAAAAAGGGAGGACCTAAGGATTTTTAAAGGTCACAGAAACGAAAAGGTCAAGGTTCCAGACATCGAGTGGAAGTCGTGAGTCACATGACCAGCCCAAAGTATTATAATTCGATTCCATTGGTTCAATAGGGGATATCCTGTCGTGAAAGAAACAGTCAGCAAAACGAGTCTTCTCGAAGCGTCTATTATTGAAAATTGACTTACGTTTTCCTCACAATGTTGTCTAATGGTTTCAAACACCTTCAGCATCTTACGTCTTGCTCCTAGTGCAGCTACACCCTTTGCTGTTAGATCTTCGTCGTTCATCTTGACAATATCCTGCCACTTCATGGGCTCAAAAATATTATTGTATTTATGTAACCTCAAGCTTCTGAACCATGCGGGAACATCTGAGCGTTGATAAATTAGAAAACGAGGTTTACATTGGATGGTGGTTTCGCTTGGGAGAAGTCCATTACGTAACCCTTACCTTGTAACAAGTCCATGTCAACCACATCAGGTCCTCGCTGCTTGTCCTTAGATCGAGTAGATGCTGATGCTGAAGATGATAGTCGTCGTCGTCGCTGACTATAGCCACTCACATTGGAATTATCGCTATGGTCGCTGGTGTAATCAAATTCATCGTTTCGATTGTTGGGATTCAAAAATTGGCCATAATGATTCGATCCTGTGCCGTGGTGGCTCTTGGGTCGAGATTCCCAACCTCTGGGGCTGAGAGGAACAAGACCCGTGGAACTGGATTGACGTGGAGCAGGAGACTGAGATCTGGAGGTCGGACGGGATGGGGCTTTAGGACTAAGCAAAGGCGAATAAGATGTTCCCAGTGAATTGCTTCCTCCTTGGCTATCTTGGTCATACATGGACAGTATGATGTTGGCATTAGCAGAGCCCATACCTCGCTCGTCCGACTCAGGAAGCGTTCCAGGAATGCCAGCCCGATAAATATTTCTATTTCGACGTACGTTTGACTTGGGGTCTTCATTAAAGGCCACGTTACCTTCCACGCCATTGTTGACAGTCCAAGTATGGAGTGCCTTCGCCAATTCAGCATCCGATGCTGAGTTCGGTCTCTCAATCATGCTGCCTGTGAACGAACTGACGGTGGGAGACCGACCCCAAGGAGAACTAGAGGCATGTTTTTTATCATCGGAAGAGTCAGCATTTTTTCCAAACGACCAGGTGGAGATGTCAGCGGAATGTGGACGACTTAAGCTAGCTCGATCGCCAATGTTCCCAACGACACTGTTGCGCTGTTGCTGCAAATTGAACGACCAATCATTTCCAAAAGGATTGGCACTATCACTTCCTCCTTCGACCACAGAACGAGGTCTATTTGACGGAAATAAGGGACTTCCGCTTCCGCGTGTCGCTTGAAGATGTGCACGTGCGCTCATGGGTGAGTCGTCCAGTCCAAAAACTTTATGTGGATACAAGTAGTCATTGTTATTACCCAGCCTTCCTACATGCACTCTATTGTTGTAATCTTCGGTATCTCCCAGCGCAAATGAATGGCGATCCATGGTACGCCGATGTGGAGCTTGTGGGCGGCTGGTGACGTGACCAGTCTGGTAAGGTAAAACGGATAGGAGTCGCTGACTAGCCTCTAGCTCTGCCTTCATCATTGCACCAGCTAACTGAGCCTGCATGTCAGCTATCCAAGATGTTTGGTTATTTTTAGAGTTCTGACGATTTCATAACAAGGGCAATAGCAAAAATGATCAGTTACCTTTTTCGGGATTGGCAGGCGATAACAAGGCGCCGACGGGGTCAGTCTTTCCCATTTGTTGCAAAACAGTAACGTAGAAACGAGCTTGAACAGGAGTAGCCAACTGTAGCAAGCTATAAACAGCGGCAGTACGCTCTGCCTCCGACAAAAACCGGAACCACTGTTCAACATGTTGCAATTCTTCCTTGAAATTCTGATCCATGCTGGCATTCGCCATGTCTTCCAGGCTCCGCTCGTAAACCTGCAGATCTTCAAACCATCGATCCAGAGCTTCGGCTAATTGCGTGACAATGAAGGCGAGTCAATTCAACACAAATCACAAAAGCGGAAATATACATGCAGACTTCTCTACAACTTACTTTCCGGGTTAGCATAGTTGCCTGGTTTTAGAATCTCTGAGGTGGGACGTGCACCACGGTGAGGAGGGTGTAGTGGTGAGGATTTCAAAGGAGTGGATCCACGTTTATTGCCAATATCCGGTGCCAATGAACGTGGAGAATGATGTACATGAGAATCTGAAGAGGATAACCGACTTGGTCCAGAATCTCCAGCATGGTTCAAAATGGGGTAGCTTGAGGAGCCTGAAGATTCGAGCTCCTTAGCGCCAGTCGCCGAAGATTCCGTATGGGTAAGAGGATGCAACTGTTGTGCTGACATTCAAAAGGACATTGAACAGAGGAAAAGACGGTGTTCTGTAAGTGTTTTAATAAGAAAAACAGGAGAGAGGAAAAGATGAAGGTAACAAAATCAAACAGAGAAAAAAATATGTGCGAAAAAGGTCAGCTGTCCTTGGAACGTATGTGCATATTCTCCTTTGCCAAGGGAAAAAAAAAAAAAAAAACATTCAGCTCACAGCTTGTATTCATTTCACATAGAATGTTTGTAATGGATTGTATTCATTTGTATTTTAAGAAAAAGGGTTTCTTTTATATGAGAAAGAAAAAAGGAACATAGCTTAGGAAAGCATTATTACGATGTGCCAGCAACAGATAACCTAATCAAGAATATTCGGTCAGTCAGTGATACACTGGAAGCATTTGACACTATAGCACACTTACTTTCTGAGATGCTCCATAAATACTAGGAGACTGACATCATCGGTGAAAATGGCAGTTCCTTGTGGAGCTCCATATGGGCTGTTAGAGGCATGTGTGGTAGATGGGTTAAGTTTAGAGAGCAAGAAACGTGCTTGTGAGCCACCTTGATCACATTCGATATATCTTGGAATGGGGAATCGATCAATAAGCAAATCCTGTGCGTCAACAGTAGGTGCTTCCAAGAGAGCCTTGAAGTTCTCATAGCCTTCCTGTTCTTGATATCCTGCCTTACGCCATTGAGCAATAGTTTCTCCATGGAAGATGAGGATATGGAAGAAGGTATCAAGGAGTAAAATGACATCAGGTTTGATGGAAACGGAATCCAACAGAACTGGTTGTGGAGTGTCATCAAAGGCATACGATGTCAACGTGGGTTGAATCATAATGAGTGAGCTATCGACATTTTCGCGGTTCAAGACATGTCTACAAAATGGGGAAAAATACCAGTTTTTAGTACAAAAGACACAGAACCGGCCAAAAGCGAAAATGAACATACCGGTAGAATGCGGTCTCATCAGGTGAGTTGTTGAAGACCTGCAAGAACTGACTTCGTCTCAAATGGAACATGAATTGAGGGTAAATGGAAAAGTTCTCGGAAAGTCTAAAGCTTTGTGGGTCGTCTTTTCGATAATCGGCAAATCGTTGGCAAAGTCGGATGAGCATTCTATCCAACCATCTCAAAACATCCGGACCATCATCAATATCGGCCTTGAACACAGCAATACGGGACATAAGGACAGCTGCGGTTTCTTGATCAAAGGACGTGGCGACCTCAGGGCTTTGTCCATCGGTAAAGTTGCGAGCTACGGTAGTGACACGTAGTCTGTATTGACCGCTGGAATGCTGATAGTGGGTCACGAATTGAACCAGTCCTCGGCTTCCAGGAGCCAAGGGTGCAGTGGGTTGGTTCACAACTTCAAAGTAAATGCCCACAGTCGTCTTGGGAGTGATAGAGCACATCTTCCATGCCGATGTGTTGCCAATACCGATCTCCGTCTCACCGACACATGTCGATTTTTTGTTGGATGAAACGGCCTGACCGATCAAACCGCACACCTTCAATTCACGAGTAGTCTATATCCGAGAAAAACTTAGTGACTATCACTGAGTAAGCAAACCCAACGTATCTCAATTTACCTGAACATCCAAAGTAGCATTGAAGCCCATTTGGAGGTGCCCTTGAGCATCCTTTTGGAAAACTCGTTGGAAACTCTGTTTGAAGATAGTGGTATTGAAAGAATCAGAAAGAATCATGAAACCACCAGTTTGGTTGACCAAACACTTCATTTCGAGTAATCCGACTTGATCCAAACATCCAGCAAAGATATCGATAGCGTGACCATTGGTGGAGGCACGCTTGGCAAGTCCTTCGTAGAACTTGATGGCCTTCTTGTAATATTTGGCACTTTCTCGCTCAATGTCATGGTGAGAACGAATAGGTTCCTTCAATTCAGTGCTAACGACCATGCCAGGGCCTTCCGTAGCGGGGCCACCAGCGAAAAGCATGATTCTAGCTCCAGAGTTGGGGAAAGTAGACTGTTGAAGAGATGTTAGTGGCAATGTAGGGGTTAACAGGGTCATAGAATAATAATACCAACCTCCATAAGACCGACAGCCACATCCATAGCAACGCCAGTGCATCGCTGTGGGCGCTTATCATTGGCAACTGGCCATGGATCGCGTTGCAAATTCTCAATAATAGATGTAAGGACAAACTCGCAATCCTTAACTGGCAAAAGAAATCTATAATATACCATTCAGAAGGCAATTTTTTCACACTAACATCCTTAAATTTGATAAAGTACCTGTTGGCGCTCAATCCGGTGGGCTGGGGTTGACCGGGACGAACGGTTGTGGCAGAAATACCAAGCATGTCTTGGATCTGTTTGGCATTGTACTCCTTGGTTCCTCTAAAAACATAGGATTTGGGACAATCTCCAAAGCCGAGTTCATGAACCTGGGTCTATTAAAAGGATGGCATCAATGATCATGCACCGAGAACCAGATATAAAAGACAGAAAGGTCACCTTACCATGGTACCATAAGTGATAAGACCAACCCAAGCATATTGAGGGAGCAAGCTAAGACTGACGATCAATGAATCTTTGAGAGCCTTCAAATCTTCCTCATCAAGGCAAGTATCGACGACGTAAAGGAAGATGGGTGGGATTTGAGCAGTTCTGTTCAAGTTGTATTCAATAGTGGTGTACTTTGGTAGCAATTCAGCAGGCAAGTTGGTATTGGAGATGTCTTTGTAGTGAGGAGGGAAAGCATTTCGCTGCAAGCAAAAAGGGCAGATCCACATCTTTGAGCGTACATCGATTTGACTGTCATCAAGTTATGGCGAGAGAAATGGTTACATCATCAGCATAATCGTGTCGCCCACATTGAACAAAATTCAGATCCACTTGTACATACCAGTAAGGGTTGAGGATGGCTCTGCATGGAGCCTTACAGGTGACAGGCTCATACCAGATGGGGTTCTCTGCAAAGTCCTCACGTTCTTTCAGAGCAGTGTACAGACATGCAATAGGAACAACAGTCTTTGTAGCTTCAATTCTGGAGCTAGGCCAGGCATTCCATGAGAAGCGGATTCCGTCCTGTTTGTATGGAAAATTATGAGCTACCGAAGTACAGCGGGATGTCACATTGAACAACAGTCTTTACCTGATCTTCGATTTCGTCAAAATTCATGGTGCTCACAGATGAAAAGCAGTTGATAGAGGATAAACGCGGTGAAAGAAACCAGGGCGGGAATCTAAACGGTCAAATTTCGACTGACGTGGCCAAATCCTTCGCACAGCCAAACGTACTTGGGAAAGCTACACACCAAACACATCGTTTTTCTGTAAAAAGTCATTATACCAAATTGAACAGGATAGGAAGGAATTGCATTCATTTATTTAAATTGAGAGTAAAGCTGTTGATTTTCAACGAGAACAACTGAACCCGACTGAGTATGTGCCAAGGTATCTTCACACTTAATTTCTTGGAGCGCTTGGCTGTCCTGCGCTTCATTTTTATTTTCCCTGGTATACCTGAAAAAGGACCAGATATCGACGTTCACCTGCTTCAATACTGCCATTGTCTGTACGGTCTCCAATAATTCACATTGGCAATGAATTCAGCTCAAACCAATCAGACCATTGCATTGAAGAAGCAAAGATTATACCACGATCGTGCCTATACGTTTGTGAAAGCCGCTTTGGACTACGACGATAACGGGAAATTGGAAGCTGCTCTATCTTCGTACGAAAAGGGAAGAGTATTACTTAAGGAAGCTATTGACCTTGTATTCACACCTGACGAATGGTGAGTTAAACTCTTCACAACAGGAATATTGTCACATATGATTGATGATTTGCATTGATGTGGATAGGACAATTGCTCAAGATGTGGAGAAAAAGATGCAAAAGAATCTACTATACGTAGAGCAGCGCATTTCTGAATTAAAAAAGTGTGAGTATCACTGGAAAACCAAATACTATGTCATTTAATTCATTTTTGTTGACCTTTGCTATCATTCGAGCAGCAATTGGCAATCAGTTCGATTCAAAGTCAATTATTAAAAAGAATAAGAAAGCAGGACCACCCAGCATATTTGCGAAACCAGTCAATAATGACTTACCACAACCACCGATAGAAAAAAAGGTTAACCTTGAATTTCCTCTCGAAAGGCACTCGGCCTATCAGATGTTCAGCAGATAACAATTCTAACGTTGATTTGATAACAGCGCAAAGTGGAATCATCCTCGGGGTATCTTAAATCCATTGACCCTAAACTGGCACATACAATATTAGACGAAGTATTGGTTAATTCAGCATCTGTAAAGTGGGATGATGTCGGTAAGCCAGTGCAACCAGTATGAAAGAATTGAAAACAGAAATTGGGCATCTGATAAAATTAGCGAACAGTGGGACTTGCATTTGCAAAGCAAGCTCTACGAGAAATTGTTATCCTTCCAACCTTACGGCCGGAACTATTCACAGGTCTTCGAGCACCTACAAGAGGAGTGCTTCTGTTTGGTCCGCCAGGCACGGGCAAGACCTTACTTGCCAAAGCGGTTGCACATGAATCGAAAGCAACGTTTTTTGCCATCAGCGCATCCTCTTTGACATCAAAATTTGTCGGCGAATCGGAAAAACTTGTCAGGGCTCTATTTGCAACTGCAAGAGAGCTCCAACCTGCCGTCATCTTCATCGATGAAATTGATTCTATATTGACAGAAAGGAAGGACACAGAACACGAAGCCAGCCGTCGACTGAAAACAGAGTTTTTAATGCAATTTGACGGCGTGACGAGTAATACGGATGCTAAAGTACTGGTACTAGGAGCAACGAATAAACCACAAGAGTTGGATCAAGCTGCATTAAGACGGTTCGCCAAACGCATTTATATACCACTACCATCGGCAGAAGCACGTCTAGCGTTATTACAACACTTATTAAAAAATCAAGACTACAACATCAGCGCCTCAGAAGCAAACGATATAGTGCAACGGACGGAGGGATACTCTGCCAGTGATATGAATGAGCTTGCTAAAGACGCCGCCTTAGGGCCATTGCGGGAGCTTGGTGATGATGTCCTCCATGTTGGTGCAGATGCAGTACGACCAATCAACTTTAAGGACTTCGTGTCCGCACAAGCAACTGTACGTGCATCCGTTTCGCCAGAAAGTCTTGCTCAATATGAGCGCTGGAACGAGCAATATGGCAAGACGGGAATTTAGGCTAGTGATATCACCTTATAATAAAACCGGAACAATGTAATAAACGCTGGTTGTGGTAACATTAATGCTAGGGTATATTGGTCATTTGCCGGCTTTTTATAATTTCTTTGTGGGTTAAAAAGTTAAAGGCAGCCAAGCTTGAAGCGAAGCCCGTACCGCCAGGAGACAAAAATTATGCGCTAGAGATGTCTTGATAAACCATCCCCCAGAAAGCCAATAGATCTTTACATAACGAGTAAAGGGGTCCATGGATTCTGTCACAGTAAGAAAGCCCATTTCTGAGCTAGTGACGCGCCCTTTTTGTCCTCACAACGGTGTCGGCGACTGGTCACTAAATTGAATTTTCCAGCACCTCGGTCAAAGTTGTGGTATACCAGTGATATTTATGTGGAATCCTTCAGAATGGCAATACCGTGGTGAGGGCAATAAGCACTTGGTTTTATTTTACAATGGCTGCTCTACCGATCTAGTACGTGCTGCGGACTGTTGCAGTATACCTGTCAACCTACACTTTTAACCCTCTCTCTTCATTCTGCATAGCGAGGCAAAGTAATCCGTCTTCAAAAACTCAGATCAGACTCGCAAGCGATCGCCGATGAATCCCTTCAGGACGCAAGGAGATACCTTGAGACGTTGGAAAAGGTTTTCGCCCCGTTGCTTGGGGAGAGCTATGTCCAACATATGGTAAGTAGTACAGTGCTGGTTGAGAATGTGAAGTTGGTCTGATACACGCTGACCTATGGTTAAAGGAAGTGATTGAGTTACCAAATGAATTCTTGGTAGAAGCTGCTCTTATGACCCACAGAGAGAAAAACTTTGATCGGCTTTCAACGTATGGACAGTTATGCGACGATCTTCTCAGTGGACCTGTTGCTGTAGAGATCAAACCAAAGTGGGGGTTTATGCCCAAGATGGACGGTCAAAAGCAGAAAACATGCAGATTTTGTATGCACTCGCATTTGCGTGGTAGTCATTCTCACTACTGTCCCATTGATCTGTACAGCGGCGACCGTAGTAGGATTGTGAAGGCACTCAGCGCACTCACCATCACCCCCCGAAACAATTTCCGAGTTTGCATGAACGAACCATTCACCGCCGATGCCTTACATACACTAATAGCTGAAATTATCATGACCGACCCTATTCTGCCTAATCTTGCTGAACTTCAAAAGTCACTGGATGAATTGGATATTGAAAGGATATGGCCAATGTACGAGGAACAAAAAGATCAGCTCCAACATTTGTCTATCGACGAATGGGCGCGAGCAGTCAACAATTTTAAAAGCGGGAGTCATCGCGATGATCACATACAACGCATCATGGAATACACCTTATCCATGACATTCAAAGATTGCTCTGTCATGATATGCATTGGCGCCTCGTAAGTGATATCACCTGAGTTATCTCAACCCAATGAGCAAAGGAGGCAATAAGTTAAACTTGCTTTATTTTCATCTTCGTGACAGGGCGGATAAGCAAATCGAGTGGTATTTCGATGGTAGGTGGCACTCTTCTACATATAGCGTCAGAGTCATCGACCTCGATCTGAAATCTGTCGATAATATTGACCGTTGGTATGAGCTGGATCAAACCATTGTTCAGCACGCTGTGAAATCAGGACTCAATCGACAATGTGAAAACACATCATAAAAAAAAAAAAGTATCTCATTATCATCAATGTACATATCGAAACATCGCATACAGACACTCCTGAATTACACTGCAAGCAAGCAATGCTCTGGGTCGGCACTATGCGATGACATTTCCTTTATCCCAATCTCAAATTGACAGCGCATTTTTTTTTCCAATGAAAGAATAAAAAGTAAAATTAAAAATCCTACAAGGAATAACGGTCATGTCTGCACATATAGATGTGTGCATCTGCAACATTTTCGTAAACGGGGTTCCCGGCGTTGGCTGACTCATATCGTCAAACTTGACAGGTCTAAGTTTGGTTCCGAGTCAACATGTAACACCGAAGAACGACTGGATTTCTTGCAGCTCCACAAGTGTCCCGGCATCTCATGTCGTATATCAAAAGAGTTACGATCATAAAGGGTTCATCTCCATTTCCATCTATGCGGAGATCATTATTTCTTTTGTTCTGACTTTTTTTTTTATATACTTTTCATTCCTACAATTTAGTCAATCCTCTTGGCATTGGTTATCATTTAAAAACGTGATAAGCTTTTAAAAAAGAAAAAACGAATAGAGAGATGAAAAAGGCAGATAAAGAGGGAGGAGAAAATAGTGGAAATGTATTCATTCATTCATTGCTTTATATCATATCTTTCTTCTTCTTGCCTCGAGGTGGCGTTTGCGATCGACCACCTCCGGCTCCAGCACCGCTATACATGTATTTTGACTTCTTTTCTGCTGGTTTAAGGATCTGATAAAACATAAGGATGTTAGACATACGCTGTGTGACCAATCGATGCGCCGTCGATGAGATGTATACTGACCTGGAAGCTACACATCAATGATTCGTCTACACTCATCATGGCACCTGCATTATCAAATTCGCCACAGTAATTGGGTGCAGAGAAGAGAGTAACCAACTGTCGCTTGGCGAAAAATTCATATCCATCCTCAACAACTTGGTGCGCACGGCAAATGAGATCCATATCATGCTTTTGCAAGAATCTACTAACAACATCCGGACCAAATGTAAATGATACACCTCGATCATTCTCACTCCAACCAGTAATATCTTTGTCAGGATCTGACCACAACAAGTCGCACAAAAGACCTAACAATGTAAACCAATTAGTAGACGTTTCAATGAAGGACAACCCTTCAAACCGACGAGAGCTTACCAGTATCCGGAACATCAGTGGGTCGCATCACTCTTCTTATTTGCTCCATGCTTTGGAGATCAGGAGACAGACCACCGTGCATCGTAAAGATCTTCTCGTCGATAATGGCTGCGATTGGTAAACAGTTGAAGCAATCTGTGAAAGTCTTCCAGAGCTTGATGTTGTATCGTCTCTTGCCTATAGATGAAAAAGTTCAGAACTAGAATCGTTTGCATTGGGTTGGGTATTTGGTCAAAGATTGTCTCCTTACATTCGTCATAAAATCCATAGATACGATTGATGCTGGCGCACTCGTGGTTACCTCGCAGGATGAAAAAGTTTTCTGGATATTTGATCTTGTATGCTAGCAGGAGACATATGGTTTCTAACGACTGCTTGCCTCTATCAACGTAATCACCTAAGAACAGATAGTTCGCTTCGGGTGGGAAACCACCATATTCAAACAATCTAAGTAGATCGTAGTATTGACCGTGTATATCACCTATTCCAAGAAAAAAGGATATTCAACAAACATTATCAGTAAATACGGCCAATACACATCGGGGATGACCAAAAAGGGGAGAAGGGAGCTCACCGCAAATCTTGATTGGAGCCTCCAATTCTAGGAGGATGGGCTGGCTCATGAAGATTTCGCGTGCCTTGACACAGAGAAATCGAATCTCACTTTCGCCAAGCTGTACCTGCTTTCCAGGCCGACTTCCTCTGACTAGAGAATAGGAAGTTTTATGAGAACGCAATGCATTGCAAAAAGGCATGGTAGCAGGTGTTTAAATCAGCCAAAATGGCTCACCACCATTTACATGGAATGGTGTGCCGATTATTATTATTTTTTCAAGGCTTATGATGGCGAAAATCGCGCTGACGGTGTAGTAGGATCAAAAGTAGGTAACATACCGTCCAAAAGTCGTTCAATGATGGAGTCTACATCCGCATTCTCGTTAAAATCGGCCATTTGCAATGTAGATTATTTTAAGCAAGGATAGTAGGCGGGGAAGAAAGAATGTCTGAAAAAAATAGACGGTGGAATCACACTTTTTTTTTTTTTTTCATTTGGACCCAAAAAAAAAATTGCTGGTTTCTCAATCCTCGTCATTCTGTCACCGCCCTTAACCTTCATAGACTAGGAAATTGTCAAACAATTGGAAATAAGTACGGCTGCTCAATAAAAGAGATCAACTTGTTACAAGGGTAGCTCATTTTATGACAACCGGCTAATACATACGTCATGTCGAGAAATAACGTGCTACGGGCGGTGAAAATAGAAAAGAAAATGTGTTGAATGGCAATCTATTGTACAAGTGATAAGAAAAATAAAATAAAAACGAAGAGTAGCAATTAATCTAGCAGTATGCAGAAACATAGGAAATGTGAATAGAGGGGTGTGTATAGAATGATACGCGGGTAGCACTTTTGCCATTGGTTTTCTAAAAGCCAAGGAATACATGCCGCTTTTTGCCATTCGGGTATACGACGACGTTGGCCATGAAGAGTCCAAGAGTGACCGCCAAACCAATGGCGACCATATTGACAGCGAATATACCACTGTTGTCATTTTCGCTGCCATCAAATAAATTAATGGCACCGCGAACGCCAAGCGAGCCTGGGACAAGGATGATAATGCCACCTATCAAGATAGGGAATGACATTTTTTTGAGAATCTTGGAATACAAGTTACCAAACATGCCTAGGCCAAACGCTGCCACGCTGGTAACGATCTCAGAATTGAGTGAAGGGACCTGAGACATAAAGTGGTAAATAGTGAAAGCGACCGACGCTCCGCAGAGCATGACAGGGATCTGTCGGATGCTACCACCAAAGATGATGGAGATGCTAACAGATGCAATGGGAAGTAACAAGAAGTAAAAAAATGGGTTGACTGGGTCGGATTGACAGTACATGGATTCGTCTGTGGAGGTTGGATGCGCCGCTACATCGTAGACTGCGCTTCCGTAGCCGAGTCCAAACGCAAGCATCAAAGCGTACATGACCGCGTAGATCAAATGAATGCTTCCACTGACGATGTTGCGTGCCGATAGTTCCATAACAGCACTTGTCAAGGAGTAGCCTGGAAGAGCGATAACGACCTACAAACACACAAAGTAACGTTAGATGACCCGGGAATTTGGTGTATAACGACGAACTAGTGCGCGGCTCACGAACGTATTCATTCTGAGAACATAGATGATATACTTACAGCTGAAAGGGACACGGCAGAAAAGCAAATCCATTGATGAAGCGCTCGTGCAATAACGGCAACACAGATGCTAACAAAGATTTCGAACACATTGGCTATCATTGGAAATCGCTCGGCCACGAGTGTAAAAAGACCAACTTGTAGCAGAATAATCAATTAGTTGTCAACATTGGGATCAGATTAAGAGACATTGCTAGTTACACTTACCGAAGAGACCAAATATACCTGAAACCCAAAAATCAGTCCAGCTACCACCAAAGAACAATGAAGCGACGGTGGCAGCAGAGACCACATAAGCACCCAGTACCCAGTAGGTGGACCAGGTTGGAGGACTTTTTCGCACCTCTTCCAACATGTCAAGTGCTTCTGGTACGGCCATTTTTCCGCGAGCAACCATATGCGAAATATGATTGACTCTTTCCAACTTTGCAACATCCAATCCACGAGCACACTTGATTAATTTTGTTTCTGACGTATGCGTTTCAGCATCTCCAAACGTCAACATCATCAAACCTGGTAACACCATATAACTACCATCGACATCCAAGCGTCTGGATGTGTGGTCCAAAGCAGCTTCCTGTTTAAGAAAAAAAAAATTGTATGTGAGAAAGCAACGCTACTGGGTCGGCCCAAAAAAATTGTTTGGCTTACGATTCGGTGAGATGGAGCGCCGGCTCGGATGAGACCTTTGCCTAATTTTATGATGAATTCCTGACGCTGCAAAATATCTGCAATATCCGCTGTGATTTGCATCCTCTCTTGTAAATGATGTACATAGTTGGCTGAACCTTGTTCGGCGAGGGTATATGGGTCTTCACTTAAGTCCAAACTAGTCCTTGCCGAGCGAGTCTGCAAAGGGGTAGACGAAGACCATATTCCTTGTGATGCACCAAGCACATTCCAGGATTGAGAAGCTAGACTTGATTTCGACTTGTAAAGCGGAGGCCGCTTCTTCTTTTTGGACGGCTGCTGGTGCTGTGTAGCCTTTAACCGACGGTCGGCAATACCCAAGCGAATTAAGTTGGACAGTACACCACCACTCTTCTTCGGTCTCGAATTGGAATTTCCCTGGGTAAAGGTGCTGACAAGGTCAAAGGCTTCTTCAGCATGCGACTGTTGGGTCTCCTTTTCCTCTTGCCATTGTACGGTTGTCGTCCGAGGTACGGGAGGAAACGAAACGGTGGCATCTAGGTTGAAAGTGACATCGGACGTTGTTGAGGTAGGGGTATTAACGGCGGTAGGGAAATCATGGAACACTGGAGATGGGTGAGTAGCTTCGTGCTGCTCTTTTTCCATTCGATTCTGGCAGTAAGTAAAAGTGAAAGTTTGGAGGGTGATGAAGGTAGAAAGACAAAGAAAAAAAAATTGCGAGATCGACGGCCTTTTTTTTTCTTCCAAAAGTAACTCAGCAGCGAGGTTTTTTTTATTTTTACGATATTTTTTTTCTGCCTTTATTGAAAACACACGTAATGGTCACCTCAGTTGATACTCAAGCCAAACACACTGACGATGGCATACAAGGATTTGTTTTCAAATCGATAATTAGCGCTTCCTGCAATGAATTGAATATTAATATTGTGCTTGGTGGTGTTTGATTTCCTCAAGTTGACAGCTTTACCATCGTGAGAATTATCCCAATACACCGAACTGCCAGCATAGAAGCCAGCTCCATTCTTTTGCATGATCACGCAAGTTACTGAAAAGCGGAAATGGTTTTAATTGCTACAGTTTAATTGATAATGACTCCCACTGCCCTTTACTTACCAACATATTTAAAATTGCTGTTCATGTCCTTTAATCGCTTCAAACAATTGTCAACAATAGTGGAGTTCCATTCTGGCACCTTGGTATGCGAGTACACGGTGTCGGTGATTGTAGCTTCAACGGTCTAGACACGACATTGGTTAGCCATCCATAACATATCGGTATGACAGAGCTGAACGTGCTCCTATATATTTTCGTGACGGGAGCATAGTTTCCCGAACACGAGATCCATCCAACCCACCCCCACCCCATGCGCGCAAAATGTAGCCCTAACCTCCTTGATGATGTTGGTGACCTCTTCGACATTGAACTGTTTGGGATTACTCTGGTTGAAAAAAAGAAGACAGGGACTATTAGTGTAGCGTGATGCAAGAGACAGGACCGAAGCATGCTTACCTCGGTGGTTGTTTGGACGGACGATTTGTCGGACATAGATCCTGTCAAAACTGCAGTATTTGCAACGGGCGAGTCCATGGTAAAGGTAATTTATTAACAATGAGTCGTAGACAAGGGAATGGTATTGGATTGAATCGGATTAGGCTGTTGCCAATGGAGTAGAGGGAAAGAAGAGCGTTAGATTGGCAAGTAGACAACAAAAAAAGAATTTTAAAATAGCAGCGAAGGAGTCGCGCAGACCTAAAAACTCCTGTATAATTACTAGCGTCGTCTTAAGGCAAAACTGAACTGAAGATGCAAAAACCACGTTGTTTCTAATATGCTTTCCCCTCATTATGGTAGCACTCGAGAAAATTAGCGAATTATAGAACGTTACACTCGAGCTTTTCGGATGAAAACATATGCGATTTTCATAAATTCATTCAGAGAAAAAAAAAAAAAAACTTGTTAAAAGTACAGATAGGTTTAAATACAATGGTGAGCGGCAACAAACATACAAAGTTCGAGTAGGGGGGGGGGATGAGGATTTTTTCTTTTGGGGGTGAAGTAACATGGATGGATTTTTGTAGTATTTAATAGCGTCTTGGAGGCATTCCTCTATTGAAGTAGCCTTGTCGTCTGTAAGGTTGACCGAAGACAACGGGAGGACGACGGCCAGCAGTAGGTGGGGACAGAGGTGGCGTATTCGGGCTGTGAGGTCGACGCTCCTGTGTAAGTAAATGAGCACGTGTTAGAAATGGGATTTCCCTTTCAAAACTATTTTTCTTCAGCCTTACGTAGGGAGTACGAGAGAAGGGTCGCTCAGCAAACTTGAAAGCATTTTTGAAATGGTTTACAGGCCCATGGTCACTTGGTGATGATGGCGAGGGATAGTTAGACATGCGATTGCGGGGAGATGTGGGAGGAGATGAGGGGCGGCTGCCTGCTAGCTGAGATGCAGAATATTGAATATCAAACGGGCCATGGCTTTGTTTTGAGTCGTCATTCGAGACCATCATGACTGACTCGGTAACAGGAGCTTCCTTGGAAACCATCATATTTTTGACTTGTTGAAAAAGTCGATGCTTTTCCGCCTTGAGTTGAGCAAGCTTTTCCAGAATGTCAGCTTCCGTCATTTCATCCTTGCCTTCGTCTGAAACTGACATATCTTCATCGTCCTTGAGACTGGAAGGTGTGTCCAAGGCTATGGGGGATGCCATCGGACTATCTACTCCGGCTTTTGCGACGAGTTGCTTTGAAGAAGCAGCTTGCTTTCTGCTTTGCCTTTGCACGGAGACAGCCTTGGCGACATGAGATTTGACGACTTGCGAATGCTCAGAGTCTTCAAATTTATAGGTCGTTATAATGCGTTCTGAATCATGAAAAACGGCGACATTGGAATAAATACGTTCAATCATGAACAGAAGGAAGGAATGAAGAAAAGAAAAAAAAAGAAATGGGAAAAAAACAAGAGAAACAGAGGATGATAAAATAAAATATCGTCGATAAATTTTTTCTTTTTTTTTTTTCTTTTTTTTTTTATTTTATTGGAAAGGTTTCATCATTGGCTCTCCTTCCTTTTCTCGTGTGACACATGGCGGACTTTCTAAGAGCGGCCTAACATGAACCGTTTGGAGCCTCTGCTGGGGGGAGACACATGAAGTCAGCTTCCTCCTTTTACCCTCCCTTTTCTTCCCTCCTCTCCCCCAAAGAAATAAATTGAATAAATCCCTCTTTTTACCTCTTGCGAGTGCGTGCGGCTCGATAGCTCTCTTCAAGATATTCTTTAGATTGGTATGGTTGTGAACGATGGTCGTAATAGTTTAAAGTCTCACCGTCATCGTATAGTCCAGTGTTCGTTCTACGTCCCTTGCCCCTTGCGCCATCCTCCTCAACATCCATAGCCCCGCTACTTTTAATTTCCTTCTTCAATCGTTCAATCTCTCGGTCATATTGCTCTCGTTGACGTTTTTCCTCTGCAGCTGTTTCATGAATAGATTGTAATTTTTGATCCAGGCTTGCCAATATAGTGTCGGTGTTTTGTGACCTACCAAAAAAAAAAAAGCCAAACATCAGAATAAACACTCCAACCCCATTTTGTTACGTTAGCGAGGGGGCCCTGGTTAAAAATCAGATGTATCCATACCACTCATGTAGTATGCTTATCACGCTGCTTCTCTGTCCAGGTCGTAGGTCACGTCCCATGGTATATTCAACTTCCAACTGCTTTCGCTTTTGATCCATCTTGCCCTTCATTACATCTTCGTAAAATGCCCCGATGATTAAATCTTCTAGTTTCCTGACGTCTGTGACATCCAAATAGCTCATCAATTTATCGTACGATATCGTCTACTCAGCACACCAAGTTAGTTGATGACAACATACGTGCATCCTCCTTAATATCCTCTTACCCGACTTTCTTCAGACATAGATACAATTGACAGATGCTTTAATTTGGTAGTTTGCTGTTCGTTTAGCGGTGGGAGCTCCGTTGCATGTTCTAACGAAACAACATATGCATGTTAGCTTCAACCACTGAAGGTGTGCCAGCGGGGGGTTGTTTACTTACCAACATAGTCCCGGTATGTCCCGTAAGAAAAGATTTTGAGCAGTGTGTAGTAGGGTATTACCTCTGGGAGAGCTGATGCCTATATACCCATGGTTAGTCTGCAGGCATGCACACTTGGATCATGTCATCCTTGGCTTACCTCCATCATATTCGGACACTCGAGTAACTCCGCAAACACGTAGATACTTGGCGCAGCCAAAACATCCTGAATTAACTTGATGTTGGCGGGTCCTTTGACTGATTTGGAGAGTATTAAAAACGGCTCCAGCCTTTGGTGTGTGGATGAATGTAAGATTGCTTCACTCATGGCGGTGTATCGAGGCTATCAGCGCAAAAGTCCACCAGTAATATGCAGAATATTTGTCACTGGCCGTCCCAAGCTTGGAAACAAGGGCTTACGCAAGTCACATGTCACGTGTACCATATACTTTTCCAACCTTCGATGGCTCGAATTTGAAGGACTCAAGCAGGCTATTGAACGAGAGATCAATGACCATATACTTGTATTTAAAATCCTTGATATGTAAAATGCCATGCTTTTCAGCTGTGTAAGTCAAAAGTTGATCCTTCTCCAGTTTTTGACGTCACCTAACCATGCAAACTTGATTTTTCAAACACAAATTTTAGCAACCTGAAATTTTAGAACCTAGCACAAGTAACCCAGTTGAGCCACTCTCCAACCTCGTTAGTCATTCCAACAATTTTCATTAATGGCCAATCCTGCAACAAAGACACAAGTAATCTCACTCTATAGACAATTCTTGAGAAGTGGAAGCAAATTTGGTGCTTACAACTTTCGAGATTACGCCATTCGACGGGCTAGAGATGGATTCCGCAGCCATATGAACGAGGCCGATCCCGAGAAGATCTCTGCTTTCATTAAGAAGGCTGAACAAGAACTCAAAGTAGTCCAGAGACAAAGCACAATCAGCTCCATGTTTAACTCTGGACAGAGGTTGATCATTGAAGAGCAACGCATCGTTCGTACTGCTGGTGATAACTAAATGGCTCAAACGGGACGCTGGTTTGAACAAAAAGACATACCTCTCTGTTATTCTTCTATTATCGACCGTTATTACTTTGGTCAACCCGTCTCCCCACTCTTCCTACTTTCTTATTTTACGACATCCTTCATGTATAGAGATCTGGAAATCTGTAGAAGTCGTGTAGAAATATCGAACAGGCAGTAGGATATAAACTCCAAAATAAAACTTGTTTTGCTTATTGTATTCCACCACTCCAAACACCCAATCAGCTTTATCATCCTTCTGTGATGGTGGTTCTGCTTCTCAATTATATGTTCAGTAGTGCAATGACATTACACTCAAACTCACTGTGAACTACGAGAACCCTTTCAATACATTACCGGCAATGTGGTCCATAATTTATCCGTTTCAACACCGAAAATGCGCGCCGTTACTGCTGTCAAACAATGGCTTTGCAATGACAAACGGCACTTCTTAACATTCATGACATCGAAATTTTGAAGGTTAAATCAAATGGTTGAGCGGCAGTATGTCGTGCTTTCTTTTATGGGCTTTTACATATGTGAGGGTTGCATATGACAATGCGAGTGAGTGACCTTGCTTCTAAGAACAAAAGCATTCATTGTCAATGATACCATTTTTTGGACAATGTACGATGACACTTCGTCAGAAAGCCGCGCATCACAATGCATGACCGGAGGTCCAGTCCGATTTTAATTACGATAAGTTAGTCAGGTCGTAATACTAGGATGGTATGTACGCCTATGCTATGCACATCTGTTCCGTGATAGCTAGTCAATTTGGTACGATCAATGAAGATTGAAAGTTTTTTATTATATGTCTAGAGTAGCTAACCACAACGAGATGCTACAGTATCGCATAGGACGATGTCTTTTGCAGTATTTAGGTCATCTAGTATCGTGATTGTCTGTCAATATTGCCAATGCCGAACTCATAAGCCCAACTGCAACCATATGGGATCATTCCTCGTCAAAAGCACTCAGCATAGGCTCAACCTTCAGTAACAAGACGCCGAAATGAAAATTTTTGGAAAATGTGAGGTGTATTAGAGTGGTGTGGAGTGAGATAAATTACAAAATGCAGGGTAAAATGACAGAGGTACATATTTTACACAACAATACTATTCGAAGACAACGGCAACTGCGATACTAGTTCGTCAACTCTCTTCTGATAACTGGCTACCACTGCCTCAGGGTCAACCGACTTTGAAGCATCCTGGCTACGACAAGATGATTCTGAGTCTTGACTTTTACAGCAACCAGTGCTGATTCGCTCATCATCCTTTACGGGTTCAGAGCTAGCGCAGCTTCCTTGTCCACAGCATTGATCGTCTTTCTTTTGATCGTCACTCGAAGGCTCACGGAAGTAGTCCTTTGTATATAAATCCTCGACGCCGATAGCTGACAGTTCATTGTACAGCTGTGTCAATTGATCCAGGAGCGATGAATCCAAAACGTCTTTCTGCACCTGCGTATAATATACAAGTAGTGTGCTACGACAGAGATGAGTTCTCGCGATCAGAAAATATGATCAGCATGAAAGAAGGAAAAACCTACCTTGTAACACCGCGTAGCTTGCCGAACTGGCGGCCAAGTGCAACCCCTTCTTTGTAGCCTTTGTTGAACCCTTCTTGTATAGTTACGTCCTTGCCCGCAACAATACCATCTTTGTATCCTTCCTATAAGAGTAGAGTGGTGAATAAAAACGTATGGCAATTCCATAGCACACTTTTGTTCACAGTGAGCCACCAAAAGTGAAACTGAAAGGAACCCGATTCTTACATTGCCATGAACTTCATTCATCTTCTCCCATTCCCTCTGGGCTATCATTTGATCGTAGGAAACTTGATCGTTATCTTCATCGGATGCCCAAATGTCGTCTTCTCCCATTGTACAAGTAGTAGAGTGAATGATCTGTCAGCGAAAGGCTCGAGAACTGCGCTCAAAAAAAAAAAAAAAAAGACGCACTCCGACGCCTGTTGCTGTTTAACGGCTTAATTCAAATGCTTTATTTCCATTAAATCCTTACACTTTTTTGTTTCATGAAATTATACATCGTCCTTCATAGTTTATCCATTAGAATGTAGGTGTCCACTGCTGGAAGTTATTTGGATTGTTTGTCTGTCCAGTCATTTGTTGCTGTTGCGCCATGTTGGCAGCAAAGGGGTTCACATTATTATTCATTGGAGATTGCACAAAGGATTGTTGCTGTTGCTGTTGCATATATGGATTGAAGGACATTCTTGGTGACATGCTATTGGCTCCAGTAAACATAGGCGTTTGAGTTTGTAAATTCATCATACCAGTGCCTTGCATGGATTGCATTGGTGTATTCAAGGTTGACATCCCAGTGGTTTGAGCTTGTAACCCTGTCATCTGGGGCCCTAATGGTGAGCTCATACCAGTGAATGCTGTGTTCTGAGGAGCTTGAACACTATTATTTGCGTAAGGAGAGCTGACAGGGAAGCTCATGGTACTTGCACGGAAGGGATTGGCATTATTGGGATTGGGTGATGATAGGGAGGGTGAGGGCAATCCTGTCATTTGAGGTTGTAAAGAACCCATTGTTCCAAAGCCTGTTGAGGGTGACATCCCTGTGCTCTGTGACCTCATTGGCATAGTCGATGAACGAAATGGATTACCAGTTTGTTGAGGTGAGACGGCATTGAGCTGGGGAGGGTTGCCAAAGCTAGGATTTGGCATTAAGCCGGTGGAGTTTGTCATTACGCCAGTGGGGTTCGACATAACCCCAGTCGGTTGTGTTGAAATAAATGTAGCATTACTGTTAGGATCTTTGAATAAAGTTGCGCTTTCATTCTCAATGCTGGTGAAGAAATCGATCAGTTCCTTGGGCTGAGAAGGTGCGGAAGTGGAGCCATTGCTGGGTCCGGATGTCGTCGTGGTAGTAGTATCCTTTCCACCATTCGAGGCAGCCGATTTTCCCTTCTCAGCCGATTCTCGTTGTGTTTCATAATCAGGATCCAATAGATACTCTTCTAGTGCTGTTGCAAGAGACAATGGGGCCTGCATAATAATTAGCCTAATGATCGACGCACACATCACTACGTATGTACTTACGTGTTTTCCAATGGGTATCTCGATCTGAAGGTCGCGTTGAAGTCTTTTAGCCATCGACAAGTAGTCGATAACAGCTTCAGTTTGCTTAGCGAATCTCTTGTATATCTCCAACGATTCTCGAGCATCTGGTTTTGACATGGCAAAATAATGTTCTGTAGTAGTTGTTGATGTATATGCATTAAGGTTCAGTACTTCAAATGTTAGTTTAATGTTCAGGTACTATTTCTGTCACTTACCTAATATGTTGATGACGCCTTCATTTACGGCTTGAAATAGCACGAGAAGGTCCTCCACCAACAGCTTAAATGCTTGCAAGGTTATTTCATTATCGATTTGGTCAAGAGAGAACTGTGGATGAAGAGTCAGAAACAGGCTGGTTTCTTTAACTTGCAATTTTCATTTGTTCCACCAACCTGGCACTTCAACAATCCAGCAATCTGTCGTTGCAAAACTGATGTTTCTCTCAACAGTCCTTGGGAAACTGGAAGTCTCCGCAACCGTCCACTTTTGCCGTTTGCTGTAGCTTTTACGTAGTCAACGTGAAGATCCCGGTATGCCAACACCTTTTCTTCCAAGTAGGCGCTATACTCCCGTATGTTTCGAACATGCTCTCCGGCTACAGACGATATATACATCCCATCAGTACATGTTTCTTGACAACCTTATATATAGTCTCTTCCCAAAAATTGAACACTCACCACCGCCCTTTTCCTTCAACCGAGAAACGTCCAAAATCGTTGGATGTTGCTCAACAAATACAATGATTTTGTCCCCGCTCCCTTCTCGCATCAAGGTATGGACCGTTATAAGTGCTTTGAAAACAATCTGCGGGAGAGGAAAGTGGTGATGGATTAGAACCCGTTTGGGAAAGGTGGAACATCGCACCCGCTTCTTGTACTCTGACGAGTTATTCCGTAAAAAGATGTTTCCACTTACAATCCAAGAATTTTCACGTATTCGACGCTGTAACATTTCAAATAAATCTTTCATATTTAAGTTGCTCGAATGTGTCAGGCTGATGAGGTCTATGTAAGAGATTTAGTGAGATTAAAAGTGAATTCGTGATGGGGAAAAGTAGCGTGCATAGTGTCATCTTGGGGCTCTTACAAAAGCCGAGCGCTACATGACAATTCATAGTAATGATGGGAACATACGTTGAAGATGCTTCTGCTTCGGGGCCTGGTAGTCCAGCCTCGTTGCCTTACGAACAGCTGTCTCCATAGTTTGGTAGAGAAAGTGGAGGTTGGTCTAAGTTGGGTGTAGTGCGGAAGAAACTGAGTTTTCACAGGAATTTGGCTGGTGGGTGGTTTAAAATTTCCCTCACGTGCTGGACTTTTCGATACTGTTGGTGGCAAACAATTTCACCGAAAAGCTTAATCTATACTACTGTAAGGCATTTATCATGGCTTCTTTCCTCTGTATTGTACCGATGTCAGCGTTGTAATGTAGAACCAAAAAAGAAATATCCTAAAAATGTGTTTAGGAGTCATAGCCTGTCCGCACAATGTGAATTAACAAAGCGCATATGTGATACAAGACATTATAGAGCTAACACTCATCTTATACAACATTCCTCAATGCTATGGACCTTGCGCAACGGTGCTTTACCTGGTCTGTGATTTGAAATCCTTTCAAACGAAAAGCTGAACTCCCAAATTGTCAAAAGAACATTTTGTTTCATGCGAGATAACATTTAAAATACCCCAAAGAATGCCTCTAACTAGTCAGACCTAGCTTATAGACTTGATAAAATTTCTAAAAGATTGTAAAAATATACTTTTGCGTGCGGAAAGGAGTTGACTAAGGACGTCGTACTAAATGTGTTTCATTATCGGTTTCATGGAGGATAATGGCACGATAGCCAAGCGCTATACACACAGTCGCAGGCTTAAAATTGCAAAAAAAAAAAATATAAAAATATAACATAATGGAAAAGAATATGGTACCATACATGTCACCCTAATTCATGGGGGTACTCGCAAATTACCTACTGTGAGTAAACACTGTTATAATACTGAATTTCATGCAACATTTTGGTGAGCATAGAATTATCGTTCTTGACACAGTGTACGTCGTTCATTCTTGACGAAAAATAATATACATGATGCACTGCTTTCCTAATTTATATCCTCTGAACGGGTACTGTCCTTGTTCTAAAGTACGTTTAGAATATCCTTCAAAGCTTTTGGCGCACAGACGCGTCACAATCGTCCATGTGCATTCAATACTCCGCCATTTTCTTGGAAGCTCCAGTGTTTCCTTCATTTCGAGATCATAATGTTGGCTGAGGCTAATGTCTGGACTAACCTAACTCTTTACGAACTGGAAGCACCCAATGGTATGTTTTGTCGCTAATGAGTCTTTCTTGTTTGTACTTCTCGCAAGACTAATCCTGCAGGCGTAGTTTGTTCCCAGATGAATGACTGTTCCAGCTGCACCCAAAATGATCAGTGCGGCTACTGTGTTCTTTCGCAAACATGTGTACCAGGAAACTGGCTGGGACCATCTGATATTGAAGCCTGCAGTGGCGGTCGTCTGCAATACTATTACGGTCAATGCGCAGGTATTTGTCAAAGTCCTTTCCATGTACACCATTACACTAGCACAAGCTGACCTTCAAATCGGTCTAATTTCGCAAATCAAACAGTTTCACACAAGCCAATTTTGATCGCTGCCACCTCCCTAGCAAGTATCATCGTGTTCACACTGTTTATCATTTTCTTCCGGTGCTGCTTTCGATCACGGAACTCAGAATATAGACCACTGCTACCCTCCAGTGGATCAGGTTTAGTCCGTCGGTCATCGACTTTTTATCAGTTCAATCGAAATGTACCAGGCTCTCGGCGAAAGCCTTCTTTGACAGAACGGCCATGGCCAAATGCGAAAACACTCAGCAGTAATACGTCGCCATCCACTTCCTCCCAGTCGAGGCCGCAAAATGATGACGATGCTAATGTTAGTCAGGATGTGGATACTCCACCACCACCCAATGATTATAAAGCTATCAAGTGGGACGAGAGGAGGAAGGAATTACTCAAGAAGTATGGCAAAAGTCCTGATCGTTAGCTCGTCTCATATTAATCTACCGGCCCTCGTCGTTCAAGCTTGCTTTACGATATCGGACATCTCTTTACTACTGTAATGTGCCATACCTTTCAAGTCTTACGTTTACTATTACTTTTGCCATTTCCACTTCAGACATCTTCCCGAAATAACCACAAAATCGCCAATAAACACCAAGCCCAATTGCATTTAAAAATCGAACAGGCATAATCAGAACAAAGTTTCTTGAAAGAAAAATACAATATGCTACAAACTTATAGAGCACAGTACTGTAATATTTGATGATTCGCGCATTTAAAATTGTACAGCTGACTGCAGCAAACACAGCATGGCAATAGTTTCACCAAAATAAGTGTTCTCATCTTGTTCGTTCATGCACGACGTAATCCTATTGAGGTCATCCATACGTCCAAGAACCCAGAATAAGAAGCTGACAGGTGCAAGAAATGCCATATCCGTGTAGTCAACAAAGCTTTTACCATTCAGATGGTATCCAGCTCTAATTTCTCCGTGACGTCGAAGTTCTTGGGAAAAGAAATTGGCCTGAGCATTTAAAACAGGACCAAGTCGTTCATCTCGAGTTTGGAGATAGTAGTGGCCAAGACGCCATGGAACACGACAGGAGTTCCAGTTGTAGTCGGGATCGTGCTTGTCTTCGAGGACTTCGCCACGTGGAATCTCATACACGCCATGTCGGTTGAGCTGCAGGAAGTCAGCAAGGAGACCGGTATTTGGGTGAAGGGAGAATTGACGCTGAACTTCGCTGACAATGGCATTGCAAACACCGTGCCATTGTTGAGATCTTTGTGTATCCTCCTATGAACATGTTTCAATGATAATATGAATGAACGAATCAGCCGGCATTTTAGTGTATGGTTAAGGCTTACCCTTGCAAACAACAAATATCCGCTCAGAATGAAGTCACTTGGTCTCGTTAGTTTATACGCATCGTCGCCTTCATCGCACCAGTCTCCTACCAACGGCATGTGAGTTCTGTGATTGATGCATTTCTCCCAAATGGCACCACAAAGCTCGATAGCAATGGCACGATAGTCAATTTCCCTTTGCTGTCCACCACGGCCCCAAACCTTGGCAGCCAAAAACAGGGCAGTTGCAATATCGACATCACCATCCGTGGCACAGTTTTCACCTCCTTCACCGCCTGGGATAAATGGCCCTTGGAGATTTTTCTGCTGTTGTTGCCATTGCATCAATCCGTATCTATTGCGGAATCGAAGAAAGTACCGGCAGAGGCCATCAAAGTCCTGTTGGTTGCGCTTGAGTACTGAAATCAGCATACCATATCCTGCAAATGCCCAAGTATTCATTAGATACGCTATAAATCTTGTTAACTTTCATGCGACAGTGCCTACCATGAGCTTCACTGCAGGTCATTTCAGGGAGCTTTTCCTTAGGCTCCTTGTAATAAATGTAGTAGCCATCCGCATAGCTGCGCAGGTACCTGAAAAAGGCGGCATTAGAGAGTTGCCACTATGGTTGGAATTGCTCGGATGACTTTGCGTACCTGTTACGCCAGGCAATGTACTTCTCTTCAATGCTCCCTGACATTTCTATTGTGGCCAAACGAGTTCAAAAATAACGCTCAGGAAGACCGACAATGAAATGAGTGTCATGCAGCAGGCAAATATGGGAAACCCGGGCTTAGCTCCGACGCTTGGCAAAGCGCGGTGTTGTCATTTCTATATTTTTCTTTCTCCAAACATTCTTTTATTTCAAAAATTACGCTTTGCATTCTTCAGCCCAGTCCTTGGGGATTTGGTTGTCGACAGCTTCTCTAAACGCTGCGAGCGTACACAAACTCTTATCTCCATTGGGGTGATGCTTACCGGTGTCAGCACATCCAGGGAGTTTCATGATTTTATCTTGATATCGTACTCGAACATAGTAGTCTTCGTCGTCCGACTTCTTCCATAGAGAACCAAACCAGCTGGATGATTCAGGCTTCTTTTCTTTAAACAATTCGAACAAGATAGAGCTGGTGAATGGCGGCCATCTAGACGATAATATGTGAGCCTACCAGAAGGCATGTGGTGGTTGGCATGTTCGTGAGAGGACTTTACCTTTTATCAAAGACACCCAGGATGATCAATAATGGCGCAACCGTACTATCAATTGAAGAATTTGCATTAGCCCCTTCGTAATCGTTATAAATTGTAACCTGCTGCGCAAAAAGTCCTTACGTATCATGTCCAGAGTAGATGGCCATCTTAAGGTTCTCCTCCCCAACTTGCTTATCAGTTCCATTTACCTTTCTGACCATTCGATCACGAATGTCACCCATCAATCGTCCAAGACTGAGTCTGCTAATCTCTTTTGATTGCATGGCGCCAGCAAACCATTCATGGCTAACAACGTCAGCTAAATCCTCCAAAAGGTCATCATCAATATCGGGTGGAAGATGGAAACCATGTGCTTTAGCTGCAACCAGTGTATCTACGTTTCCATGGAGTTAGCGAATGAAGCTTCCATCCTAACTCAATGAACTCAAATACTTACCAAGAATTCCATTTGCAGAGGGGTGGCTATCAAGTGATACTTCAGGTACATAGGTGCGCATTTTCTCAGAGATCTTTTCCAACTTCGGTTTGCATTGTTCCGCAACGGTTTTGTTGAAATCTCTAGTCAACTGTCGTAGCCTCTTACACGAGGGATTGGGGAACATGTTGTCATCGCGAGGGTCTCTGCAAAGATTTGAAAAATAAGCGCACATTCATACATGTCACCCACCGATCTCTACTATACCTAGTTCTTATTTTCAAGGTGAAGGATTCATCTCGTGTTCCCGGTGGATATAAGCCTGCAGACACTAGCTGTTGAACAGACTCTTGTGTGCGATTGTAATCAGTACTTCTGATATAGAAGGCCTTTTCGTCCCATTCTTCTGGTAAAAACTTGAGCCTATACAGATCAAATTTAGCATTTACACCAGCTTTGTTTGAAAGTCACATTTAGGCAACTTACCGATTGACATAAATGTCACGCAAGCTTGCGCCTAATCTTGTAACAGAAGCTCTTCCAACGTTTGTAAGTTGGCCATAATAACTAGAAATAAACCCATAATCAGTACTCTTTTCTAAATTCCTGAGAGAACCTCGCACGGTTTTACGCACCAAGCGCCTGCTGGGCTTGTCACTTGCTTTCCATCACCAACTTCTGTTTCAACCAAACGACGCAATGGTACGCCTGTGAATGTTGGCTTAACTGTATTTCCAGTCACCGACGCAATGACGGCAAACATCTGGGCGTTTGCTTGACACATATCCCAAATACTTGGAACAATAGTTTCCAATCTCTTTCTCACAGGTGTTCTCTCGCCTATCCACAACGTTTAATAGAAAAAGAACCAAAATTAGTAACCCATAACCTCCTGGTTTGCTTCTAATGTTGTTGTAAGCAAAGTAGCCTGTGAAACGAAGTCGTCTCGGTATGTTCAACTTACCATGTCTGTGAACAAGTTGGAGGAATCTAAAAGAAACAAGTTCAGTTACTAAACTGCGAGAAAATGTAAAGCTGCAACGAAGCTTGATAAAAACTTTACTTTAACTCCAAGTTTTCAGGATAGTCCTCAGGATTTGCCTTTGGAAAAGCGGCTGTGATGGCCATTAGGATGCTAGACGGTAGAAAGCTAAGCTTATTCTTAGAACAGAGTGGGCCATTACTTGCATGTCACGTGTCGGACATCAAAAAACCTTACCGAAGGGAAAGACAATTGACCACTCCAATCAGCTCTCGTACGCACTGAAGCTGGCCAATTATTTTCTATGCCAACGTTGTGAGCCAATCATTATCTTCATATCCAGCAACATGGCCAAATATCCATTTGACAACCGTTCTGCTGTCGAGATAAATGAGCATAAGAACAACCATCAGTATATTTGACAAACAGGCCCTTGGGAAAAAAAGAACATGGACACCCTGGGATCCAAAAATGACAAGGTTCAAAACAAAAAACCAAATACTCGGCAGCAGTATTAGTTCGCACTCTCGAAAATTGCATTGCTCTTTTTTCATTTTAAAAAAGAACGATATGCCTGAACACCAATTATTGACATCAAAGAGCATATCATTTTTGCGCCTAGTTACAAGCTATCGGAGGAGAGGTGACGCGGTTTGGTTGGGCGGAGCTTGAAACGCGGTCCTTTGACGCGGTCGCGATACGGCAATGCTACGGTGGTTTAGAGAAAAAAAAAAATTCGCTCGTCCCCTTCTCTTTATACGTTTATACTTTACAGTTAATGGAGACAACTAGTGCACCAACAACACCACAGCGTGTTAAGACTCACCATAAATCCCAATACGATTCAGAAAACCTTTGTGAGTAACCTTTGCGATGGCTGCGAGAATCATTATACCATGTGCCTTCTAACGCGGTCCTATTATTCTTCATTAGCTTCTGCCAAAGGACTTCTCGACAGTAGTCCCATAACGTCGAAAGTGTATTATAGAAATGAAACACCATTGACGCCTATTCGGACACCACTCAAAGACAGCAACAATCTGTCATCTCCATCACAATTTGCAACATCACCACTTGTCAAGCAAGAGCCGTCCCCTGCTCAAAATACTCGCATCCAGAACACAGTCCAAAGCCCTACCACTATAACCGGCTCGTACATCGAAAAAGTTACTGTCGGCCGGTGCAGTGCTGCAACACATCAAGTTGGCCGGCGCAACCGATTACTTAGTCGCATTCATTTATCCATCAGCTGGAACGAAGCATCATCTCAGTTTGAACTCACTGTTCTTGGGCTGAACGGTCTGAAAGTGGACGAAAAACCCTGCACACAGAAAGAAACAGTTGTTCTTGAAGACGGATCTATCATCGATATTGTCGGTGAAGTAGTACAATTCAACTTCCCACCAAGCGAGCAAGATGAGCTTTCTCTAGCAGACGACTCCAGCGTCTTTGATATCAAGACTCCTCTATCTCCCGCAATATCAGTTGGTCAAGACTCACTTGAAGAGCAGCAACCTATTTCCAACAACCATAGCAGCAATGCGCTTTCTCAGAAATTAATGGCTGCTATGGCCGAGTCAAAAGAAGAAAAGCAATTAGCAACTATCCCAGAGGCTGTGGTAGAAAATACTAAGCCAGCTGAGGAACTTGTCGTGGAGGAAGTAAATCAAATAACTACTATCAAGGAATCACTTGATGACGAACAGAAAGAAGATCCAGTCGAACATGTGCACGGCGAAAGCGTGCCACTTGAAATTGCCCCGGTCCAGCACGACGTTAAAGAAGAACAGGTTAATCGCGAAGGCAGCCAGGATATCAATATAGAAGTTGCAGAATCATCTGATGCGGAACCTGCTGTTACCGAGTCAGAACAAACTGATCCAATGAACGCAGATGCCAACTATGCAGAAATGATCATAGAAGCACTTGGTGAGTAGGATATCAAATCGAAATAAGAACATATTGTTTCATGAACATCTTATTAACCTTTCTACCAAACCAGTATTCTCACGAAAGTCTTCAATGCCCATCAGCGACATCTACACTCGAATCATGACAACGAACCCAGCATACAAGATGCAATCAAGAAAGCTTTGGCTTGATACCATCACATCTGTTCTACATGAAAATGATTTCTTCGGACAGATTACTCGTAAGGGTAAGACAGCTGATGGAACTCCTAAAGAAAACTTATATTACTACCGGAGTGATAAAGACCCAGTCGAGTGGCGACAAGCGACCTATACACAAGTTGGCCGAAGTGCTCGTAAATGCACTTTGCAAGATAAACAATACTTCTGGAAGATTCCCCCAAAGCTTGGCCGTAACCGCTCTTCATACGTACCACCACCTGCCGGCAGCAGTGCTACGGAGGGCAAGCGAGGACGTAGTAACAAACAAGAAGACGATGAAGAAAACGGTAGTGCTAAGCGAATAAGGAAGAGAAAGGTCAGCGAAGAGGAGGATGTCGTCACGAAAGAAAACACCACTGAAAAATAAAATAGACTGGCGTAGGCTTTTCGTAGGGATATATCGTTTTATTTTAGTTTTTGCTCGCAACCAACGTTCAACAGTGGCTGCGTTTGCTTTTTGTATTTGTTTCCTCTCTGTCATTACAGCATTAATGAAATCAGAAAAAATTGGTTCACTTTAAAAACTGGGATCATAGTCAATTTGAATAAAAGAATAAATTTCAAAACACATGGTTTATATTATAGAAGTTTGTTCGCACGCACGCAGAACCTAAAGGCGGGGAGCAACGGCATCTGATTGGAGGATGGTATCGGCAATATAGAGAGCACAGGCTTCAGTAGTGACCATAGGGTTAACACCAGTGGCGGATGGGAAGACGGATGCGTCAGCAACATAGAGGTTCTTGACTTCCCATGTTTCACCGCCTGGCTTGACGACAGATACCTTTGGAGAAACTCCCATACGGCTAAGTGTGGAGTGATGATTAGTAAATGGGATCAAGTCGTAGTTAAAAGAAAATGTTTGTAACATACCAAGAGCCCATTTGATGGGCATTGTATTGACCACAGCCTGCATCTGGCAAGCCATAAGCCTTCACCTTCTCCTTCCAGGCGACGTACCGCTTGTTATTAATCTGACCATAGTCTTCTTCTCCCTTGATGAAGTGGAAGTTGTCAACTCCACTCTGGACAGTGAAAAGCTCTTCTGCACCAGCAGCTACAAGGACATCCAATGCCTTCTCCACACCAATAAGTATGGACTTCTTGTCACGTGCAGTAACGTTGTAATCAACAATAACGTTGTTGTTGTCATCGTAGGTGACAGTGCCTTCCGAATCCTTGTCACGGCTGAGAATGAGAACAGGACTGATGTTGCGATAACGAAGGACGTGACGCTTATAGTCAGCTGCACCTCTCCAGGGAACCACAGCACTGAAGCTGCCTGGATGCAAGACGGGGACTTCAAGTTTGGCACCGTAGTATGTACCATCGTGGTTTTCAGAAATATTACTGAGAGCAGTCATAATGGAACCTTGGAAGAGATTGATCTCTCTATCTGGGAACACACCGAAAGCAAGGTGGCAAGGGTGCATGTGCAAATGCTTTCCAATGTTCTTGTTCTTGAGTCCACTACGCATCAAAACACCAGGACTGTTGAGAGAGCCAGCAGAAACGACAACTTGCTTACTGTGAACGATCAACTTGCGGTTCTTGTTACCAGCAATGGTACATTCAACACCGACAGCCTTTCCTTTCTTAACCAAAACACGGTCAACGTAGCATTGATCAACGAACTCGGCACCAGCTTCACGAGCATCACGGAGCCATGTATTCATGGAACCATTCTTTTCGTTGTAGCGGCAACCTAAGAAACACCAACCGCACTCGTGGGGGTGCTCTCCGACGTTTTGGGGAATGTCTTCAATGGGGTATCCGAGGCGCCTGGAAAAAAATACCCAGCAGTTAATAAATCAGATGCTTAAAAACGGATAGACCAACAAGGTAAGAAACCCCGAAAGTAATACATACTTGCAGCCTTCAATCAAAATACTGTTAGGCTCATTGTGCTTAATGTGCTTGGTAGTGGCTCCAATTCTTTGGTAGACTTGGTCGAGTTGTTCAGTAAACTTGCTAGAAACAAAGTGGCTGAGACCCTCAGAAGCCCATTCATCGCGGACAAAATGCTGGGGCTGGGGGTGAAAAAAAAATGAACAACCGAACGTTACGTTAATTATGAAGTCCCCTTTTTGCCTAATGCGGATCAGTATGAAAATTCACAAACCTTGAGAGAAGCGCACCAGTTGATGGTAGTAGCGCCACCAAAAGCACTACCAGCATAAATGTTCATAGATCCACTCAAATTAGAGAAGATAGTACCTCTTTCGTAGAAATTGGTGAAGCCGTGAACTTCATTCAGTTCGAATTCCGATTCATGAACATATTTTGCCTTTTCCAGTACCAAGACTTTCTTTCCTGCTTTGGCGAGAGTCGCTGCTACTGGACCACCACCTGCTCCAGTTCCAACAACGACAACATCATAGTTTAGTTCGGTAACACCTTCTGGGATGTTAAGGAATTCATAGCGCTCTTTCAATTTGCTGGTGTGCTTTTCTCCGTGCATATGAGGATCAGGTCCAGGGTAGCCCATGACTTTATGCAGTGGGCAGTCCATTTGCTTGAAGATGTTGCTAACAGTAAGTTGGTAAAAAAGTTTATGGAGACCTCGAAGCATTTCCAATGATGAGGTTGACCACTTCTTCATGACTTCCTCACGCTCTTTTCTTGTAAGGTCTTTGTATGCTTTGAAGTGACCAGTAAGGGCAAGCGAACCAGCGCGGGTACCTAGCAAATTCAGAGCAAAAGTGACATCGCCCAACTTTTGTTGTGCCGCAGCTCGAGTAAGAGAATCAATAAAGCCATCTGTTACATTGAAATCAGAAGCTTTGGCTTTAGCAAAGCTCAGGAGCTCTTCTCGAGACAATGAATGCCCTTTGTTGTTCTTTGCGGTCTCCAACAATGTCTCGACTTCTGAGTCGTCCACAGACGAAAAGATGGTGTCCATGAGAGCCACAAGGGTTTCATGTTGATCTTTGGTAAGCTTGAGCTCGGGAAACTTGGCGGCCATAGGGAAGGAAGGTGAACGGAAAGAGAGGTAAAGACCGATTGGGAAGCTGAGAAAAACCAACCTTTAAGTTTCGCGTTCCCCACAGATCTAACATGTGCTCTGAGCTCGAAATTCTCGTCAGCGGAAAACCTCCAATTTTGGGTATCTTAAAGTTCTTTTCACAGGTTTATGATTCGTCTACCTCCAAACAGTTTAAAGCGAGACGAATTTCGGTAGCTAACCATGATACATGTCTACTGAAAAAGGAATGTTACAGATGTGAAAACATAGTGAGGGGGAATCTAGTACTTTATCGCGTAGTGATTAATGTAGGCACAATTGATGTTGCAAAAACGAGAATTGCCTGGCACTGAAATCCGTGGGCATTTCTCTTCCTTAAAGTCTTGATAAAAAACTACTCTGAACTATTTGATCTAAAGCTATAGTACTCAAGATTTGATTTTTCCATTTCATGGTCAAACTAGGCAGGCTCACATGCTTCGGTGTTTGAACGATTTATTTGCTACAAAGGCTGTGCAGTGTTTCCTCCAATATGTAAAACGTAAAGGCATACAAACGTTAAAAATAGAGAAAGTGGGGCAAGCTGGTGTTGGAGTATTATCCAACAATTCTCAGATGAAACAAAAAAAATCCCAAATAGTTCAATGACATGAATATAAGCTCCTGTATTGCCGGTAGATATGACAATGCAAAATAATATACTTATACTAACGTTTAATTCGACATGCTCATGACCAATGGCAGCGCCATTTAACTCTTACGTGAAATGTACAACAGTGGGATGTGGAGTAATTTTTCAGTTTGCGGAGAAACACCGGAAGTCTGTCACCGCACCAGTCAGACAATGAATTTTCCATGAACTTTTCTCATCGCGGCTGCCTTGCTAGCCACCAAATCTACCTTTTACATATCGAAGCTTGTCTGGAGGCTACAACATTCATTCGACAACGTCTCACTGACGCCGGAATTCATCACAGCTATTGTGATCTCTATTTTCTTTAAGTATTGACATTACACTTTGTCAAAAGGGGTACCTTTGCCACTGATTGCTATTTTATCTGTTGAATAGCTTGATATAATGTGAAAGATGACGCGCACATAGACATTTCCGCGATTCGATATTGTTTGCTACTGTAGTAGTAAACGTATTGTCAATATATTGGCTTGGCTAACCGACTCCAAAAATACAAAAATGTGTATTAAAGCTTTTCGTATTTACAAGACTTCATGGCCGGATGCTCCATGTAGGAGGTGCAAACCACATGTTGAAAAGGTTAGACAACAGCATCAAAGAACTGCCTTGTTTGGTCCGAGAAAATGACCACTATGATCATGTAATATATATTTGCCTCATTCTGTAACTTGTTTTGCTATAGGGAAGTATCGTCTACGGTTATGTGACATTGACTGTAATACAAGATTGGTAATACCATTTATGACCATATTAAACTTTTGGCAGCATTTCATCGTTACCTCGAACGCATGGGTTGTAGCCGCACCTTGCTTCTTCCAGACGCAAGCTATAAAAGCATCACGTTCATTTTTCACTAAATTCAAACAAAGCTGTTAATAGGAACTCCAAATTGGCTATGTTCTAGTATGCGGATTGCCGGCTGGCTCTCCTAAAGAATGCCATATTGTAAGCGTCTACAAAAATACGAAATGCACATTTTACTTTGGTGAAGCAAGGGATGGAATTCTGATTGGGCAGAGATTTACAGATTGGCCACCAACCACCAATTGGCATTGAGAAACATCCGTGACTTAAATTTCATTGGTGGTAGTAGTTAAACCGGGAATTCTACTGGTAGGATCCATGCTTATACTGAGATTACTTGCGATATCCAAAGCTAGTTGAAATAACTGAAATCTGCATTGATGAGAACTTTGTCGAATTTCATTCCACATACTTGTGCGTTGTTGACTCCGGTATAGTCATTAAGTGTCTGTGTACTAAAGGTTGTATAATGGCCAACATCGATACCGCCGATCATATCACGTGTATGTAACATTGGATGCAAGCGAGTGCCAAAAAACTCCACAGATCTCAAACGTCTCTTCACACGCAAATGGCAAATCAACAGAAAGCAAGACGCATTGCAGTTCTTGGCTCAAGGGCAGTCGGTAAGTTCCTGTTCTATTGCATAATAGGCGTATACACCGTTATTAGGACCAGCCTTTGTATTCGACCGTGCTATCAAGTCCCAACTTTCGTGTTCTATGAATAGATCAAGCTGATTTACCACCGCTTCTACTCAACATTAACACGATCTTGTAGGAAAATCATCTTTGGTTATTCAATTTTGTGAGAACCATTTTGTCGAGAGCTACTATCCCACCATAGAGAATACCTTTACGAAAACTATAAAATACCGAGGACATGGTAACAAACTATTTTCTATGTAGAAGGCTAGATCGTTTATTGACACACCTTTTCCTCGTTAGAATTTTCTGTTGAGATCATGGATACTGCTGGACAGGTTGGTGACATTGTATAAATTACGTGGCCATTGTTAGATACAGGAGGTACTTATTGTACTTTTCTTTGTCTCCGCCACCCAGGATGAATTTTCAATCCTCAGCTCGCATCAGGCAACGAATATACATGGCTATGTGCTTGCGTATTCCATTACCTCCAAGTCAAGCTTTGATATGATTAAGATCATTCGAGACAAAATCCTTAATTATACTGGTATGGACAATGTACCCTGTATCATTGCTGGCAACAAATCCGATCTGAACATACAACGGTAAGCCAATTGGGGAATGCCTCTGTATGACATACAACGTGATCCTAATGCGAATTCATTTTGTGATATTTGCTATGTTAGGCAAGTGTCTGAGCAAGAAAGCAAAGAGTTGGCTGCTCAGTGGCATTGCCCTAGTATTGAAGTTTCAGCAAAGCATAATGAAAACATCAGTAAGTACTTTGCTTGCAGAGGGCTCTCGCTTTAAATAGTCATTTGAACCTAACTGATATTTCTCGTCTTTAGGTAAGGTCTTCGATCTTCTTATTGCTGAAATTGAGAAAGTTAACAATCCTCCGCCTGAAGATAAGAGCAACTGTATTATTTCGTAGATTCTTACCTATAAAGTGCCACATTTTTTATTGCGATATCTGTGTTCTCGTGCCTACCCAAATAATCTGCTTTCATTGATCGGCCGTTTTTTCTCACAAGAGATAAAAGAGTTTTAATTTGAGTATGGGTGAATATCGCCAATACTTACAGAAGCTTTCAACCCATTCGCCCACTACTGCATTCTTATGCAAGGCATTTCTTGGTCTTAAACTCCTTGATGAATTTTTCCTTGGTCTACATTTAAGCAAAGATGCTCTGACATGTACCATCATTAACGATCACTATACCCCGGTGTACCGAAGGGTCATTGATTTCAAAAAGGATCTTCCGGCTGACTATACAAAGAACTATGACTCCAACCCAGCAGCAACGTGGGTCGCATCATTGGACAAATTGTTTACTGATATTGCTGAGTCGCTCGAATTTGATCTGGGTCGCGTGAGCGCCATTGGAGGCAGTACGGAAGTATGTCCCTACTTTAATTCCTGTATATAAATCACGAATACTCACAATCAAGTAGCCTGGTCTAGCGATTTGGAAGGAAGGAACGGAGGTGGTGCTTAGAAATTTAGACCTTACTTCATCGCTATCTCAGCAATTGGAAGGCATGCTATTGCCGCTAGACATGGATTCGAAAAGCTTAAATTCGGATAGGACATCTCTCGACGACAATAGCGAACCTACCACAAAAAATTTGATTAACCAGCTGTTACAGGTAAATATGCACATCCCAACCGGTAAATATATGAATACATTGCACAGCATTTATTTTATTAACTATCTACACCATTGAAAGCTTACAGACGATATCGTTAGACAGTCAGAGCGAATATCTCTTCCAGGATCGTTACTGGCAAGCTTACTGATTGGGAAGTACGCCGAAACGGATATTTCGGATGCTTCGATGGCAGGGATATGGAATATACATGAGCATGCACTGGACAATCGCTTGATAGACCGTAGCAAGGACATGAAGGAAAAACTCGGTTCCTTCACCAGCAAATCTGATAGCCTAGGTCATCTTACCTCATATTGTGCTAAAAGATGGCGCATGTCAACAAGTACGTATGTATATCGAGTGCAAATTCAGGTACCATTGACTCACCGAATACCTTCTTAAGAGTGCGTTGTGCTACCTTTCGTGAACTGCGAATCTGTCGATCTCATCAACTTAAATCTCATCAATGGCGATTGTCTTTTCAACATGGATAAACGAGATTCTCTATCTTGGTATGTTCCTGCCATCACAACACAAAAACAATGTCTGAATTTCATCATGGAACCAAGACACCCAGATCTTAAATTTTATCGCACATCTTTATTGACTGGAACCAAGATAAGGAGCAGGACTTACGGTGAGGAGTGGGTCCAATTTGGAAACAGTCTTCGCAATTTGGATCCTGGCTGTCATGCCAAAGACAACGATATACCAAAAGTTACCCGTTTTAGCTTTGTGCAACGGGAACAGCAGCAGCAAGATCCACCAAAACCACTGGAACAAGGAGATAATAGCGAAACACTCACTATACGTCGGTATGAGGACGGCGAAATGGTAGATGCGTTTCAACCGAGACAGAAGGAAATGCCTGAAGAGACCAAGTTAGAATGGGAGACAAGTCACCTGTCACTGGACCAGCTAATTCACTTCAAGATTGCGCAATATGACGCACGGTCCTTAATTGATACCATGCTCCTGTCAATTCGATTTCAACTGGACGGCATCTCTCAGGGACGGTCAGGTGTCATACAAAGAATCATGGTTCTCGGCCATGACCCACTGAGTACAAGCGGAAGTCTTCTTCAACTTGTTAGCAATGCACTCAATTTGCGTGTTTTCAAATTAAGAAAAACGATTGAAACAGGTACGAGTAGCGCGGATACCAGATGCATTTTAGTTGGTCTTCTTTCTCGATTTTATCTTCTTCGTACCGATGCATTGAAAGAACTCGAGCAACCGGGTCCAATTGAAGCATCGCTGGTCGATGATCCCAAGCTACAAAACGCTACGTGGGAGGACGCCGTTCAGAAAGAACGTTCATCCAAGGAGGAAAAGGCTATTACAACGTTCTCCAAAATGATTGATAATGATGCAATAATTCGACATGATCATTTACTAATTGCTGAACCCCAGCCTTCAGAGGTAGAAAAATATGATGCATTGTATAGAGAATTTTGTCATTGTCGAAGGACGATGTTCAAAAATGAATAAACCTTGCGCCAGAATAGAACATCAAGCATATTCTTATTCTATAGCTTCAATTGCTTAGCGAAATGAAAGTATTTCAAATAATGCACTTGAAAAGATATTGCTGTCGTGCCTATCTTATTTAATTGGACTTTTTATTATTTCCAAAATATTAAATGAGTGAGACTAATTTAGTGCTACTGGGCTATGTATTAGAATACAAAAATTGGTTATTATTTTTTAAGCTTCTCTTTGATGAATTTGTTTCGCAACTCGCAAAGTACCCACAGGCTTCCAACTTGCAATTATAATTTGTGTTAGATCGTTAATGCAAGGCGAAAAGATGGGACGCGCTTTAACCCAATAAAATTTTTGGCCGTGACTGTTGAAGGTTGAGTATACGGGCCAAAAAATTTTTTTTATCACTTTTATAATGCTGTCATGAGCCACTACCTTAATTTTTTCATTCTTTCCTTTCACTTTTTTCTTTCTCGTAAGTAAACCAAGAATATTATTGAAACAGATAATGCAGAAAGAACCACAGTTGCGTGATGATAAAAATGACCACAATAATACTGAATTACCATTGTGTTGTATCACTTCATTCAAATAGTTATCAGCCTTGTCTGACAACTGTGATTCTACCTGCATTATTTTCTGTTTACCATGATTATATCCTTAGTACCATTATACTGACCATATATCTAGCATACTTTTTCAGATGTGATCCCACTTTTTTTTACAAGATAATAAAAGCAACGTTTTTTGATGGTAGGTTGTCACGTCATCTCATGTTGTTTACTTTCCTCTGTGTTTTGCACACCAAAAAAAATTTAATGTGATGAAAAATATACGACGGGCGGACGGAATGGTGTCCTGCACTTGTGTAGGGCGCGATGTCGAAAGTCGTTATTTTATTCTGATTTTATTTATTTAAATTTTACTTAAAATTACTCTTGTTATCATCTGAACGTGACTGACCCATAACTTCCCAACAGATCACAGCATCTTATTTGGAGTAAACTCAGGTAAAGTAACACATACGAGTAGTTTAGGCCAACGTGTACATTGTCAAAAAGCAATGGGGTGAAGTAGTGCACCATGTGAAGTAAAACGAGTGAATTTGATTGGTCAAGATAATTGCACCATTTCCACAGGCAGTGGTGGTTATTTCTTCCTTAACAATCTCCGCTTGGAATAATTCGCTGGGGGGCTTTTTTCTGAGCTGTATATAAAAAAAAAAAAAAAATAAGAATAAAATTTTTTCTTCACCTGAACAATCAAGTACTTCCTTCTTCTCTTTCTTTCTAACAAAATCAACCATGTCCAACCACGGCGAAACCTTCTTGTTCACCTCTGAGTCTGTCGGTGAAGGTCACCCTGGTATGTAGTTGTTGTTATTTGACGTGTACGTGAGTTTACGTGCTGAACCATTGTAATTTTATCAGACAAGATTTGCGATCAGGTCTCTGATGCTATCCTCGATGCCTGCTTGGCCCAGGATCCCCTTTCCAAGGTTGCCTGTGAAACTGCTTCCAAGACTGGTATGATCATGGTCTTCGGTGAAATCACCACCAAGGCTCAACTTGACTACCAAAAGATCATCCGTAACACCATCAAGCAGATTGGTTATGATGACTCCTCCAAGGGTTTCGATTACAAGACCTGTAACGTTCTTGTCGCCATTGAGCAACAGTCCCCTGATATCGCTCAAGGTCTTGTCCAAAAGTCCTTCAACGTTGAGGATATTGGTGCTGGTGACCAGGGTATCATGTTTGGTTATGCCACTGATGAGACTCCTGAGTTCATGCCCCTCACTGTCATGTTTGCCCACAAGTTGAACAGAAAGATGGCTGATCTCCGTCGTGACGGTACCCTCGGTTGGTTGCGCCCTGACTCCAAGACTCAAGTCACCATTGAGTACAAGAACGAGAACGGTGCTTTCATCCCTCTCCGTGTTGACACCGTTGTCGTCTCTGTCCAACACTCTGATGATATCTCCACTGAGGACCTTCGCAAGGCCATCAAGGATCACGTTATTGACTCTGTCATCCCCGCTGATCTCCTCAAGAACACCACCTACCACATCCAACCCTCTGGCCGTTTCATCATCGGTGGACCCCAGGGTGATGCTGGTTTGACTGGTCGTAAGATCATTGTTGACACCTATGGGTAAGTACAAGTGAAGGAGACATAGTAAGTCAATAGACGCGTCTAATCGTTTCCCTTCTCTCCGTGCAGTGGTCACTCCTCCCACGGTGGTGGTGCCTTCTCTGGCAAGGTATGTTGTCGGTTTATTTGAATTTTTTTGAATGGGGTTCGGGGCCATTTCTTACGGGGTAGTACAAGCTGTTACAAGTCTTGCGGACTTTGAAACGCGGTGACACCGAGAAAGAAAAGTGGCATCCTTCCCCCTTCAAACCCAACCAACCTTCCATTCTAATGCATTTGTTCGTCTTTCTAGGATTTCTCCAAGGTCGATCGTTCCGGTGCTTACATTGCCAGACACATCGCTGTCTCTCTCGTCGCCGCCAAGGTTGCCCGTAGATGCACTGTCCAATTGTCCTACGCTATTGGTGTTGCCTCCCCATTGTCCATCTTCGTTGAGACCTACGGTACCTCTGACAAGTCTCAAGCCGAGCTCGTTGAGATCGTCAGAAACAACTGGGACTTGCGTCCTGGTGTCGTTGTCAAGGAACTTGACTTGTTCAGACCCATCTACCAAAAGACCGCTGCTTACGGTCACTTCGGTCGCCCCGAGTTCACCTGGGAGCAACCTAAGAACCTCAAGCTTTAAACGACCTAAAAGCGCATGGTGTTTTCAACAAACCAGCCTAGAGGTTTACCTGTGTATATCCTTATTTTCCCAAATTTCTTCTTTTTTTTTCTTCTTATACAATCATGCACACATCATAGTAGATAATTTCTTTGTTTGCAAACTCATTCGTCATTCAACATGACGACCCGACAGTACACCCGGGTGGAGGTGTCGTAATACAAAATAAAAGTGTTTTTGACGCAAAATCATGACTACAGCGTTTGGGAATGTTGCGAAAGCCAACAAAAGTACTTCAGGTAGCGTACATGCTCCCGCTGCGTTTCAGTTTAACGCGATAGCAACGGTGTCATATGAGTGCATGCGGAATAAGAAACCTCCTGCCGTAATGATCGAGATGCTGTCTACGCTACCGGCACGTTTAGTACGGTAGCCATTATGAGCGCACTTGCGACGCTGCAGTTACAACGCAATTAGTGTCAGGTGTCGGCTGAACCCTGCAAATGTACACAGCCGGTTGAAATGATGCTTTCTTTAAGGCAACTGCAGCCTAGTGCCTACAACCCAGATACATTTATCTTTGCGTACCTATCGGTTGCATTCACAGTTGGGACAAAGCAATGCAAAAAGGGGTATCCACGCTCTCTTTGTTTCGCTTAATGACCAGTCACTGAGCGGCAAAGCTGACATATGACAGCTTACTTGACTGCAATGTATATTGCTGACGACCAGTTCATTTGCTATATCGCCGCATTCAATGTGCACACGAGAACGTATCGTATCATAGGCTCATATAAACATATCTCTCATCCTGCTACTCATTTTTAATTCTGGCAGTTCAATGTATCAAAATCGATACACCTGATGACTCTCATTCAGGTACAAAAGACATCACAAAAGGAATGAAAAGTATGGTATTATTGCTTGCCAAGATAGCTGATATGAACCATCAGTCAAAAATGTGCAGTTGTAATATGTACAGTTTATTATTAAAAAAAGATTTCATTGGCAATATACATGCGTTTGCTCACAGTCTACAGCAGTGTCGCCAGATGGCTCGAAATCTTCGTATCGACTATCCCACTCTTGGAGCGGCTGTTCTTGATCTAGGGACTGCTCTTGCTCCGAGAGAAGTAAATGAAGGCGCTCAACCAATTGTGTTTCTGGAACAATGGATACCGTGGGCTTTTTGGAAATTTTGAGTTGCGTTAACTGCTTAACAGGAAGGCTTAGGTCGAACGGCACATCTGGTTGATTTCCCTGTTGACTAAGTTCAACAAATATGTTCAGAGCTTTATCGGTTGCTCCATTGTCAAGTAAAGCAGTGATCAGTCCCTGCATGGTTCTCGAGTTGGGCTGAACTTGGTATTTTTTCATACTGTCGTAGAGATCGACCAAGATTTGTGCAGTCTTTTCAGCTGAGGTTGCGTGGTCTTCCTTGATGACTCGGGCTTTTCCTTTTCGTGTCAGTGATAAGAAAAAGGCATTATAGATAGCAGCAATGGGTTTGATGCCGTGTGAGTCCATGGACCGCAAGCAACCTAAGGCCTCAGCAAGACGGTGAGAATAGAGTAAGGATTCAATGTAGACACGAAAGGTTTCAGCATCTGGTGTGGGTGCCTCTTCTACTCGATCAACCATTTGTCGAAACATATCGTGAACATTATCCGCCATACCATTAATGGCGTACCCTGCCATAAGAGCGTTCCATGTCACTGTATTGTCAATATTTGGAATACCCTTTTTCCTTATCTGTTCGACCATGGTCTCCATGGCGCTGACATCGTGGACTCGTGCTAAAGCAGACAGCAGGGATGTGTAGGTGCGAATGTTAGGCTGCAAGTTTTTGGCCTTCATCTCGTGGTATAACTTTTGTGCTGTCCTCAGGTCCGAGACACTACATGCTATGCTGATCAAGGTGTTGTAGGTAACCACATCGGGCTGGATACCAGAAGGTAGAATCATCGTAGAGCTCGTGGTTGTTGAACCCTGTTGCTGCAACTCATCTAAAAGCGCCAGCGCTTCTGATAAATGTTGTTCCCTTGGTCGTGGAACAGTTTTGCCACCCGTCCATCGTATGAGCGCATTGTACTCTGTTAATCGAAGTTTCATTCCGTGTGCTTTCATGTCCCCAATAATGTACAAGAGTCGTTGAAGGTTTTGGTTGGTTGCCTTTGCATGAATGGTATACAGGAATATATTGCGATAAACCCTCCTTGACAAGTGGTGGGCAAGATTGTTACGATGCATGGCACGATACACTGGCCATATTGTATCGATATCTTGGGTACCTAGCGATTTGTGAAATGAGGACAATAGAAGTGCCTTGCTTCGAGTTGCATTCATAGGTCGTGAAGTAGAGCCGTTATCTTGAAGAAGCTCTGTGGTTTCTTGGTTAGAATTGTGTAGGGATCGGGTATGAACTAAGTGTGATGGATGGCCACAAGATGTAATTCGTCGTACTGCTTGACATGATAATGAACTCGGTGTCGTTCGTGAGGGTATTGGTAATGAAGTCATATTGCAGCGTAGCCCGGCATCCAAGAAGATATTCCGTTCGTGCCAGGCTATTGGCGAGGTGGCTATACGCAAAGCTCGCCGCATGTGCTTGGCTACGACTAAGGGTTTTAGAGTGGGGGGATATGAGAAGAGTGAAAAAGCAGATGGGCGACAGTCACGCAAATTTTTGGCAGCAGTGTTGTGCTGAGGCAAGAAAGTTACAGGTCAAATCAGCTAAGCCACCGTCCTCTCCACGGTCATTTCACGACGTCCAATCTTTTTTTTTTTCTAATGAACATAGTATGATAGATAATAAGTGTCAATCATGGATTTTTATTTTATTTTGTAACAATCAAGTTGAGAAATTTAGTAGCCATAAGCAGCAATAGACTCGTTGACAGACTTGATGGAGTCAGCCTTGGAGGCAGCAGCCTTGGCCTTGAGGGCGGTGACAGCCTTCTTGCGCTGATAGAAAGCAGCAGACTTGGCCTTGCGCTTCTCCTCGAGCTTGGCAACAACATCCTGGTATTTCCAGCCAACTTCGTGGGAGATACGGCCAACGGTGGTGTACTTGCGGCCGGGCTTAAGCTTCAAGACGCGGAGAGCAGTGGGGACAACCATGCGCTTCATCTTGTCGTATGGGGGAGGAACACCCTCGAAAAGCTTGATGCGGTCAAGGGCAGCAGCACCGCGAGCGGTCTTGTGAGCAACCATACCACGGAGAGCCTTGTAGAAGATGCGGGAAGGAGCGCGGAAATGGAAAGGACCACGGTTGGGGTTAACGATGCAACGCTTGTTGAGGTAAGCATGGTACTTCACTGTAACAAGTTAAAACAATTAGTCTAAAACGTACACGTTGAAAACTGCCAACCATTGATGACTACATACACTTGTTACGGAAGAAGCTGCCAGAGACGTTGAGTTCCTCGCAACGGACAATGACGATCTTTTGACCGTTCAAAGCCTGCTTGGCAACGATGGAAGCGAGACGACCAAGAAGATGGCCCTTGCCGTCAATGACGATCACCTATTGCAGAAAACGTTAATAAGGATGCTCCTAAAATCATAATTGTCCTTGAGATACTGTTACAGGTCCCAAAAGACCTTGCCGATGAGACTCTTCCCTAACAAGTGTGAACCTCACAAATGCTGATGGACAGTAGATCAATGAGCCGAAATGTCGTCTCAATGTCGAGCATGTCGTAATGTTCTCAAGTATGGGACAGGACATAAGAGTGTAAATAGGAAAGCGCACCTTTTCAAATGTGTTGGACATGGCAAATTCGTCAACCTGAAAAAAAAGAGGAAGATTCACTGTTGTGAAGACTGGGAAGTAAATACATGAAAAAAATTTCATTGGCTCAATTCTGATTGGCTCAGCTGCGACAGCTCGCTGGTGAGCCAAAAAAAAAAATTTGCGGATCAGGCCCACTACGCCAGAAGCACTGAATATGCTTCCACCAAAATTATAGCCCTACAGTACCCACCTTGTGCTCAAAAGAAATCTCCAACAAGATAATCAATGAAACATCTCAAAAGTTAATTTTAAAGAGTATTTCATTGCTCCTCTAAGTGTATAGTATCATGCTCTAATCGCCTTCAACAATTGAAGCTTTTAACGTATAAAGGGGTTAGCCATAGAACTTTTCACGATTTCCTGTCATCCAGCGAATTCAAACGTAGCAGTGTGGTATATGTTCATACTGTATTTTATTATAATTTTTGCTCGATATCTAGATATTTCCAACGGATTCTCAGTCAACATATAAGCCTTTCAAAAGCCATACATTCAAATATCTAGTGCATTACATAACGACTATTGAATTAATTACTCTTGTCACGTCCAATTTACGAAAAACCAATCAGAAAAATGTTTTTAAAAAAAAGCCACAAAGAAAGAAGGAAATGCAGAATAGCTTAGATACGTACTGTAAAGAATAGCCGTTTCCCAGCTAAGCGTAATGGCCACTACTTGCTATAAAAATTCCCTTCAATGAATTCTCGAATATTTTTGCATGTCCTTTGTCACTTGCGCCTGTGAAAAGTGTCATAGTATAAAACATTAATTATTTCTTCATATTTTTAAACAACATTTTCAAGTCCTAGGATAATTCTAGTCAGAGTAAAGAGTTGACTCTATAGGTTTATCTAATTCAATAAAACCACCTCGTGCTGCTAGTACAATCGTCATGCTATATTATTACTAACACTATCATAAATTACACATCGACACCTTGATCATAAAGGCGGCGCTTTTTGGCTATAGAGTGGAACGTTAATAGATGTTTCCTTCGTTACAAGCTATCGTACGCAAAATATCACTTACGGTCACGGAGCACATGGTATGCCTGAGATATTTCTTGAAACTTTTTCTTTGCAGCTTCTTTGTCTTTGGGATCAGTTGCACGGTCTGGATGATATTTCAAGGCAAGACTATTTGTAACTCTGATTAGCTATGCACTGATCGAATACTCATTTTGTCCATTGTTCACTTACCCTCGGAAAGCACCTTGGATATCTGCCTTATTGGCATCTTCACCAACACCCAGCGTTCTATAATAACCCTTTGGATCTCGTATATTCTGCTTGATTCTTTCAGATTCTTGTTCTCCGAATGTGGATCGTCGATATGACCGTTCCTCCTTCCATTGTCTATATCGTTCAAAATCTTCAAAAGCATCAAATGCGGATACCCAATCTGTGTCCCAAGACTTCTCGTCATTCGCTTGGCTTTGAATTTCACGTTTTCGCATTTCATCACGCAATCTCAGAGATAGAATAGGGTAATACATTGTTAAGAGCGAGGTTGCTACGGTTGGAAAGACAATTCCAAGCTGCAAATGACCGAGTGAGAGTTTGTAAGAGAACAAGGTATCAATATATACACGCTTACCCATATTGTACCAATTGGACCTCCCCAACCAACACCTCCAGAGAACAGCATCAGAGATCCCATGGCTGCTGCTGAAGTCAAAGCTACTCGTTCCCAGTTGTAAAGTCTTTGACCGCCAACCGACAAGTCGTCACCATTAATGAAAGTTCGAAAGTGACGACTAAGATATCTTATAGAGTAGATATATGCCGGAAAGTACACCGGTGATAGTTTTATGTGGTTTACTTGTACCTCTACACTGACTAGTCTGGTTCGGTCGGCACGGTATGTGCTCAGAAGAAACTCATCAGCAAGAGCTTCTTCTGAATCTTGAATGTATTTTTTCGCAAGCTTCACGGCTGATGCTGGGAACACGGTAAAAGGATCGACCTTCCTGGTCACCGATCGATATTCCGTATCCAAGTCGCTATAGGTGGCTCGGTCCAACATATCAGGTGTAAATGGCTTGGCATCCACAACGCTTTCACCTCGAATGCCGTTCACATACCCTCGCCTATACTTGTGCGAAGCGTACACTTGTAGTCCCACATGCTGAGCGGGAACATATTCTCGCTCAAAGGAATGGGAGGTTTGCACCCAATACCATTCCGTATCCCAATAAGTTTCCCTACATGGCTCATCAGCCTCTATTGTACAATCGAACTTAAAAACGCCTTTCGATTCCAACTTACATTCGATTTGTTTGCGGGTTATGGCGCGTTCTGGACACATCTCTTCCCTATTGCGCATTGGCCTTAATATACATTCAAACGCCGGTCATAGTTGCTGTGAGTGATTACTTACAACTTGCGCCTGCACAATGCGAGATCGTATGCTGGCTGTTGCTACCCAAAACGGTACAAAAACTTCGTCAGGAGCTCCCGCTTTGGAAGCCTTCAAGGAGAAGAAACTATGACCATGATAGGAATCAAACGTCTGTGTATTATGGTTATTTAATGCTCAACTAGTCGAGAACGGCAAGTCCACGAAACGCTACCTGTTCTGCTGCTTTGACATGCTGGCTGAAAGGAATGGCGCGGACTTTTTCCTTGAGAGGGCCGTCACTTCGCGCCGATGTATGTGAAAATGTCCTTGACAACACAGTAAATCTTCCTTTTCTATATACGCATAGTCTCTCTAGTCGACACGACCGTGCAATTGGGAGATAGAGGGTAATCATGCGGTTACTCTGCACAGGTCACAGAAAGCACATACTCTCTTTTTTAACAATTATCAGTGTCGGAGCAGGAAATTATAAAAGACCATCATCTTTGATCGTTGTTCACAATAACGTCATTGATCGCAATATACGTGCCTACATGGAAAGTATATCCAAAGAGAATGATTATGAGGTGTCATTTATACTAAAATATTGCTCTGGTGTTCCAATATACAAATGGTATATCGTTTGTGAATCTTCGAAAAGTTGACCTAGGAAACAATCTTTGGATAACATTGACTCGGTACAAATTGAATAAGAAAGTGGATTAAATGTCAATAATACTATGAATACGGTACAGATCGAATGGAGATACCTACGTGAATGCTTGCGCAGAGTAATAAAGTTGAATAGCGGCATTGCCGACAGTCAGACGCAAGTCTTGAAATTCTAAACTCAGCAACGTATAAATTCGCAAGCTTCAGCCATTTCGTTGCTTCTTTCACACACCATAGGTATATATCCAAACCATCCATCCATCCATCTGCATCGAAATTGCATGGATAAGCTTGCTGACGATGTATCATCTCATATAGGTTGATTCAGCTAAACAAAAATGTCTACTGCTGAGGACGAAACCGTCGTTATTGAGAATCAAGAAGTCGAAGTCGCTGCTGATGCTTCCGCTCAGGGAATGTCCGTGGAGGAGGCTCTCCAAGAAGTCCTCCGCCGCGCTCTCGTCCACGATGGTCTTGCCCGTGGTTTGAGAGAGGCTGCTAAGGCTTTGGACAGGTACGATTCAACATTCACAAATAGACGAAAACGGTAATATTTGCTAATCCTCAACATTTTCAGACGTCAAGCTCACTTGGCTGTTCTTGTCGAGACTTGTACCGAGAAGGAGTACATCAAGCTTGTCGAGGCTCTTTGCGCCGAGCACAACATCAACTTGATCAAGGTCTCCGATGCTAAGAAGCTCGGTGAATGGGCCGGTCTCTGCAAGATTGACCGTGAAGGTAACGCTCGCAAGGTCGTTGCTTGCTCCTGTGTCGTTGTCAAGGACTTTGGTGAAGAGTCTGAGGCCATGAACGTCCTTTTGGATTGTAAGTTATATCTATTGGTTTATTAATGAAATAATATGAATATTTATTAATTATCGCGTCTCTCTCCACAGACTTCAAGAGCCGTTAAGAATCGGATCCTTCAATTTCAAGCAAACTTTTGCAATAAATTGACTTGATTCTCATCAAAATTATATGTCTATTTTTCAATTGTGTAATGAGTTGAGTTTTGGAGCAGACATTGCCGTGATTGCTCTGCCCCAATATTGCCACCGAATTAGGAGTGCGTCTATGGTTTAGGCACTTGCAACGCGAGGTCATAGCACTCGCTTTTAGCGAAATATTCCTTCAATTATTAGAGGCGTAACCACAATTTGCCGTACGTTGAACCATTTACTTTGTGCAGCGGGATCTCGTCAGAGGATGTGCAATGTCCTGTTATCAAGTAATTATCGATAACATGAATGTTTGTCTTTTTAAAGTAAAAAAACGAGTTTTGCTAAAAGCAGTTGAAAGTTGGTATGGACAGTCTTATCTCATGTATCTCCAAATTTTATGCGTATACCTATAGAACGAGACTGGCACTTCACATCCACTTTCCATTATGTATTCACAGACCAGTCGGCAGTCAGCTAGACTTTGCGATTGAGGTTGACTTGGCTAGAATACACCGATATCGGTACACAATCTATAATCAAGGCTGCGTGGCATAAAGTATTGGATTTGTTTTGTTGATTAAATAAAATAATATTACTTTAAACGCTTGGAGAGGGTTAAGTTTTCGGTATAAGCAACGAGGTATGGCATTTGCTCCATTGTGTGTGAGACGGTCACAAGTGACCTCCGCCCAGTTGTGACGGCTGGGCCATCCCCCCACAGATAGCGACATCAACGGCCATCCTTCGAAATTTCTCTCCCCCTTTTGACAGACAGATACTGATGGGTATGTGAAAAGTGCATCAATTGCATATTCATTGTTGAAGGGAATGGATGGATGGATGGATAGTGTGCGATGCGTAATACAACATTTTTATACTGGAGCGACATTCGACATTTTCCACCTAAATTGCCGGTTGTAATTCATACATTGAAGGACCTGCAATGAATGTCAGAGCAGCTTTCGACAACACTTTCACTGTTGATTCTCGGCTTGAAATGGTTCGAAATGTCGACTTCTGTCAGCATTCAATGCCTGTACAACTCATTGAATATCATGGCTTGCCTTTGAAGCGTCACCATTTCAACAATGCAACTATCATAGACGGTGTTTCCTACTGTATGCTTACCGTTCTTTCTCCAATATAGCTGCTAACAACAAGGCTCTCACTGCTAAGAAGGCTGCCCTTAAGGGTACCCAGGGTAAGGCCCAGCGCAAGGTCCGCACCACCACCACCTTCCACTTGCCCAAGACTCTCCGACTTGCTCGTGTCCCCAAGTACTCCCGCAAGTCTATTCCCCATGCTCCCCGCATGGATCAATACCGCGTCATTCGTCAGCCTCTTAACACCGAGACTGCCATGAAGAAGCTCGAAGATGATAACACCCTCGTCTTCCTTGTTGATGTCAAGGCCAACAAGAGACAGATCAAGGATGCTGTCAAGAAGCTCTACGACGTTGAGGCTGCCAAGATCAACACTTTGATCAGACCCGATGGTCAAAAGAAGGCATATGTCCGCTTGACCGCTGATGCTGATGCTCTTGATGTTGCCAACAAGGTATGTTATGTAAATTTAGCTTTTATGTCGTGGTTGGTGCATTTGCTGATGTTGATTTGTTACTCCACAGATTGGCTTCATCTAAAGGTTGATTCGAAGTTATGTCGGCAGTGGGCCATCAATAAAATAAAAACTTGTGATATATTAAGTCATTTAGGGGTCATCCAGATATGAAGTGGTGGTAACAAATCAGAGTGCATTTGTCACAAATTTTTTGCTGGCATAATTAAGAGCGCAACTGGCATACGGCGCGAGTTGCTTATGGCACTAAAAGATTCCGCAACAACTGGTTCATGTCGCGTCTACTGACAGTGTACGCAACAGCAGCATCCACGAGGATACTGACTATAATACTGGCTGTCATCTCGAAAGCATTTGTGGATGACTACGACTCTTCAGCCGAAACCATCTTATTGGGTTCATCTAACGCTCTCATTCCGAATAACCTACTCTACCAATTCTTTTCTGTCTTTGTGCGCTGGGATGCGTTCTACTACTTGCACATTGCTGAAAACGGATATGTCTACGAACAAGAGCATGCCTTCTTTCCCATGTTACCAATGCTGTCAAGGCTGGTCTCAGAGACAGGTATCGAAGCTAGCGTACTACAGGTTGTACCATCTTTATACCAGTCACTAATGCTCTACATAACCAGTTTTGAGTCCATTCAAGTATCTCATAGGCGATCAATATACCCTTGTCCTGTCAGGTGTACTTATTTCAAACATTTCATTTGTTTTGGCGGCGGGAGTACTCTATAAGTAAGTGATACTTGCATTTAATGCATCGGCAAGCGTCATCATATTAACACATAATTTTTCTGTCTTTTTAGATTATCCAACAATGTATACCATGGAAACGAAACCTTAGCATACCTTAGCGCATTAGCGTTCGCCTTAAGCCCAGCATCTATGTTCATCTCATCATTTTACTCTGAATCTCTATTCGCACTGCTCACTTTCACCGGTATGTTGTGTGTCTCACGCCAGCAATACATTCGTGCGTCAGTCGTATGGGGAATAGCATCTGCTACCAGATCCAATGCAGTGCTGTACTCTGGATATATTGTCTACGACCTGGTTGTGCGAAATTATATACGACAAAAATCTGTTAAGGTACTGTGTCAACACAGCAGATTGCAGCTTGATTTGAAGTTAGTCTTCACGTTACAAAACATATTAAATTGCCTGTCATTCCATATAGAATGCAATTGCTGGCTTAACTTTGGCCATGGGATGTACCATGCTTGTATGTCTTGGCTTCATTACATTCCAAGTTTATGGCTATCATCTATATTGTATCCTGGATCACCGTCCATGGTGTCAGCAGACGATCCCTCTACTGTATTCATTTGTACAAAAGTTCTACTGGTGAGCCGTAGTCTGATTGAAGGACTTTTACTTGAGAATTTTACTAATGAAATTGACCACAGGGGTAATGGTTTCTTAGCATACTATGAAGTGAAGCAGATACCAAACTTTTTGTTAGCTTCACCCATCATCATGATTTCATGCTACGGAATTTGGAGTTACTTCTCGTTTGACAAATCAAGGTTTCTGACGGTTGGAATGAAAAGTGACATAGGTAAGACTAAAATAAATTGTATGCAACTTCTATGTCAACGCATCTACTGATTGAGAGCAACATGCTGTAGCTCCCGTCAATGACAATGAAGAGAAGGACGATGGGGTGGAAGAAGTACCGATCAGCAGCGGGTTTTTGTCGGATAAAACATTGCCTCATATTTATTTATGGGCAATTCTAATTATTGCAGTTGTTACAAGTATGCATGTTCAAATCGTCACCCGGTTCTTTTCCTGTTTGCCAGTGCTGTACTGGTTCATTGGACATGTATGGATGACAGCGTTAACGCCAACGGCATCCAAATCTCAAAAAGTCATCGCAAAAATCATCCTGTACTATCAAATTTTGTATGGCCTGGTTGGTGTCGTTCTCTTTGCAAGCTTCTTCCCGCCAGCCTGAACTTTCTTTCAACAGGGAAAGCACATTTCTGTTTATACATATTGCACTGTTATACAATGCACGTCCATCAATATTGTTTCAATCTTTCTGACATACTTGATAACGGTTCATCCAACTTGGAATCATTTTCTACGATTTAATTGTTGTAATATTCGCGACACCGCGCAACACCCATTATTGACAGTCAATACAAACGCAACACTTGCAACTTGAATGCAAAACAGAGTAGATTTTTATTTATGTATTATTAAACAAGAAGACATTGGGGCTTCACTGTGGACCGGGAGAGTTGTGTTTTCCCCTTGATCGGTCTTGTTGCGTGTATTTGCGGGAGTAGCCCCACTTTGGACTTGGTTGGTACGCTCGGTCATTCTCAGCAGGCATTTGAGATTGAGGATAATACATGACAGGTGTATACATGGGTACTTGATTTGCATCATAGTTATAATAAAACATTCCGTTTGCTTCAAACATGCCTTGTTGTGAGTTCATGACAGGCGCATACATGATCGGTCCGGGCATGCCCTCTCTATTACCGCTCATGGGCATGGGCACGGCATACATGGCTTGCATTGGCATCATGTTGGATGAAGAGCCGCCCATGGTTGTCATTGGTACAAACTGCATAGCATTTGGAGACAGCATGGTATGCGGAGGGTATGGATGCTCTTGAGAATATTCTTGTTGATCATCATGCTGCTGCCAGTTTGAAGAGCTGGGTGATGACCGGGAGCTAGATTGACCCCACTTTGTAGAAGGCGAACCTACTTTTTTGAGCTTTTCGTAAGCACCTCCTTCTTGGGACATTCCAGCACCACTTTGTTGTTCTTCTCCAGTTAAACTTTTCTCTGAACCAATCGATTTAGGCGTCGGAATACCTAGTACTTGTTCGGTTTGCCATTGAGGAGTTTCTAGAATGATTTCAACGTCAGAATCTTCGTCTGCATTATGACTGGTGATGGCACTGGCATGACTTGTTGATTCTTGATTTTCATCGGCCAACACTTCCAACGGTGTAGCTTGCTTGGATGAAACGCTTTCAGCCTTTGACTGCCGAAGTAGAGTTTTCGCAGAGTCATTCTCTAAAGTAGTGCTTGCTGGAGCGTCTCGTGTAGTGCGGCCAAATTGATCAGATCTACCTCTGCCTCCTCGGAAGCCTCTGCCACGACCACGTTGACGGCCAAATCCTCTATCGCCAGCAAACTGGGACTGGCCGTAATCGCCTTGTTGCTCCATTTGCTCAGACTTGCTTCGTCGGTGTTGCTCATCTCGCTCTTCCATTCTGAGTAATGATTCGTATCCGTCGTGAGCCCATTTTTGTGATGGTCCAGGTGAGGGTGCTACGGGAGGTTGTTCAAGTAATTCTGCTCCTATACGTCCACCTCGTCCCCTACCTCGTCCTCTGGGAGTATCACGTCGTCTGTCGTTTCCATTATTCTTCATCTCATCATCACGAAATCGGTCATCGTGACTCCAAAATTCCCCCAGATGAGGGACAAAGCTAGGATCTTCTTCCAGCTTTTTCCGGTATTCTCGTCGTGCCTCTAAACGTCGCTGGTGCACTGTATTTCGCTTGAAGCCTTCTTCGCCATCGTTGTTTGCTTTAGAATCAGACAACTCAAGCTCTGCCGTTTTGTCTATCAACTCATCATCTGCGCCTTGGTTTTCAGACTTCTTCCAATTGTCGGATGCATTGCCTGTGCGTGGTGTACTCCCTCCGCTTCTGTTTTTGTACTTATTAGAAGCTCTCGCTCCCTTATCATCTTGTTGAGCTTCTGTGGAGGCAGATGGGTCTTGCTGGGTTTCCTTCTCTTTTCTGGCATCACCCCGAGTTATGTCACCTTCTGCATTCACTTCTGATGGAGTGTTGGATTTTGAGCCCTCCACTTGTGCGTCAGCCTCATTAGTCGTTGCAGTTGCCCAGGGAAGTTCGTCATCCCGGAGTGGTTCCTTAGAAGAATTTGCTTGACTACCTCTGAATCCTCTGTCACCGCTTGGCCTTCCTTGGAAGGATCCTCGCTTTCCACCTCGAGATGTCTGAAATGAAGGTCTGTCAGGAAAATCAGGACGAGCACCACCACGTTGTCCACCTCTGTTGCCTCTTCCTGGTTTAGGTGCGGAGCCTCTTCCACGAGTAGGGGCATTTGCTTTGCCGCCGCGAGCTTTGTTTTGTCGCCCCCAGTTATCGTTACGATCTTTTGGTCCTGAGCTCTGTGACCATGAACCCCAAGTACCTTCCACTGTAGAATCGCCATCCTGTGACACGGTTCCCCAACCGCCGTCACTTGTGCTTTTTGGGGTGGAAGCGTCGTTTCGGCTATTGATAGAAGTCTCCTCTAAATTTTTGGAGCGATCAACCGAGGACGTAGTATTCTCAGGGTTCGCAGCAGCAGCGGTTTCGTCCTTGCGGCCTTCCCAAGTGCTATCCATGTCGATGACTTTTGGAGGACTGCCCCAGCCTTCTCCAGAACCAGAACGTTTTGCAGAGTCTTGTGAAGACTTCTTCTGACGCTGCTCATATCTGCTTTTCAACGGAGTGGACGCTTCGTCTTCGCCTCCAGATGAATTGCCTTCATCGTCTTCTGATCCAGAAGAGGCATCCGAAGATTCAGCAAGATCGCCTGATGCGCTAGAGTGATCTGACAGCTGAGGTTCTTCATCACTATCAGCTTTCTCTCTAGCTTCTCTCCTACGACTGTATCTTGGCTTCAGCATGAGTATTTGAAGAAAGTTACAAGATCTGGACGTGAAGGGCTGGTGTTTTGTGCTTCTGGAAGTGGCTCCGCCCGTCCGCATCGAAGGAAAAGCAGTCCGTTTCGAGAGAAATCCACGTCACCCCAGCAATTTCCTTTTAAGCACCGCAGCATATCAATTTTTCCTTTCGATCCAGAAAAAAAAAAAATTCCTACCTTCTTTTCTGCCCTTGATTAATCATGTCCCATCATTCTTCTTCCTACGGCGGTGGCAGCAACGGCGGCTACTCTTCAAGCTATGGAGGTGGCGGTTCCTCATACTCTTCAAACAAAGATAGAGGAAATGACCGATCTTACGATAGCTCATCTCGCAGAGATCGCAAGCCGTACGTTATCTTTAATTCACATTGAAACAGCATTTGGTTTGATTTCAAATTGACTAATTTCTTTCATTTTACTTTTAGTTACGAACACTCCTCTTCTCACTACGGACGTGATCGTGAGCGCGATGCTGGCGGTGATCGCCACGGTGGCTCATACTCATCAGGAAATTACTCATCTCACGGCTCTGGATACGGTGGTGGTAGCTCTGCTCCTTCTTATGGCGGTGGTAACTCTTACGGAGGAGGAGGCTCATATGGAGGTTCCAACTCCTATGGAGGCTCTAACTCTTATGGCGGTGGCTCCTATGGCGGCGGCGGTGACAGAATGAGCAATCTTGGCAACACTTTGACTGCTCCTAAATGGGACTTGAACACTATGCCCAAGTTCGAAAAGAACTTCTACGTTGAACATCCCAATGTTGCTGCACGCACAGAGCAAGAAGTCACCGATATCCGCAATTCTTTCGATATGAAACTATTCGGTGACAACGTTCCAAAGCCTGTTACTTCATTCGAAGAAGCTGGTTTTCCAAGTATGTATCAGATAAACAATACAAATGCCATAAAGACATAATTGCTAACTCATTTTTTCTCTCTCACTTTAGGCTATGTTCTTAAGGAAGTGTTGGAACTTGGTTTCACAGCACCAACTGCTATTCAAGCTCAAGGTTGGCCAATGGCCCTCTCTGGTCGTGATGTTGTCGGTGTAGCAGAGACTGGTTCTGGTAAAACTCTTGCCTACTGTTTGCCTTCCATCGTTCACATCAATGCCCAGCCTTTCTTGGAACCTGGCGATGGCCCCATCGTTCTTATCTTGGCTCCTACTAGAGAACTTGCTGTCCAAATTCAACAGGAATGTACCAAATTTGGCAAGACTTCTCGCATCAAGAATACTTGTATTTATGGTGGTGTCTCCCGAGGACCTCAAATCAGAGATCTTCAGCGTGGTAAGTCTTTTGTTGTACATATATGTCATGATCAGCGTGCGCGCGCGTCTAATTAACTCAATTTCTTACTTGAATAGGTGTGGAAATTTGCATTGCCACTCCTGGACGTTTGATCGATATGTTGGAAAGCGGCAAGACTAACCTGCGCCGTGTCACATACCTTGTTCTTGATGAAGCTGATCGTATGCTTGATATGGGTTTCGAACCTCAAATTCGCAAGATCGTTGATCAAATTCGACCCGATAGACAAACTCTTATGTGGAGTGCCACCTGGCCAAAGGAAGTCCAGCGTCTTGCTGTGGACTACCTCAACAGCTATATTCAAGTCACCGTTGGATCTCTTAACCTCTCCGCTTCCCACAACGTTAGCCAGCTTATTGAAATTTGTACAGAACCTGAGAAGCGTGGAAAGCTTATCAAGCATCTTGAGCGTATTCTCGATCAACCTCAAAACAAGACATTGATCTTCACTGGCACCAAGCGCACAGCTGATGATATTACCAGATTTTTGCGACAAGACGGTTTCCCAGCATTGGCTATCCATGGTGACAAGGCACAAAGTGAGCGTGATTGGGTTCTCAGCGAATTCCGTTCCTCAAGATCACCTATCATGGTTGCCACTGATGTTGCCTCCAGAGGTTTAGGTAAGGATAACTTTTCAATGCTATTTACTTAATATCATTCGATGTCTTTTTTTTTTTCTACAGGAAGAGCAGTATACAGCAGACGGTCATAGGTCAACCTTCATTTGTTGACCAAGCTGTCCATAATAGCATGGTGTCGGTTGTCAAAAATACTCGTACTCTTATCAACTGACATTGCTTAACATCGTATCGACACCGACTGCTGTATAAGAAACCGTAGCTTGCATGATTGGTCAAACCAAATCCCCCCCTCATGATCAATCAATGGGACTACATGGTTTCAACCAACTCTTCCCCTTTCTCTCCAAACTTCTTCTGCGCAATGTGGTACAGGGAGGCCAATTGGAAACATACTCGGACAATCTTGACGTTTGGAAGACCCTATCATCCTCTTTTTACTCAATTTTATGTTGATTTGTACCCATGAGGATGGTACCCTGTCCAGGTTGGTTGAGCTACAAGCTTGCTTTCCAAACATCATTTGCGTTCTTCTTGTCTCTGGCATGTTCTACTCTCTCTGCATTTACCACGCTCCCCTTTCCCCTCTGTTGCGCTGCTTCTCTTATATTTTAAATATCTTTATTTCCAAATCCTCCCTATTCCTTATATCATTTTTGACCCACCGGGTTATTGACTTTTTTTTCTTATAACAGATGTCAAGGATGTCAAGTATGTCATCAATTATGACTTCCCTACCAACGTTGAAGATTATGTCCATCGTGTCGGTCGTACTGGTCGTGGTGGAAAGACGGGTGAATCCATCACTTTCTTCACAACTGATAATGCCAAGCAAGCTAAGGAATTGGTTTCCATCTTGACTGAAGCTAAGCAAGAAATAGACCCAAGACTACTAGACATGGTTCGCATGGGCGGTGGTGGTGGTAACCGCAAACGCTATGGCGGCGGTGGCCCACGCGGCGGCGGCGGTAATAGATTTGGTGGGCGTGGAGGCGGTTACGGCGGCGGCGGTTATGGAGGTGGTGGTGGTCAAGGCCGTTGGTAAAGAGCCTCTTTAGTGTTTTCCACGAAATCCTATGACTTCCAACCTCACTCCAATTTGCCTTCATTTTCTCTTATATGTCTGCTGTAAATTCTTTTCCTCTTCACGCTTTCTTTAGACATGCAGTATTTTCTGATTGCACACTCTCTTCTTAATGCATTTAACTTCTTAACCATTACCCAGAAATAAAAAAATAAAATTTCAAACAATCTATTTTTTACCCAGTTCACTTGTTGGATCAATTTCATCATGCTCATTTTTAATATTAGTATCTTCTGAGAAAAACAAGGTGGGTAGTTGGGGACAATCCCAAGACCCTCAACTCGTATAATGAATTTGTAACATTCGACCTGCGGCCTCCGCTAAATTAATCATCATTTCGGTATAACGTAATTTCTTTTTGTTTGTACACGCTAACGCTACTTTATACATGTTGTCCAATTACAGCCATTATTATCTGTATACTGCTTGGTATCTTCGTCACGGCTTTCTATGCTGTATGGTTACGAAAGGTGGACGCGTACTAATTCAGCGAACTTCGCTTCGTCCACCCTTATACCTCCAATACCCATGATTTCAGCAAAAAATCGATCTTGTTCTCCTTGTGTAATATTTCCACTGACCGCCATGACAGCATTTAGTTCTTCTCCTCGTTCTTCTCCAACGAATCCCATGTTGAGAGTTCTGACAGTTTCACCATAGCTTCCGCCCCATAACAGAGGCTCGAGATATTTCAGTACCACGAGACCAGCTTTGAATAAAACAATGTCACCTTGAAGGACGAATAAGTCCCATAATCTGGATGACAGTTCCAGCGGTAGTACAGAAGCGAAGACGGTGGTGAGCCAGTCGGTTAAATAGTTGTTGGGAGTGAGGGAAAGATTTCTGAAGTGAAGAAAGAGCTTGGGCAAGTTTTCCGCAAATAACACGTTGAAGACCTTGGCATAGCCTCGTACACCTTCTTCGCTGTTTGAAAACATGGCTGATAGCACTCGACTTTTTTGTATAAGGTTGCAGAGTGCTATGAATGCTCTGTCTGGTTCCAAGTTGAGTAGAAACATACCAGCCAAAAAGGATGTGCCTCGTACCTACACGGCATATTGTCAGTGGACGTGTTCAAGTCAACATAATGAATAAAAGATATTAGCCTTACATATCCTACATCAGTTCGATAGGTGATGTATGCTCTCAGGACTTCACGTAATGGGCCATACATTGGACCATTTACCTAAGATAGAGAGAAGGTCAGGATAAGGTAACCAAATATGAATTTACTAAACATTCGGCTTCGATTGCTTACTTGAAAAACACAGAGACTAGGCAGAGTTCTCAGTATATCCTCGGTGATCACTTTGTAATTATAAGCCTCTGTCTCTATGTCCATCCGGTTATGACTCCAACGATCTTGAGTATCCTCTCGCTCAGTAAGAGCATTATCCTCTCCCTGGTTATCCAAGTCTTCTGAATTATCGTCGTCGTCGTCTTCATCGTCATCGTCATCAAGATTGACATCCGATAATGCATTCGAAGGGGTTTCGGTGGTATTCATGGTATGAATAGGCCGCATGTGGTCAGCATAATGAATGCCAATAGCATGTCCGTTTTCAGTTGGTAATGAAGGCTCTCGTTCCATTATATCATAGTGTCCTCCTGGATGTTTGGAATCATCGACAAATTGGCGTTCCATGACAAACGACTTGATCTTGCCATTATGACTTTCCACATCACTAGCTGAGCTAGACACACTAGCTCGTCTAGAGCTTTCGCTGTGATTATCATCAGATTTTAAAACCTCCAGACTACTTGTTCTGCCTTTACGATGAATGGAAATATCCGACCGCTTCGATGGATCAAATGGCTCAGTTTGAGGATTAATGTTGGGGAGATCACCGCCGGATTTGGAATATTGAGGGTAGCTGTCAGACTTGCTGAACTTGTTTGGCGTTGGAACAGCAGATGTTGAGTTGCTTAACCTTTTGTAATCAGGCGAGTTATACACATCTGCTGTTCCGTGCGATGTAGCGCCTGAGGGTAATTTCGGTTGCTGTTTGACATACATGTAAAATGTTTCTAAAGTTTCGAAACAATAAGTAAAGAGTATTCCATCACTAGCTGCTAGAACTCTAGTAGATTAAAACCTTTACCTTTTGGTATATTTAGAGAGTTGCCGATAGCCAACGTCCATATTTTGCCTCGGCAACGTGGTGGCAAGCCCCTCATCCATAGATCACGAGTTTGCTTCTCTTGTCGCCTGTCAATTTGATCGTGGTCAGTCATTTGAAAACCTATCTGTCAGGGATATGGCATGACTTACTTTGTGTGCCAATATGGTAGTATTTCTTCCTCCCAGATTTTAACATTCATCATCATCTGCTTGTCGCGTTCCTCTTTCCTCTTGTAAAACTGTTTCTCCTTCTTCGCCTCTGATAAATCATATTAATATACGTGGCTGTATGTCAGTCAACATAAATGTCCATGCACCTACCAACGGCTTTTGCACGCTTCATCATAATTTCGTGCTGTTGAAGGTGTCGTTTCTCTTCCACTGGGTTCTTTGGAGGCAGTGTTCTGCAAGATGAAGTGAATTAAAATTCATACTAGATTGATGCTATCAGCAATATAGTTGCAAAGCTTACACAGGTCTAGTTTTGGAGATGACTGTTTCCAGGGCTGACGGATGCTGTTTTGGTGTTCTACTAAAAGGATTCAAGCTAATAAAATCAAGTCAGAAAAGGGCTTATTTCCAAAAAAACCCGTCGAAAAAGTCCAAGTATGCTCACCTCGATCTTCTTTTCAGCGCTTTGGAGGATGAGCCACCTGATTTTGCAACGATGTCATGTTCTTGAATGCCTCGCCTAGCACCACCGGTTGGCGTACTTTTTCCGACTTTCAATTGCGTTCCTCCCGAGCGAGGACCTACAACTGCTTGTGTGTCTTCTAATACATCTGATATACTGTAGAAAGGTCCGGACAAGTCGACATTGGTTTCACCAAAGGTGGTTTCCTCTGGTGCAGTGGGTGGACTTGGCTTCCGTGACATTAGTTTAAAAAATCTTGAGGAAGTTGGGCTGGATATGATAGGATTAGGATCTCTTGGGAGATCTAAAGATACTTCTTCAAAGAGGTGGTCGTATCTAGACTCTGCTGAGCCATAATGTCTAGTTCTCACAGTGGAATCTGGCTCAGGTTGGTGTAACTGAGCACGATGGACTGTTACTTCACCTGATGGTGGTTCCACTGGAGAATCTAAGGTAGATGTCAAGTCATCCAATACATCATCAGCACCCATGGTTAAGGGTGAAAGACGATCTTGGTGCTTTACAGGTTTGCTAGAGTGATGCAAGGTGGAGATTGTATTGTGCTGGGCGGCGACATTATGAGGGGTAGGTGAGACAGGTGGGGAATCTGATAAATTAACAGTTTCCAAGCGACTTGAAAGGTTTTCAGCTGCTGTCGCTTCATCTAAAGAGAGATCGACAAAAGAATCCTCAGCTTCATCACGATTTGAAGTATGATCCAGTTGGGACATGAGCAAAGGCAAACGACACGGATCAATGTCCGACAACACCCCACCAAGCTCTTATAAGAATTCAAGGCACAAAAATTTTATTACTCATTTGAGCCATCAATCGTTCTTTTTATCGCTAGGCTCGACAATGCCTTCGCTAGAAGTAGTCGTTTGCTTGGACTCCTGCTTCTTTTCGATAAAGTTGGCTGCCTTGGATGCTTCTACATTCTTTGCCATGCGGTCAAATATCAAGTACATCGAAACCAAGACAGCGAGACCTGCCCAAAACCATGGGTTGCTGTTGTTTGTTGTCAGTATACCTGGATGAATTAGAAATATGCACACGACATAGAAAACCTCTTACGTGAAGGTGGTTGTGCTGTGAATGAGTTCGACTTCGTACATAAGATGAGTGCCAGCTTCAATGGTTCCGGGAAGGCCCATTTCTCCATAGGCGAGATTGGCAGGGATCAAAAGACGGCGGGCTTCTCCAATACACATGCCTTCGATTCCCAAATCAAGACCTATATTTAAAGACAAAGAGTTTAGATTCATATCAAGCGCATCCAGGCAGATCAGCTTCGGTCTTCACTCCACATACCTGGGATCACAGACTTGTCACCTTGCTTGAACTTAATGGCCGTGCGACCTTCATCATAAGTGCTATCGAAAGGATGCTCATCATCCCATCGATATGCTTTGTAGTGCACTGTAACTTCTGTTCCCTTGGCGACCTTACCCTTACAGGTTTCTGGTTTTCTCAGGACACCTATTGTCGGATTTAGTTTAGGATCTCGGTGCGACCGGATCTTGAGGGATGAGACAAGTACTTACCAATACGGAGAACATCGGGAGGGCTCTGGGGGTGCCTTCGTTGAGCCAGCACAGCTGTAGCCAAGAGAGTAACCAAAAGTATAAGCGATGACCAACACTTCATTATTGCGGATCTGATGAAGAGTTTGCTGGACCTGAAACTGGAGAGCCAAAATCAAAAGCAAAATTGCAGTGGCGGTTAGCGGTTCCCTAAATGGAAATATCATGTTGATTTGGGACAACCCACATTCGAGGTCATATGGAAAATCGATGGAATGAAAGAATGCCTTTGCTCAATCCACAACGGAGGGAAGCTTCCAAGCGCTGGTTTGTTCTGGCATCCTTCTGCTTATTCTCCTTCACAAATGCTTTGCAATGGATTACATTTTCCCCTGCTGTTCAAACATTTGCCAAATACTTCTTCAATGAAGTGTCCTTAAGTACTACCAATGCCATCAATGCTTTTAGCGGATCGTATATGATTATATACCCTATACTGGTTCCGTTCTCTTTCTCTTACTTTGAGGATGAAGAAGGATCAAAGTTTGGAAGTGGTTTGAAACGAGGTATAACTATTGGGGCTCTATTAAACGCTATCGCTGGCATTATCAGGTGGGTAGGAGCTTATCCCAATTGGCAAGGCTACTCCGTTGTGTTCTTAGGCCAAGTGATAGCAGCAATAGGTATAGTTATTGTACAATGGCCAAGAATAATGAAGTCAAGTCCGCTAATCAGAACATTTTGAATTTTTTTTTTCTTGCCACACCATAGCACAAGTTTACATGCTCGCATTGCCACCAAGATTGGCTGTGGCATGGTTTCCGCCAGATGAAATCAATTTCATCACTGCCATCGCCGTATCTTTCAATAACCTAGGCATCGCCTCTGGATTTGCCTTGACGCCTATCCTAGTCCCTGGAACTTCTTCCATGATGACAGACATACCTCGGTTCCTAGCTCTACAGATGGCCTTGTGCGTGGTTGCCTTCATTGCTGTCTGGTTCGCTTTCCAACAAGAACCCCACCAAAACTATCAACGGTAGGAGTCCTAAGCAACATATATTAAACGTATAATTTGTGAGTTATATACTTACACATTCCTGATAGACTTAATCATCAAGAGGATCCATCCTCTTCCAACGCATTTTCGAAACAGGAGGCATTGGCATTGTTCAAACAGCGAAATTTTATTACACTATTAATATCTTTTGGAATGGTGATGGGTGCACAGTGTGCCATTTTCAGTCTCTTAGCTGAGATTTTGGCACCACCCTTTGACTTGGAGGATAATGTCGCGATTGGCTGGCTAGGATCTGCTATGCTACTCATTGGTGTTCCTCCTTCCCTTCTTATTGGCAAGCTACTTGATGCAACTCATCAATACAAATTAATATGTCGCATTCTTTATACCACTGTCATTATCAGTGCCATTTGCTTAATTTGGGCCGCATGGATTGGATGGTTTATCTTGGCTGTATGTGCATGGTAAGCCTTGTTCATGTATTTAAGAGTGCTGCGTAGAGAGTACTGCATAGCTTAACAGTCAATCAATCTATCGTTCTGTTTAGCTTGGTCTTTGGAATCTGCTCTTCCCGTAAGTACATCACCAGGTGACATACTAAATGTAAATTCTTTCACTAATGCTCACTATTTTCCTTTCTTCATTTCCTCAAACAGCTATTTTACCAGCAGTATTTCAGTGGGCTGGCGAGCTGTTTTATCCTGTAAACGAAGTCGTGCCGACTGGATATTTATGTATGGCTGGCAACATTGCTGGATGGCTTCTAGTGTTGGTCATGGGATGGTCAGCGAATTCAAGCATATCATTCACCATGCTGCCAGCCATGATGATTTTGATTGCCACATTATTGATTGGCATAATAGCGACGTTCTTAACCAATGGTCAGCTTAAACGTTTGGCGACCCAGGAACATAGTCCTGCAGAAACTGGCATAGATGATGCCTAAAGAGAAACATACACTGTATTATAGCATCGTCATCATTAATTATTTGTCTATATACACTTGAAATTTCAGAACTAGAATGGTTTGATTCAATAAACCTAACACCAGCTCTTCATTATCATCGGCATCGATGTCACCTAAAGTCATATCATGAATCCAATCTTCGGTTTCGTATGTAGTGAGGTGCTAAAGCGCATTCCGTTAAACGAATTTAATATACATCTGCATACAAAGATCAAAGTTTGGAAAACAAGTGTTTGGACTTACGTTGCCGTTGTGATACGCCTTTAGCTCATTGCGGTGACCAGCACAAATGAGAACGTCAGGCGAGGTATTCTTCAACCCTCTTGGTCTGTATCTTAGTAACTTCGTGACAGGATAGCCAACTGAGAAGAAACTTGATATCTGTATTTTTCAAACCATATGTAAGTAATCGCATTAACATCCAAAAACGTCAGCAAAAGTCATTTCATTGCAGTTCTCTGTACTTCTTGCTGTACCTTATAGTTTTCCATTATGTAGATATCACCGTTCTGTCCAGCTAGCGCAATCTGTTGTTTATCGCAGAATTTGTCTGCATTAGCGTTCCTGGACGAGCGGGAGAAATAGCCGGTGCACATCTGGATAGATAGGAGGCATGAATTTGTGTCTGGCGCTCTTTCAAACTTGTCGTGACGGCTGTAGATAAACTTACGGTGTTGATTACAGCAGGAAGTGAGATAGTCATTATCCGCTCGCCCTTGGATAGAAAGTGAAGTAATGGCCAACCATCACAAACCAGTGTATAGGCTATAGAAAGCCCGTCAGTATCCTCGAGCTTGGCAGATAATAAGCATCTAATGGAGGGTGAGTGCCCAGCTGTCTATGTAGACGGCGTGAAGGAAACATGTGTTAATTTTTCACCATGATGACTGTCAACAGGAGCCTCGACTTACCGCGCTTCCAGTATACAATCGAGCGGATTCCTCACCGACGTTGCATCGCCACCGTGAGTCGTGTGGGTGAAAAGAAGTAACAATTCCATCAACGCCACCGGATATAATTTCAAACCCTCCGACTAAAAATCATACGAACAACAAAGTTGGGATTTTTTTTCCTGCTGTCAGTCCGAGGGATGCAATCGGTTTCAACAAGGGTGTGCACTTTTTTTTTTTTTTACATACTTGCGTCCTCATACATTTCAAGGTGAGTGATTGCAGCTCCAATTATCCGTTTACTTAGCATTTGTCGCCTTGAAAATACCGTAACCGTGCCGTCCGAATCCCCAACAATTAAATCCATCGCGTTAAATCCAGTCACATCATATAAAACTATCGATTGTATAGAACCACTTTTCGTATCTAAAACGGTGTCTTCCTACAAATCCCGCGAAGTAATCAGTAAGCATTTGCCTTTCTTCGATTATTGTAAGAATGTTCGGTCATTCACCTTTTCTTCATTAAGAATCAAGATTTTCCCGCTGCTAGTACCAATGAGAATGTCATTTTCTTCGTTGAGTTCTTCCAGAAATGGTTTGCCCACCGTTAGACAAATGATGGGATCGTCCAGCTTTCGTTTCCATGAAACATCAAAGCTCAGCTGTAACCCTTCTGCAGTGATACGGGGTCGTTTCGAGGTTTGTGCCATTTGCGGATGTACAGGGAGAAAACTACAGAAAGATATAAAAAATTGACAGGCTTTATTGACGACTTTAAGGTGCGGTCGGGTTATGCAACAAAACCAGTTTTTTTAGCCCATTCAATGAAAACGCAGACCAATATCAAAACGTTCAAAGCCATAACCATTCCAAGCTTACAAAAGTTTCATTCTCTCGCTAATTGCCTCTATCGCGAGAGTAAGACTTCTGGTGTGGAAGCTATTGAACACGATCCCTCAAGTATGTTTTTATGACACGGACAAGAATGTATTAAGCAACTAAACTAAACCTCTTACTGAGCCAGATGACAAAATCTTCACTGTCAGACCCGTCTCTCTTTGGATGGACAAGCTACTCGAGACTGAAAGAAGTAAGCAAGTAAAAAAGGAATCACTCAGCCCTGGTGTAGAGCGTCAAGTTGTTGAGAAGACGGTAAATACATGATTTATGTTATTTGGCATAAGTTGATTGCTTTCATTCTCACCAACCAACCGTATGAATTCAGATGGCTGATAGTTATATGGAGCAATATCTACCTTTGAAATCATCTCCCCAGTTATTGGACGAATACATCTTTTTTGATGGTCGCGTAAGACTAGGAAAAATTTTAGAAGGTACATGCAAATCAATTTTCGGCTAGGTATAAGCAATGTGTCTCCCGTGCTGACAGTTGAAAACAGATTTGGATGCACTGGCAGGTGCCATTGCATACAAGCACGTGGATAACCCCGTAGATGCTCCGCCAGTTACTATTGTTACTGCTTCCGTCGACAGACTCGATCTCCTACTTCCTAACAAGCCTGTAGACTTGAAGCTTTCTGGACATGTTGCCTATGTTGGCAAGAGTTCCATGGAAAGTATGTAAATGATATTGCTTTGCCAAACGAGCATCATATACTCTCTGCTAACTCTGCATCATCCTAGTTTTCATCAAGGTTGAGGAAGTGTCGGACTTTAAGCCGTCAGATAAAGCATCGACATGCCCACCATCCGACTTTACTAGTTTTTCAGCCAACACCTTGCTTGCAACCCGTTTCACCATGGTAGCCATTGATTCTGCCACTCTCAAAAGCGTTAAAGTCAATTCTCTAAAGTTGCTATCACCAGCCGATCATAGGCTTTTCCGCTTTGCTGAGGATAGCAAAGCACGTAAGCGTAGAGCTGCTGAAGTATCTCTCAGCAAAACACCTCCTACGCAAGAAGAAAGATTGCATATTCACGATGTTTATTTGAAATACTCGGAATACGACGATAATAAGAAGCCATTGCCAAAGGACATGGCTTGGATTGAGGATACGAAAATGGAGAGTAACTTCATTATGCAACCCCAAGATCGAAACATTCATAACAACATTTTTGGTGGATATGTAAGCGGACACATTTTTCATGACTGATAATGAATACAGCGACCTCATCCCATGTTATTTAGCTTATGCGACGTGCTTACGAATTGGCCTTTGCCGACGCCAGTATCTTTCTCAAATCAAGATGTGCGAACTTGCTTTCCATGGACGAAGTTATCTTCCAACGACCAGTCCATGTTGGATCACTGTTAAAACTGACCTCGCACATTGTGTACGCAGAAGGATATCCACACCGGTCTTTCCAAGTAAGTAAACGTCGAGACAATCGTACTGTTCTGTTGAAATCAGCGTTTCTTTTTATCTAATACCGAAACGTGTAGGTACGAGTAGTTGCTGAGGTAGCGGATATTGAGAAAGATTTGTTGGAAGTCACCAATATATTCTACTTCACACTTTCTACTCGCGATCCCAATGGCAATCGATCGGATGAACATCGAGACATGGAAGAACCAGCTGTTCGTCGCATTCTTCCTCATACGTACGGTGAAAGTATGTTATGGCTTGAAGGAAAGCGACGCAGAACTCAAGGTGTACGAGCCCGACAGGCTCTGATGAAGCTGATCACACCGGAAGGAACCCAAAACGAGAATATGTAATGGCCAAAAATTAATTTTTTTTTTTCGTACTTTTATTACTTAAATTTATATGATACTCCAGCTGTACTTTGCGATTATTAAGTAGTGGATATAAACAGCCATCTATAGAATTTCCATTCAATACATTACGGTCGATATGAATTTGGTCTACGGACCGATGTTGAGCGCTCAGTAGCATTTTCTGTTACCTACGCCGCGAACCAATCATCCATTTCCTGCAGCCGAGGAAAGGATTATGTAAGAGAGCGGGCTAGTATCAAGTCAGAAAATCCATTTTTCCAGCTGCTCAATGCTGCATTGTAGACCTCAACCGGCTTAGTAGTATCTGTTGTGATTCATATACTACCGATTTCCCATTGATGTTCCCATTTTGGTACAGACAAGGAGTTACAATGCAGGACACACATATTCGTCGAGCAAGGAATGATGCTTTACCTGGGTGCAAAATAGAACGATGTGGTTGAACTTGCTTTACCATGGCCATTCAATTATATTATTAGCAGCAAATTGGTTTGTATTGTATTTTACTTGCCAAGATGAATTGTCTCAGATCACTGCAAAAAAGGCCACGATGACAGAAAAAAGCGAGAGAAAAAAAAGGCAAGTGCGACGACAACACGTGGCTCGCTGAAGCAGGCTTTGTTTCGCCCCACTGTCCATACCACCGCCTCTCCTCCAACTTACTTGGCTTACAGGAACATAATGAATGATTCCAAATTGATAAATTACAGTCAATATGACGATAGTATTGTGCCACATATAATGCAGGTTGGTTGTAATCCACTGGTGATCTGAACCATGCCGTAGTCTTCACGACCCCCATTTAACCACTTCTCTTTTTGTCATTTCAGAACAGCAACTGGGATTGCGGGCTGGCTTGCATTGCCATGACCATGCGGGCGTTAGGAAAAGACGTCGACATCAACGACTTACGACAACACTGCCATGTCAATAGCATATGGACGATAGATCTTGCGTTTCTGTTACGAAATTATGTAGAAGATTTTACCTATTACACAAGCTTTCTTGGAAGCCGGAAAGAATACCAGCAAAACAAATTTTACCAAGAAACTTTCAGCGAGGACGAGAAGAGAGTGAACAAGCTGTTTGCTATAGCAAAAAGCTGCAATGTGCATGTTGTCCGAATGTAAGCTCTTGATTCGCTTGTTTTTTCTCTATGTCACTTGGCGGGACGGGCTTGCGATCGATCGGAAATGATCTATGTAATTTTACCTGCTAAGACCAGTCTTCAATATGTGTGTGGCACGCGAATATATCCGGAAACCCATGCCATGTGTGGGATACTTCTTCGCATCATCTGGTCAATGGCTGACATTCAATTGCTTTTTTGGATATTCAATTTTTTTTTCTTTATACAGGTTGCTGCCAATAGACGATTTCAAACGGTTCCTGTTCTGTAAAAAGTTTGCCATAATAACCCTAGTGAATGCCCGTCTATTGCGATGTCAATGGTGTCTGGTAAGTGAGAACGATGTAGGTCCAATGCGCGCAGAACAAAAATTCACTGATCGGCCGACATTGATACATAATAGGACCAAAAAGGATGTTCCGCTTCTGTTTGTGTAGGATTTGATTCTATATTAGACCGAATGAAAGGATATGAGTATATTGGTAATTCACATTCTTTTACAATGAAGATGTCAATGGGGGGCAGAAAACGAAGAAATACGGATGTTAATTTTCATTTACAGGTCACTTTATCGTCCTTATCAACTACGACCCCAACGAAGATGTCTTCATCTATCGTGATCCAGCACAACAAGATAAGGTATGCGTGATTCAAGCCGATATACTTGATTCTGCTCGACAGTCAATAGGCACGGACAATGATTGGTAAAGAGAAACTTATTTTGTGATCCAGTAGGGGTTATACACCAAGTTAATGTCTTGTGGTTTTTAGCATCGTGATTCGTATATAGTTGAGGCACCCCGGGGACATGTCAATTATGATCTGGATACCAAGCCTGCGACGAAATTTTTCTGGTCTTGCTTTTTTTTGTTTATTATACGCTTCTTTAGTACCTTTCTATACATATTGAGTTACTGCCTGTTAAAGATTACCGGTCAAGGATATGCTGTCTACAACGCCGTGCGTGAATGACAAGTCGGATGCTGTGCCAGAATGACGAACCCAACAATCAGTTCATCGGAATTTGAAAAAGGAATCTGAGCACGAAAAAAAATGCTCTCAATAAAAGGGGAAAAATTCAAAAAACATGGTTTTTAGTACGCACTTGTTTCTTACTTCACATCTCATCTTCATAACATGGCTCGCAACTTTGATCACTATCCCAAGAACGTTGGTATCCTTGCCATTCAAACTTACTTTCCTTCTCGTGTAAGTTAAACGCTATGTAATTCTAGTGACACAGCAAGCATCTGCAGTGCAGTGGCGATGACCCTTTGCCCTACCGTAAAAAGGTCATCATCCGACACCCAGACCTGGCAGATGATGCTCTCATGTCTACTTTATTTCTCATCATAGATCCACATCTGACTTTTTCCTTTCATCTTGTCGCGTTTAGTATGTAGAGCAAACCGAGATGGAGGCTTTTGACGGTGTCAGTGCTGGAAAGTACGTTATTGGTCTTGGTCAAGAAAGAATGGCTTTCATTGATGACAGAGAGGATATCCAATCTATCTGCTTGACTGGTAAGCTTTGTTTGTCTTCTTCTATCGCTCTATAATATGAGCAAGACGTACTTGATGCCAATGCACATGTGATGTCTTACCCACTTTGTCTTTCCATGCACGGCTTTCTTCATCCCTAACTAACCTATAATTGATCTGTTTTTTAGCCGTCCAGAACTTGATGGAATCTTACAAGATCTCTTACAACGATATTGGTCGCCTTGAGGTCGGTACTGAAACCATCATTGACAAGTCCAAGGCTGTCAAGACCACTTTGATGACCTTGTTCGCTGAGCACGGAAACACTGAGATCGAAGGTATTGATACCACCAATGCTTGCTATGGTGGTACCAGCGCTTTCTTCAACGCTGTCAACTGGGTTGAATCTTCTTCATGGGATGGTCGCTATGCGATCGTCGTTGCTGGTGATCTTGCCTTGTATGCTACCGGCGCCGCCCGTCCTACCTCAGGTGCTGGTGTTGTTGCCATGCTCATTGGCGAGAACGCTCCTCTCGTCCTTGAACGTCAGTTGAGATCTACCTACATGACCCATGCCTACGATTTCTACAAGCCCGATATGCACTCTGAATATCCCATCGTCGATGGCAAATTCTCCAACACCTGCTACATCCAAGCTTTCGATACTTGCTACAACAAGTACATGGATAGACTCAGTGCCAAGACTGGAAAGGAGAAGGTTAGCATGGAAGATGTTGACTACCTTGTCTCTCACTCACCCTATGCCAAGCTTGTCAACAAGAGCTTTGCCCGTGCTGTAAGTATTATTCTAGCCAAACCGAAAAATTGGGTGCTTTTTTGGATTTCTAACTCCGTTCGTTTAGGCCTATAACGATTTCGTTCGTGACCCCGAGCATCCCAAGTACGCCGAATTCAAGCAATTTGCCGATATTTCTTACACTGATTCTTTGGAGAGCCGAGATATTGAGAAGGCTTTCATGAACTACACCAAGGAAGGTTATAAGGCCAAGGTCGGTCCTGCTGCTTATGGTCCCAAGAACATCGGTAACTGCTACACTGCCGCTACCTGGTTCTCTCTTAGCTCTTTGATCTCTGAAGTCTCTTCTGAGCAATTGCAAAACAAGCGTATCTTGTTGTACTCTTATGGCTCTGGCCTTGCTGCCTCCATGGCTTCTTTCAAGGTTCTTGCCTCCACTGAACAGATCAAGACCAACCTTAGCCTGAGAGAGAAGTTGGAACAGCGAACCAAGTGCAAGCCCGAGGACTTTGTTGAGGCCATGGCTATCCGTGAAAAGACCCACAATGTCAAGGACTACACTCCCGTTGGCAGTCTTGATCACATTGCTTCCGGTGTATACTATATCGATACTATTGATGATAAGTGGAGACGTTTCTACAAGCGCAAGGACTAAGTCTTTGTTGCTGCCACCAAGTACTCTCTCGATACCACTCTTCCGATGAAGTACTCTCTCTTTTCTTTAATCTGTGAAAAAAATATATATATTTGTGGCTATTCTCAAGTTTAGAAGACATTTTTGTTTCCCCCCCCCCCCATTTTTTTGTTTTCTCCCTACGACCTAATCATTCAATTTTTATTTCCTCTATACTTGTTCATAGCTTGACGGATGTTTATTAGAAAGTCCCGGTCATTCTTCCCGATAATAATATCATCATAAAGACAACTGATTCATTGCATCCTACAGCATACATAGGCTTGAATGTGGTTGACTTGGTGTCCGTTTACTAATCTATAGCTACATGTTGGAGGTTCAAGTGTGTTTTTATTGATGGTGCGTTTTCTGCTTTCATTGTTGCTTCCTGTGATTCAGTTTGATACAATTTGAGGAACACTAGGATTAGGACGATTGGCCCAGCTTCTAGTTGTGATGCCACTAACAGTCGTGGCGTTCACTTGCTCCAATTCCAGAATGATGATTTCATTCGTGCCTTTTTTCAACCAACAGCCAGGAACATAGAGTTGTTGCTGAGGTCCAATCATCCAGTATCGTCCAAGGTTGTTTCCATTCACCCATACCATGCCTTTCGTCCATCCAGGAGTAGATAAGAATGTATCGCCAATGGTGTGCAAGTTAAATGAAGCTTGGTAGAAAGTAGGTACGTCACTGCTATGGTTGGAGGATTTGGCTGCCTTTATCATGGTAGACGGATTATCCAGAGGCAATGTGTAAATGGACCAGTGTTCTAGCATTTTTTCATTCAAGGTTACATTTCCGACAATACCCTTGCGTTGATCTGGGATACGAGGCCCGTAGTTGATTCGACCCATGTTTTCAACCAGTAGATCTATGCTATCACCCTTGCTGACGGTGAGATTGACGGCCTGAGGCAGTGGGAAAGTACTATCAAATAAGCCTTGTCGCTTGCCGTTCACATATACCAGTATTCTGTCCCTTGGATAATCACTCAGTTTGAGCATACCACTTGCAGCCATTTGACTAGTGGTTCTATATAAAGTGAAGCCGTTGGACTGGCCCAGCGATTCCATGTTCACTGGTTGCTGCTTTATCACCGGTTTTGGTAATGTATCAAAGAGACTAGCGACAGGCTTCATGGTAATGTTGGCAATGGAAATCATGGTTGTTGCCTTTGGCATCTTGGGAAGTTTTTCTCCTGCGGGTAGGTTTGCTTTGATGGTTTTTTGGATGTCATAGAATAGATCAGTGGGCTGACCACTTTCATCCAACGGAGCACCATAGTCATAACTGAAATTGAAACTGGTCAAAAACACGGTCATTTTATGCCGTCTAGAAGATATTATATCACTTGCCTTGAGGTCACTGGTGTTAAAACAGTTGACCAGTCTGCACCAGCACTGAACCCGAAATTAGTTCCTCCATGCACCATATAGAGACTGAAGGAAGAGCCATTCTTGATGAGCCAGTCCAAGTCACCCATGACCGTCTTGGCTCCATTAGCATCAGTAGTTTGATGTGGAGATCCCCAAAGGTCCAACCACGTAGTGTAATATTCGGCATCGATAAATGGTCCTGATGAGCTTGTATTGGCGAGGTAGTTTTGGCGGGTCGCAAATGCTCCTTCCACATTGCCGCCCCCGCCGTCTGTTTCAGCTAGCACATTTTCTATCACTCCACCTTTCAAATAGCTAATGCCATCGCCATCAGTTGTATACAAAGGGACGTCGAATCCAGCTTCCTTCCACATATCTCTCAGAGTAGATGTATATTGCTTGTCGGAACCATACGACCCATATTCATTCTCAACTTGAACAAGAATGATCGGCCCACCATTGGTCACAAGCAGTGGCTTGAGTTCTTTGGCCAATCGTGTAATATAAGACTTTGTGGCGTTCAGAAATGGTTCATTGTTTGATCGAACCACCATGCCGGGTACTTCCGACAGCCATGCTGGAAAGCCTCCCCAGGTGTGCTCTCCGCATATATAACTACCTGGCCGAAGTAAGACCATGAGGCCTTCCTCTTGCGCTATCTTAAAATATTGTGCCACATTGTTCATTCCAGAGAAATCCCAATTCCCTTCCTTTGGCTCTAGGAGGTCCCAGAAAATGTAGGATGATATACTGTTCAGGCCCATGGCTCGAACCTTTTGCAGTCGATCTCGCCAATATTGTTGTGGAATGCGCTGTGGATCCATCTGTCCCGCTAGGATCTGAACCGGTTTTCCATGGAGAAGAAAATTTGTCTCATTATAGGTAAATGGGATGGACTTGTTGGCGATAGTGACACCCTTTACTACTTCAAGTATCGAGAACAGCGTGCAAATTGTCAATGCGAATACCGACTTCATTCTTGAAGAATCGCGGTGGTGAAATTGGAAATTGAATGAGTAGCCTATCCATACTTAAATGGATCACATCAATTCAATTAATAAATGTGTTCGATCATACGTGAGAACCAAGACTAGCCACCAAAGTAATAAACCGGCTGAAATGATCCTACGGTCGATTCAGGTATGAAATTTTCGGTGATACAGCAGCAACACGGATTACTTCAGCAATTTGCTGAAGTAAACAGGCATATCGATTTCCCACCAAGCGCAAGGTGTCTCCGGGATACGGAGGAATGCAGCAGCTGCAGAGTAATCAGAACCTTAATTTATATTAGTGAGGATTTGTGCATATACGACTCGGCGTAGGAACAAGGACCATTCTTTTGTGGCTAGAATTTTCAAGGCTAAATTGCGACCCGAGATGTACGACATGTTAATGCAAGGGTAGGGCTCACAAAGAAGAGTCGGCAATACAACATCCTCGGGGAGAAAGAGGAAGCCTCCAAATTTGATCGCACTGTTTACTGATATCAAAAATAATAAATCAAAAATTATAGGAGAGCTCGTTTGGCTACTTTGTGGCGATATAAAGCTACAAGGGAATTTCAAAAACTTGGCTGTCAAGTTCATCTCCACACTTTGCTATGCGGATGGATGAATTTTTCTCGGTTAAGCATTGCTTAGTAGCTTTGTTCACAAGATAGCCAGCTACACCGTGGGTCCAAATTTGTTCTGGAGCTGAGGTACAATTTTCTGTAACTACCGAGGAACCCTTAACGGAGAGACAGGCATTGCCAGCAAATGGGGCCAAAATTGTTCCTTGAGGCGAGATTTTCCAAAATTGATCATCAGTGGCATTGCATTTCGCTGACCAAACAGGGTTCCCTGCCCCTACACAGTTCAAAGAAAACGCATTGAAGATCTGTCCACCAGGGAGAAACTGCTTGCATTGAGCGGTAGGAGTAACACGATATACGGCGGTTCCATGGCTGGGGATGCTACTCGCCACAATTTTGTTGGCTTGTAGGGATGTCTTGCCTGTCCATAAATCCTTTACATGATATGCACAATGTTGACCTAGATGGAAGCCGAGTTTTTCTAGTGTGACAGTCAAGGATGCAGTGGAGCCACCTTTATTTAGAATAGTTAATGCGCGATCTCCTTTGGCAAGGGTTTTTGCCAGAACATCAAAATCTTCATCCTGGCTTATTAGGGTTGCTTGCTTGACCAAGGGATCCTGGTCCAGTGCAATGAGGTCTCTGTTGGTTAAAAATGCGAGATGCTCCTTGGTCAATGCAGGGATATCAGAACTGAGGATGAGCGGAGCAGAAAACGAAGACCACAATGCAAATTGTGAACGTTGCTCGTCCATTGTTAAATTTGGATCTCCCGCAATAATAAAATCTGGATCATTGTAGAACCCTTTCTGCTGTACTCTCGCTAGGCGGAGATTGTATCCATAATTGGTCATGACACTTTCCCATACACTTCCCTTCGATCCGTACGTGGCGATATCATACGAATGCCTGGCAAGTTGGCCATATTTGGGCACCCAAGACATCACCTTGTACCAATCTGTTAGGTTCTTGTCATTCACAAAGTAAGCTGGAGCCGATTCGGAAAATGTAATGTTAAGTGGGGGCAAAATTGGATGCCAACGTTCGTATATTTGTCGGTAAGTCTCTTCATCCGATTGGCCAGGAACGGAATCCACATTACATCCATCTAATTTCAGGTAGTCGACACCCCAGCTTGCAAATGTTTTAGCATCCATTTCATCATGGTCATAGGATCCCTGGTATCCTCCACAAGTAAGTGTTCCAGCGTCCGAGTAAATGCCGAAATCCATCTTGTTTTTATGGATATAGTCCGAAAGCCATAGTAAGCCATTGGGAAACAATTTAGTGTCCCATGTTAAAGAGCCATTGCTAGTCCGATTATGATCAGACCAACAGTCGTCGATGGTGACAAGTTTGAAACCGACATCTCGAAGTCCTGTCGATACCATTGCATCCACTGCATCAGTGAAAACCGTCTGATTAATAGCACATTCAAATCTAGCCCAGTCATTGAATCCCATGGGAGGCGTTGGGGATAGCATCGATGAGGATAATTTTGCTGCTAAGACCAGCTGAACTGCAGATCTAATGACCTTTTGTAATTGCATGATTTTAGAAAAAGTTACTTGATATTTCTGTACATGGCATCTAAGTTTTATACGAACGCAAAACACAATCAATGCAGTGATAGTGCTTGTTACATTGTGCAAAGTCTCACATAAGATGTTTAGTGCCATGTAGGGTAAGTACTGAACATTGCAAGATAAAAATTCGCAGGGACAAACTTTGGTTTTCCTACGGTTTTGCTTAAATTTACTAAAACAAGTTATGCTGAAATACAATGTGTGCCGATAAGACATTGGACAATTTACAGGCACACATACCTAAGTAGCTTTCGGAACGTACAAACTCTGAATACCTTTTCATTTGTCGGAAGTCAATAACATTAGCCATGTAAATCCATCGACCAATTACTGGTGAGGTTTTTTACAAATAAGGAGCTGCATCTTTTTGGCTGACTTAGAAGACAATTTTCTTGTGCAATATTTTACTCTAGAGTATGTAAAACTCAATATCAGGTCAATTGTAATCAGGCACTAGCATCTTTCAATGTAGTCAACACATAACGTTGCATAAACTTAACATTTCTTCTCCTTTCAGGTACCTGAATCATTTTGTACATTATGTTAGCCAGGATGTAATAAAACAACAAACAAAAAACCGAGACGGTCGCCTGCATTATGGATTGGCAAAGCGTAGCTGGTTATGGTGCATCACGGCGCATATCATTCTATAAAAAAGAATGCGATGTGTGCACAAAATCGACAAAAAACTTTACTGAATTGAAGCTCCCTCTCACTACAGCCAGAAAATTCCTAATTAGCTGTGATGCAGTTTTAGAACATTTGACTTTCATCATCGCCATAGCTCATACAGGTGACCTGTGTCACGGTTCTGCACATTGCGAGCCCCTCGTTAATATCTTCGGAAATAAACTGATGACTTCATATTACATCATGGACATAACGCTTGCTAAGCTAAGCTATGATACAATGAATGGGGAGTGAGTTCAGGTTAGGAAACGATATAAAGTAGCATATCAATACAAATGATGCAAACGCCTGAATTTTGTGATGGCATGCACGAAATCCGAAATGCCTAATTCACCCTATGAGACATTTGACAAAAGATCGCATTGTTTCAAATCACTGACAGAGAATAGGATCTTGCTTGTGGCAATTTGTTGTTGTTGTTGTTTACTTAAGAAGATGGGATCGCCGCTCGACGCCATTCTGGTATCAAAAGGCAATGTGACGCCCACGTTACAAGCATTTTATATTTAACATATCATGCTACAGAACGTGATCCGATTTCAGGCAAGCATGCATATGTATCACCATGAACGTTTCATTTCATTAAAGACTAAGAGAGAATAGGGAACCATCGGTGATGGTTGAATATTGCAACACGTTCATTTTGATATCACAATAAACAGCTTGCCCATCACTTTTTAAGGACCGAATTGTTGATGAATGGGCAAAAAGAAAATAACCATCTTATTCGCGATGCCAGTGGTAACCAGAAAATAACAAACACTTCGATTGAGACACATGCAGATGCTATTCACAAATTGTTGTTGAACACATCGTGTTGTAAGGTTGAGTATCTATTTTTCCCATAACAATTTGGCAATTCAGATTACAACGTTCTCCTGAAATTGGCGTACGCTAACATAGGAAAAGTACCGTTTAACCATGATGTAATTAGCAATCAAATTCAGTCATAGAACAACGGCGAGCACGTCCCCTAGGAGGACGACGAAGAATCAAATGACATCACAAGTGAAGCCTAATGATGTATTGCCATGATCGTCTTTTTGACTCGGCAATCGATATGTTCACTATGCTCAACGCGCAAAAAGGATCAGAATGCAGCTAGCTCCATAAGCCTAAAACGCCATTTGCTGAACCTAGTGCCGCCTAGGCGCGACAGGTCTGTCAAAATGCGGCATACCCTCATGGCAATCAGATGAGATGAGGATGGGCGACAGTGTAATCAGGGGTAAAGATAATAGAATAGAAGCGAACAAACATGGCGTTAAGCATGTTCAGCCTCTTAGGATTATAAAAGACAATCTTGCATTCCGGACTTCCCCCTATTCATCCCCTTCTTTCACAGCTGTACAACACCTGACGCCGGCCGCCGTAAAAATTTTACGTTTTCTTTACAATGCAGAAGTACTTTCTATATCACCATTTGGTGGAAGAAGAAGAAATAAAATTTAATTTGAAAAAAGAAAAATTGATCAATGGCAATAAATCAATGGTACTGATCGCGTCTTTGAACTCTTTATGTTTCGTGTGTGAGTAGTTTATTTAACTTTATTTTTTTTTATTGAATTCAGGCAGACAAATGGGTGGGTGCAAGGGTCTTCAGGCATAACAAAAGCATATACACACTCTGGCCACCTTCTAGTCGGAATAAAAAAAAAAAAAAAGAGGAATCGAGGCGTTGATCACGGACAGTTTCAACGACCCCTGCGATTCAGCAAAACGCCAGAACATCAGGGGCAACCACTAAAAAAAAAAAGAACGCCCCGCCAATTGTGGATGGAACCAATGCCTATATAAAGAGAAGTAAAAATCAACCTGGTACCTGAAATATTTATTCACTTCACTTCACATCGCATCGCATAAACATGGTAAACACTAAACCAACAACGGACCCTCGCCAACGCATAGGAACGTGTATAGATGATAACAACTATGAACTCATTGACCTTCTTGGCTTGGGCGCATATGGTGCTATCTACTTGGCACGCCATACGCTCACACAGAAGATGTACGCTGTCAAATGTTTGAGTAAAGTGGGCCTCAATGAACGCCAATTAGAATTTCAGCTCCGTGAAATCCGGCTGCATGCTCAAGTGGCAGTCCATCCCAATGTTGCTTCTTTGGAAAAAATCGTCGACACCAGCGACTGCTTGTATATTGTTCTAGAATATTGTCGGGAAGGAGACCTTTTCTACACCATCACAGAAGGACGAGGATATATCAATGATCATCAAGCCATCAAAAGTGTCTTCCTCCAAATCATCGATGCCGTCTCTTATTTACACGCTAAGGGCATTGCTCATCGAGATCTTAAACCAGAAAACATCCTTGTTTTTGATGGTGGTGTTAAGGTTAAGATTGCCGACTTTGGATTGGCTACAACAGAGGCCATCTCTACTGATTTTGGATGCGGCAGCACTTTTTATTTTTCTCCTGGTAAGCAAACAATCAAGTGCATTAATACACTTCCTTGTATTACCTGACTAACTGGAAATACTTTTTTTTTTTAATCAACAAATAGAATGTCAAGGTGGCCTATACAAGAAACTAAGAGCTTATTCTACCAAGCCAAATGACATTTGGTCTCTTGGCGTTATTTTGATTAACTTGGTCTGTGGTCGCAATCCATGGAAGCAAGCCAACGTTGAAGACGAAACATTTAATGCCTATTTAAGGAATCCCGATTTCCTCATGTCCATACTACCCATCTCCAATCAAATCAATACGCTACTTAAGCGAATTTTCTGTGTCGATCCCAGCAAGAGAATAGACATCCAAGAACTACGTTCTCATTTCCTTTCTTGCCAATACTACACATGCCACGAAGAAACCATGGCCAAAGCCACTCGTCTCTCCTCTAAGCCCGCACCAATACCCTGTGCGCACTCCCCATCCTTCCAGTCAACCATGCTTGACTATGTGTCTGGCTTTGAAGATTATGATAGTGAAGACGATATGCAATTCCCTGGTAGTTGCACGTCAAACTCGACGTCGGCTTCTTCATTATCATGGTCTTCACTAGAAACCCACACGCCGTGCTACCTAAACACTACATTCATTAAGCAAGAGCGATATTCAGCTGTGTCCGTAGACCTCGCAGACGATCAAATTGTTTGGCCATAGTTTCATCCACTACCCCAAACAGCTGGCTCTGTTCATTTTACATTATAACCCATCCACACTTATGTACCTCAAACCATATCTTTTGTGTTTCCATATACCTTTCATCTTGTCGTTTTTCATGCAGCATAGTAACTGATCATGTAGAAATAGAATCTTAGTCCATCAATTATGTTATAAAGTAATATGCCTCCCATCCAACCCAACTATCTTTTGTTTTTCTTGTTACTTTTGATTGGCGCCTTATGCCGTATTCGACTGCAAACTCGTTTGTTTGCACTGGAAATATCTCCGCATGTGAACCTATCAAGCAAACTTTAAAAGAAATAAGATACTGTAACACACGGTCCTGTAAGCAGCCTGAGGGGAACTTGCATAACAATGGCTATTATAATTTTTTTTATATCCCTTGTCATCACGAAATAGGTATAGTGCTCTCCATCGCTTTGCTTGCCACGTATTCAATACAGTTCAAACAATCCATTTGGTCCTATTTTGACATTTTCAAAAGGTGTAGTCGGTTACAAGCGGCTTCTCTACAATTCTAGATCATCCTACTCCTGAGAAAATTTGTATGAAGGGGGGAAACGCGCCCGACCAACACAACCTTACGGCACATTGTCAAATCAGACGGATGCGATGCTCACAGCATTCATAATCACTTTGTTTTGTTTTTCTGCCCAGCAATGAACGTGATCGTGCAATAATATGGTTTCCTCCACCAACCATGTTACGTTGCCACCCAAATCATGTTTATTTATACAAAGATAGCCACTTCTGCGATGGTCAAAGAAATGAGAAATTCACCTTCAGACTACAAAGCAGGTATTTTATCTTTTCTTACTGGCTTTATTGTCCGCTTGCAACTTAAGTGTCTAGGCGTATTCTATAGAATGCGCCCTTGAGCTCGCATATAGAGGCTCGATTTTGGCTTCTGCTTTGGGATCCGTGCAGATTTATCCCCTTGTTGGCTGGTCTAGCCTAGGCGCCGGTGTTCATACGACAATTAAGCTCATTCTGTGGCGCTTTTCAACTTGTGGCAACTGGTCCAGCTGCTAAAGCACGGATATGTGCAACCTGCAGGAAGGCGATGGCCATTGTAGATCGATGCTTTTCCTTTCTTGAGTAAAGCTATCTTACTTGATAGGTATTGAGTGAAAAGGGTAGATGAAAATGTTACTGCAAGTCTTGTTGGTCCAACTGCGCCAAGAACGCCATTGATAATGCATGCTTGTTCAGATCGATGGCTGTCAACCCCAAAACGCCATCACGCCGTGGCACTTGTGGGAGACTGTAAACACAGTCAATCGTCATTATATGAAAGCCTCCATTCCCCCTTGAACTCTATGTGCTTAAAGACAATTGAACAATGTTAGGATACATTTATTTGTCATTGCGACTTTCGAAAATGTGTGCTTTCAAAATTAGTCATAAGTGTCAGTTTAAGCCAGTTCTCGTTCATTTACGGCCAGCTTTAAGTGACCCAGCGACCGCCACAGTTATACCTTCTGTTCGCTTTGTCTGCTTTGTTCTGATTTTGGTTTGTTTATTGCAGGGGGAGGGGCAGCTTTTCAAGCAAGCAGTGTAAAAAGACCAAAGGTTGACAAGGTTTACGAACAGGTCAAGTCGACATTTACAGAAATAAAACGAATGAAACTAAGACTAACAAAATATACTATTAATTAGTATCCATTGGCTCAGGGTTATTACCGTCTTGTTTAGTAGGGGTGGATACTGTTACGGATGGTATTGATTCTGATGCTGCCTCTGTGTTGCTTGTCGAGTCTGTGGGATTGGTTGGTGGTGCGGTAACTGTTTCGTTTGCCTGTTCACTCGTGGCTGGTATAGTAGAAACATGATCAGTGCTAGGTTGAGACTCCACATTTGCAGGTGCTTTGTCTTCCTCTAGAGCGGCAGTGAGTTCCATTTCTTCATCTTCGGTGATGCTGACCGGGACTTGCTTTGTTTCATTGTTATCAGTTTGCAAAGATGATCCGTTCATTTTCTCACCAGAAGCTTCGCTTGCGTAGCTTTGTTCATTCATGCTCTTCTTCTGGCCATTAATATCATCTCCTTCGCCTTCGTCTGAGTCATAGAATTCGTTTTCAGGTATGATGCGTTGATCCCAAAGACGTTCTAGACAAGAATTCAGTAACATGTATGCGTAGCCTTTACGAAAGCGTGATCTCTTCTTACCTGGGTTTCTCTCATCCGGATCATCTTCGTCTTCATCATCTGACATATCATGATCAGCTGGAACCTCTGCTCAAGGAAAAATGGCATATTACAGATTAATTTGAGTTCAGTACAGGCAGGCGAAACATGAGAACAAGATCACAAACCTTGCATCTGAACGCTTGGGGCGAATGCTGTACGTGATAAATTTTCAAATACTTGTAACCTGGTAATTTCTGAGGGTTAGAATTGTGTTGGCAGGCGGTTGGAGCACAGACATCGACTTACTTGATCTTTTCCAAGTATTCAGTCGTATTCATATTTTCCATGTTGCTCGACTTGACATCTAGTCTGTAGTCAGGGCCAAAGTATTCATAGTAGTCGTTGTATGGCATGACTGTGATGCAATCAAGCAATATATTAGCATAGTTACTTAGAGCAACCAAATACGCAATAAGATTCCATTCTTACCAGGGCTAAGCTCTTGTCCAACCACTATTCCCGTTTCATATGCCCACGCTCTTGCAACATTTCGCATTGTATAACCACCACCGCCGAGAACTAACGTAGGCAGATTGAATTTCTTCACAAAGTTAACGCAGTTGGCGTGACCTGTTGAATACCAGTTAGTCAATCTTCTAGTATGAAGGAAAGATGCATCAGTAATCCCCATACCTTTCATAGACAGATTGAAGCAACCCAGTTTATCGCCACTGAGGGAATCACCACCGCACTGCAGAACGACAGCGGAGGGTCGATACCATTCCATCACCTTTTCAATGACCTACAAGAAAGAGAACCGTAAAGCGTTAAAAAATCGATCATTAAAATGCAGAATACTCCAATTCAAACTATGAGCTTACGGGTTCGAAAACACTCTTATAACTTTCGTCATCTATACCATCTCTCAGAGGGAAGTTGACGCTATAATATTTTCCTTTACCAACACCAATGTCCTAATAGAAGTTTGAGTAAGCCAGAAGGATCGACGTATATGTATAAAGTACACTTCGGTGAACATACCTTCAGTTCACCAGTACCAGGAAAGAACTCTCCATATTTGTGGAAACTACAAGTCATCACACGATCTGTAGTGTAAAAAGCTTCTTCGACACCGTCACCGTGGTGAACGTCAATATCGATATATAAAACTCGTGGATAGTATCGAAGCAGTTCGAGAATGCCCAGCACAATATCGTTGACATAACAAAATCCAGAAGCTTCCGATTTTTTGGCGTGATGTAAACCACCAGCCCAGTTGATAGCAATATCGCAAAGACCGCGATTCAGTCTTGCAGCACCCTCTGCAATAAGATTTAGTTAGGAAAACGTGAGAGATTGGTGCTTCGCAAAATTTTCAATCGTACCCATTGAACCTCCTGCGGATAATCCACAGTATTCGAACAATCCTTCAAAGACGGGACAGTCATCACCGACATTGACTATATTGGACATAAAGTATAAATTGATACCGAGTTTTGAAATCAATCGAAAATCAAGGTTGACCATATGTCTTACACTTTGCTTGCTCTTTGTTTAACGCTTCCATGTTATCAGGAGTAACGCGAGAAAGAAAGTCGATGTAGTCGTCTGTGTGAAATTGTGTCATTTCCCATTTGTTGGCAGGTTTCGCTCGCTAAAGAAAGCGTTAGAGATAAGACTGGTAAGATACGAGTAGAGAAAGGTATACTTGCGTAAATTTCCATCTTTTTGTACAAGCCATAGTTCATGACCAGACCGTGGCACATTCTAATTCTATGAGGCTTCATAGGATGCCCTGGACCATAGTGGTAATTTCCAACATTTGCTGATGGATCAAGGTCAGTAATTCAATCGGAATCTCAAAAAGATCCAGAATCTGAAGTATCTTACCATCATAGAAGTAGCAGACACGTTTCTTGCTTTCAGATGTCATGGCTGGCAAACAAAAAGGTGGGGAGATAACCTTGTTTCAGGCTCGTCGGGTAATGAGGGCAAAAATAACGCGTCACAAATTCAGCAAGAAGTGTGGTCAGTCTTTACATTGAGCCAGGTACGAAAAACACTTTGATCGGATGGGTATTGAACGCGTTGTTGAGCATAAAATAATATACCACCATCGTTTCTAACTTTAAAAATCACTTTAAATCAAGTAACTGTCATCTAAAAGTGAAGTGTTAACCGTAAACACATTGCAAATGTTTAGCTGACGGCTTCGCTTCGCATGTGACAACAATGCTGTTGGAAGTGGACATCTAATTATCTGTCTAATCTATGAAAATAATGTAGTGGTAATGAAAAGTACTGTGCAAAATTGCATTCGGTGACCTCGAAAGGTACAGGTTCGTGATGATTTTCTGCTCATCAATTCGGACTGCTGTTTCACTTCCCGCTCGTCCTTTGTTCCTTCTCGATCCACACAGTACCTGTCAAATGGCAACCGACGCACAACATGTAGTTTTAGAAACCTCGATGGGGCATATTACCATCGAGCTCTACTGGGATCATGCACCAAAGTAAGCTTTAACATCTTGCCATCACCTGTTTGCTTGTGTATTAATATGGAAACCACCCAGAACCTGCAAAAACTTTTACGAGTTGGTAAGTGATCAGGCTGTAATGATTCACAGTGGAGCAACATGCAATTGACAGATTATATAGGCACAACGCGGATATTATGATGGTATCGGGGTAAGTAAACGCTTGAGTACATAAAGGCGGCTAGAACGCACACCAAACATAGACTTACCGGCTTTTCACCAGTTTCACAGAATTATATCGGTACGCAACTGCTTTTTCACTTAGGGCGAGGTTAATGACTTTGAATGAATTATGGTTACCAATGTTCGATGCAGGATTTTATGATTCAAGGTGGTGATCCTACTGGAACTGGCCGAGGAGGAAGTTCAATATATGGGTATGGAGCGATCTTATGTTCTCGTTTGATTCATTGACGGCTAATCAACTCCATCGTTTATCAGAGACAAATTTGAGGATGAGATTCATCCTGCTTTGAAGCATACTGGAGCCGGTATATTAAGCATGGCAAATTCTGGACCTAATACGAATGGTTCACAGGTATGTCTACGAAAGTACTGGAGTGCCAACTGCATTTGATATTAATGCACCTTACTACAGTTCTTTATCACTTTGGCCCCTACTCCATGGTTGGATGGTGCGTATTACGGAACTAAGAATTCAACCTTTAATATTTTATGTGTAAGCTAACATAGAATTACTCTCAGGCAAGCACACAATCTTTGGACGCGTTAGCGACGGCATGAACGTGGTTAAGAGAATGGGTCTGGTTTCAACTGACTCGAACGATCGGTAATGTGGTTTAATTTTTTCATTTTATGAAGCGTCAGCATTGCACCTTTTTAACCGTTATACATCTCATTTCAGCCCACGAGATAACGTTGTTATTATCCATGCCAAAGCTTACTAATGATAGAAGCAGTGAATCTGTTCATTAAAATAAAATTGTCTGGCATGAGAGTGCTTCCACTTGTAATCAACTACCGCAGTCGCATTAGGACTGCTTGCATTTGACAAAAAGAAAGTCCGTTTCGAAACTTGCTGGGTTGCACCTACTGCGACAGTCTACCCACCTTCTTCACTTCATACTCGATATGGTGCAGTCGCTACCTCTGCACACGAATCTGTTCAAGCAGATCTTTGCAAACACTAATCCGAAAGGAAAAGGAAAAGGCAAGCAGAAGGTTACCACAGACAATACCTTTATAGATGTCACTTCGGAATTCAACTGGGAAGCTTCTGTTCGCGATCTTCGTTCGTTCATTGAATCTCATACGGCCCAAGTTGGTAAACATCACGTCCCATTCTACTCACAGCACTTCCCACACTATATTGATTAATACCGTTGTCTTGCTCCAGAAAACTCAAAGGACGATTCCATAGCCACCTTTGTCGATAACCAAAATATCGACTTTCACCTTCCATCCCGGCCTATTTTGATTGAAGAACAAGAATTAGATTCACTAGTTGGGGAAATAGAACAATCGACTGAGGAAATTGTACAGGAAACAACGCCAGAAGTTAATGCCTATGATCGAGATTGGCTGCTACATCGTTGTAGTGAATACATTCGAAGAAGCGGCTCGACAGCTTTTACAGATACAGCATTATGCACAGATCTGTTCACTATTCTAAGGTCCAAAGAAAATGGTAACGCTCGCTGTGGTGAAATCAACAATTCAAATTTTAGTAGCTATGATTTACTAATTTTGACGGTCGATAGGGGATAAAATTCAAGATACATTGATAGATCTGCTCGGCTATGAAAGCTTGGACTTCGTTTCTGAGCTTTTATTAAACCGGGATACCATTGTTCAAAACATCATGTCCCAGGTATGAAGAATCCTTGTTTGGTAGTTATAGCTCAAATGTTTGTTGACCCATTGTTCGTGTATAGACGGAGCATGTAAATAGCCACCTTACAAGCAATGTACCACAGGAAGTGCGACGAACGGCACCAGGTACTGGAGTTACAGTACAATCGGCAAGCGAGATTCAGGAGATGAAGCGTCTCCGAAAAGAACAGAAAAAAGCCATCCGAAACCAGAAAGGCGATAGAGATGAAAATGAAGTGTCTGCCGATATTTTGGGATTCGAGACAGAGAATTGGAAAGCAGCTCGAGAAGAAGCTCTTTCAAATGCATCGCAAAGACCTTTATTCTCTTCCCCATACAAGGTAAGATATGGAAGGAGAGGCAATAAAAATGAGATGGCGTTTGATTCTATATTAACTCGACCCTCAAGATCGCAGAGCAAACAGTATACCCTCATGTGTATCAGTCTGCAAAAAGTGGAAACACACTGTCTGCATTCGGAACACGATACGCTCTTCCAGCGGGCACAGTGAGAGATGAATATAAAGATTATGAAGAGATTACCATCCCAGTTTCCAAGCAAGCACCAATTCGATTGGGTGAAAAGCGTATCCGTATCAGTGAAATGGATCCACTTTGTAGTGGTGCATTTAAAGTATGTGGCTTCTTTGTATGCTTGTACGAATATAACTTCGTGCTCAATCTGATCGCTTCTGTTACTAGGCATATGAAACGCTAAATCGAATTCAATCTATCGTATATCCTATTGCGTACGGAACAAATGAAAACATGTTGGTGTGCGCTCCTACTGGTGCGGTACGTACAAAATTGGTAATTATTGGACACCACACCGATGCTATACTAATACGATACCTGCACTCCTATGCATCCGAATAATTTCTAGGGTAAAACCGACGTAGCTATGTTGACTGTCCTGAGATGTATCTCACAATATTGTGACCCATCACCTGCTTCTGTGATGGGTGTCCCCGACATTCACTTCCAGATTGCAAAATCGGATTTTAAGATTGTCTATGTTGCTCCTATGAAAGCGCTTGCTGCTGAAATCGTGGAAAAGATGGGAAAGAGACTCAAATTTTTGGGAGTCAGCGTGCGTGAATTTACTGGTATGCAACCTCTTTTGCGAGTACATAAGGCTACATGCTTTGCCAACTTACACCTATGAATTATGAAGGCGATATGCAGCTTACAAAGGCTGAGATTTCAAGCACCCAGTTCATTGTTACCACTCCAGAAAAGTGGGATGTCGTTACAAGAAAAGGAACCGGTGATACAGAACTAGCACAGGTACGAGGAGCTTTTCGCTTTCACATTGATGAATAATACCGAACGTACTTATTCTAATGTTAACATATCATTTTCTTTGGGCTTTCCTTTACAGAAAGTTAAATTGTTGATCATTGATGAAGTTCATTTACTGCACGAAGATCGTGGTGCGGTCATCGAAAGCATTATCGCCAGAACCCTTCGACAAGTCGAATCCACTCAGTCACTTATTCGTATTGTAGGATTGTCAGCCACACTTCCCAACTACTTGGATGTGGCAGCGTTCTTAAGGTATGTACTTACAGACCATATCTCTTACGGTAAATTTTCGTCATGCTCACTAGCTATGGTATCAATTTAGAGTCAATCCGTATCAGGGCTTGTTCTTCTTCGACAGTGGCTTCAGACCTGTACCTCTAGAACAGCACATGATTGGTATCAAAGGAAAAGCGAATTCCTTACCTTCGAACGAACGTATGAACCGTGTATGTTTCGACAAGGTATCTGAAATGGTTCAAGACGGACATCAAGTTATGGTGTTTGTTCATGCACGTAAGGAGACTGTGAAAACGGCACAAATGCTGAAAGAAGAAGTCTTGAACGAAGGAATAGCATGTAAGGCAGACGCAAGTCTTTTTCATCATATCGTTGATATTTTAGGCACAGTGATGAAATTAACAGAGTATCCTCGCTAGCCGTATTTGATGCCACTCAAACTGAAAAGTATGAAACATATCGAAAGGCAGTTTCTCGATCCAAAAATAAGGAACTTCGCGAGATGTTTCCTTATGGTTTCGGCATGCATCACGCTGGCATGCTTCGTAGCGACCGAACATTGACCGAACAAATGTTTGCTGACGGTGTTATCAAAGTCTTATGCTGTACGGCAACTCTTGCTTGGGGTGTCAATCTTCCCGCTTACGCTGTAGTTATCAAAGGAACACAAGTGTACGATGCTCAGAAGGGTAGTTTTGTTGATCTATCCATTTTGGATGTTCTTCAAATTTTCGGTCGTGCCGGTCGTCCACAGGTAAGTAATCTCTTTAATCATGTATCAGTATCTACTCAAATCGCTCATTCATTCGATGCAGTACGAAGATCAAGGTGTTGGTTTCATTCTTACTCCACACGAAAAACTCGGTCATTACGTTTCTGCCCTGACTCAGCAACATCCCATTGAATCCAAGTAAGTAATGATTTCGTACAGCTCTTCCATCAGCAAAGCAAATTCATATGTTCTTTCACATCAGATTCATTGAAAACATGGTTGACAATTTGAATGCGGAGATTTCGCTCGGTACGGTCACCAATGTTGACGAAGCTGTTACATGGCTTTCATATACCTATTTGTACGTTCGTATGAAGAAGAACCCGCTTGTGTATGGCATGGACCATACTGTGCCTGCTGAAGATCCGTTACTTGGAGCCAAACGACGAGAGCTCATCATACTGGCAGCAAGAAAATTGGCGAAAAATCAAATGATTATTTTTGATGAAGCAACCGGCTATCTCACCGCTAAAGATCTCGGTAGAATTTCTTCCAACTTCTATATCAGACATACCAGTGTCGAAATTTTCAACACCATTATGAAACCTCGAATGACGGAAGCCGATGTGTTGTCCATGATCAGTTTAAGTACGGAGTTCGATAACATCAAGGCTCGCGAGACTGAAGGCAAAGAGCTATCGCACCTGATCGAGCAAGCGTGTGCATGTGATATCAAGGTAAGCATAATATGTCAATAGACATCTAGCGTACAAGTAGCAGCCTGACTGAATATTATATCCCATTTGTAGGGTGGCACGGATAGCACACATGGCAAAGTCAACATTTTACTGCAATCTTACATATCAAATGCCTATGTTGAGGATTTCGCATTAGTCTCAGACTGCGCCTATGTGGCACAGAATGCTGGGCGAATTGTGCGTGCGCTATTTGAGATAGCACTCAACAGAAACTGGGGTCCAACTGCCTCAGTGCTTCTTTCCATTAATAAGGCCATCGAGAAGAGAATGTGGACTTTTGAGCATCCGCTTGCGCAGATGGGTCTACCAAACGATATCGTACAAAAATTGCAGAACCGTAGCCACGTCCCAAGTATCGAGGAAATGAGGGACATGGAACCGGCTGAACTTGGCGAGCTTGTGCACCACAAACGAATGGGAATGACCATCGCAAAATGTGTAGACCAGTTTCCAATGTTGATTTTGGATGCCCATATCGCTCCAATCACCAGAAATGTTCTCAGCATTGAGCTCAATATTATTCCTGACTTTGTCTGGAATGAACGAGTTCATAACAACTCACAAGCCTGGTGGATTTGGGCGGAAGACTCGGAAAATACAGAGATATACTATTCGGAATACTTTGTTCTTACTAAGAAGCAACTTGGAGAAACCATCTCTATCGGTTTTACCATCCCACTTGTCGAGCCTCTCCCATCTCAAATTTACATTCGAGCCGTGTCGGATCGCTGGCTTGGATCAGAAACTGTTCTACCAGTCTCCTTCCAACATTTGATTCTCCCTGAACTGTATCCACCACACACTGATCTGTTAGACCTTCAACCTTTGCCTGTATCGGCTCTGAAGAATGACGTTTTGGAAGCTATTTGTGCCAAACGATTCACACACTTCAACCCGGTTCAGACACAGATCTTCCACACCCTATATCATACTGACCATAACGCACTAGTTGGTGCGCCTACTGGTTCTGGTAAAACTATCGCCGCTGAGCTATCCATGTGGTATGTATCAATCCAGCTCATTTCATGTCATACGCAAAAAAAAAAAAAAAAAACGCATCAGTGCTTTACTTACTCGTTACAATGATCATCAGGGCTGCATTCCGTGACCACCCTGGCAGCAAAGTGGTTTACATTGCGCCAATGAAGGCTCTGGTCCGAGAACGTGTAGCGGACTGGAATAAGCGTGTTACTCGTCAAACGAACAAGAAGCTAGTGGAGTTGACAGGTGATGTCACGCCTGATATGAAAACCATTGAAGAGGCCGATATCATCATCACCACACCTGAAAAATGGGACGGTATCAGTCGAAGTTGGCAAACTAGAGGCTATGTACAAAAAGTATCTTGTGTCATCATTGACGAAATTCATTTACTTGGTGGTGACCGTGGTCCCATTCTTGAAGTCATTGTTTCTCGCATGAACTACATTGGATCACAGCTTGATCGAAAGGTTCGAATCATTGGTCTTTCTACAGCCTTGGCAAATGCAAGAGACCTTGCCGATTGGTTGGGTATTCAAGAAGTTGGGCTATTCAACTTTCGCCACTCAGTGCGTCCAGTACCTCTGGAGGTATACATTGATGGCTTCCCTGGCAAGAATTACTGCCCACGCATGGCTACTATGAACAAACCAACGTATGCAGCCATCAAGACACATTCACCAAAGCAGCCTGTAATTGTCTTTGTTTCTTCTCGCCGGCAGACGAGGTTGACTGCACAAGATTTAATTGCATACTGCGGTATGGAAGATAACCCAAGACAATGGCTTGGTGTTCCAGACGACGATATGGAAATCATATTGAACAACGTTCACGACGAATCATTGAAGATGTCACTAGCCTTTGGTATTGGTCTTCATCACGCTGGTTTGACCGAAAATGACCGTAAAATTGTCGAGGAACTCTACTTGAACCTCAAGATCCAAATCCTGATCGCTACCAGTACCCTTGCTTGGGGTGTCAATTTCCCAGCGCACTTGGTCGTGGTGAAAGGAACTGAGTACTACAACTACAAAGTTGGCCGATATGTCGATTATCCCATCACAGATGTTCTGCAAATGATGGGAAGAGCTGGTGAGTACAGAATAATACAACGCGTGAAGCGCAAGATGCAACGAAGGTTGGGTGAACAAATTGGCTCATTGATTCAATCCTACAGGTCGTCCTCAGTTCGACAATACTGGTATCGCAAGAATCTTTGCACATGATACTAAGAAGAATTTCTTGAAAAAATTCCTTCACGAACCGTTCCCTGTCGAATCCAGCTTGCACAAGTTCATGGATGACCATATTGATGCTGAGATAGTGGCCGGTACCATTACATCGAAGCAAGATGCGCTAGATTACTTGACTTGGACTTACTTTTACAGACGTCTACAGCAGAATCCTACCTATTATGGGTTAGAGGACGCTAGTCAAGATGGTGTGAATGCTTTCTTGTCGCAAACTATCAATGATGTTGTGGGTAGACTGGAAGAATCTGGATGCGTTGAAGTCATTGACGGCTTTGAGCTGGCCCCCACTACCTCAGCTCGAATTGCGTCATACTACTATCTTCGACATCAAACGCTTCGACTCTTCCGCCAAGAGATCAAGCACGACTCCCCCTTTGAGGATCTATTATCGATTCTGTCCAACGTTCCGGAATACAGCGAACTGCCTGTTCGATGTAACGAAGACCTTCTCAATCGAGAAATCGAAAAAGATGTTGTCTATCCTGTACAGTCCATGGATTCATACATCAGCCCCCACGTCAAGGCATATGTTTTGCTTCAAGCTCATTTCGCTCGACTACCTCTTCCCATATCCGACTATATCACCGATCAGATTACGGTCTTAGATTCTGCTATTCGTTTCTGTCAGGTTCGTTTAAGGGGGTTTTTTTACAACTGCTTAGTCGTGCCTTAGTCTTTTTCTTGCTTATGTTGATATCTCTTATTGTATTATAGGCTATGATTGATGTTGCCGCAGACACTGGTTTGCTCACAACAAGTCTCACCGTCATGAATATGCTGCAATGCATCAAGCAAGCTCGATACTTGCATGATTCAACCCTCTTGACCTTACCTGGAATTCAAGAATACATGCTGGACAAGATAAAGCATAAGGGACGTGTCATTCGTAATATTGCTGAATTGACGGAATTGAGTCCTGCCGAAATTCAAAAGATATTCCAGAATCTGCAACTTAGCAAAGATCAGATCAGAGCGGTAAGTTGGATCAAATTGGTGTCGTGTGAGCACCTTCAGTATACTAATTAGCTGCACAGATATCTGTCATGGTATCGCGATTGCCAGTTTTGAATATTCAGACCAAGGTTGATACTCAGAAGTCGTATCTGATTCCGGAAGCAGAATACAAAATCAAAATTGATATACGACGACTTCCTCGATCAAAAGGACCCCACGACGGTCGTATTCATTCCCCATTCTTCCCCAAACCCCAGTACGAATCTTGGTGGTTAGTTCTAGGTGATACCCAAACCGATGAGCTCTTAGCGCTGAAGCGTATTAGTATGCGAAACGGACCGAATGAGACTCTGGGTGAAAAGGCCAGCACCTCGTTGACCATAGATGCCCCTGCTCGACTTGGCAAACATGAATACACTCTTTTCGTTATGAGTGACGGCTACCTTGGTCTCGACCAAATTGTTACCGTTCCATTTGAAACTAGAATGGATTTAGATTCGTAGAGTGGAGTTAAATGAAGTGGGGTGCAGCATTACTTAGCTGTACGTGATAAATGTGTACTATACTCCTGAAATAAAATCAGATCTGTACTTTCTACGCATTTGTTTTATTGCCGCGTTTACCGAGATTTCGCGAGTAGGTAAAACCAATTACTCTACTCATATCAAACTAGATTACAAGCTCACACCATCAATGCCAATGTGTTGAAAACAGAAATCTATTGGAGAAAAAATGCGAAAGCCATTTCATTGCACGACGAAAGTACTTTCTGAAAAGTGTATACTTTACAAATAGGAGTAAGAGCATTTAACGATAATAGAATAGTTGTGGTTATGTAAATGTACAATGGAAACATCCATGTTTTAAACTCTTGGAGGATAGTAGCCATTGCGACCAGCGCTTTGTGAATAGTAAGGGTCATTGACGTTTCCCATTTCATACGATTCATGTTGGTAAGTGTTATCGTACTGATGAGCTTCGTGACCAAAATAGTTTGAGTCCGATTCATGTAGCGATGGTGAGCTGTATTCGTTGAACTCTGGGGCCATCAAGGGTCGATTGGCAGAATATGGGTCTTCATGATCGCTTGGTCGTCGAGACGGCTGGTATGTTTGTGGTTGCTGGTATCGCATGGCTGGCGTGTTGGCTGACATCATGGGTGTCGACATAGGATATGGAGTCATATCGTACTCGTTATATTTGTAAACGCCGTCCAATCCTTCTGCTCTATCATCGATATCCAATTCATTTTCAGGAATGGCTTGGAAGCGAAGATCATGCGCATCACCACGATTGATAATGCTCATATGCTTCACACTCTTCTTCCTAGTCACTTTACTTGTGAAACTCTCTTGTATTCCACGCATTTTGCCAGCAAAAACTTGTGGCAGTAGGTGCTGTGCGCGTTCGTGCACCATGGGCGTAGGCAACTCTGCAAAAAAAGCTGGGTTACCGAACCGGATGCCGATGCGGTTGCGACGGGAGATGGTTGCGCCTGGTCCATCTACGCTTGGAATGCTTTGTTCTTCGGATGCAGGTACTTTATAGTAGTACACGTAAGGGTCGAATCGCTTGCTCAGGACAATTTTGTAAATGATCGTTATCACAGGTAGCGGGCAAATGGTGTACGTTTGAATTGTGGCTGACTTGAAATAGAGAATCAAAATCATGATCAGTTGGAACAGAACTGTGGACGCGAGCATACGGTTGATGATCACTCGGAAGATTTGACCACCAGTTTCTGTCTTGGTTGTAAAGATATACCTGTTGATAGTAGGCCTTGGGTTAAAGCGGAGGATCTGAGATCAGACACCGAAGTAGCAAACTTACATTAGAAGATATCTGAAGACCACAGTAGCAATGAAAAAGTAGAACAATGTGAAAGGTAGGATAAGAGGAGCGATCACGGAGTAGACAAGCCCGACAGTAAAGAAGAACAGAAGTAGATTGTACGAGAGCGAATAGTCAAAGTTCGGAGGTCTTGTGAACTCTCTCAACTGGCGCGGACTTGGATTGAAAAACCATTTTCTACAAGTTTGACAACTTGATGAGCACTCACTTTTGGAAATTCGCACCTTGTGAAAGTACATACCTGAATGCAACGTAAAGCAAAGAAAAAATTTGTGCCAGATCCAGTAAAATACCCAAACTCCTCTGTTAAATGCACCAAACATAACGATGAGTATACTAGGAATACAAGTACCAATGAATGAAAATGCTTTGAACAAAACGGGCACTTACCAAAGTCACGTAATTGGTCCAGTATGTGCTGACATCTATGATTGAAAAAGAAGTTACGGTGTCAGTAAGTGTGAAAATCAGTTGAAGTTAAATAGTCAAGTTTTTGCCTAATGCTTAGTACACTTACTTGCTAAACTTTTAGCCAAAAGATTGAGATTCTGACGCATAAGAGAAATGACATTGATGGTATCTCCACTGTTAACCGATGCCGAAATCTTTGTGTAGAGGTTCAAAATGGTGGATGCAATTGTGAACACCAACAAGTTGTTGATGATAAAGAATAGATAGAGTTTTCCCAATACTATAAGAAAAACCAAATGGTTCGAATTAATACTCAGACCATATTATCAGCAGTTGTTATGAATACTTGCCTTGACGATCTAGTGATGTCTTAGTAATATATCCTTGTCGTCTTGAAATGGCTCTGAGGATATGGGGCAGAATCAAGAAAAATAGAGCCATAACGAGAGGAGCAAACCAGGCTTCGACAAGAGATATAAAGAAGGGATTGGCTTTGGAGAACGCTTTGGAATTGGGGAAGAGATTGATCACGTTCTTGACGTTGGAACTGACAGAGAGGATACTTGTCGGCACAAACCATAAGATCAACAGTAAGTAGTAGATAACGTTCCAAAAAATCTTTTTACTTCGTCTGACAGCTTGCGACATGGCCATGTTGGTCCAGATAACATCATTGGGAGCAGGCGCAAGTCGAATGCTAGGCGAATTAAGGGCGCCGGTCTTGAACTTAGAAGGAACTCCGTTTCTCAGTTGCTTAGCGGCTGCGTGGGCCCAGCTAACACGAGAGAATGAAACCCAGCCATAGTTCTCGGGCTTTATGCCTTGAATGTTAGAGCGAATGTGTTCAATTTGCTCTTCGTAGGTCTGCACTTGGTGACTCAAATAGTCGATGGCATCCACCTTTCTACCTCCACATCCAAATTTTCCTCCAATGGTTTTCATGGGTCGGTTATTGGAGACTTTTCCATCCTTGAGATAGCTTGCCAGTGTGTTTTCCAATTCGCGGACAGCAGCTTCATGCTTTTCCATAATTTCGTTCAACATACCGCTTTTTCTTCCTACGGATGCTTGCTGAATTGGATACTTTGTACAGATTTGCTGCATCCACTTTCGTAGCTTTTCATCACTTTGAAGGCCTGCTGGTAAATTCATAACGAGCAGCGATTTGGATTGAACTGTAGCTTGATAATCCGTGCTTTCGAAGTATTGTTGTCTCATTTGGATGTATTCAGCGTAAGACCTCCAGATGACAAAATAAAGAATGCCGCTCATAATGTACGTTCCAGCCGTGTGGGCCCAAAACCACCTGGTTCAGGTATTAGCACGGAGCAATATACTTTATGATCAATTTCAGCCTACGTACCTCATTTCTCCTGTTTTGTCGTATGAGTTACCATAAGTGTTGATGGCGGTAAGGGAGAGAACGTTCAAGATGTTTGCTGTGGTTGGTGGCCATTGATCACTATGAAAGTATGAAGAAAAAAGATTGAGCTGCCAATGTTTACGCAAACAATAGACCCTCCAAGTCGATATATTACCCTGTCTGACTGGTGGCGGCAATGTTGATTGGAATCAATACAAGACATCCTACTATAGACAAGAAGTAGAAAATTCTTCGGAACATGCGCAAGCACCGAATGAACATGACAGCATCCCATCCGATGTTTCTGATCAATACATCATCTTTTACTTGTGCCACAGGTTTGACCCAGTCAAACAGACCCTTTCCAACCTTTGGAGGTCGCTTCCTACAGACGTACAAGCTGTCAGAAACGGTGTGCCGCAACGCCATTGACATCAACAAGTCACTTACCCTTCTTCTGCATACTTAAGTTTTGGAGCATATACCACTGGTAACGACCGGGATTGGTCAGTACTGTCCATGGCAACATTGAAGACACGAGCACGATGTTACTTACGGGAATGGTTAGGGCGTAGGATGTTGAAGGCTAAAATAACACCTACGGCTATAGCAGCGTTGATACCGAGCTGGGTAGCCAAACCAGTCAGGTCCATAGCACCGTTCGTATTTTCATTGGTAACCAGTGCGATTGGAAGGCCATTGTTGGAACTCATGCTGTTTTAACACGAACCAGTTACGAAAAGCGAAGCTGCACTCAATGTGGACGATCAAATTTTGTCTGCTTCCAAAAAAAGATTATGGGTCCCGACTCGTGTCGCACCTTGGGCCCAATCTGAGATAGAACGAAAGAATATAATGGAAAAGACTCTTATATTTACAATTAAAATAAGGACAATCTACTACTGGAAAACTGGTGGGCGATTGATCTTGTTACGTTGTAAGCGTAAAAACAGCCAATCTACAGCTTCCTGAACGCCGTGCCTGAGAGGAAAATACGGTTTGGAGTTAATTTTGCGTACAGTGACCACTTCTGAAACACCACCTTAATTAAAAAAAAAAAAACCCTTACCCTTCAAGCGCACTAATTGGTAGTACCCGGGAATCACGAGCTCCCAGCTTGAGAGCAATTTGATTGAAGACTTCTTTGATCTCCTCTACACGAAGAGCTCCTTCAATGTCTTGCTTGTTGGCCAACATAAGAATAGGAAGTCCTTCAGCATTGTCGTTCATGATAATTTTTTCTATAGAACTGAATTAAATTTGTGTCTTTTTCAATACTGGTCCTACCAGAGAGCTTATTCTACTTACCGAATGTCTCTTTACATTCTTCAATACGAGCCTTATCGGTAGAATCAACTACAAATACGATGGCATGACATTCTGTGTAATAATTGGCCCAGATGCTGTGTAGGTCCCTTTGGCCGCCAAGGTCCCAGAAATTTATTCTGGCTGATTTGATATCCACTTTGCAGACTAAAGTTTAGGTCAGTCACCGCCTTGCGTGGTCTAAGCTGCCTCCACCAAAATTATAAAGGGTCATAGAAAACTCACTGTTAAGTCCCACTGTTGGTGCTATTTTTTCCGGAGGCAATGCAGGTACTCCTAAGAAGAGGGCCTTAATACGCTCCAGCAAGGTCTAGTTCGAAATGGTGTGTTATCATCACACACGGTCTTCGGCATTCAACATAACAATGAATGTTAATTACCGTTTTTCCTGCATTGTCCAGACCGATGATCATGACATAGTATTCTTCTCTCCGAGTTAGGTACTTGTAAGTACCACTTAATAGGGTATACATGACTTTGGAGGTGGCTCCTAAACGCAGAACAGTGCGACCAGAGGCTGACTGTAGCTGAAGTGACCAGTCACGTGGCTACCTATTACAATCTCAGGCGTAATGTGTCCTTGATTGTCTAAGAAGAGCACTAAGAACAGTAGTAGTAGGAGAGCAAAAATTATAGAGCTGTGTTATTTCCTGACTTAAAACTAAAACACTATCAAATTCTATGCTCTCTGATATATCAACAATGATTAAAGCTAAATATTGGACTGTTGAAGCCAAGGACGACCAAACTGCAGTAGGTCAGGCTTTGTCCATTCGGTGAGCGTTTGCAATTTCTGTGGAAAGCTGCAAATAGTAGAGCTACCACGCAATTCCTCGATGAAGTCTTTCATCTTTGTATCTTAGACGGCCAATGCAAGTGAAGGTCGGATATACGGCGGATTTCTTTACCGTAACCTGCGCGATTAAGATGGTATTTCCCATATTTGGTAAAAAATGGAAGATGGTCCTTTTCGACGAGACACACTCTTCCCATCGGGGTTTCTCCCTCATGCCATTCGGACAGTAGATGTACCTTGATACGCCCTTCATCGTACGACATGTTCGATTGCTTGTGTGGAAATTGGCGTACTGTGGGACCGCAGTTTTGCTCCAATAAATCGCTCAAAGCAACCCTTATTACTGCAAACATGCTGCGATACTACCTTTGCTGTACGCTCTTAAGGGGGTGTTCATGTCAAGCATTGATCTCTTCAAATCTATGTAACAGCATTTTTCTGCCTTGTACATCTGTTTCAATTGAAGAGGAAAAGTCCTTGAAAGTAATTGTAAAACTGAACATTGTGTTGTTCTGCTATTGATTTGGTAGGTTTAGCGGTCATTGACCAATGGCCACTTTGGTGGCACAGTACAGGACAAAGAAAATTGAGCCATTTTAGCTTACTGCATTAATTCTACTTACTGCCTTGCAGTAGATTTTGTCGCCGCGTTCTTTACGTTGAAAACATTATAAATACCAGTACCAAAATGCTTTTATTCACTACCCAATATCCTCAGCTAATCACATTGGCGAAACTATATTTTCAACTCACATTTATGGAAAAATTCTTGCAAGAACCGCCATAAAGGTAAATTTGATTTGGTTGGTGAGATACCATTGGATCGTGATATTGAATTCCTTGTTGACTAGATCCCTGTGGAATGCCAAAATGCAATACACTTCAACTGAATTGAAGAGACCGATCACTGAGAGCATTGATGTAGCTCAATATGTAGATAAAAGCAACGGTGAATTAAAGATGAATGACAAGGACGGGTTTGTGGAAGGTACGAAAGTCTTTTTCAACAGAAGTGGTGGGACTGTATAGGCGCCGAAGGTTTTTGGTCGTCATAATCTAACGATATATTTCAACTATTGCAGTGATTGTAGCTAAGCCAGAGGAAACTTTGGCGCATTCTTGTTCTGCGATGAAATACATGTTCAGCATCCTATGTCTTCCTGGTGCCAGACAAGGCATTGAGATTGCGGCACCCACGCAAACAACTTCCAAAGATGCTGAAAACGATATGCACTACAAGCGTGGGTTAAAAGCAGGCATGCTTGACCGTTGGCTTGACGCTATTGTCGAATTTTCCGGTTCCGCATACATCTTCTTCTTTATAATGGCTGCTCTCTTCACTTGGGTTTTTATGGGCATCCCTTTCGGCCATTCAAACTATTGGCAAATCGTCATTTCTGACTCGCAGGCAATTCTTAGCTACATCTTTGATTCTCTACTTATGCGTCAGCAGCTGAATGGCTATATATCAAACTTGGAAGTGTCTGCCTGTTTGCGATCTCGGTGCGCTAGCCACAAAAGGATGTTGCGCAATTTGAATGCAGCTATCGACTACAAAGAAATAGATGGAGTTAAGGTCGATGAGTTTGCAACTCGTCTTCCTCCTGAGAATTGGTTCGGCAGAATCTGTACTCGGGCTTCTTTCTTTCTTGGTCACATCTTTACCGTTGTAATATTTTGGATTGGCATTATCATCTGGCTTGGATTTGGGCAATACTGCGGCTGGAACAATGACTGGCAGCTATATATCAACTCTGCTACATCGGCCATGATGGTTCTGTACTTCTCTTTCTTGGCAAACATCAGAGAACGTCATAGCAGATATAGCCGTATGTGCGTAGATTTGATTTATCAAGCTGATTCCGCTCTTGAATACAAGTTGAGAGTTTTGACTGGCGATGAGACTCCTAATCAGCCGATTATCATACAAGGACTCAAGGTCGGCAACATACAGAGGGCAATCGACTATTATGCAGACCTCGTTGGAACTCTCTCTGGTATAGCCATCCTTATTATAGTGCTCATCATATGGATAGCCGTCGGCCCTTTGATGTCCTTTAGCGACAATTGGTGGCTACTAATTGGAACATATACAGGGTTGATTGGTATGAACGATGGCTTTGTTCTAAGGAATATACACCATGTCCTCAGAGTGCACGAAGATATTCAATTCGAAGAAGTTTACATGGAAGATTCTGAAGCATTTTCAATTATCAACCTAGCTCAACCCAAAGATGGCCAATTTTCAAAGCGCTCGTTCAGCACCAGACTTTCCTTGGCAGTTGGCAATGTTTGCTCTAGCGAATACATGGTCATTGCCGGTACTGCTACTATGATCGGTCTTATCATCATTTCCAGCTCAATGAACTGGAGCTTGACAGGTCAACTCATTTCGAACGTGCCTCCAAACATCATTGAGACGTTCTTCATGATGATCCTTATCACAGGACATAATGATTTTGAAACCAAGAGACGCGAAGACCTTCATAACATTTATGCAAAGCGATTGAAGCTGCTATCTTACGTTGATACCTTGATGTGAACCAGCCTTCTACACGAAACTGATAATAAAGCTATGAAAGCACTGAGATAATAAGATATCGTTGAAAAATATGATGATGTGTTGCATATTCTTGAAATGAAAATGATTGAGTTAACAATAAGGTTAGTTAGGGGTTTCAGTCGGCGGAGGTTGCTGAATTATCGATGATTGTAATATCTGAAGGGTTCTCGACATCCACCAAGAAAATGAGTATCTCAATTCACAATATGATTATAAAGGCTTGCCGCACTGTTTTTTATTTATCAGACAACAATTTTGTGCACTTCAAATGTTTGACATTCTTGCGCAACAATCGGGATCATTCTGGGAAGTTCAAACATCAAGAGTATGTAACTCCGCTGCAACCGAGGATGTTCAGCCAAAAAAAAATCTTTAGTTTCTCACAGGAAAGTTATCTATCTTCTTTCACACTTCGTTCCATTATCAGTTACTGCTTTGTCATCTTACTTCCTCCTTTGCATATCAATTATGTCTACCGAGAGAAGTGATACTGAGCCTCTTCTTGGTAAACAGAAGCAGCAGCAGTATGGAGCATCTACCACCGAGCATAGTGCCGAATCCAGCGACAGCGAAATAACGATTATCACAAGCACAGCTGCCGTACCCAAACCAGATGATACTTTACCCAGTGGATCCAACATTGTATTTGTATTGATGGGGTAAAGCTCGATAACTTGCTGTAGTGGAATATAACACTGAGGTTGCTAATAAAGTTGTCAATTGACAGCTTGTGGATGGGCGTATTCCTTAGCTCCTTGGACAGCTCTATCGTCAGCACAATTCTCACAAGGATAGGAAGCGACTTCAATAGGTAGTTTAACGCACCGTCTCTTGTCAATGTGGACTACATCATTAATCAACCGTACCAACCCAACAGATACAATGACGCTGTATGGGTGGCAACTTCATATCTCATATCATATACAGCCCTCCAACCTCTATGTAAGTCAAGTTGTTGCCGATTCCATTGCGTGCTTTGGTTACGGGCTTTCAACCTTGGCCATTCGAGTCATTCTCCGCCGCCTAATCTATATCCGCCGTTTTTACAGATGGGCGAATCAGCGATGCCATAGGACGCAAGAATACTTTACTTTTTGCCAGCAGCACTTTTTTCATTGGATCTTTGCTATGTGGTGCAGCACCCAATTTTTGGTTCCTTGTAGCTGCTCGTGTTGTAGCAGGTATTGGAGGTGGAGGAATGAATACTATGTCAAGTATTGTTACCAGTGACCTGGTTTCCCTCCGAGATCGCGGAAAGTAAGCCGGACAAACAATTGGCTACCCATCACACTTTATCTTCACAGGGCACTAACAATTATAACCTTAATTTTTTGCTTTATCTTCCCTTTTGCAGATATCAAGGATACGGTAACTTGAGCTACGCAGTGAGTGTGGTTTCACGACAGCATCTGCCTTTCTTCTACACCGATCTATGATTACTAATGCCCATTACTTTAGCTCGGTAGTGTTATTGGTGGTCCATTAGGAGGTAAGCAAGTTCAAAGGGTGCGAAAGCGTTTATAACATGACCTAATGGGCGTGCACTAGGCTTTATCACCGACTATTATAACTGGAGATGGACATTTTATATCAACTTGCCGCTACTCTTTTTGACCTTCTATGTCACTGGGGTTCACATCAAGAATTACAATGTTAAGCGTGAGGCGGACGGATCGTTCCATTACCTGAGTAAGCTTCGCGAGGTCGACTGGGTTGGTGCCGTTACGCTGGTGATCTCTGTCGCACTATTTATGCTAGCCACGTCCTTGGGTGGTAATTCACTCCCTTGGTCACATCCTTTGGTTATCGGCTCACTTTCTGGATCGGCTGCGGGAGTTATTTTGTTTACTGTCGTAGAGGCAAAGTATGCAAAATATCCCATCATGCCATGGCACATCATCACTCAACGCACTCCTCTTGCTTCATCCTTCACCAATTTTTGGTCTCTTATGTGTAGTATGAGTTTGGTTTTCCTTGTACCCCTCTACTTTCAAAGTATTCTTGGATTTTCAGCTTCCAAAGCGGGTGTGTATATGCTACCCAAAATTTTAGCCTCTTCAGCTGGATCGTTGATCGCTGGTTATTATATGTCACACACTGGTCGCTACAAAGGATTCTGCATATGCTCTGGTATATCGCTTATTCTTGGTGCTGCGATCATCACTTCTTGGACACCGCAATCTAGTGCTTGGTGGATGGCCCTCGGTAATATTCTAGATGGATATGCCCTTGGTAGCTTGCTTACTACTACCCTGGTCAGCCTGTTAGCGGCTGTAGAAGTTAAAGGTATGGTTTTCAATGCGACTGAAAAAATGAAGATGGACTCTATAGCTAATGGATCTCTTCTTTTTTTTTACATGAAAGATTCCGCTACTATTATATCTATTTCTTATTTATTCAGAACAACTGGTGGTGTTCTGGGTGTTTCAACCTGTCAAGGCGTCTTCCAAGCTGTTCTTAAAACTCAGCTAGTTGAAAAGGTCAAGGTACCCAATGCGGCTGAGATTATTGACGCTGTTCGCAAGTCTGTGTCTGTAATTTGGGAGTTACCTGAAGACGTTAGAGAAATGGTTTTGGAGGCGTATCTCATCGCCATCAAGTATGCCTTTTCTCTGACCATTGTGTTTGCTGTATTGGCGCTGGTCAGTGTCAGCTTTGTCGAGAGACTCGAGCTCACCACTAAAGTTCGCAAATAGATCCAAGTTGCTTGATTGTGGAACTTACAGTTAACCTTAAATGCTTTTAATGAGCCCAATAAACCCTATATATCCCATGTATGCAAAACGGTCGCGTGTAGTTCAGTCTTTAAACTCTGCAAATGAATCCATAGTTGTCTCGGTAAAGGAATAATGGTTGAATACAGGTTTATTTTACAATCTGCTCTAGATGACGTGAAAAAGGGTTCTATGACACTATTCGACTTTTTTTTTCTTTAGATCTTGTAGTTGGTCTCATCGATGGCTTGGTGGAGATATTGCTTTTTGCCAGAGCCATAGTCACCAGCGGCATTACCGTTACCGTACACCCGATACTTGTAAATAACCAAGCCTTCCAAGCCCACAGGGCCACGAGCATGAGTCTTGTTAGTCGAAACCTACAGATCATGTATGTTAGTTGACATCCTTTATATCAATCCAGCAATCGTAGATAACTTACGCCGACTTCAGCACCAAAACCATAACGGAATCCATCAGCAAATCGAGTACTTGCGTTCCAATAGCATCCAGCAGCATCAACTCGCGCCATGAAAAATTCTGCTACGGATGCATCTTCAGTGATGATACAATCTGTGTGCTTGGAGCCGTGCTCAATAATGTGATCAATCGCCTCAGAAACGTCTTGGACGACTTTGACGGCAATAGTCAGGTCAAGGAACTCAGTGTCGTAATCCTCATCAGTGGACTTAGAAACCTGTTCCTTGAATTTACTATCAACGTTTGACAGGGCATTGTATGTAGCTGTATCACATCGAAGAGAAACACCGGCGTTCAAGAGTGCAGTTGCAACAGCAGCGAATTTATCGGATTGCAAGAGGTCTTGGTGCACAAGAAGAGTTTCAGCTGAGTTGCAAGCAGCTGGGTAGTTGGTCTTCGGTGTGGCAAAAAAAAAATTAGCGTCTAATTTTCATGTGGGGAAGGAACCAACACCTTATAGATACAAACCTTGGAATCAACAACAATCTTCTTTGCCTTCTCAATATCAGCATCCTTGTCAACAAACAGAGAGCATAAACCATCAGCATGACCCAAGACAGGGATTCTAAACAAAACAGAGAGATATATCAGTCATCTTCTTTGCCCCTGCTTTCCCGTCATTGAAAATGCAAGATCCTTTACCTGGTATTGTTCTGAATATATTTAACAAGGCTGTTGCTTCCACGAGGAACAACCATATCAATGAAGCGATCCAATTCCAATAACGCGCTGATATCTTCTCTGGTCTCGACAATCTGAACGGCTTCTTTGGGAATAGACGAATCAGCAGGAAGGCTGTTCAAGGCGTCTTGAATGACCTTGGCAAGGACAGCGTTTGTGTGCGATGCTTCCTTTCCTCCCTTCAGAATAACAGCATTACCCGATTTAAGAGCAAGGCAAGAAATGTTGACGACCACTTCGGGACGAGCTTCGAAAATGGTGAGTAAGACGCCAACAGGTACAGAAACACGGTACAATTCTAAATCGTCATCCAACTTGGTAGCTAGACTGACTCGCTTGGTAGGGTCAGGAAGGTGAGTGATATCCTCAACTCCAGAGAGAATAGAGTCGAACTTGTCTCCATTGCAGATATCCAAGCGCTTAAATAAGGAGCTGCTAAGCTTTCCCTGTGCTACTTGCTCTTCAGCCAGCTAATTGAACAATCCTGTTTAGCAACCTAAATCCAACCATATGGTTCCTTCGAAAAGCAAAGTAACTACGCACCTTTTTGTCAACCTCATTGGCTTCGAAAATCTCGGCCTTGCGCTCAGCCAAAACTTGCTTAATTCTCAGCAAAGCTTCATTCTTTTGTTTATCAGTTACAGACTGAAGAGCAACAGAGGCTTGTCTGGCAGCTCTTGCGGTTTGAACAATGGCAGAATCGGAGGACATGTGGAATGTGAGTTAAAGTGTAGCAAGCACCGAAAAAAAAAAGCAGGTCCCTTATGTGGTAGTCATAATCAATCAATCAGTGCGCCGGAGTTTGAAGTGGCTCAAACGTCATTTCAAACCCTGCCATATCACTACTAGCGTGGAAACCTTTAATTGCTTCCGTTGTATTCATAAAGAAATAAATCTCACGAATATGTTTATAAAGCCGCAAACAATGCTGGGTCTAGCTATCCTAAAAACAGCTTATCTAATCAATCATCTTGAAACGATGATTTGAGTATTTCCCAAAAATCTCGCAATGATGGCCTAAGAGAGAAGAAGGTATTAGTAGAAAGTATTATCTACGTAGATTGGCTTATCAAGATCTTACCTATTGTCAGGTAACATTGGATACTAAGAAAAAAAGTTAGACACAAACTTATGATAAACTCAATATCTTCACATGATTACCTGTAATTTTGGAATAGGTTTGATGGGTTCGCCGTATAGGAGGCAGGTGAGCACATAAGTTGAAAAATAGTGCGCACTGAGTCTCTTCCACAACAGCATGTATTGAAAGAAAATGGCACCAAAAGGAATCGGTAAGTTCTGCACGGATAAACGGGTTACTATACCATAGTATGGCTTGCTGTAGAGAATTTCAGTAAACCTACCCTCACGTAGATGTAGCTGCCTTGCAAGCAGCCCATACTCTTCTGTAAGATACCATTGGTGGACGTTCGTTTCGAATCGGTGGAATTCTGTCGCAGTACCTCTGATTTAGGTGTATCGTGGAAGTGCACAGACCGCTGCTTTGGTCTATGGCCTCTGGTAGGTTTAGTAGGTGTGGGGGTCTGAACTTCATTGGCAGGCACCGCTTCAGGCTTCTGTAGCATTGCTTGCTTCTTCCACGCTTGGGCAATATTTAGTCGTTGCCGATTTAAGAATCGAACGAACCTTCGCTGCTTGATGAAAAGATCTGGCTGGCAAACCTCGAAGGTGAGGCCGCCTATATTACGGTTACTATCGTGTATATGCATACAGTACATACTACTATAATGCAGAGAGTCTCTTACCTGGTAGCCTTCCTGGATCTTTGATTCGTAGCATAATAGCAAAGAGCGGAAAGTGGTTGAAGAAAGCTAACAGCGTTTCCATTATTGCTTGCGAGAAAATGATACCTACCCGCCCCTGAAAGTTACCGTTAGCATGGGACACAGGCAATACCATGGACCTGTGGGCAAGGGAACGTACCGAAGCAAATGTCAAATAGTATGATAAGACGGTAGGGAAAAGAAACATCAATAAAGTAAAGAGACTTGTTCCCAACAACAATTGGTCCAAGTCATAGTCACAGGAGTCAATGCGATGCCTGAGCACGTTACGTTTCTTTCCTGAGTATGCCGGTGGAATCAGCCTAGAAGTCAACGTCGCTGAAGCTGTATCAAAAACCACATACCTCTGAACAGATTGAATAGCGAGTATAAAATAGTGAATTGCCAATTAAAGATGCGAGCGGCCACCATGTAAAACCAGTATACATGTAAGGTCATGAACGCCAGTAGATCCGATGAAAGAGATATTATCATGCTGACACCGAATATGCCGGACATCCCAATCACTTTAAGTATTAATGGCGTAGTTGGTCGAATGTTTTGTATGCACACTGCAACAGATGTCTGTTAGCGTTTTCTATGGATATACATCGTCGTCACATTTTAAATGATATTCTCCTTACCGATCCATAATCGGATCAACCATGAGAACAGCTCACTCAAAAACTTTCCAAGTTCGTCATTTAGTTTCAGACCTCCTGGTGACCTTAACAGCCAGTCCATCATCATTTGTAGTGGGTCCACGGTATATCTCTGAAATAAACATTATCAATGTTGGATGCAGGGTACTACTAGGAACTAGTATGGCGACTTACATTCAGTATGTCATGTAAGGTTATTGATACTTCATAACTGTTGTTGATTAAGAACGACCCCACAGTGACGCCAATGATGATGTCGTTGGCAATTAGCCACATACTGTTGTAAAAACTTCAACCAGAAAGCAAAACTTTAGAAAGAATTTTGAAAATGTGATGAAAGTTCGGTTGCATACCTTATATATTGCGCTCTTGTTGCTGCAGTGTTCGCCCATCGCCTCTTTCGAATTAACATATACTGACCGGGCCAAAAGCAGAGCTGTTGCAATCGCAAGTCAACTTGTAAGGCTGGCATAAAAAGTTAGTAAAACGACCATTACTGACATTATGCTGAATTCATTACCAGATCCTTACCTGCAGCAGACAAGTCCTTCAAAGCAACACCATTGAGAATCCATTTTGGTAATTGAAGGTTCAGAACATACAGTATGATCTCAATGACAAATCGTACTACAAAAAGAAGACCCATGCCGGGGCCAATGATGAAGGATCGTAGTGCCTGCACGAGGGAGAATATTGGATAAAATATATACACGAAGATTGCTTTGATTTGTTGTGCGAAACTCATGATGGCAGACAATATCATGGTGTGAGTTCGCTGAGCCTCGGTGGCGGCTGTTGTTAATTGCTTGATGCCTTTTTCTAAATAGAATGACGAATTTATCTAAACTCATATGTTAGACCCTCCAGCTGACTTCAAGGCACAGTTATAGCAAAGACACATACTTGATCTAGGGCAATACGTATATTGCCATCTTCCACATCCAAGCCATCTTCATCCATGTTGCTGCTTGCCATAATTCTGGATTGTTCAACAATTTTTTTAACATTCTTGATAACTCCACACTCTGATTTACTCAATGATGTTGTGTCGATGTCATCGGTGGCATATGCAAGCTTTCGCGACGTCGCTTTGGCGGATAGATCAAGTACAAGAGGATCCAGTGCCAGATACTGCAAGTATTCGGGATTGGGTTGATCATAAAAAATTATTTCCACTGAAGTTTGTCTATCGCTTTGTTCGTTTTTGTCATATATAGATCTACAGTTTGACAATCAATAGGCAATTTGTGACTTTGATAACATCAAGATTATAGCCTTACCTGATTTCTGGTAACATTTCAGAGTTCAGAAATATTGACAGCCAGAAATCTTCGTTTCCTACAAATGCTGGTTACTAAAACTTCGTCTTTTCAATAGATGTCATAGTGCATCAGCGTACCTGGCTTAGGGTAACTAAGGTGATTAGATTCGCTGTTGGCAAGGACTCCTAAGACAGTCGGTGCAGGATGTGATGGACTTGATTTACTATCTCCGTCCGTTGCAACCGGTGGTAGACAGCGTGATAGATAGCTTGATAGCTCAGATATCTGATAGGAACGTTTGTTTAGCGACGGGCGCGAATGTCTGTACGGTGGCATTCCCGCAACCACCTACCGACAAGTTTTCACAAACTGTAGCGACACAAATAGTGCGCCCCGAGTTGCTCCATCCTACCAAGTACCCGTTCCTCGGAACTATAGAGGTACATACATGAGATGGCCATAGCAATTTCACCGTTCTATACCTCGCATCGGGCATGAGGCGATGGTCTTTATAACGGTTCCAGTAACAAAAAGCTGCACGTTCATTTTCAATGAGTGGTGAGGTTAAGACCCCGATGATCACGTGCATAAATCGATATTCAATGCTCAACTTCAACACAGAAAGTTTTACTCTCTCAATCGTTTCAATACAACATGGCATCGAATGTTTCGGGCATTGTAGGGGATGGTGACGAACGGTATATACCAGGATCTCGAAGACCCGATGGAACACTTAGAAAAGAAAGAAAAGTTCGACCTGGATTCACGCCTGCTGAAGATGTAGTACGATACAGCAACTCGCGCATAGAGGCGAGCAAACCTAGCCAATATCCTCCAGGGTATACTCCCAAAACAAAGCCAGAAACATCATCTGTGGCCAAAAAGAAAGCGAATAAGGTGGAAAAGGTTGATTCAGGCGCTGGTCAACCCCGTCTTCAGGAACCTAAATCCAAAGACGCACCAGTCTCAACGTCTTCAGCTTGCCCCGCGTCTTCTGCAGCAACTGAGAAGGAGAAAAAGATCAAGGCACTTCAGAAGAAGCTTAGACAAATTGACGAATTGAAGGCTAAACAAAATAGTGGTACATCGCTTAACGCAGAGCAATTAGACAAGATCACCAAAGCCAAATCATTGGAGGAAGAGTTGAGCAAATTGAAGATATGAGCTGTCGGCGATCCCACTTGTATATAATTTTGACTTTTTCGCTTTTTTTCAAGATTTATTTGCATCATTGTTGCAATTGAATAACTTTGGGTTTGACAATAAATCATCCGACATCAAAGTTACAGAAGTGTTGGTGGTCGTGACGAAGGCAGCGATCACCACAGATTATAGAGTTTTGGATGCCTCTTCGTGTAGTAATACATATTCTCTCGTGCTGTCCCCAAATTTAAGCACATCGCTCAACTTGAGCTCAATATAACGAGTATCTGGTATCCTGTCACCATTCAAATGCGTTCCGTTTGTAGATTCCAGATCGATGATAAACGGTCTGCGTTATAGCGTTAGTACACAATGCGTCAAAATGTTGTCTTCAGCAAGACACTTACTTGACAACTCGCCGGACTTGACCATTCGTTTCATTCTTCTCGTTAACAGACCGAAACTGTAACACTGCGTGTTGCTTGGAGCAAGAAGGATGATCTACGGGTATGTCGGCAACCTATGGAAGAAAAACGAAGAGATTGCAAAAGTGATCTATTAATTTTCAAACCACAGATCATCCACAGCTTGTCTCAAGTCTATCTTACTTACCACTCGATCTCTACCAAACAGATATGCACTCTTACGATGTATGTGGAGAACATCTGTCACAATGCAACAGGTTAGCAGACAGCGCCGACTTTCAAAACTCGGGTGCATTATAATTACCAATTTGCTTGTCTCCCTTGAATACATAGAGTCTCCATTTTTTAGTTGGTTCTCGTGCTTCCGCAGGTTCAACGTATTTCAATTCAACACCTTTATAAGTGTTCGTTTCAGCAGCAAGCTTCCCGGATAAACCAAAATTAGCTTCTGCTTTTTTGACGGGTACTTCCGGCTCCTCCTCCACTTTGTTGTCCTCTGGTTTTCCCCATTCGTACTTTTTGGGCCCACCGGATGATCGATTCTTATTTTGTGCAGGTCGTCTTTGTCTCTCTCTGGAGCGTGATCGCGATCGAGACGCATTTCTTCGCTGGGGTGACCTTGAGCGAGGCGATCGGGCATATGGAGATCTAGAGCGTGAGCGTGAGTTGTATTGCCGATCCCTTCTAGGATAGTTATCTGAAGAACGTCGATAACGGTCTGGCGACCGAGAGTTTCGTCTGCGTGCTGATGGACTTGGGCTTCTAGGCATTGGTGAAGTTTGCACAACTTGGGGCAGCAGAACGTTGAAGGTTGTTAATCACAAATTTCTAGAAATCGCGAGTCACATGTCCGAAATCCAGCTGGTGAGGCAAGCGTGCCAGTTGTTCAGACCTTCATTACTCGCTGGGCTTTGCTCTACGTACGAGTCACTAGCGAAACATTGATTAAGGTATTATCGGTCCTAATTCTAGGCCTATCGCTAACATAATTGGCACATTTCTTATTTCACGATAAACAGTACAACCAATCATCATGCAATAACATTCTCCCGGCTGAATCTGACATTGGTTCAGAACTACTGCAGTAACAGACACTGAAACTACAATATTATGCTCGCAGATGTCAATAAATCAAAAGAATTTGTGCCAATTTCTGAATGGCTGCACCCCTTAAGTCATGCCATCAAGCTTATATTGGTCACCCCTGAGCTCGCCCTATAGCATCTGTCAAACAGAACATTATGGCAGTAATGGCATAATTATTGTCCAAAGCAGGATAGATATCATAACCTGCTGCTGGTATTTGTGAGAAAAAGCGCGCAAACTGTACATTTCACATTCTATAACCCCAACACTCTGGTAGAAACATTGTTTTTGAAACTCTTGTGGCTTTCGTTGCGGTATTTCTGCACGTTCTATTTTTCGCCTCATGGCTAATTTATAGAAAACAAAAAAGTTTGGATTGACCATCTTTCATCCTTGTTCTTTTCCCTTGATGAAATCCTATCTTTTTATTACAGCCTTGGCCATAGCCTTTACCGCTTCGTATGCACAGTCTAATACGGCTGCTCCAGGTGAGTACAAACGGAATCTATTTTATTCCAGACCTCCTGGCTAACAATTTTATGACGTTTCGTGCTTCAAGGTGCGGTACCTACAACTGCCAGTACACCTTGGACCATTCTAAATATTGATGCCGGTGAGCGTGCCAATATTTGCCAGAGACAGATATCCTATTGCTCTGTAAGTACCATGTGAAGCTCGGTTTTGAAGCTGCTTGTATGAAAATCATGACAATTAAAATGTATTTGACTTCATAGACAATGTGCGGAAGCCCAAGTCAAGCTGCGACAAAGTAAGTGTTTCTATTTTAAACCCACAGTATAAAAATACATGGTCATCATTGACCGCCTTGCCGATTAAGCTTTTGCAATGCCACCTCTATGGCCTGGAACTGTGTGTGCACTGTAAGTTAACACTTTTAGTACAAACCTTGTTAGAATGACTTTTTACTTCTGACAACTGATGTAACATTTCACAAAATAGAACAGCAATAATGGAAGCAATGCTACCTATCTGGATCCTGTTTCGTTTGCTGAGTGCAATGGCAAAAGCATCGCTTGTTCAGCCGCATGCCCAGCTGACGCCCAACGTTCAACCTGTGTGCAGTCTTGTACAAACTTTTATTCATGCGGCACATCCAAGGCACCAGCAAGCTACTTGCAAACTGGTAATCAAAACGATACACCTGCATATAATGGTCCCCCGCCACCTGCATCGTCTTCTGCTTCACCATCCAGTGCCATAAACACTGCAACTACCACCATCATCAGCAAACAAAGTCTGGCCTACAAATTTGATGTCAGGTTTGAAATGGCTGGGTTCGCCGCTATCACAGCACTTCTTGCACATGCGATGTTGTAATGAATAATAATGGATATTACAACTATCGGTACCAAACATTATTATGTTGTACATGGAGGATACTTACTTTCTTCTTCAACTTCCTATCTCTTCTCATTGACACTGCGCCATTAACTGCTCCAGCTCACATATAACACCATTCATGCGCTTTTTCATCTCGATCTTTTTCGTTTATTAGTTTCATTGTTAAATCTGTGCACAAACTGTCTTCGTCTTTGAAAACATAAAAAAAAATTCAATTTTCATCATCTTCGTCAGACTCAATTTCCGTGACACGTCCATGGTTTTCTCTCATCGCCTTGGCAATAGGATTTTCCACGTCCACTACGCCAGTCTTTTTCAGTCTCTCGAACAAGACAAATAACCTTTCTGCTTCTCTTTCTTTTTCTTCATCTGTCATATCAGCAAATGATGGGCCATGGTCTTCTTCATCCAGAAACTGTCCTGTGATGGGGTTCACTTCGCGTGGACTGGACGAATCAGATTGTGCAGTTGGTGGAGGGTGAAGTGGTATGTTTCTGTTCATCAAGAATCCAATGGCGTTTCCATAACCGACTTTTTGACTTAATTTCGTTGCTGTTTATGGCATGGTCGTGTGTTATTTGGTTGTTTCTGATCTATCATGCATGTACCTGAAAACTTACCATCTTCGTCACATAAGACATAGAACAGATCGCACAGTGAGTCTTTGGTATGGGGTAATGCGGTGGACGTCATGAGTCGCACCAAACGAGCCGAAATATGATCACCCTTGTTGACGGGTTGGATGCGATCACTGACATTGGCTTGTGTTAGATCACATATGCGCTTACAAGACGATGAGACTCAAGACACGAACCTTTCACGCGGTAACAACTCCTTTGAAAGATAGTCTCGCGAAGATTTGTCATGCGCAGCCGCCCGTCGAAGGACCAGAAGCAGAGGAGCAATTGTATCATCTGCCTTTCTTTCTCGAAGCTGGTCGATGTTCTCTTCGGCATTGTCTCCAACAAGTTCCGGAACGGCTAAAGTAAGCGCTTCAGTAAGCTTAGCCACAACACCTTGGTCCCAATCTGACGTATATGGTACATGTAATAGTGCATGTATAGCATTCAACAGAGGGGATGACAAGGTATTGGTTGGTGACAGCGGGAAATCTCTGATCAGGCTCAAAATGCAAGAAATGCTTTGTTCAAACTTGTTGGCAAACTTTTTTTGTAAGAATTCCTCAGAGTTATTTTCATCAACCTTGGAAGTTTCAACAAGAGCCAAATTGAAGAACAATTTCAAAGCCTCAGTGATTATCATTTGTGGCGACACAGCAGATGGCGTTGTGAATTGTTTATCCTGCATTTCGCTTACCGCGAATTTTAAAGTCTGTATAGTTGATATTGATTGAGTTGTTTGGATATCTAACTTCTTCGGCTAGTTCATTGAAACTCACCTGAGCCAAACCAGATGCAACATCATAGTTGTCCACGAGTGAAGCCACAATCGATGGACGATCAACTGTGACGAAGAACAGGATTCGGACAGCCAGAAATCGACTCAACCCGGAAACGTCTGATTTAAAGAGAATGCCGGTACATGCTGGCGAACCATTGCTTTCAGCAAAGTAATCCTTTGTAGCACTGACAAGCAATAGACTATTCGCAATACACTTTAGGGCCTCAACACTGGACAAGCTTTCGTTATACTGGCCAGATGCTATATTAGCAGCCATGACGAGAGTATTCATTCCCTAAATATGCGTTAATAAAGGCACTCATAAGTTTTGAGATTTGCATTAGCTTACCTCCAGGGAGTACAACTGATCGCACCCGGATGGATTGCGGCCGAGCAGCTTTAGGAGCTCAAGAACTTGACTCCGCACTGGATCCAAACGAATAATTAAACATGAGAAGAAAATGAATCAACTTTGATGCATTAGATATCGTACCTTTATCATCCCATAATTTGGATATATCCTCGCTCCTAAGGTCAACTAAAATTGTCTCTACCAGTCTCTGTTTCGTATTCAGGTCCAGCCCTTCAACTAGCAAATAGTTAGCGTCGCCCTCATTGCTTTCAATGTTTTAACTGAAAAATTGACTGACTTGAGTTCCCACCGATAGCTGTAGCCAGGAAGGAAGAGAGTTCCTCTTTCTGGTTTCTCTTAGACTTGTACTCGTCCAACAGCATGGGCATATTAGAAAGTACGTTTTGACAGATTTGGGTAACTTAATCCAAGATGAGATGCACGAAAGCGGGATGTTCACCGTTTTGAGAGAAGAGGTGACTTTATTTTATTCCTTCCAGAATATAGTCGGATGATCTGCACCTGGATTTGATCAACTAAACAGTTGGTATCGCCGTCGGAACGCTGCCTGGTGTCAATGTGGCCGAAAGAGAGTATGAGAAGGCACAGCAGTCACACCTGCATTTGAAATTGGCTCCACGCGCAACAACGAGAACAACCTGTTGAAATGGCCGCAGAAACAAGGTACCCGTCGCGACGACGCTCGTCACGCCAAACCTCTCAGCAACAGCAAAATGTATCAGAGTCACCTGTATCCATGCCAGCGGCTGCCGCACCCATGTCACATAGAACTCGTTCCAATATTACCCAATTTGCAACTCCAGCTGCCCCATCGGTACTGACCCAATCACCTACAACACCTCGATCTGTGAATCACACAGCGGCAGATCCATCCGTTGCTTTTACAAACGCCTCAAAAGAAGATTCTACAGCCCCATATGAAGAGCAACCCACGGTAGATCCTAATCTGGCTTCTAGTACGAACAATTTGCCCCGAATCAATGGCATGTCTTGACACATAAAACTAACTGATTTACTATTTCAGCTTCAGAGTATCGGCGCGCAGACAAGAATAAGATATTATGGTATGCCACACCACCTGTCAATATTACACCATTACCACAGCCAGTACACAGTGCCAAGTATCTCTATTGGAAACGTATGCAGAATCAGCAAGAAGCAACGTAGACAGCACATAAGCCAATACCAGGCAAATACAACTCTCGTTCAATCAGGCAAGAACTTTAGTGCTGATGATGGGTGCTAATGTAATCATACAAAGAGTGACCACGATCGCGCAAGATCCTGCAGAAGTACGACACTTCTGACCATGGTCTTCCACATACTGTAATTTTGTAATTTTTCCTTCCCTTTTTTTTTTTAATACTGCACTCCATATTGGATGTCGTTTCAATATCAGCGGCCATATCACATTTCCATACGTCAAATACATCAGGAGTATGCTTTAGAACACGTTATCTGCTTCTATTCGTTCCATACATACATTTGCGCATCCCAAACAATCAAACTAAGTTGCAGCCGAAAGAGCAATGCATCAGCACGTTCTCGTATCTTGCAACATTTATGGCCACTTTCTTGGTCTATGTGAAATGGATAGACGCATTGGATGTTTCAGGGATTGATTGAGGATCGTCCGCAAATCAAATTGGATGAGTTGAGTGAGACTCGGCAGGATATTTTTATCGTAATGCAGCACTTCTGCGTCTTCTATTGAAAGATTAAATTGTTAGTCAAGAATGGTATGTCGTAATTAACTGTATACATGAAATCATAGTTGGAAACTGTATTTTTTTTTCAGCAATGTGAAGGTGTATCGATTGTCTGTGTGGTACAGTGTAGACCTCGGGGTACTGCTTTGGCATATGTTCAAGTGCGGGAAGGAAGATATTGCTTTTTTAGGATGACAGTGTTTGGCCCCTCAGATTGAGAGGAGTCACATTGGGATGGCTTGGGCATCACACCTGCAACGTATGTCGACATACATCCCACTTTGAATCATTAGATACGACATTAAAATCTATGCCATCTTAATAGTGTCAACTGTCATCTAGGCCCACTGAAAAAAATTCCCCATTTTTTGCAGTGAAGGTCGCTTTTGGGGATAAGAAGGGGGAGTGAAATTCAGGGCAGGGTAGCAGGCGAGCTGAGCAGAGCGAGAACGGTCCATAGGTCCTTTTTTTTTTTTCCCCCCATCAAAAAGTACCCAACTTTTTTTGGTTTTACGCCATTCGTGCATTGTTGATGGGCAAGGTTTTTGCCTCGGAATATAAAGGCACCACCTTTCCCATTTGACTTGAGGTTACCAACCGCTCTTTCTTCTTTCTCTCGTCCAATTTCTTTCTGACATGATGAAACTTACAACAACGTCAATGCTGTCTCGCAGTATCTTAAATCTGACTCCCAGAGTCACCGCCCGAAGTTATTCTATGATCCCCTCAACACCGTTCCAACCAAACGAGTCTGAATCATTATCGGACCATGCCAAGGAAAACGACGCAGCCTTCCTCAAATCCTTGTATGAGCGCAATGACAGCCACAACACTTCTGAACAGCATCATCAGCAGACCATGGACACTCACGGTAGCACATATGGACATAACCAACATGGCCATGCCGACGAATCAAGTTCCCACGAGTCACTTGCACCAAGGGTCAATACTGTTTTCGAAGACTGACTGCCTGTAAAATAAAAGCCCTTTTTCGGCTCCTTAACCGTTTTGGAAAAACGGCATATTCATAGCTTGATACATGAAATAAATCCTTCCCCTATCCGCGAAACAAAAGGAAAAAACCAACAGCCTTAGTTATAAAAAAAAAAAAAACAATAGAGAAGGGGGTCAATTGATTTAATAGGACGGTTTGCAAAAAGGCCATTCAGGATCATGAGCTATATTAAAATTTATTTCATGAAAGAATGAATGAAAGAAATTAGAAAAATGACAGTATTATTTTTTGGAGGCATTGAGAGCTGGAAACGGGAATATCAAGAAAATAGAAAAAATATCTACATTTCAAGAAATAACAAGAAGGTTGAGAGACAAAACGCGTACAGATGGAAAGAAATACGTTGGCTATCATGTTTGAAATTACAAGAAGGGAATGCTGTCCATATCAATATCGTCAGCGAGGTCATCATCCGGTATTTCATTTAACCCCGTTTCTGTACCCTGACTAGGTTCGTCTTCGTGAAGATCCTCACTAGATAGATTGGATCTTCGAGAGTCTCGTGAGAGTGTACGTGAAATGGTATCTCTTAGGCCGCCAACTCTTCCGGTGATGACTTGTTTCATCAACCCAGAGGTGGATGACGGGGACTGAGACAGTGTAGATGAAGTTGCATTATCAGTCTCCAAGTTATCTCCGTTAGAAGACTCAGCGTTCTCCATGGCGGCGGATGCATGCTGATCATTTGCCAAACTATCTGAGCTAGCACTATCTCGATGCTTTCCTTCATCGTGGTCTGACCGGGAAGATGATAATAACGACGGAGAGCTTCTATAGCTAGTCAACTTTCCTGCTTTCTCCTTGGATGCATCCTGAGAGCGTGACGTGAAACTTCTGAGAATGCTACGGGATGGTTTTGGTTCAGGCAGTGCATACAAAGGCGGTGATACCGGCACAGAGGAAGGGTTAGGCGTAATGGGCTTGGGTTTGGGAGAGGTACTAGTCGAGGGTATAGGTTCGGGCAGCTTCGGGAGGTCTACATGCGGGAGGGGTTGTTTCCAAAAGTTCCAGTCGTTGAACTCACTTGCTATGACTTTTTGTATGGGTGGGAAAATTTGATCAACCAAATCATTCAGGTGGATATAGGAAGATTTGTAGCCACTCAAAAGTTCAAGCTTAATGTCGCCTTGAGGATCGATAGTGAAAATTCGGGAAGCTGGGACATTCACACTGCGATATGACATGGCATCCGTGATTCTGTTGCCAAAACCAGCGTAAAATGGGTTAGCACCTGAAAACAGCCTTTGTACATCTCGAAGACAGGCCATCTTGAACACTTCAGGTTTGCGCATGATCACCTCTCGATGGAACGATGTAAATAGTCGATCCGGGGACATAATAACTGGGCCATCAGGTAATTGATACCTATCTTGCTCCACCTTCTTGAGGTACTCCCTTGTATAATCTGCCTGACCGATAGCTCTAGATGTCAGATATAGCAGTTGATAACCATTATTATGAATATCAGTGTAAAGTTTTGCAACGCCATTATGGGTCCAATCTTTGCCTATCATCGTGAACACGTGGCCAAGCGCATCGCTCTTGGTGATGGTCCCGTCAATGTCACTGATAACGACTTGCGTATTATGGTGCCAATAAAATATTTTGGCCACACATGTAGCTGTGCCTTGATAGGATGAATTGACCGAAAATGAGATGGTATTGACTCCTTTCTTGAGCTTGAGCGATTGTAGCTGGTCGGATGTCAAACGTAGGGTTTTAGCATAATTCTTATGATGCACGCCCGAGTCAGCAGGAGCATCTCCATCTCCATGAGAATGCTGAGCCGACCAACCGACTGAAGTGGTCGTCGTCGTTTTAGTAAACGTGGTTGTTTGACCATTGGAGTGATTGTTATCATCATTCTCCTCGTCGGCATGATGCTCCTTATCAGGAACATCTTCAGTATCGTCCACGGTGCCTCCTTCTTCCCCGTCCAACCTTCCGGTAGCAGGTGATGCTACCGATGATCTGCTCCACCATTGTCTCCAACCACGGCCGAAGGAGTAACTGTCACGACTGTCAGATAACGTTTGAGCTTGCTTGCCTTCCTCGTCGGTCAGCGCAGCAAGAGGCTGAGGAAGCAAAAGCATAGAAGTGAACAGCGGCGCTTCTGGACCAATGTGCTTATAGTATCGACCTTCATGCTTGAAGACCAGTTTGGGGTCATTGAGAATATTGGGGTTGTGCACAAAAGCGTCGTAAGATATTTGATGTTTGGCAAAAACGGTCCTGCATTGCTCAGGGTCGACTCCTAAAGCGGACGCTCCACATAAACTCATTTCAATGCGATAATTTCTTCCTGGCTTGAGTCGGATTTCTTCCATGGAGGAGACATTCTGAGACGGTGTAGGCTCTTGCTTGAGAGGCTCTTGTGCATCATCATTATCAATTGAAAGTCTACTGAAATTGACATCGAGGTCATCACTCGATCTGGCAGGCAACCTTGCATCTTTTTCCTGGCGTTTGGGTAGCGAGCCCCATCCCCAAGACCATTCAGAGTCTTGCTTTTTGGCGGATGGAATGACATCTCCATATTCCATTTCTGAGTCACTCTTTGGTTCAAAATCCATTTTTGATGCGCCTGGTATGTCTATTGCCATGGCATCCTTCTCGCTGGTCATGGCAGCAATTTCATCCAAAGGGAGTGGCATGGATGCGCTACGTTCACGAGATGATCGGGTAGGTTCATGCAGCTGTTGAGGGTTTTTAGCTGGTGAACTCTCCGGAGCTTGTGCACTTGTATTAGCATTTTCGGCGGTGGGCTCTTCTCCAGTCTCCTGTTCAGCTTTCTCGCTTTCTGAAGGTTCTGCTAAGCGTTCTCTCGTCTCGTCGTCGATGTGGCTAAGTTTTCTGTTTCTATGGACGGATTTGCCACCTTGCTCGTCGGTTTCATCTTCCAAATCTTCTTCGTTCTCCTCAATCTTGTAACCAGCAATATCCAAAATCATACTTTCATGATCACCGACGGCCTGAGCGGGCCGTTCGACCGTTTCTTCTCCAGAAGCTCCATTTTCCGATGATTCATTCTTTATTTTGTCTTGCTCGTCATGAAGATTGTGTGTCACGTCCATGAGCAAACTGTAAATATCGCCATCTGCTGGTCGTACAATGAATGTTTCTTTGGTGACAGTGGTTGTTGTGATGGCTTCTGCAGACACACGTTCTAGTAAGGTAGATCCGTCATCCATAGGATAAGTGTTATTTTCCGGCAAAGGACTTGTTGGTCTTGGTGCTTCTTCTGTGTCCGTGGTACTGCTGTGTTCTTTTTCTTCTTCTTGGCGCAAACGTCGTTCCTCCATATCAACTTCTTCTGCGAGAGCATGCTCTAAAGCTTTTGCTGAAGGATATGGATCTCTTTTGGTGACGACTTTGTCTAGTTGTTCTTCAATGATCATTTTTGGCGACTGCAACTCGGGAGGTATGGTGGTGGTTTGCTGGCTTTCGAATTCATCATCCGATTCGTTCCCGAATTCACTACCGCTTGCACTATGAGCGCTCACGTATCCAGCGTCTGGTTTTTTTTTTTCAAAGAAGTGTGAGCTTTCAATTGAAAAATTCATCCAAGATCCTTTGTTTCATATAAATTTACCCTCTTCGTCAATGACAGCTTGGTCACGCTCGTCAGAAGCTCCAATATCCAAATATGGTGGTTCCTGGCAGGCGGGAAACAAGTTTTAGCAAAATTTTCATATGCATCGTCATGCGATTATTGGCTTTAAACGGGAATTTTACCTCATCACTTCTTCCATCATCAGATGCTGCCGATATCAAAGGAGACGTTTGAAATTCTTCAGGCACTTCATGCTCGGTCTCGAACACAAAGAACGCTTCACCAGCATCTCCAACTTTCATAGCGAAAGGAACAAGTTCGTCATTGACAGTGATTCGCACCTAGTGAGACAGTCAAAAAGGGTTGGGTTAGCATGCTTATTAGTCAAGAGGCTCCCTGCCTGGCTGTCGGAGCTGCTGCACGCCTTTTGCCCCACTTTAAGTGTGACCCAATCATATCTCAAATGTGCGTTCACTGGCAAGCCAAGTGTATTTCTTTATCATGAAGGTCGAAAAAATCACCATGGTCGTGATCGGGTGGTCAGTCGATCGAATTGAAAACGCCACTGTAGCCATAAGAGAGGATACTATTGTGTCAAACTTTGGCCGCCTTTTCACATGACATCGAAGAAAGTTGTATCGCAACAAGTAGGTAAGGGCTCTAGTATAGGTTAAAGAAAAAGTTTACCTTCTTTTCTTGAGGCATGAGAAGTGACAACTTGCCAAATCGAACATGGAACGGAGAACATGCTAATTCCCCATTAGGTTGCTCAACGACGACAATGTCGATGGCACCAGATAATGTAGCTGGATTCAGCTCATTATAGACTTTGCTGACCGAAGATATAAGGTTGGAAAGTTTTCCAACGTAATCCATTCTAGCGGGAGAGCTGCCCGAGGTTAGGAACAGTTATGAGCAGTAGAGCGGGACAGGCTTTGTGTCCAGCAATTTGAAAGCGAACTTGTGACTCGGGTTTTTGGTCGTTGGGTTCCTTCACTTCGTCACTCTGTCGTACATTCCCCCCACCCTCCCCATTCTTTAAACATGGTAACCACTATTTCTCGCAAAGACTTACCGGAAGCTGGCTCCCCGGAATTCAAGTCCATGGTCGATGGATGGTTTGCCGACATTGATGAATTAGTGAAAAATTCTCGATCTTGGCCTGTCGTGAACACAACTGGCGAAGTTGTCACTAGACGTAAACAGAAAGAAGCAAGCGACGAAGGAAACCACTACTTTCAGCGCGAGAGCACACATTTTGATATTACTTACGAGGGTATGCGATCACTTCTCTACGTCGACCACTCTCTACAAGAACCAAAATACATCAACATGTGTGAAGGTGTAGAACTGATTGAAGAATTTGAGCCCCAGGTTGGTATCTATTGGATTGGCTTCAAGGTACCATTTGCGTCTCGCGAATTTGTGGAACTCGTAGCAACTAGAGAAGAAGGCCGTGCTTTCTTCATTGTTTCCAAAGGAGTCGACCATCCATCCCCGGTCAAGAGTGGACATGTCCGTGGAGAATATGATGCTTGGGAAATCGTTAGAGAAGTTGAAGTCGATGGCAAAAAGGGCATCGAATGGGTGTGTATCCAACACTCTTCAGCTGGAGGAAACCTTCCTAAGTAAGTCATCTGCCTTTATAGCTATACATCATCTTCTTGTTAGGTTAACCATTTGTTTTAGGTGGATTGTCGATGCTGCTGCTAGCAAAGATTTCCATAAGGATGTAGGTAGCGCGATAGAGTATGTTAAAACCCATGTTGACGGGCAATGATTTTCCCGATACCAATGCAACATGAGAACTAGACAGATAGACAACTCTGGTAGTTACATGTAACTATAATTTCTATTGAAGTGTATCAGTAATAATTGTAATTGTTTAAACAAAGCCTTCTTGAATTTGTCATCGACACCTTTGATGAGGGGAGAGTGTTGCGGCTCGATACGGTAACTGTACATGCTTTTTGGATGAGAGATTTCCCATCGTGTCACAGCAGACATTGAGAAAATGCGATTTTTATTTTGATTCAGTCTATTGTACGTTTTGATCAAAAATAAGGCTCGTCCTCATCCTGGTGAACCGTTGGCTCTACTACAATTACAGGAACTGTCACATTGCCATCGCCAGATTTCTGAGCAATAGCATAATAATAGTTTGACCACGACCGAAACTCCTTGCATTCGGTTATGGCCGATTTTGTCAATAGATCGTATTTGAATGGCTCCATATCCCAATCGTCGCACATTCTAGGTCGAAGTGAATCAAATAGCCGTCTGTGTGCTTCCAGCGCGATATCACCTACTTTTCCTAACCAGCCGAGAGGTACTGATCGAAAGGAGGCCTCCACATTTTGCAATGCAGGATTACTTTGTAAACAATGACCAAGCTGCCGCCCCACTCTAGTATGGATTGTGCGCGACTGGAGCGTTACATTTACTGTTTGATGTAACCAGTTAGAAAGAAGATTCATCTCAGGCGATCAGGATTGCTCTACTTACGTCGCATGAGCCAAGTAGACATTTTCGGTCCAGCGTCTTGTATTGTTGTTTCTCCTTCAACTGATAACATTGTACCTTTTAGTACACCATGAGAACTTGGATATGAGAGCCGTCATTTGTAACTTACCAAATTCAATCCAACCCCCTGGTTTCAATACCCTAATCATTTCTGGTATCACAATATTTTCCCATTCCTTTCTTGTATAATTGTAGAGCGCGTTGCGTTGCACAACATAATCGAATGAATTGTCCGGGAAAGGCAATCCTTCAGTTGTATCAACCGGTTTAAATTGACAGTTGATTGGCAGATCACTGTCTGCCCTGTAGCATTAGCAAGTAGAAAATTGAACGTATTTTATATGCCAAAAATACTTGCGTTGTAGGGTATATGTATATGTCAGTTCCAATGAATTGAGATTTAGGGTGATTAAAGGCAAGATCCTATTGAGCGATGAGATTTCTGACTACGCGATGTGACTCTTCGGTAATACAATTAAGCCTACCGTTATCCATTTTCCTGTTCCAATTCTTGGGGTTCAAGGCCACTGATCAGCCTTCTCAGCGGTGACTTCTTATTATTTCACACGAAAACACTTACCCAACTTCTAAAACTCGTATTCCTTCTTCCAAGTCATCTGCTACCGGCGCAAAAAGTGACCTATGACATTAATTGTAAGCAGTTGGCAACGGGTGCATCGTGTGAGAGTGGAAAAAATCATCACATACTTGCGAAAGACATGCCTTTGCGAGATGTGGCGCATTGGTCAGTTACATCACATACATCTCGTTTTTCTTTTTAAGAAGCGATTCTTACCAAAGGGCAAGCTCATGAACCTCCATTCTCTCTACTTCCTCATCATCGCATGGTAATAAATATTGTTTTCCGTCTACTTCAGGTAAAAATGCGCGGCCGTGATAATTGTAGAATTGGTCGCCCTTTTCTTTAGGATCGCTGTCCAAATCACTCGCCGCAGTTACATCACTTTTACTTATGCTAGTGGTTAACTTCGAGCTATCAATGCAGACAAGATATTATTTAGATGAATGCACCCCAAAATTTGACAAGTATGGGGGTTTTACTGGATGGTTGGTACCTTTGAAGTCGACCATCGAAGGTCACGTTGCTATTCTGTCTTGAACGTATTGAACTGCATACGGACGCCTTAGATGCGTTCTTCTTCTTGTTGAAATGACCAAAAGGCATCAGAACATAAAATAAAGAAAAAAGACAAGTCGACAAAGAAGAATCAAAGTGGAGAAATCTAAAGTTGCCTTTACTCAAGTATCTTTTTCGTCTTTTTCATCTCCGTCTGTTTGTCCAACGTTACCTTTTCTCAGTTGTCACAAGCATACGTTGATTTAAGCAAATTATACTAGGGGGCTTGCCAAATGTCATGAAGTCAGACATCGTTTTTGATTGACAATCTCATAGATTCTTGAATGATTTTCTTGAATAGTCAACCCATATCGTCGATTACCCAAAGCTAACGGCCCTGGCAATCGTAGTGAAAGGGATGGATTCATTTGAATTGATTTGAAAATGACGGTCACAACCACCGACATTTTGTTTGGTGCTGAGAGCAGCACCGGCTCTCATTGCTGTCAACACCGCCTTTCTGTCCAACGTTTGTCCAGCCCAAAAAAGGTTTCCTGTCCTAATCGATCGACATGTCTAGCACATTAGCGCATACCGCAGCCATAACGGAGGCTTGTAATACGTTACGGTCAATAGCAGCCGAGTTTCTTGAAATCAAACAAAAGGTAACGCTTGAAAGGCAGCTGCGCTACGAATGCAACATTACTTGGCCTGACACTTGCTTTCGCTCCATTAGTCCGACAATTCCACAATAGATTCGCTACAAGACACAAGAACTAACACACAATTTGCACTATTGAAAGAACTTCATACAACAACTTACAATCATACGCGAGAAATGAAGAACTTGACGGCAGAAGCGCGACAGATCATGGATCTTCGACACTTGGGTTTGCAGAACATCGCGTACGAAAAGCGTCATTTGGAGGAAGAAATCGTGAAGTGCCGGCAATTTAGGTGAGCTTTATAAGATGCCAACATATTTATTGAACGCAACTTCGACTCTGACCATGGGAATTTACAGATCTATATATCAAGATATTGAATTGATTTCAGAAGAAGAGTTCCTCAACACAGCACCTCCGGAACTCACACAAGATAGCAACGCGCATGCACGTATGATCAACAGATTAAAATTTGAGCACCAGGAGCGATTACGGTAAGGGCATTTGATGTTGTTTGGTCTTGTTGTTCTTTAATCTCACACATTTACTGTAGACTCAAGCAAGTTTTGGAGGATCTCAATCAGGAACGTCTGCAACTCATCAAAGAACATAGATTGGAAGGCTCTCAATTAGAAGATCTGGATTCGCAGCTCGACGATATTGTCAAGGCATGCCAGCCAATAGAGAAAATGCTGAATCCACCTCCTGCCCTGGAACCTACACCAATGGACACAACCGAAGCTTCATAATGGTTCGACCCCATACAAATAGATTGACCTGTATGACCATTCGGAAGAGTTTATGTTCCAGACCTGGCAGCATACCATGTAAAATATACTAGTTTTGAAAAACGATTGATTGCTTTATATGAGTGTACATTGTGGGAAATGAGTGTTGAAATCCATCTTCATGATGGCAAAAACCGAGCTTTTTTGTTTAAGAAAAAAAAAAAAAGATCTATTGATTATATTACATGAGCTTGGATGAATCGACAGAAATTCATTAGATTGATAATAATTCGGGTTGAACACCATCCATGCTGGCACCGGATGACTTTTCACATTGAGTGATAATATATCTCAACATGTAAGTGTTGGAATCACATCTGTAAGTGAAGCGGACGCAGATTAGATACTGTATGTTAACGACATAGGGTGCAAATTAGTCGACTTACAAGTTTGCCAAATCTTCCTTGACAGAGCCCAATACTTTTTGCAGGGTGCGGAATACAGCCTGGAACTGGCCACGGTTTTGCTTCAAGTATCTTCCATGTGCCATCAGGAGTCTAGTGATCCACATCAAGTGAAATTCAACGTGAGGGCTGTTTTCCATGTGAACACCAACGAATTTCAAAAGACGTTCAAGGTACTTTTCCGGGAGATCCTGAGCAACCAATTCGACATCCTTGGGAGGAATGCCTTCGAACACCTTTTGAATAATGGGCTTTTCATTGAGTCTGAATGACATACACAATGCCTTGAGATACTCTTTGCCTTCAAGTGTTTCCAACACTGAATCAGGAGTAATGTCGATTTCCAAATCAAATGGGTCGAATATAATAGTATCATCCAAGGAGTAGATCAATAAACCTTCAGTGGAAGCAGCAGCCCACGCTCGACCCGTTGGTGCGAATCGAACAGCTCTTGTTCGAGCCTCCGGTCGAGTACGACGAGCAGACAAGTCACCGGATGCAGCACCAGGCATGGATTTGTCCAGACGATCTTCGAGATCAGACATGTCGTCGTCGTCCACCATAGTTTCCTTGGATCCAAATTCGGTCATTTTGCTAGAGTTCAAAAATTCTTGAGTACCATCCAGCGATAAGTTCATTGAAATTTGGAATTTCTTGACCAGAATATTGGTGGCAATGTCGTAAATGCAGACATATTTGCTGTTGCCACCACCAATGATGCATGATCCGTCTGCAGTATAGCACAAAGAATTGAAAGACTTTCCAGACGCTGAGTTCTCGGCAGTCACTCGATCGTTTGCCTTACGTCCACCGGATATATCCTTTCGTCCTTCAATGAGGGATGTTTGCTTAGCATCTTCAACATCCCAGAACGAGATTTGTCCGTCGAGAGTAGATGTCGCAATTTCTTTTCCATCGGGTCGGAACGCGACAGCAAGGACGTCACTGGTGTGCTTATAGGTTTCAATGGATTTCTTTCGACCAAATACATCCCAAGTTCTTGCAGTTTGATCCCAGCTACCACTGACGAGAAGAAGTCCAGTGGGAGAGAAGCCAAGAGAGGAGATAGGTCCTTCGTGGCCTTCAAGGATATCTAGCAATTTGCCGGTCTGAACGCTCCAAACATAAATTTCGAAAGAGTCCATACTACCGGCACAAATCACTTCACCACTAGGATCGACTGCCAATGAGGTGAATTGGACGGGGGTTGGACTAGTGAATGTTCTGAAATTTCGGTATCTAACAAGATCAAATGCACGAACGGTTCCGTCTAAACTTGCTGAGAAGACAACCTGACCTTGTTTGGCGAATTCTACTGCACTGACGCCACTGGTATGGTCACTGAAAGTAACATAGCAGAAACCAGATACTGAATTCCACACCTTCACTTTGCCGTCATCACCTCCTGTAACGATGTTTTGGCCGTCGGTCGAGTATGCAACGGATGTCATATCGTAGAAATGACCTTGCTGCTTGAGGACATAGGATTCTGATTGCCATTCCCAAACCAACAATTGTCCAAGTTGAGAACAACCAAATGCCAGCCATTCTCCTGTAGCATTGATTGCCACTGTATCAATCTTCTTTTGTGAAATACTAGGAAACATTATCAAGTTAGATTGACTAAGATCTGGGAAGTGGAGCCATCAACTGGTGTCGCGACAAATACGTACCTCAAAGTATGGATGTTGGTAAAGGTTGGTAACTCCCAGATACCGAAGATTCCACTTGAAAATCCGACAACAAGAAGGTTGCTAGCTTGGTGGAAAGCACAAGACTTCACTTTAGCTCCAGCTTGCATGAAGTAATGACGTTCTTGAACTCTCCAGCGAACTCTGTCAGCAGGTTTTGCTATTTCATCATCTGCTTTGTCTTCATTCATTTCGTCATCAGAATCCTCCTGACCAAGGATATTAGCAACTGAAGCGTAACGCCAGTGGAACAATGCACCATCTTTACTAATAGTATAGATTGCCTTTGAGTCCTTGGAGAACCAGGCTCCCAACACACTGTCTCTATGTCCACCCAAAGTCATATGCGTGAAGCCTTCAGTGGGAACTAAGGAATAAATGTGTGCAGTCATATCCCTTGAGGTCGTCAAAAAGAACCTGAACGAAAGGTTTGTTGTTAGATCAAACTTCTCAGCATCCCACGATAAATAGGGATGAATCTTACTTTGAATCGAAGCTCCATGAGATGCTCAAGATATCATCATAGTGACCAGTATACACTCTGTGAAGCACGAATGGCGCAAATTCTCTGTTGAATCCCGGAGTTTTCCATACTTGCACTTGCTTTCCGTGAGTGACGGCGAAGTACTTTCCATCTGGGCTGAATTCGATGTCGTTGACCTTTTCGTTGAAGTTGAAGTGATGAAGGACGATTTGTCTAGGGTAATTCACTAGCAATGCTCTTCCATCTTTCGTTAAATGATTATTATTAGTGGGCTATTACTTGTTTATCCAAACATTGCAGCCTGGAGCCTCACCTTCGTCCACAGTGATCAATATGGTAGCTTGAGGAGACAGAGCAATTTTGACGATATTCTTTCGCATCTCGAAGGGAAAAGTGGTTGATTTGTTGCTATTGATATATAAAGGTTAATACAGCATTCCCTTCCCATAAGCATCACTTTTGAGGGTCCAAGCTGCTTACTTGACGAGGTCGAACACAGAAACACGATTGCCAACAGGGCTGAGAATGGAGTTCCCGTCCGGTGTAAAAACCAGATTTCCCTTTTTATAAACTGTTCCGCATAAGTTTGAGAACTAAAGTGCGATGGTGTAATCGTTAGCATACATTCGTTTCATCAATTGGCTCGTTGCTATCGAAATCTACCTTGAAATCTGACTTCATGTCGGTAACGTAACGCAAGTATCAGTCTTGCACAAAAAAAAAAGTCAAAAAGTTGAATGGAAAGCAGTCACACTGGAAATTCTGCACGACCAAGCCACCTTTTGCAATTCCTCTTTGACCAAGAAATTGGCATTTGCTTTTTATCCAAGAGATTTTATGATAGATAAAAAAAAAAAAAGAGGAGGGAGAGGAAAAAAAAAAATGATATAAGAGCAGCAATTTCTATTCACAAATTATGCCTACTTTAAAGCTTTGAAGGCTGGTCGCCTACACTTTGAACAGGCCACACATAAGAGTGGGAGCCTGTACGGTCATAACCGTACTTTTCAATAAATTGGTCCAACTCCTCAGGGCCTCGGCTACCATACTTGTAAGGCTTGGGTTGGACTTTGTCATTGTCAATCTTGTGTAACAAAGGAGTGAAGATCTTCCAGGCAGCATCAAGCTCATCGTCTCTGACAAAGTTAGAGTGATCGCCACGAAGAACATCCAAGATAAGAGCTTCATAGGCATCGGGGATTGACATTTCCGAGTATCTTCGGTTGTATGTAAGGTCCATCTCAGATTGAATGGTTTGGAAAGACAAACCAGGGTGCTTGTTGTTCATCTTCACGTAAACAGCCTCGCTTGGCTGCACTCGCAAAACAAGCTCGTTTCTGGGGGTGTTCTTGTACAAGTTACCGGACACATTCTTGAATTGAATACGGATTTCAACCTTTGCTTGGTCCAAAGCCTTTCCTGCCTTGAGAATGAAAGGAACGCCTTCCCAACGCTCATTCTCAATGAAAAGCGATAAGGCAGCGAATGTAGGGGTAACACTTTCCTTGTTCTTAAGACTGTCATCTTCAAGATAACCGGGCTTCTCGCCATCGCCAACGTATTGTCCAAGAAGAGCGTCCTCCAATTGGATAGGAGGGATGCATCGCAAGACCTTGACCTTCTCATCACGGATGGCTTCAGCATCAGTGGAGATAGGTCGCTCCATAGCAATCAATGACAAGACTTGCAACAAATCTACATTTTGGTAGATAAGCGGGGTCAGCTTCTGGTCATACACCAGAACTTATAATGTGATGACTTACGGTTTTGCATAACATCTCTAATGATACCGAATTCATCAAAGTAGCCACCACGACCTTCAGTTCCGAATGGTTCCTTGAAGGTAATCTGAACATTTTCGATATTACGTCTATCCCAAATTTGTCCAAAGAAAACATTGGCGAATCGAAGTGTCATCAAGTTCTTGACCATTTCTTTGCCAAGGTAGTGATCAATACGGTAGATCTAGTGCATGGTAAAGAGCGGTTAGATATTATCAAGATTATATCTTCCGATCAAAAAAATAAAACTCACCTCGTCTTCGCTGAAGAGAGCACCAAGCTCACGAGCAAGATGGTCTGAACTCTCAGAGTCCATACCAAATGGCTTTTCAACCACAAGGCGGTTGATGCTGTTGGCAGAGTAGGTATTCTTTTTGATTCCCTTAGCTACAGGAATGAACACAGAGGGAGGGAGAGCTGTCACGACAACCCCGCGTTAAAATTTCTTGCTCATCATTTTTGGGGAATAAGTCAGCACCTTAAAAGTACGTACCCATATAAAAAATTCTGTGACGGTTGCCTTCAGCGAAGCCGCTTTCACTCTCGAACTTGGAGATGTAAGAGTCGAGGTTCTGGAAGCCTTCATCTTGGTCATATTGGCCGGATTGGTAAGAAGTAATGGCCAAAAAGTCATTCAACTGCTTTTTCGCTGCTTCATTATCGGGAACCTAAAATGTTTGGTTTAATAATCAGCTTTTTTTGAACCTGGAAATTTTCTGCTGACAGATTACGCAGCCCAACTACCTTAATGTATTGTGAGATACGCTGGATGTATTCTTCGTGTGTCATTTTGGTTCTAGCATAACCGACAATGTGGGTTTTTTCGGGAAGGAATCCATTCTTGAACAATTTGAAAATGGCAGGATAGGTCTTCTTCTTTGCTAAGTCACCAGAGGCACCGAGAACTAAACATCCCGAAACAAACAGGTTAGAAAGAGGGGTCAGGAACCAACATAAACTGCATGATAAGTGTATGCTTGTCGAAGAATGATGTATAGATTGATAAACTCGGTAGAGTTATGAAATAGCTGGGGGAACTTGGGAAAACGAACACGGTGTACCAAAGCAGACAACCACTCGAAACCGCTAACTAGTCAAAGGGGAAATACACGGCTGATATTTGATTACATACCGACAATAGTAGCTCCACCGTTGAGTTGAGCTTTGACGTGATCTCGGATTTCTTGCACGGCTGAGGAGGACATTGTAAGATTGCTGAAGGGAAAAAGAGATTCAAGCGATGGGGGCGAAAAGCAGCGGGAGTCCCCAGGGTTTTACTTCGTGAAGAGTTTAATCAGCGCCCTCTTTACGGGATATTGAAAAATTCCGCCCGTCCCGGACTTTGGGCTGACGCGTCTTCGATCCACGTGACATAAGCGGGACTTGACTTTTCACAGGCAGCCCAGCACCTTAAGTGTCGTTCAAGACACTGCAGACCTCATGCTAATCCAGCAGACATGTCCTGGCAAAGTCAATCAGGGACTGCAATCTACGAGTATTCTGCTTTGGGATTGCGATAGATATATAGTTTGTATTTTACCCTTTTTTGCTGCTGTTGTTGAGCCATATTTCACAAAGTTATCTGACCGTTTCCATAGGTTTATGCAACCGGTGGTAACGCTGTCATATACACAAGCCGCTTTGATCATGTTCAGACTATTCAGGTTGCCAAAATACTCAAAGATGGAGGGAATATCGAACGCGATACAAAGTCCGTATCGGTATCCTCCGTCGCTTTCAATAGCACAAATGGGAAGGTTAGTTGCATATCTACAATATTTCGACATCATTTTCGTGTTTTTCTCGGATAAAATAATAGTCGACGAGGGAAGTGTATTGAACTCAATACTGATAAATTCATACTATAGCTGGTAGTGTCTTGTGAAACATGTGCTTTGATATTATGCATGCGAGAGGAAGATGGTCGTGTAAGTAGCCCTATTCAAATGCTGACTGATATATGAGTAATATTCATCACCCATACTGGTACATAGACTACCTGGTCTCTTGAGAGTGTATTAAAGGAACAAGATAATGGAGCAATGATATATTGTGTTGATTGGAGTTCTCGAGGTATTGCATACTATGCAAATATTTTTCTTGCGAAAAATGGGCTTTTTTGTGATTTTGACTTATGGCTGTAATATAGGCGAGCTGCTCATAGCGGGTGAACAACTAGACATATGGAAACTGAATGAACAAGGAAACTGGGTCAAAAGCTGGAATAAAAGGCAAGCTAGGCAGTATATCTTCACTTTCAGCTTATCCAAGATTCTAATCTTTGTTTTTATTAAATACATAGGCCAGCTACACCCATTATCAAGGCACAGTTTAGTCCTAGCTGTTCTATGTTTGCCACGCTAAGCAAGGTTTGACATCTCCTTTTCTTTTGAAGTGTTGCGTAATGCAGTTTAGGTGCTTACGTAAGTCATTGTTTAGTGGGATGGATTAGTCACAGTGTGGTATGAAAGCAAAGAGGAAGGTGAGTAGCGCACCGACGAATGGCTCATGCCCTATGTACATAGACTAAGGCTCTGTGCTGTTCAGGCTCTCTTCATAGACAATACTCCTTTTCATATTTGTCGCATGCCAGTGACACGACCAACTTTGACTGGCGACACTCACCACACAATGATAAGTATGCATGCACGTTTTTTTTCGGCTTGCTTTAAGTTCAAATTGTCCTCGGTATTCACTACAGCCTCTCTAAGACATTCGCAGCATGACCCTACAATCTTTACAATGTGCAAGGATGGTATTGGAAGGTTTTGGAGTTCGATGGATCTCGATACCCCGCATAACCTATATATGACAGCAGTCATTGACCCTGATCAATCCTTGGTGACGGCATCGGAAGATGAGAATTTTGATTATACCTCCAAGGAAAACGAAGCGGCATTTTTTCCCATACACTATATGAACAGTGCAGAATTAGAAAGTGCTATTCAGCTGTGTACTGCTGATCAAGGCGGTCAACTTAGCAGCAAAGTTCGTCGAGTAAGAGATATGATCAAAGATACCCCGGATTTGCTTTTCAAAGTGCAGAAAGATGGATCCTTGACAATATGGGGAATCCAGGTATGACACGGTCCTTTCATTGACGTGTGTCGAAAATGGGAATGATCTAATCTCTATCAAGTAGCATTTGAATGAATGGCCTCGTAGGATACCCAAAGTCTTTGTGGTACTTCGTGTTGCCCAAGCCATCCCTTCCAATGACGCTATTCATTTCATGAGCAATGTCAAAATATACCACAACCATCTGGGGAGCAAAACTTCATGTATGTCGATAATACTGACCTCATTATCTTTCAGTTTTTTAACTAACCATCTTTCTGTTGACGGATTAGCATCGGTGAACCCTGTAGAGCTCTTTATATTGACTCAAGGCACAAACGGACAACTCAGTTGCTACACAATCAATCTCATTGACTTCTTTGATAGCACGCGCTTTGCATCCCAGTTGTACCTGCGTTATTCATGGTTGGGTCATCAATCCTCAATAGTTGATATTCAGCGATCCCACCATAGCAATTACTTTCTCACAAGATCAGACGATGATAATATTGCAATATGGAAATATGAGAGACCAAAGGTATGGTAAGCTGATATGGTTTCATGTGTTCAAGCTTGATACTTACCTCCTCCCTTGCAAATAGTTTGGCACACGAACAATGTACGGATTGAGGGAAAAGGATTTCCATATACATGTTGGCAAGTCTGCTGCTGTTGCCGTTATTAGAGATGGTAAGTAAATGCGTTTGGGAAACTTAGCTCGTCCTCAGCGGTACTGATTGAAAGTAAAGACTCCTACCTTGCTGTCAGCCAAGGTGCAAAGGTCTATATTCATAAACGAAACTCTGCTGAATTTCGTTATGAAAGCTATGCAGAGTGCCCAATGCCAAATAATGGCGCTCTCGTCGATGGTTTACATTGTTTCGGAATACCTATTTCAGAATCAAATGATGAGAAACAATATTTACTGGTGGGCACTAGTCCCAGTACGAACGAAGTATTTTCTTGGAGGGTGTGGTTCGATAATCAATCCCTACTAGTGGAAATATTGGGAACGGACACCATAGAATCTGGCTGGACAAATTTTGCACCTGTAACAAACTATGCTGGCACAGAAATATCTTTGGACCTGCACCTTTCGCTCGACAGTCGTTTTTATTTTGTTACTTGCCAAGAGAGTTCCATGTTCTTTTGGACCCTGAAGAGATCGCTGGAAGATATTGCAAAGGGAGGAGAGACCTCTAGCATATGGCAATCGCATGGCCCTTTGGAGTGTCATTTAAAAAATATCAAGGAGATAGCGGCGATGAACAACAGAGCCGTTGCAATTGGTTTGTATTTTTCATTGTCAAGCAGTTTTTTGGATATCAGACATCTTACCGATTTTTTCGTTTCACAAAGTTTCTGCTCACAGCAATGGTGGCACTCGTCTAAGTATATGGTCGGAAATTAGAACAGGCTACCTGCCCCGTCATGAGGCAGATCTAGATATTAGGTAAGCTATTTACTTCTTATCATAGGCTTCTTTGTATCTACTTACTGAGCACGCTGTTAATTTCTTAGGGGTGACATTAACGGCCTTTCATGGTGCATGACTTCAGACTCGCAAGCTTTACTTGCTGTGGCAGTTGGCTCTATGGTACAGATATATGCACGAAAGCGGATTAAGGATATTCAATTTGATGAAAGCTGGGCACTCTGCGATGAAATGAAGCTGGAAAGGTATTAAACGTTTTCTATCGTGTGCGATGAATCCTCTTATAAGCTGCATACCGACCACCTTCTTTAGTGATGTCACAGCTGTTGCTTGGGCAGATGCAGGTGTCCTTGTTGCTGCTTCTGGGCAAACCCTCAGAACATTTTCTAAATGGCTAACTATAGAAGACAAAACCTCTGGTAAGCCCCGTTTGTTGTAGATAAAAGCATCGAGAGTGTCCCTGATTGTACCCTTGTTCAGAGCCAATGCCAACCATTTACGATGTCACTTTCAAATTGAATGGACCGCTTCCTTTGTTTCATCCGGATGTTTTGGTTCACTATTTCCTTTGGGGTATGTATATTGTATGAATATCAATGATTTTGTGCTCACTCACTCACACCATGCTGCAGGAAAATTGGACTTGATCAACTTTCTTATGTTGACATTATATCGGTTTCTGCGCGCTGTGGAGCATGCTGACTTTAAGTTCATAAAGACAATGCCACCCACGATATTGGATAAGGTCCTCCATTTGCAAAATGTATGTACTGAAGCTTGCGCGATGATCAGCGCCTCTTAAAGTAATGCTAACGAATTTCATGTTAGTCCTCAGCTACGAACAAACAAGGGAAGCAACAATACGACTTTTTATGGAGCGATGGCGATGACAAGCCTGCTCTTAGGTAACATTACGGTGCTTCGCATATTCACTATACCACCGCTTTTAACTCGATATTTATCTGCAGTGACGATGATGACGCTGAGCGACCAATGACTGAAAAAGAAGCGACTTACATCAAAGAACGTCTGAATGAAAAGTCTATGGCGTTTATGACAAAAATAGATCGCTTGCATTTAATCGCCCAAGTCGATACCCTTATACATGTATGTGTAAATAAGCGGCGCATACCTCTTGATGAAGCTCGCAAACTGACTTTTCTGAATTTGAATATAGGTACTTAACCGCAGAAATTCAGTGGACGAGAATGGTGCCAGATACATGATTTTCTTGAAAAACTTTTATTTCCTTAACTCAATTGTGGACGATGACAAGAAGCAAGATGTGTTATCGTACCGAGATATGATCTGGGCAAGTCACAGTCAATCGCAGGCAAGTTTTTGATCCTTTTTATTTTTCTGTGTAGATTCCTTCATTCAAGCTAGTTTTGTCGAAACTAACAACCACATAGGACGCCATACTTGAGTTCGCGGACACTTTCATCGATAAAATGGTTTGGAAGGACGCACGAGCGTTGGGAATATTCCTATGGCTTGATAAAGCTGACACTTTGGTAAGATATCAATACAAATTTGGAGATCCTTTCCTCGTTACTCACTCACAGACCTTGCTTTGAAGCGGCAAAGAATGGAAGCAATAGCGCGCAATACCTACCTGAATCAGGAAGATAAAGATCCTGTGAGCTCCACGTTATTCTACTTGGCGTTAGGAAAAAAGAGTCTAGTGCACACTCTATGGCGCACAGCAAATCATCACAAGGAGCAGAAAGCAATGTTACAGTTCCTTGCCAATGACTTTAGAGAAGCACGATGGCAAACGGCTGCGTCTAAAAATGCATTTGCTCTATTGGGAAAACAGAGATACGGTATGATAATTTGCAGAAAAATCTGGTAAATTTCCATATAAGCGAGGTTAACATGCTAATTTACCTTGCTTATTAGAATACGCTGCTGCCTTCTTCCTTCTCGCTGGTAAACTTCGAGACGCTGTAAATGTAATACTAAAGCACATGAAGGACATGCAACTTGCTGTTGCTATCTGCCGTGTCTATGAAGGTAAAATCATCATACACATTAAGAATTCTTGATCAACCAATGGGTAGTTGACTATCTTTATAGGCGAGAATGGGCCGGTTTTACGGGAAATCATTACCAACCATATGCTGCCTCTAGCATGCAGCACTGACGATCGCTGGCTGGCTTCCTTGGCTTTCTGGATGATTGACAAAACCGATGAAGCGGTTGCTGCGACTATGGTAATTGAGTAAACCTGAAGCTGTTGTAAATGTGGTATGCTAAAGTTTATACTTTCTCAGATATCGCCACAAAAGCTTATTGATCCAGATGCAAAATTGCAATCCACGTCTAAACCCAATCACCTCGATCCAAGCCTTCTCATTCTCTACCAATACCTGAAGGAAAAGACATTACAAAACAGGAAAAAAACCTACCAAATAACTTATGATTTGGAATATGAATTTCTTCTGGACGCAGCGAGAACTTATGAACGAATTGGATGTCCTTTACTTTCACTTTACATTCTCACCCAATACAAGATCTCGCCTCCTCTTGTATTAGATCGACAATCTTCATTCACAGTTGGTAATCCATTGAAGATAATGGATGACGCCAGTGATCCAGTGACTACCGGAGCCTTGGATTTCGAAGACTGGGGTAGTAATAGACAAGATCAAAACGGCAATCATGATAAGTCAGGACCATCACGCGCTGCAGACTTATTCGGTGACGATGATGATTCCAATCCTTTTGCCAGTGGCTCCAAGCAAGCAAAAGCGGTGGACCTGTTTGCGGATGAGCCAGCTCAACTTAGCAGAGCCCAGGATTTATTTGGAGATGATGAAGATATCTTTGCTTCAAACAAGTCTACCACCAGAGACATCTTTGCTGACTTCATTCCCGCTAACAACGACACAACAGCAAGCATTGATACAAGTTCTTCTCCCATCTCGCCCAAAGAAGATGAAATCAATTCATCTGTCAACTTACTAGATGATGAAAACTTATATGTCTACAAAGGAAGCTTGGTAGTGCAAATGCTACAGGTAAGCTTTCATACTATCTACATTCATGAGGCTCCAGTTGTACTAACTCTGTTATAGTTGGTATTACATTCTGTAGCTTTACTTTCCGGTGACAGCGAGATGTCATCTGCCCTTGCTGAAGATCCATATTTCAAAAAGTACGTGCTTAAAGTAAGGTCTCAGTTCATGGAACTGGCCAGTTCGGTGAAAATCTCTGAAAGCGACTTTCGAAACCTGCTTATTACCAAGAGCGTGGAAACCGATGCCTTCGGCATAGCTGTGCGGGTTTTGGATAAAGAGATCTTAGAGAGCAATGATAGTGTTCGCTTCATGCATGCTATCGAAGGCGGGTCTAACGAGCTTCTATGGCTCGCTTTCACGCATCAACATTTGACCTTATCTGGTATTTTATATGTAGAAAAGTGGGCAAGGTCAGTATTATATGATCATTTATGTTCGAAGACGGCTATACTGACGTTACATTAGGGACTCTCTATCAACTTACCCTGTGTGGGGCAATGTGACGAGTGCATTTGTTCCTTCGGCGGATTCGAAAAAAACCAAAATCTTACTAGCAAGCTTTACTGCCATTCTAGTAACTGCTCTACGACGCCGCTACTATGAACAAGCCTGGGGATTCCTGTCAGAGATGAAAGGGTTGTTATGCAATATCAGCAAGGATAAGAACGAAATATCAAACGTAATTCACAAATGTCTTAGTGGAGACATCAAGTTGGTATGTATATCATGGTACAAATAGAACTTGCTGTCTTTACTCACATTACTTTTGTAGATTGAGATGGAACCTGAAGATTACGAGTACTTTTCAGATGACAGCTTCCGAGTGTATGACCTTAATGAAGACCAGTTTACATTCGATGCTCAACCAAGCAGCTCTTTAGCATCGACGCTGTTAGAGCTAGCTTCCTTGCAACTAAGTATGAATGTTTTGGAGTCAACTTTAGGCAACTCAGATATCCAGTTTTCCGGTCAGTGATTTATCATTTGTTGTTTATGGTGAAATCTATCTAGAGTATATTCTAATTCATCGTGAACAGATGATGTTACCACATTTGCGGTAGCTGGCTTACTGGATCCTTTGGCACAGAGAGCAGGCGATTTGAAAAAAATAGCCATGACAATGTTGGGAGACGATATCTCACGGCGTACGTTTATAAGCGGTGTGGTTGGATCTCATATGTTGAATTGTCATACTTACGCTCTGCATATCTAGGCAACGCTGTCAAACAATTCAAGAGCACAAGAGAGAAACGCTTTTGGTATTCACTGACTACAATTTTGCCCGAATACAAATTGCTGCCTTTCCTACAATTCAATCAGGTAAATTGAGCTGACGACTGAATATGCTTAGGATCCATGATGGCTAATACTATACTTCACTTGGAAGAATGTACGCATAAACACATTCGTTGTTAACCCAGTGAGCGACTGTGAGGCTATCTATAAGTCTACGTCAACAGTTGGAGGCTTTTGCAAGAATAAGGTAATTTATCCGAATTTTGCCCTGAAAATCTGATATGAGATATTTACATGATCACCCTAAGGTTGGAGACAACATTCTTGCGGTATGCACTGGAACGGAAGTCAAGGAAATAGATTTGGATAAAGCTCTTCAGGCTGGTCCTCAGCCCGGAAAGGTATGTGTTGTATTGTCATACATCCATCAGTAGATACTGGAAAGAGTAATGACGCATTTCTATCTCAAAAGATGAGCAGAACCGGTTCTTCATCATCCGCCTCCACACAGCTACAACTAGAGCATACTGATCTAGATACAGACGACGAGATGGGAGCGGACAGACATTCTCTGACTGACAGTGTAGATAATCGCAAGCAAGGCAAGAAAAAAGATCAGCATGCTCAACATAGTAGAGCGGCAACACCCGTGGCCAAATTTTTCCAGGACGATACAACCGGTGAGAAGATGATCAGATCGTCCAGTTTTGACAACTTGCAAGAGACATTTAAGCGAACATTGAAACTGAATGGTAAGCGATATTTTCTGTGGGCTGTATATATAGCCATTGAGGCTAATTTTGGACATATATCATAGTCAAGGACAATGCTGATCCAGTTGGTTATCGATTCCCATCGCCTTTTGGAGGAGATAATAGCCATGAGCTGGACGCATATGAACGCTCTGTAAGTAACCTGTTATGCAGACGCCAAAAATGCTATTCTTTCTAACTCTACTATTGCTTAGGTGTCGCTACGTCGAAAAACAGCTGCAACATCCGCAGAAAGTCACCCCCAATTTCCTTTCTGTAAGTACACGATCACTCGTTTTGAAATGAAATGTCGTCTAAATTAGGTTCTCTTGCTTTAGACGTGGTTGGTTGTGACCCCGCGGATGGAAAGCCAAGTGCTGTCATATGGCAGTATGGCCATGACCGAGCTGTTGCAAACTACTATGGCTGCCATGCTAAAACGTCCAGGTAAATATGAAACAGAGAGAAACCCATCGATACCTACCCATCTAACGACCGCCGAATTCTAGAGTGCACTTTGATAGATTTGGTCAAAAGTTTGGAGCTGGAGATATGAAAGGAAATCTTTGTCTTTGGCGATTTGACACAAGCTCGCAAGCTAGCAAACCGTACTGGGTTGGTATACTTTTATGATTCGGTATTGCATGGGCTGCTTTATAATAACCATATAATCTGCTGTTCAGACCTGGAACTGTCACTCAAAAGCAACCAGAGATTTTACATTCTTGGACTCTAGTAGTTTAATAGCATCTGTAGGCACTTCATCGGCCCTTGCCAGAAAGTAAGTGCTGCTACACCTGATTTCAACGCATGGCGTATATGGAAAGCTAATGTATCGCTATGTGTATCCAGTAAGCAGCATGTCTGCCTGTGGGACACATTGTTACCTCCACAACAATCTTTGATATGCTGTAAGCATCATGTACCAGAGCAATTACATCTTTATATCAATTTCAATCGTATTAACCTGGCCTTCTGCTAGCTATACCTGCACATGAGCTTGGTGCTTACGCTGTATCGTATTGTTCACCTTCTCAACTGTTGTTTTCAGGAGGAAAAAGTGGAGAAATTGGTAAGTAACTGATCATCTCTTCATCGTCGCTTGCTTCAGAGAAGCTATAACTTAATTCTTATTGCTTCCTCTAGTCGTGACTGATGTACGTCAGCGAACAATCATGCACACGTTCCAAGGCCATCAGTCAAGGATTAGGTCCATGACATTGGATTCGGAAGATGGTTTATTGATAACCGGGTCTATAGAAGGCGACATGAAGGTAAATAACTAGCGATTGTTAGGCGTATATTTTGACCTAGATAATAATGGTTGTTTGTTTAGATTTGGGATGTCAACACCTTCAAGCTGCGACAAACAATTGAAGCACAGCCGAAGAATCGATTTTTATCATCTGGATTCACCAAGATACCCGTAAGTAAACAACACAGTATCCCTTCCGCTCTCGTTGGAAATGCTTCTTAATAAACTGGTCCCTTCTATTACAGCTAAAATCGTATGGTATCACCCAGATATCAGTTGGTGATGACAGTTACATATTGGCATCGGGTCCATCCGGAATCACTCGCAGCAGGATAGAAGTCAATTAAGCTTTGCTTAAAGCATTTTAACAAAAACGAAGAAATAAAAAATGTAATTCTATAAATGCCAATTATGTACTAAGATTTGCAAGGTTTGAGATGGCAACTTCGGCCTCAACAATCTGCAAGAAGTTACCAGTCCGTTTAGTTACAATTGATCACTATATTGACTTTCCTGAGCAATACATACCTTGATGACTTGCTTCACTTCCAGTCGCTTTCTGGCATCAGCGACCCATCCACTTGCCAACTTCTTGGGCCAGCCGGTTAGCTGATTTAATTCTCTTGCTGCGCTGTCCAAATCATTTTCTCTCAAATGATACTCTGCACGAGCTAAGCGGGCTTCGATATCTTCTCCAGAAACAAGTCCATGCTTTCTGAACATAAGCTTGCTGAGAGTGATCGATATCATATGGGAGAATATGCCTCCATTTTCCGAAATCAGCGATGACTGTCGCACCTCGTCAGCAAGATAATTAAATCTTGCCCGCAGTTCTGAAATAGACTGTACGCCTTCAAACTCAAGCTCGTGAGGAACGCTATCTAGAACAGTCTCCATCAGCTCCTTGTCTGCGCCAGTGGCCGTACTTGCTAACTTTCGCAATGCCGAAAGTTCATGTGAAAAGGATCGCATACATCCTTTGTCAGTGGCTTTATCGAGAGCTGAGATAGCCACAGTCAATCGGTGTGAATAGCTGGCATTGTCGATCAACAATGCAGTTTCATAGGCGTGCTTTTCGAGAACAGCCAGACGAGCTACCAGGTTGTCCAATCCTCCTAAACGGCCACCTCCTTCGACTTCCACTTTGTTCTGAACTTGGCGAGTATATGATTTGTCCAATGTCTCTTTTTGATCCGCCATTTGAGCTGATTTCTCTATCATGAACTTTTGTCGCTCTTCATCTATTTGCTTGGTCAGCTTGGCATTAAATTCTGCAACCATAGCTGCTCTCTCTTCGTAGAATATATCAGACAACTCTCTTTCCTTCTCTCCAACTTGCCCTTCTGTGTACTTTTGAGCCACGTAGATCTTTTCGTTATAGCCGTCCTGGACCATGTTAAAAATATGACCTAAAGCTTCGAGTCTCTCGGATGTGCGCCGAGCTCCATCCAATACATCTTGGTGCTGTTCGTATATCCGGTTAAGCTTTTCGTTTATCTCTAAGAGCTGTTCCTCCGCATCCCCCATTGCTCCTCGGCCATCGTCTGAAAGTTTTGACTCATTCAGTAGCTGTGTAATATCTCCAAAAACGCGCTGTATTCTTTCAATATCATGGTGGTTTAGTGTGATATCGGAGAGAATGATGGGTTCCATGGCTACGTCCGGTACTATGCGTACAATGTCCACAGGCTGCTCCTCCAAATTGGATGTACCCAGCTGAGCTGATTCGGCGTTGGTCAGGTTGTCCGCCTTAGAAATTGCTGGAAGCTTCTCTTTGCCATTGAGTGACTCCGTTCGCTTTTTCCGTCTGGGAATAGTCTGTTCTATGTTTTCTTTATCCTCTCCAGTCGGCAAGGTAGGCATTTGTGAGGATAATTTAGGAGGCTCTGTTTGACCAGTCAATTTGGCGTAGGCGTCATGAAGATACTCATAGCTGTCTGAAGTAAGACTTTTGACCTTCTCTGTCATTATCTCTTTATACTCTTCTGCTTGTTGCTTCAGTGATACTGAAGAACCGCTAGAAGTATCGGCTTGTTGCGTCAAGTGCTCGGCAAACTGAACCGCTGATTGCGCGCCAGGTACATGTTGAACGAATGTTTGTCGAAAGGTTTGATCGCCTAAAGAGTAGTAGACTGCCCCGCAGTACGATACCGCTACGACAGAACCAGCCAAAAAGATACCAGTTACTACCTGGCCAGTCCGTGATTTCTTGCCGTCGGCATTGGTTGTCTGCAATCTCTGTAGTGGCAACTTGTTTAATCAATTCGCCCACTGTGTTTTACACTAGAACAAGTGGCATACCTTGGTTATATACTTTCCAGTTGGTCGCACCGGGATCCGTGTGGATCGCAAGTTACTGGCTGTAATGGCTCGGAGCATGTCAGTCAACCAAATCAAGTTACTAGACTTAACTTTTTACTTATAATTTGCGGAGCCACAGGGGATAAAGATGGGTTTTTTAAATTTTTCAGCTGTTCTCAGTCTTTTCAAAACTGAGGTATGGTAGAACGCATAAGGACAGGCTTATCGGTTTGTAACCTCATTAATCACTCAATTCATCTAGAAAAGTAAGTTCCAAGAAGTCTACTGGCTACACTCTTCCAATCCTTACTGTTCCCTTCTTAAAATATAAAGAAATTTTTATTTTTGATAGTACATCAAAGGGTCTATTCATCAGTTCGATGATGAACGTTCGTCAACAAAATGCAATTTCACCGCGAATATTCCCTACAAACAAGTATTGACTACATTCATTCATGTAGGCGTTGTCGCTCCATGACGATCACCGTTTGCAATATGAGATGAAATGCGCGACACAGTAGGTAACGCCAGATATCTGTAGCAAGAGTGTGCAGATCGGCCTATCAAAATAATACAGCTATAACATAGAATGCTATCAAATTTGATGGTACAATGTCGACTTCAAAGCAAAGAGAATTATACCGAGACATCTTCACCGATTTGTAGCTTAGTTACAACTTTCGATAGTAGAAGCATCTCCTCCATAAGCAGCAAGAACACCACTTGTAAAAAATAAAACGATATACGTCCGGGAGCATTCAGCTCCTTGGGACAAGACAGTACGTCAGCTATACCAAACCTCGGTATACTCTTGGGTTGCTTAAAATAGCTTTAATAATAATAACTTTCTGATTGTGAGAGACTGCTATCATTTTTTTGTGCTACATCGCATTCTTTTCATCCTACTGCTGCGCCAAACACATGATGAGTGCTCATAGACAAGACGTTATGACTCGCCAAGTGTGGCCATGCCTGTAAAGCTATCATCTGTAGTTACTGGATAGCGAAGGTTTTATAGAGGTTACTCTCACTAAAGTTGATAACCGTTATTCAATCAAATGATCCACATGGATGTGTTGCGTACACATCATTTGAATCTTATAATTCTGGTGATACTTTGAAAAGCATGGCCAAAGAAGTCGCTTACGGGCAAAATACGCCCAAAACGGCAGATGTCCTTGGTCTATTCTCAGGGCAGTACATTATGCAAATTGTCACGAAGTTAGGCGGCTGTGTACTCCCAAGTCAGTTGCAGACACCTTGAGACACACTATTTTATACATACATGGTAATATTGTTGTTGCCGTTGCATCGTAGAATAGAAACCTTGCTAAATTTAATTCCTGCAATGCTGACAAGAATTGTTAGTCCCAATTTTGAAATATTTTTAGATGGGAAGGGGTCCTCCACGAAGCGTAGGCGAACTTATCCAAAGGCACTCGTTGATTGAAAATGAACATATCCCTTCATAATAATGCACTCAAGCTCATGCACTATCGACACACAATTCGATATTCATCATGTCGCCAAATTGTCACTCTGGCAACCGCAAATTTGCTTTCAAACTAACCTGCAGGGTAAGTACAGAGGGAATGATTTCCCAGGTTGAGCCCCACAATTAGCATGTTTGGTACGGGAGTGTGTTTCAAAGTCTCATTGCTGCGTGTCTATAAAAGACAGAGTCAGGAAACAGGAGTTCCAATATCTCCAACACACACCAAGGTAAGCTATACAATACAAAGTTACATCACTTCTCACTGTTCTCACATTGTTACTATGAAATTGCAGTTACAAAATGGTTAAGGCTCTCACCATCACTGTTCTGGCTACTTTTGCTGCTTCTGCTTATGCTGCAACAGTCTCCAACCCTCATTACCTTTGTGGATGTTTCCAGCCGGATTTTGACTACGGTTGTTGCTCTGAGCTTAAAGGCGTTTTTGATGGCTTGAATTCTTGCGCCTTGCCTCACACCGATGCTAAACTCAACGCATTTTCGTCTTGCTGCAAAAAGATTGGCGGCAAAGAAACCAAGTGTAAAACTATCTACTCATCGGATCCTTAAATGTATTCTGGTTAGCACTTGCGATGCCGCAGAGTCACTGAATAAACTCATATGTCACTTAAAGCAATAAAGCGAACAATATGCCTTCTATAGAGGACTTCTGTGTGGGATTTGTGAATTATCCTTGATGAATGACACTCCCATATCGATACAGCGGTCGAGACGGCTTCGAATGGGTTGACTTTATTTTATCCATTACGTTTTGATGAACTCTTATATTGCGCCTTGAGTTATTTGATACTCCCGTTTCTAATATGTTTTTAGCGTTCCTTCTATTTCTTTTTTAATATCGTTGACGTGAGTATACCTGGCGTATACACGAAAGATTAACTTCTCCAGCATGGCTTTTTATCACTGTTGAACGATATAGCACCAACACTCCCGTAGCGCATACAAAGAGTTTATGATCCTTCAATAACTGAGCGCGGTTTTTTAAACCAACGACTCCTCCGAAAGTCACGAAAACGAGTCACTGACCCTCCAGACCCTGCTCGCTTTGCTTTCCTATTCCACAATGCTTGCTCTAAGGACAGCAACGCGCTACGCATGGCGACGCCCTCGCAATATTGGACAAGTGCGCTTGTTCACCAATGCTCAGGGCTACGATGCCATTGTGCTGAATGCTTCTTCGGATAGCGGACGATTGTCCTTAGCAGAGAGCCAACTTATTTCCCAGTCTACGCGAAGCACTATTCTAGAACAGCTGAGCGTTTCTAACTTCAAGAAGGCCGGCGATGTTCGAGTTCTTTACAATGTTGGTGGTGTCAAGCAGGTTGCAATTGTCAATCTCGGCGATCGTAAACAGCTCAATCAAGGTGACAACTTGGAAGGCAAACGCTTAGACGCTGCTAGAACGGCGGTAAGTTTGCCACCTTTTCCTCAGTAACTATCCTATGAGGTTAGCTTTTATTAATTATAGTGTTTAGGCTGCAATTGGTGTGAAAGCCCTTCTCAATCAGGACGTTCAGAGCATTGGCATCGATATCAGCACCAGTGCGCATGGTGCAGCTGAAGGTGCTACCTTGGCAACTCATTCGTTTGATCGATTGAAAAACCCAAAAAGCAGAAAGCCTGTCGTAGACATTGGTCCGTTTTTGGAAACGATTGAGAATGTTGATCCTTTCTTGACCTGGGAAACAGGTCAGATATATGGTGCATCTCAAAATTTGGCTCGCTCGCTCATGGAAACACCAGCAAACTTGATGACCCCCAAAATCTTTGCTGAAGAAATTGCATACTTACTTGCTGGCCTGGAAAAGGTCGAAGTTATTGTCAGAGATGAAGAGTGGGCTTCTAGACAAGGCATGAATTCTCTTATTGGTGTGGCAAAGGGAAGGTATGTATAAATGTTTGACTAGCAGCGAAAGAGTTGTGAAGTCAACATATGTCTAATTCGATTCATGAACAGTGAGGAACCACTTCGCTTTTTGGAGATTCAGTATAAGGGCGGAAAAGAAGGAGATGCACCACTCGGTCTTGTCGGAAAGGGTGTCACTTTTGACTCGTAAGCTTTCATGCTATCATCATCCTTCACATTTTCTTGTACCATATTGACCATATATTTTTAGTGGAGGTATTTCTATCAAACCCTCAAACAACATGGCACTAATGAAGGGTGATATGGGTGGAGCTGCAACCGTGGCCGGCGCTTTGTATGGTATTTGCAAACTTGGTCTACCACTCAACGTCACTGCTGTCACTCCTTTGTGCGAAAACATGCCATCAGGAAGAGCAACAAAGCCAGGTACGCTAAATGGCGCTATAATATAAAAATGTGAGAAATGTATCTCAACCGTTTTCACAATTTTGTAGGAGATGTTATCAAGGCCATGAACGGTAAATCCATTGAGGTCATCGACACTGACGCTGAAGGCCGATTGATTCTGGTAAGTTTAGAGCACAAGTCTGTATGTTCGATTCTCAAACCGATATTGGAACTAACATCCTGTTAGGCGGACGCATTGTACTATTTGAGCTCTCAACACAAACCTCATAGCATCATCGACCTCGCTACACTGACTGGTGCCATGGATGTTGCCCTTGGTAATGCTTTTGCTGGTGTATTCACCAACTCTGATAACTTCTGGAAGCAGCTTGATGCTGCTGGTCAATTTATGTCAGACCCATTCTGGAGGTAACCTTGTTTAAGGCCAAACTTTTGTTTTGTGAAATTGACTTGATAACTGATCCATAATGCCACATAGAATGCCTTTGAACGACGCTTACCTGGAGGAAATGACCAGCTCAAGCGTTGCAGATCTCAACAATCTTGGCTTGGGTAGGTCCGGAGGCGCATGCTCAGCAGCTATTTTCCTTAAGCAATTTGTGAGCGGCATCGAGAATGCTATTCCCAATGTCAGCGGAAACCCAGAGCTTGATGATGCTGTTGAACAAGCCGAAAATGAAGAGAAGATTGCCTGGGCCCACATAGATATCGCTGGTGGTATGTTAGATGGTTTTACTTATCAAGTTATACGAGCAATATGGTAACATTAACCCTTCTCGATTAGTAATGGATTCCAAGCATAGTAATGGATACCATGTCAAAGGAATGAGTGGTAAGTTGTCTGACCGTACCTGCATCGAGACGTTTGCCTGCCCTTTATTAACAACTAGAACCCAGGTCGCCCGACAAGATCTTTGGTGGAACTTGCAAGAAGCATTGCCTCCAAGTAATACACATAGCATCAACACTGAGACAAAGCAACCGATATAATAAAACGCAGTTTATTCAGGAATTACGAGGTTATAAATTTGCCTTCTGTCTCTATCTATTTGTCATTGTCAAGTGCTTGTTCAATTTTTTGTACGACTTCTTGTGCAGCTACAGGGATTCTTGTTCCTATATTTTCGGAGAATACATATTAGCATAACAGTAGGACAATCAATTCAGATGGAAGGAAAGCCTTACCGGGGCCGAAAATGGCGCTGACTCCAGCATTGCGCAAAAAGGCATAATCCTGCTGAGGAATAACACCACCGCAGACAATCAACTTATCGGTGGCTCCAAGCTTCTTCAATTCTTCGACCAGTGCAGGTACAAGAGTCTTGTGACCAGCAGCTTGTGAAGAGATACCAACGACGTGAACATCAGCATCAATAGCCTGACGAGCTACTTCTGCAGGGGTCTTTATTGTATGTTAGCATAGCCGAACATAACCCCCCCCCATATCATTTGGTGAGATGTTTGCTTACCTGGAAGAGAGGACCAACATCAACATCAAAACCTAGATCGGCAAATCCAGAAGCGATGACCTTAGCGCCACGATCATGGCCATCCTGTCCCATTTTGGCCACGAGCATACGAGGACGACGACCTTGATTCTTAGTGAACAGATCCACTAGCTTGAGGGTTTGGTTAACGTCGTCATGGTCACCATACTCGCTTCTGTATGCACCGGATACAACTCGTGTAGCAGGCATGTGGCGACCCCAGACCTTTTCCAAAGCATCTGAAATTTCTCCAACTGTGCATCGTTGCTTGGCAGCCTATTTTTCAAATTTATCAATATGTCAGAATAACATTGACTGGAAGAAAGAAACAGACAACAACTACTAAAAACACGTTTACTGACCTCGATAGAAAGAGCAAGCAAGTTGCCTTCATTTGTCTTTGCGCTTTGCTCTAAAGCTTCAAGGCATTCCTTTACTTTTTGTGCGTCACGCGTTTCACGGATCTTGTTGATACGATTAATCTATAGTAGCCCCACAAGCATTGTTAGTAGTCAGATAACAGCATATGTAGTAGTAGTTTTCAAAGGCTGGCCGTACCTGAGATGTTCTGACAGCGGTATTGTCAATAGCTAAAACGTCAATGGCATCCTCCTTTTCCAAACGGTACTTGTTAACACCAACGATAACCTCTGCAGAGATGAACATACAACGTCAGAACACACACATAGAAAATGGTATATATCAATAGTCATAGAGGCATACCTTGGTTGGAGTCGATTCTGGCCTGTCGCTTAGCAGCACTTTCTTCGATTCTCAGCTTAGGCATACCACTGTCGACAGCCTTGGCCATACCACCCATGGCTTCAACCTCCTCAACAATGGCACGCGCAGCGTCATACATCTGATTTGTCATGCTTTCCATCATATAAGATCCACCCCAAGGATCAGCCACCTTGGGAATCATAGCCTCCTCTTGCAAAATCAATTGGGTATTTCTGGCAATGCGTGCACTGAACTCAGTAGGTAGACCAATAGCTTCATCGAACGAGTTGGTGTGCAACGACTGCGTTCCACCGAGGGTTGCAGCCATTGCTTCAATGGTGGTACGGATGACATTATTGTAAGGATCCTATGGATAGTAAGGTAAGACAGGGCTTGGTCATCACATATAGACCGCTCGAAATAATACTAACCTGTTCTGTAAGTGACCAACCACTAGTCTGACAATGTGTTCGAAGAAGAAGAGATTTTTGAGATTTGGGGTCGAATTTTTCCTTCACCATATGAGCCCAGAGACGTCGAGCAGCGCGCATTTTGGCAATTTCCTTTAGATTTCGGCAAATGAATGTCAGAAACGCCTCGGTGTGGAGTGGCATTCTCCGCAAAATATAATAAACCTTACCATGTAAAAGTTCATACCGATGGCCCAGAAGAACGAAAGTCTTGGGGCAAATTGATCCACTGTCATGCCAGCCTTCATACCTATACCGTACTTTAAGTGAATATGACATGGCCAAGACAGCAACTTCATATCTGATTCATCAGTGTTACCTGTTCTGATGTACTCCAATCCATCAGCGATGGTGAAAGCCATTTCCAAAACATTGTCAGCACCAGCTTCTTGCATGTGATAACCAGAAATCGAGATAGAGTTGTACTTTGGCATGTTCTGTGGTGGACAGAATTCTCATTGCTTAGAGGTAGTCCTTCCGTATATCTGATGTAAAGTTCGCAACGTACCTGTGCGGTGAACGAAAAGATATCACCGATCAAGCGCATGGATGGAAGGGGTGGATAGATGAAAGTGTTGCGGACCATAAATTCCTTTAGAATATCATTCTGAATGGTACCCGATAACTCTTTCAACTCTGCACCTTGCTCTAAGCCTGCTACAATGTACATAGCTAGGATAGGAAGTACTGCGCCGTTCATAGTCATAGACACTGACATTTTGTTCAGCGGAATGCCATCAAATAAAATCTGGGGTAGAAAAGCGGTGGTTGGACAAACAAGGTCAATTTCGGTTGAGTCAGACGATACAAATTTAGATAATACCCGCTTACCTTCATATCCTCAACAGAATCAATGGCCACACCCGCCATACCAACATCACCAACAACGCGAGGATGATCTGAATCATATCTGTGAAAATGAGCACGTACTGATGATTAGCTGGTCCTTTGACCTTGCATACGACAAAGAACACACATACCCTCTATGAGTTGCAAGATCAAAAGCAACCGATAGACCTTGCTGTCCTGCAGCCAAGTTTTTGCGATAGAACCGATTGGATTCCTCTACCGTACTGAATCCGGCATACTTTCAATAGAACATAAAGTTACGACGCGATTGCGTGATGGTTGCTATACCGAAGCTACACCTTACCTGTCGGATAGTCCATGGACGGGATGTGTACATGGATGCATAAGGGCCTCTGGTATATGGAAATTTACCCGGAATCTCTTCTTCAATGTCTGCAGTATCACTTTTAGTATAGACGGGTTTGACGTCCAAGCCCTGATGGTAGGGAAGCGCGTTAATACTGGGCCAAGGGTAGAAGATCCTGTTGCAGGATACATAGCCGACAACTTTCGTACCTCTGGGGTGTGCCAAGTCAATTTTTCCTCGGGGTCTTTGCCTTTCAGCTCCTTCTGTGCCATTGCAGCCCATTCAGCATGCAATGGGACTTTCGGCGGAACCTTCACTGAGTATGCCTGAGGGTGATAGTGAGTAACAATAGGGAGGAAAGTTAAGTAACAATAGAAAGACAGCCTACTCTAATGGAGCGCTTGACAGCAGCCAAGCTCGTAGAGTGTTTCCAGCTCATGACAGCAACAAGAGGAACAGAGAGTGGCACCCCTCATGCCAATTCCCACGATGTAACCGTATTTTTGCCAGGGCTGAGTTAAAATATTTTCAAACCGAGGTATTCAATTCAATGCAGGAAAGATATCTCAGACTGACTGACCAGAGATGCTCTTTGCAAGTTTATTTTGACTGTACATTACTACTATATTACTTTCTATAGTGTGTGGGTATCCTCACCGTTTTATTTATTTACTTTCATCCGCTGCTGCTTGATTCGCTCTGGAGTTCCTCCAAGTCCGCCTATAAGAACTTCATTATCATCTGCTGCTCAAACACCTTTCATTGAGAAAGTCAATATTTCCCCACCTGGGATCTCGTTCGTTTCAAGCCTGTTGTCGCTTCCTTGCTATATTCTAACACCGCACCGGGTAAATTGGATCTGAATAAGCCAAGTCAGTCCATTTCAACTTGAAGAGAGGATTATATTATAATAAGCGTTCAATTGCGAGTATCAAACCTTCTCATTAATTTCGCCGTAAATCCCATTTTACGCTGATCAAAACTCTTGAAAGTGTAGCCTTCCGTTCGAATAAATGCTTTCATTTGTCGGTCTACGTCAATTATTTTGGTGCCTTTAAATTCAATTCCTCATTACATTAGGCTATCACCGCTCCAGTCATTTCAACAGAAAAAGCTTATTAAAGGTTTAAACATTACCGTGTGCTGGTAATAGTCCTATGTAGTACTTGGTGACGTAGAATTTGTCGTGTGAGAGGGATTTTTCATGATCTAGATCATGGCCATTGTTGCTAGGATATCTGGAAAACTCGTTAGGAGTGGTATCATTAAATGCAACATCCTGAATTTCATCGTTTGAAAGATCATCATAAGTTTCATCGATCCTATTACACAATGGATGTGCAATCAAAATCTGAGGCATGACTTCCAGAGAGGTGATCAGCTTGCGTAATCGGGATTCCATTCTACCACACCTTTAGAGCAATTTGGTAAATTACAGGATACAACACTAGAGGATGGTATGCTTTTGTATACACTTGCCATGCCATGTGAGCATTCTGTTCGCTTGAGCAAAAACTGACTCGAATGTAATATTTGTAGAGCTTGAAAAAGTCGTGTTCCATAAAAAGATCTTGCCAGCTTCCAGTTCCAAGAATAATAGTATCAACAATTTTAGAAGCTCGGTTGAGTTCGGCTAGCAGTATTTTTTTGGTGCTGTAAGAAACATTATGCGTTGAACACATGGCTGGGTATGCGGGAGTCAGGATCGGCATGATGTGATGCTTATTCGACTGTGAATTGTCGTGGTAAGCACATGGATCAGATACTCTCAATCAAACTTCAGTAACCAATTACCTTGGAATCCCATGCATCCCTTCCTTTTACAAGATATTTTAGGACCACTGGACTTGGCCATGACCACGTAAAGAATATTCTAAAGAAGCGCGATATAATTGTGGCCGGACAACCATTTGGATATAGCTGGCAAACTCTCGCAACAAGTATAGCCCAGGCTACTCCTCCGAAATAACCGATTGCGTTGGAATATATAGCCCTTCGTTTCGCCCAAAGTTTAATGCACTTCAATGCCATGCAAAATGTTTCAACATTGGGAACAAGTGACAGGATTTCGGTGGCTGTTCTTGGTCCGTTGGCCGTACGTACACAGGATTCGTCAATTTGCTGCATTGTACGTTCATCTGATAAATCCAGATTAGCTGGAACAGTAGGCTGCCAGAGTCTTGCGTATATGAGATCAATCTAAATTACAGACAAGTCAGATGAATGTTATCACACACCACCTGGTAGAAAAAACAAAAAAAGTCCATACATGAATTCCATGGAAAATCATTTTGATTACAGGTACAAATGCTGAAGTCACAGTCTAGCGTTCAATGATAAAATCGTTAGAAAAAATCACATTGCTTGCTTACTCAACATCTATAGTTTCAGTTACCGTGAGTTCCTGTACTCCTTCATGTTTCTGTAGGATTGGCGGCAACGAATGAAAAAAGATTTTTTGCGTAATGTGTTGCGGGCAAACACACAAAGTATCTATATCGCTTTCGTCCGTGTGCGCACCTAATCGATAGCTACCATAGGTGAAAAGTTTAGCAGCTGTATTTCTTGCCAGTTGTTCAGAATTCGTAAGTTTGGCTGTGACAGCATAAACAAATTCGTTTATAATCATATCAAGTTCGAATAACACTGTTTTTCTATTTTCATCAAGTCAGTTATTAGCATTGGTCCGAATTTAGCGATACGCCAGGGATGTGGACACAATACCTGAGTTGTGCTTTCTTCTCTGATTCAATCATTCCTTCTCGCGCTAATACGTCGGTTAGAGCTTCATTGAGTTCTAACTCTCTTTGCGTCGGGAGCGCCTCTGACACCGGTGGTGTTACTCCATACTGTACAGACTTCATGAACTGCTGCACTCTGCAAAAGATTTAGAATGTCGCAACAAGGTTGATAAAGGTTGTCAGCAACAACTGCAACAAAAAAAAGTCAGGTCACGTGAAGTATGGGATTCATCGTGAATTTTCCCTGTTTTGAAGTTTGAACAGCAAGATCTCAAGCTTACATTCACAAAAAGCTTAGCCATCCAACATGACGGACAAGCTACCTCCCAATCTGTTAAAGCTATTCGCGCCACGTCCACCTCTTCCATATATACCACCATTAGACAAAGATCCCAGCAAAAGGAAAGGTCTACAGATCAGTGGCATTGCGCAATATACCGATATGCTCAAGAGCTACGATTCAGACTATGTACCATGGAAGAGCATAGCAGAAAGAAAAAAGGAGAAGGTGAAGATTCAAGTTGGATGCTGAAATGTGTTACACTATTTTCATTTCTTCACTAACATGTTCATAAACAATTAGATGGAAGCCAAGAAGAAAGCTGCGGCAGAAGCAGTCGAGAAGGGTTTGGCAACCTGTCAGTGATTTTTTCGTGTCCTGTCTCGTTTCAGTACATTGGACCATCGCCTAACCATCATTTGTTCTACAGGGAACCCAGAATCGGACGAAAAAATCATAGGAGACCCGTTCTGTGTCCTTTTCGTTTCACGCTTAAGCTATAACTTGACTGAAGATGACTTGATGCGCGAATTTGATACATATGGACCTATCAAAAATGTACTCACACTTTTTATATCAACTTGCCTCTTCAACCTACATTCTCGCTTACAACAATTTGTTCTTCTAGATTCGCCTTGTCCGAGATATAGACGGCAAATCAAAAGGCTATGCCTTCATTGAATTTGAGAGGGAGAAAGACATGCGAGGTAATACTTTTTTTTTTTTTTGGCTGCTTAGCACGCATACTACAATTGTCTTACATGGAATGTTAACTTTTCGTCCATGCAGCGGCTTATAAGGATGCGGATGGATTAAAATTAGATGGTCGTCGAGTACTTGTCGACGTTGAACGTGGAAGAACTGTGAAAGGCTGGAAACCTCGTCGACTGGGTGGTGGACTTGGAAGTACACGATCTGGCGCACCTGATCACAACGCTCGCCAATCCGGCCGAAACGGTTCATCTGCTGGTGGCTCTGATCGATACAAAGATCGAGGTGGCAGTAGCTCGCATGGCTATAGCCGTTATAACGGCAATCCTCCACGATCAAATCAAGGATTCAACGATAGACGAGGAAGGGGTAGCAGATCTCGCAGCAGAAGTCCTCGTGGTTACCGTGACAGGGAAGATAGAGATCGGTACGGTGGAAGAGGAAGAGATCGTTCAAGAGATAGATTCGATCGAGGATCTCGAAGGGAACGCTAAAATCTCCATTCAATTACGGGGAAAAACACGTTGCCGAGCGACAGACCGCTTTCTTAAACTATTGAAATCTCCCAAAAAAAAATCCCAACCAACCTCTCATTTCTTTCTTAATAAAAACTACAAAAAAAAAAAACAACAAACATGTTACAACATTGGTGTTCCATGTGACATCTTCTTACACTGGTCTGACGTGTGGGCACACTTCTTTTTGCTCTCCAACCAACCAGTGTCCCATTCACCGAACCCTAATTGTCCGAGCTCAGTTTATCAAACTCAGCTAGGCCATTCTTACTGTTCTAACGTTAACTTCCCAATATGCTTGAAGAGGACAATTTGCAACAAGAAACCAATGTACCCTCTGAGCAATCGCCCAAGTCGACAGCCGAGATGCCACATTCTGGAGAATCGAATCCTGATAGCGGCTCTGAAGGCTATGGGAGTCCAAAAGTTTCGGAGACGTCTGTGCACTCTGACAAAGTGTCGAGCCCAGAGTCAGCTATCGAGGATCAGCTAGGAGAAGTGCAGCTTTCGGACACAATTCCCTCCAATCACGTACAATCGCAGTTGAGTACTCCAGCAATGTTACAAGTTCCAAATGACAGTGCTGAAGATCAGAGTCAACCGCACTCTCAGGAGCAAGGTGAACAAGAACGAAGTCAAGAGGCTTCTTTGGAGCAAAGACTGGCGGAAAGTGTAGCGATAAGCGCCCCACGAGTGTCATCAGCAAACTCAGGAGCACCTATTCAAAGGACCAGCTCGTTCAGCGCCAACCCGATCAAGACAAGCAAAATCAATGCCAAGAATATCGCAGCAAATACGCTGGGGCCTCGGGAACAGGAAGCTGCCGACGAACCGGTGTTACGAGGAATACATCATCTTTTCAACAACCGCTTCACACAGGCTAAAAAGTTATTCGAGGAGAAAGCAGATACTGATCCTCTCTATGCGCTTGGATTAGGCAGCATGGCCTTTTTGATTGCAGCAATGGTAAGGAACGGTTATTTGGGGGGAAACAGGTACCGAGCTTAAATAACGGATTTGGTTATACTAGAGCGCAAGCGAACATGATATAAATGTGGCACTGGAAACTTTGGCCAACGCATACGCCATCGCCAACGCACAAATTAGCGCGACAAAGAAGCCATTTTCTCAAGTATTTTCTACCTATTATCGCAACATGACTAGTACCGGCCTACCCAATGGCCAACCTCCAACCACTCAACAAGACATGCAAGAAGAAGCCCGATCTCAGTCTGACTTTTTATCCAATGGCACCATGCGAGCACATGTGATAGTCGCAGAAAGCTGTCTGCAAACTGCTATTTTACAATTACTCCAAGAAAGCATCGTCAGCTACATGAAAGGGGCTCTCAATCTCAAACGATGTAAGTTTTTTTTTTTTTGGGTGTCTCATGCCAAACAAAATTTAATAGTCTTCTCACACCCTTTTGCGTTTTCAGCCTACAAGAGCTATAATTTAGCCTGGATTGAGTACAAAAAAATGGGGTCAGAAGCTCACAAGCTATTGGATGAAGACACGATATCTGGTATTCAGTTTGGGTAGGAATTTCATTGTTTTTTTCATACCATTCTGATGCAAACTATTGATCTAAATTCAACTCTATTTTTAATGCAGCATTGGATCTATTCATCTTCTGCTGCCTATGCTGCCACCGAAAGTTCTCAAAGTTGTCGCGGCTTTTGGATGGACTCCCGATCGACCACTCGGACTCTCGATGCTGAGAGAGTGTGCAGCTCATAAGAGAGTTCGTGCTCCCTTGGCAGCATCAATGTAGGTTGATCAAAAATATTAATGCAAACTGATACGGCAAGGATACTCAAATGACATTACAGGCTCCTGGCGTACTATTCTATATTGACAACATTTGCGCCTCAAGTCCTTGCAGCCGACAATATACAGCCAGCCATTGAGGTAATTTTTTTAAGCTATGCCAAACAAGTCATTGTACAGAGCATGACATTGAATCAAAAAACACTTTAGATCCTCTTGGAGTCACAGCAAGCGTATCCAAACTCGTCGTTTTTCCTATTCTTTGCCGGCTATACTTCAAGATTGACCAAGAACATAACGTTAGCTACTCAGTCATTCGAATTTGCAAAAGATATCGCACAAGGAGAGGTGAGTTGAAAGGATGTGTAGTAAAAGCCACTGAGAATGCTTTTAGCTGATGCTTACGTCCTTCATAGCTGGCGGAGGTGGAAGTGAGATTGTTGAGTCAGTACGAGTTATGTTACAACTATTTAATGTCTGCTGACTGGACAAAGGCTGCCACTGCTTTTAGCGAACTGCAAAAGGAGAAGTACTGGTCTGAAGCTTTTTGCAAATTTGCGTATGGCGCTTGCTTGGAAATTTTGGGTGAACGAACGGATGCTATTTTGGCGTTTGCTGAAGTTCCAAGCTTGGTGCCTGCTAAGGCCAGAAGCAAAATGTCAGGTCTTGACGCCTATGCCATTCGAAAAGTCGAAACCTTCCAAGAAAGCGGATACCAAGATATGGACCTCACCATGACCGTAAGTGTGAACTCTACCATTGTTTCAAGTGTGCTCTTATTGACATCACTTTATAGGCACTGGAAATCCTCTGCATCAACAATTTGTTCTGTATGATGGAAACGAAAACCTTGTATGACTGCTTGAAGCATGTAGACAAGGCTCTGGAATGCATTGCGGATCGAGAGAAGCAAGAATATGAAATTCGTATGAGAGAGCTTGCCCCTGGCACCCCGCCGCCAAATTACTTTGATCAAAGAGGCACGCTCTTGCTCATTAAAGCTTCTATTCTCAATGCCTTGCATTATTATCGCGACAGCATCCTCCACCTGAATTGGATTATTGACCATGACATGGCCTACAAAAACGAGAAATGGATTGTCCCCTTCGCCTGCTGGTACGTTATGGTGTAAAAATGTCGCCTATTTGAGACGCCTTTCGCTGAAATTTTATCCTTTACAGGGAAGCCGGTGTCACTACTTGGGGATTAGACGAAAAATCAAAAAGTCTAGCGTTCTGGGACAGAGCTATCTCGTATGGCAAATACGACTTTGAGTACCGTTTGACTTTGGTTAGTGTTGTAGCTGTAACATCTGCTGTCGTCTGAACAACCCACTAACAACTTCTCGTACAGCGTCTCACTCTTGCAATTGATCGTGCAGAGGAGATGGGAGTTCAACGACTTGCTCCTAATCAACCAGAGAAGGGATTGAGTACCAATGGAAGGACCAGGATGACGAAATTGAATGCTACTCCTCTCTCTCCTGACGAACCTGCTGGTAGCGAGTAACTTCCTGTTGCAACTTATAATCATGCCGATTACATCGGCTATATAATTTTTCATGTATCTTACCCTATCCCCTTGGGTATGGTGACAAAACGTAGGCGTATTGACAAATTTGAAAGTTTACAATAATGTTTTTATGGAGAAGAAATTACGATTGTCAAACTGTTCTATATATTCACTGTTTTGGTTTGTCTATTCAGTCATTTTCTGTCGGTTGGCAGCAATGATTTTTTCCTCATGGTGAAGAGTTCTCTGAGTTTGCTTCTTAGCAGCCAGTGCTTCAAAGACATTAGTGATCTTTGATTGTGCCAATCGCTTTTCAGCTTCTTCTTGTGCTCGTATAGCATAAAACTCGGATGTTGACTTAGCATATGCCTGTCGTTCAGTCAGATTTTCAGTTACCATCAGATGCAATTGGTATTTAATAACACTAAAATTTGAAAGGTTGTGAGTATGTTTCAAGAACAGGTGTTTGCTTTGCACTGTAGGTAATCCAACTTACGCTTCACCATCAACTTGCGCTGGGTTCATTCCTGGTAGAAGTAGCTGACTAAAGTCAGTGCGGTTAATGCCGTCTGTGGTTTCGACCAAAAGCTTTGGTCTTTGTAGTTCAAAAGGATGGTCCTTGTAAAATTGGCGTCTCAATCGGTCTTCGGGATAAACGATGGAGCGTGGCTTTGGTGCCTTTGTTTTCAAATTCTTTTGCTTATGTCGGACACTGGTATGAACGGTCGGTCGATTGGCCTGGATAAATTGCTGTTCTGATGCAGACTGGCCGGTGATGTTGACTTCTGGATTTTGTGAGCGAATAATGGAAGGACCAGGAGGAACAGCATTGACAGCAGCAAACCACGTTGGTGGCTTCTTTAATAATTTTCCTTTCAGTAGCCGGGAGACATGCTTTGAAAGTTCTGCTGGGGGGGCTCGATATGCCATGGTCAAAAAGTTATAGGAACAAGCAAAATATTGAAATGTGCGGCTTCAGCCACCCACCTTGCCAACCACTGTGACTGTCTTTGTTTTGGGGGCAGCAAAAAATTCCAGCTCTCTTCGCAAAAAATCCTAACTATCCAACTATTGCCATCCTCATGCCAGCAAAAAAGGGTTCAACGGCAAGAAAGCCATCCATAAAGGCTAAAAGTGGAGCGAAATCAAAAGCTCCACCGAAAAAGAATGCTTCTGCTTCAAAGAAGGCTCCAACTTCCGTACCCGCAAAGAAGAAAGACCCAAAGGTGAGACCTTCAAACAGGTGTTTTCTATTTCCATAGATCACAAACTAAAATCTCAATTGCAGAAGTCGAAAATACCAGAGTATCTCGAGGTTCCTACCCTTGAGGACGATGATCTTGTTGTATCTGATGAAGACATGCAATTTTTCGAGGAACACGGTGACTTTACTGGCTTTTTGAAGTCCATGGACAAGAAAGCCATCTCGAAGTAAGTGATCCATTTTTTTTCTACCATCTTATCGAGCAAGTTATTACTTTATACTGACTATTCTACTAGGAATGATGCAATTGTCAAAAAGCCTGTTGCCCGAGCTCCTGCAGCATCAGTCCCCGAGCCAGCTGAATTGACAGCTTCAGAGGATGAAGACTCAGATCTTGATGGTGACGACAATTTACCTCCTCTCAGTAGTTCTGAGGATGAAATGGAGGATGTTGAAGATGAAGAAGACGTACCCGAAAGCGATGAGGATATGGAAGAAGACGATCGGTATGCTGGATCTGACGAAGAGCAAGATTATGAAATGAAGCCTCGAAAGGTCTCTTCAGAATGGACAAAGAAAGATAAATTTACAAAATTGCCCATCAAGCTACCCGGCGGAAAGTGGGAACAGGCAGCAGAAGACGAATATTCTGACGACGACGAAGAAAAGGAGGAGCCTGTGCCAGAGATCGATAGTGAGCTGTCTGAGATCGAGATGGAAGACCCTGTCGAAACTCTGGAGCCTAAGAAGAAAACATTCGTGGCAAGAAAAGAGGAGCTTGCTCAAATTGCTTCGACCATCATGGAAGATCCAGAATCCAATGTGAGTGTGCATGCATTTACTGAAGGCTTCTAACTTGTATGAATTAACGATGTTTCTTATCAGATTGGTTTATTGAGAACCCTGAAAGCTATTTCCGAAGATAAGAACCCAAAGGTTGCCCAGTTGGCTCTTCTGACCCAGCTCGCCGTCTACAAGGATATTGTTCCAGGGTAAATTTGTCATAGTGACTTCAACACATATCTCAACAGCCAGAAACTCATCAATTTTTCGCAACACAGGTATCGCATTCGCCAATTGACCGAGAAAGAGGAAGCAATGGAAGTGTCGAGGGACGTCAAGAAAGTGCGCGCGTTTGAACAAACATTGCTCGCCAGTTATCAAGCGTACTTGACTGATTTGGAACAAATTTCAAAAAGTACGTTTCCATGACCGCAAATTTTTAGCGTTTCAATCACATATTCACATCAAATGACATAACTAACGCTTCTTATAGGAAAACCAGCTGAAGACTCTGAAGATTTGGAGGATAAGAATGCAATGGTTGCAACGCAATGCATGTGTCAGCTTTTGACCAACCTCACTCACTTCAACTTCCGCTTAAACTTGATGACTGCTGTCATCGCTAAAATGAGCACTGTTCATTGGACTAAGGTATGTTACGAGCAAGCGCAACCTAAGGCTACTCAATATACTCACCACAGTCATTACAGACTGCAGAGATATGCTGCAACGCCATTATAGAGGTGTTTAGACATGATGAAACTGGTGAGGCTTCACTTGATGCTGTCAAGCTCATCTCCCGAATGGTCAAATCCAAAGGCTATCTCATCAACGAATCGGTTATCAACACCTTCCTCCACTTAAGATTGAAAGATGAATTGCCCCCCGTAGCTGATAACGATGGTGAGAACATGAAAGGAAAGAAGCGACCAAAGTCAAATAGACCACATATTTCCAAGAAGCAACGCAAGGTCATGAAAGAGAACAAGGAGGTTGAAAAGGAAATGAAAGAAGCCGAAGAGGTAGTCACGAAGGAAGAGAAGGATAAGACGGTTAGTGCTTTGGCTTTAATATCTATGGCGGTGTACTGAGCATATCGTTCTAACTGAAATTTGTTGAACAGCACACCGAAACACTCAAGCTTGTGTTCGCTTGTTATTTCCGTGTTCTTAAGCATCACCAAACATCTAAACTTCTTCCTGCAGTTCTTGAAGGACTTGCCAAGTAAGCTATTCGTTGTAACTTTAAATCACGAGTGAAAGGTCTCTAATCAGCTTTGAATAGGTTTGCTCACTTGATTAGTATCGACTTTTTCCGAGATTTATTGGAAGCCATGAAGGCGGTCATGCACAGCGGAGCGAACACTGAAGACAGTGAACAAGCACCACTTACGGCTGCAGATACTCGCCGACGACTTCTTTGCTCTATCACCGCCTTCCAGCTTCTTTCTGGTCAAGGTATGCAACATTTTTATGGGAGAGCGATACCGAAATATGGCTACTGACAACCCTTTTTTTTTTTTTCAAATTCTTAGGTGAAGCCTTGAATCTTGATTTACAAGATTTCTATACTGAAATCTATCGTCTGTTGCTTCCTATGTCACTGGATCCTCATATTACCGACGCTCCCGGCGGCCAGGACACTAATGAAAGTAATGGTTCTGCAAGACCTACTAAATCTGCATTGGAGTCAGAGGCAGAATTGTTGACCAAAGGACTTGAGCTCATGTTCCTGAAAAAACGTCATGTACGTATTGGATGCAACGAGGTTGGATACAGGGATCAAATTGCTAAATACATTTGCTTTATAACAGATATCCATTCCAAGAGCTGCTGCATTCATCAAGCGCTTCTCCACCTCAGCACTCAATATGCCAGACAACGTGATTCAACATTATCTCACGTTTGTAAAGAAACTTTTGACCGTAAGTTATATCGATTTTCATACATTCATCAGCTAATTTGTACTGACAATGGGTATTCACTTACTGCAGAGAGAACCAAGGTTAGACGCTTTGGTTCAGTCTGAAGATAAAGCTGGTAATGGTGTGTACTTGCCTACGCTTGACGATCCTGAACTATGCAACCCGTTCGCTACCAGTCTCTATGAACTATATTTATATCAGGTAGGTGCTCTAAATGATCTGTCGTCCGCTTCATACACGATCTAACCTATGATCCCTCAACAGAACCATTACGATCCCAATATTCGATCCCTTGCTAAATCATTGGCTGCCTTCCAACCGGTTGGCAAGATTGTCAAGGCATAAGCTATTAAAAAATTCATCACATTTATGTAAATACAAAAAGCACATTTAGAGCCAAGCAAACATTCTTTGTTTCATTTTATATTTGTAGAAGGTATCATCAAAAAAGTAAAATGCGTATTGACACGCAACAAACCATTGATCTGGGTAAAGGAGATGAGCATGTCAAGGCTTGAATCCCCATATTTCGAGCTCGACACAATCAAATTTGCGAGAACTGGTTAATGGTTCGTTGTCAAAGGTTGGACACTCCTCTGTATGCCCTCGTTCCAAGTCCGAGTGCAGCCATAGTCCGAATTTGCCATCTCTACATCAGCCAGTAAATGTTTGTTAATCTGTGTGACCTTGTCCGGCACGGCACCACCCCATAGTTCGACCGATCCTTACCCTCCACCGATTGCTACGAAGTCCGTTTCGCTCAAAACCATGTAATCATTCTTTCCCGTCCAAGGATACACTCTAACTGAGGCACCATCTTTTTTGGAGATATCCGTCGCTCGCCATAAAAAGCTAAGCAGGTGTCAGTACTATGTTCAGAAAATATACGGGATAATGGTAGATAGACCCAAGACATTGGTTGCACATTACCATTCACCAGTACCATAGTATGCGGAAGAAGGCTTTAAAGGCTCGTTCAGGTATCCTCCAAATATCTATGACCAAAATTATAAGGAAAATAGGACAATGGTTCGAAGGTTTCAGATTTCCAAAACAAACCTGATCATTGTCATCCTTGATTGCTAATATACAGGGGCCTTTCCCTTTCACTTTTTGATACAATGTAGACAGACTAATACCATGCTGGTCTAAGCTGTACAATAGCGTCCAGCTGGAAGTAAGTCTGAGTCGGACTGGTAAGTGCGGCCGCAACTATCAATAAAATATGAATTAAGAACTGGATATCCATCGAAATCCATTGAGGTTTGAATCTTCATGCTTGGTTGGTCCGTTAGTGACTTACCGCGTCCGCCAACGACTCCGTAAGGACGGGATCTGTGTCATGCCGTCGATCGAGTAATTTCAGTACAGGCATGATGTGTTTGTAAGAATGTAGATGATGATAGTCGAGCAACTGCTAGTGTTTTTCTAGTTGACTACTGAGTGACTTGTTGCTATTCGTCTGCTTGTAGTGAATGCGACAATCAAAAGTGAAGGGTAGCGGGTGAAAGTTCGGTGCTGACGGCCCAAGTTTCCAGGTTTTGGAAAAAAAAAAAAAAAAGTTTACGCGGTAAATTGCACAAACAATCAATCACCTTGTTTCTCAGATAAAAATTATTTTATGGATCTTGAAGAAGGCAGCAATGCAATTAACGATATGGTGTATATACTTTATTATTACAAGAAACGTTGATGTGCGTCTCATAATAGCAGAAGTATCTACAATAGAAAGCTATTCCAATCAGCGACACTTACTTGACTTTGAATATCATGACAATGGATTATTTATATGCATTAGAACATAAACCTTTGAATGAAACTGATTCGAATTATGATATGCTACATGAATAGAACGAGCTCAATTATACCTTTGGGTATGAAGTTAAATATACAGATATGGAGTTATTAATGGCGACTAGGCTGATGTTAGTTGGCTAGTATAGCTTCGACTCTTCGTCTTAAGCTGAGGTGTTTTTGAATACGACCAATAGGTATGGATGGAAGTGGTCGTTTGGGTATACTTAGCTTTCGAACAAGCCAGTTATCTTTGGCTGAGCTTTGCTGCTGGTAAATGTGCGTGGTGGAGTTTCGTAACCAAAATCGGTCATCTGTACTGAGTTCTTCAAAATATTTTCCTTCAACGGGAGTCCGCTGCTCATGCCCTTTCTCAACTTCCTCCTCAGTGACTACCATCTCTTCCTTTGGTACCATAGGGTGTACAGCAATATCAGAGAATCCTCTTCGATGATGAGGAACTGGAACGGCAAATAAGGTTTTCAGCCTGAGAGAAGGACCTCGACTCAGGCTTATTCGCCGCTTGATTTTCATGGAACGTGATGAATCGACGTTGGCAGGCTCTTCTAATGGTTGAGTGGGTACAATGTTTGCATAAGTTGGAGGAGCAAACCATCTGACATCGACAGCATTCAATGGCGACACATCTTCAGTGTAGGCGATTGGCTGCTGGCGACTCAGTACGAGGCAGTTTGCCAGTAGTTTCTTGTTTGCATTATTTGTCATGTATCATGAGAAGTAGGAGGAAATAAAACAATACAAATTATTTCAAACAAAAGAAACAATGTAAAGCTGTAACTAATGTCCCAATTACGCACATAGCCGAATAGTAAAGGCAGCCTCATTTACGTATAGCTTTTGCAAGTCGATTCACCAATCGGACCAATCTCGGTTTAATACTACCGTGCCGAATTCGATCAAACAAGAATTGCATAGGCACTTGCATGAAGGCGGCGTGGTGAAGCAAATACAGCGAACGGTGTGGTAGGCTCATGTCTGACACTGATTAAATTGCTTTTATTCATTCATTGATATACAGAAGCCATTGACACTATCGTGGTACAAGAGATTACATATGCAAGATTCGAGGGTAAATAAGCAGACTGCATCTACGCTATACGGCTGTTCGCTAACAGTCCCTTGCAGCTTCATACATGCTTTTATATCTCCACTCATTTCTTTTTCTCCCATACGGTTCCTTCTGCTGACATTTCATTGTCAACTTGCACTTTGATAAGAGTTTCTAGGACTGATTTTCCAACAGTTGGCTCTAGAATGGCCACTGTATCTGGGTGAATAAAGCCATTGCTAACTCTATCAGCAAAAACTTGCATACATCCAGCTGCTCTGATGGGATTTGGCTCCCTAGCACATTCCGCTAGATGGAACAGCATAGACGTCTCCATTTCCAACGAGACAGTATCAGGGTGAGCCTCCATTGATTGCTGAATGACGTTTTCGTTATCGTCCCAAAAGGCAGGGTCTTTCCTGCCTTGCGATGAGTAGAAAGAGCAGCCATCAGCGTTCAAGCCATTAGCAACAACGCCGCCCACACCGTGCTTCCCGGTGATGGGTGCCATAGCAGTCTCAAGCTCTTGCACCAAAATTTGAGAGATCTCTTTGTCTGCATCAAAAACTCCAGAAATTAGGTATGGTTCAACAGGGCCTTTGGAAAGACGATTTTCTTCCTTGACAAAGTATTCTAAATTCTTGCGGATACAGTAACCTCCTCTGGGGACTACGACAGTGCCGGCGGGAGCGTTGGCACTAAGAGAACCGCAAGATCCAAATCGGATGATGGCTAGCGTACCAGTTGTAACCGCTCTTGTTTCTCGCACAAAGAAATCCATCATGCAATTACCCATTCCACTTCAAAACCATTTAGATCCGTATGCAGGAGGATATAGTTAGCAATGATATGCGCAAAAATGTACATAAATATAGGAACATACATGGCCATAATGGTGACAGGGATCCCTTTATATCGGCCTGTTATGGTCAAAAATCCTCGGTGACTATGGTTGACGAAAACTGGAGCACCAGCTTCGTCTTCGGTATCTAGCCACCTAGCAATGGCTTTTGCTCTAGCGTGGTCACCCACTGTGAGGATTCTGTTTGCGACTTCGCCATGGCGGATGCCAAGATGGTAGACTCTGCCTTCGGAGTCACGGGGGAAGTTGGCATTCGAAAGGGTCTCCTTCATGTTTCTGCAATGGGCAAGATTATAACACTGCAACTCAAATTGATACCAGATTTTATACTGTTACCGGCCATTCAAATTTAGTACCGTGCGAAACAAATGCTGCTTCATGAAATACTGCAGTTGTCGCTGACGATGTTCACCAATCAAGAAGCAATCATTTGAATTGACCATCATGTCGAATATATCTTTCAATTCGAACCTAATAACCTCTTTCGTTTGGTGCCTTACTTCTGAGACCATCAGGGTTTTATCGCTTACCAGCTCATGTCAGAGCTGCAGATTTTCTGCAGTCACAGCAGTGCGGAATTTATTTATTTTTGGGTGTTGGGTTTTTTTTTTTGTAGGATTATACGTCAAACGAAAAATGTCGGATTCCTCAGATTCTGAAGGACAAGCTCCTCATGTCGAACGCAAGATACCCAATATACTGGTAACTGGAACGCCAGGAACTGGAAAAACTACTACCTCGGAGATGATTGCTGAAGCAACTGGATTAACTCACGTCAATGTCGGTGACTTGGTCAAGCAAAAGCAACTCCATGAGGGTTACTTGGAAGAATTCGACACTCACATTTTGGACGAGGACAAGGTATGTAGCATTGATTTCGCCACTGCACTCAGTCCGTTTTTTTTTTCTCGCTAACTTTCTGTTCATACTTTCTTTATCAGCTGATTGATGAATTGGAAGAGGTTATGGAAGGTGGAGGCAAAATTGTCGATTTCCACTCTTGCGGCATATTTCCCGAGCGATGGTTTGATCTCGTCCTTGTGTTGAGAGCAGAAACCAATGTTTTGTATCCCCGCATGGAGAAGAGGTGAGTTTATGGCTATGTTGGCTGGCTGAAAAGAACGTGTTGGCTGATAGACATTTTTGATAGAAATTATAATCAGCGCAAAATCACTGAGAATATCGAGTGTGAAATCATGCAAGTTGTTCTTGACGAAGCAAGAGAGTCATATGCTGAAGAAATCGTCATTGAACTACCCAGTAACGACATTAATGACATGGAAAGCAATGTTGATAGAGTACGACAATGGGTAGATATCTACAAAGCAAATCATTCATAGACCTTTCAGTGTACATCTCCTACCACCCTTTTTCTTCACGCGTCATATACACATCTGTAACAAACTCCTTCATTTTGTTCAAATTGTGGCATTTTTATGAAAGTTGAATATTTACAATCTTTTGTTTTTAATGAGGCATATTCATAAATCAATCCTAATGTAATGTATTATATATGCATCTACTCCTCTTAATGACCCTCAGAAGCGTTGAGTTGATCCAACAATTCAGCAAGGACTTCTCCAACCTTGTCACCAATCTCAGTGGTGGTCTTGTCACCATGGAGATCCTTAGTACGGTAACCCAAACCGGGGGTAGAAGCTTCAGGGCTGTCCAAAACCTTGCGAACAGCAGCCTCGATAGCTTCCGCTTCCTTTTCAAAGTTGAGGGAGTAACGCAACATCATGGCGGCAGAAAGAATGGTGGCGATGGGGTTGGCAATTCCTTGACCAGCAATATCGGGTGCAGAGCCGTGAATAGGTTCATACAAGCCAACGCACTTGCTCTTACCGTCAGGCAGACCATTCAAAGAAGCAGAGGGCAAGAGACCCAAAGAACCAACAATGACAGATGCCTCGTCAGACAAGATATCACCAAACATGTTCTCAGTAAGAACAATTCCGTTGAGTCTCTTGGGGTTCTGAACCATGTGCATAGCAGCAGAGTCAACAAGATGATGCTCGAACTTAATTTGAGGGAACTCCTTCTCCAAAGTCTCAGTAACAGTCTTGCGCCACAAACGTGAAGTAGCAAGAACATTAGCCTTGTCGATGGAGTGAATGGTAGCGATTGGGCTCTTGGCAATAGCCAAGTGAGCAGCTAAGCGGGTAACACGCTGGACTTCCTCAACGGAGTAAGGGAGAGTGTCATAGGCTAAATTGCAACCGAGTTAGCATAGTTCGAAGGAACGATAAAACGTGTTTTCAATGTGCTAAATTACCTTTGCCATCTTCACCGGCTTCCTTACGTTCACCGAAGTAGATACCGCCAACCAACTCACGAACGAAAAGGAAATCAGTACCGTGCACGACGTGATCCTTGAGAGGAGACAAGCTAATGAGTGACTCGGAAGGAATGGAAACAGGTCGGAGGTTGGCGTACAAGTCAAGAGCCTTGCGAAGCTTAAGCAGACCTTGTTCAGGACGAGGTCCACTGCCAATCTTAGCACCGGGAAGACCACCAACGGCACCCAAAAGAATGGCGTCAGCAGCCTTGCACTTCTCGACAGCAGCATCAGTGAAAGGATCACCTAATGCGACAATATATGAGCTACTATAAGATTTCTACACATGTGTTAACTAGCAATAAACTTTACCTGTCTTGTCCATAGAAGCAAGACCAATAAGTTCCTCCTCAAAGTTGAAGGTGGTATGTGTGACGGCAGAGCGCTTGTCATTCACGATCTTGAGGATCTTGATAGCCTCTGCGACGACTTCTGGACCAACGCCGTCTCCACCGAGAACGACGATGTTTGCTGTCTTTGATTGTGCCATTTGTATTTTAGTTATAGAAAGAGAAAGAAATTGACAGATTTAGCGGGGGTCATTTTATATGCCCACTTATAAACTTTCACGCTATGAATCAAACATGATCATCTTAGTGATTAGCCAATCAGATGTCTCGAACAATAATTCTACTCCAATGGGATGAACTTTTGCCGGTGAAGCTTTAGAGTGTAAGGTTACTGATTCTGTTCTATGTAAAAGAATATAATGCACATTATTTTTATTCTAACCAGCAGTGCTCATAATTGAAATTGCTGTAAACCACGCACTCAAGCTCAAAACACACCACGCTACCTGCATTTTTTGCCTGCGACCAAAGTCCGCCAGTATCTTTTAGCCACCGAGATCACTCGCCGCGACCAAGATCACCATGTGGTCTACTAAATACCAAGTACGAGCACATTCACCCTATGTTTCGGAGCATCCTATGGATCTCTCCTTCGCCGAAGGAGATGTCATTGATGTTCTTGGCGAAGAGAACAGTGATTGGCTGAATGGATGCACCGAGGATGGCCGATTTGGCAGTTTTCCAAAGCAGTACGTAAGTGAATCCCAGCAGAGTCTTACACCGCAACCCAACCTTCGCCAGGGCAGTGCAGAGTATGATATGGTTGCTGCAAAACCTGTACCTCCTGCACGGCCAGAAGCTCGACCAGCCGTTCCTGTATCCACCAGACCGACCTCTCATTCAACGGCCGCAAAGGCAGTCCCCACGCCCCCACCTCGCCATCCACCCGCTATGCCCAAACGCCCGTCAAATAACAAGTCGGCAGCCCAGGACATACCCGAAATTGGACGCTATATACCAGATAATTCCCAGGATATTATAGATAGATTAAGGTTGGTATTAGAAATCCGCTACCTCTCATGGTTTTGACAAGTGCCAAGCGTCTAACGGAACTTATATCGAAACGCTAGAAGCACCACCCCGGTCACAACACCGGACTTCACTGAACCGATTTACTGGGAAGAAAGTGATATGGCAGAGCTGGACGAGTATGCAAGAGCTTGCCCGCCTGAATATACCCATTCTGTTCAGGACCTTGCCGCTTACCTCACCGACCCGTTCCCAGAACCTCTGCACAAAATTCGCGCTATCTTCGCGTGGGTGACCGATAATATCTCCTATGATGTGCATTCATTTTTGAATCATCTCAGGAAGTCGCAAGAGCCACAGGATGTACTCAAGTCAAGATCTAGTGTTTGCGAAGGTTATGCTCGACTGACTCAAGCACTAGGTGAAGCCTGCCGTCTTCCTATCCGTATGATAACTGGGTATGCAAAAGGTGCATTTTTGAAACCGCAAAAAGGCATGAGAGTAGACGATCGAGGTGGCCATGCTTGGAATTGCATCCTACTCCATGGACAATACCTTATGATTGATTCTACGTGGGGAGCTGGTCATTTGAAAGCTGAAGGCGCCCCTTCCTTCAACAAGGCATTCAATCCATTTTTCTTCCTGACCGATCCAACCAACTTCATTTACTCTCACTTTCCCAAAGACGTGAATGATCAGTTCTTGAACCCTCCTTTCTCTGAGTCCGAATTCTTTGATCTACCTTGGACAAAAGAGACGTATCATCGACACAACCTTTTATTACTCTCGCCCAAACCAAGAACCAGTGTGATGGAAACAAATGATGATACGTTAGACATTTTCATTGAAGTGCAAGGTAAAGGAGCTGCTAGTAAAGTGGACAAAATTGGTGGGCAGCTCAAAAGCAAGGACGGTCGTGCTCAGCCAGCCATAGGCCAAAGAGCTGTTGGTTACAAAGCAGAAGGACGGGATGTGTGGTGGATTCATGTTGTATGTTCTGGATCCGGAGAGTTCGAACTGGAATTATTTGTATACGAGTCTGCTGCTGACAATAGGGTAAGTGCTGAGCTTCCGTTATTTTAATCGGTCTGTCTGGATACAAAAATTAACGACAATCAAAAATCGCTGAATTTTCTCTAAACTTGGCACTTCAGAATGCTTCGTTAGGAAATATAGGCCGAAGTTGCATGACGATGACAATTCTCAATAGTGGAAGAGGCTCAGCGCAAATTCCGGTCCAACTGTATTCACTTCCACGTCCATTAACATTGGTATCGCCACTCTATCAAAACATTTCTTTGGGCACTGAACGTTTTCAAATAATCATGCCAACTGAACCGTCGGAACGAAACCCACCAAAAATCACAGTCATGTCGTCTTGGCAAGATCAGCAAGTGGTTAAATTGGTCAAGCAAGAACCCAGCCAAGCTTGGTATGAAGCGGACATAACGTTTCGACAACAGACAACATATAATTTGTGTATAGAAAAACCAACAGCACAAGTTGGGAGGTCTGAAGTCTCTTATATCTGCGCGTTTAATCCAACTTGATTCTGCCAAACAATAAAAAATAAAAAATAAAAAGCGTAGTAGAAATATTTGCGTGCATGGCTGAGGCTGACACAGCCATCTTGTGGCACCCGCAGTGTTTGACGTCACGAAAATGCTGCCAAGTCCACAGAACTATATATATATACCTTGCTGGTGCCTTTTTTTTCTTACTTTTCTTCTTACAACTTCTGTCAACAACAGTATGGGCATGAAGCTGAATCTTCCTATCAATGTCCCGGCTAGCATGTCGAGTCTGCCTACCATAAAGTTCTATCTTCATATTGCTCAGGTCGCCCTGACACTTATGACGATCATTCTCGTCGCTCCTGTCATCAGTATCGAAGCAAAATACTGGGTAAGTTTCAAATCAATAACCGTGTAAACGAGATCTTATGGTTTCTAAACCTCTATAACTGTTGTTCAACGTATAGGGAGGAAGTAAAGCAGCCCCAAACTGGACACTCGTCGTCGGTATCTTGACACTTCTTGTGCCTGTAGGCATGGTATATTTCCGTAAGTAGCGTGACGGACCGAGAATATCTTATTCTAGGATGTTGTTGTGGGATGCCAAAAACTGTTGAGCTAAGCCCGCCACTATCTGCACTCCGTTTTAGCTTGGGCGTATGATCGACAGGATAAATTCAAGGTCCTGGGAAAGTTCTTTTTGAAGTCTCGTTCAGCGCTTGTCTTGACTGTCTTCAACTCGTTTCTATGGCTAACCGCAGCTCTTGCAATGACGGTCCATAGCACTGAGGCTGTCAACTGCGCTCTGGACGGTGATCTGGAAAAGTCAGACGGCTCATACGCGGCTTCATGGGCGAATCAGGTAAGCATCGCGCGATAGGTTTCTATTTATCTTTCGGGTTGGGTCACTGAACTTTTGCGTTTGGATTTTAGTGTAATTGCGGCAAGGCTACAGCGGCGTTTGCTTGGTTCACATCTTTTGCCTGGCTTGGAACTGTGGTCATCACTGGCCTGGTCATGTACAGCGAGAAGCAGCAAATTCAGCAAAATTTGAAAAACCATGAAATGGACGCGGCTGCAGACAGACATGATGATCCAGTTGATCCATCCTATCGCACGTACGATGAAGAAGCTGATTATCAGCCCACGCATATGGGTAACACGGAGAGTATGCCTCTCAACAGCCCCCCAGATATGCATCAACAACAGCATTACTATGACCAAAGTCCTCCACCTCGCCAACAAACCTATAGCCCAGACTATCCAACCTACGGCAACACTCCCACCATGCCTATTCCTCAACCTACACCATCCCCCACATTTGGACAAGCACCTCATGCCTCTCCCAACGCCTACGATACAAACCCACCTCAACCCACATATTACCATTAGTGCTTAAAACATACCAACCTCCATATTCAATTGAATAAGATAGATGATTTTGTATAGGGTCGAATACCTCTTTATCCTTGTTTTGTAGGATCAATACCTAGCTCTTCTTTTTTCCCTCACCGTAATCCAAAATATTTTTTTTTCCTCATTTTTCAAACAATCAGCAGCCCGCATTTCTAAATTTTGCCACTCGGTACACTCTTCCTTTCACTGTACTTGCAGCTCCCAAATTGACAATGTGGCGATTTCAAAGCTGCAAATCGCTACTGTATCTATTCGTACTTAGCTTCGTTATACCTGTATGGTGTAGGCCAACTCTCGTATTGAATGAAGATTCAAGAGGCATTATACCCATTGCATCGTTCGGCTTCTTGGCAGGCGGCCAGCTCAAACTGGAATGGTCCGACCTCAAGGTAGATAGCGTTATATATAAGTTTGGTTGAACGGTTTTATGAATACGACACCTTTGCTCAATTCTGGTTCCTCCAATGTTATAGCTGACCACTCCTTCGGCATCCGGAAGCCTTGCGTTTTACGTTCGAAAGACCTTGTCGGAGGATGCCACGTATATGGTGGATGATAATATGGCAGAAGCACTGGACCCTGATGTTGAGACCCAATGCTTTCTGGACGCAGAGTTTGTCAGTGATGAAGTCGCTGATGGTATAACTATAATTGTCGATATCGATGCCACGAAACCGGAAGGCTCCTATGAACACACAATCCAACCGGATGAAGAATTCCTGTGGACCGTTCACTTGATAAACTGCAAGCCTTCTGCTTTAACTATAACTGTGAGTTTGCTTATGGTTTTTGTTTCATTTCACAAAGTACTCGATCAACTCATGCCTTGCAAATAGTTGAAGACCACAGAAATCAACCCTGGCCCGAACTACCTTAGTGCGGGAGACAGCCCATTGCCGACCGTGTACGGAGTTTCGTCAATTACGTTCTTTGTGGCGGCTGCAATCTGGGGCTTCTTACTCTTCCGTAACAAATCACAAAGAGTTTTCAAGTCACACTATCTCATGTACGTGGTGCTATGGCCCATAATTCGATTGGATGATATATTACTTTCTTTTGCTGATTATGAACATTTATGCGATTTCTACAGGCTGGCGCTGATGGCTTTTGTTGGCATTGATAAAGCATGCGAATCGGTAACTGTCTTTCTACATCCTTATCCATCTCGTTAAAAACGTATAACTAACCTGTAGCGTACCGTAGGCCAAATATCATTACATGAAAATTGGAGTTGTGGCTGAGGGTTGGACGATAGGATTCTATATCTTTGCTTTGTACGTCTCATGAAAGGCAATGTTTTCTTTTTTTTTAACCGTAAACGCCACATATTGACAGCTCTCGTTTTCAGCATCAAAGGTTCTCTTAGCATTCTCATCATTGGTGAGTAAATTTCTGTTGATCTGTTCAACATCGACCAACGGCTAACCTAAGGCGTTATGCAGTTCTCATCGCTTCCGGATGGATGTTCATTAAGCCCTTCTTGTCGTCAAGGGATAAGCGTATTATCTCCATCATTATTCCTCTTCAGGTTTTAGCCAATATTGGATCCTTCTTTGTCAGTGAGACCGCGATTGGATCTATGAACTGGTCATTCTGGGTAAGGTAGCATTCAAGCTATAATACATAACGATAGCGATGTCTAACTCCTCCTAATTTGTAGAGAGATATGGTTCCCATTGCTGACCTTGCTGCATGCGGCGTTATGCTATGGACTATATTGCAAACCCGTAAGCACTTGAACCAAGGCTCAGAAGCGGATGGAAAAGGTACAGTTCATAAAATTTTCATTAAAAATCTGAATGAGTTTATCATACCAAGCATACTTATCCTACTCCTCGTGGCTTGCAGAACTTGATGTGTTGATGAAGTATAAGCTTTGGTCTACGTTTTATATTGTTACATTGGTCTACCTGTATGTGACCCGAATCCTGGTTGGATTCTTGCAAGTTGCTCTTCCCTATCGCTATATCAACTGGCTAGGAGAAGCTGTGAGCGAGATTGCAACATTGCTCTTCTATATTTTCATTGGGTAAGCAAGCTCACAGTTTTTAAGGATATAGGTAATGTTGTAGTCTGCCGTTTGGTCTAATCCCTCTGCCCATAGCTACAAATTTCGACCCTATAGTGACAACCCATACATGCAAGTTCCAACCGATGATGAGGAGGAGGATGAAGACTATGAGCAGGACCTTCCTACTTCTCGTGAAGCTCATGGGTTGCAACAAATTTCTCGTAGGGAACCTAGTGGACAAGAAGTTTAAAGCTGCTGGTTGGAAAACCTGTTCTGGCGTACTTCTAACAAGAGTGTTTCTGGTATTCATATCACATGTATATTTTATTTTTTTTCTACACTCTCATGTACCTTTTCATACTTTACACCCATTCATTCGCTTTCATTTTACATAACCCACTTTGCTACTATCTAGTCTTCTATATCAGACTGTGCAATGTCCGATTTCAAGGATGTCACCTTCAATCTAGAAATACTTTTCTCCAATGTTTCATCGAGATTGTGGTTTTTGTATTATTAGTTCTTATTACATTTCCGACGCTTGGCACCAGCGAGTCGGCATAGGCACACAAATTTGTCTCGTAAACTCCGTCTGCTCTTCTGGGACATGTGCAAACTTCCTTTTATCACTTGAACCATTACGACATGGCATTACATCAACGATTTCGTTACCCTATAGCTGGCCTGCTAACAGCAAGTCGGTCACCACATAGTAAAGTATCTTAAATAAGCTTGTTCTGAGGAGCCTCATGGCATTTTTTTAATCAGCCCGTTATGACTTCAGCGGTTTACAATCCAAAGCACTTTCACATTGCTCGATTCTCCAGCACACCCTCACAGTCCGAACACAGAGCTGAAACTATTCCAACCTCTCTACCTAACTTTGATGCAGTTCGTTTTGTCTCGCTCCTGGAGAAAGAAGGCTTTTCCAAGAATCAGGCAATGGCAGTCGTGTCCGCCCTGGACGATGTCGTGGAGGAGAGGTAAGCTACCTTGGCAGTACCCTCGCTGAATCCAAATGAACGTATGCTCATAAATGTCTTTAGCGCTTCTATCATCAAATATTCTCTCATCAGCAAAGCTGACCAGGAACTGGTGAGTACTCTTTGATCATACGATGGGGTTTTCCATGGACCTGGTCGAACTCACAATCATGATAGACCATCAATCAATACAAAGCAGATTTTTCCCAGCTCAAAAGGGATATACATGAAGTGGAACAAACCGATGTAGATAATGTCAAGCAGGCAAACGAATACCTCAAATCGGAAATTGAGAAATTAAAAAAGGCGCTGAGTGAGGAGATTACACGATCTCATGCCGGCGTTCGATTAGATATCAACCTGGAGAAAGGACGTATTCGCGATGAAGGATTACTGCTCCAGGACCACTTGCAGCATACTGACCACAGAATCGAGAGTGAGATTCGAGCGCTGAGAAAACATATGGAAGGCATCAAGCTTCAAATTCTACAGTATATGATCGGTAAGCCAAACTGGATTTAAAAGCTCAATGGTCGGATGCTTCCTTAATATTAACATGAATGGTCTCTATTAAGGTACCATTACTACCGCTGGAACTCTACTTTTAGGTAATGTCTGAGAATTTTTGTCTGCAGTTTTGACTCTCTGACCAAACGTGTTGATCTCCTTTTCATTTTACAGCATACAAGCAGCTTATCGAGTAATGGATGCATCTTCAAGGCTTACATTATACTACTATACTTTTGATGGCGCGACAATCTAGATGATGATGCGTCAATTTGAAGACCGTATTGCTTTTTGCAGCATAGTTTGGAGTGTTGTATTTTTCCATATAGAAATGACGATGTCCTAAAAATTCGCCTCTGCTAAAAAATAATGATATTTAAAAAAAAAAAAATCTCAAGATGTATGATTTCCACATCATTGATAGTTCTTCTGGCTAAACCGATTCCGTTAAGTACTTTGAAGCTTGCTTAAAAATTCTGGTCTATTCAATAATGTTTTGCAACGCATATCATGAACTCGTGCGTACAAATAAGTAATTCCCTTTAAAATGAACTTTCACTCGGCGAAATAATGCAGCCTTGAGCTTCTACCACTTACCAAGTAGACATCTTCACGTCGCAATATAGCAGTGAGCTGTAGTTATTAAGCATACTTTTCCTTTTTGAAAGTTATAGAAGCCAAAAAGAACAGAGACAGTACAGCAAATAATAGAAAGATAAAACCAAGATGATAACAAGAAAAAAGAAAAGGCAAGCTGTAAATTATAAACTCGATCGAAAAAGACTCTATCGAGCATATAGTTTTCATGTAAGCTAACGAATCATTGAAAATATTTCTGCAGAAGGTCAGACGCACTAGTCATACCTCTTGAAGCCCCAATAGCAACGATGGAGTTATTGAAATTGACAATTTGCGGAATGGTCAAGCTCGAAATGATAATAGTGGAATTTGGAGAGCTAAGTAAATCTATAACGTTTCCGCTTAGATCCAGTAGTCTTTAATATATATATATAGTTTTTTTGGCACAAATGCTGGATCTTGATTGCAAAAAGAAAGGATATTGAAATGCGGATGACAGCTGTCAGATGAATAAATCTGGTAATAACCAATGAGTTGAAATCTCACCAGTAAATGCAAATCATTGATTAGGTTTACCTATGTGAACTTCTTTAAATTACTTAAGTAGCATATAGCTATACTTGGAGCTACTCAAAATTAGTAACAAGCTCACATGGTCATCATTAACTGGATTTCCATCTCTGTTTTTATTCGAAAGCTACTCATAAATGTATGTATGTCCATATTCGATATAAATACTATAACATCATACTGGTAGTAAAGCAAATAAATTAGATTTTAACTTTGTATATGTTATAGTCGTGAATGTACAGGCATACAACATATTGAATAGCATTGTAATGAATAAGAAAGTTTCGTCTAGAACATCTACTTTTTATCATTATGTCTAAAATATAGTGGTCCAACTGACATCCAAATGGGGATGTAGCTCAAATGGTAGAGCGCTCGCTTAGCATGCGAGAGGCACCCGGATCGATGCCGGGCTTCTCCACTCTTTTTTTATTTTTATTAATTTTTGGTCAAAATCAACAGTCACATGATTGAGATTTTAATGGGTTGCTCTTGTTTTTCACAGTGTTGCGCAGCCGTGTAAAAGTGGCCCATAAACAGGCACAGTTACTTATGATTCATTGACTTCAATATTAAATGACAAGCGGGTCTCGCATGTACCATCTCAAACATGTAATTTACTCTTTTTGGCCAATCTATTGTAAAATAAGAATTGAGCTATCCCAGTTACTTATGAGCAGAGATATTTATAACGTTTTTTTTTTAGAATCTCATGGATACAATTGACAAATGCAATGACGTCTGTTCACAGTATCATTGCGCAGAAACGCAAAATACAACTTGAGTTTTTATTATTTGATTCTTATTTAGATACTTTTTGATATAAAATAAATGGGTAGAAATTTGGCGATAGCTGATTTTGATAACGGCATCTTCGCAGAAAAACTCCGGAATTCGCACCTATGCCCAGCATCGCCTTTCTAGTCTTCTGTGAGTTCCAATAAACAGTGACTTTGGAGGATAGCGAGAATTACATCCTACAAAGCCGATGGGGTTCCGACTCGCAGTACTGTCTAAAAAACAAAGACATCGGAATTCAAATTAATTCACTTTTTGTTGGCTGGCTTCAGTCGAGTTGTGGTCTAGCAGCGCACTAGGCAATATCGAGAGCATAATTTTCTTCACCATCGTAAATTTAAAGTACAATATAGAACTTGTTTGCCATCAAGAGCCAATGCTTGCGAGTGTTAGTCATCTCTTGTATTGCATTTTTTCTTTACATAAACATAGCTACAGGCGGAGTAAAGCGTCAAATGTATGCTCTGGTTTTCCCAGCAATCCTCACAATGTGACATACTTTCCCCCACTGGCGACTCCTACGTCGAGAGTAAATTCGCATTCATTCGGGCAGTTCAGTTTCATTAATTGAGTTTGTCATATATTTTTTTAATCGTAGTGGAAGTTATATATGATAAATCGATGATAGAATGCAAGGGCATATGCGAATAAAATAACAGTGTGGAAGTGCGGGAGGGGATTGTGAGGAAGATGTGAAATTAAACCACCCAAAAAAACAAAAAATTATTTCCTAAGCTTAGGGTGGATAATGAAATCATCCAAAGCCTTTCCACCAGGAACCATAGGAACCAACAGTTCCTCCTTGCAGACGCGGCAATCCATAACAACGGGGCCGTCGTGTTCTAAGAACTCCTTCATCTTGGACTCAAGTTCTGATGTGTTGTTCAACTTAATACCCTTGACGTGCATGGCCTCAGCAAGCTTGACAAAGTTGGGGTTGTGCATAACAGTTCCTGAATATCGCTCCTCGTAGAACAAATCTTGCCATTGCTTGACCATTCCTTGGAAATCATTGTTCAACAAAAGGACCTTCACACCAATATTGAATTGAGCAGCGGTAGCCAATTCGTTCATCTAAAATAATAACAGTATGAGTGACCAAGTTACAGAAAAAAAGGAGCGTAAAATGAAAACACAAGAGTATTAAACTTACCGTCATTGAGAAGGAAGCATCACCATCAATATCGATAACAACGTGATCAGGCTTTCCAACCTTAGCACCGATAGCGGCAGGTAAACCGAAACCCATGGTTCCGAGACCACCAGAGGTGATCATAGATCTAGGTTGAGACCACTTGAAATGCTGTGCTGCCCACATTTGATGTTGGCCGACACCAGTAGTAATAATAACCTTATCCTTATAAGCAGCAGTTTGTTTGTCGAGTTCATCGATGACCTGTTGAGGCTTCAAAGGATCGGTATCATTTACAGGAAGATCGTAGTAAAATGGGTATTTCTTCTTCCAGTCTTGGATGCAGTCAAACCATTCCTTGCGCTCATTGCCTTCGATGTGAGGAAGCATAGAAAGCATGTTTTCAGTGACATCGCCTTCAATGGCTTCGGTAGCTTGAACAACCTTGTTGATGTTCTTGGGAACAATCTCAAAGTGGAAGATACCGCCACGGTTTTCTTCAGCAGCCTTTTTGGCTTCAGGAGCAAACAACTTGGGGTTACCGGTGACACGGTCATCGAATCGAGCGCCAAGAGCAATAATGACATCGGCGTGTTGCATGGCCAAGTTAGCGTAGCAAGATCCGTGCATACCCAACATTTCCAAAGACTTGGGATCTCGCTCATCAAAAGCACCCAAACCGCAGAGAGTGGTTGTGACAGGAATGTTACCCTTTGCGGCCAATTCTCTTAACACGGCTGGTCCGTCAGGTCGTGCGAGGATACCTTGACCAGCATAGATAACAGGACGCTTTGATTTGTTGATAGTTTCAGCCACCTTAGCCAACACGCTATCCAACTGATAAGGTTGCTCATCGGTGAAAGCTGACATTGCGGTGTTGGAATAGCGAACGGATTTGGGAGTAGAAGGAGTGACCGGAATAGGGCGTCGAAGAATACCAGCCGTGACATCTTTGGGAAGATCAACAAGCACAGGGCCTGGTCGGCCACTAGTGGCAATCTCGAATGCTTCATTGATACGTCGGGGCAATTCAGCAATATCCTTGACCATGACGTTCCATTTTGTGCATGATCGTGAAATACCCACCACATCGGCTATTCAATTAAAAAAGGGTTTGATTAGATTTCCATCGATTGGAGGCGCATACAAAGTCAGTTAGGACTGCTTTTCGGAGAGCAATTTTTTTACCTTCTTGGAAAGCATCAGAACCAATAGAAGTCGTTACCACTTGGCCAGTGAACACAACCAAAGGAGTTCCATCCGCCAATGCATCCGCCATAGGTGTAACAACGTTGGTTGCGCCTGGACCGGATGTGACAAGGACAACACCAGGTCGTCCTGTTGCTCTAGCATAGCCCTCGGCCATGTGTCCAGCACCTTGCTCGTGTCGAGGTAGAATGAATTCAAAGTTTTTGGATTCATGGATAGCGTCAAACACTGGAAGAATAGCTCCTCCAGGATAACCGAACACATGCTTCACACCATGACGAAGCATCATTTCATGGAATATTTCACCTCCGGATTTGCCGATGAATGAGTGGTCGAAGACCTGAGCTGGTTTTGTATGAGCGACGGGTGCAGCTGGTCGACGGTGTGGTTCTGCTTCGTAGCTAGAAGTTCATGATATGAGATTTCATTCCCCCTGTGAAAAAAAGACCATGCTATAAAACGAAACTCACCTTGATGGTGAAGTAGCCACAGCTGCTGCTGCACTCTTTGTTTTACGGCTAGTGTGTAGAGCGCATGCTGGGATTGTAGTTCTTCTCAAGATATGACGGCTTGTATACCGAGGAGCAAGGCCGGCAGTTCTAAAAGCTGAAGACAGCATTGGGGAAAAAAAGGGGAGGAAGAAGAAGTTCTTTGGAAAAAAAAGAGAGAGAAGTGAATATTATTTTATTGTCTTATAGAAAGCTGAATGGTTAGATTCTAAGTGAGTCAGGCTATAACCTTACCGAATCAGAAACAAGTATAATAGCGATCATGTGAACACACTGGAGCATCGATGATAATCTCAGCTCAGACCAGTCACAGTGGGCCAATCAACACGTCGGTGATATTGGATGTGTCAAACCCAAGCTGATTGAGTCTTTAACAGCATTTTAGGTGCCGCATGAATCCCGTTTATAAAACCACGCTGGATTTTTTTCCTTTCGTTTGAAACCTTTCATCTTATCCAATATCTTCTTGATGTCTGCTCGTATCTTCACCACCGCTGCCCGTGCTGCTGCCCGTGCTGCTCAGCCTCGCGTTGCTATGCAACTTGCTCGTCCCATGTCTGTCTTGAGCAAGGCTGTCAAGAGCTCTGCCATCAAGTCCACTGTAAGTAGTTTGGTGCCGTCCATTTCTTTTTTGATCTGACTTGATCGCTTACTCCTTTACTTGCACAGATCACCCAACAAGTCCGTGGTTACAAGACTCTTGACTTTGGTGGTACCAAGGAGACCGTCTACGAGCGTGCTGACGTTCCCAGAGAGAAGCTTCTCGAGACCTTCAAGGATGACACCATTGCCGTCCTTGGATACGGTCCCCAAGGTCGTGGACAAGCTCTTAACCTCCGTGATAACGGTGTCAACGTTATCATCGGTCAGCGTGAGGGTAAGACCTACCAACAGGCTATCGAAGAAGGATGGGTTCCCGGAAAGAACTTGTTCCCCATCTTGGAAGCCACTGAGAAGGCTACCGTTGTCATGAACTTGCTTTCTGATGCTTTCCAAAAGGCCATCTGGCCCGATATGCTTCCTCTCTTGACTCCCGGAAAGACCCTTTACTTCTCTCACGGTTTCTCCGTTGTCTACAAGGACCAGACTGGCATTATCCCCCCTAAGGGTAAGTACTCGTAGCTTCATTCTTCACGTTCCCTTTACCCCTCTTAACACTAGATTCCATTTTAGATGTCGATGTTGTCTTGGTTGCCCCCAAGGGTTCCGGTTTCACTGTCCGTCGTCTTTTCCAAGAGGGCCGTGGTATCAACTCCTCTTTCGCCGTTTTCCAAGATGTCTCTGGCAAGGCCAAGGAGCGCACTATCGCTCTTGGTGTCGGTATCGGCTCTGGTTACATGTATGAGACCACCTTCTACAAGGAAGTCCACTCTGATCTCGTCGGTGAGCGTGGTGTCTTGATGGGTGCCATCCAAGGTCTTTTCCAAGCTCAATACGAAGTTTTGAGAGCCAACGGTAGGTTTCGTAGATAATCTTGATGGGAAGTTGGGTATCGGGGAGATCTAGCGGAATTTGAAATACTGATCAACTTTTTGGATACTCTAGGTCACTCCCCCTCTGAGGCTTTCAACGAGACTGTTGAAGAGGCTACTCAATCCTTGTATCCCCTCATTGGTGAGAAGGGTAAGTCACGATCAACCATTCGTTTTAGTCTGAGATAGCCTGGATCTAACAAGCTCCGGTTTCCCCTATAGGTCTCGCATACATGTTTGCCAACTGCTCCACAACGTAAGTTGAATTCTATTCCTTCGCTGTATGAAATCTTCCACATACTAAACTCTTTTTATCACAGCGCTCAACGCGGTGCTCTTGACTGGTGGAAGCCTTTCTACACTGCCTCTAAGCCGGTTTTCGAGGATTTGTACGAATCCACCAAGAACGGTTCCGAGACTGCTCGCTCCTTGGACCGCAACTCTGAGCCTGACTACAGAGAGAAGTTGGAGGCCGAACTTGCTGAGATCAGCAACAGTGAAATGTGGAGGTATGTCATGGCTTCAATACAATCAAAAATTTTTCTCATTTGTTTCTGGCGTGCTAATGTTTGGTTTCACCCTTTACAGAGCTGGTGTCACTGTCCGATCTCTTCGCCCTGAAAACCAGTAAATCCTTCGTCGATTTCTAGGATTCCTTTTATAAAAAAAAAGCATTATAGACACACTCTCTCGTCCACCCCTTCATGCAACAAACGACTCCTGTATAATTTTTTTTTGTAAATGACTATAGTCTATAGCTTATTTTCAATTCTCGCCTTAAAAAAAGTTTGTTTTTTCAGTACCACTTGTCCAATTTTTACTTTTTGGGTCATACGTCGGCTGCGCATCTGTTCATCTCAAACTTACAATTCGTAGCGATCCCAGATTACATATTGTAGATCTGAGCCGATCTGTACCGAAGCTAGTCTTGCACGCCAAGATGGCTACTGGGATCTACCGATCCTGCCATGTTGCAACATCTAGGCCACTTTGAAATCGCTCCCACACGTTATTCGAAGCTCCACTTCAACAACATAATCCTATTGGTTCCCCCATCATGGAGTCCGCGATAATCAGTACTCCACATCATCTTCACCACCTAGTGCAGTGCTATTAGTGCATCAGCATGGTTAGAATGAGAGCAAGTCGCTGAATATTCATATACCTACTGCATTGCTTGTCATAAGACGCTTTTTTCTTTGCATTGTATGGCCCCTTTGTATTCATGTACAGCCCCTCCCGCATACCTGGTTCCGATCAACTTAGATCATTACTCAGCTCTCCGCAGATAGCGCTAAGGATCAATGCATTTACGGAGAATCAACTTTTTTATAAAGATGAGAACCAACCAGCAACGTAGGACAATACAAAAAGGTTTTATGTGGCGAATCTATGGTATGAGCGAGCTCACAATAGCCTGTCTAGCTACAATTTTCCTGTCACTGGTCCTTCTTGCCATCGGCGATGACTTTGGATCTTTTGCTTCTTGCACCAATAAGATATCCAATGCTGGCGGTGGTCAATGACGCAATCGCGACATAGATACCAATGAGATCCCATTGCTGCACCTGCCACCAAGCAAGTTCAGTTTGGATAGGAAGGAGATGAGAGAAGTCTCCATTCAACGACAATAATGACTCAACATAGTTTGCTGCGTTCTGGGAAGAAATGGATATCATGAATTAAAAATATGAAAGGGAGGATCAATTGCAACAACTTTTGATAGGACGAACTGTGCTTACCTTTGCGCCATCAGAGAAGTCATCACCGACCAGGTTTCGAAGTAACGCACGAACCATTCTCAAGTTTTTCAACACACGCTCGTACTTGGTAGGATCAAGAATCTCATGAAGAGCTTCAAGGACCTCCTCTTTAGTGCATGTCAAAGGGTGACGAATCCGAACTCCCAACTCACGATCGTGAATACGTATAGCCATATCATTTTGATCAAAAAAGGAAGGAACCTAGGTCGTAGAGGATTTAGTGTTTGAAGTGGGTCGAACAAGTGCAGCGGTATACCCAACCATGAACTATACTTACCACAACCATAGGCACAAGCTCTCGAATGGATTCCCAAGGTGAGTTGGCACCGCCGTGAGTAATGAAAAGTTTAACATTTGGGTGTGATAGGACCTCTTCTTGTGAGCAAAGCCAGTCAACGGAATGGATGTACTTGGGGAAGAAGCTAAGGCTCAAATCTTGTGCGGATCCGTTAGAGTTGGAGTTGTTGGGAACAATAAGCGGTCGCTGAGAATAAGGAATTCTCCAAAGCATATCATAATTACTATAGCGAGGATCTTCGTGCAGATTCTTAAAGCCCTCCAGAAGAGCCGTCATTGATTCCTTAGTAAATGATCCAGTTGTGCCAAAACTTATATAAATAATAGGACGTTCGGTAGCATTGAGCCATGGACGAATGTCTTCACAATTTTCGCGATCAATATTAACGTTGGAGACTGCCTCGGGTTTACTCAAAATAGGACCGCTCAGATAGTGATGGGAGCCTGTGAATTGCGCGTAGTCGAGTCCGACCATATTATTGACAATGAAAGGATTCTTGTTCCATGGGTCTCCCATCTGCTTCACAACAGCCTTTTCATACATCTCCAGTCTGTTCCAGTGAGCGAAAGTTGTAAGCCCGAGCGGCGCTCCGATAGCAAGACGTTGGACCGCTTCAAACAAGTGAAGCTTAAATCGATAAGGCAGAGATGCAGTCTGTTTGCGAGACATTCCAGTACCAATAGGCACGGAGAAGAAGTCATATCTCAGCTGGAACCCAGGAAGGTTGACTACCGTAGGGATACCCAAATGATTGCCAATATCTGTGGCTGCAAAACTGTAGATACCTTGTCAGTAAGCCTCAGTATATACCCAACACTCACATAAAATTCAACCAACCTAGCATAATCGCTGATAAGAATATCAGGGCGCTGAACATTGGTAATGTAATCGGTAAGACCATCCTTGAGAGCGGTGGACGATTTTCCAAACATGCACATCATCTATAAAAAGTAAAAATGTAAAATTTTAAGGTTGAAGATGGTGTTAGATAACGGCAGATCCTCACTCATACCGCTTTGAGATACATACCCCTAGTGTAAGATTGCCTGGGCCTTCATTAAAAGCCAAGTCTTGAGCGAAGATTGCATAAGTTTCCTGTGAGTGACGCATCGTGTTGCTTAGCGCATGTATTGTGACGAGACTTTGAACCATTACAGAGCATAGTACTTACCTCATCACAGACATCCTTCTCGTAGTCACCCAAAGGTATGAATTCCACCAAGGGGTCCTTCTCAAAAGCCTTGGTGTATCCAGCTCGCTTCATCATGAACATCTTCACATCATATCCTCGAAGCGCTAATTCTTGACCAATGCGGTGTAAAGGTTTAGCATGACCTGGAAATGGGATGGCAGCCAAAGCAACCAGCTTTCGCTTGTCCTCCAAGGCGACAACTACGGCTAGGAAACAGCACAGCAAAAAGGCTGTTATCGTTCTACTTGAACTAACCATGGATAATATAGAAGATAAACGTGCACCGCGCTTGAGTTCTTTTCAATGTAAATAAAAATGCTTGTGAAATCCCGATAGCTACACAAAAGTTGATAGTGATCACAATACAGGAGAGTGCGGTTGCACGAGTGTGAGGATATCTCAGTCTAAAAAAAATGAATAAAAAACTCACTCGAAATCTCAGAAAGCGTAGATACATCTCTTGTTTCTATCAAGAGGGATCCTAGTTGAATTTTCTAGAAAATATGGATTGTACGTTAGGGGAGAGCATAAGCAGGAAACACAATGGAGGGAATACAAAGTTTCGGCGTTGCGCCAAGACCGCTCAATGGGTCAACTAGCAACCGTGCCACGACACCATGATGTGATGCTGCCCGTGCCTCACAATGATTTGAACACACTGTAAATAGAGACTTGTAGCATTTGTACAAAGTAGTGATATACCGCTATTATTTAATCCATTTGATTTGATTTCCCTCAGCATGCTCAAAATAATGCTGCTGGAGGTCTATTCGTGGCATCAACGTACAAAGTTTGTGTGTTTGTACCACTGTACTGAAGTCTGCTACAAGGCTTTTTTAGAATTCGGCTTTGCTTGATAGCCTCCATGCGCACTTCCAAGGAAAATTCTTTTTCTTTCTCTTCTTCCATTTGGACTTGGACTATGACAAATGAGCTCGTCTACCGGTGACTTTGTTGCAGGATATTTCTTCGTTGGAACAGCCGTCATCGCATGTGTTTTCATCGGCTTGTCCGCATACTTTCGGCCAACACCATTGCGTATTTTTTGTCTTATCAACAATATCATGACCATAGCTCAAGCGTCTTGTACGCTATCCTTCTGCTACGGAATGGCCAACATCAAATCCATCGTCATTCTTTTCTTCACCTGCCGACTGGGATATGTCACATTAACAGCTTATGAGCTTTTGAAGATCGGAAACCGTATCCAGAAGAACAGATCCTCAGTGACGCGAGCAACCTTATTTTGGGCATTGTCGCCTGTTGTGGTATTTATTACACATTGTAGAGTTTAAAGTTTGAACATGTTTCTTGCGATTCTAACCCGTGCAACGAAAATAGGTACTGTATGTTATAGCTGATGTTGCAGGCATCATAGTGTCTGGCATTAGTTCAACTGGCATCCCGCCTTTCTGGTAAGTCGATAATATGGTCACTTTCCGAATATATGCCCAAGAGCATTGTGGCATAAAAACTAACACCATTAATTAGGTTATACGTTGTTTCATCATGCCTTGGCCTGGTTCTTGCTGGAGGCTGCAATCTGTTTGCATGGGCTCCGATTGTTAAACATTCTTACACGGATCCAGTAACCAAACCTGTAGCTTCTGCTGTGATTTGGTACTTTGTCACTCTTCATCTCATTGTTCCTGGTTTGATAGGACAGGTAAATGTGAATGTGGTCTGTGAAACAACGTCAGTTTATTTTCTCTACTGATATTTCTGTCTATACAGTACATTGCTGTCTTCGCCTTAGGAAATGTCTGGTATCATGTCACATGGATTGTAGTGGAAGGCTGCTTGAGAATATTTTGCCAGGTAAGTGCTTCATCTCTTAATCTCAGCCATGTAATTATTCTACTAAACAGCCTAATTGTGCGCCTCTAGATTATATTTGGTGTTATTCCTCCAAGGGTATGTAGTATGAAATTGTAGTATTTATTCGTCTGCTTTGAAAAATAGCACTCTAATTTCCTGCCATGAACAATTTCTCCTATCAATCAGTTCATTTTGGACCCTATGGTAGACTTCATGAAACCTAAGCTTCAGTTACAAGTTACGACCGATGATCGACCGAATGGATCGTCTGCGAATTCAAGGTCAACCAACCCACACTTCTTAGGACACTCTCCACTCAGCACGCCGGGCGTTTACAATTCCACCATAGCACTGGCTGATGTTGATTATGATAAAGCTAGCTCTATTTATCAGCCATCTAGAGAAGCACAGGCCACTTATTGAATGTAGAATGGTTGATGCTGCATACACATATTCCCGAAAATTGCATTTGTCCCACTTCTTCTTTTTTTTTTTCATATTAACGCAGCAGCACCATTTGCTTAGTTAATGGTTTCTAATGTAATTTTATCATTCATCTCGTTTGTAATACAGGTGCTGCACAAAGTAGATAAATTATAGTTCACCTGAAGCATCTCGAATTGATAAACTTTAAGTAAAACAATAATTAACCGGCCATTTAATCAATAGCAAAGACGACACATCCATTCTTTCATTATGGAAGTAGTCTTCTTTATCGTAGGAGAGGTCACAGTAGCTAATGAATAATCTGGAAAATTACACCACTCGGTGTTCCACCACTTTGAGACAGGAGAACGTTACACAGCTTCCGAGAACTACGAGTTGTTCTCAGTTGTACCATTTTAGGTTGCGCCCGGTGGGCATTTTAACAGTATGGTCGGGTAGGAAAAACAGCAAATTCATTTTTGCTGTTAGACACTGGTTCCTCTAAGCACTAGGCACATTGAAAACACATAGATCAGTGCAAAATTCAAGATCCAAAGTAAATGCAACGAAAAAATTGATCCATGCATTAGCATGTTACCTTGATAAATGTGTAATGCGGCAATTTTCTTTTTAAAGTTGTTGTGTGTGTGTCTGAGTAGTCACACAGCCTTTTTCCATCTTGAAAATCTCATCCTAGCCCCACTGTAGCCGACATATGTCCGTCAGAAGCATAGAAGGGATATACATTTACAGAGGTGTTGAAGCTATCAGTGGCAAACTTGCCCGGCTTTCAGCCTCGGATGCGGTGGGTATTGTGGCGGGTACGGCGGTCGCTTATTACTTGCTGCAAACCTTTATTTGTGACCCACTACACAACTTTCCGGGCCCTTTCGGCGCAAAATTATCCCGTATTTACGAATCCAAAGTTAGAGCAAGTGGTAAAGAATATCTGATCACCGAGGGACTGCACCAAAAGTACGGGAATGTGGTTCGGATTGGTCTGTATCTTAGGCTCATCTACACCCTGCTTGCGAGCATGCACTAAATTGACTCTGCAGGTCACAATACCCTATCTATAAAGGATCCGGAAGCCATAAGACAGATTTACATGTCAGATAGATTTGTCAAGTCACCTTTTTATAAAGCTTTGACATTTGATGTAAGTCTGGCCAGTAGACATCGCACTGGAACGAGCTGCTCCCGATGTTAACATCGAATTTTTAAGCGAGTACATCAGCTTACATCCACCGCCGACCCAGAGGAACATGCAAGATTCCGAAAGATTATGGCACCTGGATTTTCTCAAGCTCGGTTGGACGAGCTAGAAGATGTGATTATGAATTCTGGTGTGGAAGCATTCTTGAAAAAGCTGGAGAGCCAGTATGCCGATAAAGATGTTGTCTGTAATCTTTTCACTGAGTTTCACTGTCTAGCTTTGGACATTCTTGGAGAACTAGCGTACGGAAAGAGCTTCAATATGATTCAGAGTCAGAGCCATCCATTTACGAAATGGCTGCGGGTAGGTAATAAACTGTCTGCCTATGCTAAAAGGTCCCTATCTAATTGCGACTTCTAATATAGCAACGACAAACATTGATACCATTGGTAAAGCATCTCTAGCCTTTCAGATGACTATGAGTTTGTATCTTACACTATTAGAAAATAGTGTAGCACATATCCATCTATCAACGACCATCCTTGGTTGTTGAAGATGCTGTTTCCGACTGGCTACCGCTCGTTCATGAGGATTCGGAAAGTAAGTATTAGGCAAGGAATAGCCAAAACCCATAGAGGTTAGTGCATTGTATGGCAATAGAGCTAAAATTCCCAAGTTTGGAGATGATTGTCTGGTAGATAGTGCAAAGAACAAAACCAACACAAGACGAGACTTCACGCAAATCCTCCGTAAAGCTATGAAAAATTGTGATCCAAATCAGCACATGTCTCCAACAGAATGTAGTCTGGCTTGCTTCATGCTTATAGTAGCGGGAACAGATACAACAAGCAACTCATTGTGTTTTACGCTGTACCTTTTGGCAAAGCATCCAGAAGTGAAGGATAGGCTATTCAATGACCTTGTGCGTCTCATGCCAGATAGTCAAGCGGTCTTGAAGTAGGTGTGATGTTATAAACCTGGAGTCTAATGCATATATGCTAACAACTCAAAAAAGATACAAGGATATTCGTAAGCAGGCTTTACCTTACTTGTGGGCTATCATTATGGAAGCGACCAGAATGTTCCCAGCTGTGCCTGGAGGTCTTCCCAGAGTTTGTCCAGCAAGTGGTGAGACCATTGCGAATCGGTATATACCAGGAGGGGTAAGTCATTGGAGTTTGATAGATACCCTACCGGTGGATTTAATAGTAATTTTGACAAAACATCAATAGACCATCGTGCAAGTACCAACGTGGTCCATACACCACGACGCCAGTATCTTTCCTGAACCATTCACTTTCATGCCAGATAGATGGCTACAGCTAGAGTCTAATGAACTTGCAAAGTATCACCTTGCTTTTTCACTTGGCCCACGAATGTGTGCGGGAAAAAAGTATGTATTGCCGTCTTAGTGGCTTCTCTCAATCAATCCACTAATTCTCATCTATCCTTCAGCTTGGGAATGATGGAGATGACGCTCACACTGTGTCATTTGCTAAGGAGATATGATGTTCGTCTAAGCAACCCAGAAGAAAAAATGGACCTTTTGCAAACATTTGTTGCTAAACCAGGTGAGTGAACCGTACTGATAGTCATAACGCAAGCTGTAACTAAATTGTTGAATTACAGCCTCCATGACCACTAACGTGTACATTTCTAAGCGCCAAAAGTGAAGGGATATATGTGAACTATTCTACACTATAGTGATAGCTAATGTCAAACACTCAAAAGTTTCAGTAGTAGAAATATGTGTCTAGTACACTCTTTTACGCTAGGGTCAAATAATAGAAGATATCGCAAAATTTGAACCGCCTGATTGTTGGCTTGGGCTGCTTGTCCAATGAGTACTCCGCTGATGTATCGAAGAGTTGAGAGAGCTGACTTGATTTGAGTCATAGCTCGCAGTTTATTACAAATCACGCTCACATTCTTTTTACTACCACACTTGACATCAAAGCAAACATGACTAGATCGTACCCATTCTATCAAGTCGACGCATTCACAGAAACTAAACTTGGTGGTAACCCCTGTGCCGTGTTTTTGAATGCAGACGACTTGAGCGACGCGACTATGTTGGCAGTAGCCAAAGAGGTCAGGAAATCGAATAATATGCCTTTGTAAACAACTGTAATATATTTAATTGTTTATTCAACTCTTTCGTTTGTTAGATGAACCAATCCGAGTCAGCGTTTGTCGTAAAATCGTCAGTGGCAGACTTTGGAGCACGATATTGGACCACGGCCGAGGAGATACCTCTGGCTGGACATCCCACGGTGGCTACTATCTATACACTGATTCAGGCCGGTCTTATCGTTCTCAACAGTGAACATAAACGAGTGACGTTGGAATTGAGAGCTGGTGTGATTCCAATCGACATTTATTCCGCAAAAGACGGCAAGTTGGAGAGAATCGTGATGACCCAAGTACCTCCTCGCTTCCTATCTGAACATGATCCATCGGTCATTTGCCCTATCTTCAATTTGACACCGGAAGATCTGATAGAAGGTGTTCCTATTCAAACTGTGTCAACTGGCACCCCCCAGTTGATGATCCCGCTCAAGTCAGAAGAGAGTCTGCGAAAAGCCCGCATTTCCGATATCGACGCCTATGTGAAGTACAAAGGCCAATCTGATTTCTTCTCGCCTCACTTATTCATTACGAAGGGTATTTCCGATGAAGCATCGGTATTTGCAAGGCACTTTGGAGTTCCCCCTGATCTTATGGAGGATCCAGCCACCGGATCAGCGACCGGAGGTATGAGTGCTTTCTTGGTAAAGTATGGACTTGTGGACAAGACGACCTTCATTGCTGAGCAGGGTCATTGGATGGGACGGCCAAGCACCATTCATGTTGAGGTCATAAAGGATGAAAAACGGAATATCAAGGACGTAAAGATTGGAGGCACGGCTGTTTTGGTGTTGAAGGGTGAATTGCTGTTATAAGAGTTATGCCTGGTATTTTTGTGGATTTTGTTAGTTTGCGACGTGGGTACTGTTCTGAATGAATGTTTTTTCCGTTTGTTTGAAAAAGAGAGAGTATGATGCTTGCTACCACTTTTTAATAAAATGGCTTTTAATTTTCGTGCGTCTGCAGCCAAATGTACGACAATGTAGCAGATCACAAGGCAGGCTTACTGGGAGGTATAAGTTTCCCACTCATATGCCAATTCATAACTCTTTCCTCTTTGATCTCTTTTGCAACATATACTGTCCCTACTCACACTTTATTCTCAATGGAAAACTACATAAACAGAGAGAAGGTGAACGAAACCATCCAAATTCTATTACACACCATATCGCATCTCAGTACAGCCGAAATTGTAGGCTACACGGCGGGCGCTTTGGCAGCTCGCTACATTATTGCAACGTTTGTGTTGGATAAACTCTCAGATATACCAGGACCATTTGCCGCAAAGCTTACACGGTTTTACGATGTCAAAATGAAGGCTTCTGGCAAGAGATATGTGTTGATCGACGAACTTCATAAGAAGTACGGCAAAATAGTCCGCACGGGTAATGGGAGATGGTGCTATCTTGATTTGCAGTTAGCTCAGCCAGCCATTGATGATTAGAATTCCGATTTAGGGTATGACACTGTGTCCATTCACGACGCAGAAGCCGTCAAGCAAATCTATGGAGGCGAGAAGTTTCGAAAGGCTCCTTACTATAGAGTCTTTCTTTTCAACGTGAGGAAAAAGAAAAATGTGGAGTAATTTATGCGTTCTTGAACTTACCCTTGCCGTTTCTAGAATACTTCCAATTTGATCGAGACCAGCGATCCCGTCCAACATGCCAGATACCGACGCATTTTTTCACCTGGATTCAGCCAGGCAACTCTAGACAGCCTTGAAGTCTTAATAATGGAATCAGGAATAATTGCTCTGATGAATAAGCTCAATGAAAAATACGCCGACAAACCTGTTATCTGCAATATCTTTAACGAGTTCCATTTGATGGCGTTCGACATTCTGGGTGAACTAGCATATGGCAAAAGTTTCAATATGATTCAGAGAGAATCGCACCCTTTTCCAACATGGATAAAGGTAAAAAATGAATTAACATGGTTGTTGTTTGTTTTATCTTAATACTAACATTCGACTTGTGTGCGGGAACTTAGACTAGATCAACGATGATGCCGCTTGTAGGTCACCGATTTTGTAATGAAAACACAGCTCTACATTAACGTAACTCACATATCAAACTTGTAACCAGTGTACTACCTTTCCCGAGATCAACCACTATCCAAAGCTTTTAAGCATTTTCTTCCCGAAATCAAACGGAGCCACCATGGATATCATCAAGGTATGCCAAAAGAGAATGAGTGATTTGATATATTTTAAACCAACGGCTCTGCTGTTCTACTAAGCGCCCAATCCAGTTTTCTGAGAAATCATTAGGTGCTCGATTAGCGGACAAGGCAAATAATAGAAGAGATTTTACGCAATTGATGGTTGAAGCCATGAAGGCAGACAAAGAAGGCAATTATTTGACCGCTTCCGAAAGTCAGGTTGCATCTGTTGTTCTGCTCGTAGCTGGAACCGACACAACAAGCAACACCATGACGTTTGTTGCATTTTTGCTGAGCAAGCATCCTCACGTCCAAGAGCGTTTGTTTCAGGAGCTGGAGGAGGCCATGCCAGACAGAAACGCAACGATCAAGTTAGTAATATCCATCAGCATAATCATGCAGAAGCCGCCACTAATTTTCGTCACAGTTACAAGGATGCTAAAAAAGAAAAGATACCATACCTATGGGCTGTCCTTATGGAGGTGACTCGTATATACCCTGCTGTACCAGGAGGTTTGCCTAGAGTTACACCGAAAGGAGGTGCAGTCATTGCTGGACAATTCATTCCCGAGGGGGTAAGTGCCACGTTTGATATTGACACTTGTGCTACATTTTCTAAGTGCTCATTTCGTAGACTGTCGTTGAGGTACCAACGTGGTCTCTCCACCATGATCCAGCTCTATTCGCCGATCCTTTCGAGTTCAGGCCCGAGAGATGGTTAGGAGACGATGCCGAAGAGCTGTCGAAGAATCACCTTGTCTTTTCAGTTGGTCCACGAATGTGCGCCGGCAAAAAGTAAGTCATAAGCTGAATGTCGAGAAATCTCTTGTTGTGCGCTTATTTAAATAACAATTACTGATAGCCTGGCTATGATGGAAATGACCTTGGCCATGGCTCACTTTTATCGACGCTTTGCTGTAACACTTGCTGATCCTAACGAAACCATGCCTTTAATGCAACAATTCATTATGAAGCCAAGTAAGTCGATTGGATGCTTTCGGTGGAGCCCCATTTCTTGCTAATTTTTGGACTTCCATATAGAATCTCTGCAGTTGAACGTCTATTTGCGAAGCAGGGATCATTAAGCGCAGTGTGAAAAGAGTTCATTTCGACTGGTGTGAAACCAATTGATACTGAACGGCAGCTCATAGTTTAACCATCTGTTAGAATCTTCTTACCATTTTCTGATTGCCAAAATTACATTCCATCCCATTATCCATTTCCATTCATTATACATATGGCTACTGTCTAATACATTATTATTCTGGGTGTTACATTAAAAGCTATCTTTACTTGGCCATACATCCATACCAACTGGTTATACTTATTGATCATAGCGGTTAATCATATTTGCCGCTACGGACCGCTTTCAGAACCATCAAATTTGGCCGAAAAGCATTGCATCAAAGGTGTATTTGCTTCGTTTTACATTAAATTCGTCTGAGACGTCATGGCAAATGAAACGGGTAAATCATGGGGCGGCGGTGAATATTTCAACCGTGAATAAGCGAAATTTTTCCGTGCCAAAAGAATAATAAATACAGTGGGCCCGTCTGACTCTCAACCACCTTTAAACAAACAAAAATATGCAGATCGAGAATTCTTTCAACCTCGAAAAGCTAAGCGACACCGCCCAAAAGTTGCTTAGTACCATACGCGAAGCGAACAAAATGGAGGTTGTGGGTGTCATTGCTTGTGCTTTGACGGCCCAGTATGTTATCAATACCTTTTTGCTGGATCGCCTCCGCGCCATACCCGGTCCGTTCGTGGCTAAACTATCGCGCTTTTACGATGTCAAACTAAAGGCATCTGGCAAGGCGTGGCTGCTGATCGACGAGCTTCATAATAAATACGGCAAAGTGGTTCGAACAGGTAAGATTTCATATACCACCAGCGACAGAGGCATACCTGCCGTGCTCACTTTACCTATTTAAGGCTATAATACTGTGTCGATCCGAGATCTAGACGCCGTCAAGCAAATATATGGAAATGAAAGGTTCCGCAAGTCGTCTTTTTATGATGCGTTCGTTTTCAATGTGAGAAAAGAAAACCTTCTTGTTCAACATATTCGATGCTCATACACTGACTTCACATCACTTACCTAACAGGGGGCTCATAACATGTTTGCGACCACTGTCCCCACAGATCACGCCAGGTACCGCCGCATATTAGCACCGGGATTCAGCCAGGCAACCCTCGACGGTCTAGAAGATGTCATAATGGACTCAGGTATTCTTGCTTTAATGGACAAATTCGATACAAAGTTCGCAAATCAGCATGTCGTCTGCAATTTGTTTGACGAATTCCATCTTCTGGCATTTGATATTCTTGGCGAAATGGCCTATGGCAAAAGCTTTGATATGATTAAGTTACAATCTCATCCATTTGCCGACTGGCTGAAGGTACAAACACATTCTATTTGTAGATACATGATTTATTTATGTACTAATGCTCCAACAACCTCGTAAAGACACGAACCAAGCAGATGCCAGTTGTAAGTGACGCGGATGACCAGGCACTTTGAAGGTTGGCATCGAGATACTTACCTTGCATTCGATGCAGACGACCACTTTTCCTGGTATAAACCGTTATCCCCGGTTATTAGGCCTGTTGTTTCCTCGAGCAGCAAAAGCTACCGAAAATATCTTCGACGTAAGCACTGAAAAGGCGATCATAAATTAACGGGTTATATCAATAATTCTGACTCCTTGCTTGAAACCAGTTCTCGAAAAAGTCAATGGAGGATCGGTTAGCTGATAAGGACAACACAAGAAGAGATTTCACGGCACTGATGTTGGCGGCTTTGGATTCAGACAAGAAGTCTAATTACTTGACCGTGCCCGAGAGCCAGGTAGCATCCGTCATGTTGATAGTTGCCGGAACCGACACCACTAGCAACTCCATGACCTTCATTGCGTTCTTGTTGGGTAAACACCCCAAAGTCAAAGAACGTCTGTTCCAGGAATTGGTTCAAGCCATGCCTGATAAGAACTCAACCTTGAGGTTCGCTTTCACACTACTGGCCCAACAGAATATGCTTTAACCCGTACTTACCGATTTCTATCATAGATATAAGGATGCTAGAAAGGATCAGTTGCCATATCTGTGGGCTGTCATGATGGAAGCGACTCGTTTGTATCCTGCCGTGCCTGGTGGTTTACCTAGAGTGACTCCAAAGGGAGGCGAAATTATCGGTGGACAGTTCATTCCTGAAGGAGTAAGTTTATTTTCTGGATACAATAGGGTCATCATTACTTTTGGTTAACAGGTTTACCTCTTAGACGATTGTCGAAGTGCCAGCGTGGTCAATCCAGCACGATGCGAGCATATTCGAAGAGCCTTTTGAATTCAAGCCAGAAAGGTGGTTAGCCGACGACTCTGAGGAGTTGGCCAAGCACCACCTTCTGTTCTCATATGGTCCACGTATGTGTGCTGGCAAGAAGTAAGTAGTAGACTTAGGGATGACGCCTGCAGTGGCCGTAATATTAATCACCATTGAACAGCTTGGCTATGATGGAGATGACCTTGACTATGGCTCACTTGTTCCGACGGTACGACTTTAACTTTGCTGATCCAAGCGAGACAATGCCTTTGGTGCAGGCATTCATAATGAAGCCACGTAAGTAAATCGTCAGTTTGCTGACGGAGCTCATCTTCGTCTCTGCCTGATCTCTGTATACTTACCAAATGTACACCTTTACTAGGATCTCAAGAGTTGAATGTCTACCTGCGTAGCAGAGATCAATAGATCTATTGTAGCTGTCTGGGAATTTTTAAACCCGCTAAACAACGCGACGCTTTAATTAGTCTTCGATTGTACCTTCGATCTGAATATAAATTTTGCCATCGTGCAATTATCAATATATCTGCCCTCAGTAGAAGACGACAAGCTCTCGCAACTATTTTGTCATTGTCAATCGAGGTTGTATTGTGGCCTTCAATTGTAACGCTAGAGATGACGCATACTGCGCAAGTACAAACATGAGTCACGCAGGACATCAGTTAAACATGAAAATAATTCAAATTTCCCACAAGTTGGAGATTGTCACCATGGCAAAATCATATCCATACTATCAAGTTGACGCCTTTACCCAGGTACGGCTTGGTGGTAACGCTTGTGCTGTGTTTCTAGACACTGATGACATGGACGACACAACAATGCTGGCCGTTGCTAGAGAGGTATAGTCTATATACTCTTACCTCTTTCAAATGAATTGAAAACACCGCTTTCTCAACTACGGAGCATGCCAATTAGATGAATTTATCTGAATCGTCTTTCGTAGTCAAGTCACGCGTAGCAGATTATGGAGCAAGGTACTGGACGACGGTTGCTGAAATTCCCATGGCGGGGCATCCCACAGTGGCAACTATCTACGCTCTGATTCAGGCTGGGCGGATCGAAATCCACACTGAGCACCAACAGATCACATTGGAGTTGAGAGTAGGTATAATTCCAATCGATATCTATTCGACAAAGGATGGAAAAGTTGAGAAGATCATGATGACTCAGAAGCAACCAGAATTTCTATCCATTCACAACCCATCTATCATCTGTCCACTGTTCAATTTGACTCCTGATGATATACTGGAAGGAGTTCCAATCCAAACGGTATCGACTGGCACGCCACAGGTGATGTTTCCGCTCAAGTCCGAAGCAAGCTTGAGGAAAGTGCGCATTGCCGAGCCCGAAGCGTACACTCAGTACAGGACGCAATCCGACTTCTTCTCGCCTCATTTCTTTATTTGCGTAGGCATCTCTGAAGGCGCCTCGACGTTTGCAAGGCACTTTATGCCTCCACCCAACCTGTCCGAAGACCCTGCTACTGGGTCCGCTACTGGAGGAATGAGTGCTTACTGCACCAAGTACAAGCTGTTGGACAAGAAAAAATTCATTGCAGAGCAGGGACATTGGATAAGTCGCCCTAGTAAAATCCATGTAGAGGTAGAAAAGGATACAGGAGGCGAGACTAAGTATGTCAAAATTGGAGGGCAAGCGGTCCTAGTGCTTAAGGGAGAGCTGTTATTGTAGGAAGTTGTTCCATTACCAGTAGGGTACATTTACCTTGAATTCTTTTATGAGCTTGATAAACGTATGAACCTTCTCTTTGAAGCTATGAGTGTTTTCAGTGAAGTATACAGCAATGTGCGGCCCTGAAATCAAAGTGGATCTAACTGCGCGCATGCCCGAGTTTCTTGAAAGGCAGTCGATTTGTCCGTAATTTGTGGAGCCATATTCCCTTCGGCTATGGACTTGTGGTAAATCTACAATTGATGAGAACATATTAAGCGAGGATTATTCAACTTAGAAGTGAGGAAAAGTTTGAAAATTCGAATGAAATAGGTGAAAATATTTTCTGGGAATGGTCAATGATGTTTCATTGTTACGGGCCGGCGTGACAACCTTTTCTTGCACAAAATTTGAGCCACTAAATTTCCCGGTGAAATTTGACTTAAATACTTCTTATGATCGCACTCACCACCTTGCTACTTCAACATAAAAAGATGCAAGCTCAAACCTATCCAAGTGATGCAATCAGCAAGACTATTACGACTTGTTTAAATGCCATTGATCAGCTCGATCGAATGCAAGTACTAGGCATCGCGGCTGGTACCTTTACAACGTACTACGTTACCAAGACGTTTTTGTTGGATCCTTTGAGGAACATACCAGGCCCATTCGTAGCCAAGTTATCACGTTTTTACGAAGGTTTTTTGAAAGCTTCTGGGAAACAATGGATTATCATTCATGGTCTTCATGACAAATATGGGACAATAGTTCGTACAGGCAAGTAGCCATCTAAGTTTACATGTAAATGCGCCAGTTGCTATCCATCCCACCAACATGCAGTACCTCTAGGATACAACTCTATTTCTATCAGAGATCCGGATGCTTTCAAACATATCTATGGTACAGAGAGGTATAAGAAGACCCCGTTTTACCAGGCATTTTCGTTCAACGTATGTTTCAATTTGCTTAGTGAGCATGGGGTTTTTCAAAACGTTTACCATCAATTTGGGCATTAGGGTGTCAAAAACTTGTTTACAGCCATTGATAGTGCAGAACACGCAAGATATCGTCGCATTTTAGCACCTGGATTTAGCCAAGCATCACTCGATGGCCTTGAAAACGTGATTATGGATTCAGGTGTACTAGCGCTGCTCAATAAGTTTGACTCAAAATACTGCAACAAGGCAGTCCCATGTAATCTATTTACTGAGTTTGGTTTACTTTCTTTTGATGTTATTGGAGAATTGGCATATGGAAAGAGTTTTGAAATGATTAAGCTTGATTCCCATCCATTTCCGGGCTGGCTGAAGGTAGGTGTTGAGGTTTGACTGAACAGGTCGTTCTAACTATGGGTAGCTGATCTTTTTGAATTTAGGCGCGATCTCATATGTTTCCCTTGGTACGTACAATTAATCATGTGAATGTAATAGCCATTGATGCTGATCACTATTTTAATTTCCAGTTGACCACCTATCCATCTGTAAACCGCTACCCAAAGGTTCTTGACGCCCTCTTTCCTAATGCCGCAGCTGCCATGCAAAATATATTAAAGGTGAGTTGATAGCAAAGAAATCAAACAAAAGGTATGCTATTAATGAACGCTCCCCAGTTTGCGTCTGATTCTTTAGAAGAGCGTGCTAATGAAAAGGTGACTGGTAGACGGGACTTCACACAACTCATGTTGGAAGCCATCAATTCTACAAATGGAAATGATCGCCTAACTTCAGAAGAAGGCCATGTCACATCCGTTATGTTGGTTATAACCGGTACCGTAACCACAAGCACTATGCTAACATTCATTACCTATGTTGTGAGCAAGCATCCAGATGTGAAGGAAAAGCTATTCAAAGAGCTGATCAATGCAATGCCGGAAAAGGATACAACTATCAGGTTGGTTAGCTACGCTTGTCCCGCTCTCTACAAATTGGATATTGCTAATCAACATTATATAATAGCTACAAGCATGCTCGCAAAGATTGCCTCCCTTACCTATGGGCCATAATTATGGAAGTCAGTCGAATGTATCCAGCTATTCCTGGCGGCTTACCTAGATTGACGCCTGATGGAGGCGACATCATTGCAGGTCAATTCATTCCAGGGGGAGTAAGTGGGTTCAAGTCAAATTCGCAAGCATACACGCTAAGTGTTCTAATACAAAATTTAGACCGTTGTGGATGTGCCTATTTGGTCTATCCATTACGATGCCAGAGTGTTTAAGGATCCTTTCGAGTTTAAGCCAGAAAGATGGTTAGGCGAGGATGTTGAAAATTTGATGAAATACAATGTGGTGTTTTCGGCTGGTCCCCGCATGTGCGCTGGTAAAAAGTAAGGTCTTTTTATCTATGAAATAACTATTGCAAAGGTATGAGGAGCTAAGTGATAGCAATTATTAGCCTGGCTATGATGGAGATGACTCTAGCACTTGCTCATCTCTATCGGCGATATGGCGTTTCCTTGGTGGAGCCGGAGGAAGATATGGAGATAACTCAGCAGTTCGGACTCTTACCCGGTAAGCCCACAACCAAACAATATCGATCTGATTGTGGCGTAGAAGAAGAAAGTGATACTCATTACACCAATATGCAAATATAGCTTCTAGGCAGATGAATGTGTACATCAAGAGCAGGGATCATTGAGATGGACTAAGAAAGTTTCTGCTTGCGAGTGATGTGAACGACCGCCACAGCTACAGACAACCAATATCCTATGCATAATAAATTAGTACCATTATAACTATAGTTATACGGAAAAGTAAAACATTGTACTTACATGAAGTGAAAAAGTACAATTCAGCACTGCTATTTAATGTATTGGAACAGTATAATATTATTTATTAATGAATATGTTGTGATATTTCTACATTATTAATCAGCAGGGACCAGGGAATCTGGACATAAAGCATTTCGTTATTTTACATTGACAGTGATTGATACTAATCATAGGTCTTCCACATCATAGGAGAGTGTTTGCCAACCGAGTAAGATTCTGCCTCTTATGCTTCGGTAAACTCTTTCTTTCTTCTCAGGGACATGATGCAGAACGTGGATGAGGAGCAGATCCATACTACAATCCCAATAGCTAATACAGCGGCGCATATGCAGGATAGGACGAGGGAGAACCACAAGTTGAAATACATTGCTCCCTGCAAAAGAGGTAGCGATAGCCAGTAATTGTGACCAAGCTGGTGGTACATTTCGAAAATGGTGTATCCCGTCAAAGTTTTGAACCATCCAAAGCCAAGGCCCAGTAAAACGACATTTGCGATCCAACCAAGCAATGCAACAACGCCGACAAGCGCTGCCATGAGATCTCCGCAACCTGACATCGCCGAGACAAGCAGTACTGCATTGATAACTAGTTGGCCCACACCATATTGCATAGCTTGATCTTCCATGGTACGGTGATCATATCTTGAAATCCCAAGGCTCCATACTACAACAAACGCCAGTGGAACTAATGCTACAGAGCAAGAACAAGAGGTGCTTGAGTTCTGTGACATGGAGGATAGCGACTGCGAAAACGAAGTGAAAGCGGCATCAATGCGTCAGAGCAGCTTTATATAGCCTAAATATGATAGTCGGCTTTGTCGTGTCGGACAATCGTGTGCGACAGCAAGTCGACTTTGCCAGTTGTATATAAGCTTCTGAAAAATCAGTTGCTTACAAGTGAGTGGTTCTGATAACTTTTTTTTTCTTTCCCATAAGAGTCATGATGGCACCGCGGTGGTTATTGCCGTTATTGCGTTACTTATCATTGCTATTGTTTTGCCTTTCAATTTTCTAAACGATGGACTGCTGCGCAAAGGACTCACAAGACTCAGTAGTGTGATCTTCAAAAATGGAATGTGGCTGCTATATTAAAGTCAATTTACTGCGGGTTTATGTTGCAGTAGCGAGGGTGGGGCATGTCTTGGCGATCATTTATTCATAAAACTATCACATTTAATGCATAGGTGATGGTGATGTGCGCATAACGAAAACGGTAGCATGCGCATTTGTGAACGTAGCTGACATGGTCCTTTGCTCGTGACACAAAGCTTTCAACCGTATGTTATGTGGGTATTGGGTTGCTTACTACTTACACTTTTTCATTGCACATTGCCAAATGGTAGGTGGAACGATAAACTATCTTGTTAAGGTATTATTTTTTGTTGGATCATGAATGATTTAGTGAAGTATAGTTTTACAGATTTCAGCACACCTTATCCCTCGTATAAACGAAAAAAATAAAGATATCCGGCAATGTTCAGCGTGAGGAGAGGGTTAGTGAGTGCACAAAAATATATACTAATTGAAAACATCTCCATAAACACCGTTTCGGTTAAGTGTGGTGCGCTGAAACGTAAAGTATACCATAGTTTGGCCGGGGTGTTTTCAAGGAGACTTGCGTACCTGACTTTAATGACGTCGGTGTGTGAAATTTACAGTACCGGGCAAGAGGAGCAAAGCGAGGGCACGATTGAGAAAGGAAATGAGCTTTTAAGACAAAAACAATCAAATATTTTTGTACGTTTTGATAAAAGTTCGGAATGAGGCTGGGATGTGCTCTTGGCATATCGATGTCTTATAGACTGTCTTTGATTATGTCTTTGCTTCGGCCAGTAGTGGTGACAATGTTGTGGTCGAAAACATTGGCAATCTTTATATGGCGCCTGTCGATGCATTTTCAAGTAGCAGTGAGCAAAGGGCAGTGGTGTTAACCCAGTATCTGCAAACTACCGCTTGGCCATCCTAATTTGTCGCTTGTCACCAAACTAGTACAAGTTGTACGACCTTTCGTCACTTAATCGAAAACAAATTTTTCCTGTCTTTGCAGCTTCCTCTTCTTCTTTTTCTCTATAACTAGCAGCATCTTTTCCCTCTAAAACATATAGTTGATTTTCTCCACTCACTCTATCATATTATCACCTTTCACATCTATACATATCTCGTAGTTTATACTATCACTTCGTGCTAGATATCCAAGCCTAGCTATGCTGAATCACTTTGCCACAAAATGCCTTTTCGCTCTTGTATTAGTTTCTGAAATATCCACTGGAGTAATGGGAGAAGTAGCGGTTGAAATGATCAGAGCGCCTGATTTGAAAGCGAGACAGCTCTTTCCTTCCCTTTCTTCGGTAAGTCTTGCATCGCGTTGGATGAGTTGTTCGATCAAATCATAACATCAGTGCAGCCCGCACTCAGTTCCACTCCAATACCAGTGTCCACAACCAGCAATAGCCTGTTTTCAAGCTTTACTCCCATTGTAACGTTGACTGGGCCATCGTCATCGTCTTCGGCCATCTTATCTTCCATCAGCACAGCTGTTATTCCATCTACTAGTGTAGTGCCAAGCACCACCTCCAGCTTACCACCAACCACAACTTCCCGCACATCATCCATTATGACCAGTTCATCAATTGCACCTGTTACCTCCACGACTCTTGTCGCCTCCTCCTCATCCGCTTTACCCACTCCAACTGCTCAGCCACAAAACTCTGGAAGTTCCATGTCGCCAAGCACCACCAAAATTGTTATAATCGTATGTTCTACGGTTGGTGGAGTGCTCGTCCTAGCACTTATTGGCATGGCTTGGCGTAGATGGGGCCGAAGAAGAAAGGACTATGGATGGGACGAGGATGACTTCTTTGGTACCCCTCCTCCACCACCTCAACATATGCCTCAACCTCAAATGAACCAATATAACTACAACCACCATGACCCTTTCAAGATGACCTTGGATCAATATCATCGTAATAACTAAGTTACAGCTCTGATTATTATGGTGACTATCCGTGGTAGTAGTGCGGGGGTTCAACTGTCAAAGATACTCTACTCCAACTTCTGTTGTAATGTGTTCAAATGTTTGTTTTTTATATGAGTATGATTATGTACAATTACTACTTCCGACTGTTTTGCTTTATCTTTACTTTGCTATCCTACCACCTACTAAAACAAAAACAAATCATCAATCGCTCAAGTCTATGAGCGGCATATCAGGGGGATTGGGTGGTGTTTTCACATTGGTTTGTGCAACGGATAGAGAGGGTTGCACAATTTGCAAATTGTTGTTCATATGATTAGTGTCGGTATTGACACGAGCTTGTGCGTCGCTTATGGTTTGGGTTGCCATTGAAAAGTCCGGAGCGGACGCATCGGCATATAAATCTTCGTCTATAGAGTATGCGTTGACATGAGGGCTAGTGTATCCATTTTCCATGTCTTTGTTGTGGAAGGCACGGATCCGAGCTTCTAGCAGCGAGTCGTAAGTCTTCACAATCCATTGTATCTGATCATGTAGAAGTACGGCAGAGTCTAGATAGAGCCAGGCAGCGGATTGGGAAAAATGTGAATCAAAGTTAGTATAGTACATGGAATTCCTAACAGTACACCAACCATTTCCCCAAAACTTACAATGCGTCCTTGTGACAGATTCACAATCTTGTTGTAGCTTTGATTGCATCTTGTTCATTTTGGCTTGGAATTCAGCCTCTGTAGCGTCCTTGCCTACCAGTCCAGACGCCATACGTTCATTCATTTCGCAACAAATGTGCTCCACTTGTTCAATAATGTGTTTCTGGTCTTCCTCAACCGTTTCCCGACGAACGTTCTGGACATACTGATTGTCGTTTGATACTGTTCCACTGTTGTTGACTTGAGGGTACTGATAAACGGATCTGTTTTCTATGGTTTGCTGGGTATCAATAGACTCATTTTGCTTGCCCAAATTGTCGTTCTTGTCTGCTTCCGCCATGGATAAACGCAAGGCTCGCTGCAAGTCTTCGTCCAAATCGTCAGCACTGGATGCGCCTATTTCAGGTTGATCTACGCTCACACCGCTACCATTGGGTATACGAGGGGACCCGGTTTGCGACTTTTTTTCCAGGTACAGCGAGTAGCATCCATCACATACACGAACTGGTTCATTAATTCCAAGATGTGGCAGTCGTAGCTTCCTAGACGAACAAAGTTGACAAAACGTTCCACCACATTGCCTACAATGGTGCTACCAAAGCGATGAAATAAACTGTCAGTTAACCCATGCAGCTAACTAGTACATCAACCAAAAAGCATTATGTATAGCTTACTTTACGATTTGTCAGTGAGAAAGGCGTCCGACATCGCTCGCATACTGTGGATTCCGTCCAATCTGGTGCCTAGTTCGCATTGAGTGATAACGTAAGGTAAGAATATGTTCGTCTGAATACATATCAGGAGCTGTTAACGTACCCCTGAGCTTTCAAAGTAGAGGGAAGTGATATTGGGTGGTGGGGATGGGAATTCGACCCCTGCAAGTGTATACGGCTTAATGGTCCGTTTCACCATTCCTGGCATTGCCCAGCCGAGCCAAGCTTTTCACCGTAGTACCACTTACCACTTGACTTCATTTCCTCGTAAACCGATGTAAAATTCTGCAACTTTTGGTCATTACGAGCTGCTATTGCCCATATCTGTATGAGTTCTTTAGCTTTGGTCCTCGTCGCATGATCCGATGTCTGCAACCCGCCATATCAGTCTGACGATCAGCTTTGCCACTCGCGCAGCTCAAATTGAAACCTACCTTATCCACTGCTATCCTTTGGATATTCTTCAGAAAATCATTGGTAGATACCTCTGAGACAAACGGCTTGCCTGCATTCTGGACACAAAACTCGCAAAGCTGTACCCATAAGATGTTACCAAGAAATCCTCAGCGTTTTGGTTTCAAGCTCCGAGAGCCACCCAATTAACGAACATACCTGTAGTGCCAAGAGGACAACGTTGGGGTTAGAATGCGTCAGCCGTTTGCGAAACGATTTGACTGCGTCCTTAGGGGAAACCTTTTTGCTTCTGATATGATCGGCAATGTCGATAGTAGCAGGTAAGTCTATGTCGTTGCTTGGCCGTAGCTCAGAAGTCGCATTAGCTAGGAACAGCCGATTGATGTTAGTCTAGAGGTCAGACAGGGCGAGTGTATTGACAAACGTACTTATTAGTTCTTCAAATGGGTTGTTAGACCAAAACGATGTCATGATAGCGATTAGCCAAAAGATCGATTAGAAATGCTAAGTACGACAAACCCTTACGGTTCATATTTAAGCCTGGATTTTCAATCTCCTCTCACCCATCGGGTGATCTGACCGTTGATTTGCCTTGAGCGTGGCAAAAGTTACTTTGAGTGGCCTACGCCGTATAGCAGTTTTATTTTCACATTTTAGAGAATACAATTTTATCATCACTATCGAGATCATTTCGAACCTCTTCTACAGGCGTCATCGATTGCTCTTCTTTCAAGCGATCCATTCGTTCCAATCTTTTGTTGAGCAATAATACAACAACAGAGAAAACTGACACAAGACAATGGCCTATACCGAGAAGTAGGAATGGAGCACCTTTCATCCACTTGTCAAAAAGTACACCGCCAACCTTTGATATAATGATAATTCCAAATGCGCCTATAAACGAGTAGGTTCCTGAAATACTTCCTCGTAGTTCTGGAGGAACATACGGTCCATTCAGCATGGCCATCCCGGAAATAATCATGCCTACAAAAAAGCGAGCGAAAACGTTTGTTAGCGTCCAATTTTACTTTGTTCAATTGCCAGGTAATTTACCTAACTCTCCAATAGCGATAAGAATGACAAATGCTAGACTGGCATTTGTTGTAGGGTCAAACGAAAAGGCAAAGGGAAAGCATCCTGCCGCTCCAATCACGCCTGCTGCGATAATGGGATACGACCTTGTGAGAAACTCGCTGGCCAGACCAAAAAAGGGAGCAGAAGCAAGGGACACTGACTGACCAATCCCTGTGATAGTACCGGTTGCTCCCAGCGCCAAGTAGCATGATTGTCCGACTTGGCACTGACCGTTGTCAATATAATACTGGTTAATCCATAAGGAAATGAAGGACGTCAAGATGATCTCGTCAGCCCGGGCAAAGAAGCTGGTGGCAAATGCAAGAGATATGCGTGGATCCTTTCCTGCAATGATGCCTTTCTTTAATCTTATATAAATAGGTTCCACTGGAATTTGTTTTGCCTTTGGTAAGAAAAACCATAGTACAATGCCCAGGAACATAGTACAGCCGCCTATGATACCAAAGGCGAGGACCACACCTTGTGCTGAAGATCCCCTTGAAATACCGAGCTTTGCTGGAACAGAAAATAAAACGAAGGAAGAGAAGATGGCGCCGAGACCAGAGCATGCTCCTATTATCCCCGATACCATGCCGCCTTTGCCGTGAACAACGTCGGTCATCATGGCCGTCATCATAGTAGTACATCCAGCTGAGCCGGCAGCGAAAACCAGTCTTAGCAAAAGGAGTCCTGGATATACATTCTTTACTTGCGGATAAAGTGAAACGGCCAAGCCCATTAGCACTATGGATATACTGAAAATTGTTCGTTTCTGTATACGGTCGGACACAACGCCCCAGACAGCGACCATAACCAGAGCCATGATTTCGCCATAGAGCGCAAGTGATCCGGTAATGTCACCATTATTATCTCTTTGAACAAGAACAGTTGTGAGAATAAAGGCTTGTGAAGCACTCAAGTAGACGACGATAGACATGGTGACGAAGACGGCAAATATAAAGGCAAAAAATTGTAAAGGATGTGTATGCTCTGCAAGTGGGATCACCCACAGGAACTTTCGAGGTTGACCATCTATGTGATCTTTTTCGCTTGTTCTCTTGAAGTGTGGAATGAAGTTTCGCATATACTACCACGGCACCAATTCTGTCTAAGGGTAAAGCAAAGAAGCAGGGCAGTGATTTGAATGGTCAAAAAAGGGGACCACAGATGCCCCGGGAACACAACAGTTAGTCAGGCTCCGCTTTATCAGATTTTCCATATGTCAGTTGAAACAACGAACGGACTTCCACATTTTCCATGAAGTCCACCTTGAGCGATGCCTTAGTCATACGATCAGAAGTCTCCTATAATACACACGCTCAATTCTCGAGCAATTTATCTTGTCCAAGCTGAGTATTGTTGAGAACTGCGTTCTATTCCATATGCTCGTCATCAAAGCTAATTTTCACACAGGTACACCCTCTATGCAGATGCACAGTTTAGTTCCACCGCCAAAGTGGAATGTTCGGTGTGAGCGGATAAAAAAGAAGTAGGTGACAGTAGTACTACAGGAAAGATCTGATAAAACCGGAACCTTAATCCATCACTGAAATAAATAGTCAGATATTCGTGCCGTCTTTGTGGAGTTTTCATCATCGCCACTTCTTCATGCCATCCAAAACACTCTATCTATTGGCTATTGCTGCAGGCAGCAGTGTTGCTACGGCAGCAACGAACTGTAATCCAAGTTACAACGCAACAACGAACCCTACTTGCATTGCCAATTGCAACAAGGTAAGATTATGGATTGCAGGCCCATCGCATTGCATTATCTAACTTAAAGGTAATATATTTGCGATAACTAGAAAGCCGGACAAGGACTTTGGGCAGACTGGACAGATGATCCTACATCAACCAACTTTGTAAAGTCACTAAGCTTTCAGTGTGAGAAAGGAACTCCCAATTACATTGCCTTCATGACATCTGCTGGAGTATGCATGACATCTTGCAGCACGGACGACCAGTCTGCTTTCACAACAGAGTTCCAACAGGCATGTCAATGGTACACCAGTCACGTAAATGATACGTGCACAGGAACAAGCGCAAATTCCAGCTCTACATCTGGAGCCTCTGCCCTGCAAGTCACTAGTTTGGTCGTGGTGTGCTCCCTCATTGCCAGCCTTGGATTTATGTAATATCAGAGTGGTCAAAACATAAATAAGCGTTAGAGATAATTTCATAATACGGATTATAGCCATATCATCAATAACATACAGGAGAAAATAAATTTATTTGACTTAACGCTGCAACTACCTTTAAACGATGAAACAGATACATTCCCCTGATACCAACCTATAACATCGATATAGGAGTTTTGCAAAGCTGCCGACGAGCGGTGCATCGACAATACGCAAATCATTGGAACATTCTTTGTTAGCCAGTACTTATGTCACAGCCATGTGATGTAAGCTAAAAATTACTGTGTAAACATCTTATATCCCTTTGTGGTGGATGAAAAAGAAGGAGTAGAAGGAGGAGTATTCGTGCTCTCTTGCCCTGCAGAACCGAGGTCGAGATTTTTTGTAAGAAGTGTAATGGATAAGCCACTGGATCAGCATGGGAAGACCAGTGACAATAGAGAAAAGGCTGTTTCAAATGCATATGGGAAATAACAGACAATGTTTGGAAAATAGCAGCCAGCCCAAGTGGTAGGTAAATAATTTTTTTTTTTTCCTCGCCTTTATCGTTTGCTCTTTTTCCCTGGCTGACAGTCATGGCCAATGAGCGTACGGTATTGATTCCAAAGGAGCCCCCGCCGCCCTATACATATACCTGTCAAAATGCAACCAGCTCAAGTTACATTGCGCAGAGTTTCCGAAAGCCAACTTTCCGCCAATGGCTCGATTCTAAAATGGCGGAACATGATACCATCTTGCGGAGAATACTGGCCTCCATCATGATCGCCACCATAGTGTCTTCGGCCATTATGCTTTTCCTCTGGAGGCTTCAGCAGCTTGAAAATAACCCAGAGGATGGTCCGCCTTCCAAGTTTCCTACTCACCGTCCTTGGTCGGAATCAACTTATTCGACGTCTTGATTTTTTTTGATTTATACACACGCCGACCACGGACATTAATCCCTCATCCCGCTCTATTTTCAAATATCCATACATACCCCTTCCTCGCTGCGTGCTTGTCCTTATCACAAATATGTCCCATTTCACATTTATACACTATAGCTCAATATTCATTTCAGTATCCAGGTCGTAAAAGTATATACACATACTATTTTTGAGAAAGAATCCGGGTTTGCTATAGTGAAATAAATCCTCTTGTTTCCTGGTCCAACGGCTCGAATGTTGATGAATACGAAGAACTGGATATGAAAAGGACGTTGACAATGAGAGACGGGAATCAATGGATTAGGGGTTACAATTGGGCAGGAGGTGTTTCAAACAGCGCAGTGCACTGACAACGTTGGCGGACGTGTTTGTATCGTTCTCTAGTTTTTTTTTTGAGGTTCCATTACTTTCGCTGCGGGATTTATAAACCATGAGCAATTCATGGAATCAGCCAAATGAGGACGATGAAGACGAGTTGTTTAAGACCGAGGAAGTTGTGAGCATTATTCCCCACTCTCTCTACTGACACGCTTACCTGTACTGACCCGACACTCGCAACCTAGGACGACTATAGCAATCACGACAGCATTCTTATGGTTATTGATGCCAGTCCTCCTATGCTCCAGCCGCAAGAAAACGGGGAAATTCCTCTGCAATCCGCTCTGGAGTGCGTGAAGTCAGTACTACTCTCCAAGGCGTTCAGTAGCCCGTCTGACTCGGTTGGCGTGTTGGTATATGGAACTGTACGTACAATTTGAGACGCGAAGTGATATCTGAGGTACTGATTCATGTCTATACAGCGCTCCAAGCAGAATGATGCCGGTCACGACCACATTTACATTCTACAGAATATGGACTCACCTGACGCTCCACGCATTAAAGAAATTGAATCGCTTGCAGCCAGTAAGATTCATCCTGACCATAATGCGCCATGGAAAATGTTGTCAATTTATAACCGTCATTCACTTTAGATATTAGCGGCTTTGAAGAGGAGTATGGTTCGGTTGCTGACGAATTTCCACTTGGCAATGTGTTCTGGACAGCATCTAACATATTCTCACTGAGGTATGACGGACGGAAGATGTGCTACTCGCCACTCCCCCTTCCGATTTTGTGACATATTCTATTTACAGTACAAAGAAGAAGGGTTCGAGACGCATCTTCCTTATTACAAATGAAGATAATCCTCATTCAACGGATATAAGTCTTCGTAATGCTGCTATTAGACGCGCCAAGGTAAGATTGCTAAAAGCATACTACATCATATACACATCGAAACTAATGCGATGCATATGCAGGACTTGTTGGAAGTGGGAATCCGCATCGAGTTGTTTGGCATCGATAAACCAGATCATACTTTCAACAATGAAAGCTTTTATTCGGTAATACTGCACGTGAACGCAAGCATAACGCAGCGTATCATAACGGAGGGTATTAATCGTTTCTGTAGTCCATTATAGAATCAGATGAAGCTATCAAGACTGCTGAGAGGGATTCTGCATTCCAAACACCAGTGGAAGCGCCGAAGTCATCAGGCAAACTAGCTGATTTACTTCAGTCGATACGGCGGAAGCAAATCAAAAAGCGATCGGAGTTCCGAATACCGCTGCATTTGAACGATGAATTAACAATCGGTGTCGTAGGGTAAAATTGTTCGTTTCAAAATTTCTGGGATGTGCATCATCCAGCTAACACCATGTTTATAATTAGCTATGCATTGGTTCGAGAACAAGTTCGCAGCAGTTACCAAAAAGTCTTAGTCACGGGTGAACAAGTCAAGGAAGTCGATAGTGTTGTGACTTGGAAATGTGTAGATACGGATCAATTATTACTGCCTACTGACATCAAGTTTTACTATAATGTCGGAAGCGAGCCAATCGTATTCACGAAAGATGAACTGGATACTATTCGTAATTTTGGTGAACCGGGTAGGTCACTGTTGGCGATAAGGTTTCTAGAGAGAGAGGGGGGGTGGCGGCGCTCAACTGACGATCCATTCCTAGGTATTCGAATAATCGGGTTCATGGACCAAAATCATGTGCAGGAATACTGGAACATCACCCATGCTTATTTTATATACCCCAATGAGTATGTAAGTAAAAAATCCGTCCCATGACACCAAATCGTATATAAAATAATAATAATAATAATATATTAGGAATACCATGGTAGCACGAGGACATTTACTGCCTTATTGCGATCGACGGTGAAAAGCAAAAAGGCTATCTTGTGTTCTATCATTCGCAGAACAAATGCCCTACCAAAAATAGCCGTGCTACTTCCACAGGAGGAGGCTCTGGATAAGCAAGGTGTGCAAGTCCGACCCCCTGGCTTTCATGTTATCATCATGCCTTATGCAGATGATATACGTCCTGTTCCAGTGGATCGATTACCGACGGAAGCGACAGATGAGCAAATCGATGCAGCCAAGGCATTTGTTGAGAAACTAGCATTGAAAGGGAGATTTGATCCGCTTGTCTATGAAAACCCTTGTAAGTTCCATCTAAAAATAACAGTGCTACATTTTTTTTTTAATATTAATATACTTTATGATCTAGTTCTACAGCGGCATTATGCAGGGCTTCAGGCTGCAGCTTTGGAACATCCTATTGAAGCTGTTGTCGATAAGACGATGCCCCGAAACGAAGCTATCTTTAAGGCAAGTCCAGTGAAACCGCCATAGCCGACATCTACATTGGTACTAAATAGTCTGTTCAGAGGATAGGCAATGAAATCCAGGCGTTTAACGAAATCGTGCAGCGGAGCTCAGCCGCCTCACAGCCCTCTCAATACAATCAATTGGTATGGCAACATTATCGGAACGGACTTATCGACATTGCTCTAATCATTCTGACGTCCACGTGTTTTGATTTCTAGGACGATGAAGTTGAACTGCATTGGCGAGAGCAAACTCTCAACCAGGTAGGTTCATTAATTGGCGAACTGAGACTTTTCTGTGCCTTGCTAAATGTTCCCCTGCCTTAGTGTACTGTGCCCATTTTGAAGCAATGGCTGCTCAACAAGGGCCTGGCCGCCAAAGGTCGGAAGGCAGATTTGATGGCTCAAGTTGACCAGTACCTTAAAGCTCATACTCAGTCTTGAGGAAAAGCAGGAAGAATATTTTTTACAATAAAGAAAAAAAAAAAAAAATTCTATTCCGTCATGCTACGGGTGATAACGTGCGGGCTCTTTGAGCAGTTCTACTTTAATTGCACGTAGACTCCGTTGCAAAGGGATAAATGGATCACTTGCAAAGCTTAAAGAATGGATTAATAAGTCGAGCGTGGTTAGAGTTCGAGGTTTTCTCGAAGAAAGAGGGTACGTAATGCATGAGGTGTAACGAGCGAGCGAACCTCATTAGTGTCTAGATTGGCTGGTTGGTGCATGTTTCAACCTGTTTCAAAGACTGCCGCAGTTCAAAAGTGGTTTGCCCTAGGAATTCGTCACCGTCGGTTATCAAGGGCTGATCCGAGAGCGATTTAGACCCCGACTCAACCCTTCTTTTTTTTTATATCACCGGCTGATCCAAATCTGGCAGAGCCTATAAATTGGCTGCCTTGACGTCCATTGTTTTTCATCTTTCTTTCACATCCGTTTCTCTTTCTCACAATGCCTTCTCGAAGCAGAGACGATTTGACAGCAACGATCGATATAGACCCTTCCTTCACTGGAATCATCTACGGGTATGCCGATGATGAAGCAGAAGGATGTGTTGTCAAAGGCGCGTGCACATTGCATGTTGTCAAACCTTGCAAAATTCGACGTCTTTTCGTCAGCTTGGACGGAAAACTCAAAGTCAACATTAAGGCTCCTGTTTCCATTTCTCCAGCTTCAGAAGGTGTGGAAACTCGCACGCTTATTTCCAAACATAAACACTATCATGGCGAAGATGGTCAAATGGAAATTCTGCAGCCTGGCGATCACGTTTATCCTTTTGAGTTTGAACTGCCATCCACCCTGCCAGCCACCTTCCACAGCAAGCATGGTCACATCAGTTACCGTATTCGATTATGTATCCACCGACCCATGTTCAGCAACGACATCACCGCCAAAAAGGAAATCGTGCTTCGACGGTGTTTAATGGACGAATGGTCATCAGGCACCAGTGCGAATGAAAAAGTTGAAGGCGTTTTTGAACAGTTGATGCACTATAAAGCCAGTGCCCCCGGCATGACCTATAGAGAAGGAGGACTTGTCAAGCTCAATCTCAATTTTGATTTGTTACATCCATACACCTCATCCATTCGAGAAATATCCTGTGCCCTACAAGAAACCATTCAATATCGCACCACTGGCATCCAGGCCGTGAATGCTCATTCATCCAGCAAACTTGACGTTCAATTCCCACTTGGGTGCAGTACCTTCTACCCATCTAAGGCTTCTGATTATGATCCTAGTGAAACGCATGACTACAATGCAGTGTTTCGGGTGTGGCCAAGAGTGCATGCAGATACAAATACAAAGTTGCTCAAGGTTTCACACAAGCTGGTCATCAATGTGAGCGTTGAAGATCGCTCAAATAAGGTAACTTACTCGGAAGGCAAGCCAAGATCCAAGTCGGCTCCAACTACACCTGCATGCTCAGATAATGAAGAAGACGATGAAGAGGACCCAGTACGAAGCTCATCATCCAGTATTCGAAGTAATTCTTCCTCCACCTCATCTTCCTCCATCGCTTTACCCATGAACCTACCACGGCCCAAGCCCTTCCGATCAAGGTCCAGCGTGCAATTGAGCGCATATCCTGTGAGGAATTGCAAATTGGAGATACCTCTCGTCGTCACGTCAAGAGAACATGTTTGGGAAGGTGAAATGCCTACACCACCCGCATATGAAACGCAAGAAGGCCCCCCCTCCTACTTCAATACCGTCGTAGCCCTACCACCCGTACCCGATTATGACAACAGCCAAGCCACTGAGCCTCAAGCTGCCACAGCCTCTGCCTATTAACCAATTGCATTGCCCTCTATACCTCATGTAATTACACTGCAACTCCCATGCATTTTTTTTTCTACATTCTCTATTTTAAATCATGCCTAAACCAAGACTCATTTCATGCTCTTCAATGTACATATCAAAACAAAAATAAACTAAGACGAAACCATTCTAAGAATATGTAATTTTTTCACTCAGATTGTCTGGCTAGTTTATCGATGAGGGTCCGCTCCGAAACAAGGTAGCGTTCGGCCGAACCACCGACGTCAAGAAAGCGCGACCTTTGAAGCTCCGGTTGGCAAGCTCGCCTATGCCACGTTGGCCATCGATCGACCAAACAAGCCACGCTACCTATAGTCCGAACCGCCGCTTTATGTATCATCGAGATAAGCAATGGTCTGGTCCAATGCATGCTTTATCATCCGGGAGGTCTCATGGTAGCTCGATAAGCACACCCATGGTCTACCTACACTTCACCATTACGTGATACCCGGTGGGTCATTCTAACTACTATATGGGAATTCCTTTTTTTTTATACTAAATCATTTTTTTTCTTTTCTTTTCTTTTCTTTCCCTTTGTTTTTCTCATTAAAAATGTCATTTTGGCCGAATGTTATGCTTTCATGATGGGCCACGCAAAAAGTGGGTTTATATTCGATCCGGACATTGTCACACAACTGACATGAGTTCTGCAGTGGGCATACATGGTATGTATGGTTCGTTTCTTCTTGTCAATGTCTCAAAGCGAATGCTATGTCAAGGGAGTGAGATGTTTAAATTGTGTCCAATTGATTATTTTCTTTCATATTCTGCTGGATTTCTCGCAAAAGGTGTTCAGCCACAGATCGATGTGGCAACATGGAAAAAGATTTTGCCAATAAATTTTCCCTGGGCGGTGATGTGTTGAGTCAGGCAATATAAGAACGGGAAATTCAATAACCAGCGTGAAAACTTTTTCTCTGCCACCCTTTCATTCACTATGGCTCAAGAAGATGAGCCAAACGTAGAGGATAAGATACAGCCTCCCATGGACGGAGGAGAAGGAAAGGTGGAGCGTATCGTCACTACCTCGAGTGATAATCAGGTATATTCCATCCACTCCAAAACAAAGAAGCGGTTGCTTTGTTGCCTTGCCGCCTCTGCCGGCTTTCTCTCCCCCTTCACTGCCAACATTTATTTTCCTGCCCTCAACAACATCCAAAAGGTACCGTATCCATGTTTCGGAGCATTTAAACTTAACCCCTCCTTTCTAACTATCCTCTAGGACTTGGGTGTCTCCGCTGAGCTGGTCAATTTAACGATCACTATGTAAGTAGGCGCCTGCTGTGCCAGCATGGTTCTGTAAAAACTGACGCTGTGTTTAGATTCATGATTTTCCAAGGCGCTTCACCTTCTTTCTGGGGTACCATTGCCGACAGTTGGGGTCGTCGTCCAGTGTATTTAGCAACATTGTTGATCTATATCGGAGGCTGCATTGGTGTTGCATTAACGCCCAATTACGGCGGTCTAATAGCCCTCAGAATGGTACAGGCTTTTGGCTCCAGTTCGGTCGTCGCCATTGGTGCAGGAACCATCGGTAGGTGCTGAAGACTGTATTGATATGATAGAGCAAAATGTCAAACTGATCTGCAATGATTACCCAGGTGATATTTGTACACCAAGCGAAAGAGCCGGATACATGGGAATTTTTTCAGCCACTGCGATGGTGAGTTTTTTTTTTTTTTTAATTTAATCATGTGGAACTATGCTTTCCCCTTTACTCATCAGCTTTATGACTTACTTCACCTTATAGTTGGGACCTGTAAGTAGGAATGGGGCTGATTTGCTGATTTGCACACATCGCTGATTCATTTTGTCAACAAAATGATAGGTCATAGGTCCCGTTGTTGGTGGTGTCGTTGTAAGTAGGATATATTTGGACATAACTTATGGCATCATGATTTTTAACTGTGATGAAATAGTCTCAACAATTAGGTTGGCGCTGGATTTTTTGGGTGCTGGCCATCCTCGGAGCCGTCATGTGGTTGCTATTGTTCTTCTTTTTGTCCGAGACGTTGCGTTCCTTGGTTGGCAACGGTTCAGGATATGCCAATCCGACACCGACGGAATGGCTGCAACGACGGGCGACACCCAAATCCGAGCGAGTCAAGTCAGCTCCTATGACGCGATTCCTGACCCTACCCAACCCATTCATTCCGTTCATGTATATTTTGGAAAAAGATGTTTTCTGCCTCTTGCTCTACAACTCCCTGCAGTATTTTGGTTTCTACGCCGTCCTGACCAGTATGACCAGCTTATTTTCCGTCATCTATGGCTTGAATGACATGCAGATCGGATTGTGCTACATCGCTAATGGATTTGGTTGTGTCTGTGGCTCTCTAACCACTGGAAGGTTGTTGAATTGGGAGTTTCAGCGGGTGGTCAAGAAATTGAACATTGATCCCAAGCGAGCTCGCAGAGGACGTCTCGATCCAAGTTTCCCAATTGAGCGAACAAGAATGCATTATACGTGGATTTGGGGATTGATTTACAATGTTTTTTTGATTGTTTATGGATGGGCACTTCAATACCATGCGCCATTGGCAGTGGTTTTAGTGTTCCAAGTTGTTCGTAAGTATTGAGAACCGTGAGGTGCCAAACTTATATGTCTGAAGCTGATTCATCATTCTATTGAAGTTGGGTATTGCTCTACCGCAACATTCAGTGCCACATCCACACTGCTTGTCGACTTGTTTCCAAAGGTACGTTCTGAGCATCCTACGTTTTTCAATTTCCATAGCATCCCTTTTTAAACGCTTAGCTCTCTTTCTTAGAATTCAGCAGCTATTGTGGCTTCCAACAACCTTGCTAGATGCTGGCTTGGCGCCATCGCAGTTGTAGGCATTGCGCCGGGTATTGAACGTCTAGGCGTAGGCTGTAAGTACAATGTGACGAATGACAAGCAAGTACGTTTGCTCAACTAATCAACCATTCAATTCTTGTATCAGGGATGTTGACGCTCATTTCGTTGATTCTTTTCGTCTCTCGCTTACTGATGATGGTGGAGCTGAAATATGGCCCTACTTGGCGTGAGCAGAGAGCAGAGCGGACAGCGACGAAGGAGAAGAAGAAGGCTGATAAAAAAGAAGCCAAGCTACAAGCCAAACTTGCCGACCAGGAGAAACAGCAGCCACCAGGCACTCTTGAGCAATTATCATCGCCTGCATCATAGAGTAGACTCTCTGTCGAGAACCAGGTCGTTTACCACTATTCTTCTCATCTTACATACCCTACGTTTACCGCATCCTCCTCGCGGCTTATACCTCGAGATATAATACAAGATGTACAGTATGAAATCATTGCAAAATAGCGATATAATAACCAAGTCAGAAAACTGTATATTGGATTGTAATAAAAAATGATTACAGTGTAATATGCATCATGTAAAAGAAATGGAGATGTGCCATCTCATGCTATTACTTTTACAACTCTACAACTGCGGCATGTACCTTTGCGCCTTCTGATCCACCAACAGCAAAGGTCTCCCACACAGCAGGCTTTCCATTCACGGTGAAGCTGCCTTCAGGCTTACGTCTGCAGTCATCCAATCCAACAAAGACCTTGGACGCGCGAACTCGGTTAGCAACAAAGTCCACCTTGATATCATTGTCCTGGCGAGAGATGTTGGCCAACTCAGTTCCCGGTACAATATGTCCTGTGGAGCCTAAGAAATGAACATCGCCGGATCCAGGGGCAGGAATATGCACAAATGTCTTGGATTCGCGGCTCTTCAGATGCACCGGCGCAGATGGAAGATAGAACAAGCACTTCTTCTTGTCAAGCTGGTTGGTGTGTAGGTCATTATCAGTGGCAAACAAAAGGTGCGTTTCCTTTGTTGCTTCAGGTAGATATATAGTCTGCTTATCACCCGATAAGTTGCTATACGTCGTGTAGAGATGCTCCTGACCCTGGGCATTGGTAGCTTTGAATTGCACAAAGTACACTTCGTCTCTGATCTCAATGACCGTATGCACCTTGGCTTGCACCTTGGGGAAAGTGGCGGCGTACAACATGTGCTCTTCTTCAGTGTATTCGGAGACGTCATCGGAGATGAATACCAAGGCTCCGAGGATGTTGTTTAAAATGCAGAGTGTGTACTTCTCGTCAGGCTTGAGCTTGTTGCTTTTGGATCGCAATATCATCACATCAGGATCATTTCCAAACATACTGTCGGACATTCCCCATCGGTTCAAAGTCGAGTGTAAGGAGTTGACGGTGGACACACGTTCACGGACATGAAGTAGTCTAAGCTTGGTGTCTGCACACACAGAAAATACCGACATGTTAACTTTTTTACAGGCAATTTACAACGTTGCGTTGTTAGTCTTACCTTCCCACCATGGAGCAACATCGGATCCAATTCGGCAATAGTCTACTTTGCGCCAAGAAGGACCAAGTGGAACACCGCATCCCAGAATGATTTTATTCGGCCCGACCACTTCGCGGAGGAATTCCATAGCATCGGTCATAATCTCACCGCGAGTCTTGCCTCGTTGAGGAATCATAGCAGCGGCAAACAGAAAATCTAGCTTGACCATATCAAAGCCCCACTTGTTCAATACAACATCAAAGACATGGCGAATGTAGGCTCTTGCACCTTCGTTGTAGAGATCAAGTGCATAGAAACCACCCCAGTTAGGTCCTACAGAGGGAGACGAGATTTAGCATACACCTCGATCATCATAGTCTCAGTTCCTGAGATGGCCAAGATAAGAAAAATAAATAATGTATGAAGTCCCAATAAACTTACCAGCTACCACCATCTTGCTGGAGTCATGCTCTTCTTTCAAGATCCAATCGGGGTGATCCTTAACAATGCGACTGTTGAATCCAATAGCGTAGGGAGCGAGCCATAAACCAGCCTTAATACCGTGGCTCTTAATCTTAGAAGCCAGGTCTTTCATGCCGCCAGGAAACTTGTTGTTCACTTCAAGCCAGTCGCCGATAGCAAGCTGGTAGCCGTCATCAATCTGGAAGATGTCGATGGGATATTTATAATGTATGATGGCGTCGAGATTCTTGTGCACAATCTCTTCAGTGACATGGTCGTAGTGGTAGTACCAAGACGTCCAACCGTTGACGTGACGTTTTGGATTCTCATTTCCACTGATCGTTCGTTCGTCCTTGAAATAGGAAGAATAGGTTTCCCAGAATTCCCTTTCTTGATCCTTGCCATGCAGAATCAGAACCTTGATAATATCGATCTCCTGGTTAGGATGCAATACCTTTCCAGTAGCATCCTTATAAATGGTCAAGGCGTTGGAGTTGAAGTCGCTCTTGAAGTAGGTATATCCCGATTCTTCTGCGAGTGATCCAAGAAAGGTAACGTTATTCTTCACGTCACGGAAATGGGTGTAACTGCTGGAGTGGATGAATCCCTTCTCTCCGGAATGTTCAAAGAAGGAATAGTCTCTATTGATGGATACAATCAGCACAAAGTCATTGTCGTTTTACCCGCGGGCGCGCACTTTACTAACCCTTGAAGATGGAACTGAGTGTACCAAGCAATGGTAGATTGTATCTTCTGAATTCTAGACTTGCTATCGAATTCTCGAGCCTGACTCCAGCTTTGAAAGCCATTGGATATCATTTTCATATCCTTCAGATCTGTAGCGTACCTCAATTCAATGGGGCCGCTCAGTTCAGCGCCTTTTTCTGACTTGACGCTGACAGTGAGGATCAGACCATTCAGGCTGGCTACAGGCTCAAACTTGGTGGTAAACGTCAAGCCGTCCTGTTGGTGTGGAGTTTTAGTGTCCAAGGTCAAGTTCTCTAAAGCCTGGAGAGCTCCTAAAACTCCTTCCTGCACATTTGGGCGGTGCGAAAAAGATAAAGTGGGAGTAAGTGTTTGGAAGATTTCAGGATTCATGAGAAGAAAGAGGAATGGAAACGAGGTGCCAGCGTGACGAAAGGACGAACAAGCTTCAGATTTCAATACCCGATCAACCACATTTCACCGCCTTTCCACGGAATCCCAAAAAAATGTTAAACATGATCATTGTTATTTGTCTAGAACAAGGAGAGAACAGTATTTGTTTATTTGGTGAGCAAGAACATAAAGAAAACTTGAGAGCCAGCAATCATTAGCAAGAACCACATTCTTCTTTTTCGCTGGGGATTCATAGTGGAAGCTGTTCCAGCCTCTGGCAATGCCAAGTATCGCATTGATCGCAACTATTATATAATATGGGTCAGATGGGCCAGTTGTACAAGGTTTCGTCTCCGTTCATCATCATAGCTTACCAAGAAAAATCCACAGCACAATGAGGTATACAGGTACAAACCCCAAGTCACCATACCACCAAAGCCAAGTTGCTTGACGGCAGTGGTAACGATCACGCCAACAAACTTGTAGCCAGAATAAGCTACAAGATCCAAGACGGAAGTATCCGAGGGTATGCTGAGGAGATATATACCGAGTCGGGTCAACAGGACTTCAGTAAAGACAATAGCCAAAGAAGCTGAGGCAGTGAAACCTAGGACTTCTGGATGAAAGCTGCAATGGGATGGGTGGATCAGATCGGAGGGGACGAAAAAGAGCTTTTCTCAAGTTTGGCAGCTACACTCACCTTCCTTTTCGCCCAGCAGCCAAACCACACAACAACACGTAGGTCACAAAAGCCATCACAGGTATATACAAATCCGGTGAATTGATATCCTCTCGTGGGGGGCTATAGCCTTCCATCTGACCGGTGTCGGATCGTCGAGCCATTCTATTCCAAGGCTAATATAACCAGATCAATCCACACGTCAATGACCCGCTGTTATTTCTCGAAAAATGACTTACGGAATGTCTCCATGGGAAAAGTAAAATGCGAAGCTTGTTGATTACATATAGATTATTAACGTTGAAATAGTGCTTGACAGCAGGTACATTCACCCAACGATTGATCTGCCACGTGCGCGGGTGGGATTAATACGAGAACAATAGAAGTTTAGCATCATCCAATTTTTTCTGCTTACATTTTGCTCAACGTAGGCTTGACCTTGTGCCATCGCGGTTCCTGCGAATTGCATACCCATCTGTGCAGCTGGATCGTTGAAACCAAACTGGGAATACAGATTGCTATTTGGAGGTGCGTACGCGCCTGCTGGCTGCTGCTGCTGCTGTTGTTGTTGTTGTTGTTGTTGCGGGTAATAATTCATGTTGCCCTGTGGTTGATGATGTGCCATCTGAGGCGTAGGTGATGCGGCATCAGCTCGAAAGTTCAAGATTGGGTGCTGAGGAACGGGATGTTGCAGTGGTGGCGGGGACCTTGAGTTTTGAGGTCCAGGGGCATAGCCTTTCTGATGTGGTGGGGGCGATGCGTAGTGATTGGGATCATAGCCCTGTGATTGGTATGAATTTGGCTGGTACATGACGGGGTTCTCTGGTCCGTATTTTTACACCAACTATGAAAAGGCGGGCGATACGATCTGCAAATGAAAGAGCCAAGCAAGTTGGCTGATGGAAATTTTGGTTGCGTCATTGGATCGTGTCAATTTTCCAGCGGTTGAAATCAATAGTGCCAGAATAGGTTGTATATTCTATCTGCTTGAGCAGATATGCAGACCATTAAACCACAATTCATCTTTGAGGAAAATAAGTTGTTTTATAATGACAATTGGTTTATGATAAAGCGAATTTTGTCTATGGATCTGTTGTTGGTAGCGTTGTGTTGTTGGATGCGAGTCTGCCACTGACTCTTAAATTGGCGGTCCGCCAGCTCTTTTTTCTCGTTTGTTCCAGCAGACGCGCAGCAGTCCTCATGTCAGCAAGCGATTTGTTCACCCAAGCTAACGAAGCATTTTTCGACGATGACTATGACGAAGCTCTATCCTTATACACCCAAGCAATAAAGCTTGAACCTGAGAATCCAGAATTCTATCTCAAACGGTAAGGCTGAGTGCCCCGTCCCTTCATTCCCTTTCAACGTCGTTCCGCGCAACTGAACCAAACCCACTGTTTTCAGCTGCATTGCATATGAGAAGGTCAAGAAAAATGACAAGGCGCTTGAGGATGCAAATAAAGCCATGGAGATCCTTGAAACCAAACAGGGCTCCAGAACTCAGCTAGCTAAGGCACATTTACGGCGAGGGTAAGCAATGCGACCACTCAAACGTATTACTAAGGGTAGCCAACATCGCTAATTTGGTATATTTGTGCATATTAGTATCTCACTCTATCATTCCAAGAAATACCATGAGGCTAAAAAGGATCTTATGGCATCCAAAGAGTTGAACGCTACGGAAAAGACTTTGGTGACTTGGATGCGTAGGGTGGATGATGAGTTGGCCAAACGTAAGTAAAGAAAGGATTTAGGAGTATGCCAAAAAATTCATTTGCCTTGTACTTAGAGATGCAAAAATTTCAGTTCCACAGCAATCACCTGTGGCAGAGGAACCAAAGCCAACAGTGGCGCAACCCAGTCCAGCGGCCGATGTGGGGACACCAATTCAAGAGAGAGCAAGGTACGAAATTAAAGTTACCACTTGTTGCATTTTAAGAAAGTTCATAATTAATATTGGAAATGTAGGCATGATTGGTTTCAAAATGATGATTTTATCATCTTGGAAATTTTCATCAAGAGCGTCAAGAAGGAGGCTATTGATGTTGGATTCCATGAGCGGTCCTTGTCGGTGACCATCAAAATGCCTAATGGATCAGATTACTCTTTAGAGTTGGATCCTCTGACCCACGAGATTGATCCAAGTCAAAGCAAGTTTGTACCATTGTCAACCAAGGTTGAGATCAAGCTGAAGAAGAAAGTGTCTGGCATTAAGTGGGGAATGCTGGAAGGTGAAGAAGTGGTTTCTCGTAAGTGTTGTCAGCGACTATATTGAATGAATGGCGACATTAAAGCTTACTGGCTCTATAGAAACCATTGCGGCGCCGTGGACCTCAACCAAACGACGGGACTGGAGTTCATTGGAAAAAGAGTTTACGGATGAACAAGACAAAGCAGAAGGCGATCAGGCGCTCAATGCTCTTTTCCAAAGTATATACGGTAATGCTGACGACGATGCCAAACGTGCTATGATGAAGAGTTTTGTAGAGAGCAATGGAACTTGCCTTTCCACCAATTGGAACGAAGTGTCTCAAGCACAGGTTGAGACCAAGCCTCCGGAAGGCATGATCGCCAAGAAGGTGAGCTAAGCAAGTGATAAGGTGACAAAAAGATATCAAGTGACTAATCGCTGATGTGATGTTGTAGTATTCTTGAAATAACTTGCATTTACCGAACTCGCCGGCTCACTTTTTGGACATTTGAACGGCAGCAGGTTTAGATCGGACCACATGTAAACTGACACTCTCACGAAATAAAAACGAACCAATGTTTTGAGATATGTATAAAATATATATTACATTATAATGGGAAAAAAATAGGTGGTGTTAACAGTTGGAAGGCTGCCACATTACCATCATTTGGGTATCGCTTTCGTGGGCAGTGTTCAGTTTGTTATACGTTTTGGCGTTGATCAAGATGCTGTTGTTACTTTGCGGGATGAAAGAGTCCACTACCACAGCGACCACTCGAGCGTCACTGGTGGGGCTTGTCAGTAGAACGCAACTGTAGCAGGAAATAAAACCTGGGTCAACCATATTCAATGGCTGCAAGGAACGTTAGAACTTCAATGCAGCTTAAAAAAAAGGTCACACCGCCTGTCATTCAACTTACAAATGCTACACCGTCATCTACCGTGGGATTGCTGCAGGTTGTCAGCTTGGTCAAATCAGGCATAACCTCTATTGCATACGGAACTTCCGTCGGATCCATGAACCTGCCTGCTGGAATGGTTGGCATCAGTGTGATTTCAGCTGCATTGGTTGACTCAGGCATAGCTTGTGAGACGGTGGTTGGATTCGTACTATTCCACCTGGACGTTCCACTGTACCTATGTCGGACGGAGGAAGCTGCAGACTCGATTCCTGTTATGACAAATACACCAGCGATAAATCCTCCCATGATGATGGTAAGAGCCGCCAGCAGCCATTCTTTCATTTTGTTACGCACATTTCGTTTGCGACTTTTGCTTCGTTTCAGTTTGGTTGCAGTGCCCACCGTTATGGGCAAGTCAAGTTTGGTATCAACATTGAACGGGCTAGAGGGAACTCGATGTAACATTGATAGCCGTTTGATTCTTGTCATGAGATTGGGTGGTCGCTGTGGGGGTTGGAGATCGCCATAGTTACCCCCCAATGTGTTAGATAAGGAGGACTGACTTGATAATGAGGATGCGCTAGGTGAGCGATGGATGGGCACAGCTTCCATATCGCTGTATGTTGATTTATAATGAGTAACTAATGGAGGATGCTTTTATGGTCAAGAGGCGCGATCGGGTTCTTGATGAGAGCCTCTTCCTTGCTTATGGGGTCTGTGTAAAACCAAATGAAGAGAGGTGACAAACAGTGGAGAGAGAAAAAAAAATGAGGATTAACAAACAAGGTATTGGGCCCACCTCAAGTTAATATCTAAACGAGACTCAATCAACTTGGGGATGACATAGTTTGGAATAATGGGCTCAACGCATAGAAAATCTCGAATCCAACCAACATTTTTACTCCCAGACATGAGAGAAATTGATATCGGGAACTGGAACGGCTCCCTCTGTCTGTCTTGATCACTTTTCAATTTTTCTGCTGCCGCCTGAGTATCGTTGATCCCCGCATCTTTCTACCAGGGATTGACAATTTAGGGTCGTACAATCCAGATGCTGAGAAATGGGGTTTCCAATAGGTTTTGCCTTCGTTGTTTATAGTGAAGATCTTCGGACTCATCAAATCAGGAAATTGCGACGTCGTACACTGGAGTTAATATATTGAATGCTCTGAACGAACGAGTCAGTTTGCATGTAAGTTATCCAGCTGAATATTCGGGTCTTAGAATTCTGAACGTAAAGCGCAAATTGGTAAGCGACATTTGATGATCGTCAAATGGTATACAACTGATACACTATTTGAGTGCAACGAAGGAACTATCCTCTTTCAGGGGTACATCTGAACGATAAGGGGCAGAGCAGTCTGTCAATGTCGGTGGCATCGGTCGATTCGGGTCCTCGCAGTACGAGACGAAAGAGGTAGTCGAAACCCATCGGTCAAAGTTCATTTTGCAAAATTTCGTTCAACTTAGAGGATAGCAAAATGGCCTTACTAGACTGTATATAGATGAGCAAAGAATGGGGAAAGATCCATATTATCGTTTATTCGACTCAAAACAGTAACGTGCACCGCACAGGTTATTCGGCAGATTAGACCTCGACCATTTTTATGAGCTGACAATTCATGCGCCACCACACTTCCGTAGTCACTTTGGTGGAGAAACGCTTTGTGTGAGACGATAAACGCAATGTGCATTACTCTAAAACAATGATCTAGATGATGCCTCCACTGGGAGGCGTTGTACCTTTGCACGCTGAGGGCAGGCAGGTATCATCACAAGTTATGTTTGCAAAATATGGCGTATTCACTGCTTCCAGACCGCCTAACCATAGCCCCCTTCAACTTTCCTAATACTCAATTAATCATCATAAAAACGGTTTTCATTTTGCGTAGGTATAAGGTTAATCAGATAAATATATACAAAAGATGTGGGAGCTTGCATGTAAAGTTGTAAAAAATGTGGGGAATATACACATAATTCAGAGAAAAAACACGTTTCCTCTTGAACATAAAGAACATAGAAATGAGCAGAAAATATCTATATAAGGTGGTATTGGCGTGAGGGTATATACAAATTCTATGTGACAAAGAGGAGGATAGTCTGGAGCGTAGGGGAGCGCTGTCGATCATGTGACATGTGTCGGAGGTTCATCCCAATATTTTGGTCGTAGATCTCACTCACGTTGGCTGGAACGGTACGGTCATAGTGAGATCACCTGTCCAGTTGGGAGGAGGAAGAAGGTGCGGTTTGCAGTTCAGATATTTTTCGATCCAGTTGCTTCAAAGCGCGATCGAGCTGGCGTACTTGCACCATCAGATCGTCATATGCTGTTCCTAGCTCTCGATCGAGTTCATCCAACTGTTGCTCATTGGCGCCTTGGAAAGGGGTTACCAAAAAGGCGTTCTGGAGTGAATCCAAGACAATGTGGATACTAGCCCAACTATCTTGCAAGTATCCAAGGTCGTTTTCTAAAGCAGACACTGCTTCTATCTTTGGGTCACTGGGAACATGTTCCAGTTTTGGGGATTTTGTAAAATCATCTGAGTCTGTCAGGCACCAAGTCAGTTCAATGCTACGGGGCAAACTTTTTTTAATGCAGACTCCGCGTGTCATTTTGCTTACCTTGAGATTGATCAGTACGTTTTCTTTTACGAGGGGCGCTGGAGGTCGTCACGGTGGAAACTAAAGAAGGCTCCGAGAAGCTTGGAGTAGGTGGCTCGGAGTCAAAGAGCGAACCAAGATCAGAACTTGACAGGTAATAAACGTCGAGTGGTACGTAGTCGTGTGGTATGTAATGCACACTATAGGGATTGATATCGAAAATCGAGTTGCTTGGAGGGTAGAGAAGAGAACAGTCCATAGGACAAGAGAGAGAGAGAGAGAGAAGGTTTTAAATGATTTTAAAAATGAAAGTTTGTTGAATTTGGTCCCTGGTTTAAATAGTAGAGCATACACAATTGTTTGACCCTTTTTTTTTTTTTTTATTTTGTACCAAGAGAAAAAAAAATTATGCGAGTGCAGTTTCAAGGAACGCACATCGCGCCACACCAAGCGAGCTATAACAGCATCGGATGCCAAAATGGGATGCTTCCGGTCTCCTGTAACTACCATATACGGTTGAATACCGTAGACACCACAGTGTACGGGCGGTATTATAAACACCCAAGCAATCCTTGGCGCCATGCTTTACCCCGAGAATGAGGCTGGTGGTTACGCAAAACCCTCAGATCTTCATACCAAACAAGGGAGACAACCGACCCTGGTTCCCCCATTTGTTCAGCGACGGTGTTCCTTCGGCAGCCCAAAAATGGATGCCATTTAGCATTGGTAATACTTGTATCACAGTTGAAGAATTCCCAACTTGTCATAAAGAAAATTCTCCATGTACGTACCTGTCGGTTGGGCAAGACAAGACGAAACGCGGAATGCGAGCATGGGCATACAGAGAAGAAACGTGGGTGTGATAGAATGAATGCATTGCATTGCAGACCAGTTCCGTTCAGTGCCATGACAATTTTAACCTTGACATCATCCATATGCGACCGCTCGTACGACATAGCTTGAGTGTTCTTTTCTTTCTTCTTCTCTTTCCGAGAAGCCGCGGGTCATGTTTTTTTTGATCGGGCGCTTAAACGAGAGTGCGCAAATTTTTTTTTTTTTTTTTTGCTTTTGTGAGCGTCCAATTCAAACAATGAGAAATTCTCAGCGATTTTGTCCTTGGTGGGGGATTACAAGCCATGCCTCCCTAATTGAATGGCTGGTGATATATCCTTCCTTCTTTCCCCCTGGAGAATGAAAAAAAAACCAGCCTGGAATACCTCACGCCATCCTTTGGCTCCTGAATTCATTCCCCTTTGTTTCTACCCTGATGGCTAGTGGCTAGTATGGGCCACAATTCAGGCACGCCACAAACTGCGCATAATGCGGAAAACCAAACTGGTTTCCATATGTGGACAAATATTTGTTAGTCGTAATTCTACTTCATCCATCCAGAAAGGAGATAAAACTGCCAACAGGTTTGTTGTACCAAACATTCAGAAACACAATGGATCAAAAATAAAATGTTCTGAATTGGGAAAAAAATATCAACACACTGAATAATTTTATCTAAGTATACATGTACAAAAGCGGGTTGGAGTTCTTGGCAACTGAATGAGCGGTTTTGCTTCTATCACTACACACGGTGGATACCCAATGCTCCTCATTCATACTCATGAACGGTACTACCACCTAGGATGGTGCAATTTTAATGGGCCCTAGGTTTTTTTTTGTTCGCTTGGTTTTCACTTGTGTCGAGTGGGCGATCGCGCGATTTGGAACTTTTCAAGTCCGACAAAGGATCTTGAGGCTTCTTGTTGGGGAACTGTCATGAAAGTTAAGATTCGTCATAGGAGAACGTTGCACCAACTGCTACGTTACTATACCTTATTCTGATAGTCCTTCAGTCTTTTAAATAGAAGAACATGAGGCTCTGGTGCTAAAATGGTTTAAGTCATTCGGGTCAGCAGCTGAAAAAAATGACGTTTTATGCACGCAGATTCACATACCATGAACCATATAGTGTACCCAACCATACGATTGCTTCACGCCAAGAGATCGCCATTCATCATCAGCTAGTATGCCACTGTGAGGAATCCATTGTGCAATTTCTTTCGGGAGTGTGACGTGCCTAAGGAGGAATGGCCAGGGATTTTTTTTTAAGTTAACTGTCCTGAAAAAAGCTTCTCATTTCCATCCTAAGCGTGCTGATCCGTTCTACATACCGGTACTCATATTCATCATCTTGGTCCGTAACAAATATTGCCAATTCTGTCGGTTAGCTCCTTGCGAAAAATAAATCCTAATCGCCCGTGCCGTATTGACACTTACCGTAATAGTAGTTTGAGTATCCTATCCGTTCTTCGTGTTCTGCGATATCCTTTGCCCTTTGTTCCTCTTCCTCCAACCTCTCTCGTTCAAGCTCATTCTCTTTCTCAGCTGCTGTCTTTCGTTCCCTTTTCTCCTTGTGTTCTGGTGGTGGGCGTCGTGACAGCACGGGTTTCGCTTCTGGTTCAGCCGGTTGCTGTTTGATCGCGGGTGCCATGGTAGCCTTGAATACATCTCTTGTCCTCTCAACATGGGCCCGAGGTGGACGATCATCGTTTTTGGAAGTGATTTTGTGGTGCGTTGATTCTGCCATGGAATGGTAATGAACGCGCAATGGGGAAAAAAAATAATCGAAAGGGTTGGTAAGACGCGTTGGCGCTTTTGCTACCGTTGAATTTGAAATATACCATAAAAACATTTTACGTCATCACCCGCCTTTCACTCAAATTGATACCATCAACGACGTGAGAGCACGCAATAGCTAAAACGTGTTGGCAATACATGCGTGGGTATACAGCCTGCGTTACCCAGGAATACAATATGTTTGCATATTCTTAGCTATCCTATCTTCTATTCTTCGCTTTAAAGGTATGCACGCCAAGCAACCCACGTTTTGATCCTTTTGTTTCATCGCCTTTTAAGCACTTTGAGTGTAAACATCATGCTATCTTTTTTTCCCTATCATTTTTTATTATTATTTTTGAAATAGCTTAGTCGTCCGAGAGTTCAATCGAAAAGCTGGTGATTTGAGGTAGATAGGCACACGCACTTAGATCAAGTACGTGGATGTCCCCAAAGTAAGATTTTCCATCATAGCCACCAAAAAGAATCAATCGGGAGTCGTACAAGACCACGGTGTGATACCCTCTAGGAGTTGGGCCAATCCCGTGAATGCTTCGAGTCTCCCAGCTCATGGTCACTAAGCATACAGAAGATACACATTAGAGCTTCAATCGATGGAAGCCACAAAAAAAAAGAGACTGATCATGAAGGGCGTGGACTTACCCAAGTTGAGCAGCAACACATCAGATGAATACTGCTTGCCATCATGGCCACCGATCACAAATAGATAAGACCCCACGCGTGTGGATGTATGAGATAAACGGGGTATAGAGCGATCCAGTTCCATAGTGTACCAGGCATTTTTGGCTATAAAGAATGACTGTGTGAGTAAGAGTTCAAGCGTTCGAATCGATTACACCACACTTACTCAAATCACAAACATGAACGTCGCTAAAGCATTCATGTCCGTCACTTCCACCAAACACCACCAATTTATCTCCTACCAGATTGGCGGTATGATAGCCGCGAGGTACAGGAACTTGACCGGCGGGTAATAAATTTTGCCATCGTAAATTTGCAGGGTCCATCAAGTCCAGGGCAAACAAATCACTAAGGGCGTGCGCACCGTCGCCTCCTCCAAACACATACAGCTTGTCGTTCCAAACAAAAGTGCTGTGTGCTCGACGTGCAGATGGACTTTCACCAGAAACCGTTGGAATAGACCAGGTTAAACTCTCTGTGAGAAGGGTTGGTGTAAGCGAAAAGAAAAGTCTCTGGGGGGGGGTTGGAAGGGGTCCCACTCACCTGTATCCAGTACATAGAGGTCATTATAATAAACTGGTCCCTCCCCTCCACCAAAAACGAAAATCTTTCTTTGCTTTGCATAATAGGTTGCAGAGTGTGCACGACAAGGAGGCGGTGGATCGCCATGGGTCCTTGGTTTTGACCATGTAAACGTGTCTACAAAGACGTCAGATTTGATCTCGCATACATTATGCAAAGCGTTCGTCGCTTACCGAGTTCTAGTATATATAAGGCATTGAAACACCCTTTATGGTCCGATCCCCCAAATACAAACATCAATTCGCCGACCATGACACTCGTGTGAGCGCGGATAGGCTTTGGAGCCTTTCCGTAAGTCCCTGGTCTGGACCAATACATTGATGGTGCTGGCGCAGGGGGGACATTGGCAACGCTAGCCGAAAACTCATCAATAGACTTCTTTCTACTGCGTGAGTGAGCTAGCTTCCCCGAATCCTCTTTCTTCGAACTGCGATGATGATGATGGCTTTTGCCACCATTTCGTTCTGAGGTGGAAAACTTGTCTATTTGTAATAGGTAAGCTACAACGTGGTACACCATGAAACAGTTAGATTATTCTCACAAATGAACGTACCTCGAAAAGAATCGGATGTAGATGTTTTTCTTGTCATGGTAGTGGTTTTAAATGAGCTGGGCGGCGAGGTGTAGGATGATGCAGGGGACATGGCTAAATTGATAGACCGAGTAGGTGTGGCAGCAATGGTTGTGTTAAGGTTAGATACGGGTGTCGGGCTACTGTTGGAGCTGAAGGTATGGCGAACAGGACTGGCTCGTTCTTCTGACGAGGAGCTAAAGTCCTCTTTTGTTGGAGTGGACGGTAAGGTGGGTGACTCTGGCTCAGCAAATGCATTATGCGGAACTTCCCCGGGGCTGAGACCATAGCGAAACGACAAAATAAATAGAGGCGAAGCAAAGGATTTTTTTTTATAAATATGCACGACGCTACCAAATATTGCAGTGGTTGGTGCCTTACCTCAGAATGCTTTGTAATGACATCAAGGTTAGAGATGATGACTCGGAGTAGTTACGCTCTGTCTTTCCGACGGGAATGGCAATGGGGGTGATGACTGGAGACAGTCCATGTTTATTTGTACCAGGAGTGCTAGATTCTGACATGGGCTCGGCTGCATTAATGAATGGGGAAGGAAAAAGGATCGAAAGAAAGAACCAGGGCTCACCTCCACTGTGTTTTTAACTTTTTTGAACACTTGACCTATTTGCTGGCTGGCTGGCTAGCTCTAGGGTTCCACACGCGGCTGACCTTGGTTACGCCCGCTATGACGGTGTAACCCTCGATCATCCTCAGTGGATTTCAATAAAGAACAATGGCCACCGTCATACATAGAGGCCTTCATCCACTGTGATAGGAACTAGTTGTTTCAAACCACATTTTGCTTGGGTGGTTGCAGCCATGCCATGGGCTGTGCTCCAATGGTATTCAAGTACAGGCTATTTTAACATGGATAGATCACAAACTGAGAAAAAGACGTTGAATCCAACAACCGAAAGACGTGCTTGGGGGTTTTTTCATCATGACATACCTGCAGTGACCCAAATACGGGACGAGGCCAAGTCAGTCAGTCCAGTTCATGCCTGTCTGCTGTGGTTCAGCGCACGGACCAGCACACTACCATAACCAGCAACCAATCTGCCTCTTTCAGATCATACCAAACACACTCCTGAGTTGTTGCAAAAGCAGTAGGAAACATGCCTAAATGAGGTTGGACGGAGGGTGGTCAAAGGTATGTGATGAACATCCTTGGCTTGGTTGAAAGGGTACGTGATGATTCGGTCATCACATGGTGTTGGATACTTTTTGCATGACTCTTAATATGTTTTAATACCAAAGAGAAAACATCCGAATAGGAAAATTGTATGTCTGTTTTTCATTAGCAGGAGAGGCAGGAGATGCAAAGGGAAGAGAAGGGAATCCATCGAAGAATGTCAGTATGATGAAAAGGGGAGGGTTGGTTTGAGGGCAAGGGCCAAGGCAGGGATGACGGTAGATTTGAACATAGAGACTCTCCTTCCTACCTACGGAAATTTTTGACTACGCTTCCCTGTCTCTACGATCCACAAACTCTTCTCAAACATCCACATCTTTTTTCTTCTCCCTTATATTTTTTATTCTTGCGCACCTTGTTCCGCTTTTCTCTCTTTTCTCTCTCGTCCAGTCTCGAATCCAACCTCTTTCATATTTCACCCTTTATCCTCTTTTTATTCTACGATTCTTCTCTCTTTTCTCTTTGCTACCACGACCTGTTCAAAGGGGAGATTCATTACATTACTTGCTCTCATTAGCAAAGCTGCGATCAGTTTGACCTCATTTTAAACAAGACTCCGCAACCTAATGTATAAATCCGGCTCTCCCATTCAAACCACTGGTCAAAACTTGGTGGGTCTATGGCGGCCGTCATTCACCAGGGTCGATAACAAGCTGTATATTTTTGGTGGAGGTGGTCAGGTCACGACGGATTTGCACGCTCTTGATTTAGTCGACATGCGATGGTCAACCGTTCAGGTATATTATTTTTGTATTTCCCTATGGTCAAGCCCAAACCCCCCCATTCCCCTTGAAATATGAAGCTCGCATCCGTGACAGTCACATTGATGGGTTTTTTTTTTATTTGATCCCATTTCCCCAGACAAAAGGCACTCCACCCAAGAAGCGCTATGGTCATACTGCTGTGTTATGGCGACACTATATCATCATATTTGGTGAGTTGGATCTCTTCGGTATGGTTAAAAATTCAACTGGCTAATCTTTAATACCCTACCCCCCCAAAAAAAAAATCCGCTGAAACAGGCGGCTGCAAAGAAACCCAAGACTACTGCAACGATGTCCACGTATTTGACGTTCAAAAAAATACCTGGATATCACCAGAAATAAGAGGCGACCTTCCAGCTGCTCGCTACCTTCATTCTGCTGCCGTATATAACAACAAGATGTTTGTTTATGGTGGATTTGCTAAAAATCCCGAATGTAACATGTCGTTTTCTGAGTCAAATGGCCTTTGTTTGGCCCAACATGTCAACTAACCTTACTTGACCCATTAGGCACGTATGTTTTGGACGAATTGAGTATATTGGACCTGGAAACTTTTACGTGGTCAAATCGACATGCTATACCACCTCGTTACAATCACTCTTGCACTCTCATAGGGCACAAAATGTACATTTTTGGTGGAAAAGACGAACATGGCAACACCGTGTCGGACTTATTTACCATCAACCTGAATACTCCGTCTTACACCCCGCATCATGTATTAGGCCCTCATTCACTTTCCGGCAATTCCATGGTACTCCTCAAAAGTCAACATTTCTGTGAAGCTCTTTGCGGGAAATTGCTAGTGTTTGGTCGATATTTGACAGGAGAGACGACAAACAATGGAAATGGATCGAGTTGTAACGCAAAGTCAGTTTATGGATTGTGGATGCTAGACTTGGACACCCTAGAATGGTCCAAACAAGAATGCAATGCCTACTTTGATGTTGGTGGATGGAACTACTTTACAGTCATTGATGAACCAGTGGGCGGATACCAGTCACCGTCAGCCATGCTAATGGATAGCGACGACGATCAATCGCAAGCGGCTACCAAGAATTTGTTGTTCTTGGGGAACACCGATCCCTTCAGACCCCAGGGGTACGATCACTTTAGGTAAGCATCATACATTGGGTTCTCATTTTCGCTCAATTTGTCTAATTCAATCCTCCCCGCACCCCCAATCGACTTTCTATCATTACGAATTTTAGGGATGCTCTCATGATTAACAGCGAATGCTTGGGATTATACGACATTCCACCACCACAGTATTCCTTGGAGTTTGCTCAACTATTAAATGACCCAGAACTTTCCGACTTTGTCATTGAACCTGCTGATGGTCCAGAAATTCATGTACATCAAGTGATATTGATGGCCCGATGGCCACATTTCCGCAACATTCACAAATCAGGCATGATTGAAGCAACTCAGCGTCATTTACAAATACCAGAACCGCATGCGGTTGTTCTCGCCTTGTTGCGATACTTCTACAGCGATTGCTTGGATGATGCTGAACCATGGGAAATTGTAGCTGACGTACTCGTTCTGGCAAACATGTACATATTAACTAGACTGAAGAAAATTTGCTGCGAACGCCTGTACCGTCGACATTTGACCGTCGAGACATGTGGCCATATCTTTGAACGAGCGATCTTTGCCCAAGAACCTGGACTGAAAGCCCTGGTGTTGGAATTTATGTTTGCCAACTATGGAGCAGTCCTCAAGAGCAATGTTCTTGTCTCTATGAGCCCTCAAGCCAAGGATGAATTTCTGGAAGCCGTGCCACAAGAGGCTGTTCTTGAAGTCAGCAAAGGTCGAGCTGCTGCCACTATCCTTGCCGCGTCTACCGTAGTCACCAATCCAAGTCAGACCTCTTCACCTGCTTCTTCAGCTGATAGCGCAGCTGCTGCCTCCAATCCTTCGTCCAATACTACAGTATCCAGTGGAGGCTTTGTCTCCCTGTCAAGAAGTGTCACCGCAGGCAGCCTCTCCATAAGCAGTGGAGGAGGAATGGATTTGAGTGGCATGAATGGAATGAGCGTCGGCGTATAGGGGGTTTTCTTTGCATCCACCATGTTTATATATTGCGCACTTCTTTACTGTACTGCCTGACAGCCCTTCCCAACCTCTCTTCTTCCTTTCCTTTCTGCATGATTCTCCTACCGCTTTGCTTGCGAGGCGAGGTCAAGCCTGATTGAAAATGAACTTTTGTATCATAAACATCTATGTCGGCTACCCCGTTCAACTCTTTCAACCCCCTCACACACGTTTTCCTTTTTTCAATATATATACGCATGGCCTGCCCCGCCGCCCTTTTACTTTAGCTTCTACTGCACATTTCCCTTCTTTAAACCCCAAACCTTGTGGATCTGCCTTTCTTTCTCACACTCTTTTTTCGTCCGCCGTAATAATTCTGCTTACCTAGGGAGGATCAAACAATTGTACTAAAACACTTATTTTTTTTTTTTTTTTTCTTTCCCAATAATAATGGCAATATTATTATTAACAGTACAAGAAGGGCATATATTGCTTTGGTAATGAGGGGTTTGCTTGCTTAAAATTTGGACTAGTATCCAGTGAGGGACTCGTAAATAAAAATTCCGAAGAAATAATAAGAGAATATATTTAACAATTGCTTGCTTTGTCTTGCTGCTATAATTACCAAGCAGCTGTATCATCTGCAACTTGCATGAGCATATTATATTTTGGAGAAGCGGCTGCAACGCTGGACACTGACGCATGACGACTTTTCGAGATTTCATCTGGATCGTCGTCTTCTTCCGATTCGTCCTCTCGTTCACTGCTCAAGGATGGCGTGTATCCATTCATCAATCCATAGCCAGGACCACCGCTGGAAATGGTCAACGTAAGTTCCTCATCATCCAGATGAGCTATAGGGTTTGGCTTGATTTCATAGGGTGTAGGGATCGTTTCCGTAGTTCGTTTGACGATGGTTTCAATTGACATGGATTTCGGTAGGGTATATGGCTGGAGTGTATCAGAGGGTTGGGTTTCGACAGGTGGTTGCGCTGCAATGGGTCGTAGAATATTGTACAAGGTTGTGGCGCCTTTGGATTGCGGATTCTGAGCCCAATAGAGGATGGCAATCTTATAAATATTGTAGTAGGGCATGAGATCTTTTAGAAGTGATCCCCAATTATCCAACACTATCATGAGCAACGATTAGAATATTTGCAGTCCGTTCATCCGACCATGTCTGGTCAATGCGGGTTCGACTCTGATGGTTCCGTCAAGAAACACCCCCACCACCTATTTTTACATTTAAATACCCCGCCCCGCCCTCACCTTGTAATGACCCATACAGCAGCCAATATGTCAACCACGATTTTAATTCATCAATATTTGCCTCTTCCGGTGACTTTGCTTCTGCTTGTCGTATGAGCTTGAGGCACCGCCAAGTAGGGTAGGCAACCCCTAGTGTGTTGATCATAAGATAAGACGATCTCCGATACAGGCGTCGAACTACCAGAGCAAGAGCCGCCGTGGAGACAGTAAATAATCCAATGGGATGCACACCTTTGCGCAACAAGAAACGAGTGAAGCGGGAGCATGCGTAGAATGATTCTAGTTGCTTGATTCGTGTCACGGTCATATCATCAATGGGTCGTGTTATGAACATCAAGTTGATGGGTGCCATCTTTTCCAAGTTCATTATGGTGTTGTGAACAGCAGTGGATGTCGCATAACATGCTGTGTCATCGGCCACCGATCTAGTGGCGACAGCTGCCCTCTTCATTTTAGTGTAGGTCAAAGGAAAAAAAAAAGGTCAGTAGGGTTGAAATTTTCCATTTTCATGTGCACCGTGAGGTTTTTCCATCTCAGCCCAAAAAGATTCATTCTTCAACTGTGGTAAAAGTGCTTTATAGTGATACATTGTATGAGGGTTGTTTTACAAAGGGTTATCGTAGAAAATAATGAGGTGTTTTCTGTGTGCAGCAGCATCTCCCAGGAATACACAAAGGTATGTTTGAAAAGCCTTCCAATTGTCACATGGTGCTTGTATCACTAGGACTGTTTGTGGTAGGCTCTAGCAAAGGTAACAACCATGTATTCGCACACTGTGTGCATTTGACTGTATGCAGTCGATATCAGGTGTTGTTGTATCAGTTCGGCTTGGAGATGTATGATGTATGCTGCCGTAGCCAGTGTCACCAGCGTCGCTATATAGATAGCAAATGTAAGGGCTACCATTTTGGCCAGCAGCATGATAGCCTCATAAGGTCGTAATGAGAGTCGAAGTCGTTCAGCGTAGATTGGAAGGAGGGATTGGGAGAGGATGCTGACATCCTGATAAGAGAGGGAGGAGAGGAGGGATGTGCCAGAGTATTGCACTACTTGTCGTAAGTGTAAGCTCACTTCTAGGTATGAGCAAAAGTGTCGATATTGATCGTCTGTTACGAACAACTTGAAATCTATTTGCTGTAAAAATTGCCGTTCAAGTCGATTGATTGCTTCGCATGTATAATATCCACCAGTGTTGTAGGACCATTCAGCATTACTCCATGTTACATCTGCACTGGAAGCACCGACATAAAAGCTTTAATACGTCTGACATATGCTGTCGTTTCATTCGGTAAGGGATTACTTACAGGTATTTATCCGCAATGACGATGGATGCCATAAACAAATCTCTAGTGCTCCAGCCTTCAGCTGGATTAACTCTTGATAGGTTCGTAGAGACGTCATCCAATTTTCTCTGTCGCAATGGCCGTTTCGATTTGTGGTGGAAAAAAGTATCGACATACCACAGACTAATGACCAAGGATGTACAAGATATGCGTGCCATATTTAAAGTTTTCCGAATGAAATTGATGTCTGACTGTAGTTCTTGCATAATATCGAAGTCTCCCTTTTCAACGCCAATGGTAGGTGCTACGAAAAATTTTAAGTAAGAGTGTCCACTGATCATAGTGGCAATGAGGGTGGCTGTCAAGTCTATGGAAAAAGGGTCAGCTTCCAGCTACTGCATGAAGGTAAGAAAGTGGCAACGAAAAGGGATTTTCTTACCAACGAGATCGAGTGGTATTCTTGTATGTTCGCCTTCCATACCCACATTCTTAACGTCTTCCAAAAATTGTCGGTAAGCTGAGAACTGTGCCTATAGACGGTGTGAGCTCGGTTATAGCGGCGACTCAAGTTGGAGGGGATAGTGCTTTGGGATTCTTACCGAACGGTCTGTCAAAGCCTTCACTCTGTCTTTTTGAGACTGTTCCTTTCGTATTGCAGATCTGCTCACAGATTTACGCTTCATCTGGATGGGGTTTCGTTGGGGTTCAGTTGAAAGCCTTTCGGGCAAGCCCAGAAAAGTGCCTACCTAGAATAATTGGTCATGTGATACATCGACAATTGCAGTCACATGAAAATGGCTGTAAGTCGCCTTTGTCGATCAATTCAAACCAATATCAACCAGTAGAAGCTATATCTCGCATATATCTATTGAAAGATACAACTAACAGATGAGTTTAGAAAAGGTTTAAAAACTGTATCTCTTACACGTTTTTATTGAACTACTGGCAATGAATGGTTCTACCTATTGTTAACAGCGACAAATATTGATACTTACATTTCATTAACATCACTTTCCTCGACAGCTGTTATATCAAGTGTTTTGATTTGATAATTTCTTAGGGAAATTTCTTAAGATAAGAATCAAGTATCAAAAAATAAGCTTTCCTGTGTCAGTTAACTTTTTGTTCAGGAACTGACGACTTGCACTTCGTCATGTTACCAATTACCTCAAAGGAACTCCATAAATAAGCACCGACAACGCTACTTGGTTTAATAATAAGCAATCTATTGAATAGAGATATGTGGAAGCCGAGCTAGTTCTCCTTATACCTTATGTCTGTTGATTCCTTTCCCTACTTCGTTTGATATAGCATTTGATATAGTCTACACAAGCAATGTATTACGCCGTCGATATCTTCTAACCTCAATATGAATAGAATATTAATGTTAACACAAGGAAGTGTACCAGCCAAAAACCTCCCAACTTTTTTTCCCTCGCAAAGTAGAAAAGTCATAAATATTCATCACGACAGCAAAATTTCGACGTGGCCGAAGTACAGACGAGAATTTGGTCTCGTGACTTTAGGCAGTGAGGCAGAGTGAGTGCAAACTGGGAGGGAACAAAAAAGAGAGAAAAAGAAGAATCCCTCATTTACCCAACAAAGTTCGGAAAGCGCCAGTCAGAAGCGTCAATGCATAGCCACTGCCTGCAATGAAGCCCAGTTTTCGACTAAAAGTTCTATTGCTTTGGTCCACAGCCGTTACTCTTCTTGGCTTTTCGAATGCAGCTATCCATGAAAAAGCACTCCGTAACAGCAATGCAAACAATAACCAGCTTCCACAACGAAGCAACAACAAAGGATACATTAATACTGGTGGACGATCTACTTTCCGAGAATCAAAACTGATTCTCGTTTCCACTTTGGATGGTTCCATCATTGCCATGGACAAATTTGAAGAATATGTCTACTGGACCTTAAAAGGAGGTCCCAACGGCGAACTTCTGAAAACTGAAAGCTACTTTCATACCGAGAACACTAGCCAGAACCAGAGTCCAGAATTTGATTACGACGATATCTTTGCTGATACAGTTGGAGATGATTACGAAGATGATGACGAAAGAGATATGTGGAGTGATCTCCCGCCCGACATTGCTCCTCTTGTCGATATGGGTGAAAACGATGTCCCTTCCCCAAGCGATATTTTCTATATTGTCGAACCAAAAGACAATGGAACTATTTATCTTTACCAAAATGGTCAGAAGTTGACGGTAAGTACCAAGAATCCATTCATGACAAATCAATGGCATGCCTTGTCTAACCTTTAAAAATGTTCAGCAACTTCCCTTGTCGATAAAGGAAATGGTCGATAAAGCACCTGCTAAATTTGACGACGATACCGTTTATGTTGGAAGCAAATCTACAAAGCTTATTGCTGTGGATCCTCGAAACGGTCATATTCGCAACAAGTTTGATATGGATAATGCAGGAGATGCTTTCATCATCGCTTCGCAACACCGCCTTCCTTCAGACACTTTATTCATTGGTAGAGTTGGTATGGGTTATACTATTTATTTGATTCACCAACGACAGCTTCTTTGTTTGCTCAATGGCTGATTTCTTTCCATTGATATACCAGATTACCGACTGGAGATTTTCAACCCAGCGAAAAAGTTCCGTTGGAACGTTAGCTACAGTGAATACGTTCCTAATTCTTTTGACTTGGACATCGATATGCTGAGAAAAACTCCATCATCGTTTTATGTTGCTCCAGGAGCATCAGGAGAGATAACTGCAATAGATCTCATTAAAGGTATACATATCCTCTATATCAACAACGGTATGGCCAGTTTCTAATTGTTTTTGTATTTAGGAAATGTTCTTTGGTCAAGACAACTTCCATACCCAGCCGTCGATGTTTTTGATGTTTACTCTCGACCTGATGATACACTCTCCATTGTTAAACAGCTTGTTCCTCAATTGCCGGGTACAGGTCAAATTGGAGAACTTCTTTCAAATCGTGTTCCTGCTAAGACGGCCTACGTTGGGAACTACAATGGTTACATATTCGCAATGTCAACAGATAATTTCCCATTAGTTCAACTTGCCAAAGCTCATGGTAGCAATACAAATTACCCACTCTTAGAGTCTGGTCGAAAACATGAGGAATATGCTGGCGGTTCCGGTGACGGTCCTTCTCAGCATAAAGTTTACACTCGGCCAGAATCAGACGATCATTTGTACGACCCAACACCAGACACTAGGTGTCGTATTGACAATCCAGATTTTTTGGCTTGTATGCGAGGACTACACGGCGTGAAGAGACTAGAAGCTTCAGGAGCTAGAGGCCGGCTCGACCCCGGCGACAATACTTTGGAAAACCAATCCGGAAGGTTCCAACCACCAGTAACTCATGAACCTGGCGACAAATGGAAACTCGATGGCGCACAAATAGCTAAACCAGGAACGTTCCAAGATGGTGTGGGGAAGTATTGGAAAGCAGTTTTCCTATTCATTCTCAGTTTCTTTTACTTGAAGCGAAAGTACTTGCAAGACATTTGCAAACTGTACTGCGAACCAATGATCAAGCAATACGTACTGCCAGTTGTCAATCCTTATCTTGATGCCTACCGACGACAACGCACAGTTGAGGACGTTGATAGTGATGGCGGCAAATCTGACAAGAAGAGCAGGAAAAGTAATCGAGGTCGGAAAAAGAGCAAAGAAGCGTCTACATCGGAGGCATTGAATCCACAAGCAAATAGCACAGCCATTGATATTCATTCCCAACAGCAAGCAAATGGTGATCGTTCCGTCACATTCGCACACGACACTAAGCACGAAGATGGAGACAACCATACCATTGTTGACTTCTCCAACGAAACAGCCACCAAATTTTCTAATTCCCAGTTGCCTTATGGGTTCACAAAGTCAACACCATTGGTTTCTAGCGCTTTAAATGTTACTGAGATTATCCTTGGTGAGTGCAGATATTGCGTGTTTTATTCATCTCTGAATGTCCTTTAACATATTTGATTTGATCTGCTATAAGGTTATGGCAGCCACGGTACCATTGTTTACAAAGGAACCTTCGACGGTCGTGATGTAGCTGTCAAGCGATTATTGGTAGATTTTTATGACATTGCATCCCAAGAAGTTCGCCTCCTTCAAGAAAGTGACGATCATCCCAATGTTATTCGGTATTACTTCAAAGAAGAAAGGGAGCGATTCTTGTATATTGCTTTGGAGCTTTGTTATGGCTCTTTGTACGACTATATTGAAAAATCCAGCATTGTCACTGACCTTCATCTGCTCGATACGGTCAATCCAGCCAAGATACTGTACCAGATGATTTCTGGGTTGCACCATTTGCATAGTTTGAAGATCGTACATCGCGACATCAAGCCGCAAAACATTTTGATCGCTCCTGCCAAAACTAAGCCTGGACAGCCCAAGAACTCTTCCAACGTGCGCGTTATGATATCCGACTTTGGTTTGTGTAAAAAACTCGATGCAGACCAAAGCAGCTTCCACAATACCACTGCTTCAGCGGCTGGCACCATTGGCTGGCGCGCTCCTGAACTATTATCTGGGCAGGCTTCCTCTGGTTCAGGCAGTGGCCATTCCAACAACAGCATACCTGGCCAAGATAAATCCGCATCGTCATTGTCATCCACTACGGATACTTTAATTGGCACTGTACGTGTTACTCGCGCCATTGATATCTTTTCAGCAGGCTGTCTATTCTACTACGTCCTTAGCCAAGGCGAACACCCTTTTGGAGACAAGTTTTCACGTGAAGTGAATATCCTCAAGAATCAATACAATCTCGATCGTTTGGAAGATTTGGGCGACAATGCCATTGAGGCAAAGGATTTGATTGAGCGCATGATTTCAGCCAATCCAAAGGACAGGTAAATATAATTTAAGTTGTGTTCGAGTGTTTTCGTTGATCATCTAACATTGGAGGACGTACGCAGACCTTCCGCAGAACAAATTATGATTCATCCATACTTTTGGAACAATACCCAACGTCTTGCTTTCTTGCAAGATGCCTCTGACCGGTTTGAAATAGAAGAGCGAAATCCTCCATCACCGTTATTGCAAGCTTTGGAAGCAAATGCACCACAAGTAGTTGGTCGTGACTGGTACAAGCGCTTAGACAGGGTTGTGGTCAATGATCTAGGAAAGTTTAGAAAATACGATGCCGGAAGCATTCGAGATTTATTACGAGCCCTTCGCAATAAGGTAAGAATTGAGGCTAAAGAAAAGAAAAAATAGCCATTGAGGCTATTGTAACGTCTAAATTCTAATCTTTGATCCTGTTCAAGAAACATCACTACCAAGATCTGGCGGAACCTGTCAAACGTGCATTTGGCGAGCCTCCAGATGATTATCTCCACTACTTTACTTCTAGGTTCCCGTACTTGCTATTACACGTCTATTACATTGTAGCAGAAGACGAATGGCTTCGTGGGGAAACAATGTTTAAAGAATACTTTCAGCTTCACTGAGCTTTAGGGCTCGAAAACACTTGTACATTATATCCAGTTCATCCCCCTCTCAATTCAAATCACCCCTTATGTGCAGAACCATCTTCTTGTGTTTCAATTTGTTTGTGTCTAGTAACCGCATTGAACGTTTTCTATTATATTACTAGTGCAATAAGGCTTTTGCTCTATATCTACAATGGATGTACCGAATCAAATAAACCTTTAATCCACTACTCTATTTCTCGGGAAGAACGCCGTTGAAGTGGACTTTGACAACGTCATCTAAATCCTCCATTTCTCCCAAACATTTTTCGACCATCTCTTGTACTTCCTCATCCGTGACTTCCACTGTGGTCGTTGGGACGTAGGTAGCTGCCATTTCATCGACTTCGTAGCCATGTTCTTTGATTTTCTGGGTCACAGCATTTAAATTGGTGAACTCGCAGATGACCTAAAAAATGATGTGCGGTTAGGGACCATGTGGCAGCCTATCAGATCAATGTTCCGCATCGGTTTCTTACTTCTATAGATTCATCCTCAAGCTCTTGCATATCTTCTGCGCCAGCATCAATGGCTGCATCCATCATATCCTCTACTGAGGACCCGGTCTGACCCGCGCGGAACTGAACTCGGCCCTTCTTTTCAAACATCCACGAAACGGTAGATATGGATCCACTGTTCTCAACATCGTTAGACACAGCGGTTCATCTCATTTTAACACTGGTGCTTACTTACCCTAGTCTATTCAAAATCTCTTTGACTTCCTTGATGGTTCGGGCTCGTTTATCCGTCACCGTTTCACTGTCCATGCACAATCAGAAAGCGTCAAGGCAGATGAGCTCTCGAGACGAATGACTTACATAATCATAGCTACACCGCCAGGGCCATAGCCTTCGTAAATGACATCCTCAAGGTTATCGGATGAGGATTTTGACGTTGCCTTTTAGAGACACACAAGGTGAGAAATGGATCATTGTGTGCTGTTCCGACTATGAAGGCTCGTACCTTTTTAATCGCTACGTCAACGCTATCTTTTGGCATCATGGCATGCTTAGCCTTGCTCAGTGCCGCAGCCAAGCGGCCATTCACAGTTGCATCCGCTCCGCCTGCCTTGATGGCGGACAAGATCTCGAGGGAAATCTTTGAAAACAATTTGCCCCGTTTCGCGTCTTTAGCACCTTTGGTATGCTTTACTTTACTCCATTTGTTGTGACCCTAATTATCGGCCATTCAGTGCTCTATTGGTATGGCATAGTACGGTGCTTTCTTTCATAGTGTGACTTACAGCAAAGCGTAGTTGTTCGAATTGCAGAGTTGCCAGCGGCGTTGGGCGAATGAGTCTGGATCTAGTAGCGGTTATAGAGGGAGTAAGAAGCCCTGGTCGCTGCAGACAAGAGCGGGCAACACGAACACAATGGTGGGGCAGCATTTGGTGACAAAATTGTTTTTTAAAGGGTTGCAAGGACAACTTGTACAAAATTTTGGGAGTGCGGGATAAAGAAATAAAGTGAGTGGCTGTCTACGATAAATAACGAGGAGGGGTATGGCGGATATTCTCTGGTATAAATATGTGCTTGCACATAGTATGGAGGAGAGAGGGGGTAGAGGATGCTGTCTCGGCCGGGAGATAGGTACATTGTTAAAGGAAGGGAATAAAAAAATGCTCTAAACGAAAAATGACGGTGAGGGGGGGGGATTATTTGCCTTCTAAGCTTTTACGATAGCCTGAAGATCGTTGCCGCACAAAGTGTTGCGGTGATGGTGACCGAGTGGAAGTGGCAGTAGATGGCGATAAAACCGCAGGTGAAGATGATCGATTGCTGGGTCGAGTTCGCGTAGGTTGAGGGCTAAAAGGGCGAGAAAATCTACCATCAATGGGAGAGGGTGGTTTTGAGCCTCCTCGTTTGGAATCCATCTCTGCACCAGAAGAACGTCGACGTGATACAGTGGATGAATTGGAAAGATTCGTGTTCACAAACAGTTTTGGTGAAGCAAGCCTTTGCTCTTGTTCATTGAGGTTGTTTTGCTCAATTTCATATTCTTCGTCTAAATGGAGAAAGGTGGAGTCAGAGAAAACTATCGTCACACTGTATGGCAGTACAAAACTCCACATTACCGTTATCGTAGTAACTTAATACACGACCTGTTGCTTTGCTTTTGTGATCCAACGCTTGTTGAGCATTCTCAAGTAGATTTTCTAGGAGTGAACGAATTCGGGTGAAGACTTCATCCCCTTCCAATGGATCTTCTCCTTCTTGTTCGTCCGACTATCAATAGATGTTCAATTGGTTATTAACATGACCAAGGTCATAAATTAAAAGAAACTGATATAGAGCAGTACTTACGTCGTCTAGCCTTGTCAAGTCTGGTGTAGGTGTTCCGCTACGCAGACTATCATGACTACTATTGCTGCTTGTCAAATGAGTGTCATTGAAAAATAACATTACTACAGGGTACACCGTGTCATTACCTTGAAAGCTGTCTTTTCAATTCTTCGATCATCTTGGCCTGTTTTCTAAGTTTACCTTCCAAAGTAGCATTGATGGCCAGAAGTGATGTATTTGAAATTTCTAAATCGGCTATCTGTAAAAGCCAAGCATAACCCGATGGTGAGTGCTTTCCAGAAGACAAGGAATGTCTTTGGCATCAAGTGTCTTTACCTTACGATTAATTTTAGCTTCTTCTCGCCATTCGTTCTCTGGTTCCTGAACAGTTTTGTTTACAAACTCCCCTTTACCGTTCATGATGGTGCCATTCTTGATCTTGGCCACCACCTTGGCCACAATATCGGTATCTGATTCATCTTCCTCCTCTTCGCTTTCGTCATCCTCGCTCTCTGAGGCAGTAGACTGGTCATCATCGTCCAACTGAGTGGGATCATCCAAGTCGTCGTTTTCATCGGATTCCGATTCAGTCTCCGGTTCGGAAGCAACCGTACCTGGCTTTGAGTGTACAGAGTTGCTTCTTGACCTTTGTGGAGTGAACACGGCCGAGTGCCTATGAACTAACATGGGCTGGTGTTGACTATAGGATATAACGGACGAGGGTTGGAATAGGGTGAAGGAGGCATTCGAAGCAGTTGCCGAGTTGTAGATGGTGGGAGGCACACGAGCATTCGAGGTTGAAGACAAATTAGTAGCATTGGTGGAGGTGGATGACACAGTGGATGTAGAATAAGAGTAATTAGTTGACGGTGTGCGAGAAATGTCAATTTGAGCTGCTGGAGCTACTCTTGGCTTTCTTTGGGCGGAGAAGTAAGAGGACGTGTTGGAATAGGCTGAAGGTGAGGGTGGTTGTGGAGGAGGACGTTGATGATGCTGTGGTCTGACGATGTTCACCGCCTTTGGCCCCGAGGCAACATCCTTTGCCATTTCCACAAGCAAAGAAAAAAAGCAATGCGAACGGGCAAAAGCCTTTGTTGAGTTTTTATTGGGCCTTGCAAGATTTTAGCCCTTGCAGCGGCTGTAACACTTATGGTTGTATTTTAATACATAAATTCTATTTTTTCTTATAGCCAACCTCTTCTTATTAACCATCATCTCGTAACAATTCTATTCAACAACTCCTTGCAAGTGAACAGCTGGAGGGGTTATTATTGTTATTTTTTTTTTGCGAGGGGTGAAAAAGTCAGCGCCATCTAGGAGTGGTGGCAAATGTTTTATTATAGCCAGAGTAGATTTATGTACAAACGTTATGCTTTTTTCCTTTTATCGCGCGAGTTAAGACCAACGTTCGATGCGGATCGTTTCTAAAGTCAACGCAAATTGAAGAAATGACCATCAACAAAAATGAAATAGCAAACTCATATAGTGCACGTGAACTTACCCTATTGGCAATACCTTCCTGCGGCCCTTGAGGTGTAGGAGTACCGTCTTTAGATTTTTGAGTCTTCTTGACCTTGAGATCAGTCTCTTGTCGATCGACTTGTCGCTTCAAATCCAATAGGGTGATGATAGCTGTTTGTAACTGCTCAAACTTGGCACATACTTGTGCTGTGGGCATAATCGGCCGGATAGCTGTTTGACGAACAACCATTTAGTTAGTAAAAAAAAAAAAAATGGCCGACCGCATGTCAAGCAAGCATGGTAAACTTGTTTCGTCAACTTACGTATGCCGAGTTCGTCCATAACTTTCCCAACTTTCTGTATCATGTTGGGCTTGATTGGAGGTATTTTTTGACTGCGAACGTACACTCCAGGTGTAAGTTTCTCCTTCTTTTCTATTATTTCTACTAGACACGTCTTAGTAAACTGATCATTTTGCACATATATACGCGTTACATTATTGGTCACATTACCTTCGTTGACCGAAGAGCTGACCGAAGCATTTGACATTCGTCGAGCCTTCTTTGTATCGACTTCTGGTTGACTCTTCTTCTTTTTAAGCTGCATTATGAATGATGGGTAAATGGTTCAAGGTAATCTAATACGCACCGGCATATATTGATGATTTACCTTGTCATGGATGGGTGATGTACCACTGCCGCCAGCAATACCAATGCCTCCTGGGGTTGCGAGGCCAGGTTGTGCTGGGATACCGGCACTGGGTGGTCCAGGTGTCGCTGGAAGTGTTTGTTGAATATCGTATGTTTGCAAAAACTTAAGCAGCTGTTCTCGTTCCTTGGCCAATTTCATATCATTTTGTTCCAAACGTCGTGCTTCAACGAACAGTGCCTCTTCTTCTTCGATTTGTTCTGGTGTTCTGTTGAAAAGAATCTCCAAAGCCTTTTTCCGCTCAATTTCCTTATTCTTGTCAAAGCTGAATTGTTGTATGAGAGTTTGGCGCTCTTGGTTATTGTCTGTTGAGGTTGAAGATGCTGCTCGTTCTCTCAAAAGTGCCTGATTGACGCCATAGTAGCGTTCTTTCAAGTCCTGTATTGATGTTAATATGCTGTAGGTACTTAAAGAGGAGTTGCATGATATAAGTGCGTACCTCCATGGATCTCGTCGCACCGGGGTATTCATAGCGATCTGCTATAACCACAAACCGCAAGTCGTAATTTCTACATAGCGCGAACAGGTAATCAGTCTCCTCTTTTGTCCAGTTTGGGTCTATGATATATATCAGTTTCGTTGTCCCATGAGTCGCTAAATTCTAGCAAATATTCTCGAAAATAGCTCACCATTCAAGTACTTTTCGTACTCTTCATTTGTATAATCTGTAACATTGATGATTTTGTTGAACTTTGCAAAATAATAGTCTGTCGAAGCGTTGTCAAATTAGCCAGCTGGAATATTGTGTAAATTGTAAATACTATGTCTGCATACCGCCATCATTATCGTCATTTGCTTTCACCCAATGTCGAAGAACCAAACCGTCTGTGCGAGCGGGATTCGTGAATTGTCGAAATTCCCTTTAAAGAGAGAATCAGCATGTGTGTGTCTTCGAGTATCAATTCAACCATCTGCAGGTACATACCATGGAGTTGCTTTTTGTTGAAAGCTGAGTTTTGCTTTATAGTTGGGTTTGATGAAGGCGATAGGAGGTGCTCCACCGATCAAAGAGTATAATTCACGACTGATGCCCTCTATTATTTCAGCGGCATTAGTATTCTGCAGGTCATGATACATGGAACGCCGTGGGTATTCTTATCATACCTGGCTTCTTTTCAACGGCTTGCTTCAATTTACGTGGAGCCGGTTCAGAAGGCTTTCCAATCTGTAAAATGTCTCGAATATCCGATCCACTCATTGGCGTGTTGAAAGGGTCTGCAATTCACAGCAAGCGAGTTGGGTTTCTTGCCCAAAAAATTGAAAGCGAAACGAATTGGTTCGTGCACGTGACCGCTTTCATCCAAAAACGCTGCTATGCAACTTTGGCGGGCTGTCGGTAGCTGGAATCACAGAGCATGAGCAAAGAGGCTATTTTGCAACTGCTGCAAGACAGCAAATACGAAGATGCACTCAACATTGTTCGGTCAGAAGAGGACGTGACCGATGATGCTATTCTCAAGGAGCAATGGTCAATTTGGCAGTCAGCACACGCACCTATCACTGAAGATCGTGCTGTACCACTGTTACGGCGAATCACTGACAAACCATGGGTGCTTGCACAGTGCATAAAGTGTACATTTGATGATCCCAAAGTACAGAAGGATGTTCTGGACCTCGGAATCGCTCTCACGGAACCCGAAGTTGATAAAATCATCAAGGACACAGTGATGAACGTCCAGGACGCCGCCCAAGTTCAAAAGCTTTTGAACGACCCAACTTACGAAATAACCGCCGAACTAAGCGTCAATGATATATCTTGGATCTATTCTCGCCTATGTCTGTTACAGTACAGCGACCGACTCAAGACTTTTGAGGACATATGGGTAACGAGTTCATCAGATTTCGCAACCGGAGGCGGTGATACGTCTTCACAACCTTCTTCAGCAGACATGTCCAAGTCCGCGTCTCTGGATTCCGTCGATAAAAGCATGGCTGAAGATACCGAGTCTTCAGAAAAGAGGACATTCGGCCAGGAATTTCAATCTTTTCGAGATACTAGCCTGGTAGCCCAAGCCATTCAATACGCCAGGACAGAGAACTTTGAAGCGTTGGACATCTTATTTTATAGGCATGGGTCCGAAATTCTGCCATATCGATTGCAGATTTTGTCACAAGTACCAGAAACCTCGGATTTAACGCGATGCAGTATTCCTAGGGTAGCACTTCCAAAATCAAATTCTGAACAACTGCAAGAACATATTTGGGAGGAAGCGCCTTGGAGGAAGGATGCAGATTTGGTGGAACATCCGAAATTACGCCAATACATCAAGGGATTACAAAAAATACAAGACTTGAACGCTAACGAGTTGGAGGATACATTGGAGTCTACTCCATACCCTGCGCCGGCTGACATCATTTCTCAATGGTATATTGAGAGAGCTCGGCGAATAGACGAATTCACGGGCTTGACAAGTAACGCTCTCAAGTTTATCCAATATGCCAGTATGATGCATGTGCCAAACCTTCAAGAATTGGAAAACAATCTGGAATTCTTATGCAAACTTCTTTATGGCACGGGTGTCACGCGGGAGACCGAGGCAATACTAAGTGATTTGGATCTGAATAAGTTCGAGGTTATGGACCCTTATGAAGTTCTTGAACTCTCTCTTGAAGGAACAAGCGTCAGTCGGGTTGTATTAGATTTGAAAATATTTGCTTTACCTTGGCTGCAACTTGTAGACAACCGAAAGTCAGGCATGATGGATGAAGAAGGTGATGTACAAATGCAAGAACAAAGCGAAATCGAAGAATCTGGCCAGGCAATGCTCTATCGATGGATCCTCAGTGTCGCTGAATCTCATCTGGATTGGTGCTGTGTCACGCTAGAATCATCTAAGCCCACCATGCAAGAAGAAGACCGTATCATCAAGGAAGACTTGGACTTGAGCAGAATTGCACTGGCAATTTTGTACACCAATGATGACGGTAGCCAAGTCGACTTGATGGCACGCATTTTCGAATGCCTTCCTCTATTCGACCTTGACAACATTGAGTCCGATACCGAAGAAAACATTGATCTCCATGCATTGTCCGAAACACTAACTGCACATGGTTTTTTTGCGGCACTTCAGCAGCTGAAGGAAAGAGAACTCTCGACACTCATGGACGGACTCCAAATACATCTATCCAGTGCAGAAATTCTGTGGCGATATGAGCTCAATGTTCCCCTGCGATGGTATCTCCGAAGTGCAAATAATTACGACATGCAAAAGCAGCTTTGTTTACGACTGGCTACTCAAATTGTTAGCAATGCTGAGAGGAAAGGTAACAAGTTCATGTCGGATGACGATTGGACTGGATTACTTGTCGATATCATGGACCTTTACAACAATGGAACAGGAGTGTTGGGAGCTATGTCACAGGAAGAAATCTTTGAAATCTACTGGAAGGCATTGTTGCGATGCGGCAGTAAGTGTTGAGCTATTCGTACTACATTTGTTGAGAGCTTCAACTGATCATTCGCGATCGATAGAATTCACACTGGCAAAAGACTCCATGCTTCCCAAGTACGGTGAGGCCATGATTAGTATCAATAAGGCACAGCAACTGGTGGTGGATGCTGCGCGGGAATACTTTGACAACTCAGTCTCGGGTAATATGTACTCTGGCAATATGAAGTTAGCTGCAGAATGGTAGGTCCTCGCTAAAAATCTTTTTACCCAAGCTTGAACAGCAACTAACGATTTGCTGCTATATAGTTTAAAGGTGGTTCCACCTAATCCACTGATACAGCAGGAGATGAATCTTATAGAAGCCACGCATCACCTTACAACTGAATTTAACGTATTCTATCGACCGGGTATACCTATAATGCCCATGCAAATTCGTCAATCAAAGAACCGCTTAGAACTTATTTCACGACTACTTGCCTCTAACCCTGGTGCATACCGAAAATCGGCTCGTATCATTGATCTGGCGAAAAAGCTTGGTCTTCAGAATGATAAGACTACTGAAATCCGAGTTCTGAATATGCTCTCTGCTGCTGCACTTGCAGAAGAAGATTATGAAACATCCTACCGACTTTGCAAAAATACCCTTACTCAAGTTCTGGAGTCGGAAGCCGAGATACATAATTCTAAGCTGAAGGCCGAGATGAAGGAGATAACCTGGAGCAGCTGCTTCCAACTAGGCAAATTGGACGTTTATACCGACAAGACAAAGCGGTTGGAGTTACTTGCTATGGCTCTTGTGTTGTGTCCGGCCGATCGACTGAGCGAAAACTTAGCAGCATGGAGAAAATTGGAGGCAATCGCCGAACGTGAAGCTGACAAGAGTTCATTACCAAGCTCATCATCGGCCGGAAACTGGGATACTGTCACCAATCTCCTGCAATCAGGGCTGCAAGGCCAGCGTAATTTGGCAAAACTTTTGTCTGACGAAGCTGGTAACTTAATCAGTAACAAAGAGCCAAATCAAGCTCAAGCGGATAAGATGAGAAAGCGAGATCTCTTAAAGAACACGGTCAGCAAATGGCTATTCGATTGAAACATATTTTACAAATGCAAAGGAAAAAGGTATCGATGATATGGCTAGAACAACATATAATATCTAAATTAGGACTTGAATGCTCTCGTCAAAAGGAAATGATACATGTAACATACGGAGTTAAAGGCTTATGATAATAAAGCTACGACTAATCCCATTCTTCGTTCTCAATAGTTAAGTGGTCCAGGGTGTTGAGAAGTTTGAATTCTGATTCATCGTCTGTTCGTAGTCGTCGTTGTATAGTTTGTCGCTCAACTTTAAATAAGCGCTCTCGGAGATCCTCTTCACTCAACGTCGACCAATCGATGTTGGCTAGCGGATCACCTTTTGTCAAATCGATGTCTTCGTCGATATCGATTTCATCAGGATTAATTGCGTAGGAATGGAGGAATCGTTGTGGTGCGTCCCAGCTGTCACCGGGTGGTTTCCAATGGTGCAAGTTGAATTCAATCTGAAGCTGATTGTGATAAAGATCGCTAACTTGCTGCGTCGTCTTTGCTTTATTTTGCTCGCTTCGATAAAATTGATGTATGGGAGAATCTGAAAGCGCTGGGGAGACCATTGGAGGTGATGTTAGCGAGCCTAAAGCGTCCGTTGGTGGTAATTCAGGTGAGGTTGGTACGGAATACACCTCGTCTTCAAGCCACTGTTCGTAATTATTCATGAACTCTGCATCCAATTCGATGTCCTCACTGGGCTGTTCTTCTGCGAGTATACCAACTGTTACTGTCGACGACAGTGCAGCAGCATCATGAATTTGATTACTAAGGGCAGAAGGAGGGATATCTTGCCGCTGGTGGATAGACGGTATGGTAGGTAAGTATCGACGTGTATGATATGCTTTTATCAAAGCTCTCAGGTTTGACTCTTGCATCTATTAAACAGTAACATTAATAAGAGATTAGCAGAAAGCGCATGAAACGATCGGTGGGTCCCTTACCGCACTCTCTTCAATATCCGACTCAGACTCAAGTCCTGTCATCCATTCTTCTCTTAAAGCCGGCCGACAGGTCAAATATATCGCCGTAATGATCCGCATATTACCTACGTTGGATGGAGTTAGGACGCTATTATGCCACTGACACCGCTTTTCATAATGAGCACCTACTTGACCTCCACTTTCGTCCCAAGTACGGTATTTGACTTTTGAGTACTTTTAGAGTGTAAAGCTCCAGCATGGGATGTGATACTTTAAGTAATCTTTTCAAAATGGCCTGAAAGACACATTAGCGCACCATATGTTGCGAGTACACGAATGACAAGACTTACCGAAGATTTATATTGGACAAGGAGCATGATCCGATGGGTCTTTCTCTTTGTGAGTTTTTGCAGTATGCGTAAAAAGTTGATCGACCAAAACATGTTACGCCAGTTCGTTTGCCGAAGCTTTTGATTGTGGATTTCTGGTAATGGGGCAGTTGATACCTCAGAGGTGTGATGTGCTTTTCTTCGCTCTCGGCTCCAATAGTTCATGAAGCTTTTACGCATATTATGTGAGCAACACAAGCTTTACAAACTTACCACATTTATTATGCCTATTGACGTACCTGTATTCCTGGCCCTCACTTTGCTCTTGTAGTGTAGCCGCCATATCCTGTAACCCAAGAATCTTCAGTATCAGAAGTAGACATCCGGAATCTACCAAGAGCTGTGAGACGTTTTCGAACTTTAGGACATCTATTGAGCAAGACAAAATAAGGAGGATCAGTTCCCAATGATAACCAAAGGCGGTAGAACATCCGTAACCGAAACATACGAGAAAGCTTCGTCCATTGTAATAACAGCAAGAGAATTCCAGATACTGCTTTCGATGTTATTTCTCTGTTACGCTTATTGTTTGCTTCCTCTATGTCGTGTGCTTTCATGGTATGATTAACTTCTGAAGTATTATTCATCTTCTCTTGACTAGTCTCATTGCCGTTGCTATGCCCATTCACATTTGGGTTGGCGCCATTATATGGTGTAACGGTAGCGAGTAGCAATTTGAGAAGAACAATGATGATATTTTGAAGATTTGGAACAATAGCCTTCTGTAAAAGAGAAAATGTCAAGGTAGCGTGTAACTGGTGGATTCATACAATCATTCACACTATTACACCACAAAAAAGGATACATATAGACTTTCGACCATGCTCAAGCGTCGAAAGGCATCGATCATCTCGGGTGAAGAGAAAGGTTCTTCTATTTCGCTTGCTTGCGATGACATGAGATGCTGGCTTGCACGGACAATGAATTCATATCCATTTTCATCGTCTTGCATTGGCCACATCTTGATCCCGCGCTCACGTTCTCTCAAAATCTGCAATGTAGCCAGTGACACATACATGTGCTCAGTATACATTTCTCCAGCTTCCTGGATGCTTCGAGGTACGTCCATATCCCAAGAGGAGAACGGTAACACGAGCGGTTCTCTATGACCATTCTGACTGAAGCCGTTGACGCGCTTAGTCTGCTGCGGGCATGTTCCAGGTTTACCAACATTTCCTTGCGCTTTGGCTGTCGCTATTAGTGAAGGTGGATTAGGACTTGAGCCGTGACTTGCTGTGAGTAGAGTTTGTAAAGCTGGTGAAGGCTTAATCAATTCTGGTCGTTGAACGTGCCCAGGAAAAGGTGGTAGAGTATATGTCGGGTATTTGGTTACAATTTCCTGTGAAAATGCATGCAAATCCAGCGGGGTACTTCTCGTTATCGTGTCTAAGCGAATAGGATGAGTTTAGGATACTTACACATGATATTTCGAATGACAGACATACCTTGGATTTTAACTTCAGGCAAACTAAAATACTGACGAATGACGTTGTGAGTTCGTTCAATCTCCTCACGTCCACCAAAGGATACCAACATTGTTTTCCACACAACAAGCAAAAGCTAAGTGCCGATAAATTAGATGAAAATAAAGTCAAATCCGCCGCCGTCTTCCCAAGACGTACCTTTTTCACAGGAAACATCTTCAAGTTCTTTTCTCTTAATTGTGATATCACGCCAAATAGGAATACGATTAGTGGCGGATCGAGGTTGTCTAAAAGTGAGACGGCATGAATAACGGGTATTTGGAAATAAAACCAGCAATCAAAAGTGGATTTACCTAAATCAGTGGCCAGGTTGTCATCATGTCGCAGTGTCTCAATCAACATAAACAAAATTGTCAAAAAAATCTCAATTTCGTTGTTGACATCGTGCATGTTCCCTAAGCTACTCAAGCAATAATGAGAATTACGTCCCGTATCAAACCTCGTGCATTTAAATGTACATACTGCCGGGAATTGTGTTCTTCGCACGCTTTCCGCAAAGCTGAGTACACGACAGGTAGTGCTCCCGATTGCTGCAGAAGTGAATTGTTCTCCTTAATTTTTTGCATGTGTTGTTCCACATCGTTTCCTGCGTAATCAAAGGACTCCAAATCTCCAAAGTTTCCTATAGCGTGTATCAGTCAGTAGCACGGAATTGTGCCTCAATGCTAGCTAGCTAACTGGTACATACCTTGTGCAATGTACAATATCTGCTTTCCAGCATCCAATCTCGCTATGGCTGAACTTTGTTCCAGGTCGTTCAAGAGATACTGTATATAGCTTTTCTTTTCTCTAAGTGAAAGCGTATCCCAGCCTGTTGCGTATTATATCAATAAATGTATGTTTCATTGTATGTTATATCAAGCGTTGACGTTGATCTGTACCTTCAGAAATTCGCTCCTGAAAGATATCTCGATACTCTGAATATCCAGCAACTTCAGTATAGTTAAAAAATTCATTGATCTCTTGGATGGTATCGTCGGAATCGGCATATACAAAGTCGTCGTGAATTATCTAGTGCGATTGTCAGCATTCCCACTTGTCGGATAGAAAAAATTACATTATTGAGAAAATACCTTTTTATTACTGGGAAGCTGCTTCACAGCCTGCCTGAGCGCCTCAGTGCTGACGGTGTTCACAGGGGGATCGCCGTGATTGCTCATCTTATGCAGTGCTCAATGCTGGTCTTTGAGACTTACAACTGATCTGGCTATTGGGACAGGCGTGCTTGGACCTCGAAGTCCGACTCTGAGCTTAATCCTTTCACTTCACGTGTTTTACCGCCAGTATTGGCTCACTTCTTTCCTCGCCTTTTTACTTCGCAAATTCAAGTTCAAACTATATCCTTTTCAATATTTAACTCATGAATCAGATGAGGGAGCTCAATAAATTCAAGTGAGCGAAGGTAAGGAGAAATTAGGAACGATGATAGTAAATATGGTCATATCGTATTCTTCGAGACGGGCACCTTGGCGCCTCCTCATACGTAAATGGCACGGCACGAGTAGACAACTTCTCAGATAACTACTGAGCTCTGCATTTTGTAGACAATAGTCACTGATATATCGCATTATCAGTTAACATTTTCAAATGTAACGGAACACGACTGAGATCACTAACGTACATTTTAGCGAGATAGATAGATTACCATTTGCAGTTGGATCAGCTTGAAACATTGAACATGTATTTTGTCAAAACGATACAAAGCGATGATACAACCTACGTGAAAAACTATGTATTTCATAAAAACATGGACTAAATAGAAGTCTACAACAGCTGTAGAAGCTAAAAAAAATCGAAGAATACCGAGAGTACGAGAAGAAATTGATCAACTCCTTCTTACACATCTCGAAAGAATAGCAATCGCCTTAGTTTGAAACATATGAAATCAGTAAGGCATCATTTAAAACAAATAGTAAAATCATACGAGAAGATAAAGAACATCAGTAAGACATTTTCGTAAAGCGAATGCGAGCAGTGACGACTTTGGATGACCCAATGTGTTTTCACGTCCCATAAAGCTATGGTGTTCTTAAGATTTCTCATCAATTGCTTACACGAGGTCAATTCAGCACTCTTTCCATCTTTTTACAGTCCAATCCTTTTTATCCAGACGTAAAATTCAAAGAGCATGGCCGCTACTGAGTCAATGTCCAGTTTTCAGTCAAGACTTTCTGACCAGGTGCCATCCAATTCTTCAGCTTACCATTCAAGTGACGCAAAATTTTCGGAAACCGCTCGAGATTTCATACTTTGGGATAACCAATTTGGTGTTTTCGCGTTGCAACGCGTCGGAAAACTGAAACTTTTCACAGTCGATCCTTTCGATATGGCTTCGACCACAGGATTACAGACAGAAATACCACCAAACGAAGTTGACATGGCTGTGAATGTTGCGACTGGTTTTCAACACGATGCTATGCAGGAAGACACAGCCGAGACTATGAATACCGAAGAAAATGACACTGATCGCATTACTACCAATGCCGAAACCTCGTATGGCCACGATCTTAATCAAACGGCCAACCAGCTTCAGCATCGTAAGTTATACAAGAACACTGAGGCGAACTGCTATGGTACTAACGTATGAATTATGGCACAGTTCAAGTAAACGATGTGGCTCATTCAAAAGCCGGGAAGACCGAGGTAGGTTGTCTTGAATGAATGAAAGGAAGCCGAGTACGATATTAATGGAATATACAAAAATCGAATCACCAGTCGAAGGGAGTCATGATTAGAGATGGAAAACTTGTATATCCCGAAAGAAAGCTTAGAACAAACAACCATGAGACGGTGGCAAAAGGTCAGTTCCTAGTACAAACTGTGATCCTTGACAATATACGGATGTTAACAACTTACATACAGATTTGGTCGAATTCCGAAAATATCGAGCGGAAGTATCCGCATCCATGAAGACAGACGAACCCTTTTCTATATCAGAAAGATTTCATTCGCTCATTTCTTTGCTTGTGCAAGACAGGTATAGTATTGAAGTCGAGATATGCGGAAGTCGATAAATAAGATCAATAACTGGAGAATTCAATAGCGATGAGGCTATTACATCATTGTCAAGTAGATTGAACGACACCCTTTGCCAATTCGATGCATATGATTCGGACTCGGATGATCCAGGTACGATACGGCCTACATGAATATTAGTGGTTTTCGCAATATGCTAAACGAAATCTGCAGATGATAAGCAGTTTAACGATGCTCTTGAATCGACTATCAAAAATTTGGCGTCGCGTGAAAGATATGGTGTATCCAACGACGTTTTGCAAGGGCTGACAGATGTTCCGAATGTCGTACCAGCGGTAAGAAGCTAAAGTGATAAGGCACAGACCCGAAGGACATTAGAACTAATGAAGTGTTAAAGCATTTATCAATATACCGATGGGAGGTGAAGGACATATCAAATTTTCCGAACGACATAAAAAGTGCGGTCGAAAAACGCAGACGAAAAAGGACAGAGGTAAGCATTGATGCTATGTCATCGTTTGAAGCGTGCCCGTGCTCACTCTTCCATAATACAGATGTCGACTATTGCTACTTACATGTTCCGGACGTTGACAAGCGAGCAACAGTTGCAACTGTTATGCGCCAAACGGAAAAAGAACTCTACTCCACTGCCCCGAATCAATGTAACCCCCACAGGTCTTGAAATCATGTTCTCTTCTAAAGAAGTAAGTGACAGTGAGATATAAAAATTAGGATGAAAATGTGACTAACTTTCATATGAGAATAATCCTATGACGAATGGTGAGAGTATGGTAGTGCTGGATGAAAAGGTGAAGGAACCGGCCGAGGCGAAGAAAAAGGTATGTGATGCGTGATGGCCGTGCTTACTGTACTTAGAACATTGTACTCACTAGATTGATAAGGAATCTGCTCGTAAAGTGACAACGGAGGAAAAAGAAGCCGACATCGAGGAACGGAAAAAGAAAGAAGCCGAGGTTGAGGAAAAGAAGAAGAAGAGGGTAATTGATGTGCTAATTGAGATGTAAACCTAACCTCCCCAACCCTATTAAACATTTGAATTTGGTAGGAGGAAGAACGCAAAAAGAAGGAAGAAGAAAAGAAGAAAAAGGATGAAGATCGTAGAGTGAAAGACGAAGAGAAGAAAAAGCGAGAAGAAGAACAGCAGCGAAAAGAAAGAGTAAGTTAGGAACTTTGAGTATTTGAGAGAATCAAGCATGGTACTAATACTCTTGCTTTCAGTCTCAACTTCGTCTTACTTCCTTGTTCAAAACAACGGCTGACGAACGACCACTAACCACCGTAGAAGGTAATATGGGTCTCATTGCTTAAAAACAATTGTATTATGGAATACTTACTTTTATGACCAGCGCCTTCTATGGATTTTCAAGGCCATCAAGCCTTCCCACCATTTCATGTGAAAGAGCATGTTCAAATGGCGGATCCAGGTGCCTACAAATGCTCCTTGTCTACGGACTTTGAGGATGTCATAAGTGGTCACCGAAAGGAAAACGAAAGCAAGAGTACAACTGGAGGTAAGTTGAAAAAAACTAGCGCTAGCATTCCACTGGCTTACAGCTAATAAAGTGGTGTACTATTTAGCGTTACTCAATGAATTCAAGGAGTCATTTGGATCTGCTCTTCGGCGGCGACGAGGTGTAGAACACAACATTGACCTCCGTTCACTATTGGGTCATGATCCATCTATGCCTTTAGCGACGGCAGCATCTTTCGATGGTCAAGACCTACGCTCTATGCTGAAGATGAAGTTCTTGCAATTCAGAGAAGATATTCGACCGGCGTATTGGGGTACTTGGACAAAGACAAGCAAGAAAATTCTCGCACGGCGGCCGTTTGCCATGGATACCGAGCACCTCGACTACGACCATGACAGTGAAGCCGAATGGGAACCAGAAGGAGAAGGCGAAGATATCAAGAGTGGCGATGAAGAAGACGAAGATGTGGATGTTGCAGACCCTGATGATGTAAGTCATCATCAAAGTATGGTGTTGATTAAGCGAATATGCGTAACTCATTTCTTATTATAGGCTGGATGGCTGGTCCCTGAAGGTTATCTCTCCAACGATGAAGGAATAGGCAGCGACAAGGAGGAAGAAGGTATGACGTCTTGATAGACAGTGTTGAGTGAATGCAAACAAATACTTATATTGAGCTTCTAGGTGTTCGAACAAATACGTCGTCGAAGAAACGAGGCCCAGTGAAGCAAATATGCATAGGAGTCATGTTTGACGATTCATCAGATGACGACGACACACTTTCTGCGTATGCCATACATCAATTAGGTAAATTGTTATCGAATGAAGATATGCAATGGCCTTTCATTACTAAGACTTCAGTCAATAGCTGCTACATTCCCAATTAATCCATTTGCACCAATACCAAGTAAACATGCATCTGACACCGCCGATAACAACGGCGCATCAGCTTCAGCGGCGACAGATAAACGACCGACTGCCTTCCCAGTCGAACATACACCACAATTAATAGATGTAAGTCTCAAACCTAATCTCTTCGTTTAGCAGAAAGTGGCGTGAATATGTAAACTAACAACGATGAAAAAGGCAATCAAAGGCAAAGCGGAAGGAATGCCAAAGCTTATAGCAGAGGTTAAAGCTATGCAAGGATTTGAGGATGTCTCCAAGCGACAAATAGAAGCAACCATAAAAAATATTGCTGTCAAAGAAAAGCGCGGTTCAGATGCAGTGAGTATCTTTTTCTGGTATATCCTGATCGCTGCACTGTCTTGTTCACTAACTGTTTTCCATCTTACAGCGTCCAATATGGTATATAAAAGAGTAATTAGCCAAAGAGATGATAGCGAGTCTTATCTTCACTTTGACAATCATAAAAAAAAAATACCCAATTTCATACTTTTCTTGTTGATTGATAGAGCTTTTCTTTTGTGAAAAATTTATTATACAGTATCGTAGCGTCTATATCTACCTCGGACGCAAGTCCATTAAACTTTCAGAGGCAAAATCTAGTACAACGGAATCATAGCCGATCTTTTAAAAGTACAAACTGGCTGCGAATACAATATCTCTCTTGATCAAAAGCTCTGCTTCTTCCATTTTCTTGTATAATAATGGATCACCAATCATTCTAGCTGCACCTTTGACTTCTCTGCAGGTTTCATCCAAACGCACAATACAGCGAACGATAGATCCCTCCAGTACATCCGTCAGGTCAGTGATATTTTTGAATGGCTGTTGATGCATTAGAAAATTTGTGCGACGAGCCAATGTTTTTAGGTCCATATTAGCTACTTACCATGCCTCTAGCCCATTCATAGACAACTTCAACCATTCCAAACTTGAAGCCATTGACATAATCTTCCTTGGATATCTCAACACCGCAAGCGAGTTGCTTTTCTGCAATTTGTTCGGCAAATTTGATGATGACATCTTTACCCTTTTGTAATCTAAGCGTCAACGTTGGCTCACTCGAGTTCTTCTCTTGGAACACGAAGCTGGACAACAATGCTACAATTTCAGCAGGCTCATATTCTGCAAATACGTTATCAAGAATGAGTTCTGTAAGCACCAGTTCATCTGCTGTGTTGATTTCGCAAGCCACTCGTCCTTTAAGCTGGACAGTGCCATTGCTGTCAATGTAAGACATGGTTTTGAGGACTTCAACTCGTTGCTGATAATCAGGAAGTAGCTCCAAATTTTGGTCAGATATTGTCATCTTGAGATTATCGATCTGTGCTTGTAATCTTCTATGAGCATACACCAAGGCGTACTAAAGATCAAAGAGCGTCAGTCAAATACAACCGTAAGCCACTTTGGCCATATGAACATCATACTTACATGCTCTTCTAAATCAGGACAACGAGTGCATTGGAAGTCTGCCTTCATCTTTTCTAGTGATGAGGTCTTGGCACGAAGACTTTCTTGGAACTCAATATCCTTGATTTTGCTCCAGTCGTACTCGGCAATCGATGCTACGAATTCATCAGATTAGTTCCTAAAAGAAATTATTCTGCCCAATTGCAAATATACTTACATCTCTTCGATTCACTTGCAAAGGCAAGAAGTTCTTTTGTGGTTTTGATTGTTTCAAGTTTATCACTAGAGTTCATCAAGCTGTCGACATTTATCTGCATACACGTGTTAAACAGTGGTCTTTCTCACCATAACATGCTGATGCTATCCTGTTAAAAGTTTACCAACCTTCAATGTTGTCTTTGTTACAAAAGCTACATCAGAGAGAGGGACAATGGCAACTTCAGCTCGGCAGTTGCTCTCATTTGGCACATCAACATCAGTGACAGGAAGAGGGCTACGCTCTAATGACGAAATTTTCAGTCTAGTTACTAAACGTTTGCCATTAATTGCCAGTAGTGAAGGACTAACCTGCAGAGCCATCAGCTCCCATATGCTTTGCATTGACAAGTATGAAACAATAGAATACGCGATCGTTGTGCGCTGAGACCGATGCGCCAGCGGCTGTACTTGATACTGGTTGCAAAATGACAGCTGCAGCATTTCTGTAAATTGCATTGTTGATGATAATAGCACGACCTGGAACCAAAGCCCTATGGCCCACTGGATGCGAGGCAATTCGTGCAAGAATATTGCGATTATGGAAGAGTACTTCGTTGGACAAGTCATAGTACTTTTGAATATCTTCAGAGCAGATCATGCAGTCGAGTTGTTGCAAGTTGCTCAAGTTCTTTTCACTCTGATATTACATAAATGAGTCAGTGATGAGCGCACATAGCATAGCCAACATCACGAAATCCCCGTACCTCATCGACCAGCTTTTTGGTATCTGGCAATAGCTTTTGCGAGCTATTCTCTGAAAAACTGCGCTTGATCATTTCCTCTACTTTCAAAGCTTCCACACGTAACAAGTTTAAAATCATATTATACGTCAGGCGGAATTGTGATTGTAGCTTAGTGGGTTTCCCGAGAATCATTGTAGATAATGTGGTGGTCTGTAAAAACAAGATCAGTCATATAACTCATGTCGTGCACGACATGGTAGAACAATGCTTACGTCTGGCGGCTCTTCTCCTCCGCATGCGATGATCACAACGCCAGTATCATCCAAACCACGTCGTCCCGCTCTTCCAGACATTTGTGTGTATTCACCTAACAAAATTCCTCAGTAAACGAAAGCGTGCGATCGCATATGGGGCAGTGGTACATACCTGGAAGTAAATCACGGAAAGATCTTCCATCGTGTTTCCTTATACCTGAGAAAACAACACTACGAGCAGGCATGTTGACACCCTAGTAAAAAAAATGGAGAATCCAAGTTAATCGAAGATAACAACATATTGTGATCAAGCGCTAGAGCTTACCATCGCAAAAGTTTCCGTTGCGAATAGCACTTTAACCAAGCCTCTAGCGAATAGAATTTCCACAATCTCTTTGATGATAGGTAGCAAACCACCGTGATGCACAGCGACACCACGAGATAAAAGGTCTCTCGTTCGGATGACTTGCGGTAATTCCCTATCTGTGCCGCGTAATCTTGCTAAACTCTTTTCGATGAAGACATGAATCTCGCTCTTTTCGGTGCTAGATGTAAGATCCAAGTTTGAAAGAGCGCTTGCATACTCTTCGCATTTCTTCTTGGAGAACGTGAAGACAACAACAGGCAACAATTTTTTCTTTGACAAGAGGCCAATCATATGCACATAGAGGTTACGATCCTTAAAAACTTGCGCATTAGAACGTTTCTTTCAGTACGTTTAAGACGGGCACTAACAAGATCTTACTGTTTGTTGCATACTCTGGAAGCTACGTCCAGGAGTTCGCGCCGGAGCCTTCACTACCATGCCACCTCGACCGCCTCGGCCACCTCGCTGAGCAGCGGCTTCCTTAGGATCCTTCCGTTTTGATAGTGCGTCGCTTGCATTTTTGTAACTAGAGATAGAGTTAAAAATCAAATCAGCGAATCCAATTCTATGATTGATCAAACCTACTTGACAGTGCTAAGCTTCTTCTCGTTTGCAGCCACAATTTTGAATAACTCCTTGTTCGCATATAAATTATGTTCCAAAGGTACAGGTCTCTTCAATGTACTAATGACATATATGTCCTTCTTCTTGGTACGACTGAAGATATACACTTAGTACAATGTGGCTTAATATCAGCGTTTTTGTTCTTTCGCTTACCCAACCCAGTCAGCAAACTCCTTGGTATTAGGAACAGTGGCAGAGAGCAGAATCAAGTTGACATGGGCAGGTAACATGATGATGACTTCTTCCCAAACCACACCACGCTAAAGGATATAAGAACATTAGTTAGGCCAAATTAAACGGTACTACATTTCATTCCTCCTCGTCGTTACATACCTCTAGATCATTGACATAATGGACTTCATCAAAGATAACGAATTCAACATCACGGATAAGATCAGCTCCACGGTAAAGCATACTTCGTAGAATCTCTGTTGTCATGATCAAGCAGCTAGCCTCTGGTTTAATCTGAACATCACCTGTCAAGATACCAACGTCGTCACCATATGTTTTTTTGAAATCTCTGAACTTTTGATTACTCAAGGCTTTGATAGGCGAGGTATAAATAGCTCTAGACAAATTCGTCAGTGGTGTATAGATGGTATACAGATGAAGAAGCCGAATCAACTTACTTGGTCATGTGCTTAGCAGCTAAGGAAATGGCATATTCGGCAACGGCTGTTTTACCAGCAGATGTATGTGCTGCAACAAACACACTGTCGCCCATTTCCAAGTGATAAACAGCATGCTTCTGGAAAGTATCAAGCTCGAATGGAAACTATTGCATAGGATCAGTATACATTCAAAACTGGCAGTAAAGATATACCAAAAGATGTACCTCATGGGCCATTTCCGGTACGCGCTCGTGAAAATCGTCGAAGGGTTCGTTGACATTGATCTCATGTGCCCATTCTCTCTTTTTGTGGCTCGCGTCTCCCTGCTCTTTCTTTGCTAACCTTTGAGCTACACTCTCCTTTGCGACCAGGTTCTATAATAAAATATTAGGAATAATTCCAATATTCAATGATGTTGATTTCATACATTACCTCCTTAGGTAACAAATCGTCAATATCATTGTCCGTAGGTTGAGCCTCTGATGGTGGTGGTACTTCCTCGACTGGTGATTCTGTAGCCTGATTCTTCGTGTATTCCTGTAAGGCAGTAGTTATTATCGGTAAACCAATTCTCATCGCTGAACGCAGTTGACACATACGTTTTCATCTGTGGGCTGACCAAGCAGTTCAATCTCAATATCTTCGGATTGCATCAGCGAATTGAAATCGAGCTGTGAGGGTTGATCCGTCCTATCGCCATCTAGAAACAATGAGCTGAAGCGTTAGAGGTTTGCGGAATGCCATTGGATTCAGTGAGCTGCCAAATGTTTACCTTGCTTAATTGACGATAATAAACCTCGATCTAACCCGGGAGGTACAGACAAAAGTGTATCTGCCACAAAAGTCTTAGTAGGATCATCAAAATTTCATGTAGACATCTATTAATTCATACCGTTCTCAAAATCCAAAAACGAATGCTTTTCTTCCAGCATTCCCTCCGCGAGAGCATTGACGGCATCTGTTAAAGCTTCCTCGATACCGCCTGGAGCAAATGGGAAATTATTGCCTCTTCCGCGAACGAAATCTTTGGAGCCAGCAAAGTCGCGCTGCATGCTGGTGGAATTTTTGGCAGTCAATTCGCTGCTATCCAATGCTACCTCGTGGTATCCGGAAACATGGCCATCCAAGCCATGTCTAACTAACTCGATTTCCGTGCGCGCTTTAGTTAATTCGCTATAGACATGTTGCCTGAAATTCGGCGTTCCTTCCCATTGTCTGTAGGAAAATGTAGTGCACATGAATGATACTTTCAATTAATGCTTTAAGCGAGACGAGATATAGTCAGGAAAGTACATACTGTTGGCAATGACTGAGCCAGTCGGTCGGAAAAGTTGTTTTGGGAATGAGGAATCGCTTTTCTATCTTTTCTTTTATGATATCCGGCTCTTCTTTGCTCAGGAGCGATTCAATCTGTATGCGAGCGGATGATTTAGGGTTACCACGGCAATTTGACGGCTCTCCTGGGTTGCAGATCACGAACCTGATTATGCAATTCGTCGGCTGAAAGATCAGACCGCAGCATATTGAACGCTGAATGGAGCTCTATTATGAAAATCGCGTGTGTTATTGATCCAGTCGATATGATTTGGCCGTGCATATCTTGAATATTCACCTTCAGTATTGGCCATATTCCTAGTGAGGGAACCGAGATTCAGTAAAGTCCGGTCCCACTTGGCCTTTCAACACCAATTCTGTGACTTCACTTGCAGAACATTTCACCTCTGACATGACCACGGCCGAATCAGAGTCAAGTGCAAGCAAGAAGGAGTATTATGATCAAGCTTACTTCGATTCAGACGAGGATAATGATAACGATGATTCGTCCATGAGTGTAGACAAACCTGCCAGCAAAGGTTGGTTTCATGAATCTCGCCGTACTGCTCCATTGAGTCATTCTAACCTTGAAACTTTTTATTCTAGATCGGCAGAAAAAGCGAGAAGTAATAGATAATGACGAACTGTTATACAATCCCGAGGAAGACGATACTAATGAAGACTGGGTAGCCGAGCAACTGCGAGGTAGTTATCAATATTTCAGTGCCTTGACGATTCCAGCTATTGCTAACCATACTCTACGACCCAGCCATAGCGCCTTCCGAAAAAGGCAGAAAATCGAAACGCTCAATGGCCAAAACTGATGCCATTCTGACTTGTCCTTTATGCTTCACACCTGTCTGTCTTAGTTGTCAAAGGTAATCCATCATTCATTGACTCAAATAGCATGTTCGATCGTTGTCATTTACAAAGTGTTGTAGGCATGATCTATATCCCAACCAGTATCGGGCCATGTTCGTCACCAATTGCCGGCCAAATTTTGCTGAACGGTTTCGATACAAAGAGCCAAAGGAAGAAGGAGGAAATGGAGATGATGTATATTATCCTGTTAATTGTGACATATGCAAGACGCATATTGCCATGTTTGATCACGAAGAAGTATATCACTTTTTTAATGTCATAGCATCATGACGTGACTGTATTTTCCTTTTTTGGCGACTCTTTGTCCCAGTCGAACATGGTTAATGTTTTCGGAAGCCGTTCTCTGCGTAGATTACTCTTTTTCTGCATAATGAGTTGGAAAGTAATAAACATTTCGCTCTCCCTTGTATTATATTTTAAACCAGAATGCTATTTACTCACCTAAAAACTAGGGCTTGCAAAAGGCTGTCTCTAGACTGCCACACCAGATTATGTCAAAGAAAGGCGATGGTAGGTTAACATTCACAACATGCTACCAGAATGTACATTCCTCTGGATTGGACCGACTCTGAATGACTAACCCGCTTGCGTAACTTTCCAGTGACAAGAGACCCAGAGTACATGGAACTTGAGAAACAATTCAAACTACTTAGTCAAAACGCTCAAAGGCTGCAAACCGATGCCGAGACATATCGCGATGGAGTAGCAGGTACGATACGTTACTACAAGATCGATAAGTCAGTCAGTATAAAAAATGTAATATCTCTAATTGTGTCCATCATTAGCTATGCTTAATCACCAGGCCAGTTTCTCTGAATATTTGTCTATCCTTTACCAACCATTAGATGCCGAGTTGGAGGACGGTGTAGTGCGGAGAAGGAATAATCAGACATCTGCCAAGGCGGTACAAGCGGTGCAAGACTACGCAACTATCATGAGCTACAGTAGGGACGAAATTATGCCTTGCCTGGTAAGCTGATTACGAAGCGAGCCAGAAAATTCGGCGACATATCAGCTGACTATGTTTTGTCTATGCCTGTTCGTTGTTTAGGACGTCATTGATGCCCACATTGTATCCAGGCTCATTGAATTTCGAGAAATTTTGAAAACGGTGGACAAGACGATGATCAAGCGTAATCACAAGATGCTCGATTATGATCGATTTCGAACGAACTTGGCGAAACTGAAAGGAAAGGCTGAAAAAACCATCAGCGAAGAAAAACAAATCTACAAGGTTTGTGACTATTACAACAACAAAAACCATGTCATGCCGTATGGGCTAACTTTAATTTTTTCTTTTTCTGGTCGTCAGCTGGAAAGCCAGTTGGACATCGCAACGCAAGATTATGAATATCTTAACGGAATTATCAAAGAAGAGCTTCCACGTATCATCCAACTTCGAACGTCACTGGTCGACCCGATGTTCCAGGAATTTTATTTCCTGCAGTGCCAAATTTATGGTATGCTTCTAGCGAGAATGCAAGAAGTCATCAGCACTAACGGACTGCACTTTGAAACGTTGACCATGGGTGTCGAGGAAGGGTTCAACGAAAGGTTGAATAAGTTTAATGCCCGTACAGAGTTGGAGGAATCCGGTTTACTCAAGCAAGGCGGAAGAGCTTGGTTGGGAGGTAAGAAAAGTTCCATGATGTTGTGGCTTACGTGGGTGGTGATATAGCCTAATATATGCTTTATGTAAATAGCATCCGCTGCCAAGTCCTCCAAATTGCCACTAAAAGAACGAGCACAAATTCGGCGAGAAGAGAACGCCAAAGCCGCTGCATCTTCCAGCGGAATGGGTGGATATGGAAGCGATTCTCCACCGCCACCAGCATATGGTACAAACCAAAGTCACGAAGTAGTAGACTCAACCCCTTATCAAGCAGACTCTAAACAATCAAATTCCTACACAAACAATGCCTATTCTCCACCACAAACAGGATCTCCCGGCCGCACTTACGTTAGAGCTCTGTATGATTATAATGCTCAAGCAGAAGGCGATCTTACCTTCGCTAAGGACGACCTAATAGAAGTCATACAGAAGACAGCTGATGTGAATGACTGGTGGACCGGAAGTCTAAATGGTGCCACTGGTGTATTTCCAGGTATACCAACAGCACCGCTTACTGGAGCTCTATATATTGATTTGTTTACTAAATATTGCTTTGACAGGAAATTATGTTACCGAGGCATAACGGGTTGCATCTCCTCAAATTCCTGCAGATTTTTCTATGTAAATTATATTCTATGCCATACAGATTTCATAAATCTTACACGACTACAGTTGTCATGCACTGTTAACAACCTATGTAGTAATAAACATTTCATTAGAATTTTTATTCTTTGGCACTGGCGTGAAAAGAATGGAAACTCATGTAAATATCACCACCGTGGTTTTAGAATAATTAGCATTAGGATTGGCGGACACACATGACATGTTGATAATAGCGCTAAAAGATATTGCAAACCCTGGAAAAATCTGGTTCTTCCAATCAAGTTTTTAATGAACGTGCGCTAATTTTCATCAGAGGTTTGAAACCCAATGAAGCGGTGATCGTCGGCAGTCAAAGTGGTTTCGCCACAGCGACCCAGGTCACTATGATAAGATATGGAAATCCTTGGTATTGAATTTAGGTTGTTATTGAAAACATGAAGCACAACAGGGGCAGAAATAGACTGTGGTCTTGGTTCGACTTTAATAGATCTTTGTTAGAGCCATACGGAAACTATTCCGTGATCAGATGCCCAGCCCAATTTATGGCGGACTTTCAACGCCTTTTTTCACTGGATGACCTTTTTCAGCCAGCCAGTGTTTTGTATTCTATCCAACTTTTACCTTTCTCTCATACAACATGGGAACTTCAGTTCCCGTTGGTGTTAAATCGAAGCAGCTTCGAAACATGTACAAAACTCCCTACCTGGCACAAAGGGGAAATATCCATGATCTCGACATGCTGAAGCCCACCAAAACCATGGTTCGTTCTGAATCAACCACTTTCAAGCGACACAAGCATCGAGTGACTTGGCGAGAGAAGGTAAGCCGAGAGGTTCATATACAATGTGCTTCTCAAAGCGCTAATTAACTTCATGTACCATTAGGTGGCATTTTGGATGGATACTTCAAAGGTAAGGGCGGCGTGGTGATGTGTACCTGGATGGAATCAGCACTGATATGAATGGCAACTTTAAGGGAGGACGTAACTGGGAACTCTTGGATGCGTTTCTGTCTTTACTATTCGTCATCATTTACATTTGGGTAGGTGTTAAGAGGAAGGAGAATTGAAAGAACAGCGTAACGCATTGGGCTGCTAACTTTTAGGTTTTGTGCAATAGAACACGCAATATGTGAAAAAGGAGCCTAAGGTCCAACCGCTGCCTAAACCTGCAAAGGTAATTTTCAGAAAAGTCATCATCACAGTCATTTGGATTGGATTGGTTGATAACACTTGTTGCAGATATTTGAGCTAGCGATTGCTGTCGGAATATTGGCGCAATACTTGCCTCGAGTCGTAATAGCCCCGCAGCCACACAAAGAAATGGTCTCTCCCTATTCCATTTTAACCTTCATCGCCACCGTACCGGTCATGATTGCTTTCGTACTGTCGACCTATGAATGGAAGAGTAGTATTGATGAGGATATTGTACATACATACATGTCAGCTGGACCTCTCGTGTTTTTATATCCCCTTCGATTCGTTCGTCTGCATATGTCTGTAGGGCGTTGTTTACTGCCGGTTAAGCATGCGGTTATACATATCTCTCTCATTGCTCGCAAGGCACTACAGCTTGGTAAGTGGACACTGTGGAAAGTTATAGCAAGCAAGGAAACAGCACTGATCTTTTTTCCCTCTCCATGCAGGCACGACCATTCTGTTCACCATTCTTACAGTGACTGCTTTCATCCACGTCTTCACCTTCAAGCAACACGTACAAGATCCCAAGTTTGAGAGCATGACCTTTTACAACGCATTTTTCTTCACTGTTGGTGAGTTGAGGAGTATAAGAGAAAAATGTGATGAAAGGCGCCATATTATGATTGATCTGAAAATTCATTATCTTCACCGACTCCAGTGAGTTCTGTATCAAGCATTCGCACGGACATTGTTCGTAAGTATATGAGGTGTTTTCAGCGATCAAAGTTGTTTTATGCTGGTTGATCTGACGAAAAATTATCTATCCACAGCTGATAACGAGTTTACAAGACTGGTTATCCTCTATGTCATGATTGCGGGAGCACTGTATATACCAACAAGATTGGCAGAGCTGTTATCTCTGATCCAACACCGCTCAAAATACCGCCACTCATATCGGTCCAAGGATGGTCAGCAGCACGTTATTGTTACTGGTAGCTTTGAACCAAGCTCTCTGCTTGAATTTTTGAGAGAGTTTTTCTGCGAGGATCATGGAATGGACGTTCTTTTGACAAAAGTAGTGGTTTTATGCCCATACGAGGTAAGAAGTCAGGGCATGGCGTTTTGGGACATGGACAATGAAGCTGAGATTCAATCCTGAACAGCCTAGTGAAGAATTGAATATTCTTCTCAATGACCCGTCGTATGCCTCTCGCGTACAATATGTGAAAGGGTAAGGCGTCCATACAGACTCTGTAATGATGATCCATTCATTTTTTAACACCGTGAGCGATCTAGCTCGGCTACTTCCTTCCATCACTTGAATAAGGCCAGAGCTGATGTAGCGTCAGCAGCGTTTCTTCTAAGCTCCAAACTGACACATGGTGACCAGGAGCGAGAGGATGCACAACAGTTGACAAGAGCTTTGGTATGTGATTGGGAACTTGCATGATTCAGCCAATGGGTCACTGACTAATACCGTTTGATCGAAAAGACTATGCGAAAGTATAACAGACACCTTAAACTCTATGTACAGACGCATTTACCGGAGAATGTTGTACACTTTGATTTCATAGGTGAGAAAAATTTGTGATAGAAGATACGCATGAATGTAAGGCCTGTCTAACAGTAAACTCCAGCACGATCTGTCATTTGCGTTGAAGAGTATAATATGGGCTTGTTGGCCCAAAGCGCGCTCATACCCGGATTTTCATCCCTTCTACTTTTGCTGACAACATCTTTGACTGAAAAGTCCTGCGGCGAAATGCTCTCGGAAGTGAAGGGACGGAGTGGTAAGTGAGAATTAATACCAGGAACAAGGTTTACTGACACGAGCGTTTCTAATTTAATTTCTCGGTTGAACGGAACGAAAACAAAGATATGAATTGGATGCGGGATTACTTGTGAGTTATGGTTCACTGCATTAAGCCTTGCCTATAGTTGATATTGACGCTGATTTTTTTTTAAAGAGATGGTGCCGGAAACGAGGTTTACCCGGTCAAGTTCTCGCCTATGCTGACAGGCAAACCATTCTTACAAGTAGCCGAAATTATTTATGCTCATAGCGGTTCTCAGTTGTTTGCTATCGGAAAGAAAATGAATGGTTTGACAAGTCTCTCTTCTTCATACTGTGTTTCACTAAACCCTAAGGACTATATCATTCGCGATGACGACGTTGGTTACATCATCAGTGAATCCAGTAATATTGCCGACTATGTGCGAGACTTTGGATTCCGCAACAACACGTTGACTGAGTACCACAGTTTGTTGGAGAACGGTGTTGGAACATACGGTGGCACATCTACCAGTACACTCATCAACATCGCTGCAGAGAACCGAAATCCGAGCAACAGCGTTGTGAACGAAGAGTCTGCTGATGTCGATGCGCTCAAGGTGAAGTCCAGTCTTGTCTACGATCCTATCGAAAGCGACGATGATCACAGTAGCATTGGTCAAACCGAACAAGAAGCTCAAGAGGCGGTTGATGCCTTATTAGGTGGAAATGGTGGTACTTCTCCAGGCTTCAAACGTAGTGGTACAGTTACACCATCTAATGAACAGATGCTGGACCACCGACAAAAGCTCACCGACGCCAATGTGAAATATGCAAAGCAGCATGCTCATCATTCAACATTTGCTTCACTTCCTGCAGAAGTAGAAGACCATCTTCTGGTGTGCGATGTATCTCAGAAATTCCCTCGCAACATCGAGATTCTGGTTGGTAGCGTTCGTGCCAAGGAAAAGGACAGACCTGTTGTCATCATGTGCTTTGCCGATCCCAATCCTGAGCAACGTGCTAGGTTGCACCATTTCCAAAACGTCCATATCATCAAAGGTCGCCCCACGCTGCGTAAAGATCTATATCGTGCTGGAGTTGAACGAATGTGGCGGTGTATTGTATTAAGCGACAAGTCTGCCTCTTCATCGTAAGTCATGAATGGATTGCCCAACGAAAGGGTTTACAAAAGATTTAACCGATTTTAAAAACTGGTTTGCTTTGCTTTCAGAGACGTAGAAGAATTTGCTGATGCCAGCGGGTTATTGACCGCATTAAACGTAGAGTCGATGTCTGACGAAACTGGCTTCATTGTTGTCGAGTGTTTAGAGCGGGAAACTTTTAAAATGATTGGAATGAGCGAAACGATCCAGTGTAGTGAAGAAGTCGGTAAGTATCACAAGCGGTACCTCATTGAACTGAAAATGGTAATTCACCACCCCACTTCTTTCTTTGTATAGCCCAGGCGATGTTACGACCCAGCTTCATGAGCGGAAACGTTTATACATCCTCCATGCTTGATACCATCATTTGTCAGTGCTACTACAACACTCATCTGCGAGACGTTCTCTCTCAATTAATCTTCAGTCACAATCCCGATACGCAAAATGCCTACACTCGGTTATGCGAGGGACCTGAAGCTATCATGAACTCTGAAGAAAACGACAGTTCTTACGGCAGTAGTGGCCATGTTTACCAAATTGAGGTTCCACCTGTACTTCACGGTAAGTCATTCAGAATCATTACAGAGTCATTCCTTTCCACCATCCGTTTATCTAACGTGAATACTGCGGGCGTCCTCATCCATTGCGCTATCAATTAAATTGAATCATAGGAACCGATTATTTATCGTTGGTGCGGACCCTTATCAGACAACATGCAGCCATTCCATTGGGGTTGTACCGCACGGTACTGCACCAAGGCGCGCCAACCTCTTTTGTGTATGTGAACCCTCAACGAGACAGTACCATTAAGCAAGGCGATTGTGTTTACGTTATTGCGGATGACGACTTTCAGTTGTAGAGGAAGCAGTTCAGTTCATGACAGAACGGCGCACCGAGCGGGCAGCATTTCCGCCTCTCCCTTCTTTTTTTTCTAAAAGAAGATAAAAACATAGTATATATATCGTACGAGGTAATAAAGAGTTTTTAAACGCCAGTTCCATGGGACTAGCATGATGATTGACCATGCGTGCACTGTGTGATGACCGTGGACGTGGTGCTGACCTAATTTAATCACATACCATGCATGGGCCATGAGTACTTCTTGCCTGGTTGCTTTCACCTAACGAAGGCGGTCCAAGGATATTCCTCTGAATAAAAGTAAAGAGGAGCTCGGCCGGAGCCACCGTCTTTGCTTCTGAATTCTTAAGTAGAGTGGTTTTGTGGAAACTTTATTGTAATGAAAAGCGCTTCTCTAAATGCTGTAGCTAACGTGATCTTTGTACGAGCATGAAATCTAGATGTTGCTTGACAGCCGAATGCTCTGGTTCAACTTGTATCCCCATCGCTATCCAAATTGGTGAATGTAATGCATTCTCTTTACTTTTCGGTTCAATATACAATGCGATAAATATACTTCACATGATGTTACCTCACTATTTTGTTAGTTTCATTGCTTTGTCCATTCACTCCGCTGGTCTGTATCCCCCGACATAACACAACGTACCTTGTTGTATATAATGGTTTTTTTTATACACTATATACCAAGGTGTTGGTAGGTACAGCGCCATGAACTTCCTTCTTCTTCGTTTTCCTTTCTGATAATCGAGCCTTTTGTTTTATCTTTTTGGCTGTCTATCCTTTCACATTTCATTTCCGTTTTATCAACAACCCGCTGAACATAAACATTAATATCCTCTCCACTTGAACAAAAAAAATGGGCAACCAAGCGAGCAAAATTGTGGATAAGGCGAAAGACCGTTCAAACGACCGAAAATCCAGGCACCCAAACCGTGCCCTGAGCGTAAAGTCATCTTCGGCCGCATCGACTTCTGAACAACCCCCACTACCCAGTAAAAGAAATTTTGCAGATACCACTTTTCAAGCAGTACCGCCCAATCTGAAACCGAGTCGAAGTCAAAAAACGAATAAAAAAGGTGTAGTAATCGACCAGGAAGACTTCAAAGAGATAGATCGATCGCAACGCCAGGTTAGTAATCTGCAAGCTTATTTTGTACATACCCGTAATACGGAACGTGGGGACAGTCAGTTCCACACGGACCAACTACGACGAACAAGTTCAGAGAGAAAAAAGCATCTGCACCCTTGCATATTCACCATTGTAATTTCCAATAGCATTATGTTTTGAAAAGCATACGAAAGACGAATCACTGGGTACCTTACACTCGTGACGGAGTTATTCTCGACATTGGCACTGGACATGGCGATTGGGCCTACGAAGTGGCGTCAACTTATCCTAAATCTCAAATCATTGGCCTGGATCTCAACCCTCCTCATGCGCCTGTCACCATTCAAAACAACTTAAAGTTCAAGCACGTCGATATAACTCAGCGTTGGGACATTGAAGATAACTCTGTCGACTTGTTAGTATTTCAATCTGAATGTCGGCCCGGTATCCCGAGTGCTAATGGTCGATATTTTTCCTGACGTTAATTTCATTTCATAGCGTGTTCCAACGTGATATGAATAGGGTGTTACTGAAATCAGATTGGGACCATATTTTACGTGAAATGTATCGAGTTACGCAACCAGGTGGCGTCTTAGAAATTTTAGAATCAGGTAAGTAAATTGGTTGTACCACTTGATATAAAAATGGAAGACGTGGACAAATCAAGACCCCCTAGAGTAATTGATCGTTTCACAACAGACTTATTCCATCACAATTCTGGGCCAGTACAGGCGCATGCTGACGAGTTTTACAAAGCTCAGTGCGAGCATATTGGAAGGGACTGCACCTTGGCCGATCATTTGGCGGCTGACCTTACCAACATTGGGTTTATCAATGTGCAACAGAAATCGCTGGATATCCCGGTAGGGGAATGGCCTAGTGACCCCAATCTAAAACAAATTGGGTTCAATAACCTTGAGCTACAAAGATCGAAACTGCGATCGCTGCGATCCGCTTATGTGGAAGGGATGGGATTATCAGCAGACGATTACGACGCCGCTAGCAAACTGATCTTATCAGAGTACGAGGAGTACCAGGGTTATACCAAGTGGGTATGCTGGACCGCTCAGAAGCCTTCATAAACGACGAAGTCTCTCATTGCTCTATGTACAGAACAGTACGTTGTTAGCAACCCCATTTTTAAATTTTATCCATAGAATCTAGAATGCCTGCCGTTAAACCCCCTCCCTCCCCCACCATAATTATTTAACCCCTTTGTTTCCTTTGACGTTTCATATTAACTTGTAATTAGCAAGCAAAAGAATATATCAAATTTAATAACCCATATCATAAAAAGTTCAAAAATGTACTGTTGAGGATACGAATAATGTGGTATAGAGGTTGGATACTGTAATTACAAATGAAAAAATCATCAGATAGGATATAATGGCAAAACGACATGAGGAAAGAAAAACTTGAGTGATTAAGGAAAAAAAAGATAATGGTGAAAAATAAAAAAAAAATAAAAAGGTTTAAAGGGTATTAATGAGAAGGTATAGTGAGCGACATATTGTTATAAAAAGCAAAAAGTACTGCGGTGCAATGCCGCAGACCCGGAAGGGATGTTATCCGGTCTATAAAGGTATAGGTGCAATTTTTTTGTTGGAGTTTTTTCTTTTTGTTTGGGTAGCGTATGAGGGTCTATGGTTGCGAGATATATCCGGTATATCTTGCGGTTCCTTACGGCAGAACGGCGCCACGGGTGAGCTGATCTAAGTCATATCTTTCAGAAAAAACTTTCAAGTCGTGCACAGCACCAACTTCAAAGATTCAACTGAAAGAAAAACGTCGTCTATGTGGCTGTTGTCCATGTTTGCCGTAGTTCTATTGTGTGAGATGTATGCGAGATTCGCATACAGTTTTTTATGTTGTGATTTTTTTTTGGTTGTTTTGAATTTTTCCATTAGAGAATCTTAATTGTTTGAGTAGTTGGGTTTTTTGTTTTCGATGAACTTTTAGCTTGGAGTTTAAGGCAACACCTGGTACAAGAAGTTGGTGAACTGATCAGGAGTTGAGGTTCTCAACAGGTTGCTTTGGATATGAGCGTCGATTTCCTACAGGAGAAGCACATGGGTTAATTATCAATGGGCAAAATGTCAAAGACAATGGATGGTGAATACATACCAGAATGACATCACGAGCAGAAGGTCTGGTGCGAGGATCTTCATCCAACAACCAAGCGACAAGGCCACGCATGTACATGCTTGGATAGCTGTAGGTGAAGGTTGGGCTGGGTTCTGTCAAGACAGTTTCAAACAGCTCGTATTCATCCTTGATGCGATAATGGGGAGGGACTCTGTCCATCATCTCAATGATGGTAATACCGAGCGACCACATATCAATGGTTTCATCGTAGTATTGCTCACGAATGACTTCTGGAGCCATCCACTTTGCAGTGCCAAGACGATCGCAATTACGACGGTTAGACCGAGTTGCAAGGCCAAAATCAGCTAAAAATGCAAAGTGAGATGATTTAGTATCAATGGGCGTTAAAATGCAGTGGTGTTGTACAAGTCTAATTACCTAGCTTAACTTCACCATTCCAGCCAATAAGAAGGTTTTCACACTTAATATCGCGGTGAATGTAACCTTTGCTGTGCAGGTAATACAGTGCTTTCAAAGTCTCGCCGGCAATGTAGACAGTGAAATCCTCAGGAATACCACGTTGGCAAAGGACAGCGAAGACCGAGCACTTCATGAGATCCATAGTCATCCAAACATCGTCACGCCAGACAAAGGCCTCTCGTAGACGGATGAGGTTAGCATGCCCAGAGGACATGATACGAAGCTCTCTTAGGATGGCAGCACGATATTCCTTGTCGGGGTCCAATCGGCATCGCTTGATAGCCACTCTCAAGCTCCGCTTTTGACAGTGAGTAGCCTTCAGAACTGAGCCATTGACTCCAGTACCAATCTCAGAAAAATTGGTATACATGGCCTTGGGATTGGTCACAGTGGGTACTCGAACCTTGGGAAGAGACTTGCGAATGGCACGCTGGAATTCATTCTCAGAACGAACAAGAGGTGGTAAGGCGGGAATGTCTGCATGTGGATTAGGGGGCAGCCAGGGACGTCGAGATATGCATTTTGCCGCATTGGGTTCACGTAGGGTGAGGGTGGTTTCTGACGCAGTAGGAAGTTCCGGTCGCAGAAATGCTTTGCCCAGAATATCAGGAATTTCGCAGACGCCAGGGGCTCTCCAAATTTCCTACATAGCATAGCTTGGGCGTTAGTATGAAATTTTTTAGACTGGGAATTTTTCACTCTAAGTGATATTTGGCTTACCTTGCCACGGCTATTTAGTGACATTTGAGATGCTACGGTTCGAATGGTTTTGGTTGAAGAATAGCAACTGTATTGACTGGATCGTCGAAGCTGTCCGGTAGACCGACGCTTTGACATGGCCGATGCTCTGTTCAAGGCATCTTGTGAAGAGCACACTTCTGGAAACGATTTCGATTGCTTCAAGGTATTGACAACTGAATGTTTCAGCAGTTCCTAACAAAAGTGCCAGAAAAGCGTTAGCTAAATGATTTTCGTAGCATAATGTCAAAAAGCGGAATGAATTGGTCAACGCACTCTTTCTTCTCGATCGAATTGATAGCGGTATCGCTGAGTGTTTGCTAGCGCGGTGACACTCTGCATCGTATTATTGAGGGATGACAAGTAAAATAAATCGGCAAAGGAAGAAGAGAAGAGAAATAAAAAATGTAAGAGCAGGGTCTGATTGATATAAATTTTTTGTGCTCTGCTGTGATAATAAATTCACCTCACCAAATTTCACGAGCTGCTTTACCAAAATAAAAAAATGACTGGAATTACATGCCCACCAGCGCGTGCACAATGAACTTTGAAGGCAAGTGGTAATTAACCTCTACCACTTCGCAACCAATCAAACACTTTCTTTTATGATTATACAGTCATATCCAAATATATATACCTTTCCTCCATTCTCCCGGCATTAACTTTTGCTAAATGCCTCGATCTTCTGAGTCGAAAATCAACACGTGTAATAGCGCGTGGCTTCGAGTATCACTTTCGGCTTTAACAAAAAAGGATAACAGGAAGTGGGGTGTGTCGTTATGGAATGAAATGACTCGCTTTGTCATTGCATTTCCAAAACCAACCTCTTTATTACATTTTCAACCATTTACAGTGCGTAGGTGCGAACTTCGTGGTCCCACAGTTTTTTCCCTTGTTTGTCATAGTGAAATGGCACATAACATCGACTGCAAAAGAAACACGGCGAATATCCGCTCACGACATCGTTCAAAGTGACAAACCTGTAGCATTCGGACCGGGGTTTGTTTAGTTAACGTGGCAAATTTCGTTCCGATATTAAAAATTTAGTCGCAAAGTAGCACTTACTCGGCGGGCCAGTACTGGCACATGTGGCATTTGCTTCTAGCCATTCTACATTGGTAAGTTAAAAGAGGATACGCTGCGGCATCTATTTCGTCTCGTTGCCCATGTAACCTATTTTGACAAGGTAGTATGAATGACTTTGAGTTCAGGGCATTCCTGGGGAGGAGGTCGCACGACCGACCATGCAATTCCACATTGGATATTTTTAGTCACCTACCATATGTCTTTAAAAACGAGAATGTGTTTGCAAACATCTTGATGACAGAACAAGTAAGGATAATTCAACTGTATCTCCAAATCTTGAAACTTGACCGATTGCATATTTTGCTTGGAAATACCCGCCAAGTGTCGCTGCTTGTATCGTTCATTCTCATTAATCCACTTGATAATATCGCTGCGCACAAAAACTAATTACTACCCAGATGGCTATTATTACTTTTTGCGCGGGGATTAATTGTACTTACTCACAAGGATCATCAACACGATTTTTGACTTCAGGATGACGAGTATCGGAATAGAAGCATTTGTTGATGAAGAAGTAGCTTGGATATTGTCTTTTTTTAGCCCTTTGCCGCACTACCTCCGTCATGGTCAATCCGGTATCTCTTGGTTCATTCTGCAGACCTGCTGCACGAGCTTGGCGTACCTGACTGGCCTGGCTCGCTTGACTGGGTGAATCCATCCATATGTCAGAACCACACGTTATGGCATCTCGTAGCGTGGCAAGTGTTTGTGATCCTAGCACGTTGAATTCTTGTAGCTTGCGAGATGGGCGCTTTTCTTGGTATATGGCCACAGAGAGAACTATTTCATTATCTCTCACTTTGACAAGCTTTTTGCTCACTTTGGTCTGGGAAGCACAACAATATCCAGTCAATTACTTGGGTCCTTACCCGGCTTTGCAGCTCATGTTTGTCTCTATAAATATCGTTACTTACCGATAGCGCCCCGCCCTCATCCGCAAGCAGAAAATTTGGTTGTAGTGCTTGTGATCCACTCACACTTAATCTGTTGGAAGGGCTAGATGCACATGATTTCGGTTTGCATGAGTCAATTGAAAATCATCATCCCCCACAACATAGTATGAGTTTCCACTTACTTCAAAGTCGTCAGTACGCTGGTGTCCAGTAGATTTGCCATTTCCAGATACCGTGTTTCTAGTGTCGTTTTGGCAATACGAGGGTCGTCTGGTGGAGCTTCCAGACTATTGCCTTCTGCCTCTCCGTCCGATTGATCACCTTCATTTACTTCCTCCTGCTCAATTTCAGATTCATCCTCACTAGTAGTGCGGTCATCATCTTGATTCGGAGTGTCGGCTGGAGCCACATATGTAATGGGTCTGGAAGAGGTCGGTGGTAAAGCCAATGGGGTTGCCGATGCACTTGGGGATTCTATTTCTACATTCAAAGGAGTGACGCTTTCAGAATCAAGTTCACTTAATGGATATGGGGAGTTTTCAAGTATGTTGCTAGGCATGTCGGCATCGTTTACACTTGCAGATTCATTGCTGTGATTATCACTTTCATTGGACTGTAGCCTGGCTTTTTTTGCGTTGAATAGGATAGCCGGCATCCTATTGCTGGCGAGGTATTGTCGTTTTTTCGGCACATGCGGATCTTGAATGTCTTTGACTTCATCTTCTTCGTCTAGCAATCTTCCAGGCATAACATCCTTTGCTTGCGATTTTCGTATGCTTTTCTTCTTTGTATCTGTTTCTGGATTGACATCTATACTTGTTTCCTCTTTAGCGTCGTCTTTGACGGACGCGGACCTTGATTTCTTTTTATCGCGTGGAGGTGGACCTTGGCTCTCATGATAGACTCGTAAGAGTGAAAACAGAGTTGGATCGCAGAAAAACTCTGAAGAGGGTTTGAGATCGTCGGGTATTCTGTCCGCTTACGCTGTCAGTTCTATGCATGTCGGTGGTTGCAAGCTGTATGAATCTACTTACTTAGTTTTCCCTTTTGAAGTGGCTGATCTTGACCGCTGCAGTTGGAGCCGATCAAAGGTAGCCTTCCTCAAATCGATAAGTTCGTTACGCATTTCTTCAACATTAATAAGTTTGGAGCCTCCCTCATAGTTTTTGACCTCCATTTCAATCGATCATTGGAGTCCAACTCGGTTTGAATTCTTATCACGTTGCGAAATTTTTGAAAGTCGAAAACCCGTCAGGTCCGCAGTCTCTTGCACCTTTCTGTCAAAAATGTCTATTTTAACAGAAAAGAAACAGCTAACTCTTATATTTGTGTTGGATGAATCAAATAAAAAGGTAGAAAAACGATTTTAATATAGTTATGAGAAACGGATCTTCATGGACGCTCAAATATGTTGTATAGATTTTACTCGGGATGAAAAAAAGAGGTTTCGGGCATGGCAAATTCAACGGTAAGTAACCTTTGCATATTTTCCATGGTACCTGAGAATCACATCACTTATCCCGATTATGATTTACACCAGGATTTGGAGGCAAGGTAGAGGAAGGTGAAACCATTCTTCAAGGAGCACATCGTGAGCTCGAGGAAGAGGCGTTTGTAACCACACCAGAGCTGCATCGGGTCGGCCTGCTATTGTTTACGTTCGAAAACGATCCAAAAGCACTCGAAGTTCATGTCTTTTTAACAAAAACGTATAACGGGGAGCCAAAGGAGTACGTACCTTTCGTTTCATCATGAAATAAGTTACTAAGCTGATACTCATCCCTCATGTCTCCAGATCAGAGGAAATGAGGCCCGAATGGTTCTCCTATGATGCAATTCCATTTGACACAATGTGGGCCGACGACAAATATTGGTTACCAATTCTGCTCCAAGGCAAGCGTTTTGTAGGAAGGTTTGACTTAAAACAGGTATGTTTACTTTTGACAGTTGAAGAAATGACAATGAACACTTTTTATTTAACAGCTGACATTCGATGAAACAGGATCAAAGTACTATTATCAAAGAGGAGCTGAAGGCGATCGATACAGAGTTGCCTTCCGAATGGGAATTATAGACCATTGGCCATCATCATTCTATAGAACTCAGCTGCAATTATTGTCAAATAATGGTGCTTTCACTTCTCGTGGATTTTGGGACGATTAGAAAATAGTTCCATCGCTCTGTCACGTAAAATGGATAAATTGGCTTTAGAATTTGTAGAAACAGAATAAGATTGTATACATCGTATAAATTACCTCTATCAAGATTGGCGGGTCACTAGACGGTCTCTTTTCCGCAGCTATAACGCGTCCAGCCTTCATTGCAACATTAGTATGGATAGTCAGATAGATAGTGCACGTAGTAACTTATGGAATGACTTACACTCCATGTGCCACCTTCTAGAACCTGAGCCAATGTCAACGTCTGCTTGTCCAATTTATAAATTTTTCGAAGTTCATCGGCAATCAAATCAAGGTAGATCACCGTCAGTGCTCTCCACTCAACTATGGCCGGATCGCCCCCCTCAAACATCGGTAAATGTGTTCCACCAACAGTAACCCCCTTTTCTCTGCAGCGAGTAATTCCACGGTCGTACGTATCAGGCTTCAAAGTCAACAGGCCGAGATCGACAAGTAATCCGCCTGAATATAGAATAATCGTTAAAGCTGCATGAAGTTGCGACTCTTTCAAACCGACATCCACTTACCATTCCTGTACTCTGGTAAACCAGTCAAATACTCTTTCCCGTCAAAAGTGGCACCTAAGCCATGCTCAATAGCTTCCAGCAAAGAATACGTTAGCCATTGCGAAAGCTTGTGGAAAGGAACCCAGTGGTCAGTAGAATCTGGGGGTGCAGAAGCGGACTTGATAGCATCACATGGCCAAACATCGCCAAGCTGGACGCCGTTGAGTTTAAGTCTTGCAGGCCACATCTCTCCGAGAGACATGATACCGCTCCACAACACAGGGACTTGAACAATAGGATGGCCGCTGTCGCGGCCCTTGGTTGTGTCATGATTCAAAAGATAGTCAATAAGGTTTCCTGGTCGAGCAGCCACCGCACTGGATGACGATGGGAAAAACACCGTCTGCTCTGATATCGCCTTTCCTAAACGATTCAGTAGACCTGCTCTACCAGTGATGCCAACCATGGGATTTTCTTTGCTGACTTGAAAACCGCTGGAAACGTCTTCCGTCTTTAGTTCTTGCAATCTGTCAACTTTGAAATGGGTTCAGTATTCATACACGTCTCTGCTCGGCCAAACAAGGTTTTCTGGCGGTCACTTACCATCAACACGATGCGGGTATCTGGAAGGGTCATTGGAGAACAAACCGGATTTGAACATATTGTATGAGGCGACTCCTAACCCTTCAGATCTTCTGTAAACATCGCCAGTATCTTGGTCTTTATAACTCCATTTCATACCAGCTCCAGCGTCTAGAAGGACTGCAACTAGGAATAGATCTACCAGACGACGCGAGCGTTCTTCCGTATCCACGTTCTCCTTTTCCCATTGCTCGATCAAAGCTTGAACGCGACGATGGCCACCAGCATCAAAGTGTCTCCATCTGGAATGAGGTGGTATCTTATCGAAGGAGGGATAATTCTTTGCTATGACATCCTTTACGTAATCGACGACAATAGGGAGCTTATCCTCATGGATATCAAAGTGGTGCAAGTCATTCTTGTGACCCTTACTATATACGAGCTTGCATCTCTCGCGTATAGAAGGAAGAGATCGAAGGTAGTCTTCTGGGCTTTGAGATACCGTCATGAAAGGATAGAGAATTGGTTGAAACGTGAGAGAATTTCCTGCGTGATAAGGGGTGCAGGCCCATTGATATAAGAATGGGGGCCGGTCGAACAGATAACGTGACTTCCGGATTTTCTGTCCAGGCTGGTTTTGGCCCGTCCGCTGTAAATTGCTAACAGCACGCTTGTTTGAAAGCTGCACGCAACATGGATCCAACAGTATATTGCCCAACATGGGCTCCCTTCTTTGGCTTTGCTGGCGTCTTTGCAGCAGTAAGTTTTAGACGCATACATATTCAATGGAATGAACATGTCAAACTGAAACTAACCATTCCAATCACCTTTACTATTGATTCAATTGCAGATGGCATTCAGCTGTAAGTAGCAATCTTTGTTACCTTCGTCACACGTAGTAAACACGACACATATTACTCGTTGAAGAACTCGTAAAGGACTCCTTTGATACGAATGAATCACTTTGCATCACAAGGGACACACTGATTTTCAACATGCAAATCCAACTGACATGGACTTTTTAAAATTCTTTTTCAGCTTTAGGAGCAGCATACGGTACGGCAAGATCAGGTATTGGCATTGCAGGTATTGGACCGTTCCGTCCTGAGCTTGTCATGAAGGTAGGAATACCCCATTTGATTCGGTCACATCGTAGCCGCTGCAGTTATATTGACGTGTCTCAATGTCCCAGTCTCTTATACCCGTCGTCATGAGTGGTATTATCGCAGTATATGGACTTGTGGTTGCTGTGTTAATAATAGGACAAAGTAAGATTACTTGTCTTTGTACAATTTGCTCTGCTCAAATGGTTTTTAACATTCGTCTCCAGTGTCACCCACCAGCGGCTACTCTTTGTACACGTAAGTTGTAGTACCCTGTCATAACTTCCAAACGATACCGTTTTACTCACCTTTTCAATTTCCCTCAGTGGCTTCGTTTCCCTGGCTGCTGGCGTATCTGTCGGTATGGGAGGTCTAGCTGCAGGATACGCGGTCGGCGTGGTTGGCGACTATTGTGTTCGCGCATATGCAAGAGAAAACCGCATTTTCGTCATCATGGTTTTGATCCTTATTTTCGCTGAAGTCCTCGGTTTGTACGGACTCATTGTTGCACTTATATTGAACACAAAATCAGATAACACTATCTGTGAATAGTTTAGAGATTCAGTAACTGCCAGTTTAAAAGATTGAAAAAGAAAAAAATTATCCCAAGGTTTTCAGTGCAATTGATGTAACCAGTCAGTACATGGCATTATTTGAGCATAAGGTTAACGTGCTATCCATTTATTTCTGATGACGGTGCGGGCGAGTATAGCGTGCACATGGCAAGCGGATGGTTATTTGTGATATGCAAAGGCAGCTCGTCCGCTCTTCTGAGTACCGTTTCAGATTGCATTTGCATGACCGAACTGTTGGATATATGGGGCCATGTAGCAGTATATGATGATGACAATGGAGTGAATGGTCTTCCCTCTGGACCCTTAGTTAGCGTTAAATAGGCTCTTCATACAAGCTTAACGCAACAATGACGGCATTTCAAATGTGCTTGGCCCTTGGCGCAAATAATCAAGTCAAACCTCAACCAAATAAAGGATAACACTGGATCATAATGTCCCTCGCCTATTACTTTCTTTCTTTTATTGTCTTCCTGTGCTTTTTTCGCCTATATTCACTTTTCCGCAAACGAGCCAGACTTAACGCTTTACTGAAACCACACAATGAGCAGCTCCGATAACATCCAAGCTTTGAGCACCCAATTCCAATCCCTGCGAAACGTGCAAGGCCATTACATGGGTGGAGATTTCAACGAGCAGGTTGATGCTCCCAACGGTGCCAAGCACAACGCCATGAAGGTAATATACCGGTGTCTGTTGTATTTATGTGCACACTTGATGCTCACGCGTTCTACTCGGTACGTTTATTAGGCGCTTGGCGAACGTTTTGGAGCCCCCGCAACACCAGCAACGGAAGTTCTTTCGCATCTTGGCAAGCCCGATGAACTAACACCCACCCTTCCACACGAGCTTACTTCGCAACATGTTGCAACTATGCCTGGTAAGAGTCTTTTTTCGAATGTTTTCCGAATATCTTGACGATTTTATTGACTCTGCATTTCTAGGACCTGCCGTACCCGGATCGGAATCAGCTGAAGCTCTCCAAAAGCCATATTATCTTGTATACTATTGGCGCTCCAAGCACGACTACCTGTGGTTCAAGGTAAGGAATTGGTGGCATAATTCAGATAGTCTTTGTAATATAGCTAATGTCTCGTTGACAGGTCGATCCAGTCAAGGAAACCGTCATCAACTCTGACTGGTATCAGGCATTGGACTAAAATCTGTGTAAAATATCTGTCAGATAGTTGTGGTTAGATTTATTGATCGCAATAAAGAAATGTTTATATTGTATTGCGTCGATATGTGAGAAGTGGTTCAACGTTGTGTCATAGTCACTGGAGGTCGTGAAGTACATTAAACTGGTATTAAAATGGTAAACGAGTAATAAAGGATAAGCACATTCGAACTCTTGGGGTAGAGGTGTACTCTGCTCATCACAAGCAATTTCGCACCAGATGGATTGGTTATAACATATATACATTACATGCTACATAGCAGGTTAAAAAGGCGCTATAGCGTTCTCTATGGTAGTCATATACAATGAATTTACAGCTCTAATCGAGAATAGTCCGCACTGGTGGGAGGTAGTTGTGGTGCTTCTTTCTCAACGTTAACCTCTTATTCGCTGACGCTATTTGAATGACTGGCCTGCCTATGTACAGTCGAAAAGTATGAGGAAATCAACATCAGCAACAATATAGCTAGGGTATATTTGTCTAGCGACATGATTCATCAATGTCAGAGCAACAAATGTAGCTTTCAGCACAGGAAAACTAATGATCGTCTTCAGCTGGACCAGGGCAATTCTTCAAATCCTCTTCATCAGCATACTTTGCACCACACCAAAAGCAATAGTAGTAATTGGTACGCAGATAGGAAACTAGGTCGCTTAGTTGTTCGGTAAGCTGTTCAGAGACGGACAATGAACTTGGCAGTTAGTATGTAGTAAAGGCGTACATGGGTAGAATAAGTGTACATACGGATCGTGCTTGGATCTCAGAAAGCTCTTCTTTCTCATCATCCGTCAATTTCCGAAGTTGTTGCACATGGTCATTTTCTGTTGTTGCTATGGGTTCTGCCTCGGCTTTTCCGGCCAGGGTATCATCGGCAGATTTACTAATATCTTCTGCGACTGGTGACCCTGCAAGCTCTGCCTCACCGATATCCTCAGGATCTACTTCCGGTATATTGGAAGGGTTCAGTAACCATAGAATATTAAACTGTTCTCAAAGAAATTGTAAGTTGTCAGCAGTATCCTTCATGACTATCACAACGATGACAATGCTACGTACATCCATTTCCTAAATTGAATAATCGTTAGGGTCCGGGAAGCCAACTGCTGATTTGTATTCCTATTTTAAGACTTACCTTGTCTCTATCTAGCTTCTCGATGATCCTTGCAGCAGCTATTATCCATCTCTGAAGCTGACCTTCACGTTTACGTGCGGCAATTTGTTCTCGATATTGATCAGGATCAATCTTCGGTTTTTTTGCCAGTTCTCGTTCTAGTTCTTCTTCTCGTAACCGCTTTTCTTGTGCATCATGCCCAATTCCTCCTCTTCCAGACTTGAGCTCTACTTCAATAGGTTTGGTGATCCCTGACTCTTTGCCCAACGTCATGCCTTGCCTGTTTAGAGCAGTTTAACATATGTATTCAATGGCGAAAACTAGAGGATAGTGGCACCTACTTGAAACCCATTTTCATTAGCATTTTCATACCCTTGTTCTTATCGTCTAGTTCTTTCTTCAAGCCTTCTTGTCGCGCCTCTTCCTCCAAAACTCTTCGAGGTTTTATATATGCTTTCTTTTCTTGTTCTCGAAGAGCTTTTTTTCGTTTTTCCACGTAAGAAAGTTCTTTCTGATCTTCAGGTTCCTCTAAAAACTTGAGACTCATATAGTCTTCTTCGTCATTGTCTGAAGCCATGTCAATTTAAAACAAAAAGTTCGAGTTGGAACACTCGGTGGTGGGCCAGTTTTGTCGCCCAGTAGCAGAAGCAGTACGATCACATGACCATAATGCAGTCATGTGACCATTATTTCGGCAGCGCTAGCTGGGGAAGCCCTTGGAAACTTTTTTTTTGTTTTATTTACCAAGGCCTTTTATTTTTTCCACTCAGCTTCTTGTAACATAATGTCGTGGTTCGGTGGTTCCAGCAGCAATTCCAACACTTCAGAAAACCTTAACGATGCCTACTCTACAGGTGGAGCTCTCGACACTGGAATCTCTTCATATGAGTCCGTGGACAACAGCTACGAAAAGGTTCCCGACTTTATGACGCAAGCTACATTCAGCTCTAGCAGGCTTCAACCCATGGCTGCTCAAGGAGGTATTGACTTTTTGCAGCTCGAGGAATCAGCTGGTGGAAGTGGCTCTGCTGGTGGTCCAGCCTTGACTCCATCCCGAGGCTGGACGGACGACCTTTGCTACGGCACGGGTACTACCTACCTTGCCGGTCTTACTCTTGGTGGTGCTGTTGGTCTTGCTGAAGGTGTCAAAAAGGGGGCTGGTTCACCCAACATGAAGATTCGCCTTAACACTACTTTGAACAGCATTACTAGACGCGGACCAGGTCTTGGTAACTCTGTTGGTGTCATTGGTAAGTGAAGGGAGTGGTTGTATTCGGTGAGGTAGGCGAAATTGGTCAACACTAACATGCGATTTTTTTATTGCACTTTAGCTATGATCTATAACGGTACAAATGCCATGATCGGCGCTGCCCGTGGTGAACATGATATTTTCAACAGCATCACTGCTGGTGCTATCTCCGGTGCTATCTTCAAGAGTACCGCTGGCGTTAAGCCCATGGGTATGGCTGCTGGTGCTTGTGCAGCTCTTGCTGGCATTTGGTCACTTGGTAAAGAATATATCCTTGCCTAAAACTCAGGTGGATAACAACCAATTTGTAAACTACTTGAAGGTGTTCCCCCATATCATTTTTCTTTTATTCTACTCTTCACTGCAAATATGTACATTGTTTTCTCTTTTTGCATCGTATTGTAACCCGCAGGGTATCCTCTGTAGCGATCAAAACACATTAGAAATCTCACAACTACTAGACTAGCTTATTGTCACTAAAAATTTCACAACGGGCAGTATTCCTCTTCGCCACTCCCGATTGTACGCGATATCGTAAATAGAAATGAAAGCGAGTACTCAACATTTGGCCCTTGCCCTTGTCATTATCTTGCGTGGGACTGCATTTGAAATTCTGGTTACGTGGGAATGCTTTTGCAAGCGGATACACCTTAGCACCTAGAAAAACAGCGGTTATTTTTTATTATCATTTTGTTGATGTAGTTTGGCTATTGCGTCAATCAGACAAAGCTTGCATAACTGGAGAAGATCAGAACCATAGCTTTAATGCTCTTGTGTATCTCAATTAAAAAGACATTCATGATACTGTAGTAAACATAACACAAAGTCCAAAGGTAAAGCCAATGGCCATATAAAACAATGGACAATGGACAATGGCGCAGGTAAAGGATATTTGTTTGGGTAGGATATTTTATAAAAGCATTCAACCATCATTATAGGATAATGGGACAGTAGGCAACAAAATCAAAGATAGACTGAATGCAAAGAGATTTTGACTGGAATTTATCCTTGTATTTGAGCGATTTAAATGAAAGAGACTCTAATTCTTCAATATGCTTCACCGGCAGCTCGCAATATATATTGCGTACCATGCCTGACTTCCTTAGTTGTAAGTATACTGTAAATTGCAAACGTCGAATGGTTAAATTCCTATGGTACTGTAGATTCGATACAGCTTTACGCTCACTATTCTTAAAAAAATAATAGAATTTATGTACTCTCTTGGAATTACACATCAAAAACCTTTTACTACATTATCATTCGTTGTCTGCTGCCATGGGGAAGGAACGGTGCACTTGCAATCGCCTTTGCTCTAACGCCATAAGGCTTATCACGTAACCAGATCCTAACCAGATTTTCATCATCCTTGGAAAATAACCTTGTAAATTCTTTTTCTTCTATCTGACAGCACTCCAGTCGATGGCAACATTCGATGTGCCGCCCTGCACCACCCGTCTGGGAATCTTTGCTATATGTCTCCACTAGCATGATGGACCTGATATAGTGTACAATAGCCAACTTCAATGGTACCGAGCTTCGGTTTTCTTGAGCTTCTGCCATCTCTATCAGCTTTTCTACTCCTATGGATCGACCTTTAGCAAAACTTAAATCCTTCCAGCCTTTCAACGTTTTCAGTACAGAGCTTGCATCAGATCCTTCGACAAGTTGAACATCAAAACAAATACCGAAATGGCTGACCATAATGGGTGCTGAAGCTTCTGTGGGCTTTGCAATCATAATTCTGGCTTGACCAATAGCGGGTAAGTAATTCCGAAACATCATTGAAGTCGACTGGAAGCTTAGGAATGACACATCGCCTTTCTTGGTAGCTAGCTCATGAAATAATCTTTCACGAGAGCTAAGTCCCTCACCATACCCTAATGTCAAGTGAATGGAAAATACTCCTGCTAAAGCATAGGCCATGTCTTCACCGTATGTTGTCTTTCGAACATCCATTCTTGCTATGATTTCGACAGCATTTCCTGGTCGATAGCATAAGTGAAGGTCGAGAGTACAAAGTTTATGACGTTGTTCATTGGCCAATTCTTGTATGGTAGCAAGGTTCCCTTCCTTGGAGATTCCGCATAGAACACCAGCTGCAGCTCCCTCTTGAAGGCACCAACCTCTATCGCACCATTCCTCCAGCGAAGTACCCGAGTCCAGTACAACAGCAGCACTACTAGCATACCACTTGTACATGGAACGAATAGCTCTGTCAAGCTCTGATAAATTCGACTTGTCGATGCAAATTGTATCCATCCATACATAGAGTGTATGCTTCTGCAAGGCTTTCTTGATACGGCGTAATTTTGCTGATAGATCACTAATTTTCTGACCACCTGATTGCTTTCCGTCCATCACATTTTGATACGTTGTTTCATTTTCAGACCATTGATGAGTGACGAAGATAACCTTGGAGGCCACAATATTGTCTACCAGCATGTCTTGGTTCAGATCCCATACTCTGGTCACGATTTCCGGTTGCCGAATGCGCCAGATATCTATTCCTACAGCTTTTGCAGCAGCGACTGGCGATAGGGGAAGGTGAGTGCTATGTGCATCACAAGGACATCGGCGTCGATTACGAATCTGCCAGTCATCGTTCTCGTTTCTGGGTTCGCTTGGTGATGCACTTTGAATAGGATCCAATTCTTCACCAAGAACGGCCGTGACCAATTTTTCAACAAGTTTATCACCGCCAGCAATACTAAGAATACTGAGGCCTGCTATCAAAATGGCATGTAAATCGGTTGCGATCTTTTGCTCATACTCTCCAAGGACATCTGAAAAAACATCTTCATCAAGACGAGTTGACGATCTGCGGCATACGATTATAGCATCAATGAAACGAATATATGGATGGGTGCCTTTATGCCATGTTGGAACGGACCAAGAGGTATTTTTTGAAGGGATCTGAACAATCAATCGACCTTGTTCTCGAATGACACCTGTCATCTTGTCAAAGTGAGACGCCCACTCTGGAGGTTTTTTGTTGGAGCATCCTTCTATCTTCAACATAAAGAAATGATTGGATGTGAATAATCTGGCATCAAAGCAGGTGAGCAACGACTGGACTATTTCTATAGCACGGTCGCTGATAGACATTGTTCGTAACAGCGTCAATGACTGTAGTAATGAAAATTTTCCTGCTAAATCATCCTGCCCATCCTGTTCATCTATATTTGGCAAGCTATCCAGCTGAAGGAACTTCCAAGGTGGAAATCCATAACCATATTTGTGTTTGATTTGCAGTAGCATTTCCTCATCACAATGGTTGTCTTTTTGAGATAGTTTGCATAATTTTTCTGAGTATTGGAGGAACTGCTTATGACATACTTCTTTGGTACGGCAAATCTTACCTTCGTGATTTCTATTTGAATTGCCTTTACATTCCTCAAAAACATCGCTGGATAAATCAATTCCTCCTCTATAGTCATCTGCCAATGAGGATGATACATTTAACTTTGTCTTTATCTCGCTTGATAACCGATTAGAGGATTCGATTAATGTTTCTCGCAGTTCTGGAAACTTGCTAACCATTGTTTGACGTATATTATCATCAATATCAACACTAGCTTCAATCAGCAACTTCATGATTGCGGCCATCCGGCTATTGTAATAGTAACCGCTTTTACCATTGATTTCTTCAATAATAGTATGTGATGGACCTGAATCATCGTGCAAAAAGTCGACGGGAGCATCATGTTTCAGCAAAAGTCTGACCACATCAGGATTGAAACTCAACACTGCATAATACAATGGGGTAAGGTTTAGATGGTTTTCGGAATTGACGATTGCACCGTGCTCAATCAACATAGCACATTCTTCTGTGAGGCCCCAGGACGCTGCCACATGTAATGCTGTTTGACCGCTGCTGTCTTTGGCATTTACATCAGCATTGCGCTTCACCAATAATGATACCAAATCAGTTTTCTTCTCGTAAATTGAAATATGTAGAGCTGTTCTTCCGTCTTGAAGTGTCTTTGCGTTAATGTCGATATTACTCTCAATCAAGAGATTTGCTAGTTCAAAAAAGTCTTTTTCTACTGCAATGTGTAACGCTGTTTCACCTGCACGATTCTTGGCATTAACGTCGAGTCCACGTTCAAGTAGTATAGCCACTCCTTTACAAACTCCACTTCTAGCCATGTAGTGAAGAACGGTTTCCTCATTATTGTCGGTCAAGTGCATATTGCAGCCACAATTTAACAGTATGAGCACTGCTTCAATTTGGCCCTTCGATGCATGATAATGTAGCACGGTGATATTTACCCTTTCTTTGCTTCTGGCATCTATGCGAGCTCCACGATGAATTAACATAGAGATCGATTCCGGATGAGCGCCAGCTAAGAAGATTGATGATAGCCAGTCATCATCGCACGACTCAATATCCGCATCCATGTCCAAAAGACGTGATATCAGATTAGTGTTTCCTTGTAGTGAAGCTCTTTGCAATGCTGCATTCAGGTGGTATGCTCTTTCTTCGGTCTTTTCTATTTTATCTAATGCTCTTTCAACCAGCTTGACTTGTCCAGCATTTGTAGCAAGGTATAGCACTGACAGGTCATCATCATCTGCCGTTCCATCCGTCGCGCCCAAAGAAACTAGTCGATATACCATATCGATATGCCCTTGCAGAATAGCGCATTGAATCGGGGTGTTGCCATCTTTGTTTTTAGCACCGATATACGCACCATTCTCGAGCAAGACAGTCAAAGCGTGGAAACAGTTGAATGATGCGGCAAGATGGAGTGCAGTATCACCATGAGCTGTTGTAGCTTCAATCATGACATCTCTTTTTAATAGAAATTCTAGAACAGCCAGATTGTCATCTTTAGCCGACCAATGCAAAGCCGTAAGAGAGTTGTTGTCAGCAGCTTCTATGTTGGCACCTTTGCTGATCAATAGAGAAAGAACTTGTAGATGTGAGCATTTTGCAGCAATTAGGAAAGGAGTCTGGCCATCGCTATCCACTGCTTCAACATTAGCACCATGGTCTAAGAGAAGATGAATCATTCCTATATCGCCAATTTCTGATAGCTGAGCTAGAAGGGTTTTACCTCCTTCAGATCTTTCATCTACATTTGCATGTCTGCTAAGGAGCTGAGACACTATTTCGTTATATCCGTTTACTGCAGCTTTGTAAAGTGTGTTTCTTGAGCGGCCATCTTTTTCATCAAAAGCAGCATCGTGATCGAGGAGTAATTTTACTACTTCCATGTGTCCATTTTCAGTAGCGTAGAGGAGTGCAGTTTCCGAATTTTCAGTTTTGGCATCAATCATGGCCCCATGTTTGAGCAGCAGCTGTACTGCTTCTTTATGTCCATGCTCAGCAGCTTGAATAAGTGCAGTACCCAAAAATGGCACTTCGACATCAACAATGGCCCCATGTTTGAGCAGCAGCTGTATAACTTCCTTGTGCCCGTTCTCAGCAGCCTGAATAAGTGCAGTACCCAAAGAAGGCACTTTGGCATCCAAAATGGCCCCACATTTGAGCAGCAGCTGTACAACTTGTTTGTGTCCGTTCTTAGCAGCCTGAATGAGTGCAGTTCCCAAATATATGTTCTTGACATCAACAATGGCACCATGCTCGAGCAGCAGCTGTACAACTTCTTTGTGTCCGTTCTTAGCAGCCTGAGTGAGTGCAGTACCCGAAAATGGCACATCATCATCCATGAGTGGAGATTCCGTAAATGGCACTTCGACATCAGCAATGGCACCACGTTCGAGCAGCAGCTGTACAACTTCTTTGTGTCCGTTCTTAGCAGCCTGAATGAGTGCAGTTCCCAAATTTATATTATTGACATCAACAATAGCACCATGATCGAGCAGCAGCTGTACAACTTCTTTGTGTCCATTTAGAGCAGCCTGTGTGAGTGCAGTACCGAACAATGGTATCTCTTCATCAAAACTGACTTGAGTAATCGTAAACGTGACTTCGACATCAACAATGGCACCATGTTTGAGCAGCAGCTGTACAACTTCAATGTGCCCGTTTCCAGCAGCATAATGCAGTGCATTTTCCGAATAGAAATTTTCAGCATTGATATTGGCATCATGTTCAAGTAGCAGGCGTATCACTTCTTTGTGCCCCTTCGCAGCAGCGCGGTGGAGCGCAGATTCCGAATATTGAGATTTGCTATCAGCAATGGCACCATATTCGAACAGAATTCGTATTACATCTTCGTGTCCATTGAAAGCAGCCAGTTGGAGAGCGTTTTCCGAAAATTGATTTTCGGCGTCAACAATGGCACCATGTTCGAGCAGCAGCTGCACTACTTCTCTATGTCCATTTTCAGCAGCGCGATGGAGTGCAGTTTCCGAAAAGGACCTTTCGGCACCAACAACGAAATTTCTCTCAATCAGCAGCTGTACCAATTCTTTATGTCCATTTAGAGCAGCTCGGTAGAGGACAGTATCCGAACCCCAATAATGATGCATTGAACTAACCATGGCACTATGTTTAGACAGATGTACTACTATTATGTTTCTTTTCTTAGAAAATTGGTACAGTATATTTTTCAGATCTTGAGTTTTGGCATCAACAATGGCTCCATGTTCGAGCAGTAGTCGCACTACTTTTTCGTGTCCATTGGAAGCAGACCGGTGGAGTGCAGTTTCCGAAGTTTCATTTTTGGCATCAGCAAAGGCACCATATTCAAGCAGAAGCTGTACTACTTCTTTGTGACCATCGCTCGCAGCCAGATGAAGTGGAGTATCCAGTAGTTCATCTTCTGCATCGACAGCCGCTTTATGCTCGAGTAGCAGCTGTACTACTTCAGTGTGTCCATTGCCTGCAGCCAGGTGAAGTGGAGTACGTAGCATGTCACCATTTGCATCGACAGCCGCGTCCTGCAGAAGCAGGCGTTTTACTTCTTCACAATCTCCATCGCCTGCAGCCAGGTGAAGTGGCGAAACCTTCTGTTCATCTTCCGGACCATCGTTGTCATCATATTTCAACATAGACATGGCCCCATGTAAGTCCCCATCACTTTCTGTATTGAACTGTGGAAACCGCACATCTTTGTCCTGTAGTTCATCTTTTTTCAGGTCGAGATCAAAAGGCGTTTCGTCCATTGGCAAAATACGAAATGGAAAGAAAGGCAAGGTCTTGTTGCCTGAGGGCTTAGCCGTTAGCTATAAAGATTTTTGTGCAACAAAAATAGAGTCATTTGACTGTATCACCATCATAACTTTGCGAACTAAAGTGAAAAAGGAGGAAAACGGCCTGCAACCTTCGATTACTTATATCTCAAGAAGGATCTGAATCGTCAGTAGTTACGGTCGTAAGTTATTCAAATGCTATTCAGGTTAGAACATGGACGATTGCTTGTTGATGCTATCTCTAACGCAACACTCATGGGAGTCCTAATAACATGTTCCACCCTTTTTTACTCTACATAACCTCTCCAAAGTTGGGCCCAGAAGTCATACAAATCCTACTACTCTGATACATTCTCCAGCTTCATGTCGTTCAAATCCAATGGTTCAATGGCTTCGAGATGTGAGGATCAGAACCATTTCTTTAATCGTCTATTGCATATTCATTAAAATCCTCTTCGCAATACTATAGTACACATAACGCAAAACCCGATGGTGTAAACCACTGATTATATTCTACTCTACTCTACCATACTCTACATCACCGCATTACTGGCTTGCTTCCTCCATTGGGTGATCATCCTCATCCTTTTTCTCATAGTTCTCCAGCTTCATGTCGTTCAGACCCAATGATTCGTTGGTTTCGAAATCACGTTCGTAAGTCTCAGTCATCATTTCCGGATCGTCATCGGGAGCGTAGAGGTTCTAAAGGTACGCTGTTAATACACCATCATCGCTACTTTTCCTTTCGACCATTGATAACTTACTTGGAGATAGGAGTTGGACAAAGGATCGTTCAAGATCAAAGTACAAGGCAGGTGTTCGCCATCGGCAACTTGCTGCAGCTTGTCGAGGAAAGTCTTCCATCGTGTGCGGCTTTCTTCTGATGCAGAGTCACCCTGCAAGAATGGAGCTCTTTGATCCAGCTCCTCGTGGACTTGACGAAGCAATCCTTCAACAGTTGTGAATCGGCCACCAAGGGTACCAGGAGTCAACTCGAGATTAATCTCAGGAATGCTCAAACCACAGGTTTCGGACTAGAAAATAGAAACGGTAACCATAAGGAACTAGCTCGGTGCAGGTAACCGCTATTTGACAGCTAAAATTTACAAACCTTCAATATATCACGGGAAAGATCATCCGCATCAGTCATGTTAAGAGTGATACGCTTGCCCAAGGGAGAAATAGCACCTCCAGCCTTGACCTCATTGCTCTTGTATCCACAGTGTTGGCAGTTAGTAGCCATGATAATGACTTCCTTGAAGTGAGGAATGTCAAGGACGTGCATGTTGGTTTCACTGGGACGGCTACAGTGAGAGCAGTTGGAGGGGAATGACATAACCTCTGGAACTTCATCATCATCATTCTCCTCAGTAGGGTTATCAAGGTCTTCCTGAGCACGAAGTCCTAACTGGACGTCTTGCTCGGGAGTTCTCTGGTACCAGCGAACTTCGAGCTTGGGGTCTTGGGCAGGAAGGCAAAGGTTTTCAATGTATGAGTTGCCGGAAGGATCATCAATACGGACGGTGAAATGCTCGCTTCCATCCTTGTAGGCCTCCAATTTGTTAATGACAGCTTGGATCTGGTTGTAGAGGTTCTCGTCGACATGCTTGCGAACAGCTTGACTTTCATCCAAATCTTCAATAGCATTGGAGAGAATACCCTCGACGGTAGTCAAAAGTCCTCGCTTGCTGCTAGATGGGATTTCCAAATCCAATTCCAAGAATTTGACCGAGGCATAGTCAGACTTGACAAGTTGACGGTTCAAGTCCTGATTTGATGCAGATGAGTAAATTTGCCCAAAACCCAAATATCACATACATTCATTCAACTCACCTCCTTGTTATCGATCTTACAAGTGACAGTGTGGCCCTTTTCAGCGATGGTACCAGCACTTTGGAGTTCATTGTTGCGGAAACCGCAGTGAGGGCACTCAAAGGCCATGACAATGACTTCCCTAATATGATGGTAAAACCTTGTCAGTTACGGCTTGTTTTGACTGTACCATTTCTGAATGTATACTTACTTGAAGTGAGGAATCTTGGTCAACAAAAGTCTAGTGGTGCCCTAAAATCGTAAAGACAATGGGTTAGTCATGAAGGAGCCGGGCATAAAGCAGATCTAATCTCAGCTAAAAGGTGATCAACTTACATTTTCATGACATTGCATGCACAAGCTTTCGATTTCGGAGGGGCGAGAGCTGTCACCGATATCAACAAAGATAGGCTCGTTGGCTGAATCAGACATGGCGTGTAGAAATACGAATTGGAAAAAAGTTCAAGCAGACGTTCGCCAGCCAAAATATAAAAAAAAAAGAGCAGTCTTTCGCTGAGTAACTTATAGCACGCCGGCGTTTGAATGCTTCTTTGTTGCCTGAACATTCTGGCAAACACCTTGACACCTTGATTCGACTCCGATGCCTCCCTCCATCACCGCTTGTTCATATTAATGATGTTGCCAAGGGAAACACGTACTAGAGGCAGAAAGCACCGTGAAAGCAACATAGGATATATCAAGAAAATATTTACTGTTGTCTTTAGCATTGATGAAAAAATATGATGTAGCTCTTTTTTTTGCGCATTTGACATTTGCTTTCTTTGTTTTTTTTGTTTAATAGGAAAAGAGAAAAAAAATGCTAGAAAGTTCATTTAAGAGCTTTGATATGTGATCGTGCGAAACTCAATGGGACTAGATGTGGAAGGTCTGCACGGCATATTGCTTGCATGGTGTTGGCGTCTAGGATCAACAAGAAGCTTGTGGCTCGTTGAGCGTCAAGCACAACACTGACTAGAATACCATCATCTTCATCCACAAGATCCTCCGGACCTCTTGCCGGGCGTGGAATGAAACTAGCCTCGCTAGGATAGCAGTATGGCTGAGACCAGGTGCCGACAATTTCCTTGGTGTTGAGATTCTACAAAGACAGAATGAATTAATAAATGCAATCATGGTGTAACGAGAGGTTGAACACGGAGGATACATACTGCTTTCACAATGCAGTTCCACATCTTGCCTTCAGTGTTGGAATCCCCAGTGGGTGCAACGCTAAGACCCCATACAAAGTTATATACATGACCTTTAACGGAGACATTCACTTGGGGAAGTTCGAGCGGGACAGGTAGAACAATCTCTTCTGCAGCTTTGGGAATGGCAGCTGCCCATCCGGAACTATGACTATCGCTCTCAATATCGGCTTCTTTGGGTGTGCTGACTCTACCCTTGATGAACGACCAAACGGAAGATGCGCGGTCACTAATGGTGGAACCAGCAGAAGAAACAGAGTTGTTGGCGAAAAATGAGATACTCTCTTCTTGAATATTTGCCAAGTAGAAACGACGAATTTCATGTTTGGCCAAATGAGTTGGGTTCATCGACTTGGGATCACGAAGGTTAGCTGTGGTCAATTGATGTGCAATGGTGTCATCAGAATAGCAGACAATGTCAAGGTGAATGCCGCCATTATCGTCTTCGAACGCATTGACATGATGGAACCTGGAACATGCACAGTGCGGTTTAGCAAACATATGGGGACGGGGTGAGCATGCATATAGAAGGGTTTTATCACTTACGCAAAGCAAGCATCAGCACGATAGGTTGCAACATGTTGCTGGCCCTCACGAGAAACGACATAGAACAGAGTAGGTTCAGCATTGTGGAAAGTGAAGGAATCCAAAATGCTTTCGTTCCATGCGAATTTTACGCCAGCCATCTGTGCGGTGAAAGGGAAGACGGCCTATTGAGATTCATAAAGGTGGGATAAGCAAACATGTCATTTACAAGTCCTATTATTCACTTCGATAGCTTACCAAGATGATGTAATGTGGAGTGATTGCAAACGAGTGGACATAGGAAGTGCTTGCAACCACACTAGCAATTAAAGTGCCTTTAGGGTCTCTATCTGAGAGTGAGAAGAAGTGGTACCGCGTAGATTGGTAGCCTACTTCCATAGTGTAGTTGATCCATTCTCCAGTAACAGCGTCGAATTGGGCATTAGGTGATGCACTGTAACCTCTGAAGGCAGGGTTAATTTCATTCCAGCACAGGACACGAGTAGGTTTTAGGTCGAAGGGGTCCAATTCTTGCAACTAGGGTTTTAAAAACCAAACAATGTGTCAGAGGGTACGCAACAGCCCAAGTTAGTTGACCTCAACTCTACTTACATGATTGGCATGGTTTTGTGCAAACAACTTTCCTTCTACACCAGGTATATAGGTGGATATACTAGCCGCGCAAGGCTCACAATCCGGTTTTGAAGCTTTGGTAGCAGATTTGAGAAATTTGACTAGAATCGTTTGATTTGAATCCGTTTTGAACAAGCCGGCGGGATGTGGTGGCGCATAACCATGACGATCTCTAATCTTCTCAACTAATCGCTTGCTGGTGAGTCGACTACGATAGGTGATAGTGTTGGTGCTGCCGTTGAAATCGAATCGGTTGACCAATGGAAGACTAGTTGTGACCGAATAAGTTATTCACTCAAATTTTCCACACGGTGACATATCAAACCTACCTGTCGAACCAGTGACCAAAGGTAAATGTAGAGGTGGCACTCTCAAGATGTCCATCAACTTCGATCTTACGAGTGAACTTGATGTCGTATGTGCCAGGACCAATAGTAAAATGTTCTCTTTGAAGCCATCCAGGGAGTTCACCGGAAACGGACAGTTCGGTGGCGTCAGGGTGATCTTTAGCGTTGACGAAGCCCTATGGTCATATGTCAGCAGTGTCAAAGTGTCAAATACTGCGTTGTATTTTGAGGAAATGCTTACCTCGGCATGGGTTGGGTCAGTAATGGTTCGTGGTTGTTCTTCAGCTTTCTGCTCGTAAGGGCTAGGGTCAGCCAAACTAATGCTAGGCAATTCTTCAGAGTATAGGACATCGTCTGCTTCGTCACCCCAGGGCTGCTCATCGTAAGCCGACATATCGGCATAGTCTATTTCAGCTTCGTGAGTAGGTGCAATAGATTCAATAGTAATTTCTTCGTTTGCAGCGTCATTGCCTAACAGATTAGTTTGCGATTCGGTGAAATTGGGGGATGGGTCGGTAGGCATCTTATCGTTTTCAGCGGAATCAATATCGTCGAGTACAGAAGACGTCAAAGGATCATGAATATCAGCTTCTTGAGCAGATTCTACACCGGGCTGATTTGCAGACATGGCGAGTGAGTGAGTGAGTGGCAAGACGCGGCGGCGGATTGAAGGGTGAAAGGGGTGGGGGCCCAGCTGGCTATAAATTTTCAATCTTGCCAAAATTGCCGAACTTCCATCATCATCATACACTTTGACCCACGTGTATTCTTTATTGCTATCTCAAACTTATTCTCTATGAATCAGCACAAAGAGTCCTAACACTCCTAACATCACATATTTGAGTTGTGGGTAGTCGTTCATTAATATCGTCACCATTCCAACATATGGCATGAAGCTAAAAGAAAGCAAAAAGTTCACTCAGTTCCAGTTAAACCACTACTCGCATGTCCCTTCTCCCTATGCTTACCCTCGAACTCTTCCAACCACATGTTCTTTGTTAATCCACATTTGTCGAGCGTTGTATAATCCACGATCATCTACGTTGTTATTGTCTCCTTTGGTCAGCAAAAATTGTTTGCCCGTCTTTGCTCTGAATGTGCGGGAACCAAAAATAACATTAGCGAAGCCAAGCCCAACCGAATGCAAGAAAAATGAGCAGTCTTACTCGTCGTGAAGCTTGATGACTCGATGTACGATTGGAATATCTCGATGTGGAATTTGGAAAACACATATATCGCCAACTTGGACAGGTTGGCTAGCTGGGTTGGCAAGAAGTAAAAGGTCGCCACGGTGGAAAGCTGGTTCCATACTTCCACTGTGTTCAAATGCGCATGGATATCGGTTATTCTGTCCAATCAAGGGCAACGGAGAAGGATTGATAGCCAAATAACAACAACTAACCTCAACACTACAACAATGGGGCTTTCGCTATTTGTGGCCAAGGCGAGACCTTTCCAGATCATCAGTGCCGATGTAAGGACCATTAGTATATTGAGCACCTGAAGCGCGACCTACAAGAACGCAGTAAGGGGAAAAGCGGTTAATACTGGAAACGTCGCCCATATCGTCCATTACTATCTTGTAGACGGCACCTGTCTCTTGTTTAGTCGTCGTAGCTCTTCAAACATGGTGCTTTGATTGGGGTATTTGGATCGAACAGAGATGCAAGATTGTTAACAACTTGCCGACTGACACGTACTGAAATTCGTCCACGTCGGCGTTCCAAAAGAATTCATCCCAAGGGCTCAGTTTACTACCATTCTCACTTGATATCACAGCTGCTTTTTGCGTAGTTGAATACTTTTATATAATTACATGGTATAGATTCAATGTAAACTACAAAGACAATGAACCGACCCAGTCTGTAAGATGTGTCTACGTACAAGGAGAAAGTCTAGGTGCGAATGGTACAATATGGGGCGGGTGAAAAAAAAGGTGAGGAATGAAAAAAAAATGGGCAAAAGGAAAATAACTTTTTGTTGAAAAAAGCGTCGTGTGGATTTTAGGGAAAACTGCACATCGCGCCTCTACTTAGCACATTGCTAGAGCAATGCGTGTACTTTAGTACTGAACGGTAGCCTTGATCTTGGTGGGATCAAAACCAGGCATGGGGAAGCTGCGAGCGAAAGCAAGGACTTCCTTCTTAAGCTGAGCAATGTCTTCGTTACCGTCGAGAGCAGCAACGAAATCCTTCATCATCTTGGATCCAGCCTTCTCTTGGACAGCAATAGCGATCTGGACAGTGCGGTGAAGGAACTCAGCAACCTTGACAAAGTCCTCTTCCTTGAAAGAACGGGAAGTCAAAGCGGAGGAACCGAGACGGACACCACCGGGAGTGACAGCAGACTTGTCACCAGCAATGGAGTTCTTGTTGATGGTGATGTGAGCCATGTCGCAGATGCGTTCGACCTTGGAACCAGTGAGCTTCTGGGGCTTAAGATCCCAGAGAACCAAATGATTGTCAGTACCGTCAGTAGCGAGCTTGTAGCCGTGGCTCTTGAGGGTTTCAGCCAAAGCGCTGGAGTTAGCACGGACTTGCTTAGCATATTGCTTGAATTCAGGGGAAGCAGCTTGCTTCAAGGCAACAGCAATGGCAGCAATGGTGTTGTTGTGGGGTCCACCCTGGCAAGAGGGGAAGACAGCTTGGTTGACACGGTTCTCAAGATCATCACCCTTATCGCGACGGAAGAAGATCAAACCAGCACGGGGACCACGGAGAGTCTTGTGGGTGGTGGTGGTAACAACATCGCAGAAGTCGAAAGGAGAAGCAGCCTCAGAGGTAGCAACGAGACCAGAGATGTGAGCCATATCGCACATGACATAAGCACCGTGTTGGTCAGCGATCTTGCGGAAACGAGCATAGTCCCATTCACGGGGGTAGGCGGAACCACCGCAAATCAAAAGCTTGGGGCGGAAGAGAGCAGCGTTCTCCTCAAGACGGTTGTAGTCAATATAACCGGTGGTTTGGTCAACCTGGTAAGGCATGGAGGCGAAGTAGATGGAAGAAGATGAGATCTTCTTCTTGTTGGTTTGGTAACCGTGGGTCAAATGGCCACCGGAGGGCAAGTCCAAACCCATAAGACGGTCCTGGGGTTGGATGAGAGCAGTCAAGGCAGCAAAGTTGGCAGTGCTTCCAGAGTAGGGCTGGACGTTGACACCCCATTGTTCAGGGTTCAAGCCAAAGGCAGCCAAGGCACGCTTGCGGCAAAGGTTCTCGAGCTCATCAATGTGCTCGTTACCTCCGTAGTAGCGGGCACCGGGAAGACCTTCAGAGTACTTGTTGGTCAAAGCAGTACCATTGGCCTCAATGGTAGCTTGAGAAGTGAAGTTCTGAAAGGAAATTCAACTTAGTTATATTATTCAGCTGACGGGTTGGGGTTCGTCCCTTTAGCTTACCTCAGAAGCAATCAACTCAAGACCGGACCATTGTCTGTACTTTTCATTTTCAACAATATCAAAGACTTCCTTGTCTTCTTGCTCAAGAGGAGTGTGAAGAACAGTGTTCCAGGGATCAATGGGATGGACAGACATGTCTGTTGGTTTTAAAAAGCGATAAAGCTGGGGTAGAAGTGGGAGGTGAAGAAGTGCTTTGTTGACCTCGAGTTGAAAAATTTATATTCAGCGGTGTTGACCAGATCTCAAATTTTGAAAAAAGGTGTGTCACAGCTAACCAATCACATTCTAGAAATTGAAAACGATAATCTGACACTTTCGACAAGTGCTTTAAAAAAAAAAAATTTTTTTTTTAGGGCTTTCAAAGGGTAAATTGATCTGCCAAGCTAATCGATTGTATTCAATAATAAAAAAACAATCAATGAAAGCTACAATGTGCTGTATGGATGGGATATAAGGTGTGCTAGTGAACGCTAATTTGTGGTCGATGAGTTGCTACCTTCTCGATAGCTTCAATGGCATCGGACACTTTCTTGTGTGTATGATCACGACCAACAAACTCCAATAGACCAGACCGAATAAATAGCTCGAGAGCATTGTCTCTTAGCTTAACAAAATAAACCTCTACTCCACGACTACGGTAGGAAGCAACGATCTCATATAGAATTTGAACAGCACTGGCATCAATTTCAGGCATATTGCTGACGTCGAAAATGATGAACGATCTGTCCCGAAGGCGAGGGTTTTCAGATGGATGAATAGACATATCTCCAAACACCTCCAATCGTCGTAGTCTGTCCTTCAATTGCCCTGCATGATACGGAAAGTGAGTCGGCTAATCAATCGATGATCAAATGCGTCCATATCCTCCTTACCGGTGTTCGCAAAAAAGAGCGGTTCTTCAATGCGGACAATCAGGACATCTTCGACATGTTCAATAAAGTCAGGTCCGTCCTTAATTGGCCGAAACTTGTTATGGGTTCCCTTGACTCGGCCCTAGCGAAAAGAAAAAAACCAGTTAGGCAGTCATCCCGATTTACACCGAGATCTAAACACACACTTACCATGATAGTGATGCGCGGGTAGCTGGTTTCCTTGACAGTAAGCAGCAACGACAAGGAGACCGCTAGAAGAGTGCCGAATTCCAATGAGATAACAACAGTGGCGAGGAAAGTAAGACAAAACAAAGTGATATCTCGCCATGCTCCGATCTTGAACATGAAGTGGATATCCTCTGGAGCTTCAAACAGGATATAGAGGACGGCAATGAAAATGACTGAACTCAACACTGCCTTTGGCAAATAGTATAAATAAGGAAGCAGGAACAAGATGGCCAGCAAGGCAATGATACCAGTGATCAAACCCGCCATTTGAGTGCGTGCACCTGCTCTATCATTGATTTTGCTTCGAGCAACCTAGAGAAAAAAAGGTGGTGCCATGGAACGGATATAGCGGATATTAACGTCTGTTCTGAGAATGAATGCTCAAGATACGAAACTTGTTCTTACCGATCCAAATGCGGGGATTCCCTGGAAGAGACCGCCCATAATGTTGGCAGCGCCTATGAAACAAGACATGGGCTTGTTTAACAACGAGAGAGACTACGTATTTCATATACGTGAATAGAAACTTACCCATTGCGACTAATTCTCGGTTAGCGCTAACAGTGTAGTTGTGTTTGCTAGAGTAAGTTTTGGAGATAACAATGGATTCGACAAAACCAATCATAGAGATCAAGCCGGCGGTCAGAGCAATGTCTTTGAAATGCTTGCGATGCGGGATCTCGGGAATAGATGGTAATGGTATACCACCACCTTTGATGTCACCAAGCACTTGAAGACCCTCGAGATCCCAGCGAAAGATACCAGTAAGAATAATGGATGCCACGACAACCAAAAGAACTTCAGGAAGCAATTGCAACCAGCGAGCAGAAGGGAATTTAGCCTTGATGACTCTGGCTCCAAACAAGACGATACATGCTATAGCGGATGTAGCCGCAGTCAGAACATGCAATTGTGTAATGTTCTCAGCCAAGAATATAAGTCGATCAATGGTGGAGGATGCTTCGGATATGCCCCATTCTTCACTAAGCTGAACCAATCCCAATAAAGTAATACTTTGTTGCACCATGACGACGATGGCAACAGCAGTGATGAAACCGCGAAGCAAGGCTCGACTCATCAAACTGTCCAAGAAACCGAGGCGGAAGATGCCGAGCAAAAATGTGAAGATTCCGACAAAGAGCGTCAACAAGCAGGAAAGCGCCAAGGCACTTTTCAGCGGATCTTCATCATCTTCCATATGTTGTTGCTGTGCAATGGCCGAACCCACCAACATAGATAGTGATGCCTCCGGACCCATAGATAATTGTCTGTAAGCGAGGGCATGAGATATTGGATCAGAGGTTTGCCTGGCTTTGCTAGAGACCAACTTACCGAGACATACCAAATAGGGCATAGGTGATAGCGGGAAACGCAATGGCATAAAGTCCGTGGACGGCCTCTAATTTACACAATGCAGTAGCGTATGAAAGAGCTTGTGGAATCATCAAGCAAGATAAAGTTAGGCCGGCTAGTAAATCGCCTGTAAACAGGTGGAAGCTGTAAGAGGGCATCCACTGCAGGGCAGGAAAGTAATATTTTGTTCTTGTTCTGAACGTTGTCCAAAAATCTTTCGGAGCCTCGTCTCTTGGCCGGATGGACGGAACTAGAAGGGGACAGGGAGTGAGTGGACGTGTGGTGAGGGATGGTTATACAACATGCATACTTACGTGGTGACGCCGTAGCGTATCTCGGGTATAAATCTTCTCCAAGCAGGTGAGACGTTTCGTGAATACGAGCTTCTACAACGCTCTCGTCGTCGCTGTCTTCGATATCTATTGTCGGTGTACCTGGAGGATTGTGGAGTGTTAAACTTTTAAGGCTCAATAGGTCAAGGCGAAGAATGCTATAAGAATTATCTGATTTGCTTACTACTATGTGTTCTAGATTCGGACATGTTTAGTAATGCGAATAAATCCCGCTTGTAATGAAGGAGGATGCCAATGATGCACGTTGTTTGCTCTAAAGGTTTTTAATTTTTCGTTTTTTAAGCGGCGTTTACTTTTTTCCACCTTCTTTGGGAGAATAATGTCTCATTTGTTGAACAAACTTCCCTCGAGATATTTAAATTTATAAATTTAAGACAACACAGCAAAACGCTGCATTCAATGAAACTGACTATCTTACATGACTAAACGAGACTACACTATGCTATGCTACACTATGCTATGCTACAATAAGCTATCTACCTATGTCGATATTATATGCTGGATCAGCTTGGCCTAGTCGCTGATCTTCTCGCCAATCTTCTTAAGCATACGAGGGCTCCACCATGAAGGAATGCCTTGGATGAGAAGTTCCTCGCTCACTTCCTTCACAATCTTCTTTCCCTTTTTGTGGTGACGGTGTTTATGTTCATGTTCATGCTCATGTTTGTGTGACGGAGGAACGTTGACTGGTGGCTGATGTCCAGCAAAGAAATTGAAGATGTAAGTGGGTTGACCGCACGAACAATGAGAAGCTGCTGGAGTACCCATTATTTGAATGATCTACGTAAACAAGCACCTTTTGGTCGAATGGTAAGATAGGTATTTATATGCTTTCAACTTGACTTGGCAGACGATCAAGGTGTGATCACTTATGGTAGCCACAAGGTCAGTGGCAAACCTCACGTCTTGCAGCAGCAAACCAAAAAATTTGAGATATTCACTCCGCAGCCTGCGCTCCAACCCCCCCCCCAAAAAAAAAGCAGTAATTTTGAATATCTGAATATTTCAATAAGATCTACTCTAAACAAACCCTATAGACTTTTCATAAACTATGTTTAAGATCAAATTTGAATGGTTCAGCTCTCAAATTGTTGTATATGTCATAGTAGAACAGCCTGCATGACCAGAGCTGATTTCAAATTATCCATTACCATTTCTAGAAGGTGGCATACCGAGGGAGTTGCTGGCAAAAAGTAGAAAGTGAATGAAGCGATTTAAAGGAATAGCGTCATACTCCCAAATTAAGTAGAAGCTTCCGTGTTGGAAAAGTGTCTTCCATGGACAGATCTTGTGCGACCGTTTTCAAGTGGTAGGTCAAGCTACGGCTGTCCATACCTCAATTTCCTTTCACGGTAAACTGGCCGACGGGCCATGACTCCGTTGGGCAGCTTCTTAGATGCTATGGAGAGGGTTTTGAAGGTTATTAAGATGTGACATGATGGATGTGGGATGGTTTAGTATGGCCTTCTATGTGTATATTAGCATTGAGAGTGCATGGGATAGAAAAATGTTGCAGTCCACTCTGGAGGTGACGAAGGGCTTTTGAATCTCCGCACGCACTGCCCTTGTTGTTGCCTCCGTCTCTTCACGCCATTCCTTTCTTTCTTCAGTCTTTAATGTCAACGTTCATGGATCTTTGCACACCAGAGGACATTTCTCCTCCAGCAACGCCACCAAATACCTACTTTGCTCGTCCAGCGCAACGTCTCCGCTCTTCGTACATTGACCCTTCCTTTGGTGATAATCCAACCCAGTTGGCCACCGTGCTTGATGACCAGCAATTGGACTACATTCGAAAAGTCAAGACCATCTTTCAGCAGTTGACACCTGAACAAAAGCAATTTTTTCTTTATGAAATCATCAACTGCTGTGATAGTCAACAACTGACATTTGTCAGTGACATTATTGCTCCCAAACTCAAGATTGACTTCCTCAAGGAGCTCCCAATAGAAATATCCCTACATATTCTCTCCTTCATAGACGATCCCAGGACCCTAGGAAGAGCCGCTAGTGTTTCTACCTTCTGGAATTCCTTACTGAAAGACGAAACTACCTGGAAAACACTTTGTCTTAAACATCAATATCGCCGTAGAAACTCCTCGATCAGTGGGGTTGCACTTTTGGGTCCACCTGTTCGCCGGCTAAACTTCTCGTACAGAGAATACTTCAAACGAAAATACAATATAGAAGCAGCCTGGGCTCAAGGTGGTAAAGTCAAGACTTGTTTTGATAGTCTGGACTCCGGCTTAGTCACCAGTTTGCAATTTGATGACGAGGTGATCGTTGTTGGCTGCGATAACCACAAGATCGAGGTATTCAATACCACCACTGGAAAGAACATCAGTACATTAGAAGGCCATGAAGGTGGTGTTTGGGCACTACAATTTAAAGGCGGTGAAAAGCATGATCCTGAGCGCTTGTTAGTGTCAGGTGGCTGTGACAGGTAGGAAACATCATTTTCTGTTTTCCCACTATTTGATTTGTCCATCAAAAACAAACAAAAAAAAATAATTAACTGGACCTCAATTTGTTTTTTATAGGGACGTACGTGTATGGGACCTCAACAAAGGCACTCTAAAGCATGTATTACGCGGCCATACTTCCACTGTTCGCTGCCTCAAAATGCGTGACAAACGGATTGCTGTCACCGGCTCTCGAGATACCACTTTAAGAGTCTGGGATTTACAACGAGGAACCATGCGCCATGTCCTCCTTGGCCATCAAGCCAGCGTTCGATGCCTGGATGTTCATGAAAACTTGGTCGTATCTGGATCATACGATAGCACTGCACGAGTTTGGGATATCAATACTGGTCGGTGTCTACATGTCCTTACCGGCCACTACTCCCAAATTTATGCCATTGCATTTGACGGATCAAGAGTCATCACTGGTTCACTGGATTCAAATATCCGAGTATGGAGTGCGGAGACTGGCCAATGCCTAGCTACCTTACATGGACATACATCTCTGGTCGGACAACTTCAACTGAGTGGCTCTACACTCGTTAGTGGTGGTTCGGATGGTTGTCTAAGAGTCTGGGATTTGGATAACTACGAATGCGTTCACCAAATATCAGCTCATGACAACTCGGTTACCTGCCTACAATTTGACGATAAGCGAATGATGAGTGGTGGTAACGATGGTCGAGTGAAACTTTGGGATGTTAAAACCGGCCGACTGATTCGATACTTTACCCAACCGGCAAAAACCATTTGGAAATTACAATTTACAGATACACGGGCTGTGGTTGTCATGCAGCGACGAAGAAATAGTAACCCAGAAGAAGGTCGCACCGCCATGGAGATACACGATTTCGATATCGGTGATGTTCCCGAACTCAACCCAAGTATTAACTGCATAGAAACCGATGAGGATGCCATCATGCAAAGTTCCTCATAATATGTTACATGAACCTATTGACACTTCACATACTGATAATTGATATCATTCACCAATGTAAATTTTTTCCTCTCTCTCTTTTCCATACTTTGGGTCCATCCACACTGGAGTCAGTCTGGCTACTTTTCTATCTCTTTTATCTTTCTCTTACCAGTGGTTGGTTTCAACATTTTCAGACCATCTATTTTCATTCTTACTATTTCCTTTCTCCTCCTCAACCCATTGTATGAACGTGTCCATGTTCCATAGCGTAGGCCACCTGTCGTCGGGTTTGTAGACAAAATACATCTACTTGTACATGATACTACAATTCACATTGTTATGACTTTTTGCATGGCTTGGCTCGGTGCGAGCGAAATCAACTCCAAAACACAAAAGGGATCTCCGGATAATTTCAAGCAAAAAAAAACGAAAGAATATATTTGTTTAGGGGTTGCATCAGTCTATGTGCGTGGTTGAGTTGCATTATTAGAACAAATCGTCGACCACTAATGGTTTCTTGGTTTCTCCAAATTCCAAACACTAGAAGAATGCAAGTCATGTTAAGAAAAGGACAAGGTTGCAGCCAAATGGTCGAAAGTACTTACCTGTTGATGGAGAATTCAGGTGGTGCAACGGGATTTACCTAGAAGGGAGAATGTTAGATGGAAGCTGCTAATAAGATCAAGAGGCTGAATAGCACACATACAGATTGTCCACGGATGGATCCAGTGAGACGTCTATCGCGCTCCATCATTTGGGATTCCCAGTAATCGAGGCCGTATCTTGCAGGCTATCACAGAAAAAAGTGAAAATGGTCAGCGGAATGGTCAGAACGGCATTCATCAGTGGCCATTAAGGCGATTATACAGTTCAAGGATGCGAACCTTCTTGTCGTTGGTGTAATATTTGACAGCACTGAGACCAGAACCAGTCAAGGTGAAGAAGGTTGCAATGACAGCAAATGGTATAACAGCTTCAATTGGAACAGGCTGGAAGTGTGGAAAATCAGTTAGAGACGCATGGTGTTAAGCTGGAATAGGTCATGGAGGTCGTTCGCTCACCATTTGATGTTGACTGAGGTAGTGAATGGCAATGTTGCTGTTCTGTACACAGTTTACCTTGAGCTCGAATGCCGACGTCATCAAAATTTTGGGATTTCGAGCCATCGTTCGCCCGCCCGCCCTGCCAAAAATCAACCCCAGATCACTCGGTGGTCTAGAGGCAAAACACGGCAGCTACAGAGGGTGTGAAATGAGGTAATTCGTCGTTTGTATACATCCTATTCATAAATTCAATCCTAGCGCACATGAAAAGCCTTGTTAAGCGCAAATCTGTTCAGACCTGTCAGTTACAATCTCATGATATGCTGGGTACAACGGTAGAAACATAGTGTGTGGCCATCAAATCAACTTATTTAGTTTTATTCTCTCGGTTCTCCTTTATTTTGCAAGCAATTCAACTTATTTGAGTTGATACTGCTTAAGAGGTTTGGCAAATGTCACTCAGTGGCGCACTGCCATTCTGTTCATCATATTTGCAAGTCACATTTTTTTCCAAACTTCGAATCGACATTCATTAAGGAACTGTCTTTTGCCAAAGCAATGTCTGAACCAGTAGCTGTCTCTATTACACTAGAGGAATCTACACGAGGAAAAGGTCTGGCACCTATTAAACAAGAGTAGGTTTGAGTTATTGACAAATACCCCCGTCGGAAGGTCATGAGCTAACCGTCCACCGATAGATTCCGCAAAACCAAATGGTTTGAAGACAACGAAGTAGAAGATATCAACACCGCAGCGTTTGGAGACGATGAGGTTGAAGGCCAAAAGTTTGAAAACGGTGATGTAAGTTGACGTGACATGATTTGACGGCGATATGGATGCACCGTACTCATAAAAGGGAAGCAGTCCAATGCAGGCGGTAATCGTAAAGCCCGCGGGCAGAACAAGAAGCGAAAGAGGACACATGTTACAGATGACATCAAGGTAAGTAGCAGGTCAATTGTATATAGATCAGAATGACATTATGGAACTGATTCGATAATGTCGGTAGCTCTGCCCTTATATTGCCGCTGGCGATAACGACAAATGCAACTGGGGAGACAAGTATGTGGCAATTCGGTCATTTGAAATTTACGCTGGAACAGTGTGAATAACCTTTTGTATATTAGGTGCAAATTTACTCATAACATTGAAGAGTACCTGAAGTTGAAGCCTGCTGATTTGGGCGAAAGATGCGTCAACTTCGAGGTCTACGGAAGGTAACTAATCTCAGCTTCATCATTTCGAAACACTCACCAAATGATTTTCTAACAATTTCAATGTATTACAGATGTAGAGCTGGATATGCTTGCCGTTACTTGCAAGCGCATTTCAAAGATGGAAAGCTCGTTGTTGATGAAGAGGTATGTGCATACAGCTGGGCAACATCCAATGACACGTTTTGTACTGACATGGGCTCGGCTTTTCTTAGCGCGAAAGAAATGCACCTGTTACTGTCAAGAATGGTATTACGCCCGAAACGATGGCAGCTTTGCGGAAACATACGGTATGGCTGAAAGTGAATATTTTATTAATGAGAACCTCTGCGTCTAACCACCGCATGTAGTTCAACTTTGAAAAATCAGAAGCGTTTTTAAAGGAGATTCAAGCTGAAATCGATGCTGAAATTGCTATGAAGGAGGAAAACACGCAGAGGAGACTAGCCTCCATGTTGGCTGAGCCTGCTAGTGCCACAACAGATAGTCCCGCCAGCACCATTGTCGAGGCACCATCTACACCAATTTCGGACAAGTTGAAGAAAGTAGCAGAGGTGGAGCAGGTTTCGACGGACATCGAAACAACGCCCTCGGGAATAGTCACCTCCGTAGAGACTTCCCAGCAAACAGAAGTCGTTTCGGAAACCAGTATAAGTCCAGCCAAAGAAGAGCAACCAGTTGGACCTATCTTCGATATAAATGACAAGAAGGTACGAAGGGTTCATTTGTGAGTTGACTAATCTGACGATTATACTCACCATTATGTATAGAAATTAAACTTCAAAGACAAGACCTACCTTGCTCCCCTCACCACCGTAAGTCAGCTTTATGCCTCATGCACCATTTATAAGAATCAGCGCTAACACCCATCTTCACATAAAAGGTCGGTAACTTGCCTTTCCGTAGAATCTGTAAAGAATTTGGCGTGGATATCACATGTGGTGAGATGGCTATGGCTACCAACCTACTCCAGGGCCAGAAGACTGAATGGGCTTTGACCAAGCGCCATGCATCAGAGGACTTGTTTGGTATCCAGGTTTGTAATCACATAAGTCACCTAATATTTATCCTACACTACATTACTGACTTTTGTGCATTCAGATTGCAGGATACAAAACAGAACAGCTCGTCAAGGCTTGCCAAGTCATAAATGAAACTGTGGATGTCGACTTTGTTGACCTCAACATGGGCTGCCCTATCGATATGCTTTTCAACAAGGTACATTTCAATGGTGTTTACAACGTACAAGTGGATGATGTATTGATTGTCCTCGTTTTAGGGTGGCGGTTCAGCATTGTTGGACTCACACGGAAAGATGCTCAAGATGCTTCGTGGAATGCAGCACGTTCTCGACCCTCCTGTCACCGTTAAGTTCAGAACTGGTGTGAAGGACAATCACCCTACAGCTCATAAGCTGGTACCTAAATTGGAAAGTGTGGTGAGTAGCTTACCAGGTGCAAAATTCACCATATGCGCACATAACTAAAATTTGCTCATTATCAGGGCATCGGAATGGGCACTGTAAGTAGGATAATAATTGCAATACGCTTCTAGATGCCAGCATCTGCTACTTAAACCTTTGTGTATGCTCATCATCATGTTTTGCCATTATTTAGCTCCATGGCCGTTCGCGCCAACAGCGGTACACTCGGCTCGCTGACTGGGATTATATTAAAGGAATCAAGAGGTTGACAAACGATATGGCCTTGTTCGGTAACGGTGACGTTCTCAGCTGGGAACAGTACTATCAGCAGAAGGAGGAATCCGGAGTAGACGGAATCATGATTGGACGAGGAGCATTGATTAAACCATGGATCTTTGAAGAAATCAAAACCCGAAGACACTGGGATATTTCATCTTCAGAGCGATTCGATATGTTGAAGAAGTTCTGTGATTATGGCCTCGAGCATTGGGGTACTGACACCATGGGCATCAATTCTACCCGTCGTTTCTTATGTGAATGGCAAAGCTTCTTGTATCGATACATCCCTGTCGGTCTTCTCGAGGTCCTTCCTCAGCAGATGAATGAGCGTCCACCACCTTATTATGGCCGCGACGAACTCGAGACACTCATGGCTAGTCCCAGAGCCTCTGACTGGATTAAAATAACGTAAGATTACGAACTTTTAGTTGTTCTTTATGAATGAAATGAAGCAAACTAATTTGTCATACTTCACAGTGATCGTATTTTGGGTCCTGCCCCAGAAGACTTCAAATTCATACCAAAGCACAAGGCCAACTCGTTTGAAGGTTAAAAACGCACCCATATTCATTTGTATGTTGTACCTGTTATGGTTTTTTTTTAGTATTAGCAAGAGTATACAATTAAAGAAAAAGGCTGTATTTACGGAGAAGTAAATGGAAGTGGAGACCGCTTTTGAGACCTTAGCTTGCTAAACCATACCTAGAGGAACGACATTGGTCTGGAACCGTGCATCCCAAAATAATTGACCACTGCATATTAAATAACTATTTTATTCAATACAACAGAAGAAAAGACAAAGGAATACTTTTTTGGTAACAGCTTGGCAAGGTTTACGAGCTTTCACAACAGAACTCGATGTCAACAATCTCTTTAGGAGCAGTGGCAGTTAAGACCCAAGGGTCCTCTTTCCCGATGCAAACATTATCTTCGATGCGAATTCCAATTCCCTGGTATTCTTTTGGAAAACGATCATCATATGGTACATAAAGGCCAGGTTCGATGGTAATGACCATTCCTTTCCTCAGTCGTCGAGATCTGTCCAAGTCATGACAGTCATGTACATCCAATCCTAGATAATGACCGACGTGATGTGGGTACAAAATACGCTCCACGTCCTATGCAAATGGTCAGTGAGCAAATCGCTACTAAAAGTGCATGTACATTAATTTGTGTTCGTCACATACCCCAGTCTTGACGTGAAAGTTGATCTTGTCTAACTCTTGCTTCATTAATCGTACCGATACGTCGTGAATGCCATGGAGTGACATATTGTGAGATTCCGTACAAAGTTTTATGCAGGCTTTGTTGACGTTCAAGACGGCTTGGTATAGCTTTCTCTGTGGATCTGAGAATTTCCCGTTGACAGGCCATGTTCGTGTGATATCACTTGCGTATCCATTGTATTCTCCACCACAATCAACCAAAACCAAATCACCATTCCTGAATCGTAAGCAGTTGTCAGACGAGCCAAAGACCAAAGGCAAAACTCCAACCACACGGTATATGCGACATAACTTACCTTAACTTCATGTCATTTCTTACATAATGCATAGATAGTGCATTGGGACCTCCAGCAACTACTGGTACATAAGCTAACATACTCGATCCTCTCATTCGACATTCAAAGTCCAGCTTTGCCCATAACTGCCCTTCGGTGATACCAGGCTTTGTAAATTTCATAGCCTACAGGATTTGGTTTAGTATACCATGTTCAGTACTGTTACGGTGACAACGGAGAGAATGACTCAAATCACCTCAATGAAAGCCTTGCTGCTAATTTCTCCCGATTGTCTCATAACTTTAGCTTCCGCTTCACTCTTGACGTTTCTGAATTCTTGCACAAGTGGGCTTAATTGCTTCACTGGTTTGGATGTCTTTCCTATTGAAACGGAACGAGAAGAACTCGGTTAATAACCATTGCATTGCCCAGATAATACTTCCACTCCACGTTATAATCTATTCTTCCACAGGTCGCCAGCTCACATATACCAAAATCTTTACCGTAGCTCTCAAAGCTCCGTAACACCTTGGTCAGTAGCCCAGCGACCCCACCCTCTTGCCAATTAGACCAATCTGTCGCCGTACCATATGATATTAATTTTTTTGCAGGTTCAGAGGACGACAAGATAGATCCTGATGACATGTTTGTATCCACATATATACATTTGGCATTATTGATGGCTTCCCTCAAGCGAGTTGGAAATTGCATGGAGTTGAATGCCTGAAAGTTGAGGTGTTAGTGTGATCTGAAAGTCAGTCGTCAAGTATACCTATCATATGCAAACCTCATCCGCTCCAAATTTTTCAATGATCCCATCCAATCCTGTTCTTGGACCGTCCCAAAGTTCGACGCTTGGATTTTTGGGCAAACCAAACATGGTCATTTTGTACCCTTTAGGCGAGGAGTCCTTTTCTAGAAGCATAAAGTCAAAATGTTAATTACGGGCGGCGTACATATTGTCTTCGATATATCCCCTTTTAAAGCTCAATCGTACCGAGGATGGCAGCAGCATCTGGTTCGTTAAAACCTGTTAGATACCAAAAGTCGGTATTCTGGTGGAATGGGTAGAATACATTGTTGGACATATATCGAGTTCGATACCCTAACGAAACAACCAGACTTCCTTCATGCAGAGAATTCATAAGCGCCGTTCGTCTCAATTCATACTCAAGAGCAGATACCCCGGGAGTGACTAAGGTCGATGGTTATCAGCTGAATCTGATTGCTTAGTTGCTAATGATTTAAGTGACTTACGTTCATTTTTCTCGAGAGCATATGGATGAGTTTCGAAAACAGGCTGCCCGTAGCTTCTCAAATGAGTTTCAGGTATCAAAGAAGCATTCGCACTGGTAGCGAGAGCTCGGGTGATACGAGGGCTAGTGACCTGGTGGTGGTTATTGATAACACAGGCTTGCAGGAAAGTTGCAGTTCTCCTTCCTTTGAAAGTACAAAGCGTAAGTGACATTTTGAATCGTGATAGTTTGCATTGTCTAAATTCAAGGGATCATACTTGTGGTTGCAAGTAGTGTAGCCTGGCAAACTGATTTCAACATTTGCTTGAATGGAAGTCAGTTCACTGGGCCTATGAAAAACAAGTCCTGGTCAATGACAAGCCCTAAGGACTGAATTTTCGGATTTGTCCGAGTCACATGTTCGGCGGCCACGGTAAATTTAACGTAGGCCCATTTTTATTCAACGATGAACTGTTGAATAAAGTCCCTTTTTTCACTTTATAAACTACCTCCAGAAGTTTATGGAGTCGCTATGTTGATAAGTTAATACACTTTATTGCGTAATGATTTATCAAAACGAAAAAACGCGTCTAACTTGCTACCGATATATTCTGTAATACTTGTTATTAGGAAGAAAAATCTGACAGTACGGAATATTACGCTACTATATTATAGAATTCATAATGCAAATATTTTCTACATTTGAAAATTCAATGCAAACCGATCTTGCCGTGAAAGACAAGGCGAATTCAAGGTGGATGCTCAAACAATATCTTATCCTAAAATAGTATTTCTACGGTTGAAAGCTTTAAACTGTGAACTTTGTAACATCCTTCAGAACAATTTTCCAGCTCAATGATTCCTAAATTTTGAACAAAAAGGCTGCTGCTTATGTGGAAATGATCGCACCAACTATCATATCAAGCGCATAACAGAGCTGCTGCCAACTACAGATCGACGCGCATTCGCGCGCGAGCTTTAAAGGAGACAAGAGCAGTATTGGCGACAACGCCTGTGGATGAGATTAGCTCACGGCCATTGGTCGTCTAAAGCTATCTTCACTGATTTATATAGGCCAGACGTTGGCCTATGCACCATCTATTGTCCTGCATATGATCACGTGCCGTAATGCATACTCCGTACGTCCACTTCTGGAATCTTCACTTGTTGATTCAGCCACGAACCTATAAATATCGTGATACCGCGTCATGCACATAGCATCATCCTAGTAGCTGTTAGACAGCTAGCATTCAATATCCATACCGTACCTTCTGAATGAATAAATGAAAGCGAAAGGCTTACTCTCAAATTCGTTTTCCGGGGCCAGTATTACCCTATTCCCTGAGTAAGCCACTTGTCCCATGCAACCTCGGACCTTACAGTATGTATTCTCGTGCAATTGTTTTTTTGCGGAAGTCTATTGACCGAGCCCCCTCAGTCCATGACGAAATCTATAGATTGTCTCACCCACCTCTTTCCTTTGTACCAGACTGCGAATTTTGCTCAAAGACGATGAAGGGTATCCTTCGTTCGGTTGAAATAATTTAGAGTTCTTTCGAAAGACCGTAACACAATTTATGTATTCACTCCTCGTGCAATGGCTGGGGCGTTTCGTCCAACATAGCGGCTATGCAATTATTCAGAAACCGCTTTTGAAACTGATGTTTATTGACCTTATGAATAATTGATAACAAGCCATTGTAACATGGCATTCTCAGAAGTTGCTTTGTTTTTGGATTTAAATTGTTAACTTCCTTTTTTTTTTGAATAAAACTACGGTTGTATGTATTGAGATTGAGATGCTGTCACCTATAGTTGGCGAAGCTCCAACGTACCTTGTTCTGAGTACGAAAATCGGCGAGAAGCCTAATGCATGTCGTAAACCGGGGCTGCCGTTACATACACGGACGGGAACACCAAATACACTCCAAGGTGATAGCAAAAATGATCTTATCGAATGTTAGTGAATAGGGGTAAGGAACACCATTGATTACGGTAGTCTGTTCAAATTCTGTCAAAATTGATGATGTCGGACACCCCTCCTATGTTTATCAATGTGATGACCAAGCGCCACCGGCGTCGTGTAGCGCACCGAAATAACCTAAAAGGCTACAGAGGATAATTACTCTTCTTCCACAAGCCCAATTATAACATGAAGCATAATCTGACTGTGGTTGCCGCTATATGCATATTCATCGTGGTAGCCTTGTTTAGCTTCAATGGCCTTCCTGATAACGAGGTCGACGACGACAGTCACAGCCAGCTTCTAGACTATAAGCTGATAACGTCGAACAAAAGCGTGTCTGCTCCCAATGCCGACATGATGGCCATGATCGACAACAATATTCTAGACAGCAAGAACAACGTCTTGCTCACGGCCGTTGCCAATTCTGGCATGGCGAACTACACGCTGAATTGGATTGAGTCGCTCAAGCGCTGTGATATTGACAAATTCATGGTATTTGCTATTGATAGCGAGCTAGTTGAAACATTATCCGCGGCCGGCTATGAAAACAACGTAATAGCAATCCCAGATGACTGGTTCCACACTCCCGTCAGCAACAGCTTGATCAGCTGGGGCAATATGCATGATTATCTCCCAGTGACTGCCTCTAAATCGTTGGTGGTCGAGCATCTCCTCTATCTGAATATTACGGTATGGTTTTCTGACGTGGATATTGTCTTCCTGTCGCCCAACATCTACGAGTACCTGCTGCACAAGTTCCGGATACGACCTGCAACCGACGCGCTCTTCCAACAACGAGGCATAAAAGATAACAATGACATCAACTCAGGGTTTTTCATCATGAAGCCCACTGACCTTATGAAACACATCATCTCCACATCCATTTCTGTGCAAGATGAAGACAATGCCAAATACAAGAAGAGCAAACTTACCCAGCAGCGAGCAATCAATCGCGTCATTCAATCGCTGAATATCGATTTCTATACGTCTCCGCTGGTGTTGTTAGAAATGGAGCTGTTCCCCGTCGGCAATGTGTATTATGATATGAACATCCCAATGAAGTACGGTTTTAATCCATTGATGGTGCATGGAAACTTTAGAGACGGCGCAGAAAAAGAAGTTGCTCTTCGAAAGGCCGGCCTATGGTATATCTGATCAACGCCGTATCCCCCAATGAACTTGCCAAACACAGCATTAGATGTCACCATAGTAATCATATATCATTTCGTAAAACCTATAAAAATCAACTTATCAATAGAATACTTGTCGTGATGGCCGCTATGAACCCTGTATCGCTCCTGCTTTTTTAAAAATCATTATTTTTGCCCACGTTGCAGATACATGGCGAGGGGAGAAACCTTTAGATTTTTGGTTCCCAAAACACTCTTTACTTCCGTACTTCTCTTCATTATTACATTCACAAAGTGAAAGCGCTTCATTGAACATCATTGGCCGGAGTTTACGTCTTTGCTGACCCAAAAACAGCTGCCTAGCAGTTTTTTCACGTGCGTCATTCGCTGCGCTTTAAATTCGCGCTGACCGTTGGCAAAACACCTTTCATCTTATTGACTATACAAAATGCCCTCTGCCGTACGTTCGTGTTTTCAATCCCGTTTGATCCCTACCATTGCTTTACTTATTCGTTTTTATATTATAGCAATTCCAAACCGCTGCCGACGAAGTTCAGCAATTGAAGAACAAGCCCTCCAGCGATGACCTCCTCAAGCTTTACGGTCTCTTCAAGCAGGCTACCGTTGGTGACTGCAACACCAGTAAGTTTTCTGTAGGATCCTAACTGTATAGTGCTTTTTACTGATCTGTTGTCATCAAATAGGCAAGCCCGGTGTCTTTGACCTCAAGGGCAAGTACAAGTGGGAGGCCTGGAACGCCTTGGCTGGCAAGTCCCAGGATGAAGCCGAGAAGGAGTACATTGCGTTCGTCGAGGAGCTCAAGGCTAAGGATGCCCAATAAATACCAACCCATGAAATGTAATAAATTTTGATGGTCTAATTGTTAGCACCTACTACAAGTTATTGGGGCGTTCAAACCTTTTGGGACCGTGGGCAATTTGCGTATATCGCCACTTGCGTTGATTGGTAGAGCGAATCATTTGCTTCTGTGAGTTTGTCTCCTGTTGGGGAAGTCCCATGGGTCAATTATACCGGATCACCCCCAACCTATTTGAGTTATACGAAGCCAGCTAGCTGTAGTGATAGAACCGCGTGCCACATTATTGCAAAGCGTGCGATAAGTCAAGGCCTTTATACCATGGTCAATACATACCTTTCCGTAAACTATAGCATTTCAACAGCTGAACAGTGGTTGATAGGTAGTAGCAATGACCTTAAGGTACTAGAAGCTTCAGCAGCTGTTTCAGCAGCTGTTTCATTTTTGCTTGGCTTGGCCGGCCGGTCGTGGCTTGAAAAATTGACCCAAATTTCACCTAAAGGGTTCAGGTCACGAACACCGAAGCTCTTAGCACAATGGATCAACCACACTCGAGTGAAAAAGCTTTAGGATTAGCAACTGACGATCCGAAAACGCTGCAAACTGACCTTTTGGCTGTTGAATTTGAAGAAAAAGTCGCCATCGACGACCCAGAGAAATATGATTCAGGCACATTAGATCCGACAGCAGCAGCAGCATCATCTGATGAATTGGTATCTATTGATAACGACTCAGAAGACGGGTATGTTCACAATATTAGCATTCAAAGATTAGAGGAAAGTAATATGGCTATATCTCATGCGTATCGTCTCAATCTTCAGGGATATGCCTGAACCACCATCCAATATCACAGAATCACCTAAGCAAGAGGCGCAAATCAATATGCTCAGCACACCCATCGGTTCACCGCCCTTTAATCTACCACGTACACCAGACGACGACGCCATCAAAAACGATCAGGAATTTGAGCACATTATAACCCAGTTTGATGAAACAGCTCACAAAGACGGCACTCATGCTCAAAACGCGGAAAACTTGCCGAGCCGACGACGCTCATCGGCTGACGCACCTCAGCACCGCCGGCCTAGCGCTCGATCTGAAGAAATAAGTACAGACATACCATTTGACTTCAATAGGTTCTTAGAGCAAATGAAGAGGCGAGGAGCAATACCTATTACCAAATACTTTAAAAGGTAAGGCAAACTGTGATATATGGGGCATAATGGCCAAACTCCATGCGGCACTCAAATTCTCACTCATTTTGTTTAGCTTCTTGCAAGCATTTGATCGTCGGCCTTGGACTGTCAATGAGCAAATAAAAATCATTCAAGACTTCCTTGATGTAAGTGCTGGCACCATTATCCCTAATACCTTCAAATAACAGCCTCTCAACAATGTGCTTTCAACAGTTCATTCATGGAAAGATGCAGGAGTGTGATGTCTGGAAGGATGCAAGCGATCAGGAATTTGAAAATGCAAAGGAAGGCATGGAGAAACTGGTTATGAACAGACTCTTCCACCTGTAAGACATTCGGCTTGTTTTGGGTTTCAGCTCGCTATGGTAGGGCTCATACTAAACTTGGACGTTTTAGCACATTTTCACCAAACACGACTGATGACAAGGAACGAGATGAGATATTGTACCATAAGATTCGAATATTTTCGTGGATCACAGAAGAGCATCTCGATATACCTGTTACTCAGCACAATGAGTCGTTTTTAACATTTGCAGAATCTGGTAAGATAGATATGGACGGTAACATTGGGCTATGCGAAGGTTTACAAAGACTCATCGTCCTCATGCCTTTGACAGAGCTTTTGAAAATTAACAATTACAAGGCGCCAAGGGACAAACTTATTTGCATATTGAACTGCTGCAAAGTGATCTTCGGTAGGTGATATGATTGATTCTGGAATACCATAGAATAGTACTCATTAGTGTTTACGCATTCCCTTGTCTAGGTCTCATCAAGCATGTGGAAGGCGACGCTGGCGCTGACAAGTTCCTGCCAATCCTGATATATGTTGTATTAAAATCAAATCCTCCAAAACTAGTATCTAATGTACAGTAAGTAATAAGCACTGTCCATGGCCAACTTGCTTAAAGTGTATTACTCTAATCACATTTCTTAGATATATCAATCGATTCCGCAATCCAGATCAACTTCAATCAGAGGGCGGCTACTATCTCACAAATTTAATGGGCGCTATTGCGTTTATAGAGTCTTTGGAAGCAAAGTCACTGTCAATCACTCAAGAAGAATTTGACAGGTAAGGGCATTGTAGAGGCATGCATCGTCGATGTTATATGTCGTCTAATTTTTAACGACCTAAAATCATTTCGTAGCAATATCGAGAGCACCATGAAAGAATTGGAAAAGGAGAGGCCATTAGAGGCGGTGAAGGAGAAAGTCAATTACGATAATGCTATACATCCTTCTCAGTCACCACGACCAGGATCGTCACAATCGCAACAACCACTGATCGACCCAGTCAAAGCTGCTGCTCTGTTAGAGAAGGGAAGTTCGTTTGCTCAAAAGACCATGCAAAAGCCACTCAACTTCATGGGCAAGATACTTCAGAACTTGAATGACTCCAGTCGTCCATCCACCCCGGATTCAGATGATGAATATCAAGGCTATCAAAGAAACACTGGGTACGATGAAAATCAACGAAGGCAGCAGTCACCACCAGCACAGTATAATTCAGCCAGTGGATGGCCGTCAGAAAACCATGCTACATGGAGTCAACACGTCGAGCCCACCCGAGATATACAAGATTACAATCAATATCGAGAATATCTCTATCAACAGCAACAACAACAACAACAACAACAACAGCAACAACAACATTATCAGCAACAACAGCAATACCAACAGCCGCAGGAGCACTATCGCCGCCAAGTATACCAGCAACAGCAACAACCCCCCTCCGCAGCACAATGGCAACAATATCCTGGTGCAGCCGGGCAATGGTCAACACCACCACATGCTAATCCCAACCCGACAAACACTTCTCCACCACAGCCGCGACAAACCATCAGCCCCCAAGAGTTCCAGGATAATCTGGCTACACTGACAGCTATATTCCCAAATGTTGAACAAGATGTCATTTTTATGATATTGCAAGCCAACGATGGCCAGTTATCTCAGACCATTGATATGTAAGTGCATTTTAAAGCGGCAACTGTTTGTATCGAGATCCGATAATGGTTGATTGGTTCTAATGCTCTTTGAGAAAAGTTTGTTGGATATCTCAGATCAAAGCGTACCGGAGCCTACTGAAGACATACCTACCCCAAGGGAGGACGCAGCTACTGAAGAGCTTTTAATAGAACATGACGATGCACCACCCCCAGTGCCTGCAAAGGAGAACAAGGCAGAAGAAGACCTTATTGAATTCTAGAAAGTTAGCTAGCTTATCAGTGTGGAGTGTGAACCCCCCATTTCGGCGTTTAAAATCCACCAAAAACGTCCATATCCCCGTTGTATCGTTTTGACGTTCAAAGATAAATCCAAAATTGTCTTCTCATTTCTAAATGTCTTACGACGACCCTGTCTCTCCTAGAGATATTCCTCGGCGAAGGCCATCCTTTGCCAGCAACTTAGCGCATAGTGTAGAATCCTGGAGCTCATCCTATGCTAGATCGCTTCATTACTTGAGGTATGCGTCGGCAGTAAAAAAAACTTTTGTTCCCTTCCTAGCACTGAACTGCTATGTATTGTTTCTTTTGCCCATAGTGAAAACCTAACCGGAGTCCATGACATTGACGCCGATGAAGAGATACAAAACGTGGTGTTTGGAACGAACAATGCATCCCCTTCTGTCCTCCCCAGACAACTTCCTCCCAATATCAATACCTCATACTCCACATTGAATGATGATCAAATTGACGAACATACATCCTTGTTACGGCGGAACCCCTCGGTGCATTCTGCCATATCGACTAGTTCGGCTTGGTCTTCGACTACGGTCGATACCCAATTGAAAAGCACCGTTGCCCAGACACTCACCAATGCCATCAACATCCTCATTGGTATTGCGCTCCTGTCATTTCCACTGGCACTTAGAAATGCTGGTTGGCTATTCGGAGCTTTGCTACTAGCTTTCACCTGTCTTTTAACCAACTACACCGCAAAGATCATTGCTCGCTGTTTGGACTACCCTAAAGCCTCCTTCGTCCTAAAGACATACGGTAAGTACTAGCTAACCATCCTGCCAAACAACGGTTTCTAATATGTTGTCCCCTCGTACAGCTGATATGGCAGGTGCAGCATATGGTACACGAGGTCGAATATTTATATCCACCATGTTCATGTTAGAGCTTATAGCTGCCTCGGTGGCACTGATTGTTTTGTTTGCTGACAGTTTACATGTGTTGTTTCCCGACATTGGTACCGTCACGTTCAAAATCTTGGCTTTCTTCACTCTGACTCCAACCACGTATCTCGCTATTCGTCACCTGTCCTACACAAGCTTTGTAGGTATTTTGAGCTCCTTCACTCTAGTTCTTGTCATATGCTATGATGGAGCCTCCAAATCGGAGCGTCCAGGTAGCTTGTTGGACCCTATGCCAACCAATTTGCTACCGGTGAACTGGATGACTTTGCCTTTGGCATTCGGGCAAATGGCAGCAGGATTCGCCGGTCACGCAACCTTTCCTTCCGTCTATCGTGATATGGCCGAACCCGAACATTTCCCTCGAGTCGTCAACTATACCTATCTTGCAACTAGCTTAATCTACGCCTTCATGGCAGCGGCAGGATATCTGATGTTCGGAAATGACGTTAAAGTCATTATGGAAAACATGATGGCTACACCGGGGTATAACCAGCTACTAAACAAGCTTGCTGTTTGGCTCATTGTCATCAATCCTTTTACAAAATACGCTCTGACCTTGAGCGGCGTCAATTTCACCATAGAACTCTCTATCTTCAGACATCCGGCCTTTTCATCCCTCACAAAGAGCAAGTTCGCTATGCATCTCGTCCAATTTGTATCTCGCCTTCTCGTCAGTTCTGTGGTGATTATAATAGCCATCTTGTTCCCTGCATTTGATCGTGTTATCGTAAGCCTCGTTCTTGTTTGAAATTTGGTTTGGCTCCTCCCCCTTACTCTGCCAATTTTATTGACCCTGAACACTTCCATGTAGAGTCTTTTAGGATCTTGCTTCTCGTATTCCATTGCTGCCATATTTCCTCTAGCATGTCATCTCAAGATGTACGGAGGCAGCATGTCCACGAAAGCTAAAGTTTTGGATTGGTCTTTGTTGGTGTTGTGTTCTTTATTGGCTTTGACTGGAACCGTATGGAGTTTTTTGCCAGATGATTGGATTCATAGTAATTAATAATGTATATTCTCCTCCATTATTTGCATAGCAGCACGTTTTATATATCATACTCAATTGTGTTCTCTCATCGTCCATCACCTTTTTTTTTTTTTTTTTTTCATTATTCTGCTGCTTGCCAATAAAGCTGGTTGATCGGGATTTGCATTGCGTGACTGCATGACGTCGCCCATTTCTAGTCTGATGTGACCTGTGCCTGCCTTTACTCAGCTTTCCCTTATTGCTATCACCTTTGATAATGGCAAGTCTATCTCTAGCTGAATGAGAAGAAGAATCGTTGATATGGTTGCTCATGCATGTCGTTTGTATTTCTCTAGTTTGGTGGCTACGAAGACGACGATCCATTCCAACAAGCTATTGGCGGTTTCTCAATGGGCGGGTTCATGAATCCTAATCGAGGGTTCTCTGAAATGTACCGCTGCTACTCCATTGCTATGATGCAATCAGGAAGCGATCGTGATAACGTCAGTTATGGTGGAAAGAGTAAGTGATGACAGTACGGTTGATTGCCTACAAAAACGAACCTTCTTAGCATTGCGTACAGTCACTGACCAGCTTCTCCAGTCATATTACCTCAATCAGCCCTTGAAAAACTATGTAAGGAAGAAACAATTGGAATGATTGGAAATCTTGGGCAGTGTATTTATATTATGCGCCTCTTTTAGCTCGACTTAATATCTCCTACCCAATGTTGTTCAAGTTGATCAATGGCGAAAGAAACGCTCATACACATGCTGGTGTTCTAGAGTTCATTGCGGAAGAAGGAAGAGTGTATCTCCCTCACTGGGTCAGTTCAGTTGCTAGAATGGCTCTATCAGGTTGGCCAATTCACTTTCTAACCGTTTCTTGCATTGCTCTCCCAGATGATGAATGCTTTGCAAGTGGAACAAGGCGATATCATTGAGATAAAGAACACATCTCTGCCATTAGGAACATTTGTTCGTATCCAGCCTCAGTCGGTGGACTTTTTGGACATCAGCGATCCCAAAGCAGTGTAAGTGCTGAGCAGCATGTGCCAACACCTGTGGTGCTAATTGTTGATATTAATTAAAAATGTACCGCCTAGGCTTGAGAACTCGTTCCGAAACTTTGCCACGCTTACTCAAGGAGACATCATTCAAATCACCTACAACAGTAAGGTCTACGAGATAAAGGTGTTAGAGATTAAACCGAATTATGACGACCATGGGGGTATTTCCATCATGGAAACTGACTTGGAGGTAATTAGCCCATTGTCATCATGTTGGCGTACGTCGATATATATGGCTAATGTTCGTTATTTTAGGTTGATTTCGCACCACCTGTCGGTTATGTGGAACCCAGTCAAATGCCTCAATCTATTCCAATGGTAATTTTGGGACGTTTTCTCGAAAATTTTCATAGGTGTTCGCTTTTCTCACTTCGAATTCCTTCTTTTTTATGGCGACTTCCTTATAGGGAAGCAAAATGATCATTGATGACCCTAAAAGTACGAAACCGGCAAATGCACCGTTTCAAGGCTCAGGACAAACGCTAAAGAGCCGAACGAGAGAGTACGTAATGTAATGTATTCCGTGCGTATATTTTTGATCAGCCACTAACGTGTAGATCCACTAGCCTGTTGAAGGATTCACCAAACAGCTCGACGACCTCATTATCAGACGCTGTGGCAGAATCGGCCGCCATTACGCATGATGATGATGCAGTACCAGCGCCTCTCAATTTACCTTTTGGACAGCTATACTTTGGTTACCCTATCATACCGCTGAAATCGGCCGAAGAAAAAGAGAGCGGGCCCGCCAAAACTTTCGGAGGTTCTGGACAAACTTTGAGGGCTGCACGAAAGGGACAATCACGACAGAGTTCGGGCACAGCTTCACCTGCTTCACAAGCAGATGGAAAAGATAAAGGTGAGTCGGCATTACGTGTCATTTACCCAAGCCAGATTGATAGGCTAACCGTATCATTCATTGGTATTGCCCACAGGACGGTCAGCTCGATGAAGGCAGATAGTTTATATAACAAAGATGATAATACCACGGGTGAAAAGATGTAGAACAATCGCTTCCCTAGATCCTACAGCATTCTGAATAATAATAAAAAAAAACTTCAAAAAAGACAAATGCACTGAGTCTACTGCAAAGAAGTGATACTGCATCACACACCTTTTTTTGGTGGGTGACCCATCATTGCACACAATTTGTGTGTTTATAAACCCAAGCCTTTCAAACAAATTTGTCGTCGGCGTGTGTGGCACAGAGCAGAGCTTTGAGAGAGATAAACAAAAAGTTGAGCGATGTGTTACGAATGCCACCAGAATATCCGCGCTTTTTTCGTGACGAAACAAAACAGCTAACCCCTCAAAGTCTGCAGGATGATATTAAAAGGAAAATGACCCGCCCATTTTACATGTTTCTAGGTTTTTTTTTTTTGCTTTGCTGTGTAATAGAGCTCAAGAGTATGGCCTGGCTCGTTATCCGTTTCTACGTCACTGGAATCTCGCTGCATCCGTCTACTTATAATATCCTTATTTTTGTTAAACAGGGGCGGCTTGATAGTTGGGTGCGCGCCAAATAGGGGGTGGATATAGTTTCGGGAGGCCATTTTTGGTGCTATGCTTTGAATAGAACCGATTGTCAAACTTTTCTCTTTTCTATTTATCCCAAACTTCATTGAGATGATATCTTCTGTTACAATATGTGCGATTCAAAATGACCGGTTGGGAAGAAGACACCAACGAGCAGTCACAAGGGTTATACACAGGGTTGAAGCAATCCAAGTAGTAGAAAGACGAAGATCCACATGACGGAAAAGGTTCTCCAGGATAGAAAAAAAATCGCGCGCGTGTTTCTACTGCTAGAATTGTCTACTACCGGTTCTGAGACTCCAATGCCTGACCCCAGCCAAAAAAAATAACATATAAACAAGAATATCTTTTGAGTTTCCAAATCATTCATCTTTGCCCGTTATTTTACTCTCTTTTGCTTTCAAAAAGCTTTGACCCTTTACTTTCATTTTTTTTTTCTTCTGATAACTCCACACTCTTTATTTCCCCCACATGTCCTCTCCTTTGGCCTTATCCGATCACCCGTCCCACTATTTTGACAACCACCGTCATCATCAATACCATCAAGCTAACAGCCATGGTACACACTATGCATCTTCTCCTTTGCCGTCTCCTCCTCTTTCTACTACACATCGTATACTTCCAAACATCGGCGATCGTGGAAGATTTTTATTCCCATTCATATCATCTAAGCAAGTTCAAGAATCAAGCATCGATCGAGACGACTATGAAGGAGGTTATAGCAGTGATTTGGAATTGAAGCCTATTACCAACCATTTCAAAGCTCAAACTCAAATGTTGCCGCCTATTCAGCAGATTGTTACGCCCTCCAATAGTCCGTCACCACAACCAATCACAAGTCAAGTTGCTGGCCTCAAGCCTTCTCCCGAGTATATGGACATTTATGCATCCAGTTCAGAAAGTTCCACGAGTGCTCCCAGTAGCCGTAAAGGCTCCATCGCTTCACTTCTCAATACGGACGACCACAACAAGCATGTTGAACAACCAATATCGGAGCTTTTAGACAATAACATCGTTATTCAAATGTATGAACCTGAGAAACACCGTCAGCACCAAGCCCATTTTCATCATCAAAAAAATGAGTATCCACCTGCTGCTGTATTGGCACCAAGAGGTCGACCGCCTCATAGCATTTCAGGCAATAGAAAAAGGCGGTTGCACAGTGAATGCGTAGTTCATGAAAGCGACACTAAGGAGTTGTCAGGGGAGCGTGATCGTAAACGTTACAGATCAGCACCCAGTAGCCAATCATATGGACATCCGGTGTCATTGGACACTACTGTGGCTCCACCCATTATCCAACAACAACGAGCGGTTGGACTACGACATTTCAGTCAACAAGTATGCAAGAAAGTTCGCGAAAAGCAAGTAACAACCTACAATGCTGTTGCTAACGAACTGGCTTCCGATATCCAAAGCTATTATACTGAGGGACAGTATGACCAAAAGAACATTCGTCGTCGTGTCTATGATGCTCTCAACGTTTTGATGGCAATGGATATCATTGCAAAAGACCGTAAAGAGATTCGATGGCTCGGAATCTCTGGACTTCAAAAGCCAACAGCAAATGATTTCGAAGGCGCGGAATCGAGTAAAGTTCAAGAGGAAAAAATGCTGCTTGAGGTGAGTAGCCAACATTTGTAGCTTGATGCATGCATGCATTCTCTTAAGACCAAACAAACTCACTCTACCCTTGTTACAGCAAAGGATTAAAACCCTACAGCAATCTGTCAAGGATACGAAGCAGAAGTTAGTTTACAAAATCAAAAAATATGCTCAGTTTCGTAACCTTATCAATCGAAATGTGGCAGATCCTGCTCACAGTGGAAAACAGCTGCCATTGCCTTTGGTTGCCTTTACTTGCAAGAACAGCACTAACCACCCTGTCCAAGTCCACGACTCTACCGATTCTATCACCGTGACTGGAAATCTTGTTGTCAACGAACGACTTGACGACACAGCTGTCATGGATCAATTGGGCTTGAATCAAGTTACCCGTCGTCAACATCTCAACTGGTTTCCTTCCAATTGGCATCCCTTCTGCTCAGGCTTGATCCGCAATGACTCTCACTAGCATGCCTGCCTTTGAATGAATAACCTACCACCAATTTTGTCGTCTTCACCGTACTTAACATTTAGCACATATTTCCTCCTCGTCCCTGTACATGATCAAACTACGACTCCTGTCCCCTTCCATTTACCATCGTCAAAGCTGTACCCGTACCATCACCTTTCATTTTTCATCAACACACACACACACACACACACACCTGTTTTCCTGCTTTCATTTAAGTCGTCCGTTTCTGTCATTTCTATTGTTTTCTTTCCATTTGTCATGCTTCTTGTTTTATACCACTTGCAAGTTTATATTCAGCGCACAGGATGCAACTATGTTTTTCGGACAAAATAAAGTCGATAACACCCCGCGCAAATTTATTCCATAGAGAGATGTGTTTAGTGCTCGGAAACACTTGCCCGCCAACTTTTTTTTTGACACGATGGCACTTCCGCACCCCCATGATCAGCAACATTTACCGGAGGGAAGACACAAACAAACAATATTTACACGTCAACCAATCCGAAATGTTCCCATGTCCGGCCACCCCCATGGATATCTGTATACATTTTTTTTATACTTTATTTTTTAAAGCAAATGTGGTAAGGAAAAGTACGATGGTGGTAAGGCAAATAAGGATCAAATAAGGTGTCTTGGTCGATCCATGTCAATCATTGCCCCTTGTCATTTAGCTGCAAATTAACCACTTCTGAGGTCAGGCTTGAAGTAGTGGGTGGTGATGCAGTGGATTTGAGATCTTTGATAGCGGGCACAACCGTCAACGACGGTCTAGATGTCAGCTTGGGACTGGTGAGAGGTAAGATGGGACTCATAGGGTCATAGACAATTTCTCCACTGGCGCCGGCGGGGTTGGGTAAGGTCAGGCTACCAGGGGCTTTGCTAGCAAGGTTGGTGGAAGCCTTTCTCCGAATGGACGCTGCCCGAGTTGGTTTAGGTCGATGGGTATCAACAGCCTCAATATCAACCTTGAACCGCTTTTCATCACAACCATATGCCTTAGGCGTCAATTCAATCACAGTATGCAAAGGTATTTTGATGTAGGGCAGATCTTCGTGGCTGTAGTTCATAAAATATGCATAAATACAGCGGAGGATGGCTTGATGTCCAATGATCAAAATGTTCTGGTGTCGTTCTAATTCCATAATAACAGGTTCTAAGCGTAATACAACGTCTCTATAGGACTGGGGAACCGATGAGTTAAATGACGCATTGCCGCCAGATATAGTAGGATTGTCTTACCTCTCCACCTCTATATCTGTAGTTAAATTTATCTTCATCTCGGTTGGCGTAATCCTCTGGATATTTTTCCTATGGAACGAGGAATGATTTAGGCGCATGCTCAAGTTATAACAGCCCACAATCCATTTGTTAAACTTACAGCAATTTCCTCATAGGTCATACCATCGCACACACCAGCATCAAGTTCTTCCAAAGCTTTCCATTGCTTTTTGGTTGGATGAGGCAACAACGATGCCGTCTGAATAGTGCGTTTCATGGTTGATGTCCAAATGGTGAGGTTTTGGTCACCAAGATTTTGACGAATAAGATCCGGCAACCGGCTTGCATACATTTCTCCTCTTGGAGACAGAGGAGAATCGCCGCCAATTTTACCTTCCACATTGAAAACCGATTCACCATGCTGATAAAAATGGGAGCATTGTTTTAGCAAGAGTCCAAATAAACCGCATCAGCGCTCTATATCCGCTACCCTATACTTACTCGACTCATATAGATCTTGCGGGGAGCGATGTGAAGATTCATGAGGTAATAGACAATACGGGATTCAAGATACCCTTTGATGAGATTGATGATGACCTGGCTTCCAACATTAATGAGCTTAATGTAGGTAAGACCTTCTTCTGTGATCGTTTCATATTGTTCTTGGTAGTGATCAATTCTAGCTCGGAAATCCTCTGCAGCTTGGTCTGGATCGATGTCGACATAATCGGGACTGGACAATTTGACATCTCTGATGTTGTTTAGAATAACCTCTTCATCCTGACAAATTGACTCAATGAACAAGACTTGTATGTCCTTCTTGTTCAAGCTCTCTTGTAACCAAGCTCGTCTCGTTTTGGTGCTATTCGTGGCATCATAGATAGCAACAATCCCCTCATCTTCCTCAAACCATCGCATCATATCTGCCAAAGCTTCGGCGGCGGCCTCTTTTCTTGACTTTTCTCCTTCGGGGTTGGCGGGATCGAAAAACGTATGCGGTACATGGGCACCAGCTAATTTTCTGCGATAGTTTCCCACATTAAACACCTTGGTGTTAATTCCAAGCCAAGTCAAATATCTACAGACTGCGGGCGTACATGTGAGATCCCAACATACGTACTTTCGTATCCGTGGCGTGACAAGACTATAAATTACCTTTTTGTGCGATGTACGTCTTGCCTCTGGCGGGTAAGCCGACCATCTATTGATTTGTTCATATGACCAACAGGTGTTAGTTACACATGAAGAAGTTTAAAAAATTTTCATTCCTTTGTTAAATGATTCGATAAGTGAGCTATTCGATGTATAGTGCGAATCAGCCCAGTTGGTTGGAAATGCGTAATAGGTTGGCGGCGGTTGTACGGTTTGAATAGCGGATATGGAATAGGAAGCCGAACAAATGTAACAGGGTACTTACAACGCAAGCAATGCGAAGATCTGTAGATAGAGAGTGATAAGCATTAGGGCATCATATGAGTCCCGTAAGCAGATCGAATGAACAGAGTAACTCACTTGAAGACATTGCTGATTACTGAAGGAGCGCGAGAGAAGGAAGTGACCGGGTTTGATATTGAATGACTGAAGCAAATTCTGTTACGACACTTTCTTCGCGGAGTTGCTGGCTGCCATCCAATTAGAAATTAGTTGCCTGCTTCAAAATCGATGTGGGGAGAAAGAACGCTGCTGAGGAGATCAGTCCGAAGTGACTTGTTTGCGGAAATACGGCGTAAACCCTTGCAGAAGTACCTGGTTTGCGGCTAATCATCGCTACGAAGAGTTATATGCGATGGAAGTTTCAAGAGGGCATACGCCATTTTGTTGTTAAGTGCCTTGTCAAACCAGACGGTCATGGCCTTCTCGCAGAGAACTGACGGCCGATACTTCGGCTCATCTCTTATTCAGCTGAATACCCCAGTACGCCTCATAGTGTTGCAGAATAAGGGACTAATAACGCAAACACCATGAAGTGTCTCGCAAATCATTGGCCTGAGGTTCTGTGAACCTAATATCGCAATGCTACCGTAAACCCACACATCAGAAATGGCTGCTAACTTCCAGGACCATTATTTTGACACATCGCTGCCCACTGAACTGTAAGTTGCGCTGTTTTACGATACTCTTAGGAAGATCAAAAGATTCATATCTAACGCTCATTGGGTTAGTAGCATATTGAAGAGCGACTATTAAAGTTTGCGATACTTGTAGATCGTTCAACAACGAACAACGATCAATACGGTGCAGGTAAATGAGCCTTTAATACACGTGGAGCACCTATCATTCCTCACATGCATATATGCTAAACGTCGAAACATATTTACGTTATTGGGAACCTCTCCTGTAAAGCTTACGTTTATTTTTTCATTATTCTTTATTCTTTAGCTCTCCTAACAGTTGAGGTCACTATCCCGCCACGGTGGCGCAATGTACCCGCTACATAAGAGCCCACTTAATGCAAACCATCAAATTTGAAGGCACGGGGTTACTAGTTATTGAAGCGCTGCTATGCAAAAGATGGATGTAGAATAATGCATGATACAATAATTTAAGGAAAGAGGTGTGTGATTTTACGCTGGCAGACATACATCGGGTGTGCTTGCGCTTACTTTTTCAGGTTCTCTCAGAGTGTCGTTGATGTGCATGCGAAATCAGCTGATAGCTCGCTAAGCAAGGATTTGTTTTGAGACGCAAAGTTTGGTTGGTGGATCACAATGGACTGCCTATCGATGTTTCAATCTCCTACCTTAGGTCACCAGTCCTTTCACACCTTGCTCCCCTTTTACTCACCCCAAATGCTGAAGGCAGTTGCATTCCAACGGCGAGCATTCTCTATGCCAGCCACTGTGCGGCCAACGCAGTCAACGTCTCCACCCCGCCATCCCATTACTCCTCCCATTCTCTCAGCAGAACAGAAAGCCTCTAGCTCACCAGCCCACTTTTACCAGAACCGAACCTTGGACTACTACGTCGAACAACGAGTTACGCCTATCACACTTCGTCAATTGGTGTTCTTCGGAAAGCGTCTGAACGATGAACGCTTGATCAAAAGTGCAAATTATGTCAGAAACGAATTGCCTGTCCGTCTAGCTCACAGGATTCGAGACTTTCAGCAACTCCCCTTCATCGTCGGTAGCAACCCTCATATTCAACTCGTCTACGATCTCTACTGGGCCGCTTTTGAAAAGTTTCGAAAAGTCCCGCCTATAGAGACGAAAGAGCAAAATCAAGAATATTGTAATTTACTACGAACTCTTCTGCGTGACCACTTGGTCGTCATCCCCCAGCTTGCCCTTGGAATCTCAGAATGCGCTCAACATATACCCGCCGTACACGCTAATCACTTTATGAACACTATGCTTCGATCCAGAATATCAAGGAGAGTTATCACCGAACAACATTTGGCATTGAGCGAGAGTAGCCAGGATATGAATAACGATGATGCCACAGTTGGCACCATCTTCACCAAATGCAATCCTACAAACATCATAGAAAAATGTATTGCCCTCATAGAGACCAGGTTAAGTGGGACAGCAAAATGCCCACCCTTCAACATAGATGGATCCACAGGTTGTGGCGACTTTACATATATCTCTGAACACATCGAGTACATTGTGTTCCAACTACTCTCCAATTCAGTTCGTCATACTCTTCAATTCCATAAACACAACAATGCCCCACCCCCTGTCAACATCACTATTTGTTCCAATGACACCGACATTTTGATTCGTATTTCAGATCAAGGTGGAGGAATGTCACCCGAGGCATACCGAGATTTATGGTCATTCACATCACAGCGGCGGTTCAAAGCTTTCGAGACCATTCCCCAGATGGCTGCGCGAATAGCAGAAGAAGAAGAAATACCATGGAGTTGGCAAGGTCAGGAAGATCAGCATCTAGGGATTGGCTTACCTATGAGTAAAGTGTACTCTGAATACTGGGGAGGCGAGCTGAAAATCATGTCGATGGAAGGATTTGGTACTGAAGCATATATTCGGATTCCACGGCTGGGCAATCAGACTGAGAACATTGATTTTGAAGAAGCCCAAGAGGTCGAGTACGTACCTGCTTGGGAAAGCGACGAGCGACATACCATAGTTCGCCACAGCTCCATTCTTGGCCAATGACCGCTAAAATTAAGCATCCCTCAACCACTTTGTATTATTCCAGTTGATTGAACACAAATAAAAAAAAACCCAACACCCTGTAACCTTTTAATCCATTTTACATCCATTGAATAACTGATATAGTGTTTGGATGGCCGCAGCATGACCGACAGGTCGCAGACTGCCAGAGCGATGTGCTCTTTGCATATGTCGTTGCGTGACTGCTGCAGGTTGCTACTCAAAAAAAGTTACATATTCAGCTCAGCAGGTGTCCTATGCCGCTGGGTGCACAGTTTGAAACACGTCAGAAAGGCTAGATTACAACAGCACTGATGAACCAACAGCGCGTATCGGATGCAGCGGCGCCGTCAGATCCTACAACAGCTTACCAAGCGTTTGCTAGAGTCTTGATGGCCACCAGCCATGGAGAATCCAACATTAAAGACGCAGAAGAAATGTGGACGATATTGCACAAGACCATTTTGGAATGCTCAAGAGCCCATGTTGAAGTACGAAGTTTACGAGATTGCATAGTTCCTTAAAAAGAGTTTTACCGAACACATTCCCTCAGTGTACCTACCTACATTGGTACTGACGATCTTTGACAAACCTGTATATGTATAGGCTGGTAAATCGTGGATAGCAAAACATTGCAAGCAGCCAACGCAGCTTGAGTCACTTTTCGACCTGATGATTGCCTTGGCCAGATCCAAGTCTGCGTTTAAGGATAGATTGCATCTCATTTACCTAGTGAACGACTTGCTGGCTTATGGGTACGGCCTTGTTGCTTTGCAGCTGTTGAAATTTGCGTCTCTGGGACTGACCGTTGCTTCTTGTTGGACACAGTGATCGAAAGGAAATCCCTTGGATTAAGGATACCTTGTATCCCAAGTTGGTTCCATTACTTCGTTTGGCCTATCATTGCCAAGGATGTGATCATAGCCAACAAAACCAGGTTCTCAAGGTGAAAATGTGATTCGGGTTTAAATGGATGTGAAACCGTAAGGAACAAGACTTTTGGCTAATTTTGTTCATCGTCTTCAACAGGTTATCACTATATGGAAAGAAAAGGAATACTTTCAACTCCCAGTTGTGACCTTGATCCAGAATGCTGTAGTCATGTCCAACAATGCTTCCAACCCACATCATTTAACAAGCCATGTACCAGAGATTCCAAAGGCTGAAAATAGCCGAAACCCTGTTCAAATGACAGCGCCAGGTACAGTACGACCAGATATGCCAAAGAAAAGCTATTTTGAATTACCGGTAGGGCCAATGATACCGTTAGCCAAGGTACAGTAATAGAGTTTATGCATTTTACTGTAAGAAAATATTTTAACTCTACTCTCATTACATCAACTTCAGTTGGAGTATACCCCCTATTCGCCAATACAGTCAAGCCTGCTAAGTATGACACAGCGTATGGCTCCTACACAAGAGTTATCTCAAGCTGTTGAACAGTACTACAATGAAATTGCCTTCGCCAATGACGAGAAGTTTGATGCTGAAGGATGGGAGAATGGATATTTGGATGGTTACTTTGAAGACATGAAAAGTCGAAAGGAGAAAGCGGCTGACATCCAAGCTCAACGCAAACTGGTGGAGGAAAGTCGGTTACGGCAGAGAAATGATAGACATACTCGTAGTGGTAGCTCTGACGCTGGCCACCGTGTGGGTAGCGAATCACGAGGACGGGGGGGTCAGCATTTGTAAGTGGTTCTCTATCATTCATGATAAATAATTTTTTGATCCTGACCCAATGTTAGTGGCAGCAGATCTAGGTCTCGTAGCCGTTCGCGGGGAAGACGACGAAGTGAATCAAAATCAAAGTATCAAAGAAGACGATCCTATTCCAATAGTCGCTCTAGATCACCATCATCACCTCCCCGTGGCAGACGACGACGGTCAACTACTCGATCGCGGTCTCCCCGCAGTCGAAATCATCAACGTCGATCTCCTCCAGTCAATCGTGGTATAGGATTTTCCTCGTCATCAGATACCCGCATGCCTCAAGGTGAAGGGCAGTCAGCGCATTATGCCAATGACTGGGTCACACCACGAACAGGATTAGGGGCTGGCCCAGAATTTGCTCAGACAGGCGATGCACCACCATCGTATGACACCTCAAAAAGCAGCGATGCGTTTGATGCCTATCGTCGAAATCGAAGTTATACGTACGGCCGTGACAATCCACGAAGAAATGATCCTCTTACCTGCTTTAAATGTCACAAGGTAAGGAGCAATAACATGACGATATCATTGTAGTGCCACCTATCTGACTGTGCTTGATCCATATAGCCTGGTCACCTCGCTCGAGATTGTACCTCGTTCATGACACCGTATTGAACATGGAAGAGCCATCTCTCGATGCATTTAACTTTCACTTGAACTGGTTTCACTCCTAAAAGTCTCATGGTTTTTTCTTTTATTGGGTTCCTAGCGTAGCGTGAAGAAGTATATTCTCATTAATAAATTGACGTCGCTGTGTATGGTACTGTTTTCAGCTTGCTCCCACTCTTTGAGTCTGTGTGTTTATAAAGATATAGCATGCATATGAATTTGCACATTATTCACATCTCTATATTAAATGACCATAAATCCCGGGCACAATGCACGTTTTCATGACCGGCTGTTTCAATGGCCTGTGCCCTTATCTCCTCCATCAATGCTAGAGCACCAGGAGATTCATCGCCACGATATCTTGAGCTAAAGTGGGTCAGGAGCAAGTGCTTTGCTTGAATGGCGTTAGCGAGACTACCTGCCATTTGTGGCGTGGAGTGTCCATGATCGACGGTTGATGCTGTGACCTCCTCGAGCGTTGTGCCGGGAGGATCGGCCGACGTCAAAGCATTGGTGGCTTCATGGACTAGAACATGCGGAGGGTATGCTTCGCAAAACGGTATAACAGATGTAGCGTCTTTGGTGTCTCCTAATATGACGACTTTACGACCACGCCGGGTGGGTGCTGGCAATAACTCTGTGCCATCGGGCAAGACGACTTTTTGACCTTTCTGTAGTTGACCCAACAGAACCATTGGGTTTTTAATTCCTTGGCGCGCGAGTGCATCCTTTTGACGGTCTAAAATAGGCTTTATCTCGGACAGGTTGATTTTACCAGGCACAGGTGGCTCGCAAACAATGTAACCAAGCGCTGGAATGGAATGTAAGATTGGTACGGCGGTAACAGTGTAACCATCCTCTAATTGGACCTGCCAGTGTGAAGACGGCTGTGAATAAATGTTGTCACCAGGCAGCTCGTTTTCCATCAAGCCCAGGTTCTCATCCCTCGGATCGTTTGGCGACAAAAATTCATGCACTCGGTATTTCCGCTGGAACGTTGCATATGTCAATTGAAACGTCGATCGCAGCCACCGTCGAAGGTTAGCTGGACCATATATTTCCAGTGTTTCAGAAATTTCATTTTGTAGAGTCATGGACATGGTGCATATCAACGCCGGCAAACCATAACAGTGGTCACCGTGCAAGTGGGTGATGAAGATAGCCTGAATGCGACCGGTTCGAACTTGGGATTTCTGAAACTGATGCTGCGTCGCTTCACCTACGTCGAAAACGAGAACATTGCCCGTGGGCAGTCGTAATGCCATAGACTGATGATTCCGGGTCGCTGAAGGGACCGCCGAACTTGTCCCGAGAAAAGTTATGTCCATTTGGCCCACCATGATGATCGATAAAGATAAGCTCAGGTAAGGGGACGCCAGCGGGACTCCATTAAAAAAATTATTGCTCAATGCATGATTTGGGCTTCAATTTTACCTCTTTGGCGCCCTTCGTCATATTTTTCATGTCCTACTTTTGGATTTATTCACAATTGGATCCAATGCACTCTTCCCCAGGCTTGATCCTTCAAAAGAACTAAAGAATATACATAGTCGAATAATTGTTGATGTTGAAAATGTGCACTGTGATTTACTAGGGTGGAAAGTTTCACGCCACGTACGTGCGTACGTACTAAATGGTTGTATTTCTGACCACGAGGACGGGACAAGGACATTCCTGAATACATTTTTCAGAGACTGAGCCTACAAAGACACTCTTAACCTTGCTTAGACCTCTGGATCCCATGATAAGTAAATCAACCGAGTGGTTTTGCGTGAACTTGGGGATGAGCTGCCTTGGATCGCCCCATAAAATGTGCTCTTCGCTTGTGGCAGAGAGGGTATGCAGCTCGGCGGCCATATCTTGAAGTCTTTGTCTAGCTAGATCGGATCCGAGAAGTTCATGTTGAGAGGGATCATTGACCATGGCGCTCACTTCGCTAGGGTTTGCGGATGTCATGGGTAGTGAAAGTCGACGACGGAGTATGGACTCAGATCCAGACCCACTTCCACGCCTGGCTTCTGTGCCGTTAATAGCTGACAGAAGTATGATATGATCTGATTCGGGTTTGAAAATGTTGGTGATAGCCCATTTGAAGAGCTTTTGAGCATCCTCTGAACCGTCGTAAGCCAGAGCAATACGACGGCGTTGATCCAATGGTAAAGCCATGATATTAGAATTTGTTAGTTGAAAAGAAGAAGAGAAACGTAAACTGAATCATGCAAACATCCTGGCTGCATTTTATATCTTTGAAATTATTTGTGCGTTTTTTGGCACAATTTTTTTTATCGTGCAAACAATTTCGCGAAAGTCGTACCACCATTCATAGTTTTCTATTGGGAAAAGCATGTTAGTGGGCCGGTGAACCAACGAAAGCGTTGTCAAAGCGTAGGAATGCCCAATGTCAGCTGACATTTTGCCACAAACCATACCACACAAACGACGAGGCCGCCATTTTACATGCAAAACTGACTCTACACAATTTCCCATAGGCGTATGTTTGGTATTTTTTTTTCATGAAATGTACCGTGAATTTGAATTGATTATATGCGGGTTGGGGAGGGGAAAGGGGACAATTGCTTATCTACATTAAGTAGAGGGGAGATGGGGAATCTAGTAGGCATTGCCACCTTCAAATTGACCATACTGCTGACCATACTGATGTTGCTGCTGTTGTTGGTGGTGAGGGGGCGGGGGAGCAGCAAATCTATCTTGGGAGTTGTAGTTTTGGCTCAATTCATCCTCGCCCAAAAGCTCCTTCACTTCCCAAACGTTCTGCTTGCTACCCACTGAGAATTCCAGATCCTCCTTGGTGATGGAATCCCAGTACTTGTATACCATCATGACAGCCAACAGCGAGCAGATGGTACCGAAGAACAAGCCGTCGACATAATGTTTGACCTGGTCGCAAATGACAACCGAGAAGATATACATGAGGACTTGGCCAATGATGAAAAATGCGGTTCCAAAAAGAATATCTCCCAAAGGCCATCGATCATCCAAAGTATTAACAACCAAAATGATTTGAAGAATGACATAGACAACGAAAGCGATGCCGTTGACGATGAAATAAAACACCCACAACACCGAAGGACTGGTGTAGCTGAAGGGGCCGTATTCATTAAAGGTGGCGATGGCGATAGCACCGACGAGGATGAAGACAACAAGGGAACTGATACGAATGGACTGAATAGAGAGTGAGCATCGATCCTATTATGCATAGAGGACATTCAAGAATGACTTACCCAGAGTGACCATGGCGTACCATCCTCAGCAAATTGAAAACCAACAAAGCCGTTCAACAATAAGCACCAGAATGTAGCACTTATTAAACCAACATGAACGGCTGTGAACCACTATATGCACATAAAATTAAAAATGATGAATAAAAAAATACATGCAGGCACGTTGGTCAACATGTACTTACAGGATAGACTGAAGAGGCGGTGGGGATAATTCCAGTGACCAAAAGCATCTCCAAAAAGACAGTAATCATATATAGGTAGAAGAACATGACGATTTCCTTGCGACCTGTAGAAAAATATTGACGTGTTACAGAGTTGCCCGTTTTGACCAACGTTGCTCATAACATTGCCCCCAGGTTACGTACCGACAGCAGTGTACTTTGACTTGATGTGATAAATCATAATGGCCGTCATGATAATAGCGACGATATCGATAATAAGGGTAGCTAAGAGCAGGACAGGTTAGGAAACGTGGTGGATATTATTCGAGGGAGGGGCGAGAGCGGTTTTTATTACCTGGCTGGAAAATCAGAGTGCCAGCGAGATCGACATTACGAGAATAGCAGACAGGTTCTATTCCGTCGTACTTTCCAATAAGTGGACAAAGTGATAAGGCCACAGTTTGGCAGATGCCATTAAAGCTGAATGCCTGGAAGCTGAATGTAATTTGGACCATCAGTCAAATTACTGTTTTGGCGCGTGATGAACCGAGAGAATATGAAGTTGGAGAAAAAGGTTGAAAGGATGTGGGTTGAAATTCCTCGGGAGGAAGTTTGGTTGATTCAAGAAGTAAGCGACAGGTTATGAAGCTGGCAGAAAAAAAGCTATAAAAAAATAAATTGGGACCTGTTCCTTTGCAATATTGGAAAGCCCCAGTAAGCCCGTTCGACGAACGATCATCATTGGCTGATTTGTGACCCCGATCATATCCTGAAAATAGATTGCGAAGGCTCGTTAGCTTCGTTAAAAGCGCTATAAAGCTACTAATGACTTTACTACTGCAATATAATTTTTCTTTTCTTTAGCTACCCTATATTTTCGGGGTCTGAACGCTTTGACCCTACCCAGTTCTCGAATCTATTTTTGCCTGGAGGGATGCATATCTTTCAGGAGGCTGGCTTTGTAAATATTCCAAAGTGGGGGGCAAGCAAAGATGTCAGCGCAGGGACTGCTGAAATGGAAAAGTGTGATTTCCCAAGCGTTGGCCAACAAAGACATTCTCATCTGATCATCATACGGAGCCAATCATTTTAGTGGCGCTGTGGTAACTTTGCCTTTTACAGTAGGTGACCTTTTCCCCACCAATTGAAAATTTTAAGCCCGGGCATGGTCATAAAACCCATTGCCTTTCTCTTCTTGTCCACACTCAAACACCATGTCTATCACAACGCTAAAGCACCAACATCAAGGATCAGGAAGAAAGCTCACAAACGCTTTCTCAAAGCTCAATCTCACACGACGCACATCATCTACGCAGATGGAACAACAGCCGGCGTCACCCACTTCATCTATTAGCTCACAACCATCAGTAGCCTCCACAGAACCAGCCAGTCCTAAAAGACGAGTGTCATTTGCAGACGCACCTCCAAAAGTGCATTACTTTGATAGGGCAGATCATGAGGAAGAATGCTTCATATTCGATGCCAGACTGGAAGATGAGAAGAATTGTCCATGGAAGTATTACCTTAAGGAAGAGAAGAAGGGTTTTAAAGGAACCCTCAAAGCCATGCTCGGCATGAATAGCAAGAAATGCATTAACGAGAGCGATGAAGAATGGGAAGAATATCAACCTTCGAATGTTTGGCGACACGATGCAACCACTGTTTTTATGTTTTGATCGACCCATGGCTCCGATCTCAGTCTGACTGGAACAAAGCTTTTTTGCTGGGAGATTCTCTCATGGCATTGGCTGGTACAAGCCACTTCTCCCTTCTATTCCCAACAACCTATATCAACCTGTACATATGTATGTCCACTACAGAAAAAGACACTCCATCCTATATGATGAATTATTTTAGATACCAATGATAAAATGGATATTATATAACTGACTTGCCTGGGCTATGACTGTTTTTTCACGGGTGATTTGGTTTGTTTGTGCCTGCGTCCCAAGTCACGGTCGGTCATGAAAAGAGGAGAGGCTTCTTTACTTTGATAGAAACTGGGACTGACTTGAAAAAGTTTGCCATTTTGCGGAATATGCTCATGGATGATAGAGTCATTGTAAAATTGCATGCTTGTCGCCTGAGCAAGCCAGTTGATTTCACATGATACCCACATCCCATTATTATCTTACAAAATGCCAAAAGCGCGTTGCCATATTTGATCTGCCGGATAGTTTCCACTTACTTGCATGGTCAAGTCATTTTATTAGCTCGTGATATTTCGTTGTGTATAAATACATTATAACGCTGGCCTGCCTGATCACCTTCTATTCCTCCCTCTCTCCTTTCTACCATCTTTCTTCCTCGAATTCAATCCACTTCTCACACCATCATATCGATGCTGACAACCAAAGCACAGTATTCATCCACTTCCAATCTGGCTATTCAGTCACCTGTGCCAACACACCTACAAGATCCACTACATAGTAGAAAGGACAAACAAGTGCATCGATATCATGGTACCGCAGCTGTGCCGCCCTCACCGACCCAAAGCGACCATAGCACACGAGATCAACATATCACTATGAACACGCCAGATCATGGAAAAACACATCGGTTACGCTCTCCTACCTTAGACCAATCGCAAAATATAAGAGATCAATCTTCATCGAGCATCCCAACCTATACCATAACAGAATACGAAGAAGCGACCAGTACCAAGCAATTTCAAACGCAGGACGAAAAATCGGCTTATGGAGACCCGACCGTGTTACCAACTCTAACAAGACCAAGTCCATCACCTCTGTCCGCTTACTCGGCTCACTCCAGCTTTAGTCACGCATCTTCAAATATTGATACTCCTCATTCCATATTTCACCGACAGCATTTTTTCTCTTCTCCTTCAGTCTCTTCTTCCATGCCGAGGTTAGAAGATCCTATCAATGATCAGATCACTGAAAAATCAGTTGCCCACACCCATGATAGTCGTCGCCCCCACCTTCTTGAACGTCACTCAATGCCGTTGCCGTCTCTACCTGATTTCGAAGTAGAAGCCTACTGTCCTTCCTGTAAAAAATGGGTTATGACCAGAATCAGGTATCGATCCGGCGCCGGTGTTTGGCTTTTCAGCTTCGTTTTGTAAGTAACTACCATCTACCGGGCATATATGTCCTGTCTTTTACTAATAGGCTTTCATCCTTAGACTTGTCTTGACCATTGTGTTCTTCTGGATTCCGTTCTATGTAAAATATTTTAAAGGTACGTTAGAGTTTGATCTCAAAGCGAATTACCCGGTCATTGTGCCTAACGGACATTTTTTTAGACGTTGTACACTTCTGCCCCTCGTGCGGTCACAAAATTGGTCGTTTCCGCAAGATATAGAGTGACTTATATATAATACCCATATACCCCCCAGGCAACTACATATAATCGCCTTCCCCGAATAATTGCACTGTCATCGCTTATTTGAATGAAAACGAACCACCCAAAAAATACATATATATATAACAAATGTACATTTCCCCTCCAAAAAAATGAAGTGAAATTTTTTGAGTTTGTGAGATCATATTATTACAAAAACGATTTACATATCCGTATCGCTATCCTCTCCTTCCTCTATATAAAATGACGGAAACATGGAGCAAACTTGATCAACATACCATTGCCCATTATCAAGTTGGTAGAAGTCTGCTGAAAATACCATGTTCGGGATAAAGCGATCGCCAATATTCTTTTCCAATAAAATTGAATACTGTTCAGATTCTTGTTCGTACTTGCACACTTTGATGGTAACATAGACACCAGACACAGAGTGCTGTGGATTTGACTGGCTGGCATTTGGTGTGGTGGTGGATGATGATTCAGTGGCGCCAGATTGACCTTCCACATGGACGACTTTGACTTTTTGCATAGGTATTTTGTTGACAACCTTACGACCTTCATGCTTTCCCACAATAGGCTCCACGATGGCAACCGCCTCCGGTCTGGTCATACCAACAATGTCCGACAAAAAGTTTCCATATGTGGCTTCTAGGTTACTATCACCGGTATTCCAAGTGGGGGTGAAGTCTACAATGTCTTTTTGCTGGCCCTCAAACAGAATGCAACACGCTTGATTGAATTTGTCTGGAAACATGTTGATCAAGACTTTACAATTGGGGAGTTCATGACGGGCTGCTTCACAAATGGCTCTGGCTTTTGCAATGTCATCAGCGTATTCTGGACACACGTTGCGAATTTCGAGATATCGTAAGAAGGCGTCAACGACACCCGGGGCTTCGTGGAATTCTGACAATTGAATAAATTTGGATTGTCGAATAAACCGGCTGCCAAAATAGATCTGCGCCACCTCTGAGAAGCTGACTGTGGTGTCTTCGTCAAGATCATCATCAACAGCATCGATTCCAGTCTTGGCCGCCTCAAAGTCCTCTTCCATCAATTCTTCGCCAGGATTATCAGATCCGGTTGTTCGGCCCAAAAATGCGTTTTGTCCAGTATTGATGCCGCCGAATCGTAGGTAATCGTCAAAGATATTTTTTTTGGATATCGAAAACTTGTGATTCTTTCTGTACTTGGCCATGGCATACTCGACGCGTTGCCCAAGTGGTCGTGCCCTATGGATGCGACATACAATGTTACTTTTTCAGCGTCACGCAGATAATTACAGGATGCTGTCAAGTAACTTACGGGTTGAAAGGGTCGTTTTCGGGATCCTCGTTGTACTTTTCAACATAGTCGTCAGGGATGATTGAACCGGCTTCAGGAAGATTAGCCGTCTTTGCCTTTCTCTTCTTCTTTTTCGGCTTCTTTTTCACTTCGATTACATTACTATCCGATTCAGCTTCAATTGTGGTTGCATTGGTCGAGTCTTGTTCATCATTTGATGGCTCGGTTTGTTTGAACAACTCATCGTCGTCGTTATGATCCATCATCTCCTGCGCTTGAGCCTTGACTTCGGCCAAATGCCCAAGACTAGTCTAGTAAGTTACGTGTTGGGCTATAGTGAATGATTGAACACAGAGAGGCAATTACATTTGCTCCTGAAAGCCATTGGTATTGGCGTCTTCCATGACGGGTCAAAAGAGTTTAAGGTGGTAGTCTTTGGCAGGACAAATAATCCACACATGAAGTTGACTGCTTTTTTATTTATCACCATGTCTCTTCTACTGCATCAAGCTATCTTTCAAATGCTGCGTAGTGTCTCTCACAACCGCATCAAGTATGGTATGAATCTGCTCACATCCTTCCGTAGCTAAGGATGCCACACTCTCCAACATATCAACGTGAAGGCGAGATTCCATTGACATCAAATTCACTTTTCCCGTTCGAGGCAGGATGGCAACCGTCAGTTCTGGACTATCTGATGACTCTTCAAGATAATTGAGATCTGGAAGAAAGAAACATTCGTTATTAGATGTCATTCGTGAAAGGCTTTAATTCAAATCTTTGAACGTACCCAGCACAGGTTGCTTGTCAATACATCCTGCCGTTGAAGCACAAACGTAGTCGATCATGGGAATACCAGCGTCAATCAATGCCATCGTCGCAGCATTAATACAGGCTTGCAAAGTTCCTGTGTGACAAAAGTTTCAGACACTGTAGACCACCAAGAGTTTCTACAATCCGGGATGCATTACCTCCATCATGCTGAAGCACTTGCAAATAAATATCGATTTGTGAGCGAGGGAACTGTGACGTTTGCACTACAGGCTCGAATGTTTGTCTAATTGATGATGCTATTTCCAATGATCGCCTAGATAAAACGTCAAACATTTAATGCCATTGTCATATCTCCATCACCATTTTTGCCGTGGAGTCAGTAGTTACTTGTCATTTTTGGATCGCTTTTTACGCTCGCTTGTGCTGAAGGGTGCCACGTTGAACTCTACATTAATGATGGCTCTATCGTGTAATATTTGCATTCGGTGACGGACCTGGTTGGATAAAATATGAGCTATGGTACCAGTATCCTGTTGTAATGGTAGCCAACATACCTCCTGTGGACCATATACCGCCGCCAAAACTTTGGTGTTTCCCTGTTCAATGTATGCCGATCCGTCTGCCTGAGCGAGAACACTGGTTTTCGCAATGATTTTTCTCAGTTCATTGGGTCTTCGACCATCAACGCGGAGACCTGAGGAAGAATGTTAATATGGACATGGTTTGTGACTACTCGTACATGTTTAGTGTTAGGATCTCAGTATACCTTCCGGTGTAAGAAGCTCTAATCGCGACTATTTCAGAGAAAACAAAGTCAGGTATGTTGGTAGAAGTTCAAGTGTTGCGAATGACAATAATTACCATGCTGTGTGATTTTAAGTTGTGCTTTGAGGAGTGATCTGAAATTCAACTTTTTCGACGGCAAGTTTTTTTTTCCTTCGTTTGCGGAGTTGCTTTCCGTCAATTCTTGCTGAGATTAGCTTATTACGTTGGCGGTCACTTCAGGATATACCTGATATGTTGTAGAACGACAAAAACTCGATTAAACCATGAGGACGAAGCCAATTGTCATTGAATTTTTTTATTTTAAATTTATTAAAGAAGAACAGTAGTGCCAATGGATAAATTCATCACGTAATAATAGATCAGCTTTGACACACGCATGAGGCCAAGGTTATCAGCCGTTTAAATCATACTCGAGGTGGTCTATACCAGAGAATAGGTGCATACTACAAGATCTAGAAATTTAAAACAAATTCAACCGGTTTTCTTATTGTCAACACTTGCGAAGGAGTGTCTTGGTTCATCCACTTTGACCTTGATTGTCTTAAAGGTTGTAAAAAATGATCTTCATATAGACTACACGATTTTATCGTCTAATTACTCAAACTATCAAACATGACAGCAAATAGCTACAAGATATATCTTAAATGTTGATATATTTTTATCGGCAATTGTGGAAAGTAGTTGTATTTTTTTTCTTTTGCCATCGACGCTCCAATTGCACACTCAAAGTCTTATAGAAAAACGGCGTTCATCATTGAGAATGACGACAAATATTGAGTTGTGAGTTGTAAGAAATGAGAAGATGATAGGATGCTATCGACAATCATTAATAAATTCCTGCCGTAAAAAGAAGCTGCTTCTTCACATCTGCATTAATCCTTCAGCCGTATTTGCTATCTCAGCAGCATTAAGAAAATCTAACTCTCGGCCAAAGTACATGTATTACAGATAATTTTTTATTTCATGATATACACATGTATAAGTAGAATATGATACAAATAGAGTTAAAAAAAAGGGTATATCCAAGTTCAACCGGGAAACCCTTCGGTGCATTTGCTGAGGAATTCAAAAGGCATTTTTGATAAATGCAAATAAGAGAAACTGTACTAATCCGATAGAGTATTATATACTTCATGCGCTGGGAGTGTCCTCGACATGCTCATGTTCGACACCCTTTTCATCTTGAAATTTTTCAGCAGAATCTCCTTTAGAAGTTTGTGCTTCATTACTTCCAGTAGCGTGAGCTTGATCGGCTTGGGCTTGCTTAAGATCTTCAGTATTTGAGAGTTCCAAAAGGTTTTCCTTCGCGACTTCTTTACGGAAAATTTTCCTCTTAATCCATCGTCCAGCTTGACGCCATTGATAAGCAGCATGCTTGTGAGTAGGAACGGAGAATACAATATCCAACTCTTCGAGAGTGTAACCCTTGGTTTCAGGAACAAAGAACAAGATAAGGAAGAAACCAATAATACACCATCCTGCATACCAACAGAAAGCACCAGTAGGAGTGAATGCAGCCAATTGCGCTGGGAACACCAAAGCCAAGATGAAAGAGAAAGTCCAGGTGACGAAAGTAGCGAATGACATACCAACATCACGGATATGGAGTGGGAAAGCTTCGGCACTGTACGTGAAAGGAATAGGTCCTTCTCCTGGAGAGTAAAAGATCATAAAGGCGTAGATACCAAAAGCAATGAGACCAAGTCTAGTTGTTTCATCTTGGGCAAAGAAGGAGAAACCGGTGAACAGCAAAGCAGCGGCCATAAGAGGGAAAGTGGAAAGCAAAAGTGGTCGTCTACCCCAAGTGTCAATAAGTTTGATGGCTGGAAGAGCGAACAGGAAGTTGAGGATACCAGCACCCAAACTGGCAGTGATAGCAGTTTGATCGGAGATACCAGCTTGCTTGAAGATAACAGAGGAATAGTACATGATGACATTGACACCACAGAATTGTTGTAAAAACATGACAATGAAGGAAGCAAGGGCGGCTCTTCGGTTACGAGCAACAGTGAAGAGTTCAGCCAAAGGATTACCACGTTGGAAAGCAGCCTCCTCCTGTACAGATTCATGAATGAGATACAGATCGGCCGCAGCTTGCAGTTCAGTCCAACGAAGACGCTTCAAAGAGTTAAATGCCTTGTTGTAGCGACCCTTCCTTGCGTAGTAACGAGGAGTATCTGGACCGAAGTAGATCATTGACATGACAATAAGAGGAGCAACAACAGTAGAACCCAACATCAATCGCCAGTTTAGACCACCCTCGCTTGTGATATTCATGAACGCCACGTCAATAATATCTAGGAAAGACAATCCATGTTAATTTACGTGAGTCCAATAAGCATCGTAGTGGGTAAAAAAACCTGTATTTGCTGTACTTACATCCCAACATGATACCGAAAGCAGTGAAAGTTTGCCAAAGCATGACAAGACCGCCACGAATTGATGGTGGAACGGATTCGGCAGTATAGACAGGAACTGAAGCTGAGTTGTTTCCGATAGAGATACCCAAAAGGAGACGAGCCACGAACAAACTGACCCAAGATTGAGAAAAGGCCTGCCAAAGAGAGGCTGCGACACCAAGTGTGCATCCAATGAAGATAGATCCACGTCGACCAAACCAGTTAGACAGTGGAACGTTTATCCAAACACCAGCGACGGCGCATGCAAGATATGGCGCACCTGTATGGAATCGGAGTCTTTAGTTGGTTGTTTGTTTTTTTGGGCTGCGGGGTAGGTTCTCTGGTTGCAGCAGTGCACTTACCGTTCACTAAGCCTTGCAGCAAGGTGTTATCAGTCAAACCGAATTGTTCAACGAAGAAAAGTTGAGCTCCATTCACAACAGTTTCGTCCATGCCTTGTACAACAGCAGCCATAGCGCCGACACTGACATGTGCAATGGTGACTCAGTAAAGATGATAGCAAGCACGATAACTATTGACAAAAACTGTACTTACGCTGCCAAGAAGTACATTTGAGCAGGTTGGTGCCATCGATGAGTAACTTCACGTCTTAAAACTTCCTTTTCTTCTTCTGTAATATCAGTCCGACTTTCCCAATTGTCAGGGTCCTAGATAGAAAAAATTGTTCCTTATCAATTAGACACATAATGAAGGGAGGGAATTTTGGCTGAAGGAATCGAATAGACGACTTACATTCGCCAGTAATGCACCACGCTTGATCACATCTTCATATTCTTCAAGACCGTTTTGGTTAATGATATTGGTTGCAACATCCAACACCTCCTTTTCTGATTTGACGACTAGAGGTTTGCCCTTCTCTGTATCAGCTACGTGCATTTTCGAAAGTGTGGAGAAAGTGCGGGGTAGTTGGATATACGAATAAGTTGGGGTTGGGTGGAGGATTTATATAAGCGAAACTTTGGACACCTTTGCTAACTGGCTAGTATGAGAATGGGTTTCAGGAAGTCGAAAAAGACACCTCAGATAGCTAAATATGGTGTATAACATTGGCGGAGTTTAACTGGGTGACATAGTGCTTCTTCGTTTGCCCACAATCTAACTTCCTCATTGGTTAGCCTTCTTCGTCATTTGCCGAAAACTTTCGAGCATGAGTTTTGTTCTAATTGCCATACGGAGCCAAAGTTCAACCTGTAATGATAATATGATTAACTGACACAGCCATCCATTCTTGTGGTTATGTCATTTAGCTTTCTAATTTCTCCGTCTAATAGACCGCTCAAGATTAATTACTTTACTGCCATGGTATCCGTTGCACTTCACAACGCTGCTCATGGTGATCAATTGCATTGCCTTGATATTGCGATTTAGTGTGTTCATTGAATGAACATGATGCGACGTCTAACGTGACCAGATATGAACTTGCCCGCTACGGCTAATTTTTATTTGGTTTTTGTGGGGCATTACTGTCTCACGCCATGCAAGTTTTTCCTTCTGTCTTGACTTTTTTGCTAAAAATCGCAAAACGAAACCTTGCAAACGAGGAAACATCCGAACCGTGTGACCACAATATTCGATCGCCTAGTCATAATTTGCGCTACGCTTTTGGACAATAATAATAGCCGTGTCTTTCCTTCCCTGGCGGCATAAATCTACAACTACAGCTGAAGAAACGCATCTCATGATGCATGCCCCCCGCAACCCTGTTCATTTCCGCTGATAGTCCGCAAACTCGTTGATAACCATATATGGCCCTTTACCTCTTTCCATCTCCTCTTGATTGTCCACTGCATAGGCCAGGAAAACTCAGAATATCAACTTAGTCGCATATGGCAAATACACAATCTGCTTTGTCAATCTACTAACTTGCTAAATAGAGGGAAAGTGCTGGGGACATAGTCGTTTAGTCATATTGGATGGACGTCGGGTTACCGAAAGACGGGAAATTTATTGTTTCATTTTGACCTAAGCTTAAGTTGAAGAAGTCAAAAGATCTTCAAATTTGACGGTTACCAGAAACTATCTTATCTTTTAACGGAGCAGGTAGCACCATTTCAAAATATCTACTGCTGTAGATTTACTAATAGTTTACTGATGGTTTCTGGATATAGATATATGAAAACAAAAACTAGTCAAATGTACCTTAGATCTCATATCCGAATAGTATGAAATCTGACTTTTGGTGGTAGGTTTGAGGGTGGACTAATGTAAATCCAACGTACATAAACGCTCGGAGCAAATTGCCTAAGTTAGATTATATCGAGGTGATACAGTCAATCATAAGTTTTTGTTCCTTATCCTAGTCTTGTTCTTGAAAACCTGACTTACCATTGTTGACAGGATGGTCAATCGCCACAACTAGGCGATTACAATCCGACCTGTTTTCTGCCATTTCGATTAAGCTTATAATGCTACGTAATAAGAGATACATTAGATCTCGCTCTAACAGTGTTCCTGAAGGATGAAAAGCTTACCATCTTTGGAATTCACCATCTGCCCAGGTTGTGGGCCCCGAAAGTGCGGCCGGAGGTTGCATGAAGATGGTATCATTCCAAATAAAGGCTTGACACTCTATAAACTCCAGACCAAGGCCTTCTTTTGACACAGTCACATTCAGACTTTGCTTGATCTCCTTTGAAATAGGGGAATCTGGGAACAATGCCTTTGCAAATCCAGACACCGCTGCACCAGAAAGCGGGTTAGAACATCTATTCACCGTATTTGACTATGAATGCGCCACATACCTTCTTTCTTCTCTACCACATTGATACTCCTGAAGCGAGAAAGTTCAACATGAACATGTTCACGATCCACAGGTTCTAGAGGGGGGGAAGGGGGAGCTGAAGCGGCGGCATTTAAGCTTTGAAGTAAGATGGGTCGAGTTTCATTACAACTCTGGGTGGTGAGAATCATTTTTTCCTGCTTGTAAGTTGAAGCAGGTATGTTGGGGATGGTGATCAAACTGGTGTGGTGCGACAATTTCTACTACTACTACTACTATTTGATATATTTTGTTTGGTGGCCTTAGAGCACAGAGAATTGGAAGAGTAAAGGAGGATTACGATATTGTTTGCCAGTGCTGCTAATTGAAAGTGGTTCCCTGCAAAATGGCAAAAATTGTTAGATTTTAATTACTACATCATGCTGAGTAGCAAGTTACGCATAACGTACGGATGGAACTCTCTAATGCTAGAAAAAGGTAGGTGAAAAGGTGGACAAAAGTCGATGGAAGCAACCGAAAAGTTGAAGAGATGAGCTTTCGTTTAGTCTTTTGTAAAGATGCTGAATTTTCAGTTGCTGCAAGCAAGCGATTGGTGATTTGTCAAAACTGAAGGAAGTTGTTTTGAATAATCAGGCGCTTTTTAAAATTTTTCCCTAAGACCAGTTTTTTCAACAATGCTGCCGATAAATGATCTGATATAAAGCGTGAGTCTGTTGCTTTACAGAATTGAAGTGAGAGCATTCCATCAAAATCCCTAACTTAAGGTTGCTCTTTTTTTCAAGTAGATATGGTTAGAATCGAACCATCTTTTTAACTTTTAAACCGACCGCTTCACTCGTAAAGGGCCCAAGCCAATTTGTTGGACAGGGACACTCCATATTGCATAACATATGCGGAATTTCACGCGAGAGGCCAAAGTAGAATATCCAACTAATGAACCCAAGTGTCATGCTCTACTTGATTGCCTGGCCTGAAAGCTGTCAGCTGAGTTTCCATTCTATCAGATTTGCAACCCTCATAGTGGTGAATAGCCAACTAAAGAAAGATTGACAATGTCGTCTCTACAACGCACATCGTGCAGCAAAATCGGTATGGTAAGACATAAACGTTGGTTACATGAAGAGATGCCTCATTTTAGACCATGAGTGATATCATTGACGTCGCTTATTTTCCAAACAAGATTGCAAAATGACTTTTTTATTGTTTCAATTTTTGGTAACCGTTCGGCCAGTCAGCAACCGATAGAATACTGTACCATTCCACACAATTTCACTTTTTATATTCTACAAAGGACTCAAACGCCATTTCTATATTCTAGAACCTTGTTGACGTAATACGCGCCGGCAGCCAGAGAAACAATAGTAAGCGCTACGGGTACGGGCTTGCGGAAGCCGGTTTTGACAGCACGAGGACCCATTGCTCCAGCAAGGACAAGGGAAGCGACAGCAGCTGTTTCAGCACCATAATCTTTGTTCTCCTTCAAAAGGTAGGCGGCGCCACCATAAAGAGAAGCTACACCAAGGCCAGCAACGAGCGATGGAGTTGAACGGGTCTTAGCAAAGCCGGCGATTCCGCTGAATGAATGCATGTGTTAGACTATGGAAGAGAAAAAGCACTAGCTTCCATTGCAGTGATTACTTTACCCGACGGCGCAAAGTGCTGCCATGGTCATAGCTGTGTGATGAGACATTTTGATTATGATGCAATAGAAAACTTATGCGTGCGCGCAACAGCGACAGCAACTTTTTTTATGCTTAAATTTTGACTCATTCGGCGCAGGACAAGGGACGGAGTCAAAACCTTCACCACAACCATTGTACAATAAACTAGAGTAACTTTGCATTCACGAGCCCGCAAATAGACGCAAATACATAACATGTCGTTAGCAATACCATGCCTGTATTATGTACCATTTTGCAAGGCTGTTGAAAGCAAAGGACTACCACTTTGCACAAGTAAGATGTTGATGTATCCACATCCGTACGCTTTATAAAGCCATGAAAAGCATTCAATCTTCTTTAATTTTATACTCTTCGCTATATATTACAGTGGATTATACATTATCTTATGAAGTGGGTGCTGTACAAAAAGTTTGTTCAGCAGTTTGTGCGGCCCATGCGATGGCATCAACACTACCCACATTTATGGTATGGTTAAAACCAACGGCTGAAGCCCATGGTGGGGAATTCATCTCCTTGCGAGACAAGACATAATGTTTAAAAGATACGTGTCAAAACCCAGCGCTGACGACCAGAGCCGTCATCCACGTCAAACATGTCAACTAGGTTTGAACTATTAGTACAGTCTGCTGTACTAAGGAATTGATTGCAGCCTGCTCTTCCTGTAACTGTCATCAAGTTAAAATGATTGGTGGTATTGCCTATAGGGTTTGCAAACCATTGTTGCCTTCCAGATTCTGAGTCAAAAGGTAATGTTAGAGGCTGGGTCATGAAGAAATTGGATTTCATAGTGACTTACGATCATCTCCACCGAATAACGTGACAACGTTGCTTGGACATGGCGAACTGCTCAAAAACGTACTACATCCGGATCTTCCACCAACTACAATGTTATAAATATTGGTCTTTCCTTCTACTAGGGTGAATAACCATTCCTGTCTGCCACTATCTAAAGTATGAAAATAGAAAATGAGCTCTCCTAAAAATGTCGAATGAAACAATTATCAAAAATTCTTACTGTCATCTCCAGAATACATGTCAACTGTCCCTCCCGCAGAGCAACCAGCAACACTTAAAAACTGGTTGCATCCATTTCTACCGTTACCTACGGTAATACGGTAGGTTGCGTTGTTGATGGGCAACCCAGCAGCTGTTACATTCGGTCTGTCTGGTGGCGGTTTGGTGGTGGTGTTGGAGGAGCCTGTAGTGGTGCTGGCGTCGTTATTATTGTGCGTGGTTAAGTATGCTGGGACAAAGGCGGCCACAAATATCACGATCAAAAGTATGACACCAGCTATTATTTTTGTTCGTCTCGATAATCTAACAAACCAGTTTTGCTTTGGAGTTTGGTTTGGAATTGTTGTATATTGGGTTGTGTTAACAGCCGCAACATTCTCAGCTTCATATTTGCCGTGCTTCATGTCCCTTGGCTCCTGTGGCAGGGTCGGCTTAAAGTCTGGTTCATCAGGCTTCATAGGGTGATAAAGAGGGTGTGGATCATTGGAGTCGTCTGGTTTCTGCATGTTTAGCTGGAATATGCGTCTATCGATAGATAGTACAGTGAAAGCGAGAAGACAATAATATTAGGTGGCAGATGCAACAAATTTTGCATCTGTAAATCAGGGGCCATTTATATAGCAGGACTTTAGATATCTAGAACTGTGCGGAAAAAAATGGTCTTGCATATAAAAATAGTACTTTTTAGCCTCAAAAGAAATGATAATCCCAAACTTTACTACTGCTCACATCGCTGGAACACATTTTTGGTTTGAGTATAAAGAGCCTTTGCAGTGTTACACATCGGCCGAGGCGCATATAGTCTATGGCTTTGATACGCTTAACATGCCAAACTCCAGCCATCCATCCCTGTGAGCTTCATCGTGCACTATATGTTTGTAGTCTATATCTCATACCCTCAAAGCATGGTCGTCCTTCGTAATCTTGGTCGACGACCATACACGACATGCAGCGTTAAATTGTTTTTCCGTTTAGAGCTTTAGCTGCCGACCATTGGCCTACTTATGGCGCAGTGCGGGATAGCATGGGCTTAGTATCCAATTATGGACTGGGTCACCTCGTTATGTGCATCGCAGTTGTTCGACCTGTCACAAGCGCCATATGGGCCCCCTTCCAATCATACAGTCTCCGGAATTACGGCTGTCCCCTAAATGCATGTTCTTCAATCAGTACATTTCACTATATAAAAATATCTGACCACTAAATAGAAGAGAGCCAAGATACATGCCAAATGTACATGATTCAGGTTGTATTTTACAGTATTAACAGAGTATGACGAAGTACAATTGCTGTGCATTACTACTCTCCTTTGACTCCTTCCAGTATAGAGAGTGACTCTACCACAAATAAAACATGATATCATGGAACACAACAAACCAGTATATATTAAGAGCAACTGTCAGCAGATTGTATTTGTAGGCAAGTTGGGCATTTTTACTTTGCACTGGAAGCCATAGTCGGCTCAGCGGCAGTTGGGATGCCTGGTTTGATAGAAGCACAGTTTTATGCCCGATTCTTTCCAGTGAGTGGCAGTGTTACATATCACAAATGGCCATGGTAAGCTTCAGATTCAAGTCCGGCAAGAATAGTTTTACTGGGCAAGGTCTGAAAGATTTTGTAAACAAGTGGCGCAATGCCCGGTATTACCATCTCTTTGTATGGAAAGGGTAAGGCGGCATCAAACCTTGAGGGTTAAAGCCCAGACGCTTCAAGTTTCTTTATTCAAGATTGTGGGAGAGATTGCATTGTTTGCAGCCATATCATCATAAATGGTTCAACACGTTGATGGTGGATGTGGCGACACCTAATCTGACCACCATATTAATTAGGTGGCTCACCTGTCAAAATGCTTTCTCGTTTCAGTGAGTGACTTTTAAGATACATTATCCAGTACGATATAAAGACATTCTTAGCGACTGAAGCCATGCTAAAAGTAATATTGCTACATCCAAACAATGACTTCATGTAACGTACAATGGCTGAATTGCGCAAATAGTCAAATGGGTTGGTTTGGTAGCTTAGAAAATCTAACAGCTACAGCATTTTATCATCGTGTAATACTGGGGTTAATTTTCGAATCAGGCGCTTTTACATCAAGTCTACACTGTTGTTGGATAAGCTGTATACAATCATTAAAGAAAAACAAGGTAATACTTCGCCAAAATGTTAAAACGAAACAAGAAATATAGAATGGAAAACGTAACAATGGGATAAAGTTGGGCATTTAAGGATATGATATTTTATTCATGGGATACTTGTGTACAAAAGGAAGGCGTCTAAGCGCAGCCGGTAGGGGTTTTGCCAGTACCACCCAAGTTGACATGGCCAAGACCCATGAAAACGTTATCGAGGGAATTTTCGTGCATTGAAACGCCTTTCAAAGTCTTGCCATTGGTTTGGAGATTAGTAGCAGCAAAGCTGATACCCTTGGATTCGTCAGCATCAGCATCTCCGCCATAAGCCCAAATAGCACTGTTACGCTTGTCATGGAACCAGGCAAACTTGTTTCCAACCTTGATTTCCTTGTCGAACGATGGACAAGAAGCAATTTTCAATGGATTACCCTTGGTGAGAGAAAGACATTTATTATCCTTGACCTTGATGTAACCTACAAATAAAAATTAGTACGACATTACTGGAATCCATGCTCACTCCTTGCTCAGCTTACCCATGCTAATTTCATTGTCGTGTTCACCATTGAAATCCCATTGGTTGTTGACTGTGGTAAAAGTGGCAGACAGAGCACCGTCCTTTCCAGGCAAAGTTTTGTTACCCTTGCAGCCAGCACCATCAGTCACCAACTGATTGTTTGAGCCTTTCTTGACGAAAGTGGTTTTGGGGTGGGGGATACTGTTCACATATACGTAAATGGTACCAGAGATAGAGCTAGCAGATGCAGTGGCAACAGAGAGGGCCAAAAGAGCTGAAAGAATTGACAATTTCATATTTGATGATTGAGAGGGATGCGATGCCATGAAAGCGCAGAAGATGCTGCCCTTAATATATGTTTTTTTTTCATGCAAGCTGTGCAGGTACAAATGCGACAAGGAGAAAGTTGGATATTCTGAAAATAGCAACATGGTAGATGCAAAAGACGGTAAAAATATAAAAAAAGAAACAGGGTTCCGTGATTGTACGACGAGGACGTTGAGGCGAATGGTGATATACCAGGTTACAGACTTAATTTTACACCAGTGGCAATGGCGCGCAACTTTGCTTTAGCTTTTCTTTTTCGTCGGGCAAAGGGGCCGTCTTTTGTCATAGCTCCCTAAAAACTTGATGTGTACTATAGAGTAAAGAAAGATACATGATTTAATTCAAAAGATATTGCTACAAGGCTAGAAATAAATAAAAAGCAGGACGATCTTTTCTAATCATTACCTCTATTAACTTAAGTCATCATGGTGAACCCATTGCTGTCTCTACGTATTGAGAATTATGATGATTTATCACTGATAATCTCCTATCGACAAGATAAATGCACATGATGCGGTAGGAGATTGTTTTGGGCAGCATGATTGAAAAAATGCGTCAATACCTACTCAGTACACAGATTTATGGCTTAGAGCACGCGATTTCGTAATTTTAAAAAGTGGTGATGAAGACCATACTGTCATGATAAATATGAAAGGTTTCAAGTCAATGACTGAAAGTACAAGGCCAACCAATGGATCCTTTAAAACGAAGAAGGGGATCAGGGTAATACGATCTGCATCACAATACTTGTATACAACCATCTAAAAAGCTATTTCGAAGTCGTCTGCTTCTTAGCGTGTGTTGTGAAAGTTGCATTGACAATGCCACAAGTAAAAATAAAACAAAGTTCATGAAATGGCTTTAATTTTGGATCAACTGATATCATTTTCTGAACCGAATATCCCCAGCATGTTTGCTGCTTTAAATAGGCAAAAATGACTTCAATAAAAACTAGTCGATTTTCGAGATGTATGGCACAGTAACCGAATCCTACGCCACGCTAGAAGACGATTAAACATCCTAAGGAATACATATTTTATTTATGCTACTCTCAGAAAAATATTCAGGTAAATACGCTATAACTATTGATTACGTTAAAAGGTTTCGATATTAATTGGTGGACTTCTCATCCACTCCTCCAACAGCTTTCTCTTCAGATCCTTCGGTATACTTGGTATTGTCATCAATAAGATGTACGGATTGATCGCCAAAAAGCTCGCCAATTTGTTCCAACGTCTTTCCTTTGGTTTCAGGAAACAGGAATAGGAAACAGGTGCCAGCGATTAGATTGAAAACCATAAAGGCATAGAAGTAACGATAGCCAACTGCTTCTAGAGCAATGGGAGACACTTGAGCGAATACGACGTTGAATACCCAATTTGTAACAGTGGAAAGGGAGTTGCCTCTTTGACGAATTTCAGTGGGGAAGATTTCAGCTGGGTATACCCATGAATTGATACCAAGTGGAGTGAAGAAGAAGGATATAAGGAAGTTCATGGCAACACTTGCACGAAGCGCATTGTGATTAGTAGTGGTGCTAGGATCAATTGTTTGACTGAGTACAGCATTGATTAAGAGACAAGCCGCCATACCATAGCAACTGACTACCAGGGGCTTAATACGGCCAATGCCTTCCAAGAGCCATAGGCCAACAGTACACCAAACTACAGAGAGAGCACCAGAAATACCAATAATCATGAGTGATGTTTGAGTGTCAATTTGTAAGGCAGAATAGATTTTTGGGCCATAATAATTGATCACGTTGATGCCTGATGTTTGTGTAGCCAGTTGAATGCCACAAGCAAGGGCCAGACGCCTGCGCCAGGATTTCTTTGCAAACAAACCGGACCACGATTTCACAGCTAGCTTGCGGTCCAGCTCAATCGCTTCACAGATTTCCCTATATTCCAGATCGAGGAATTCTTGATTGCTACCGTTGTAATGCAACTTGTGGAGTACTTCTTTTGCTTCTTCATTTCGGTCCTTCTCACAAAGCCATCTTGGAGATTCCAGCTGAAATAGAATACCAACAGCTAAGATGACAGCAGGAATGCACTGAAATGCAAGTGGGAAACGCCATTGGAAATCCGAATCAGCGAAGCTGCTTCCATAACCGATCCATTGGGCAGCGAAGTAGCCCCAGCTAAGCATCCATTGTTGTAAACCAGTCATAGCACCACGCCAGGCGGGAGGAGCAACCTCAGAGCAATAAACCGGGTTAGCAGTAGAGAGAATACCAATGGCAATACCAGCAATGAGACGACCAGCAATCAGCATACCAATGCTGGTGCAACCAGCTTGCAAGGCACATCCAAAAGTGACAATGACAGCACCAACGAAGATCGATTTGGTACGTCCGAGACGATCGCCCATGTAGTAGAGAAGAAGACTTCCAATGACAGCACCACCAGTATATGAAGAAACGATGCCTCCTTGCTCAGCAGAGGAAGGTGAGCTGAAGCGTTCAACAAAATGTCCCTGTGCGATGACATTTGTGATAACACCACTGTCATAACCAAACAGGAAGGAGCCAACGCATGCGAAGACCGCAGTAAACAGGGAACGACGAAGACCCATTGGATTGGTTTGCGTTGATACTTTGTTTTTGTGTATGAATAGTGTGCTCCAAGGTAACTACTTTTATAACTTTTATGAGATAGAAAGGGAGGCGCTCATTCCCCACATTTTTTCAACAATTGCGGGGAAGTCACATTCACGAAGTTGTCTAAATCCCGATTTTGAGCGCCAAATGGCGGTCAGTTAGCCGCAGGTAGCCGCTATTTTCCCATCATTATCCACCCCACAAAGTTTTTGTTAATTAATCAATACCCCGCCAACGCTTTATTTATTCAGTAAGCTCGTCCTCCGTTCTCCACAATTCACAAGCGCTTTCTATCTTTTCCCCACAAGTGCAATGGCTCCAGCCGAAACCGTCCAAATTCCCTTCCTTACGGCTGCTGAAGCTCTGACTCCAAAGTTAAGTTACACGGAAGAAAGACCGAAAGATGTGGTTACCTTCGTTCCGGATGACAAGGCATTTTTGAGACACACAAAAGTGGTACAATACAACGCAAGTAGGCTCGAAGATAAGTGGTTCTCCTCAGGAGATGAGTTTATCGTGGACTTTGGAGGTCATCGTACTGGTTATCTCTCGTTCTATCTCGACGCACAAGGTGAAAATGTGGATTGCCCGGCGAGATTAAGGCTAACTTTCGGAGAAGTCCCTGGCGATGTTGTTGAAGATTTTTACCCGTCAAAATCGTGGATTAGCACTTCTTGGTTCCCTCATGAAGAAGCCAAGATAGATGAGCTGCCTGGACAAGTGAATATACCGCGACGGCATGCATTCCGATATGTGCGAGTGCAGGTGCTTGAAGTATCTAGCAAGTTCAAGATATGTTTTCGCAAAATTAAATGCTATGCAGTGACCAGTGCATGCAAAAAAGTTGCGCCGGTCGAAGGATGTGACTTCAACCTCATTGATACCGTTGGTCTGAGAACTTTGCGGGACTGTATGCAGACGGTATTTGAGGATGGTCCGCGTAGAGATAGACGCTTATGGCTAGGGGATCTTCGCCTTCAAGCTTTGGTGAACTATGTCACATTTCAAAATAACGACCTGGTGAAGCGCTGCCTGTATCTCTTTGCAGGACTTCGCATGGATCAAAAGGTCATGGCCAGTCTGTACGAACGACCAGAGCCACGAGTTTCGGGTGACTATATTCTGGATTACGAGCTCCTGTTTGTGGTCACATTACTGGAATACGTTGAAGCAACAAATGACATTTCTACAGGGAGAGAACTCTTTGGTATATGTCAAAATATCTTGGAAAGAAATCATCAAGAATACATCAAGGACGGAATCTTTCAGATGAAGCCAGGTGTCTGGTATTTCATTGACTGGCATGACGATTTGGATAGATTTGCCAGCATGCAAGCTGTATTTGTGATAGCATTCAAGGCAGCGCAAAGTCTGGCCAACAAGTTAGATATTGGCGTCGATTACACTGAGGATATTCGACTGCTCTCAGAAGGTTCCTTAGCACTTTACGATGAAGACAAGGGAATATTTTTATCAAATGGGCAAATATCTTGGGCATCTCAAGCTTGGATGGGATTGGCTCATGTTTTACCTCAAGAACAACATGTTCGAGCCATTCAAATCGCTATGCAAAATCCTAATGCTATCAGAGCAAATACTCCGTATTGTTATCATTATGTTCTGGAAGCACTGTTTAAAAACGGAGCAAGAGACGCATGTCTTGCGCTCGCCAAGGACTATTTTGGTGGAATGGTAGACAGAGGCGCAGATACCTATTGGGAAGCATATAGGGAAGATGATTCTACGTTTAGTCCTTACGACGATCATCATAACAATAGTTTTTGCCATGCTTGGAGCTGTACTGTGAGCTGGTTTTTGCGCTTATGAACATTAGAACAAAGTTATCATAATACTTTATTATTACTTTACACATGTACCAGTACTGTTGCTATACAAATGAATAATACAATAAATGAAACCGAAAAATAATAATGACTTTAATATATTTCACAAGACCAGCTTTTTAAGTATGAACATTCATGCCTGCTTCTGTTGCATCTGAATCAAAAATAAACAAATCTTGTGGATATCCAGTAGATGGGTCCGCTGATAACAACCATGAGAGAGCCTGTTCAACGATTCTGTGATTGCTGTTGTCATCATTGTTTTGTTGACTGAGATTAGTAGCCGGGGTGATTTGGTCACGTCGGATTTCCGGGTAGCTTGGCAGCGCTTCCATAGGCTCATCTCTCCGATCTTCATCCATATACGTTGTATGGTGCAATAGAAATTTCACCAACCACCGATCCATTCGCCAGGTGTTTTGATATGATGTTAAGCAAGCAGCTTCAAACACTCTTAATCTTGCAGCTGATACATCCACAGCGGGCCACAGTCGTCTTAAGGTCATGATGTGCTCAAAGTTGGTATCAAGGTCATCCTTTGCTTGCTTTGCTGCTTTCCCCTCTCCATACAACAGTGTATGTAAGTGTACGGAAGAGCTGATGACTAAGATATGAGCGACAACAGAGTATAAAAGCCTGCAGTTGGGTATCTTATTCGACCAGCGGATGATTTCTGAGATTTTGGATGCGTGATACTCCAGCTGATCAGCGTATTCCCTACTTTGTGAGTCTGCGTACGACAAGAATTGATACAATAGGACGACATAATTGTAGTGAAAGGATAGGTGTGTGCCGAGAAAGATTGCTCCATAAGACAGACTACTCTGTAGATAGACATTTTGCGTATTGAAAGCAAAGTTTGGGGGCAAGCTATCTTGCCAATTCTGCAAGTCCATAGCGATCTCATCGATCCTGCTCAGTGATGCTTCTGGACTCGTTGGATTGTATAAGACTGCGAGCTGGTGGGTATGAATTGACGACGCTATATCATGTAAATCACGGTTAGGAGCCCATATTCCTAAGGTGTATTCCTTCCTTGGTGTATCGCTTGTTAGTTGAAGGAAGTCTACGTCAGGCATGGGCTTTCTAGCTGGCTGGCGATCAGTTGTATATTCAAAACCAGTAATTCTCGGAATGCGGTTACCGAGAGCACTCCATCTATCGGCAGCAAACAGTATACTCCACGCACGTCGCAATGTTTCATCTTGAACGGCATCCCCTGTGTCGGGTTCTTCTTGAAGATGCAACAAGTGCCCAATTCGAATCGCTACCCCAACGTAAACAGCTTCTTGTTCCACCAAGTTGTAACCAGAGCAATAATGTGAGATCAGCATACATCCGTGGATGGTATCGACGCTTATTTCGTCAATATCAATTTTCAGAAGCCTTGCACCAATAGCATAATAGTTTGCTCCTCGGTCTCTTGGGTCGATATTTTGCAAAGTTGGATCTGAAGAGAACCTTGCAGCCAGTGCAGCTATTGCGTAAAGAAGATAGCTCTTTATCTTTCCTTGATGAAAAAGCATCATAAACGTTGGTTTATGAAATATAGTTAGAACTGGGTCGTGTATAAATCGAAAGAAAAGCTTGACAAAATGTTCCAACAATGGATCGTTGTAAATGTCCTTGCCACCGTCCAATTGCTGAAGCTCGACAATCCTAGGGTTCGTCTTCCCAACCTCTTCAACGTAAGCAGAGCATGTCTGACCAATCTGCAAACATAACTTGCAAGGTTTTCGTCGTTCCCTTATGCATTTTCGCTTTCGAGATTTACAATGGCGGCAAGCTGTATTTCGAGGTCTTCGTTCCACTTCCATGGCTGAAAGAGGAGTCCATAAAAAAAAAATGTGGGGAGAAAATTGCCTTCAATCGAACCCCGGAGATGAAATTCAAGTCTGCCAATTCCTCAGGTCTCAGATTCAAAACAGGCTTGAAATCAACAACGTTTCAATCGTTCAGGTTCAAATCTTGCAAACGGAATGCACACATTTTATCACTCGAATATGGCGATCAACATAAAATTTATACACCCCACGATTGATGCACCTGTCTTTTCAATTATCAGTTTTATTTGATTCAAGATCTCTGAAAAGTGTTCACTCATATTGGAAATTTTCACGTTTTGCAGCGAACGAAACAAATGATGATTCAAATAGCTATAAAACATGAGCTATGTAGTGCGAAATGGCGAGAAATATGTTGCTGTAGACGAAGTATCAAAGGCTAAAGTGTGGTTGTTGTTTATCTATCATCAGTAGTTGTTGTAGCATCAGTGGTGGGTGGTGGCTGTTGGAGTCTAATCTTTTCAGGGCGTGCAAATTCCGGTTGACCTGTGTGCCCAGTCGTCTTCCATATGAGCGTTGATAGTATGAGATCTCTCTAAATACATCAAAATCCCATCTCAACTGTAGGCGGTCAAAGAGGTATTCCAAGCTAAAACAACTTTAGCAGAGATGTCCCTTACGAACGTGTGGCCGTTATGAAGTGCCGCCGAATGTTTCTCTCCGGGAAAGGAAGGTTGTATCGGATGCTTTTCCTGGCATAAACGGCTCTTCCTCGAAGAAATTGAGCTAAAATTTCCGTAGGGCCGATTGTTGGCAAAATTTGTAAAGTTAACACTTTCAACAACGTTAGACACTGGTAGTAGTTTTTACAATAATAGTTGGTTGGAGTATTTTACTAACCTTCAGGGCTCTCATCACTGAAAATAAGTTGTCCTGAAGTCATACTAACTTCAATAAGGTGGTACCTTGGTCAAGAAGTATTCTTTTTTAAAAAAAAAGATAAGAGAGAAAAAAACTTGATTGAAGACACTTAGGGTGTTGAGCTAACACTTGCGCAATTACTGACAGTGCCATCTCTTTCTTTTGGATGGGTAAAAGCAATGTCCCGAAACTACCTTATCAATCTACGTTATACTATGGAGAAATGCTTCGAATTTGATAAAGGATATCAGTGAAACATCATCACGGCTGATTAAACCCTTTGATTTTAGAATGCTGAGAGTTATGGTCTACACACGCACAATAACTGACAGTTACATTCATATCTACTAGATGTTAATATATCCACCGAATACCATGTTTCTTTTCAGCATTCATCTATAATGGAGACATCATTGGTCGGAACCTAATTAAGCATATCTGCGGACCATGGTCGCGGCTGATAAAAAAATTAATATTGGTATTCGACGAAGGTAATCTGGACATACAGCTCAAGAAAAGAGAAGCCCATATGTTGAGGGAGGAGTATGAAGTGTTGTGGATCTAAGATCTTCACCAGCACAAAGCTTTGCAATGTTTTGTGCTGTACGATGGCAAGTTGGGATTCAATAACAGATAATAATGCTAATGAAAAGTTTAACAGCATCCACGCATGTATCCAACCTTCTTTCTCGGCATTCCATTAATTTTCTTTACTTTTAGTATTGATGGGTATACACCGAACGGTAATACGGTAGTTTATCTCTGGTATTCCATTATTTTCGTCTTAAAATACACGATTCAGGAGTATAAATATCAGGGCTACAATACAGAGGACTTGCCTTCAGTCTCCAAGTACACAAGCAGTCGTTTACAAACAAAAAAGCCTTAACTCAAAATGCGCATCACCTACAACTTTGCCACTGCCCTTGTTGGTTTTTTGTCGATCGCAAGCTATGCTTCGGCTGCAAGTATGTAATAAAACTAATTTGACGGCGTTAGACGAAAAGATAATAACCACCTTCAGTAGAAGATTACAATCGTTTAAATATATCGGAGGCAGCTGTTCTCTTCATTGATCACCAAGTAGGACTATTCAATTTGGTTCAAGACACTAGCCCAGATTCTTTCAAGAACACTATTTTAGCTGTCGGTGACACTGCAAAATTCTTCGACTTGAAAGTAGTCCTGACCACATCTCGCGAAGATGGTCCAAATGGTCCTATGATGCCAGAACTCAAAGCCAAATTTCCAAATGCGCCTTATGTTGCTAGACCAGGACAAATTAACGCTTGGGATGATCCAGAATTTGTTAAAGCCGTAGAAGCTACCGGAAAGAAACAGCTCATCATATCCGGTATCGTTACAGATGTATGCGTAACATTTGTTTCCTTATCTGCCAAGGCTGCTGGTTATGAAGTCTTTGTGGTTACCGATGCTTCCGGTACATTTAATGAAGCCATCAGAGATGCCTCATGGTTAAGAATGGAAGCTGGTGGAATTCAACTCATGAACTGGTTTGCCGTTGCCTGTGAGTTAGCTCGCGATTGGCGAATGGATCTTGAAGGTCTTGCAAACTTGTTCGGCTCCCACATGCCAAATTATAAGGCATTTATGGACGGATACAACGGAGCCGTCGCCTCAGCTAAGAAATAGGGGTTAAACCAGAATTTTTAACAGTATTCAATAAAGAGATCAACAATTATTCCATTATTCAAGGTATTACCATCAGCTCTGGCTTTAGCTTACTTATGGAATTTCAATTTTATGTTTTGGTGTTTACATTTTGCATTCTAGACACAATGAGCTAAGTTTGAAAGCGTCTTTACATTACTGTCTGCAAATTTGTATTTCTGAACGATAATTCGTCGAAACCATTGACAATATGAGGTATGTTTCTCTAATTTGCTAGGCGTTAACACTCTTCATAGTAGATATGGTTCTGAGGATGGGTGCTTTCATTTTTTCATAAACGAGCATCTTTAGCCGGTATTTTGAATTCATTTGTTGTATGCGAGCATAAAGTAGAGTATCACTTGGCAGTCGACATGAAGCAGTTCACTATAGCTTAGTTGCCTTGTAAATTTGCCTTTAATGGAAATGTACGTATTTATGTCATAAAAACAAATGGTATACATCTTGCTGTATCTTTTACACCAAATGCTCAAATCGGCTATCCATGGCAACAGCAGTATACTGGAGAGCGCGTAGATGTCGCAGACCAAGTTTGAGTCTATATAACTTAAGCATTCACCGGAAAAAATTAACATTAATGCTCGCCACTAAGGTTGATGTCATCATCCATAACCGAAAGTCAACTTACCTGGTCCTGGCGTTCAAATGAGCTATCACTG